AAATGTGGGGGGGGGGGGCAGTAGAAAATGCCCTACGTAGAAAATGTCAACGTTTTAACGAATTTGAAGAGAGTGTTGAAAGGACAGCGGTAAGGAAACGAAGACAACCAGGTGTAACTGTCAACACGGTCAATGACTCTAAATGCTGGTCCATAAATCACATTCCTGGTGCCTATAGGAGTAAATGGTCGCGTACGAGACTAGGAGGCTGCTTGGTCGTACTTGGTAACTAATTTCTATAAACCTAAAATGACAGCTCGGCAATTTTACTGCTAAAGCTGCGAAACCCCACAAGATCTTTGTTTCAGGTTATTATCTACCCACACAAGTACATTGTTGGTCGGTCAACTGCAGTCAACTGAAAGGTGGTAAAATAACGGAATAACGGAATAACGGAATGCTTTTTTTAACATTTTCCCCGTGATACATTGTGGCTATTGTCCAACAAATGGCAAACTCCACCTGTAGCCAATACGAGTAAAACTATGATAATCCAATCGGATGGGGTGTCATGGCTCTCTAAATTGCCCATACAACATATACGGGCAACACAGTGGCACGCGTAGGCCCGTTCGATATACGGTGGCTATCCTGTGGAATTTAGTGTTTGCCTGATATGTGGGTTTTAAGAATCGCTGCAAAGACGGCATGGAAAATGAATCTCGTGAAACCATATTGCCCCATTGGGAGGGAATTTTCCGGTGGAGCCCTTACTATCGGGATTCCGCATCTGCATTTCTAGGCGTGCCTTGAAGCCAAACGGCTACAAACTTTTTGCAAGCAGCTAGAATAGCCGAGGGCCACAATCCGGGTATCCACAGCTATTTCTTCAAGTGATGGCGATTATCTTATCTGCGTTGGAAACTTCGGATGTTCACCATAAAGGTAAATTACCGACAACTCTGGTATTAAATTGGGGGGGGGGGTTTCTGATACTGGTCGCCATGTGCAAATCTGTGGGTCTATCGTATACTGGAGGGCATTTGTGGTAAGGCAGCTTGTTTGTTGCTTAATGTCTCCGTCAATCTGACTCTCGACTGACCAAATGAGGAGAAGTGGAAGACAAACATTGGGATGTCGAGGCCTAGTAAAGCACCCACACCTTCACCGAGTTTACACACTCCAGCTCTAAGCGATTCTTAATTGTTGTTAAACGTCTATTATCCTTCCCCTTTTGAAACTAACTCTCTGTCGGTGTTTATACTTTTCCTGGGTTTTCTAACTCTTCCTCTCATTGCTGCAAATTTGAGTGAACCCATCGGATTACGTAATGATCTACTAAAACAATAATTTACTAGATATGCTGGATTACTAACTATGACACCAAAGTTGGCTAATATAACGGCAGCCAGATGATATTAATCCTATTCTTAGAATTCCCCTCTAAAAACCGTTTATCTGGTACAAGGCTTTGCAATCTGACAGTCGCAAGACAAACACAAACTTATTAATTATCACACTGTTTATATTATATAATTTATGGATAGTCAGATGGAGCCAAACCAAAGGTTCCCCCTGGTAAAGTGGCAACATCAAGTCTACCTACCAGACTTCCTTCAACGCCTCCGTAAATAACATTATTTCCCCACCAAGAAATCGACTTGTCGTGATAAAAGACAGCAAAGAAAATAATGATTCCACTGAAAGCAATACCAGCATCCAACGATCCAGATAACACATAGTTATACTTCTCCCACCACGATAAGTACCGCTTCTTGATATACAGCATAAAGAAAAACGAAAGGTAAACTCCTCCAGTGTAGTAGGACAAGTTATAAGGAGCGTAAACTAAGAAACCCCCAATGATCAAAGTTGGTTGGAAGTACTTTGTCACCTTCTTTGGACCATATTTCTTGAACAAGATACAAGGAATGGGCAATAATGCACCGATCAAGAAACAGTATTGCAACAATGGATATAAACCATTGAAAACCTTCTTTGGTCCAATAACACCCCATAAAATAGAAGCGTTGTAGAAAACCTTGGAGTTTGGACAGGTAAACTTTTGTGGTTGCAAAGCATCACAATAGCCCTTGATGTGGTTAATGGTGAAGTTCATAGTGGCCAAAGAAATGAATGAAGCAACAAACATCGACAACATTTGACATCTGAACATGGCTCTTGGAGGAAGCTTGGCATAATGACCCATCTTTTGATCAGAAATATAGTTCTGGGCTTGACCGTTAATATTGTAACCAAAGGCTTTCAAGAAGTTCAAGGCCAAACCGTTACCAGGGATTGCATATCCAATGATCAATTCAACCAACACATTAAGACCGAATTGATAACCAGTAGTGGAGAAGACAGCAGTCAAAGGAATCAAGAAAACAAAGTTGATACCAAGAGTAAAGAAAAGACCCCAAACAGGAGTTTGAGCTGGGTACACCTTTACACAAATAATAGCCAAAATCAAAGCAATCAACAATACCACGAGGAAACACCAGTCGGGAACTTCTTTGTACTTCTTCATCATCTGGGTGTGAGGATCATTGAAACCTTCAAAAGTCGATCTTCTGATGTTCTTGATAGAAGTTCCTAAACTGAATAAGGCATTCTTCATTGGAGTGAAGTTGATAAAGCATTCGTAGATAATGGCAAATGGGTAGATGGCAAAGAAAGCCCCGTAAAGAACCAAGTTAGCAGCAGAATAGTACGGAGGGCCAACCTCCATGTATTTTTCATGATCGAAAAGAGATTTGGAGTCAACTATAGCTTTGACATCATAGACTTCAGCAGTGTTCGTGAACAAAGACGAAGAGTTCAATGGCAAGTATCCAGACCAGTACTTATTGGTCCAAAACACACCTATGATCGAGAAGAAACCTAAAATCAGTCCAATGTACTGGTTAATCTGCGAGTAGAAAGGAATAGTCAAAGCATAGTTGAAATTGAGGACGTTCCAGTCAAAACTTGGAATAGGGTTCATTCCTAACCCATAAGAAGAACCAGTGATAGCAGCCAAGTTGAAGTTGTTTGGAGCAATCCAAGTCATCCAGTTGAAGGTGGACAACGCATAGAATAAGTAGTCAGGAATCCAGAAATACACGAAGGAAGCAGCAAAGCAAATAAAGAAGAAATTATATCTTGAAATGGACCAGCCATTGATTTTTTCTTTCTTTTCTGGCTTCATCAAAGCTGAGTTCAAGGCTAAGGTTGGCAACACAGATGGCCAAAGAGCCCTAACTGGGTAAATAGTAAACTTTCTCATAATACCTGCGAAACCGAAACCCAAGAAGTTGTTAGACAAGATCAACAAAGTTTGGTAGCCAAAGTCAGCCCAAGTATTGTTATAGAACTGTTTAACCTTCTGGGCATGGATATTATAAGACACGTAAGGAGTACCACTGGAAACCGAGTAGAAAATAGTAGTCAACATCTGTTCCTTGTGGTTCCAAGGACCAGGGTTCAAGTCAAAAGTATACTTCCAGATCTTGAATTTCCATTTAGGCAAAATAGCTGCAACAAGCAAACCCGAAGGATACAACAACAATTGCACAACTGAGGATGGCAATGAGATAGAAGGTTGTCTTTCAGCAAAAAACTGATTAACAAAAGCCCCAATGGCTGTCCAAATTAATCCCAAAAGGTACACTCTTGGAGTTTCGACGTACAATGTTGGATCATCGTAACAGTCGGTGACCGAACGGATTTCTGGGTAAGGAGAGTGGTAGGCAATCAAGGAAGCCTCGATCTTGCTCTGCAATTCCCAGTCAACGATGTCGTAGTAGTTACCATCAGCAACTTCTAAAGACGAAGCGTCGGTGTCGTGCACGTTGACAGCTTCACCGGTCTTTTCCAAAGAGTTTTCCAACTTCTCGGAAATTGTAGAGTTGTTGACCTTCTCTGGGGCCAACTCCACCAATTTCTCAATCAAGTCCATCACCTCACTTGGGAAGTTGACGTCTTCATCGTGCTCGACGATAGTAGTTTTCAAAATCTCAATGGCTTCTTCAATGGGAAGATCTTGAATGTACTGAATCATCAACGTCACGCCCACAGGTAAATCCTCCATTGATTCCAAGTTCTTGTGACCCATTCTTTTCAATATGAAGTATTTCTGTTCGGTTGATAATTCAGTACCCACCGCCCCAAGGGATACGGGATTTGAGGTAATAGCCTTCAAGTCAACTTCATGTTCAGCAAAAGTAGAGTCTAAGTTTTGTCCGGCACTTTTCACACTAGTGAGTTTTTTAGCTCTATCCATTTTGGGTAGCCACTCTAGTTAAAAGATTTGAGATGTAAGAATACGGGCGGGCTGTGGGGTTTATATATGGTTTATTGTGGCCGCATTTCTCGTGATACAGGCGGATGATTTGAGATGCATGCGCATCTACTGAAAACGAACGGTATGGTTAGCAACACCTGGGTTCACGGCTCCATTATTTTTTTTATCTATAATCGAAATAACCCCGGTTGATAAGACAGCTGTAGATAGAAAAAATAGTTGGTTATTCAGTCTCAAAATGGGGGGTTTTTTTGACGATAAACTCTAGATATATCATTCATTGGGTTGTTCTTGTAGAGTCACCTGGACTCACCAAGTCCATGGTGTGCAACGTTCCACACTTCATGTGTTAAGTTCAATAAGGCGATGATCGCAGTTTTCCGGCCAGTATGCAGATAGGCGACGATCTGTACCTCGCAGCCACCTGTCATATCCGGAATGCTTGGTGATGGGGCCGTACATCAAAAAGGCGAAATACAACGCTGAGACAAGAAAAACGAGCAAGCAGCGATACTCATCTTGGCAAGGGTATGCTCCACAGATAATAACAATGCCCCATTAAGGAGATTACGAATGTCCTCAGTAATTATTTTAATGACAATGCTATGAGCGGTGTTCTAGTAGAGTTGGGAAGTGCAGAACACTACCCGCGCAAGCACTACATGAACCCCAAGCTTGACTAGTCTGTCTATTTGCACATGATAAGAGTATAGCTTTCTTATCTATTGCAGCATCCTAAAATTTAATTAGGAGGTCCAAAGTTTAATTAGGAGGTCCCGTATTTTTCCTTCGAATGTTTGAATCCCTGCTGATTCTTAACCTCTATCTATTTGTTTGTCCTGAAATCCGTCTTTCTAATTGTCAACGCTCGACATCGCTTAAACAGGTAACCATATCAACTACTCCATTTGGTATCACCGTATCTGCATAGCAGCCACCTTTGCGGTGACAGGCTCGTCCCAATCTCCTCTTTTGTTCAATTAGCCACAGTACTTCAACGGGATTTCTTTGACTCTGGGACTGATTTGACTCCTGTGTTACATACTCTTACTGAACTCAGTTGGGGCCATTCACCTTATCGGCAAAATGGGTTTCCTTATCGTTAATGTTGGTTGAGATAGATGTAGTTTGCTCCTTGTCGTCGTGACTATCTTCGCTTTCGATGTTATCCATTTCTTTCATGAAGGCCACTCTGACATCGGCAGACGCAAGTGATTGGTGATGTTCGCGTGAGACGTTTGCTTCCTTTAGCCGGTTCAACCCAATGTATGAATTGGTCAACGAGTTGTTATGAGATCTCTTGGGTAAGTTAGGTTTGTCATAGTCTTCTCTGAGTTCACTTTTTTCCGGGGTGACGTTTCCAGTGAAGGTGCCAATGTCATAAGCATCGATATCTTCTTCGCCTGAGTTCTCGGAGCTGATTCTATAATCCACAGGCCGCTCGCTTGCAAACAGTCCTTCTTTGAAAGCTTCTCCACCACTTTGGTTGGAGTCAGCGTCAATGATACTTTCGGAATACGGATCGCTACCCCAATACAAAACACGATCACTTTGGTAGTTCAACTTCTTACTAGGTGTGTTTTCAGTTGCGCTTGAATTGAAATTAGTAGAACTCTTTGCTTTTCTAATCCGTCCCTCCACTGCCAATTTATCGTTATCGCTTTGGGTTCCGTTTCTCTCCACCTTCTTGGGTGGTGTGGGAGTATTATAGCTCATCGATGATAAGGACGCTGACGACTTCCTCTGTCCTGTATTAAAGGTTTGAAAGTTGCTGATGGAATTTCTCTGCTTTGAATGAAGCTTTCCAGAAGCAGAATTGTGTCTTTTCATTTTTGGAACACTCTTCATGAGTGAACTTACCCGTTTACGATCAGGTGTGACAGGATCCCAACGGGCTGACAGAGATCCCAACGATTTTGTGGTAGTGAGCTGGTTCCACTCTTCAGTGGTGGGCGAATTATTGCACTGAACCAAGTTAATCGGGTTGACAATCAACGAGTTTCCGAAGGTAGAATTGCTGTTTGAAGAAATGGTTCTCCCTCTGAGCAAAGTTATTGCCCTGTCAAGCTCAAATTCAACTCCACAGTGGTTGTTGATCAAGGTGATTTTTGGCCAAGTTGACCTTGCACCTCTGATGATGAAATCTGCAATGAATTGAGGGGTTGGGTTCAGAAATACCTTTGTGAAATCAGACAACTTGTAGTTAGGGAGAATTGTTATATCTCCACTATAGCTCTGAGATAACAAGGAAATCAACTTAGTGGACAAGTTCTTGTATATGTCCATCTCATTGAAAATCTGGAAATAATGGATCAATTCGCAGGTGAAAAAGTCATAGGCATTATTCAATATACCCTTGAACTTGGTAGTCAAATCGTCTTCCAAATAGCCACCAGGGTTACTTACCGATATCTTGAGGAACGGAACAACATGAGCATTGACTTGCACAGCAATTATGTGATCAACATTGAACATTTCCAGTAGTTTCATGATGGGCAAGTCATTGTCCACAGATCCATCGACAAATTTGATAGAAGAGTCTCCGTTCCATTTCTGTATCTTGTTTGTTCGAGGATTCTTCTCGTAGATGGACGTTGATGGAAAGAACCCAGGTAATGAACATGAAGCACAAACTGCAGACCAAATCAAACAGTTAGGTGCTGTCAAATAGTTTAATAGTCTCGTTTGTTCATGCAAGGAAGCGGGTGAAACCGTGATATTCAAAATCTTTCCGGTCCTATTGTATGCTTCTCTAAATGTCAAGTCTCCCACAAATCCAATTATAGTCTTCTTAAGGCTCCCCATCTCAAAAACGGTCCCGTACTTCAAAAAGTGGCCCACACTTTTCAACAAAGTCCTAAATTGGTTCTTTTTCTCGTGTAAGATCCCCTCTTCATCCAATCCACTGTTGAAGATCTCAAACTCCCGTTCGCTCAATGACTGGATAATGATCTTGTTCTCCTCGTAACTATGGCAGCATAAAATCGAGGCAATAATCGAACCAGCCGAAGACCCACTGATAATTCGAGGAAGCAAGTTCACCTCCAACAACGAAACTAACACACCAATGTGAAACATACCAAACGTACTTCCTCCCGACAAAACCAAGGCAGTTCTTCCGATGTTCTTTCTTGTTTGAATCAACATTCCCAACAAGTACCTATCATCCAAGTCCACGTCCAGACCATTAACAAGATAGTCGAGTGATAACTTACATTCAGTGATATAGTCTTCAATCAACTTTTTGGTCCCCACAAATGACAGTTTGTAAAGCGACACATCCCCAATATTTCCAAAGTTTCGAACCCACTTCGTTCTGATCAAATACAAGAGCAACTTGTAGTCTCTATTCAAACGGGCGGTTCTCATCTCGTTGATGTTATGGTGGATGAGCTCAAAGTCGTAGTATGGACTCTCCGGGTTAGATTTCCAAGCATTATTTCCCATGAGCTCATCGAGCTGCAATGACACATCGTACCACTTGGAGTAGGTCGTTGCAAGCTTCTGCTGCTCGAGAAGGGAGTTAGTAAGTTGCTGCTTTTCGTTGGTAATGGGAAATAGCTTATTCAATATGGGGATGCTTTGTGCATATGATAAAATAGTGCCCGAAATGGCACTGGTGGTAGTCTTGTATTCGCCAGACTTGTTGAAGATGGAGTTGTACGTTGGAGGCCTATCAAACTTCTCGATTATCTCTTCTATCAAGTCGCTGATGTCGCTATTGAGTTGGTACCCATTAGAAGCACTTGACATGATAAGTCACTTGAAATACCCCAAAAACGAAGTGCGCGCTATATCAAGACTCATCTCGATATTTTACTATCACAAAGTGGATGAGTTCAAATTGATGAACTTCATATCTCTTGAACATCTTCAACTGAGACTCCGACTCACGACACCTTGTACGTCAGTATACTCTCATCGATTACAACTCGTCCAATCAGTAGCATTTTCCACCTACAACCCAAAATTTTGGAAATCGAACAAATCGCCTGGTTCCTCTGCTAAGAAAAAAGATAAGTTCCACAAGAAGCCTGGTGCACATTCAGTTCCACCGCGGGTCTTCTCTAGTCATAAAGAGTACCTTTCATTCTACGACCAGTTCTTGGATTTCAGAAAGTTTACATCTCCAATGTTTTCCATAACCACAATCAACCACAAAACCCAAGAGACACATCATCCATTATTACTATTGACGAACCGGGAAGGATACAAATATCTTTTCGGAAAAGTATCAGAGGGATCACAAAGAGTGCTCAATGAGAACAAAGTCCGCTTGACGAAGCTCAAAGGGGTGTTTTTAACGGGTACTTTGACAGGATGGTCAGAAATCGGTGGACTACCGGGATTGTTTTTAACGATAAGTGACGCTACAAAGAAGGACATTGATGTTTACTCCACATCCAGTGCAATTTTAAGCTATATAGTTGCTACCTGGAGATACTACGTGTTTCGAAAAGGAGTAGAGCTCAAGATCAACGATGTGGACGATGGAAAGTTGATCTCCGACAGCAACATTTTAGTGAAACCTATCAAGATTGCACTGGCACATTCAGCGGAGGCAGACATAATGGTGCGTAGACAATTGAAGAAGTTGGTGTCGTTGATGTTTCCGCTTGACACCAGCAAAGCCAATGATAGAGACCCTTCTTCCTATAAAACAGATCCAGCAGACCAAGATATCCAAACTCATGTTTCGATATCAGATTTGGAGTTGCAAGCTGGCCTGCAAAAGGCCATGAACTACCTCATAAGATTCCAGCTGCTTCGAGGAAAGTTCAATCCGGTCAAAGCCAAAGAGCTAGGAATAGTGAAGGGAACAGATTTTCGAGACTTGACTCAGGGAATTTCTGTGACTAATCCGCAGGGAGAAGTTGTTACTCCTGACCAGGTTGTTGGCGAACCGAAATACTTCAAAAAGGTGTTGATGCTTGATGTTCCTAATAGCAGTTATTTGGAGAATGTGTACAAGTGCACTTCATGGTTCGAAAAGAACGACTCAGACTTGGGCCAGGAGGACATTGGTGTGGTATACCACATTTTAGGCGACGATATCAACTTCCGGCTGAAAGAGTATATTGATTTCATCAACTCATTTCCTTCTGACTGCAAGCATATCATCAGTCACCAAGAGTTATCCAATAACACAATCGTATTCAAGACATTCGCGAGCAATCTTTTGAAATTAAGGGCCATTCAAAGAGATCACTACAACTTGCCGTGTAGTGAACCATATGATGGAGATGGTATCAACAAACTTCATCTGATGCAACAACTTAATATTGGGGCTGATGGCTTCACTTTTGACAATTCTAACATCTTTGACCTGAACTGGTCTCGGATGTATGATGAGCATATTGAGCCTTTACAAATAGAAGGGGCCGATAAACAAACAGTCATCGACCCCACACCTTTACCTCTCGGGTTAACCCGTGGGTCTCTCAAAGACAACGTTCATATCACCACATTGGGTACGGGTTCAGCTCTACCCTCACTATACCGTAATGTGCTCGCCAATTTGGTAAGAATCCCTATCAAGAATCATGAAACAGGTGAAGTAGAGTACAAAACAATCCTTTTAGATGGTGGTGAAAACACCCTCGGATCCTTGTTGAGAACCTTTGGTCATAAGGATCAATATCAGACGATTTTACAAGAGTTGGGAATGATATTTTTAAGTCATTTGCACGCTGACCATCATTTGGGGTTGGTGTCCATACTCAATAAGTGGTTCGAAGTCAACAAATACAACGACAAAGTACTTCACTTGGTGCTTCCGTGGCAGTTTAATCACTTTATTGCCGAATGGTATAAGTTGGAGACACAAACGATAGACCTTTCTCGAATCAACTATATTAGTTGTGAGGACTTCTTACACGGACGTACTCCGGAATACTCCAAGATATCTATTGAGACCTTTGAAGAACAATTTGATAGAGGAAACCTAAAAATCAATATTCCAAGGGCCCGCCTTGAGTCCATTGACTTCACCCTGATCAACAAGATGTATAAAGATATGAATATGGTGGGACTCCGTACCTGCAGAGCCCTTCACTGTTACTGGTCATACTCCGTGTCAATTGAGTTTCAAATCGACGTTAACGAAACCTTTAAAGTATCGTTTTCAGGTGATACTAGGCCTAACCCATCTTTCGTAGAAATTGGACTTGGGTCAGACCTTTTAATCCATGAGGCGTCGCTAGACAACGAGTTAATCGAGGAGGCGATTGCCAAAAAGCATACTACTATGATCGAGGCTGTCAACGTTGCAAGGTACATGAACTGCCCCAAATTGATTTTGACCCATTTCAGCACCAGATACTCCAACGGGGCTAATTTTGTTAGCGGGAAAGAGGAGTTCAACAGGCTATCAAACGAACTAAAAACATATTTGAACACCTATAAAGATGTTAACAACATATTCCTACTCGAGGATGTAATTAATACCCCAATTCGGGACTTTAACGACATGGAGATCTTATTTGCGTTTGATAGCTTAATTACCCGGTTGAGCCAAGTTGGAGATCAAAAAACTCATATGAACCGTATAAACAAAATATTTGATCTGGGCTCAGGTGACATAGACGAGAAAGAATTGGACAAGTCCAGAGCCAAACGAGAGGTCAAGCGTGCACAACGACTTTCACTCCAAAAAAAACGAAAAACTAGTAGTGACGAAGAAGGTTTATAGACATTAATAAAAACGCGTTTTAGTTAAATTTTTATTTTACACGCTTACCCAGAAGATGGCTGCAAAATCTTTTCATCCGCTTGTATTGCAAGAAAGCTGGGTTCTCGATGCTGTTGTGAATTCTTTAGATACTCTGCTGTATGCGAGTGCGGTTGTTCTGAAACACTTTGTTCGAAACAGCCGTAGTGCCGATGGGATTACTGCGGTGGTTCGAGTGCTACAATTCTTAAAAGTAGCCCCCACCGGAGGTATAACTGCAGTATTGACAGATCGAACCCACAAGATTCTTGCACGATTCACCGTCGATGCTGTGCGCCTGTTCGAGAGGGACTACTGTCAGAGGATTACGCTCAACACCGTTAATAGTCTATTCGTTCTCAAGTCAGCGCATCTCCAAATAACCACCAAACAAGAATTGATTAAAGATTACGGTAACAGCTTCAACACGCGTCTGAGTATTCTTGTGTTGAATGTCGATGCTTGTGACGTGTTTTTACGGGACCAGGTGAAGTATGATGCAAAGGTTGACAAGGAATTAGTGTTTGTGTATAACGACGCGGTGTTCAACAAGAGACTTGTGAAACCCCCATTTGACGAATTCCTGGTTAACGGAATTCTAGCAGAGGAATACGATGACATGGTGTCGATATAATTCAAGTGCATATATTGGCGAAAAAAGAGAGAAGAAGAAGGTCAAAATCCACAAAACAAAAATGGTGAAACTTTAGAAACCAGTGGAGTTGTATCCAATGGTTGAGTTTGTACCCAAGGTGGGCAATGGTGCCACCGAAGATGATCCTACACCCACCTTCGACACCGGAATTGGTGTCAGAGTGGCTTTTGTCTCGGTGCTGGTGACATCCACATAGGTGGTCACAGTAGTGATAGAGTCATCAGGTAATGTGAACGCAGCCGTAACCGGGAAGGATGTGGTGATGGTGGATGTCAAGTAAAGTGTCGAGTATGTCACACTGTCATAAGAAACACTGGTGTCGGTGTTTAGTGTGACATACAGATAAACTGTCTCAGTGACAGTTTTCGCAACACAAGCATCATCGGCCGAGGCCACTACCTCCAGTGTAAATGTGGCAGGAGCTGTGGTGGTTATTCCATCGGATGCGATGGTTTTCTCGGTGGTGATAGTGGTGGCGACGTTGCTCAAGCCTTCTTTAGCCATATAAGACGACAAAATCGATAATTGACTAGTGGCAGTGGTGGGGATCACCAAAGTGGTGGAAGGCAACACCACGGTGGTATACGCTGTAACCCACGTTGTTTCTGTGGCCGAATAGCCGTCAGAAACACTGGAGTCTAAAGTTGCAGACACTGTTTGGTTGTCAAATCGCTTGAAAGGTACTGCATTTGCAGCCGAGATGAGCAAAGGAGTAAGTTTAAGGAAGTTGACCATGGTAAAGGAGTGGACGCGATTAGAAGACGCAGAAGGGGTGGTTACTTGGTGGTGGTGGTGAAGGAGGATACTACGGGGTATTTATACTTGTGGTAGGGGTGTATTTATAGTTTTAAGAGTGGAGTCTGGATGTGCGTACTCGCCGGGCACATAGTGTTTCACTGCGAAATTAGCGAGCTTTAAGCGAAGGGGTGAAAGAGGTGACAACGGTGCGAAAGTGCAGTGACGTGGTGTATGACATATGAATGAGTTGTGATGAACGTGTAGTTGACAACATATACGTTACTAAAAGTGCGAATTAAGTTGTGTCTAGAGTGAATGGGTATGTGTCTAGAGTGAATGGTCTCGAATCAATGGCGTAGTGCAGGTACACCGCACGCGTCGAGGTCAGAAATGTCTCAGTCGCACCGCGCCGCCCAGGGGAGAAATGTCTCAGTCGCACAGCGCCACCCTGGCCAAGCCGCCGGAACCACCGGCACCATCGGCACCGTCTACCGCGTTTTCTCGTAATGTCCATTCGGAACTGAATAAATATAATAAATAGTCGTACCTTCATAATCGCTGCCTTAATACCTTAATACATCAGCAGTCTCCCATGTCCAAGCTCTCGTAATACGTCAAGTCATTGTCAATCAACTTTTCCTCCAAGAAATCATTGATCAAATTGTACTTGTCTTGTTGCAACACGTCGAACCGGCTACTAAGATTCTTGCCCGCGCTGGCGCTGCCGGCTGCTAAGCCGCCCGCGAACTTGGGCATCTCGAAAAACCTTCCGGAGGGCTTTTCAGAAAATGAGTTGTTTGTAGACACAGTTGTAGACCGGGTCAAAGTAGCCATCAATGAATGGGTATCGTCGTCCAGAGGTGATGAGGTCCTTGATAATAAGGGTGACTCGATATCGAAATCATCGTCGAACTCTTCGTCTTCCAAGAAATCGAGCAATTCGTCGGGGGCGGCCGCATCACCTGTGCGCGACACCGCCGTAGGCACTACCAAGGTATCAACTGCCATGTCAAGCACCGAATCGATCAGGTCGAGCCGGTCGAGAGGGAGATCGAGATTGAGGTCAAGGTCGAGGTCGAGGTCCATTGCCATTTGGTGCCTGTCGCCAGCCATGTCCACTGCCGTGAAACTACGCTTTCTCGACACACTGTGGTCATTGTTCAATACAAACTGTTTGAGCAACTTGTAATCATTGATAAGCTTAAGAAGCTTACATTTGAGGTCGGTGTTTTCACTGGAAATATACCGTATGCTGTCAGCCAATTTGGCAGGATCTGACAAGTCAGGTTTGGAGTGAACAGACATATGTGGGTTAGGTGTCATGAATAGATTGAGGGGGATGAATATATTGGAGCAGCTCTATAGGCTCATAATAAGTAGGGTGGGGAAAAAAACAAGTGTTAAGTAAAACCGTTGTGGAGATGTCTCCTTGAAGGCCTGATGGAAAAACACTGGGAAGTTGCCAGTTTTATAAACAGAAAAATTTTATGAGGGTGTGGCCTGCACAATGTGTTTGATGTTGTATGGGATGTCTAAATCCGAACGGGCAAAATCGGAAGCTACCGCGAATTGCTGGTGTCTCGGGTCGGGTAATGTGGATGATTCACGAATCATCACCACTTGAGCGGGTTGGGCGGGTGAAGAAATACTCCCATCAGGGCCCCCTCATTGTGCCTAGACTCAGGGGTGGTGATTGGGATCAACCTGTTGCCCCCTTTACGCACGGAATGTGAGATAACGGGTCCTGCTGTTTCAGGTCGATCGTGCCAATGGGGTGAAGGAGATTATTAATTTTTCTGCGTTGCCCGATTGGGTAAGTTGTTCAGTTGCTTCAGTGCTCGGATCTGGGGCTGCGTTATTGGGCGCGGCACATTAATTTCGGGTCTTTGTCAATGATGCACCGACTGTCTGCGTGCGTCCGTTGGTGTCGCCCCTGTTTCTGTGCGTGTAGCAACTTTGAAACTCTAACCCAATTCAACTGTGTCACGAGGAAAGTTTATTTGAGGCTGATGTCACTGGAGTCCGTTGCGCTGGAATATGGTGATTGCAAACATAAACACAAATGTTCTTAATTACCATTCGTCAAAACTCTCCACTCTTTTATAGATCATTTCAAATACCTGCTATTAAACTTTTATTGGCTGCAAACTTCGAGAACCTCGCGGTGCAAATCTATCAACTACTTAATTTTGAATGGGCATACTGGTGGAAGGACTGACATACTCATACTTCTCGGTGCGCCATAAGCTGGTGATAGTCTTGGGCTGTGTCAAAAACGTAACACCTGCCCGGCCGTAAAAATTCAAATCTCCCAAGAATGAGCCCTTGTTTCCTGTAAATGAAAACATGGGCAAAGGCACTGGGATTGGAACATTCACACCAACCTGTCCACATTCAATATTTGTGACAAACTTCTGGGCATTGGAACCCGAACTCGTGAACAACGACACTCCGTTTCCGTATCTGTTGGAATTAACAATGCTGATTGCCTCATCCAAAGTCTCAGCGTTGATAACACTTAAAACAGGCGCAAAAATCTCCTCGTCATAGCACCTCATTCCTGGCTTGACGTTGGTTAAGACAGTTGGGAAAAGGAAATTCCCCTTGTCATACGGAGCTGGCAAATTGGTGATTCTGCCGTCCAACGCAATCTCAGCCCCTTGGTTGGCACTATCCTCAATGATTTCTTTAGCCTTCACCAAACTGCTGGGGTTAACCAAAGGACCAAGATCACTGGTTTGGTCGAACCCAGATCCAACCCGCAACTTCTGAGCGTCGGCCACCACGTCCGAAATCCACTCTTTCGACTTTCCTACCGTCACCAACACAGAAATCGCCATACATCTCTGACCAGCAGCCCCGAACGCAGCTCCATTGACTGCATTCACAAACTGCTCCTTGTTGGCATCAGGCATCACTATCATATGGTTTTTGGCACCCATATTTGATTGCACCCGCTTTCCCAATGAGGTACCTTTCTCGTATATATACTTACCGGCCTTATCACCACCCACAAAGGTGATGGCCTTGATCCGTGGGTCCTCGATGATCTTGTTGACTGCATCATGCTTACCGTGGATGATATTGATCACGTTGGCAGGAACACCCGCCTGTTGAAGAAGTTCACAAATAATCATCGCCGCCCCAGGCACCCGCTCACTGGGCTTGATGACTGCAGTATTTCCCGTGGCCAAAATCAATGGAATTGACCACAAGGGCACCATTGCTGGGAAGTTGAATGGGCAGATAGACGCCACCACGCCCAACGGCTCTCTCACCATCTTGGTTTCCATATCGGTTGCAACCTCGAGTGTCTGTCCCATCATATCGTTGGGAATGTTGCAAGCAGCTTCAGCCACCTGTAACCCTCTCAACACGTCACCTTTAGCATCCTGGAATGTCTTACCCTGCTCCAACACAATCATTGCCGCTATTCTGTCCATATTGGCTTTCAATAACTCCACAAACTTGAATGCGATACCTTGTCTCTTAATGATACTGAGGCCCTTCCACATAGGGAAAGCAGCAGCGGCACCAGCGATGGCCGCCTCCATCTCCTCCGGGGTCGACTGAGGCACCTGGGAGATCACGTTATTCGTGGCTGGATCATGAATATCGTACCATACGGTCGACTTGGATTTGAAAAACTGGTTATTTGCAAAACTTGGAGTAACGTACGACTCAACTTCATGAGCCTGGGGGAAGTTGGTGGTAGTGGAATTCAAGCTCAAACACCGGATAATTTTGGGCACGTAAGATCCTCTTCTGAGTGTTCGAGAAAGCATGTTGATGTTTTGGCGATGTAATAGGTGATTTTTTGGAGTTTTTATAGGGCTGCGACTGGAGGTGAATTTTCGGTATTCCCTTTCCGTCTCCACATTTTGGCTGCGAAGCGGAACCGCGATCCCGGAAATAGGCTCGAGTGCCTTCAGCTTTCACAGAATATGTTGTACAACATGTGACGATGTTGACAACACTATACAAATCCTACTATATGGGACGGCTGGTCTCGTTGCATTTATAACCCTCTATTCTCTGCTTGGTTTCTACTCCTCTATTCTCTATACTCTATGCTATATCGAATACACGGTAATGCCGCTTCCAAAGATCGTAGTATAAATCAAGCAAACAGGAGGTCGACCACGCTTGTGAAGGACTCAGGTCTCCACACAACTCTCCATCTTTATTGGTCAACTCTGTGAGTCCGGCCCAGTCACTTTCCCGGATCCACTTGATGTGTCCCTGGATTTTCTGGTTCAAATCACCAAACAAAACCTGCTCGTCCGCAACCTTTTTGTACGTGAACTTCAAGTATGCTCTCATGAAATATCCAAAACACCACACCCATTCAGGTCCTTGGTGGTAGTTTCTGCCCTTGGCCGTAGCAAAGTCGGTGCTGTCAACGGAATTGTAGTAGTCAGGACGATAGTTCCAGTCACTTGGGTCCAAAGTTCTCATTCCCACTGGTCCTCTGATGATTTGGTCCGCCTGTTTAATGGCACTGTAGCCTCTACCGGCATCAAATAACTCGGGTGCAACGGTCATGGCAATCGCAAAGTTGGGCCGCAACTGGTAGTCTTCATAGGGCTTGCCCGACCGGTACAAGTCCTTATAAATACCTCTTCTATTGACAATGCTTGGATCAATATCGTACTTCTGGTCATCATCTGCCAGAGTTGGAACAAAAAAACACCGTTCAAAGTTGCTCTGTACAAGGTCTTCCCATTCTTTAAATGTTATAGAGCTACCATCGGCTCTTTCCACCTTGTCGTAGCTGAACTTATCGCCTAACTCGTTGACAAATCGTAAAGCGCTCTTCAAAAGACCTTGGATCTCTACCGCAGCCCCGTCTCTAGGGGTTCCAGGGTACCCTTTGTTTCCGGCCAATGTGCTTTCTCCCATTTTATCCATCCAGGTTCCACAATTAAATTGTTGGCCTCCAAAAATTAACCCGTTGCTCCAGTCAACGTTGATCTCGACGTTGAACCCGATATCTTTCATTTGCGAGTCCAAATTAGGTCCAGCATTGGCTTCACGATACTTAATTCCCTTCGCGTGTCGTTGAAGAATCTCGAAAATCACTTCTCGAATGGTGCTTTCATAACTGAAAGCGACTGGATCGTCATAAGTAACGTAGGTATCATCTAGAGGAAATCTTCTGGAGACTTTTTCGTCCAAAATTTCAATTCCGTTGGGAACTTCCTTGATATAGTCTTGAATGGCTTGCAAGAAGAACCAAGCCGCATCCCTGGCGTTATATCTGGGGTTTCTACCGGCATCTAATAAGTTGGGAATAAGCCCGTGTTTCAAGGTCTTTGCAAACCCGAGAATATGGCGTTTTGCATCTTCGTGTCTCTCGGCCACAATCAATAAACCTCTAAATGAAATAAACACATCACGTCCCCAACATCTCATGTAGTCATTGGAAAAGTGAGGTAAGCCGGCAGCAAGACATGGTATTTGCTCAAACGGAAACAAAGAAGTGTTGTTCATCTTTCCCACCATTTGGATTGATGTCAACGCCAAACTTTGCACGAAATTGGTGGCTCCTTGAATTTGGGAGCTCAAAAGTCGGAAACTCCTGAACCTACATGCTTCGTATGCAGTTCCTACCACCAAGGCAAAGAAATGGGGTCTCAAAAAGTATGGCACGTCGCGAATGGCATCTACTCGAGATCTTAACCAATCCAAAAACTTTCCTAATCCTTTGGAGTTGGTAGCATATTTGTCCAATCTGTTGACAACATAGTCCAAAGCCCAGGTTCCATCTCTCAAATGGTCACTGATGGGGTGAGCAAGCTCGTTCTGCCAGATTACCTTCTTCAACACCGAGATCCACCCCTCAAAACCACTGTATACCAAGTTTCCATAATTCGGAATGCTGTATGTACCTTCTTGCCCCCCACTGAAATCCCGTTCTTCAGGTTCACATCTGTACAAAATAGCATTCAAGTCGTACAAGTCCAAGTCAATAGTAGAGGCTATTCCACCAGTCTTGACAAATTCGTCAAGCTTAATGTCGACTCCAGGAATATAAGTGGAATACACGGCAATTGACCCAGGAATGAAATCGTCAGTCACTTTAATAATAGAAGTGTCTCCTTCATACTCAATGGCAGGCATCTCCAAGCTTTGGAGCTTAGTGGGGATGGCTGTTAAGTATTTCGAATCTTTTTCGTAGTCGCCCGTCTTCGACAAGCTATGCGCAAACTCCAACTTCACCTTTGTTTGAACCAACCTCACAGGGTCTAGGACTTGGTGAGAGTCACCTTCACCAAACTTGGTGCGTGCGATCAAAAACCACCCTTTACCAGTTCTAGCATTGTGACGTTGAATAGTAATATACTCACCTTCATGATGAATGTACATCTCGTGATCCTGAAGAATGTCTTCACTTTCTCCTGCTAATAAATTTCTAATGTGATGCAATTTCTTCTTCACATCTCTAATCCCCTGATCAGGTACGTACTTGTACTGTCTTTCTTCTCCCACGACATCTAATAACTCGGGGTAACCCTCATCGTAACCAAAAACAGATCCAATTGCAGAAGAACAGAAGGCCACCAACGCAGCATTTGGCAAGGTGTCTTCAACGCTTCTCTTCTGAGCAGGAGTCTCATTATCATGAGTGCAATCCATGAATAACGCATGTGGGGAAACATTTGTCAACACTCTGGGAATTGGCAACTTTGAGTCTTTGGGCTCCTCAGTTGCTGGATACGCATACTCATCCAATGGCAACCAAGTAAAAGACCCAAGAGGTCTTCCACCATGCTTGTGGACTAATCTTGATAATTCGGCAACATTCCATGCTTGCATAGCTTCTCTAATAAGACTGTTCAATCCAAGCTTTTCAACAAAGATCTTGTCCATTTCCTCGGATCCACTGAACAATTCTGCCACCACGTACAAGTCTGGGTTGACATTCCTGGCAGCATCCAATAATGCTTCTCCCACATGCAAAGGGGTTGAATGGCAGTTATCAATTCTAAATCCATTGAACACCCTAGCACACTGCTCTGTGTACTTGGTCATTCTCTCCCACAAATAAGGAGAGTCTTCAGGACCTTCACCATAACGTAACTTGACACAGTCACTCCAAACAATGACCTCACGTCTCAAATAAGCCTTGGAATCGCTGGATGCGAAATCAACTAACGGGTTCCCTCCCCAGATCCAGCCATTATTGGCCAAATGGAATACTTGTCCATCGGGATTGGTAACCTTCGTAAAGTAGTTTTCAATTAAGGCCGAATCAGAAGTGATCTCGCCCAACTGAGGACCCCCGCTATCCAATCTCAAGTACCTAATACGGTCTTTCACCAGGTTCTTGATGGTAGTCACATCAGCATCATAAGCAGCATACAAGTCGAGGTTGATTTCATCCACTATCGACGAGGCCTTGTTTTCCAAAGTATTAAATTCAATATCGCCTATTTTGTTGTCAAATAAGCTCGAGAGAATCCCCAAAAACTTGGCTGCATCAAGCTGGTTGCTGAACCTGTCTTCCAAAACTACACTCGCATTTTTGTTACAGATCTTCAACACATATTGGGACAACTGCTTCAAGTTGTTGATGTCAACATCCCCAGGAATAGCCACCGGCTCGACTTCGCCGTTCTGGTAGAAATCGTTGATATCACTCAACACTTTCTGCTTGTCAAATACGAAGAACTGCCACAAGTTGAGCGGGACAAACACGTTCGCCTGAACTCCTTCCATGATCGCATCCAAGTCAGCCCCGGACTTGATCTCTGTGGGCAATCCAAGCTTCTTGAGGTTGTCTGAGTATTCAAACAACTTCAACTCTAACTCGATAGCTGCACGTAAATGAGGGGCGGTGACCTCGTTGTAGCCGGCGTCCGGGTGGTCCGCAAGCCACGGCGAGTTGTTCGCGGTATGGTTCAACACCACATCTGTCAACAGCATCAAACTATACTTCTCCATCAAGTCGCCAATAAACTTGACTGCCTGCGCATTTGACTCAAATAATCCGGGATCGAACTTCAACTGGTCGAGAATCGAGTACGGAGAGTTGGATTCTCCTCTCTCCTGAAGCGGCGTGAAATGGATCATGTTATAGCCTTTATAGCTCACTTCGCCGAAAAAGGCGTCCCAGTCGGACAAGGGCCCGATCCACTTCAGAACCACGCTCTGGATATTGATGGAATTGAATGCCACAAACGAGTCCTTGATCCGCAAATTGGGTGGTACGTTGAAGTAGAACTTCTTAGTCAGTTGTGGTTGACCTTCGGGGTCTTCAAAGCCAATGTAAAAGTTGTAGACACCACTTTTATAGATAGGAATGCTAACACGGATGTCTTTGTGGAACGAGCATTCGATGGGGAACTGGCGGTATGAGTCACGAACGAAAGGCACGGTACCGTCGGTGACATTCAGGTAAACGGTTCCATTTTTTGAGACTCTGGAAGCGGCGTTCATCACCAAGTCCAACTGGAAAATCACATCACCAGGGGTGTAGTTTGGGGGCAAAGGCACAGAGGGTAATATCAATACTCCCGTGTTGGCACCGGTATTATCGGCGGTGTTGCTTATGGGCTCGCCATCATCGGAGAGACGAAGTAAGATCCGTTTGGAGTTCATTACTTCCAGTCTTTATCTCCTGAGTTGCTCTCAAGAATGCGACTTAATTTGGCTGAACCCTTTCTTGTCGGGTGCGAAAAAAGAAGTGCCAAAAAAGAAGCTTCCCCACCAGGACTCGAACCTGGAATCTTCTGGTTCCAGAAGTGGTTACATAATCGTAGCCAGACGCCTTGACCATTGGGCCATGAGGAACGAAGCTCTGATGATTGTTTTTCTAATTGGATTATCTTTTGCACAACTAATCACTGCTTAACTCTTTAGTCAATCAAATTGACTTCTAAGTGTATTTAGTAAAATAATGTGTGGAACGTGTAGTTTATGGTAAGTGTGACACAAATTTTCAAGTTTTCGATTTTTGAAATAGACTCTTCCAAAGATGCACTTATGAGATTTCCAATTGCATCTATGGGATTACGTTCAGAACCACATAATTCCCTCGTCGTGACCATTCCAATTCAACTGCTATTCATGCTGTATACATATGCTACTCATCCCAACCGGTCTGTCATAATTGATAAAATCTCATCACTATCGATTATCGCGAATTCTGCTGCTCGCAAACCATGTCCCTTGGATTCTCTCTATATCGAAGGGTAATACACATTTCCAATGAGCTCCCGAAGCTTATTCCCATAGGCACACTCCACTTCTACAACTTACCGCTTCACCGGTCTGATTTGGGAGGCATACCATGCGAAATTGATCCTTCACTCGATTCAGTACAAACTAACACCAATATCTGGAAATGGCTAGATATCGATCAGTTGATCTTCTTATGTGAAAACAATTCCAATTCGATCCTCGCCGATATTCAATTTCTTATGATCTATCGCTACATTATGGCTACGTACAAGATCATTAGGTGGGGGCCTATGGTTATTGCAAAAGTACGCATTTTTGCAGTTCCTGAGGATATTGATGGATCGCAGTATTTTAAAGAATGGAGGTCCTCGAGACCAAGACACCTGAGTATAGAGAAGAAATTCCGTGAGAAGTGGCACACCTTGATCAGCCATATTGATTTTTCACTGGAAAGTTGGGACGGTTTGAAGCTAGATTCTCTTCTTTTGATCCCATGCTTACAAATTCACCTTCCACTAACCCTTAAAACCACCGACTTGGGCTTCGAGTCTGACCCTAAGTTTCATATAGAACGGTGGTATAACAGTCGACCTTTTGGCATAAATATCGCCGGTACCTCCGACACTGCTGTTCAAAAGGTATCTGCTGCTTATAACAATATTCCTTCTCCTGATATCTCCAAATACTATACCAAGTCGAAATCGGTCAGTTCCAGTAATATTATTCCTTCGGCGGAGGAAGTGATTGTCAATCTTGTGCATAACATGCTGGAGGGGAACAACTCGATTCCAGGAGTGAAAACGCAGCTTTATCCATTCCAAATCAAGTCGCTTAGTAAGATGTACGAAAGAGAATCGTTCCCTGAAAAAACTGTTATTCCTAACTTCATCGAATTGAACTCTGCTTCTTCTGGGCTCAAGTATTATTTTGACATTATAAACACCAAGTTCTTCTGGAATCCAGAAGTGTTTCTGCAACCTCGAGGAGGAATTCTTGCTGAAAATATGGGACTTGGTAAAACTCTCATATGTCTCAGCTTAATTTGCCTAACCAAATGGGAGCTTTCCACCCTTCCTCATGACACCCTCACAATACTTCCGGAGGAGCAGGTTCCTCATGAAACGACTTTTCATCATTTGAAAACTGCCAGGTTCAAAAAGCTAGCAGACCTTTGCAAAGAGTGCATAACTCGCAATTCCTTGCCTTGGAAGTTCTACAAGGACGATCTCCCTGAGTCTGTAATTACTAAACTCAAACAATCCCCTGGGAGTTTCAGGATCCCGTTGGAAAACTCCCTGTATGTTTCTCCCTTTAGCATCCAAAGAAGCAGAAGATCCGAAAGACTCAAAGATTTAGATCAAGAATTACCGTTGGAGGGAAGGTCTTTTCGAACCTTATATTTTTGCAACACCACATTGATTGTGGTCCCCGACAACTTGTTTCACCAGTGGAACACCGAGTTAAGAAAGCATATTCAACCACACTTTCTACGGAAGCTTTTCATTTCCAACCAGTTTAAGAAGCTCCTTGTGTCAGAGAATGGGGTGTTTACTAATGAAGTGTACGAAGACCCTATTCAACTCATCCAATTTGATTTAATAGTCATTTCCAACTCGATCTTGTCCAAGCAGTTTGACGAACGAGATGATACACCTCTAATGAAGATCTTCTGGAAGAGATTAATAATAGATGAAGGTCACAGTATGACTTCCAAAGTTTCCCGAGCAGGACTTCTCTGTCGTGAAATGAATGTTGAAAGACGGTGGGCCGTGACAGGAACTCCAACGTCGGGGTTGACCAGACTTCATATGGATGAGGAAGATGAGGAGGGAAAGAGTCTTGAAGACTCTCCTTCCAAGAGGAAGAGTAAGTACGTGGTGAAAAACAGTTTCAACGAAATAGACGATTTGATGAAACTTGGAAACATTGTATCGAATTTCCTCAAGATCGAACCGTTCCACTCCCAACCCAGGTTGTGGAAAACCCTAATGATTAATCCGTTGTTATTGAACTTGTACGGGTCTACCACCAGTTTATCCAATTTGTTAGACGCAATTGTCGTGAGACACTCACTAGATGAGGTCGAAAGAGACATAAAGCTCCCTCAACTTCATCATGTGTCTGTTTTCTTGAAGCCTTCGTTTCTCAATAAATTATCGATAAATATATTCACAGCTGTATTGGCTGTGAATGCGGTTTCTTCAGAGAGAAAAGATATAGACTACATGTTTCATCCGTCCAATAGACAGCAGCTCAGAAGATTAATCACAAACTTACAGAGAGCTACATTTCATTGGAGTGGTTTCAAACAAGAAGACGTAGAAGCGTTGATTCATGTGTGCAAAGTATGTCTAGAGAAAAAAGGGCCTGATAGGCTGTGGGCATATAGTCCAGCAGATCGAGCCTTATTGAAGAAGTCAAGAGATATTGCCCAACTTGCCCTTGATAATCCTAGATGGAGAACAATGTCTCTCTTACATGAAATGAACTTTTTCATAGATGGTTTACCTGACATCTTCACCAAAACATTTGGGATTGGGGTTCTCAAATCAACCAATGCTGAGGGTGTTGAGAATGATATTGGTGTATTTGGAGCTCCTCATCTACATTGCTTGCAGGAGTTTTTCTACAAGAACAGATTCATGAATATGAACGATGGAGATACGCTTTTAGAGAAGTTGGACGCAGTCTCCAAACCTTTCTGGTCCAATTATTGGGAAGATACCATGAAGAAGAACAACCAAAAGTTCAATAAACCTGATAAAAAGGAAGAAGCAGAACCTGCTTCTGCTCCATCCACCCCTAAAAAGAGACGAAATTCCCTTTCGAATGCTCTGAAACCCAAAAGCTCTAAACCTAAAGGTAAGTCAAGTTTGAATGACCATATCTTCATAGAAGCACAGAACTCCAAGAGCGAACTTGAAAGAGAGGATGGTGAAGGTTTGAAAATCACTAACGAAGTCAATACTCTTCATTCTCTTGCCAAGCATAACATCTCCTACGAGTCTATCAAGAACTCTATAATTCTTGGAACAGCTTCTGCAAAACTATCGTATCTTTCCAGTAAGCTATTAGAAAACCAACAGAAGAAGATCAAGTCAATCGTGTTCTTTGAATTTGAAGATAGTGCTTACTACTTGACCGAGTTATTGGATATTCTTGGGGTCAACTACATTCTTTATGCTACATTCATAAACACCACTCATAGGGCAGAAAATCTCTCCGAGTTCAGCAATTACAATAGTGAAGACAATGGTGGTATTACCTTGTTAATGGACTTGCGACTTGCTGCTCATGGTTTGACTATCATTGCTGCCACAAATGTGTACTTTATCAGTCCCGTGTGGCAACGATCTGTCGAAGCTCAGGCAATCAAAAGAGCTCATAGAATCGGACAAACTAAAGAAGTTCATGTGGAAACACTAGTTTTGGAAGACACTTTAGAGGAAGAAATCTATAAAAGACGTTTGCTGCAGCAAGAAGAGAAAAATGATGGAGAAAACAAGAAAAGGTACGTTATTGATGATACGGGGATGCAAGACTTTATTCTTAGACACCGTTTCTTGCCTATGGACTCAGAAACTGAATATGCACCATTTTCGGCACCGACAAATTCACCACGCTCATTTGTTACAAGGCAAGAACTCGATGACCCATCTGGATTAAACCAACATGAGGATACTGTAGTGGATGTGAATGGCATTATGACTAGAAACTGGAAAGTGTTTGCTTTCAACTCAGACAATCTCAGTAAGCTCAATTCGCTCAAGAACCAAAAGATCACCAAAGAGTACATGAAAGACCAGTTCATAAAGAACATGGCCAGCGAGCAGGATGCGCAAGAGGTTGAGGCCCCAAAGGTTAAGAAAGAACGTCCTGCAAGAAAAAGCGTCAGATTTTAGTATGACTTATGTATTAATGTTACAATGAAGGGAGTCTTATAACTCCCTGACGATTAAAGTGCCGTCCAATGACGTCGAAATCACTATGTTCTCCGAAGGATGGAATGTCACATCAAGGGTTGAGGCCTCATGACCTTCAAACTTATTAAGAATTCTTCTGGTTACGACGTCCCACACGGTAACAGTTTTATCATCAGAACCTGACGCAATACGTGAACTATCACCACTGAAACAAGCACGTATCAATTTGTACTCGTTACCCGATGGAGCACCATCGTAGACGTAGGGGCTAGACCGTGAAACGTTTTCAGGTAGAAATTCTTTGGCATTATAGGTGCTTACAGCTCCGCGAGTAGAGCGAGACACAAGCATCGAATTATCATTGTTGATATCCAACGAAGTGATCGAGTCAATTGTACTGGATGTCGTCCAAAGCAGTTTGTCGGTGGCTCTGGTATCGTATGCTTGAATAGTTGGGTCAATTCCGGAAAAAAAAATATTCCCCAGGCTGCTTAGACAACATGTCCATACTGGGAACTTTGTACTGATCGTGCTAATTGAGTTCTTCTCTCGAAAATCCCAAAGCTTTACTGTCCCAGCATCATCACATGATGCTAGGAGTGTTCCGTTGTACCGAACCTGGTTGATTATGGTACTGTTCCTATAGTTTCTTATTTTCTGCCCCGTTTCTCCATCCCATATAGCCATCGTAGAGTCGGCACTGCCACTTACTATATTGCCGTTCATCCAGCATACCGACGTAACAGCCGCCTTGTGGCCTCGTATGCATCCCAAGTTGACGTCGTTGTCGTCAGTAGGAAGTTTCCATATGTTGATGGTCTTATCATCACCTCCAGAAACGATCAACTCCAGATTGATGGCAGCAGAGTACACCGGTCCTTGGTGGCCCTCGAGTACCACTGCTCGGTTGTAGAGTATCTTACCGCTGTCAACATCGTCAGATACTTTCAGCAATGCCAAATTGTTGGCTATCTTCTGTTTCTTCACCACAGACATTGATTGGGAAGTATCTAAATCGCAATGCGCGATGAAGTACAAATATTATACTATTAGGTGAATTAAGCTACATATTCATAGATACTGTTGTCGATACGCTTCATGTAGTTCTGTTCGATCAACAAGGTAATCGTCTTCTTGACGTCTGTGTTTTTGGCATGGAATCTGGACAACGACTGGGTCACCACTTCATTATACAACTCAGGATGGCTGATGGTCTTTCTGGCCTTCATGATACGGACAATACATGCTCTTAAGTAAAGTTGACGACTTTCGCTTATTTCCTTGGATATTTCATCATCTTCTTGCCTCTGTTCACTCTTCAACGAACTTACAAAGTTTACCTTCAACTTTCTAGACTTGTATTCATCAACAATGGTGAAAGTGGTATTTGGCTTGTTCTGATTCTGAGGTCCTGAAGGTGATTGTTCAAACAATTTATACTTCACCAAAGGTGTGATTTGGTTATCAAGTAGGTGTGGAGGACACCCGACTACTTCTTGCAACTCACTAAAACTGTATGTCTTCCTGTCGTTAAAGGCCAATAAAATCAATAACTGGACGTTGGTGACAATGAAGGTGAAGGCAGGCTTACCCTTTCTAGATAAATTGGCCTTGATTTCGCTTCTTCCGTGATTCCACAACCAGTCTAATTGTCTACCTGTATGTGCTTTTGTGTATAACTCGGTGAAGTTATCTATGATATCTTGTAAATCCTGAGGAAACTTCACCACATAATCAGGCTGCTTGGAAAACGGCCACATGGAGGAAGCCAAGATTAAAGGGGTGAAATCCTTTAAAGATGAATCGATCTCCACCAAATGGTCTCTCATTTTCATCTTCAAATCTTCTGAAGACTTCATGTCAACGAACATCTTGTTCATTTTGCTGGTGTACTCTAAAGAGTTCTCTTCCTGTAGTCTCTTGATGACACTTTCTTCCAATTCTTCACTCTTACTGGTATTGTTGATTAATCTCTTTGCCAACATACGCCTATAGTTTTCTTCAAATGCATCTTTATCTTCAACAAACTTGAATACTATCATCAAGTTATCGGTATTCATGTCGTAAGTGTCAGCTTCTTTTGAACTTGATCTTAAGAATGCATCGGCATACCTGGCCAAGATTTCTGGGGTCTTGGAGCTGGACTTGGGGTTCACCAACGCAATGGAATTTTTGTTGACAAAATGTCTACAAGCATTGTCCAAAGCTCTGATAAAGATGGGGTCCTTTTCAAACGCATCATTAACAACGTCATTGAACTTCAAGTAAACCAGTATTAAGCTGTGGACGTAAGTTTTGGGGTTGATGGGGCCATTGGACTTCTTTGCCTTCGTAACGGCTGCAACTTCTTCATTATCGTTATTAGTAGACTCGCCTCCTTTCTTGATCTCCTCAATGACTTTGATGGCATCATTTTTGATGTACCGCTCCAAAGATTCAGCCAAAGGCTCCAAAGTGGATGGAACTCTTGACATCAACTTGTACATTCTTTGGATGTGTTCAAGTTGGTTATTTTCCAACAAACTGATGAACTGATCGTACATCTCGTTGGCATGGTCTTTGATCAACACCGTGTTCAAGGTGTCCACCAAGGCCTTTTTGGTATGGTCCTCTAAGTAGTTATTGGACCGAGAGATTTCTTCGTTCAATCGGGTTTCACACTTCTTCATGTAGTCAACCACATTATGTTCGGCCAAGAACTCATTGCTTTCAAGTCGGTAGTATTTTGCAGTTTCTTCAAGGAACTTCTTTTCAAAATAGTTGATATAAACCACCAAGTTGGCTTTTTTCAAGTCCTGAGTATCAACTCCCAAGTACACTAAAGACTTTACTGCTGATGAAATCAAGTTGGTATCGATGATTTCATTGTTTCTTTGACGTTCAATCTGATCCATAATCTCCTCAATTAACCTATCGGCATTGTTGACAAACATCTGGGCCTTCCACTGTAATACACAAAGGGTGCTCACGTCATAAATATCTCTTCTTCCGTCACTTCTCTCCTTCTGTACCCAATACCTATTCATATAGTCAAACACATTATTCATGTACCCGGCCCCAATGGTGAACCGATTGAGTCTGCGGACATAGAACTCCAAGAATGATTCGTTGGGCTCCTTGCGCAAACTGGTAATAAGCTTCACTAAATACTTTTCCAATTTGCTGTAAATCTCAGAACCGGCAAGCGAGTATGAGTTAGTTGTGGCAGGATTGGTGGGACCCGTGTCCGAAATGCTTCCTCCGTTACGGGACTTGTTTGTACAGTAGTTGTAAACGGCGGTGTAACAGTTCATATACACTTTCGAAGTGACCCCCTGGTCTCCCAGAGATCCTAGGATTAATCCGAGACTTGGCTGAATAAATGCCCAGGTTCCATTAAGATCGCTGGAGGCCGGGAATGGTATAGGACTCCCAAGAGGCTGTTGTTGCGACATGGCACTAATTCTGGTTATTTTTCGTATCTGACGGGCGCTGTCAATGGGATATAAACGAGTTGACGGCGATGTGGAGTGTCAAACAACCAAAAGGTGGATATGATTTTGTTGATTTCAAATGCAACTGCGCGGTTTTCTACCACTACCAAATTTTGTGCGTACATTAAAAATCATGATGCTCTACCCGTAATGGAACAGGAAATGCTATAAACGGCCCTTAGTCTGTTCGATGACCTGCCACAGTCACCCTGTCTACCAATCTAATGATACTGATGGTAAACGTCAATACCCAAAGATTGAGGACAAGAAATAAAAACGCTGCCAACCCCCGCTGCCTCCTGCAAATTGATGCTACCGTAGGGGTAAAAAACAGAATTGTGCTCGATGATGATGCAATATCCTCATCTCTATCACTTTGACAGACCCATTCATCTTGGTAAAGCGTGTTGAAGGTCAATGAAAGGTTGGCAGAGGAGAAGATGATGAACAAAAGGTCTAACATGATAAGCTTCATCTTCCCCAACGGGTCGCGTAGTCCCAAAGGTTTACCCGTATACTCGTCGTATGAAATGTAGGCCACGTAAACAATGGCGAGACATTGCACCACGATGGCCATGATCGTACTGGGCTGTTGTTCCACTTTGCTGCCACCGTATTTGTGGTTGGAAAACTGGAAAATAGTGCACGCAAGTCCCAATGCGCAAGCGGAGAAGAAGATGATCATGATCCGAAGCATAAGTGGAACTAGCGGGTTCACCACGAATATCCGCTTGAGCATAGGGAACAAGTCTGCTCGCTTCTCGGTCGACATCCAGTATCCAGCCTTTGACCGGACTCGGGGATTGTCTTCGAGAGATCGAATAGGTTCCTTTCTGGTGAAGAGGCTTCTGAACCACCACCGGTGGCCCTCGCCCAGAAATGTGTCGTCATCGGTGGACGGGGTGCCCAAGAGGGCAGTCTTCAAGCGAACCTCACCGCCCCAGCTCCCGTCGAGTTTATTTTCAAACACCGTGTGCTTGTCAAACGATAAAACGTCATGCGAGTAGGTATTGGGCTGCTTGATTGAAGTCAAAAACTTGTGCCAATTGTTGTCCATGGATCGTACGAACGGATCGTGGGCAAATGAGAGGTAATCATCTTCGTCCCGCTTGGTTGGGGTGGTGGTGGTGTTGCTGTGGTTAGCGGGGTGGTCGGGAAGATATACCGACTGGGTTGAAAAGTGACTGAGCCGGTTGGCAGCATGCACATCGGTTTGGTTGATGTTAACGTTTGTGTTGGTGAGCTGTTCTTTGTAGTGGGCTTGAGATAAAGTGTCTAATACATACACTGGAACGAAATTAGGTTTGTGGCTGTACGAAGAAACCTTGGATGTTTCAAACGGATTTGTTGCGGTTGACTTGGAGTCGGTGTCACGGTCCTTGGATTGAGATACAGGCTTGGGCAGACGCACCAGAGAGCCATTGGTGACGGCATCGTTTTGGTCTGCCATGGAAAAAGAGCCGGTTGTGATAGCAGTTTTGTTTTGTTGCGCAGGCCGCGCATCTCGCTGCAATCAAGACAGAGCCAGGTTACACGGATATGGGGAATTGTAGAGAGCCGATGCACAAATGATGCTAACCAGGGAAGAAACAATACCTCATTGTTTTATCTGATCACCCATATGGTTGTGTCTCTGCTTTGCCTCTTCCGGACTTCAATGCCCTTGTATGACCCAATTTCACCAGGGCCAGTGCGACTCATGATTGCGCGATGCTAATCACTAGTTTTAAATATTTCACAACCTATCTATTGCATCGCAGTTTGTGTGTACACCTTTGTGCCTGTCGCTTTCTGACTCCAACTCTCGATATACATCTGATGATCAGGCCATCCCTTACCCAAGTTGGTCCCAGGGTGCTGCTGACGCCTCACGTCCCTCGGCCTGCCTTTGCTGTCGCAGCCAGGTTCTCATCCACTGCAAGTGGACCACTTAATCCTGACTCGATCTTTGTCATTTCTGTACCAATAACCACAAAACGGTCGTACGTCTACTGCAACCACAAGCCTAGAGTTCTTTCTGAGGCTCAGGCCCGCCATTTCCCATTGGCTACCAGGTTGGAGTCCAAACTCACGGGAGCTGCCTTGAAGGTATGGACAAAACTCTCGACATCCAAGGCATCTATTAATATCAAAATCACTGCTTTGGCCAAGCGCATGCTTGACACGGTGGCGTACCAGGAAAACTGTTTGCGGTCATTTCCATCCAAGGATGCCATGATCAGAGAAATCAATCAGGAAGCCCTTTCCAAGAACCAACCTGATCCTCTTGTGGTACAAAGTCACATTGACCAGTTGAAAATACACCACAGCCAAATCAAGCCGATTCCAATGTACCATGCCAGTTTCCAGACCCCCGGCAACATTATTAGTCAATTGGAGGAGTTTAAAACAAACTCTTATTCCACTCACCTAAAGTACCTGATTCTTTGTGGAATAGGAGTACCGATTTCTTTACCATTTGCAATTGTGCCTGTGATTCCCAACATCCCGGGGTTCTATTTGGCGTATAGGTTCTATTGCAACGTCAAAGCGTTAAGTGGTATCAACCATTTGAAGTATCTCTTGGAGTCCAGCGATGGAACGGCTGCGGGCACTCGTCACCTTGATTTTATCACCAAGCCAGAAATCGATAGTGTTTACCGCGAAACTAACGATAAATCCGACTTATACATTGATTCGGTGCAAGAGGAAGAACGTCTCATTATAAGTCCCAAGATTATTGAAGATTTGACCGACAAGTTGAATATTCCACACTTGAAGGAAGAGTTGAACAAAGCTTGGCGACAGGAAAAGCTGAGGTTGAAGCGGGAATTGAAGGTCGATGATGCAGTTCAGTAAAATGTATATAGTTTGTGATGTTTTCACAATAATACGAATATTTATCTCCCATTGAGGCTCACAGGGCACCATCCCTATATGGCGCGAAAACAGTCACCACCCTTACCAGCGACAGTCGTGCGCATTTCGTCCCCCAACAGGTTGGACCGTTATAAAACTGCGTGAGCGTCCGTGGAAATTTTCTCTTTTCTCTTTTTTCCATTAGACACAGTTATCTTTCAATATGAGAAATAAGTGGAGAAAAAAGAGAGTTAGAAGATTGAAAAGAAAGAGACGGAAGGTTAGAGCTAGATCCAAGTAATCGGACTATCCTGCCTCGCCGGATGCGGTGTTGAAGTGCCCTAAAGGTGATGTTGAATGGAGTCGCTAACTGAAATTAAATGCTATTTTCTCCAGTTCACTCTGAAGGGAATTGATATAATTTGAAGTATATCCATGTTGGCGTATCTTATTCGCCTTGTTGGTATTACAACCCGTGATTTTACGCTTTGGAATTTAACCTAGCTCGTTAATACTAGTCCAAATATACATTTTGTATTTTACCTTTGTGCTTGGGATTTCATTTGATCTTCCTCCTATTGTAGATATTCTCTGAGTTCAATTGACATGATCATCTTCTGCGTCGCTTGTGACCGTGGCAAATTGGTTCAATTTTGTATGTCGATGACCATACGTCGATGTTGCTGGTGAGTGCACGCCTTCATTTTCTCACTCGTTCTGGCTGAAAAAATGGCTGCAAACGCACGGCTGAACTTACAAATTCTAGTACCAGGCTATGAGTGGAGTATTAGAGTCGGCACCTTTAAGAGATCAAGTATACGAAACCCAAAGAATACTGCTCAAGAGAAGGTTTGTGTCCGAGCCATATTCTCTGAGAGCTGCTTTAGCCGTTGTTACTACCAAGAATATCTCGATACACAAACCACAAAACGACCAGTCAAAACAAATTACTGAATCAGAAAACAACCTCTCAGAAATCAATTTAGAGCTTGCATTCTCCTTCAGTGAATCTCCCCCATTAAGGGTGCGGAGCCTGTCCAAAAACTACGCTTCCTTGACCATCCCTGAGCTTTCTCCCAGTCCTTGTACGGAGGACAGTGTTTCACCACAAACAATTAATGATCCAACTCCTGTTGAACCACCTATTCCTACCCAAGTATCTAGTATTCCAGAACATGAAATCACTATTCTTTCCAACGGTAAGATTGGCAACTGTCAGTTTCCCCAGCTAGAATCCACCTCTTTGACACAAAGAGGTCCCAGTACTGGTTCTTTTGATATTGAAACTGACTCTTCAGGAGTAGTATCGGGATCTCTCAGAAGCATTGAGAGCATTATTCCAGGACACTTTTTTGAGCAGAGTGGGGGAATTTCCCCGAATGTTCCTTCAATCGCCGAAATAGGACCTAAACCGAGACTTCGTCAAACCATCCTTAACGAGAGAAACTTCTTCAGCAATGACTCTTTCCAAGACTATTTAGAAGAGAGATTGGCTAGATTCCGTCCTAACGAGTCTCAACACAACACTCAGGTTTCTGAAGGAAAACACCCATACTTTAGTAAGGAAATTGAAAAAAGAGGAACAAAAGAAAAGGGGAGGCTCTTTGATTGGTTTACCGGTTCGAAACCTGTTCCCGATATTGAAAAACAACTTGATGTTTCTACTGAAGGACTGAATATCTTCTTCACTGCTCAAGAACCTCTTGATCAAATGGACTTGGCGTTGCAAAATCTCCGTTGTGATCCCAGCAGCTCGAACTCGATTCTCCCGATTTTGCAGCCAACCCACCTCAGCGACCCATACACACCATATGCCATGCCATTCCCTGATGACTTGAGACAACAAGAACGGTTTGTTAGAGGTGAAGGAAGTGCTCTTGATTCTATGGAAGAGATTTTGGATTTGGTTAACGGGACTGAAAACTTTATCACTTCGTGTTTCATATCTACAATTGGGCTATTCAGTTGCGCTTCATAATAGGGATTATATGATAATTTGTGAATTTTTATCTAGGTACTAACAAACAAAACATCCAACTAAGGAGAATTAAATGAACATGTGTCTATCGAACAATTACTCAGAAACTTCGGCAAATCTTTCTGAGATCTTAGTCAACAAGTCACCGTATTCTTTAGCACCAGCTTCGGCACCACTTGAAGGTTCAAAGAACTTAGCGGAAGAAACAGCATGCTTAACATCACTAGTAGACTCACTCAACTTAGACCATTGACCACCGTTGGCAACTGCCTTTTGCGCTTCATCGTGGTAAGCCATGAATGCTCTCATCATATCGTAAGTCTTCCAAATTGGACAAAACTGATCATAAGTGGAGTACCCATTTTGTTGCAAGAAGTCTTCCTTGATCAAGGTAGCAACATCCAAAGTAATCTTATCTGAATCAGATAATGCAGACTTACCAACCAATTGAACAACTTGTTCTAATTCTTCGGCATTAGACAAGATTTCTCTGATCCTGTCTCTCAAAGTAGCGAATTCGGGATAGTTATTATCATAATAGTTATCCAAAATTCCGGTATACTTGGAGTATGAAACGGCAGTATTAATAGATGGGAAATGCTTTCTTTGAGCCAATTTCTTATCCAAACCCCAGAAAACTTGGGTAATACCCAAAGTAGAAGTGGTGACTGGATCGGAGAAATCACCACCGGCTGGGGAAACAGCAGCAACAATGGACACAGAACCAATTCTGTCTGGAGAGCCTAAAGCAATAGCTTTACCAGCTCTTTCGTAGAAAGAGGCCAACTTAGAACCCAAATAAGCTGGGAAACCTTGATCAGCAGGCATTTCACCCAATCTACCGGAGATTTCTCTCAAAGCTTCGGCCCAACGAGAAGAAGAATCAGCAATCATAGACACGTTCTTACCTTGATCTCTGAAATATTCAGCAAGGGTAATACCAGTGTAAATGGAGGCTTCTCTAGCTGCTACCGGCATGTTCGAAGTGTTGGCCACCAAAGAGGTTCTCTTCATAATTGGTTCCTTTCTACCATTGATTTCAGTGAATAATTCTGGGAATTCCATCAACACTTCAGCCATCTCATTACCACGTTCACCACAACCAACATAGACGATAACATCGGAGTTAGAAAACTTTGATAAAGATTGGGAGATAACCGTCTTACCACACCCAAAGGCCCCGGGAATACAAGTAGTACCACCTTGAACACATGGGAACAAAGCATCCAAGACTCTCTGACCAGTCAATAACGGGTAATCAGCCTTCAATTTTTCGGCCACAGGTCTGGGGACTCTGACAGGCCAGGTGTGCATCATCGAGTAGGAGTGTTTCTTGCCGTCAAACTCAACTTCCAATAATGGTTCATCAACCTTGTAGGAGCCGGCTTCGGCCACATGAGTAACCGTACCTTTAGCTCTTGGAGGCACTAAGATTGGATGGTTATCCAACAATGAGTTTTCAAACACAGATCCAAAAATGTCACCGCCAGTCACGTGGTCACCGACCTTAACGTTAGCAGGCTTGAAGTCGTACTCAACGGTTCTCGACAAAGAAGGAGCATCAATACCTCTTGGGATGTAAATGGACTGAGAAATATCCTTAATGGCCTTCAAAGGACGTTGAATTCCATCGTAAATAGTTTCCACCAATCCAGGACCCAATTCCACCGACAACGGCTTTCCGGTTCTCAATACGGGGTCCCCGACAGTAACACCGGCAGTTTCTTCGTAGACCTGGATGGTGGCCTTGTCACCATTAATACGAATAACCTCACCAACCAAATTATCATGTCCAACCTTTACCAACTCGTACATGGCACATCCAATCATGTTTTCGGCCACAATGACAGGACCAGAAACAGAGAAGATTTGTCCGTACAGGGATTCGGCGGCATCATCTAAGGAAAGACGTTTGATCTCCTTACGGGCGTTTTCTAAAGCACCAGCCTAAAAGGGGAGGAAGTTAGTAATCATAGTCAACGATAATGGATAGTCCCACAAACAACATCGGCACCATGACGACGCAATTGGTGTCGGGAGTCGATGCTAAATGTATGTGGCTTTGTAATGGTTCACATACCATCTTATTAATCTAAACTAAACCTGAATGAGTGCCTAGAAACTAAAGTATCCCTAAAGCTGGACGAAATTTCGAGTAATGAGCGCGGGTCGTGCGCGAGGTCTACAGGGCATGTTGGATGAACAGGAGTTGCTTATGTGATTTCAAGGGCGTTGGAGCAACAATTGGGCTGTATTATGAAGGTTTCATTGGTCTAATAGAGACTTCTTCGGGTATAAACCTATTTTTATGGGCGTCTTAGGTCCATATTTCATCATTTATTCCCAAATGCCTTTTCTTCCACACCCTGGAAAGTCCCGATGCACGGGGCACGACCGCAGATAAGACGGTTTCAGTTTCAAGTCTCACAGCACTTTTCTCTTCATATGTATTAACTGATATCTATCTATAACTTAGCACCCAACTTCAGCGCCCGATCCAAGGCAATGTCGCACATGGCATCGAATGCCTCTCTTCTCTCTGTTCGAATGTCGCCACGAGCAATTCTCTGTCTCATATTGTCCATGATCACTTGCCTTGATCTACCATTCACAAAAACAACATACCGAAGCCCTGGAAACGCTTCCTCGTATTGTGCGTTCAATTTTGCAAGCATCTCTGTCTCCTCCTGGCTTCCCTGTAACGATTTTTTGCTCTGCGGAAGAATGATCACTGAGTTGCACCTTTTTAGCACCTCCAAGGCGAGGATGGGCAGATATGATTTTGGCTATTTCGGGTCTTATTTCTCCCGTTTTTTCGGATTCCTGTTCAGAAGACCGTAAGTACTCCAAGAGCTGTGTCCTGCTAGTTTCAATGAGCTGCTTGTAGGAAGAAAATGGAGTTGAGGTCGCAAGCACCGTCTGCAATAAAATAGCTGTTAGCGTGGGACAGGGTTCGAACAAGTTGTCCAAAAGCTGACTCTGTTTTTCGTGTGATAGGTTTGTCACCTCTTTGATGTCTGGAAGTGTATACATGGACAATACAATAAGGTAAAAGTATGTGTTTGAAGAAGAATCAGATCCAATAGATCTATTTCTCACGCTCGGATGAACCCGCACTTGGCTGCTAAAAACCAAAACCAACACCAATCTATGCAATTTATTTGTGATATACATACATTATACAAGCACTTTTCGGGGTAACCACCTAAGTAAAATGCTGGATTTCCCGTAATCTCTTGAGTTCCTTGGCAGACGAGCTAGAAGCTCCTTCTTGTGCAATCAATGGATGTCTCCAGTGCTTAACATAGGTGAATAACACTTCTGGTAACTTGGTGGTATCTTCAATGCCCAAGTCTTTGAAAGTGCTGGCGTTTGCATCGATCACCTGGTTGATCACATGTCTTTGCACCTGATCGGAGTTGGTCAACCTCCAGTATGGCAATTGCTTTATATCAGCTGCCAACTTGGCCAATGGTAAAGGAATCTGATAGTCAGCAAACTTGTATGAGAAGGGACCCACTTGCGAGAAGTCCTGGGTTATACCGTGAATCATCTCTCTGATTTCTCTGAAGGAGTATTTTTCAGGTCCGTATAATTCAAAAGTCTTACCCACAGTAGAATCGTCATATCCAATCTTTTCCAATGCACGGGCAACGTCAAGAACATGCACGGGGTGCACCTCTTTGGCATTTCTGTTGGGGGTCCACATCTTCAATTTAGGACCCAAGTAGTTCAATAAGTTATCTTCTCTTCCGTAGGTAGGAGAAGGTCTGACAATAGTGGCATCGGGCACGAGGTCCCTAACGATTTGTTCTCCAACCCCCTTAGTGGCATAGAACACCGACTTGGAGTTAGGGTTAGCATTGTATGAAGAAACGTGAATGAATCTTGGGTTACCTGCTTCCTTGACGGCCTGTGCAATTCTTTCAGTGATACCAATATTCACATCAGCCATGGAGAAGTTCTTGGTGTGATAATCGGCTCCCACACAGTTGAACACAATGTCGGAATGGGCCACACTTTCTTGAATCGACTTGATGTTTCTGGGGTCCCATTCTACAAAGTTAACCACTCCCAAGTCTCCGGTGACTTTCAAAAATCTCTTCTTCATTTCGTTTCTGAAGGGTACAACCACGACAGTTCCGTGCTTGGCCAACTTACTGGTCACATAACGTCCCAAAAACCCGCTGGCACCAAACACAGTTGCCACATACCCGGTTCTTGAAGAACGTCCTCCTGGACCTACAGACACATTGACCTTACCGGTTCTGGTGATGTTGATGTCCTGCTCCAACACGGGAGTGTAGAGCGATCTCGTGCACGTGAGGGCAACTACTGGAGAAACGTTCACAACTTTCAGCTGTAAACGGCTGTTTGATAATCTTAACATGTTGATGTAGTTGAAGAATGAGAGCTTTGATTACTGTGCGAAAAGATTGAATTCTGGTTGGTTAGAATTGGCAAATTTTGATGGTGGGCGCACGTCGGTTTTTGGTGCCAGCTAGCGGCACCGAGGCGCTGGGGAGATGCTAAGGGGGCACAGGGCGGGCGATGTGGCTACGTCTCGAATTTTCGCTTCTCTATTCGATACAACCAAACAATATTGTCATTACAAACATAACTCGTAGCGGCAGTAACAGCATTCACAAGAAGTAGTCCGGAGTCTTTCTGGTGACAGTAGGTTCACCTGGTCTGATCGAAGGATCATACTGCAAAAATTGTCTGTTGTGCATCTCGTCTACTTCCATGATAGCTGCTTGATTACCGCAACGGTAACAATAATTAGGAGCCGAGAATATCGTCACCACTGATTGCTGATGAGACCAAGAATACCCTTCCATTACCAATTGATGGGCACGAGCTATCAAACTCAAGTCATTGGTATGGTTAAATTGTTCAGAGATATCTTGTCCAAAAGTGAAGCCAGCACCTCTTGGAGAGATTCCCCATCCACCACGGTCATCGGGATCCGACCATAACAAGTCACACATTGGGCCTTCATGAGGAACCTCTTGAATTCGGTTCAATTCACGAACCTGGTCAATGGTTTCAATCATTGGGGACAATCCTCCGTGAAGACAGAAAATCTTATTATCCACCAAGGCCGTAATGGGGAAATAATCAAACAAATCGGTAAACACCTTCCACACGTTGGCACTTCCATACTTACGCAAGCATTCGTCGTAGAACCCATAGACTTGAGTGATTTGACGGGATTCGTGATTACCACGTAAGATGGTAATTCTGTTGGGGTACCTTACCTTCATGCACACCAAAAATGAAACGGTTTCGACCGAGTAATATCCTCTATCGACATAGTCTCCCATGAACAAATAGTTTGTGTCAGGGCAAGGACCACCAATTTTAAATAACTCCATTAAATCATGAAACTGTCCATGGACGTCACCACAAATGGTAACGGGAACTTGGACAGGTTGGACATTTTCTTCAAATTGTAACACATCTACCGCCATGTCGCATAGACGTTTGACGTCTTGTTCGGATAATGGCTCACAGTTGGCCAATTTCTCGATCCACTGGTCTAGCTGGTTTACGCTGTCTCCAGTGAGCTCCAGGGGTTTCGATTTTGATGCATCAATCTTGGCACCTCCTTGGTAGGTTTCGCTGTGGTCATCACTGACATCTTCCATGGGAACATCTGTGTCTAAATCCATTGTTGAAAATGCAAAATTAGTATCGGTGGGTAGTTTGGACACAAAAGGCTAAATGCAAAAGTAACGGGAGGGAAATGAAATTATGATTAATCAGACCGAAAAAAAGCTAGGAGAGCTTGGCTGATACTATACGTGTACTAGTGTGAAGTCTTAGGTCAGAATATTAGAAAATGAATGGGTCAATTTCGCAATTATTCGATAAATTAACTGGGTGTCTTCTCGCCGCTGACCTTTTACAAATCGCTTTTGGTTTTTAAAACAAAGGGAGAGCGAGTGAGGAAATTTTTCATCGACAGATTGTGTACAGCGCACGACTTTAGTTGATTCCATAAATAGCTGGTACTTAGTGGACCATTTTTGGGTTAGAGATATTAGGAGAAGTACTGGACAATATAAAGAGTTGAGGATATGTTGTGTGTTTTTTTGGAAAAATTTCGGATGATTTTTCGTCTATTTACCTTTATTGTGTGTTTTAGCAAGAACTGCGAATTTCACTGAATTAATGTTTATTACTTTTTTAGATCTCATTAAACAGATATTTCCAAAGAATTTCACACCTCTGCTAACAAACTTCAAGATCCCATTTAAACGGGTGTCATATATTGGGATCAACTGAACCTTAAGAAGTGTCAATTGACTCAATTGGCTTGAGTGGACGTAAGTAGGTATTTTCTTTATATAAACATTGTTCTAAAGAACATCTTCCAGAGTTACGAACGCAATCATTGCCGTAAGGTGATTACGAAACATGATAGCGAAGCCCGAATAGCACCCACGGTTATTATCATTATTTACGAAACATAAAAGAAAGAAACCACGTTTATTGTGCATAAAGAACCCTGTGTCTATCAATATGCGATGATAGACGTTGGTTCCTAAAACCGTCCGTCCAATCATGAAAAATTTGAAGCGAGACGACTCTAAGCTTGGACTCTCAATTCCGATTCCACCGATAGCACCATATCTATGTCTACTGAAGAGGCAATAGCTTGCAGCCGTAGGAAGCACGGCAACCACGTGCTTATAAGATACGAAAACCACCAGCACTTGAAACCAATCACATTTTCCCCTTTATTGTCCTCTAAATTGCCTGCAGCTCTTTTAGTTCCTCTTTTTTTCTTGTCTCTTGCACGTTCTTGCAACATTTTTTCTTGTCCTAATTTACTGTTTGGTAACTGTTCTGACTTACCTATATAAACCTCTTTCCCAACCGATTCAAATGAACAGTTCACTTTTGATTACAGTTCAGTAATACACTTAGATTGAAACTCATATCTATTTAGTCGCTCAAACTAGACTTTGTAATATAGTTTTTTGCAAATTCTCATTTGCAACCATTTACAATGACTGTGCTCAGATTATACATTATCATTTCTGCTTTATTCCTTTGGTCTGCTGCTACACCAGTGCCAACATTTGGCAAGAAAAACATCATTTTCATGGTTCCTGATGGATTTGGTCCTTCAGGTTTGACAATGGCTAGAGACTACAGACGTACTCAGCTTGGCCTTGCAAATGACCAAAAATACACCTTAAATTTGGATCCATTCATTATCGGATCCATCAGAACCAAGTCCAACTCATCGCTTATCACTGACTCTGCAGCCGCCGCAACTACCTATGCCACTGGTTTCAAAACTTATAACGGAGGTATTTCTGTGGATTCAAGTGGAACCGCAAAAACGACTTTGATGGAGTCCTTAAAATCTCAAGGTTACAAAACTGGGTTGGTGGTGAAATCCACCCTAACTGATGCTACTCCAGGAGTTTGGGCTGCTCATGTTTCCAAAAGAGATAAACAGAGCCAAATTGCCGAACAGATGCTTGAAGGTGGAATTGTCGATTATATGTCTGGAGGAGGAAAATGTTATTGGATCCCCAAACTGGAGACTGGGTCTTGTAGAGAAGATGACAGAAACCTTATAACAGAAGCAAAGGATAGGGGGTTCACCTATTTTGAAAGCAGAAGTGAATTTGATGGACATTTGGCCGAAGGTTTGAGTCTACCAGCACTATCATTTTGGGCCCAAGAGGATGTGGATTATGCCATTGACTACAACAATTCTATTACTCCAACGTTGCCGGAACAGGCACTTTTGGCGTTGAAAACATTAGAAAAGGCTACCGAATACTCCACAAAAGGATTTTTTGTCTTGATTGAAGGTTCCCTTATTGATCATTGTGGCCATGATAATGATGCCGCGTGCCATACCCGAGAAGTTCTTGAATTTGATGAAACCTTCAAAGTGGTTAAAGATTTCATTGACGGAACAGACACTGAGACTATTGTGGTTGTGACGGCCGATCATGAGACTGGAGGATTAACCTTGGGACTTGATGATTCGAGTACTTACTATCCTGAAGTGTTATTTAACAAGACACACTCTTCTTTATTCTTTGAAAGCAAAGTAATTGAGTTCAACGAAACAAATCCCCAAGCAGCTGAGTTAACCACCTTCGTCCAAAACTGGGTAGCTACTGAATTGGCCGTCACTGACGCCAGTGACGAAGAGATCCAAACAGTTGTTGATGCGGTGACTTCAGATGGTGATATTAGGGCTGCAATTGGACCCATAACCTCCAACAGAGCTTCTATTGGGTGGTCTACTGGGTCCCATACTGCCAGTGATATTTTCTCGTTCTTCTACACCAACTCCCAACAAATACAGCAAAATGTATTCAACAATGAACCTGGCTGGGAATTGAGAGGAAGTCATGAAAACGTCGAAATAAACCGCTTTTTACGTACTGTTGGGGATGTGGCCCAAGAATCATCTACCAGTGCTTGAACAGAGCCGTAGCTCAAGAGAATTTTGAGGCATGTTCACCTTTATAGTAATTGCTGCAAAAAAGTTAAGTTGATAAATTTCTAATTAATGTACTATCTCTTTAAAGCAGCAAACCGGGCCTTGAGAGCATCAAGCTCGTCTACTTCCTTTGGTTTCTTGGCAGGTTCTTCCGGCTCAGCTATAGGCTTCTCTAAGTTTTGGACACCAACTCCACTGCTGGGATCATCATGATCATCACTGTCAGCACCCTTCTCGTCGTCGTCTATCAGAACCAAGTCCTTCAAACCCGAGTATGGAGCACCGTAAGTTTTGGCTATTTCACACAAGTATAAGTTGACCAATTCTTCACTAGGTGGAGGAATTCGACACCGCTTAAGGATCTTTTCAGGGACATGGCCTCCATCATTTTCAATGGCCTTTTTACCGAACTCGGGCCCGAACTTGTAGATTAACAACTCCCTAAGTTGTGTCAATTCTTTGAGCTCACTATGGGGAGCCGAGTAGATAACCGAGTAAACGGCCTCCAACAAACTCTCTTCACACGTAGGATTATCGATTATCAAAGAGAGCCGTGCAAGTATCAACTCACAATATAACTCCAAGTACTCCAATAATTCGATAGAGATATCGTCTCTGATAATATTCTCAACTCTTATCTTTGCACTGGATTCTTTGCCCAGAGACAACAAATCGGCCAATTGGCGCCGTTGTTGTTTTGTGAGAGCCGCCTTCTTCTCCTGTATGAACTGGAGTTTACTTATGGCCATTTTTATCGTGGTCCTAAACCGAACAGCATTGATAGGTGCTGGGTGCTGGGGCATGATTAAGTGGATGACTTTTAATCGAGTCGCACTGTTTTATTTCCAGAAAAAATATTTCATTAATCGTTGATAAAGAGCCTATCTAAAGAGGAACCCTCCTTACTGGTTGTCAAACACAATGGTGTGGTTGTGGGGTGGAGATCCTTTAACAAGCACATCATTTTCGTCTTCGTCAAACGTGACGCCAGCTAGGGCGTTGTCTTCACTTCTCACGACTTTATTGAGGGTACAACACTTGATATCTCTTATCCACTCGTCATTCAAGATGTCTTCCAATGAAGCTCGAGAATGGGGATCCACCTGCAACATCTTGGAGATGACGGGTCTGGAAGCGTGGGGTAAGAGCCGCATTAATCTATAGGGACCATGTATTTGTTTGTGGCTCTTCTTTTTCAGTTCTGTTTCCTCCTCTTCTTCTTTGTTTGATTCCGAAGCACCTTGAGCTCTTTGTTTGGCTTCGATAAACCGTTGTTTCATCTCGTGTTTTTTGTTCTCGTACTCTTCGAGCCTATCTTCAATTTTCTTCAATTCGGCCATGATTTCCTCGGCCTTTGCTCCACTTAAAACCTCCTCTTCACCTTCTTGGGGCACGGATGGTTCAGTGCCAGCTTCGGGTTGTTCTGACTGCGAAGTAGGTGCAGGCTCCTCCATGTGATCCTGTTCCATGTCGTCATGGTTTCCAGGGGTTGGTCCCCCAGACTCTTGGATCAGTTTCTTTCGTTTGTTCAGCCGCACAATTGTGTTCTTCAACTTTCTTTGTTGTAGCAATAGCTTATGACATTCGTTGCTGATAACATAGTCATGCCAATTATCATCTTCCATGGAGTAGAGTTTGAAACTATTGTCCTTCTCAGGGTTGGGGATTTTCCAGGGAAAGCGTTTTAACGTCATACAACAGTAGATAATGGCAATTGACCATAAGTCCACTGGCTGAGGATTGTAGGAATTGGAATTTCTCAACACTTCAGGTGCCAAATAGGGATCACTACCAACCACACCATGACAATAGTGAATGGAATCCTTGGAATTGCCGTAATGATCATAGGGATACTTGAAGATGACCGCACTGCCAAAATCTATAATTTTTAAAATCCCATCTTCCGTCAACACACAATTATCCAACTTCAAATCTCTGTGGGCCAACCCCAAACTATGCAAATAAGCCACTCCTTCGATGATTTGTTTCAAGCAGCAGTTGATTTCTTGTCTCGACATCTCTCCACTCATTACAACCGCAAAGAAGTCGATTGGAGCATACTCCATGATCTCGTAATATCGGTTGTTTTCATGGATTATGTCTATGGTTTTGATGATGTTGGGATGCTTCAAGGTCGATCCAATACAGTACTCAGCCGTGCACTTCCTGGTGTAGTCCTTCAAGCTCTCAGTATTTCTTCTAGGCCTGAACTCCTTCACAGCGAACGTCTTGGAGTCGGATGGGCGGATGATCAATTTGACGGATCCTCCAGCTCCGGAACCCAATTCCTTACCGATTTTACCGTACTTTTGAACCAATGGAGACTCGTCATCGGTGAATGGGGCCTTTCCATGGTTACCAGCCGAGCTCTGTGACGCGTGGTGCAACAATTGACTTGAAGTCTGGTTGATCAACATCGCCAACGACGTCGATGAGTGTTCTCGACTGTGATGAGCATTCGAAGTCCCGCTGCTCAAGATCCCGCTCATAGGAGCATGGCCCTGGAACTGCAGGTTATTGACGGCCATTGGCAGCGGCGAATGGAGTTTATTGTCGTAGTTTTTAGGAGTAGGTCCCTTTTTGATGGGCTTGAAAAATTTCTTCAACTCCACCATCGAATTGGACTTGAGAAACGCGTGGTTCGAGTCTTCCTTGTTGATGACGTTCAGCGGCGAATGGGGCGAGCTGGTGCCACTACGACTTTGCCCAGCTGCTTGAACCGTGTGATGTTGGACCTGAGGGTGTTGGACTGATTGCAGCAGGGGTTGGGGGAGAATGCCGACATTGTCAATCGAATTACTGATCACGGGCAGTGCCAACACGTCATGGGAATCAGGTTTACCAATGTTGAAACCCAAGAACTTCTTGTTACTGGCATGACTTTGGTTGGAGTTGGAAGGGGTGAGGTCTTCTTCGGTATTTGTTTTGTTGAAGTGGAAAAGCTTCATTTTATGTCTGTCAGGCATGGTGAACAGATGATGGCGGTTATATGGGGGGCCGGGATAGTACTACCAAATGGCAGCTAAGGGGAGATATCACCACTGGTAATTTCTCAATGACAGGTAAAAGGGCGAGAATAGGGACTGCTCCTTAAGGGGGAAAGGGGAAAGCTGAAGAGGCTCACGATTGATTGTCTCTTGCAGGTGATTGCACACGGATACTCTGTACAAAACCACGGCTAGATGCTATTGTAACAACCCAGTGTATTTTGGTGAATAACGTGTAACTGACCTTTTCGACTGGTTTGCACTTAGATTTTCCTTTGTTAGATTTTTCGCATTCGCACTGAACATTTGATTTTGGCGCATTTCTATTTGACAGTTCCGATGGTCCCATAACTAGCTATATATGTCCCATTAATCTTCTTTGATGGAAGTTCCACGGATATGCTTTTCCCGCTCTGACACATACGGAACAGCTCCCTTTTTGCTGTGCTTTCGCTTGTTGTCTTCTCTTCTCTTGAGAGAGTCGGTCTCGATGCTCTTGATCTCTCTGGCTTTCCTAACCGTGTGTGGTAAGTGTCGGTGACGGGCAATTCTCTTGATTTCGGGCATGTACTTGAACCTTTCCTTAAGGGCGGTGTCATATTCCATCTTAGCCCTTTCCCGAGCCGATTTGACCTTGGCCCGGTCATTTGCAACCGTTCTCCAGATCCTCACGTTATAGTCATCAGACCCACTGAAAATATACCTAGAATCGGTGGAAAACTTCACCACATGTACCCGTTGCATTCTCTTTGTGTGGTAGATGTCCCTCAGGTGCCCGTGTCGGGTTTTATAGATTCGAATGGTTTTATCGTAAGACCCAGTGACAAGCTCTTCTCCCGTAGGAGAAAAGTCCAAGTCCATTACCGATGACACGTGATCCTTGTACACGTTCAAGGACCGCTTCAACTTCCGCATGTCCCAGTAGTAGGCATTGTGGTCGTCACTGGCACTGGCAAAGTTGAATGCTTCCATCGGATTCCAACTAAGAGCATTGGTTCGTAAACTCGTCACCACCTTTTGCACAGGGGAGTTGGTCCGCGTGTCGTACAACACGATCGAGTTGTCGCTCCCGGCCGATGCTATTATGTTGGTTTGCGTCTTGTTGAACTTGACGGTATTTATGTTGTCTGCTCCCCATGAAAGGTTAGAAATGTAGTTGGACCGGTTGATGTCCCAGAGCTGGATGCTGGCGCCTCCCGTCACAAACACCCCGTCATCTCGGTGGTGGTCCATCCCCTTAAATGCGTGTTCTCCCAAGAAGGTCTTGAGAAGCCCGTTGTCTTTCTGGTCATATATGTCTTGATCTCCTATGGTGGTGTTGAAGTCCTGGGTGTTCACCGACCACAACTTGATGGTCTTATCGTCCCCACACGACAACATGTTATGTGTATTTGGTGTGACCACAAGCCCACTGACCATTCCATAGTGGGCCTTGAAACTAATCTTCTCTTCGCGAGATACCAAATCCCAGTATTTTATGACACCGTCACCCGAACCGGTGGCCATCTGGTTGACGGTGTCGAAGTTCTTGGCGATGGAGTATATTCCATCGCGGTGGCCATCTCCCAATTGACCAACAAATGGTTGAGCAAACATTCTTTCCATTTTGGTGGCATTCAAGGCCTTTGTGTATTCCCTGGCTCTCTCGAACGGGTGCAAAGCCGGGTTCAAGTTCCGGGGCAACGCAGACTCCTGGGTATTCCTGACAGGGACATAGGCGTCAGAAGACCTGCTGATGGTCTTGATCTTCATTTTAGTGAAGCTATGTGCTAGTGATGTGAGAAAAAAAACTAAATTTGAGATGCGATGAGAGTCGCGATAGCATCTGGAGCTAGACTTGAACGAAATTAGGTTTATTAATCTATTAATATTATTACAATCCAACCATTTAAGTCCTGCTTAAACTGATAACATTACATCCAAGACCAAGCTGACGTCATCGACGTTTTGCTCGGACAAATCATGCAAAAATGGTAAAAGATCCAATAACTCGTTGTCATGAGTGTCGCTGAACCAGGAAGAAATGGGCACCGAATGCTGAGGGTGGAAGATGTAGGATGCAGGCGAGTTGTCGATGATAATCGACTCACCCAAGGGCCGTCCGATCTGCGAAAGGTTTTTGATGAAGTTATTCTCGTAGTTGAAGCACGAATCTCTAAACAATCGGTGGTGAACCGATTTGTGGATATCCAATTTATCCAATAATGGATTTCCATACTTCAGCACCGACGCTGTGAAAACAACAACCTCATACCACTGGCCTACTTTTTCCAAAAACTCATCTACTCCGGGCCTCTTTATCACGTACACATGATGAATCTGGTTATCGATCTCCACAGGTATCACGAAATCAGCGGTTCTGAGATACTTAAACGACGAATGGACCAACGTTTCATCCAAGTCCAAGATCAAGCACTTCTTGTTCTTGAAGTGGGGGGCTTTCTTGCCCAATAACCAGCCGGTTTCAGGGTTACGGTATTGGTCGACTTGAAATTTGGTCAAGTCCATCATGGAATCTTCATCCATATCCTCCAAATCCAAGTCCACCAAATCTTCACTTCCAGCCTGGGCAATGATGACTTTGTCTTGTTGGTGGCTGCTGGACGAACCAACAGTTGGAGGTTCGCTGGTGTCGGAAGAACTGTTGGTGATATTAGAGTTGCCATTACTATCGTGTTTTTGGTTGGGGTGTAAGGGAGTGGCCGTTGGCTCTTCATTGGTGTTAGCAATGGTTTCGGTCTCATTGATGGAGCTGTCGTCCTTGTCCATTTTCTCTTTTTTGTTTTTGGGCCGCTTGTTGGGATTTGAGTTGGAGTGAGTCAAATCTTTAGAGTTATCAATCTTGGACTGAGAATACTTGCTATTGGAGGATGGCTTTGAATTGTAGTTTCCATCTGTATCTTCCTTTGAATCAACAGAACAACAGAAGAGGGCCGATAACATGACACTTGCTGTTGCAAAAGGTAATATTAAAAGGGCGAACCGGTGAAAATACGGGGACACAGAAAAAGGAGTGGCTGTTGCTTCAAGGGTGAGCAGTTAAAATTGCCGGAAAAAAGGGGTGGATGAAAAGCGGGAAAGCGGGAACCGTGAACAATATGTTTATGTGTGGAGGTGGGTGCTTGGGATGTTGACACAAACAAATGAGTAAAGCCAGTATGAGTCAACAGGAAAAAGCTAGTGGAGCGGCGCGTTGGCGGAGAACACAGGAAACAACGGGGGTGGGTTGTGCCGGTTGGGGATATGCTTGTACGTGACGTATACTACCAGCGAATAAACTGATATGAAGGATACACTTGATGAAGAATGCAAGTTTAATACCACTATTTTATTGGTATGGGTGCTTCTGCATGTGTGAATAAATTTTTCGGTTTGTGCCAAACCCTGGTAGAGCGCGCAAGGCTGGTTGCCGCACATATCCGGCATTACGATGGCTGGCCCGAGGTATTAGAATACACCAACCACACCTCCAGAAGCTCGTTTCCACTCCTGGGAACCCGGACCATTATCCGATACCGTCCACAAGCACGCCCTCCCCACTTTTGGAACCGCTGTTGCCGCGCCATCGCATCCAATTCGCCTTGGGCCATGTCTGCCGCTCCTACCGTAGCTCATGACATTGTCAAATCATTTATACAACGGTTTGCTGACCTTCCCGTCGACTTGATCCTCAGGGTGTTTGAACTTCTTGATGACTCGCCGGTGATCAAGGAGTTTTTTCTCTACTGGCCTGCCACACGAGATGTAGTGATTCAAACCTACTATGCTCACGAGCTCCACTGCTTAGTAACCCCAACCAGTCAAGGTCACGTATGTGTGGATGGACTGGCTGGGAGTGAGGTTTATGACCTTCATTTCTCCGGCGAGATCGATGAGTTCTTGACTTGGAATCCCCATATCATTCCCCACAAATTGGTACTTGTGACCGGAACCGACTTTTACTCGCTTTTCGATCTTCTCCAGAAATACAGTGAACGGTTTCGTCAGAGCCCACAACTCGAGGTGTTGATGGAGGGAAGTAGAAACTATGTTTTGGAAGACTTGAAGGTGGTGTTGAGCTCACCTAATTTGCACAGACTACAGTTGTCTCGATATGACTTCGAGGCCATCAGCCCCATGTTTTTGGCATTACTCCCGACGCTTGAAAACCTCAAGATAATCCAATTTTTAGGTCATAGAGTCAATGACTGGTCGGCCTATACCTGGCCCCCCAACTTGTTGAGCTTGGATTGTTCTTGGAACACACATCTGGATGTACTCACCTTGTCGTTCAACAGCAGTTTACAGGAGTTATACTTGAACATGTCCGACGTTGGCACCCACAACTTGCAGAGCTTGTACACCCGATTACCTCTGCTGTTGAAGGTGTTGATGCTTACATATAACAGTATCGACCAGTTGTACGGGAATCGACTTCAGGACTCGATTGAGAAGCTCGATGTTCTGTTCAACCGAATTCGATATCTTGTCGATGATCAGCCAACAGACAAGATCTTGCCTGAGAACCTACGGGAGTTGAATTTGAGCTCCAACATCATCAACAATGCTTCACTACTCAAGCTTCAGGGTTACCGGTGGCCTGAAAACCTCAAAATTGTCAACTTGAGTGGAAACAGATTCACTAATCTCTACCTTTTGCAACTCCCTGATTCGGTCGAGAGTTTGAACCTTGACGGCAACGATGTGCAATTCTACGTGGATGGGCCCCTCATACGGCTGTACAAATTCCCATCCCAATTGAAGTATCTTCTGTTTTACAATAGTAAACGGCTCATGGCTCAAATCGACGCTGCCGTCTCCGAAAACTTGGTCAAAAACCACGTCGAGTTCCCTGACGGCCTCCGGCATTTGTCCATGATCGGATGCAATCTCCGTTCGTTCAGCTCCTTCAAGTTTCCTAAGTTTCTCTCAGAACTCAGTGTGGTTTCCAACTTAATTGCGTCAGTTGATTCGTACGAGTTCAGCTGGAAGGAGATGGTCAACCTCAAAAAAGTGGATTTGGATCAAGCAACTGATACAAGTAACTGGGCCAAACCGCCAAATCTCAACCAGCAGAGGTTCTCGTCAAGATATTAGTTCTGTTGGGTAGTTTCGCACCCGAAGATGGATGCAAATTTAGAACGTAAGTTAATTGGCCGGTTGGTTGAGACAAGTACAACAGAACATTAAATGACCATTCTTGCAACTCTATCCAATATCAAATCCAATACCTACACTCTAGTGATTATTTTTCTGCACACATTGTTATCCTCATTGCATTCACATGGTAATGGTATAGAGACTGGTCAAAGGCTCTGTGAAAAATCCAGTGAATAAATAACTGTATGGAAAAGAAGAAAATACCTCCTATGGCTCTATATACTCAAGCGGACCATTCGTACCATTTATCTGATCAGTCTGTGCCTCTGAATAGGGGGCTGCGGGGGAGTACCGCGAGCACCTCGCGAAACGGTGCTAGCCCTGTGGTGGCATGGGGGGAGACACGGACGTGTACCTACCGCATTAGACGAAATCAAAACAAATGTTTACACGAAAACCGCAGAAAAAAACATCAAATAAATAAACCTAACTCGTTAATAGTTTGATACCAAAGCACACATAATGAGAGAAATTGTATGTACCAACCAGCGCCACCGGATCCTTGAACCACGGTGATTGCTATGCATCCTTCTCAGCCGCGTGATGACCCCTGCTTTTCAAGCAATTTACAGCCTCTCCTGAGCCTACAACGCGCCGAGATCATATTTAAACCTTCTGTTACTAACATATTTAGATCCATTTGTCCACTGGTCAATGTGGTAACCAGATTGGAGCTGCGTTCTGGGAAACCATCTGTGATGAGCACGGGTTGGATAACAACGGAAACTTTCATGGTGATGATAAGTTGCAAAGAGCCAAATTAGATGTGTACTTCAACGAAGCGTCGAGTGGAAAATACGTTCCAAGAGCCGTTTTGGTTGATTTGGAACCAGGTACCATTGATAATGTCAAGACCTCGAAGATCGGTAATTTGTTCAGACCTGATAACTATATTTTTGGTCAAAGCTCTGCTGGTAACGTTTGGGCCAAAGGTCATTACACCGAAGGAGCAGAATTGGTTGATTCGGTCATGGAAGTCGTAAGAAGAGAAGCCGAAGGATGTGACTCCTTGCAAGGGTTCCAGATCACTCACTCTTTGGGTGGTGGTACTGGTTCTGGTATGGGAACTTTGTTAATCAGCAAGATCAGAGAAGAATTCCCCGACAGAATGATGGCAACGTTTTCCGTGGTTCCAAGTCCAAAGACCAGTGATACCGTTATTGAACCATATAACGCTACGTTGTCTGTCCATCAATTGGTGGAAAACTCGGATGAAACTTTCTGTATCGATAACGAGGCCTTGTACAACATTTGTCAAAGAACATTGAAATTGAACCAACCAAACTACGCTGAATTGAACAGCTTGGTGTCTTCTGTGATGTCTGGTGTCACCACTTCCTTGCGTTACCCAGGTCAATTGAACTCTGATTTGAGAAAGTTGGCCGTGAACTTAGTTCCCTTCCCAAGATTACATTTCTTCATGGTTGGTTACGCTCCTTTGACTTCGATTGGATCTAAGTCTTTCAGATCTTTGAGTGTTCCTGAATTGACCCAACAGATGTTTGATGCTAAGAACATGATGGCTGCTTCAGACCCAAGAAATGGTAGATACTTGACGGTTGCCGCTTTCTTCAGAGGTAAGGTATCTGTCCAAGAAGTTGATGATGAAATGTACAAAATTCAGCAAAGAAACTCGTCCTACTTTGTTGAATGGATTCCAAACAATGTGCAAACTGCTATTTGTTCAGTTCCTCCAAAAGATTTGGAGATGTCTGCCACCTTTATCGGTAACTCCACCTCTATCCAAGAGTTATTCAAGAGAATTGGTACTCAATTCAGTGCCATGTTCAGAAGAAAGGCTTTCTTACATTGGTACACCAGTGAAGGTATGGATGAAATGGAATTTACTGAGGCCGAATCTAATATGAATGACTTGGTTAGTGAATACCAACAATATCAAGATGCAGTTATTGAAGAAGATATCGACTACGCTGATGAGGCTCCTTTGGATGACAACTAGGCTTAAATCTAGAGTTTCTAGTGGTCGGTTTTATACTATTTTTGAATTTTTCTTGAGTTAGAAGTCGTAGAGTTAAGAGGGTCTTCTATGTTTGTTGAATATAAATGTAATAATTACAGTGTTTATATCTATTCATGGGTGTGTATTTTCTTACTAATGCAGTATCGTGTCTAGTTGTTTCCTCTCAAGAAGTTCGTGACGAAGTCATTTTTGTCAATCTTGCCAGGCTCGGTCTGGTCATCAAAGTATCTCAAAACATGACACTGTTGTTTCCAGAAATTGTTCAACTCCTGAAACTCCATTTGCCCCTTCATGTACAACACGTTGGCCACTCCCAAATCGTTGACATATCTCTGTCTTTCAAACTCTTGTCTAATCTTGGTCTTGACGTTGGACACAGGCATATCCAACTCGTAAATGTCACTCATTTCCTTGGAATATCTCATATATTTCCGGTACAAGTGAATCACACGTTTTCTGAGTTCAGCATTGGTTGCCGACCTCTTGGTGGTTTCAGCGAATTCTGTTGCCAACGTCATGGAGATGTGATTTGTTTTTAGAAGATTTTGGTTGGTTAAAATTTGCGCGAACTTTCAAGTTGTGCTGCGTGCGACGACTTGTTGCCAACCGTATCTCTAATGCGAATCAAGAGTCTGCTGGATGGATCCAACAACTTTATGAACCGACACAATTCGAAGCACCAATCCCAGTAACACATGTTAACTAGCCTCTCAATCAAGCTCAATATGATTTTTTCGTCGTTGCTGTCGAGATAACCCGATGAGTTTTCGGTTTCTTCCTCCAGCTTTAGGTTCAAGTATATAATCAAGAAATTGTAGCCAAGCTGGACATTATTGGAGTCCAATAACTTGTTCATCAAGTTGAACGGGTCAGTCTTGAGGATTCTGAAAAAGTTGGACCAGTACTTGAACTCTATTTTCCGGAGACAGTTGATGAATATCAGCTCGTAGTTATCGGCGAGCTTAATGAGATCGAGCAAGGAGTGAATAAGGGGGTTTTCTTTAGTGAGATAGTCGAAAAGAAGAAGCTCGAGACAGTAGGTATACTGGCTGAAGCTGGAAAACTTTGTGTGGATCATCCTGACTTCTGTAGCGTTGAGAAGATCGAATTCCACCAAGTTATTGAGAATCAACTTGGTATTGAGCTTAACCCTGATGAAGCTATCATTAAGGATCAAGTCCTGGAGCCCAATCAAGTTGATGGAGTCCAAGGTTTTGTGGATCTTCAAAGGTTGAAAGTTTTCAAGTTCAATGGTTATTGGCTTGATCAACTTCATTTGACTGGTGACTTCTTCTTCATCCAAACCATCGTGTGGATTCAAGTCGACCGGTTCAAAAATCAAGTCTATAAGATGAGTCAAGTTGTATATGAGGAGTTGGTTGCCTTTGAACAAGTATATATACTTGATCATCTCTTCATTGATGGTGATGTCATTGATACGAAACTCTTCAATACAGCTTTGTACCTGAATAAGTTGAAAGTAACTGGTGAGAAGGATCTTATTAGACTGGTTTTTGAGAATATAAAACTCTCCATTGTTGAGGAGAATCAAGAAGTTTAAGTTGTCTATCATCTGGATCTTGGTGATCTTGCTCAAGGCAAGTTTATCTTTCATATTCGTAAAATCGATCGTCTTGCTCTGTTTCATGTAAAAGTCATAATAGTTACCACTTGCATTGGTATACCCATCAAACAACTCAAAGATAAATAACTTGTACTGAGAGTCCAAAATAATCAACTTGTTGTCTACCAACTCAAATGTCAAAATCGTCTCCAAAGCGTGCCTCCAGATGAACAAGTCTGAATCAAATGGAAATGGCAGCCCACCTTGAGCAAAACCTGAATCCTTCAAGTTGATTATGACCAACTCATCTACCAACTTGTCTTTGCCTCCATAATCCTTAGTAGCTCTGTTGATTAAGATCAAAAACTGCTTGAAACTGACGTGGTTGGTGATGTTGAGGGTTTCCACAAAGTAATTTTTGAAATTGAACCAAATAAGATGATTATAGTCACCTTCAGCATTCTTGTATCTATTTGAAACCGATAACTTGTCTCCACAAGAGATTATAAACTGGTTCACATAGTTTTTCGACACCTTTAATTTAGCCTTGCTTGAGCTGGCAAGACCAGAATATTTGAAGTGTGATAATAACGGATACTTGAGTAGCTTGTTCCTCAACTTATTGGACTCGACTAGCGAAAAATAATGAGGGGACGTGATTATCAAGTCTTGTTGACTAAGGAGTCTGACCAAATTGACTTTATGGATTTGGTCATCTTTGATTAACAACACCGAGTTATCGTTTGAAGAGATCAAAAGCTGAGTAGCAGAAAGATAGTTTTCGTTGATTTCATTTGAAAGAATCTCAGTGTCAGTGGTGATATTCCCAAACTTGGAAGAAATGAACCAACGTCCCTTGTTATCCAAAACAATAAAGAACTCTCCGTCGTTTGACCATTGGAAACGGAAGTCTGTCCAATCGGAGATCTGGATATCGGTGGCTTTCCTCAAGCACCCATCAAGTCTAAACAAACCCAAGCGTGTATCACCATCACGGGTTCTATATTTGATAAGAACCACCTCGTAGACAGGGTTAAACTTCAAGTCGTTAATCTCCAAGTTTAAACCCAACTTGTGTCCTTCTGGGTTCAATTCATTCTCACCAACATTCATGAACCATAGCTCATTCAGAATGTCAGCAATGATAAAGTAATTGAAGCTGTAATTATACCAAATATCCTTAGTTTGGGAGTCAAACCAGCTGAACTCAATGAAGTTGCAAATCTCGTTGTTCAAAGTCTTGATGTTGATGACCTGAATCAAATTGTCTCTATATACAAAGAGATTGTGGCTGTTGGACTTCAACCAGAACTTCGAGATTCCAATTCCTATTTTAATAGTCTTGAACACGGAGAGTCTCACGTACTCAATACTAAAATTGGCAAGCTCGTCCACCGGAATGTTGAAACTTTCAAGATTTTGAAGATTGATATGGTTAGAACCCAACGAACGGGTCACCAGGTTCAACATCTTCGTAAAGCTGAACCGCTCCGAATTGGAGTTGACAGGCAAAAGTTTCTGGAGAGTGATGTTATCATTATCAGATACTTCGAAGACCGATTTAGTGGGATCAATATGAACCTGATATATAAGGAGATAGTCTTGGCTGGTGACGAGAAACAAGTTGAAGATGTTCAACCGCGACATCTTAACCCCTAGATTGAGGTTCTTGGTCTTGACCCGCTTGTTGGAGCCATGTTGTTCAATAGATTCTTGAGTTCGGGTGTGGATCGCGAGTGGGAGAAGTGTTGATTCGTGAACAATTATAATGGATTTGGGAGTGAGAATTGCAATGAACGACGTGTAGCGCATGTCAATGATCTCCAAAACTTCCTCGCTGGTGGCCAACGGGGACAGGAGTTCTAACGAATCGATCCAAACCATTAGGAGAACATATACAATAAAGATCTTGTAAAGCGCGACATTTTGGTTGAGAAGATATCCAGCCAGAGGTTTGAAGTTTGCAAAAATTGAAAAACATTCAAATGAAGAGCTGGGAAAGACATAAAAGGGTGAGAATTCAACTAAGCAAAGTTCAGTGTAAGCGAAGTGTATGGTTTGGCCGGAGATCTGGCTTAGAGACAAACGTATGTTTAGTGAATTAGGGCTGGTATACATATCAGTGCGCACCACTAATACACGGAAACTTCATATCTCTTAACTTCATGACAGGGTATGAATATCAAAGGAGCCTTCGGACAGAGTAATATAATAAGCTTGTGTAGACTAACTCCATCAAGTAATACGCTGGTATTCGTTAAGTTAAGTGGATGCTATAGCATCTTGTTTGAACAAAAAAGGATATTTGCAACCATTTTTCTAGTATCAAGTTTTGAGAAAAGAATGTAGGTACCTCAACAGCTACGAGAAAACCTAACAAAGGCCTATACTTACAATCCCTAGTCTCTTCCAACTGCTCGTTTTGCCTCAAAAACCTACAAACAATTATACATAACAGTGGGGCGTGTGGTCTAGTGGTATGATTCTCGCTTTGGGTTTCGGAGTTTAAAAGCTCCAGGATCAAGTATGCGAGAGGCCCTGGGTTCAATTCCCAGCTCGCCCCTTCATTTTTTTTTGATAAGCTCCAGTCATTTGAATCAGTCAGTAGCATACTGCCTGTGCCTTTTGACAGTTACACTTCTTCGTGTAGTTCCATATATTCGAGGAAAAAAACTCGTCATTTGCATCAAAGGATGTCAAAACGAATCTATCATATTTGCACCAATACTCTACAAACCTGCAACCCAACATTCTACAGCTCGTGACAATAATTATTTGTACATGGACATATACAGCTATTGACCTACATCCAAATTATTATGTGTAAGTGGCTCAAAATCCCGCCTATTTTATAATATAATGAGTAATATGATGGAAAGTGATTAACGGTAAGATTTTTGGAATCTCGCTCTGGCACCACGACCACCAAACTTCTTTGGTTCCATTCTTCTGGAGTCGGCAACCAACAAGGTCTTGTCGTAAGCGGTGAAGATCTTCTTCAATTCGTTCTTAGAAGCTTCATCGACGTATTTTTGGTGGTAAGCAATCAAACCTTTAGCAATGGCTTGTCTGATGGCATACACCTGGGAAACGTGACCACCACCTGACACCTTGATTCTGATGTCCAAGTTTTGGTATTTGTCTAATCCAACCAAGGTCAATGGTTCGTACACCTTGAATCTCAAGATTTCTGGTTCAACCAAGGTGATTGGAGAACCGTTGACTTTGATCAAACCCTTACCGGCCTTGATGTGAGCAACAGCAGTGGCAGTTTTCTTCTTACCAAAAGTCTGGACTGATGGAGTCGACATGTTTAATGTTATTGGTATAGTTGAAAGGTGAAAATTTTTTTTTTCTGTAGTCGCAGTTGAGGGTTTGGGGACTGGAGGCCGGTCGTGTGCGCGCTCGTGGTTGGTGAATCTGGTAGTGCGGATGTGTGCAGGGCTTGAAGGTAGTCGGTGGAGGAGAGGATGTACTAGTAATGGGTGTTTTGGAGTTATGGAGAATCGGAAAAGGGGGATGATATCTATGAAGTGGGAAGATGAAGGCTGTGAAATCTATGTGAATCTCGGTTGTGTGAGAGGAAGTTTATAGATGATGGTAGTTCTGACCCACCGCGCCAGCGAAGAGAGGGCAACTCTGTGACTGCGTTTTCCCATTCAAGTATCGCACTGCTGCAAATGAGAGAATAGTTAGTATTTTGGCCACTTCTGCTATGATGTTAGGAGAGGAAGATGATGATATACAACTAATACACCCAAACAATCAACAGACTTCTTTTGCAGAGTTGAAACCTTCCCAAATATCTATTTACACTATATTCTGGGTGGGACGGGGAGGAAGTGCTGGGGCCAGCCTTCGCACGACCACACTTCGCAGATTCCTCGTTCGCGCACTCACTCTCATAAAACACTCGAGTGAAAAATTTTTTTTTACTATCATTCCAATACCTACAACATAATACAAGATGGCTATTGCTAAGAACTTACCAATCTTAAAGAATCACTTCAGAAAGCACTGGCAAGAAAGAGTCAAGGTCCACTTCGACCAAGCCGGTAAGAAGGCTGGTAGAAGAACCGCCAGATTACAAAAGATTGCCAAAGAATCTCCAAAGCCAGTTGACTCTTTAAAACCCGTTGTCAGATGCCCAACTGTCAAATACAACAGAAAATTGAGAGCAGGTAGAGGATTCACCTTGGCTGAAATCAAGGCCGTTGGTTTGACTCCAAAATACGCCAGAACCATTGGAATCTCTGTTGACCACAGAAGAGTTAACAGAAGTGACGAAATCTACGACTTAAATGTTGCCAGATTACAAGAATACAAGTCTAAGTTGGTGTTGTTCGACAAGAAGACCACCAAGGAAGAAATTGCCAAATTCGCCGATGTTTCCATTAAGTCCACTTTCCCAATTGCTCAAGTGCCAGTTGAAACTGCCCCAAGAGCCGTTGAAGTACCAGAACAAAGTGCTTACAGAACCTTGAGATTGGCCAGATCCGACAAGAAGTACAAGGGTATCAGAGAAAAGAGAGCTAAGGCCAAGGCTGAAGCTGAAGCTGATAAGAAGAAGAAGTAAATGGGGTGAAGTTTGCCTTATTTATACGATAGTTCTTGTGTAGATATACCTTTTAATTAATAGTATGGTTATTTGAAGGGTGTAGTTAATGTATATCGCATTCTGTGAGACCTGTAGGATGGTGATGGGGTTGTGAACAAACTTGTCTAGTGTAATCTGGATTCTGTACAATTCTTTTAATGTACCTGCATTTATAAAGCCTTTATAAAGTCCTTACAATTCTTCTACTTCACTCACTAGCGGTAGGTCTATATTACTATCTACACTATTGACTAATCGAATAAACCGAATCCCATGTCGTCATCGGATTCTTCCTTTTCTTCTTCCTTTTCCTCTTCGACGGCTTCTTCAGCAGCAGCACCAGTGGCAGCAGCACCTCCCGCGGCAGCGGCACCAGCAGCTGGGGCAGAGGAGATGTTGAAGAACAAGTCCTTCAAGTTTTGGCTGGCCAAGGCCTTGGCGTAGATGTCAGCCCAGATACCTTCAACTTCGACGTTGGCCTTAGTGGTCAAGGCCAACAAGTTTTCAGCAGTGATTTCGATTTCGGAGTCGGCCAAGATTAAGGCGGCGTAGGACAAACTGGTATCAACAGACATAATTTTAGGAGTATAACTAGAACTTAATCAATTTAAGCAGTTTGCAGACTAATTCTTAGTATGGTACGATTGAAAATTTTTTCACCTACTTTGTTGTAGCAGAGGATCGCGAGTCGTGCGTGGACGATTGATAGTGGTCGTGCGCGAGGATGACAAAATCATTTCACGTGGACGGCGGTAGGGCTCGGGCTGTGACCCGCGGCCATTAGGGTACCGAATGGGATGTTGTTTTGTTATCTTTGTTGTTGTTATTGATATGGGAGTCCTGTCTTAAATGGATGATGTTATGGGGTGCACATCGAGAATGAGGCGTACTTGGTGCCGGAGGGTATTATATCATAGCTTAAGTCGATTGTTGGGAAAACCGGTTTTCGTATCTAGGAAAAACCTCGGGAACACTACGGATAGTTGTCTGGCTACCAAGGTGGAGGAATGAGAGGGTTCAGAAGGTTCAGAAGGTTCAGAAGGTTTAGAAGGTTTAGAAGGTTTAGAAGGTTTGTGTGCACGGCAATAAACGGGCTGTAGTGAAGTGCTTTGGGTGATTGCATCCGGTGGTGGAGTGTAAGAATAGAGTTGTAGCAATAGTAGAGGCATAACAATGGTAGAAACAGTAGAGGCATAACAATGGTAGAAATAGTAGAGGCATAACAATGAAATTGTGAGGTCGTAGTAAAGTGATGCTGATAGTAGTACCAGTATCCTTTGTCACTAGTTCCTTTGTAATAAATGCGATGGATCTGCATCCTCTAAAAACGGGAACTAGACTAAAAATATTTTAGACCCCTCGCAAATCCATGTCGCACTCGATATTGGTCCACTTCTTTGACAATATTGGTAGACTATTTCGTCTGAGCAAATGAGGGTAAATAAACTATACTCTCTTGGTATATACCTGGAACTTGGAATGGGAGCCAGCTCCTTCAAGGACCTGTTTCAATATATCCATTCGTTCCACTCCCGTGTCCAATTTGGTACTTTTTTGCAGCCTCCATCTACTCTGCAACTTCATAACAGGCTGTGACCAAAATCCGTGGACGAAGAAGATCCAAATGGTCTAGATAAGATAGGTGGAAAATTATTCCCTAGGTCAAATGCTGGTTACATCAGTACCATGAACCTTTTAAGCGTCATCTCCTACTGAAAACCGGAAATTTCTTGTGCCGGTCATAGAGCGCTGTGCTCATCAGAGGGGAGAGTGCTGGGTAACGTTGCTAGTCACTGTAGGGTATTTGATATGACGGGTGTGATGCGACATTCAGATAGGAGATGGGGCATCCCGCAATGGGCTTACATCTAGTAGAGCCCAACTATTATTAGAACCGGCTCCCGATATGTTGATTTGTTCAAACCGGAATATTATATCATTTTGAAGAGAGAGGGGATGTCGACACTGGTTGTATGAGTCGGTGACACTGTAAGAGGCATTTGGGTTTACTGCCCAAGTAATTCGACTTTTGGTGCTCGTAACACCACGCTATCGGATAGTCCACGACGCACAATCGAAAGCTCGCTGTTCACTTCTTAACTGTGAAACTACATCGGTGAAATTTGGGAAAAAAAATAAATCAAAGCCACTTTAATATGAGCACATATAGCTGTTATGAGGCGGCAGGTAGGTATTAAGGCGGGCAACTAGACACAAGACATTTTTTGGGGGTTGATAGGACAGTGAGGACTAACGAATACCAGGAATGGAAGACACCTGGTAGGCTGGGTAGTAGGCTGGAAGGAGGGGGGGATCAACAGGCCTATGAACAGGCCTCAGAAAAGGGCCCCCCTCCCAACTACCCCCGGAAATATATATTTTTGGGACCCTCGTTATCCGAATTCAATTTACCACAAACGCGACCTGGCCCCTGTCCATTTCCGCAAAGGGAACAACCTACACCTGGAATTACCACACCCCTTCTAGCCCTCCCTACTCGAAACAAAACCCGTTTATACACACGCAAAAGCATCCCTCCCACACCGTTTATAAATAGGAGCCGCTGTCTTCCAAACACTCACTTTTTTCTTCTGTTGACGTTCTTTTGTGGCAAGATGCTATTGTTATATGTATTATTGATAACCATACAGTTGGTGGCAGCCATCCCGCTAGTCACCAAAAGAGGTCTCGCATTCGACTACCAGAATGATAAACTCCAAGGTGTCAACTTGGGAGGTTGGTTCGTATTGGAACCCTTCATCACCCCATCCCTTTTCGATGCGTTTGGCGATAACTCCAACACCCCCGTGGATGAATACAATTACTGCTCCACCCTCGGAAAGGATGAATGCTTGAGTCGGTTGACCGATCATTGGTCCTCGTGGTACACTGAAGACGACTTTAAAGCCATTAAGGATGCCGGCTTAAATGCCGTCAGAATCCCCATCGGTTACTGGGCTTTCAAGATGTATGATTATGACCCCTACGTATCGGGACAGCAAGATTACTTGGATAAGGCCCTCGAATGGTGCCGCAACCAGGGATTGTACGCATGGATAGACTTGCATGGAGCCCCCGGCTCTCAGAATGGGTTTGATAATTCGGGCTGGAGAGACCACCTCGAGTTCCAGTCCAACGAGTATAATCAGGCTCTCACCTTGGATGTGCTTAAGATCATCATGGACAAGTACGCCGTCGACGACTACCTCGATGTGGTGATTGGTATTGAGTTACTTAATGAACCTTTGGGAAACTCTCTCGACTTGGACGAGTTGAAGAGTTATTTGACCCAGGGATACACATTGGCACGTAACAACGGGATCCAGGCAGTGGTGATCCACGATGCGTTTGAGGCGTCGGGATACTGGGATGATTTTTTGACGGTTGACAATGGAGACTACTGGAACGTGGTGGTGGACCACCATCACTATCAAGTGTTTTCAGCTGGAGAGTTGGAACGTGATATTAACACCCATATCTCGACCGCCTGTGCCTTAGGTACCCAACATTTGTCCGAATCTCACTGGAATATTGTGGGTGAATGGTCGGGAGCATTGACCGATTGCGCTCGGTGGTTAAATGGAGCTGAGAGGGGAGCCAGGTGGTCAGGAGATTATGACAGTTCACCATATCTCGGATCTTGTGACCCTTACACGAGCTTCAGTAATTGGCCAGATGATTATAAGGTTAATGTCCGGAAATATATCGAGGCCCAATTGGATGCTTATTCCACCAGGGCTGGATGGTTTTTCTGGACCTGGAAAACTGAAGATGCAATTGAGTGGGATATGAGCCAGTTGATAGCTAATGGCATTTTCCCACAACCTTTATCCGACAGGCAGTATCCTAACCAATGTGGATACTAATAATACCCTCTATCAAAAGTTTTTATTTCGGATCCTCTAGATTTTTTAGTTGGTAAAATTGTATAGCTAAATTTAATGAAACCTTAAAAACGCCGGATAATTTGCAACCATCTGCACGACAGGTTTTTACGTGTCATCAAGGAGGGGTTGGGCGCGAGGGGGATTACTGGACCGGTGCGAATGTCGCTCAAAGTGGCTCGCTAGAAGGACACGGTGGGCGGTGAAAGACACCCTCGGATCTCGAATGCAACCAAATGGGGAACTTTTTTTTATCACCCACCCCTGTTATCGGGAACCAGAACCTAATGCCTCGCTGGATGCCACGAAACCCCCCCGGTACCCGGGACGCGGCGGCTGGCACGCCGCCGCAGTACCGCTCCCGATAGCTCGTATCTCTCCTCCCGATAGTCAAGGTGCCCCCAAACCTTGACACGCCAATCTACGCATCCTGACGAGAGCCCTTGCCCTATGAGGTTAAATTACTACTTCATACTGCAGTAAAATTGAAACGTTTCTTCGCCCATGCATGTATATGCAAAACAAGTAACCTTACCCAGGCTAACCATCCTATACCGGCAAGGTGTTTTGAATTTAAAGGTTAGAATGTCACCGTCTGGCAGACGAAAGCGGTTTGATGCTAAGGTTTGCGAGCGCAGTTCCAGACCTGGTTTCACGGTTAGGGTCCTTGGTAGACCTCCTTAAGCAATAACCTGACTACCAAGCAAGCCAAGCAACAAATAGTCGTCCCACCAACACCAGAACCCCGCACGTGACCCGAATGTGATTTTCATATATTCAACCAGTCTCGCATCTAAATCTATCGATATAGTCCACGAATCTAAACAAACCTAGTCTTTGGTCATAGTGACCCTACTTTGTGGTCAACGTCGCCACGCCCTTCTCTAAGCTCCTCTCCTCGAGCCTCTTCTCAATTGCCTTCTCCAAGTACTCGATTGCCTTCTCGTAGTCTCCCACCTCGTTGTACACCTGGAACGAGAGCCGCAATACCGGCCGACCCTGGTAAAACCCGATCTGCAAAAAATGGCCGTCTTCGCTCGAATTCCGCTTGAGAGCCTCTATCTCCTCAAATGGAAGAACAAACTTTTCAGGTAACCAGATATTCGCCATCATCAAACGCTGGTCACCAAGCTCTTCCATGCCCCACCGCTTCAGTAACCAACCCATCACCTGGTCCCGCAAGCCGGCGGCATAGTTCCAAATGGCATCGTCTCCTCCAAGCCGGTCTCTGAACTGTTTCGCAGGCTCAATGCACCGCAATTTGGCGTAGTTGTCACTGGCTGCAAAAGTGAACTTCTTTATCAACGTCTCTTCACCCACGTCCTCCACCCACACATGTGATTGCACGAGTGGCTGGATGGTGGCGTGGTGTTTTTTGTTGACATACAACAAAGCAGTACCCCGAGGAGTGAAGAACCACTTGTGCAAGTTACTGACAAAAAAATCGGGCTGCAAGCGACCCAAGTCGAGTGGTACAAGCCCCACGCCGTGAGCTCCATCCACCATCGACAACACACCGTTTTCCCGGCACACCTGAACCATTTGCTCGTACGGGAAGAGAAATGCCGGCATTGAGCTCACCACATCGAACATGGCCATACGGTACCCACCACTTTTGATCTTCTTTTCAAACTCCGCCAACAAGTGGTCTTGGCCCTTCTCGATGTCGGCCACCATTTTCTCCACCTCCACGCCGTTCATTTTGGCAGTAAACTGGGCAATATTTTCGCAGGCCGGATACACCACCGACGTCAACAACAATTTGTCGCCGCGCTTCCACGGGAAACTCTTCAACACGGTATTGACACCCGAGGTGGAGTTGTTGACGATGGCCACGTCATGGTAGTCGCAGTGGATGATGTCGCCGACGGTTTTAAGAGCAGAAACGTAGTCTTGTGGCTGGCGAACGAACATGTATCTGTCGGGGAAACTCAAGTCATCAGCCATTGCTGCCTGGAACTCGGCTACGACGCTGTCGGGTGGGAGTCCATACAGGCCGTGGTTGACGGGGGTGACATTAGTGCTGAGGCCACTGAAGTCCAGTTTTCTGAGTGCTTCGCCAAACATATGGAGATCAAATTGGGGAGATTTTGAATTGCAGCTGGAAAGGGGCAGGCAATGGAGTTTTATAGTGAAGTATGAATGGGTTCTTACTATGCAGAAAGGGGCAATTGGTCTTGGCGTGGTAGTGACTAATAAGCCCTTGTGACTAATAGGTGTTGTGACTAAGGGTGCTTATCAGATATTAGTCAGTGCGCGAAGCGATTTGCCGTGTGGGATCAGCACGGCGCCAGTGTGGAATGGGGGAGCGCGGTGCCATTGGTGCTGGCGCCATGCTGGCGTGGTGCTGGGCCGGCGTGGTGCCGCGGGGTCTCTGGCACCCTCTGGATCTCTGGCTCTGGCACGCACTTCCTGGATCTCTGGCTCTGGCACCGCACTTCCTGAATATCTGGCTCTGGCACCGCACCGGGCCCCCACCGCTCTGACCCATACACCACCGCTCGCGCCAGACCGCCACCACATTTCCCCCACTCGCACCTCATCCATCCTCATCCTTCTCATCCACTCCATCCTCATCTCCTCATGTTCAAACTCATATCCCTCCGACCCCCCATAATCCCTCGAACCCTCGCCGGCCTCCGACCTCCTCTACACCACACACCCCGCCTTACCCCCTGCCGAGTCCTCCTTCGAAATCTCCAGTCCCTGGCATTCCTTCATCAACGAAACCTCTCTCCCAAAGAACAACTCCTCAAAAACGCAAATAATTGGGTCTCCCGCATCCGCATCAGAGCCAAATGGCTCCTCAAGCGCTCCAACCGCCCCTTTAACACCGACGACTACTCGGCGTTCTTTTCCTGGCTCGTCATCAGTAATGCCCTCCTCATCATTCTCGCGACCACCACCTTCTTCTCACTTTTGATCTTCACCATCAACACCGTGTTTGCCCAGGAGTTTGTGGCTCGCCAGCTCGGTGAGTTCATCACCAAGAACTCAAAGTTATCGGTGGTATTTGAAAATGCCATTGTACCGGGCTGGAAAGATGGTAAAATCTCCTTTCAAAAGGTGCTGGTCAGCAGAAGACCCAAGAAGTCTCGCAAATTCATCAAGGGAACCAGCACCGCCGAGCAGGCGCTCTTGGACGATGTTGTCGAGTACGACGACGGCAACTACACGCAATACGACCTTACGATTGAACAGGTGAACATGACATTAAGCTTTAATAAATGGGTCAACGGTCACGGCATCATCGACACCCTCGAAATGCATGGCGTTAGGGGGGTCATCGACAGGACCCACGTTGTGTGGGACCCCAGTGATAGTGCCACCAACTATAAAAACGTCTATCACCCAGGAGACTTTGAAATCGATAACTTCAAAATCGACGACATGCTTGTGACTCTCTACCAACCAGATGGGTTCCGACCTTTTAACGTCGAGATATACAACATGCTGACGCCGCGGCTACGCAAACACTGGCTCTTCTATGATCTTTTGAACTCGGACCTCGTCAACGGGTCCTACGATGGATCTTTGTTCACCATCCATAAACGACAACGGGTCGATGAGATCGATACGGTGTTGGCCGAGGCCTTGGGTGGCGGCGGTAAGGACACCAGCATCCTCAACGAGTCCAATTTCCGGCTTCAGTGCTGCCGTATCAACTCCCTCAATTTGGACCACTTGAACAGAGGTCTTGAAGGACCGTTTGGGTGGATCACCAATGGAAAAGTCGACATGATAGGAGACTTTGTCATCCCCATCAACCCGCCCGATGATATTCTTTCGTACTTGCGGACCCTCAAGGACAACAAAAATCGGTACCACGACAAACTCAAATCCCAGGATCCAGACCCCAGAATTCTTTTAAATCTCAGCATCAAACTCAACAACGTCAGGGCGTCGGTACCGTTCCAGACCCCGGAGCTCTCATACATCAACTATGCATTGATCCGTCCCATTGTGGCGTACATCAACTCCAAAAACACCTACATCGAGTTGCATAACCAGATTGTGAAAACCTTGAGTGACTTTGAAGGGTCTTGGACCGTGTACGACAGTCTTTTGATGGACGACATCAGCATCGAGGTATACAACAACTTCGTCAACTACGTGGCGGATGAGGAAAGCCGGTTGGTGCGGATGAAGAAGGTGAGTTTCTGGAGTGCCCAACTCCTTTTGCAACTTCTTCTCTTGACCATTGGTGCTCTTAGTTAAAGGGTCATTATCAACACAAACAACGTCAAGTAGCACACCAAGCTGATTGCCGTGAGAATAATCACACTGGTACCACTGGTCCGGAAATACTCAGTGCCCTTGTTGGGGTTATAGTAGAAGTCCACACTTCTACTCTTGTATACACCTATAATGAACACAACCATTCCGTATAACGTGTAGATGGTTCCAATGGGAAGAAACTCCTTGGAGAAAAGCTTGATGATCATGATCGAGAACGCAAGGCTACCGATGGCAGTCCGGGTGTAGGCACCTTCGTAGGTTCTTTGGTGAGCTCTGATGTCAAGCTTTTGGTTGTTCTCAAAAAGATCCAATCTGGTGGGGCGTCTGTGGGCGGTAAAGTTGGTCTGTTGAGAGGGGACGGTTTGGAGTCCCCAGAAGCCGGTGCTTGCTCCCACCACCTCGTCCACTGTCACCGTATCGTCGTTGTTACTGCTATAGCTTGAGTCCTGGTTCATTTAGCTCCTTGAGAACTTTGGCGCGCGCGGGAGATTTTCCAAATCTACATCCACACCTTTTCTTCCACACTATGCCACCCAAGAAATATACCGTGAAGTTGGCGGTACCCTCCAAGTTTCTCGCCACACTTCCGGTGTTTGAGGTGCCGGCTTCCAAAACTAGGGTTAAAAAACTCGCTGCCGAAGACAAAAAGACCCCTGCTGCATCAGTAGATCCCAGTGTGGCTTCTTCCAAGACCTCCTCACCCCAGCCAGAGACCGGTGGGACCGGTGGGGCTGCCGGCTTTGGCAGTGTAAACAACGCCTTTAACAACAGAATAAACAGTGGGCTCAAGGAGAGCAGTACTTCGGGTTTGACCATGAACCCAATTGCTGGCCAGTACTCTTTAGACAAGAGTGGTAAGCCGGTGAACCGATGGATGAAGAGACAGACACAGTTTAAGACGTTCACCGGGTTCAAGGTGAAGTACTATACGTGGAAACAGAAGAAGAAGGACAGGAGGGAAAGCATACTGAAGAAGGAGGATAAAGAGAAGGTGAAGCAGGAGAAGAAGGTGAAGGAGGTGCCGATTGTGGAGGTGGTGGGAGCTTAGGGCATCCAGTACATATTTACGCCATAATGCATGATACACTTAGTGGTTGGTAGAGTAATTTAGTTGTTTTACCTTTGATAGAGAATACGTTTTGACTGTTGTCATATTAGCTAATGTTCTCTTGTCTACTGTTCTCAATGCTCGTTCTCACTCTGAAAAATTCACCTCATGGCACCTCTCACACCACTACAGGTATTACGCCGAGGCTTTGTCCGGCTCCAGAGCTCCTCCTCCCCGGCCAAGAGCACTTCTACCACCAACCATACAATCTCCAACAAGCAGCTGCTCTATCTCACCGATAAATCATCTCCCGGCTCCATCTTCTTTCTTCCCCATGGTACCAGAATATTCAATAAAATGGTCCACTTCATGAAGATTCAACAGCAAAAATACGGGTTCCAGGAAGTTATCACCCCCCTCATATACAAAAACGACTTGTGGAAGACCTCCGGCCATTGGGAGAATTATAAAGACGATATGTACAAAGTGGTGGGTAATGACCTCACCAAAGAAACAGAAGAACCCCACCATCACCACCACGAGTACGGACTAAAACCCATGAATTGTCCCGGCCACTGCATCATCTTCTCTAAGTTCGACCGCTCATACAGCGAGCTTCCCGTGCGATTTAGTGACTTTAGCTCATTACACAGAAATGAAGCTTCCGGGGCCTTGACAGGATTAACCAGGGTTAGACGCTTCCACCAGGACGATGGCCATATTTTCTGCACTTTAGAGCAGATTGACCTGGAGATTCACAACACCATCAAGCTTATTCGAGACACCTACGGAGTGTTTGGTCTTAACCAGAATATCGAATTCCACTTGTCCACGAGACCAGAAAACTACATTGGTGAGGTCCAAACGTGGGACCGTGCCGAAGCCGAGTTGAAGAAGGTGTTGGACGAGGCGTGTGGCCCCGGAAATTGGCTCGTCAAACACCAAGATGGGGCTTTCTATGGTCCTAAAATAGATGTCATGATTACTGACAAGTTTGAGAAAGTCCACCAGATAGGAACCATTCAGTTGGATTTCAATTTGCCCGAGAGGTTCAATCTTTCGTACGTGGATATGCAAGGAAATAGAGACAACCGGCCCATAATGGTCCACCGGGCAGTTTTTGGGTCGTTGGAACGGTTCTTCGCCATTTTGTTAGACAACTACCAGGGCAAATGGCCGTTTTGGTTGAATCCAAGGCAGGCTATCGTCATTCCCGTCAATAGTTCCCACTTAGAGCACGCAGAAACAATCCGGAGTAGGCTCGTTGGCGAGTTGTTGTCTTCTGCCGATGATATTTCCCCTATGACCGGTTACAACTTCTATGTGGATATCGACAGCAGAAGTGAGACGGTGGGTAACCGCATAAAAGAGGCCATTGGCAAGGGTTATTCGTATATTCTCATGGTTGGTGATAAGGATATCGACAGTGGGACGGTGGCTATACGGAGCAGAGATAGCCGTCAGGTCCAAAACATGACGGTGGATGAAATATACCAAAAGTTCATCGCATTGGAAAAGAAGTACCAATAAACTTGTAAGTAGCTATTCTTGTATTATACACACTATACATCATATCCTCTCTGCACCAAGATCCTCTCCAAGTCGTTCCAGAAGTCATTGACTATCATTTTGTCTCTGAACCGTTTATCTCTGTCTACCCTCACTTGGCGAATATTCCAGTCTTTGATCTGCTTGGGCACCACATCACTCTGGTAGCACATATAAAACCCAGGATACTTCTGAAACAATACGTCGGGGTTCGAATACTTGTACTTGTTGAACTGCCAGCTCTGGCCCGTGGTGAAGATTCCCACCACTCGGTCCCAGTATTCGGGCTTGGTGAAAAAGTCAACATTGTCCACCACGGTGATTTTATGGGCTGCCGGATGCAATTTGTCTGATTTCCGCTCGATCACCGTGATGCCATTGGCGGGCTTTGGTAAACTGTTGGTGGTGGGGTCGATGAAACGGGCCTCTTCCAAGAAGGCCTTGATGTTGGACAATGACAATAAGGCAGATGTCGATGGAGACAACAATATTATGGGCAGCTTCAAGTGTCTGCTGGTATTTTTCAGGTGAGACGAGCTCAGCTTGTTCTTCTTCAACTGGTTGATGAAGAGCTTAGCATCCTTGAGTAAGTAGTTGAACTCGAGGTTCTTACTTCCTCTTAATATGACATTGTGATCGATGGAGTTGATTTCAAACCCGCTGATTCGAGCCATCTGGGGGTCTTCTTCTTCCAACTTGCGCTTCTCTCTCGTAGCTCCCTCTTCCGAAGTGACACCACTGTCTGGTGCCGCTGCCTCACTGGTGGAATCATCCACAAACTTGCATGTATCTGAAGTTCCCAGTAACCAAGTACTCAAGTCAGTTTTGACCAAAAACTTGAACTCGGGGATACTCTGTTTAGCACACTCATTTTTATAGTCCACAATCGACAGCTTATCGTGGATCCAACAGAATACCACCGCTTTTAACGATTGCTTGTCGGATTCCACTTGGTTGAAAAAATTTGTGTCGGAGTTGATATCGTACACATTATCACCAATTTTCAAGGAAACCGCTTGGTTGATGTTTCCAGACTCCAACAATATGCTAGTACCATCGGCCTTCAAGAGCTCGATAGGCTTTTTGGCGACGATGGCACTCCGTAACGTTTGTAACTTGAACATGCCTGCCAACAACCAAAAACTAAAATGTTCAAAAAGTGCGGTGCGCGCTAGGCGATAAGTAAAACTCACGACGGATGAATGAGTTTAGCAGAGACAACCTAATAGAATGCAGAGACCATGCTAAAAAAGCCCTCAATGAGGCACGAGAGTTGTGTAATACCGCCAATACACTGATCAGCAATCTCATCAACAAGTTGGTCGTCGAGTTGTCCGACCACTTGGAACACATCGATGCTAAGTACAAGCAGTTCCAAATGGTTAATGATTTAATTGCCAATTACATTGCATTTTTGAACGATAAGGTCCACAATGACTGTATTGGGAAGTACAATGTTGAATACGCCAAACTACAACAGGTCATGCAAGAGTTCAATGAGATTATAGATCTGTTGGATAAAGTGAAGGTACCCGAGTTTTTGATTCAGGAAAGCTCTACCAATGACTTGAGTTTGGAACAGGGGGTCCTGTTAAAGCACTTCATTTCAGTTGACGAGATCGAATTGTTGTTTGGGAATATTTCCATACATCACGAGAACATGACCAAATTGCATGAATTTATGGATAAGAGCTTTCGAGAAACCGCTCAATTGCCTTTCAATAAGGTGATAAACAAGCGATTCCAGCAAATGTTCAAGACTCACGACGATCTAATGACGTTTCAGTCCATGAACAACGACGGAATTCAGTCAATATTGAAAGAAAACGAGTCTTTGGAGCAGGAACTAGTATCGTTGTTGCAGATGTTAACCAACCACTATGACCAGTGTATGGTCGGACTCAATGAGTTTGGGAAGTCGTCTTTGCATATAAATTATGATGTTCTTGCACAAGACTCGGAAGAGTCTGTAAGTGTTCTTAAAGACTTGAGATCCATCTACGATATTATCATCAACAACGAAATTCGGGGCAAGAAAATCGTCAAGAGCTTTGAAACGTATACTGATAAGCTCATGGGGCAAATCAAGGACCTTGACAAAATATATAACAAGTTCAAATCCACCAACTTGTTTCAAATCATCATCTTTTTGAACAAGTACCACGAGATTAACGGTAAATTGGATCTCACCAATTATCACCATATAATTGACCAATTGATATATTACTACCGGAACTTCCTCTCCATATATAAGAACAAGTATCTTGTGGAGTTCCACCATCAACAGTTCACGTATCCTCGTCAATTCTTGACAAAACTCAACAGGTTTCTTAATGATGAGCTCTACCAATTCCATCAGAACGAAAGAGACAGAAGAATCAACTGGTTGACCAAATATGGAGAATTTATTCCGAAACAGTTTAAGCTTCCAGGAGATAAGCAGCCTTCGGTAGTTCAGGTAATCACCGAAGGCTTGAATGATAATGATGATAATGAGGCTAATGGGGTTTTTATGGAGAAGCAGCTTCTTGATCTAATCAAGAGTCTTATGTAGATTGCAACATTCGTATATGCAATTGCTAAAGACTGCTGTACTGTATAAAATCACAGTTATACTAATCCCGTACCATATATAATACATGTAGTAGTTTCCGTACTCTGCTTACTGCCGCATCTGATGAGATGCGCGTAGATAACAATTACTACCATCTATGAACTTTATCAGTTTCAGTAAACCAGGATTGCAAGACCCCGGTGACAATGCTCCCACAACTGGTAGCACCTCTATGAGGTCTGCTGGGATGTCTGCAATGGACAATAACTCCTACAGTGATGTCAGCGATGACCTTGATGATGTCAACCAAAATGACGATTACAAGAAACAATACAAAATGGATGTGGATACCGACAACAGCTTGACATCCCAATACGGTATAGGGGCCTCACTCTTGATCTCCATGGGATATACACCCGGGACAGGCTTGGGAGCCAACCAAGAAGGTATTGTGGATCCTATCAAAACCAAACTCCGACCTCAAGGAATAGGTGTGGGAGGAATCTCCGAAAAAGTCACAGAAGATACCAAACAACAGGAGATTAAACCTAAAGCATCACATAACTCAGATCTCATTGCGCTCTACGGCTTGCTCGAGGAGTTAGCCTTGAAGGATGTCAATGTCCCTCGAGATATCAAAACGAGAGACGCTCGCTTGAAAGAGTTGGTGCAGAAACTCACACAGATCAACGAATCTCTCGATGGCATGATCCGGCAGGAGAAGTATCTACTATACCAGAACCACGAGCTCCAGCGAACTATCGAGGATACAGACAAACAAATTGGTGAACTTCAACAAATAAAAGAAGCATTGGAGCGAAAAGACATAGACCTGCTAATAACCATCAAGCATCCACGTGCAAAGCACTCATTTGTGAACTTCTACGCCAAAGACATGAAGAGTTACATAAGCGAAGGTAACCTAGGCCAAATGGCCCATCTTTCCCAGAAATATAGACAAATTGAACACTTCAACGAGACGGTTCTCAATCCATTTGACTCGTTAATCTACACACAACTCAGAACAGAGATCCGAGCTTCTCACAACCACGATGAAATCGTGCATATCCTAGGTGTCTGGCAGGATAGTTTAATCCTCACCAGTCCCATAACCTTAACTAAGCTCATAAATGAAGAGGTTGTTCCTCGACTCATGGAAGATATCACCAACTGGAACCCGACCCACCAGCTGCCAGTGTTCCTCATACACTATCTCCGGCTCTCAGAGTCATCGGAAGCGTTTGTGCCACTTATAGAAAAAGTTTATACCAAGTTCTTGAAGTATTTCGATGCTCCAACCCTTTTGATGGCAGAAGAGTTGCAAACCATTACTGGCTTTTGGTTTGAATTGTTCAAACAGTACCTTGGAGTTGTGTCTGTGGATCGGCTTCGTGACCACATCTTTGCAGTTCTTTTGGGTTCTGTGGTAGATGATGAAAATTCAGCAGAACTTGTGTTCATGATCGTAAGCTCGCTGTTGCTAACCAATATCCACAAAGAATTGTACCTCCAGTTCAAGTACTTCAATCCGTGGCTCAAGCGGTTCTCAGAATTAAAGCAGCACCATCTCCAGAAATTTCTTGTGGAGTTTAAAAAGTGGTACCAACTAATCAAAGGGTTCATCACCAAGTACCAGATAACTGGTGAACCTCTCGATATCATCAGCTGGAACCTTAACAAGCTCTTCAGTGATAACCCCCTCGAGAAGCTACCCTCCTTAGAAAACCAGTTCTTTCCTTCTAATACGTTAATTCTAAACTATATCGGGGGCAGCAATGGCTTTAGTGTGCAAGGAATCCCGTCGTCGCAGCTTCTGGCATCCTTCAAAGACGTGGTGGAAAGCTACTGTTTAGCCCAAAACATCTCATTTAAGGTAATGGGACAAGATCCAAGCAGGGGGACCATCTACGAATTCTCCCGCTCCAGAAGGGCTACTGGATACCTCAAGGAGGATGTGTTATACGTGAAACCATCAATGGGTGCAAATTATTCTGCAGTGGACGTTTCCGCGCTATCATCACTAGTTTGAAGAATCTCAATTTTTCACTTTGATCTCACACCATGTTTAAACAAGGTATCACCACAAGCACACCTGTACTCAGGCGAGGTATGGCAGCACCTCCAAGGGCTTCATACATGCTGTTAATTCTGGTGCCTAGGGCCTACTCCGTTAAAGCCAAGTGGAATGCTGTCAACAAATCGATTGACAAAATCGGTGATGAAAGCACAACCCATAGTAAAATTGCCCTCAAGCTCGTTAGAGCGCTTGGAGGCTTGTCAGTGATTGCTGTGATTTGCCTGTTGATCTGGAACAGTCAGTTTGTGGATCAACCAGCGAAACCAGAGGTCAAGTTGGGGGATTTGCAACAGGATATAAGAAAGCAGTAGAAGAGGCGGTTTGTAAATAGGACATAGAAAGGGTGTGATGTTCACGTTTCGGTGTAGGCATTTGAACTGGGTTACTTCCAATATAAATATTAAACATTAGTTAAATCTGAGTACGGTTGTTGCAGCGAAAACGACAAGAACAGAAAGTACAATTCTAATTGTGGCCACAACCACACAACTCTCGTCTACTACAACCACTCGACCCTCACCCTCTATGTCCACACGTCTCCCGAAACACGGCTGCAAACATCTTGATGTCCATTTCAAAGCATCTATCGCAATTCCATGATCTCCAGTGATTCCGCGACATGACTTTTGCACCAAAAATTTTCACATCCACTAGGCACCAACTAAAGCACCAACTAACCAAAATGATAAGAACATTTGTCGCTTCCACCGCTAGATCCAGTAGGGCCACCATTTCTGCTGCCAGATCCTCGACCATCGTCCGGGCCACCCGCTTCCACAGCTCGTCGCCCTCGCAGAAGTTGGCTTCTTCCCTCATTAATAATCAGACTTGGATGGGTGCCACCATGGGAATTTCCACCATTATTGGCTACTCGTTATACGCCAGCATCGACAACGACGTTCAGCCCGAAGACCTGACCGCCATCTCCGAGCAACCGGCTGCCGACGCTGACAAGGAACCAACTGCCGAAGACTACGAAGGTGCTGCCTACAATCCAATCACCGGAGAAATCAACTGGGACTGCCCATGTTTAGGTGGAATGGCCCACGGACCTTGCGGAGAAGAGTTCAAGGAAGCATTTGCATGTTTTGTGTACTCGGAAACCGAGCCCAAAGGAATCGACTGTATCAAGAAGTTTGAGGGCATGAGAACTTGCTTCAGAAGATACCCTGAACACTACAAGGAGCAGTTGATGGACGAAGAGGAGATGGAGGCCGACGCACGGGGGGCTGAGTCTGACGTTCAACTTGAACCTGTGGAAGTTTCTGAGACTGTTTCTGTTGAAGTTTCTGAAAATACTGAAGCTCCCGCTATCGATGCTCTCGCTACTGACGCTACCGCTACTGACGCTCCCGCTACTGAAGCTGCCGGGACCGAATCCCACTAACCTGTAAATACATGTACATATGTCTATAGCCTAACAAAAACACTTGGATGCCCTTTGGCCCGCTCCGATGTCTATAGTATCAAATGCCACTATATCCTTCTTTGGATTTTCCTCTATCAAATCAAGCCCAACTTCTCCTACCCGGTAGAATACCTTGTTGACAAGATCTAGTTTTTTGCAGCAGATTTCAAACGCATCGGTTTCCCAGTTAACATAGTTGTTCAAATTAATGTCACTATCGGTTCCCGAATTTATATTCAAGGTGAGAATCTCCTTGATTTCCTCCAAGTCAATGACCCTGTCACTTGCTTGGTCCGATTTGTTGCCCACCACAATCACCCCGGGATGTGGCACCTGACAATGATCCATAAAGTTCTTAAACCAGGTCTTGAGGTTAAGAAGACTCTCATAGTTGGTGATGTCGTACACCAACACAACGATATCGGTGCCTCTATAGAAGGCCCGCGAAATGGAGTTGAATCTCTCTTGCCCGGCAGTGTCCCATATTTGTAGATGGGTCTTAATGGGCTTTTGTATGGTTTGGGGCTGAGGGATATCATTAGTATCATGGTTGGAACCAGCGTCATCAGTTGTCACCCGCCTCGTCACCATCACGGTGCTGGTCAAATAATCGCCACCAATGGTGGCCTTGTAGGCATTTGTGAAGATATGGTGCACAAACTGGGATCGGATACATGTTTTACCAACCCCCAGATCCCCTAATAAAACCACCTTAAACGTAGGGGTTTCGGTGTCCATATACGAAATGAATAGATACAAACTGGTGGAAGTGATCTGTTTGTGCTCGACAGGGAGATTAAGGCCCCAGAGTTGTGCGATTGTAAAAAGAACCGGTAGTTCTTATCGTCAAACGACCAGATGGATTTCACGCGAAAGCCCAAAAACCAAAACATTAGGAAGGAGCAGAAAACTGAGCAGCAACATCATCATCGGCGAAATTGATTTAGAATGAAGTTATATTATATTGGAATCATAAAGACTTCTGGGTCCAAGGCGGTGGAGTTGGCCCACGCCAAGGATCTCTCACAGTTTTCCTTCTTTGAAAAGAACGGAGTGTCCCAGTTTATGACTTTTTTTGCTGAAACGGTGTCGCAACGAACCCAGAGCGGCCAAAGACAATCAGTTGAGGAAGGTAATTACATTGGCCACACCTATGCCAGACTGGAAGGCCTCGCTTGTGTCATCATCTCCGACAAGGAGTACCCCGTGAGACCGGCCTATTCGTTGATAAACAAGGTTTTGGAAGAGTACTTGTCTTTACACCCCAAATCGGAATGGGAGAATCTTGAAGAAACCAACAATACCTTAAACTACGCCGAGTTGGAATCCTACTTGAAGAAGTACCAGGACCCCACGCAGGCCGACTCAATCATGAGAGTCCAGCAGGAGTTGGACGAAACCAAGATTGTTTTACACAAGACCATTGAGAATGTGTTGCAAAGGGGTGAGAAGTTAGACAGCTTGGTTGACAAGTCGGAGGCGTTGTCGAGCTCGTCCCGGATGTTTTACAAACAGGCCAAAAAGACCAACTCCTGTTGTGTGATCATGTGAATGGCTTAATAATGTTTAATATACACTTTTTGTACGGCCAAAGGTCTCCAAATCTATTATTTCCTATGTAGTCACCAGGTAGAAGAAACTCCTAGGGTTCCAGCCAGATGCTCTATATGTTTGGCTGGGTCGTATATGCCTGGTGTTTAGCGGGGCCGTAGGGCTGTTTGGCCTGGATACTTAATCATACTGGGCCTTGATCACGTCAAACGCCTTGAGAAGCTTGCGACGAGCTCCAAGTGCCTTGACGCCTTTCTCCTCCAACTGCTCGTCACTCAACTCTATCAACACTTTCCAAGGCACGTCCTTTAACGAGTCGGTGTACTTGTGCAACCGCAACAACTTCAACCACGCGGGAATATTTTTCAATAACTCCAAGTTTGTCACGTCCACCGGCATCGAGCTGCTGGCACCAGCGGCGTTGGGGCTCGAGTTATTGGCGGTGACCCCGAGACTGGAGTCGATGCTCTTGGCGGTAGAGGTGGCAGTAGAGCCCCCAGCAGCACTTGCGTAGCCACTGCGAGGTTTTTGGTTGGGCGATTTAACCTTATTAGACACAAGTGGAACTGAGCTCGAGTTGATGGCCCGGTTGGTGGGGTCATGGTACGCCCCAAAGTTCTTCTTGTTCAGGTCTAATGCCACCCGCGAGTTAATGGTGGCCAAAGCCCCCAATTTTTGTGACATATCCAACTGCTCATATTCATCCTGGGCCTGCAGTGGTCCAAGTCCTGGAGACTGTGCGGCTAGCTGCAAAAAATTGGTCTTCTCGAACATGTGGCTGGTGGGCGACTTGGCTCTGTCTAAATTTTGGTAGCCAGGGTGTAACAGCAGCTGGGTTTGAAATTGTTGGTACTGAGGCTGCTGCTTGGCCTGGAGACTGGGGTCGGCCGACCGAGGGCGGTCGCGCGACCGGGGGCCCGCGTCGCCCAAGGTACTGGCGTACAGCCTGAACACGTTGGGCCGCGGCTTGGGCTGGTGCAAGGTGCGGGTGTCGGAGAGGTTCAAGTGATCCAAGTCCGTCAACACCTCTGAAGGTACCAGCTGATTCTGAGTATAGGCATATGGTGATAATACCTGTGAAAGCGTGTTCTGATTGGGCACATGAGGAGGTGATAAAAGTTGTCCTCCCAACTGTGCTTCTAGTTTGGACCTGAAACTGAGTAAAATGTCCACCGGCAAGTTTGAGCACAAGTACTCGATCATGGTGGCATTATCCTGAGGACTTAAATTTTCGATCCAGGCGGTGAACTGTATAAGTTCCTGGTAGAACAGAGTGGAAGATGTTGGTCGGCTGGATAAGCTGAAGTCAGCTACGGTTTGAGAACGGTGGGGCAAGTTGAGCGGCGAGTAGAAGCTCAGATTTAATAATGAACCAAGGCCAGCTTGCGAACCATTAATGTTAGTGGGCACGGGAGACAGCACCGAGAACCCGCCGGCCTGGGAGGTGGCGGGAGCACTGCGAGGATCTTTTAAGTCCAAATCCAAGTCTGCGTTTAGGGTTTCAAATTCGTGTTGCAAATTATACCCAACGCTCTGCTGGCGGTTATAATGGCCGGCCGCGAGGAAATCCTGAAGCTTCAGGTCTTCGGGCCCCATTTGAGTCCCTTGGCTACCCGAGGAGATTCCGGTACTCAACGGTGGTGGAGATAACACAATGGGTCTGGCCAGAAAAGGAGATGATTGTTTGGAGTCCATCTTTAGTTGGGGAGGCGAAGATGAGATGAAAAATGGGTCAAAATGTGAGGAAATCAGTCCGGAAAAAACGGGCTATGTATATCTTATATGATATAAAACACTTGTTTCGTTGATATCACCCAAATCACCAGACTTTTGCTATGGGTCAATACGGTTGCCGGGCTTAACGCTGCAAATGAAACTAGGTTTTTTTTCTCATCGACGAGAGACAGTGCGCAGCAGAATGTCGTGGCTTCTATTTAAAAGCCATTGCATGCACGACATTGCCTCATGTCTTTGGTGTTTTCACTGGTTGTTTCTTCATTATGCTATATACTAAATGCCAGGTATACGATATTTAGAGCTATTTATTCCTGTTGGAGTCACGCTTTAGCCAGTAATCCTTGTTTTCCTGGACAATTTCTCCGGTGAACTTCAATGGTGGGAGTAACTCCAGGATATTGTTGAACAAGTTTTCAGCGAACGTATTGATGAAAAACATCTGTCCCTTATGAATGGTAGGATTGGCCTGTAAGATATCCACCAAAAACATTGGCACCTTGTCGTATTTAATGCTGAACTGCTTCCCACTATCAGTGATTTTCTCTTCCACTTTGGACACCTCGTCAAACTCTCTAGATAATACCAGAGCCCATTGTGCCGATACCCGAAGGGGTCGAGTCACATTCGAAATGTCGGCACATTTGATCAATAAACTCGAAATCAACTTGACCTGATTGGTTCGGTTTTGGATATCAAATGAATTGGCAATGGTCCTACTACTGGCACTACTGGTGGAATCGGTGGTGGAATAAGTTCCTTGATGATGATGGTGATGATGGTGGATGTCGTTGAATTTGTTCAACTTATCGATGTAGTCAAAGTGCTCAGCCATGTCGGTGGCTAAGATGCAAGTGATGATCAACTCCTTGACAATAAGCTTCAAGTTGGTATCAATTTTGAGTTGGAGAAACTGGGGCCAGTTCACCACCAAGATCTTGTTCAAAAACACCGACGTGTGAAACAGCTCCAACACCGACCTCTCGTTGAATACCAACGACGTTGGCAGGGAATGCTTTACCAAAAACTGGTTGGTAACTCCGGGATGACCTACATCATGGCCCAATGCTGCCACCAAGAGTGCCAACGTCAGCACCAAGTTCAAGCTGGTGTCTTCAGTGTCGGGCGTCTCGGCTGCACTCGACGTGGGCGGCACCCGCGTGGCCGCTTTCATGGATATCAACTCAACCGCATTACCAAACTTCTCGGCCTTAAGGCATATTAGCTCGTCAGCCTTGGGGTCCGACTGGAATTGCGTAAAGGGCAGTAAGTACCCGAGACGAATCACATAGTGGAAGCACGCCTGTAGCACGTCCACTGCGTGACGGAAATTGTGGAAAGGGTTACCATTTTTGTAGGAATCTCTCACCATGAAAATCAACCCCAAGAGCTCGTTTCTTCCCAAGGCTATCTTGGCGTGGGTGGCACTGGACTCATGTTCAAGTTGAACAAGACAGTACTTGATGATCAAATAAACACAATACACCAAATCGTCATTGGACAACTCGTGAGCTGGGAATGACCAGTGCCCTACCAAATTGCACAACTTCAGTAAGTGGCTGGTGGAGTTTTGCGAGAGCAACAGGAGGAAATCAATGTCATGGATGATGGCGTCCTTGATGCCGGTGATTCTCTGGATAGTTACAGGACTTGTGCTGACAGCGCATGTTAACACCGACGACATTGTCGAGATGATCTCACCTATTTGTTTATCATCAGTGTAACTGTCGTTGATTCTTATGGCTGCAGTGCCAGTCCATGTTTGGATCCGAGAGATGCGATCGTGGATCAAGGTATTGATCTGTCCGATCCACTTTTTGATTTTAAGGGCTGTCTCATTGGTAATATCCCTGGCTTCTAAGGCCACCACGTTCAAATGGGAAAAATAGTATTTCAACAACAAGAGCTTGTCATCAAAACTGAGCAGGTCGAGTCGACTGCTCAGGGACACCGTTGGTTGTTCGATTACCACGAGGGTTAGACAGTCAGTATCGGATTCGCTGTTTCCCTTGCGGAACAACATTTCGACAACCTTCTGGAACGACGCTTCATACGTGACGTGAGTCACCGTGGTTCCAGACAAGCTGCTGGCAGCTATGCCGTCCAATAGCGGGAGCCGGCGACTGGTATTTGCTATCACCTCGGCCATCGATAGGATGTGTAATTTTTTTAAAGGGTTCTGGTGCCACAGAGGGAACGGATAAATCTGCTCACGTGATGGGATATGCTTCGTGAGGGTGAGGTATTGGATCCGGGAGGGGGCGGGGCGGGAGCACTGCTTGGTTTCGGGTCTATGTGTGCCTACCTGGCGTTGTTGCAGCTGTAGTCAAGATTGAGTTGGGTTTTTATGAAATCTTGAAATTTTCGAGTGAGACGGGGCGTCCGCGCACCACATCCATTGCCGGGCTCTCGACATTTTGGTTGCAATTGCGCACTGCGACATTCATGTTGCTCTATATATATATATGCTAACAAGTACCACCAACACGGCCAAGGAAATGCTGAGCTGCTTGAGACGCACCTTGCTGGTTTCCCGTGAGTACTGGTAGAACTTTTCGTCCACCCGTTCCAAGATTTCAATCACCCCCATCAAATCGGTGGTGAGAGTGTTCTTGCAGTCATTGGTAATGGCTTTTACTCGGTTCAACCGAGAGTCAAGATTATCCAACGTGTAGAGCAAGTCGTTGAGCCGGTCAACGTTGTGGTTGATTTCGTCCCGGTATTTGGAGGTGATTTTGCTTGAGTTTTCACTCAAAGTCCGCTGAAGCTGTTGGATGGATGTCTCCATTTCTCTGAGTCTTTCCGTGAGTTTATCAAGCTCTAGAGACGCTTGTGATTGGGCGTGCGGTTCGAACTCGTGGTGGTTCAATGCGGTGTTGACCGACTCCAACGTCTCAAGGAACGGGAGGAGCTTTTTGTCCTGGTTTCTAGAGAGCTTCGAAGATATGCCTTGTTCGTCGTCCCCGAGCTCTTCTTCTCCAGCGTCGTCGAGCTTGTCGTGGTTCAAATCCTTGACAATCGTGTCGATGTTTAACAAGTAATTTGTTAGCTCCGGGTCGCTCTTCACCTCTCTATCGATGGAGGTATACGGCACTGTCGTGAGCTCCTGCTTGTGGATCACTTGGCTCTCCAGGATCGAGTAGAACTGGTCCACCAACGTTTTGCGGTCGGAGCTGTCTCTTCGTATCGGGCTTTTCAAGCTGGTCTGTGAGTATGATCGTTGGTGGGCCTGGGGCTTCATGAGATTGGACAAACTGCTGGTAGACAACGAGTACGCCATGTCTCGGAGAACGGTGTTGTCGTTGGAGAGCGACAGCCCGGTGGAGACGGGGCCTGACGGTCTTCGATATGGGGTGGGAGTTGATGAAGGGTTGGGGGTGGATGCATTTGTGCCGCTGGGAGTCACGTTTTCCCGAATTTCTCGCTTCAACGAGTTCAAGTTGAGGAGGAGGTCACCCTTGTCCGACGATATGCTTTCACGCCTGGTGGTTCCATCCACCATGCTGTTTTTAGCAAGCATTTAGATCAAGGGACTTGAAAAGAAAAGTGCGCGCCAATATGGGAGACGATCAGGCTGATGTTTTGGAGCTTGGGAGTTGTGATCAGAATGTATCCAGGCGGCGCCTGAGGCTTCTGCTGGTCCTGAGGCTTCTGCTGGTCCTTTGTTTCTAAATTTCTAGGCGGTCGGTTCTGAATCCTTCAACTTCTACGATGATTCATGATCTATGTATTTTGCAACTAGGTGAGATTATGTACTAGATTGCCAGGACCTTATTTAACGCCTGTCTCTTATCATAGGTGTAGAACCCTGCCTAATAGTGGTTGGATATCTATTTTGCAGCCGAGCCACGGCCACCAGAACCAGCGAGAATAAGCAGCAATGATTCATCACTAAGCTCTATCTCAGGTAAAGGCTTGCCGTAACCACCTGGAGCCGGCAAAAACCCGATCTTCACCAAGTACGCAATATAAGTGCCCATCAACTCTTGTGTCACTCCACGAGAAGTCACACTATTGGACTTATAGGCAGCCAAAGAGGCACTGGTGTTTGAGTCGTCCAACTCAGGGGCCTTGGTGTTCTGGGGCAAGTCGTCCAATACAAAGTGTAACAATGGGAACAAGGCAGACTCCTTGGATTTGTTCACCACAAAGTTCTCCAATTCGTTCTTCCAAAGAGGATAGTCATCCTGCTTCAACCCATAGCCATAGTCGTTCAAGGCCCCCAAGAATTCGTTGAACCTGATACGAGGATGGGCCGTGACCTGGGCCACGCCCATGCCCGCCGTAGGGGGGAAGAGACCAGTTGCAACCGTGATCTTGGCAACATGATCCACCGGAACCATGTTGACGTTGTTCCCAATGTCTGGATAGATTCCCAATTCACAGCATCCCTTCAACATTCTTAACAAAAAGTCATCGGTGTTACTGGCTCCCGTCCGGGTGTACCCAGTGACATATCCAGCACGAATTATGCTTCCTCTCAATCCCCTTTCTCCTGCCTTTCTAATGATATACTCAGCAGCCCACTTACTCTGACCATACCCGTTACCGAGTCCGGTGGCAGACCCTTCCATGTCATCGGACTCAGGGATCCCGTCGCCGCCCTTGGCCATGATCTGGTCCGAGAGACGAATATAGTGGTCGGTATCAAGAGACGAGGTGGATGAAACAAATGCGTAGTGTTTGGCCTTACCGACTCCACACAAGTTCATCAAGTTCACCGACCCAATCACGTTGGCGTCTCTCAACTGGGAGTAAGGATACACCCAGTGTACAAACGCCCCGTTATGGATGATCACATCGATGTTGTTGGCCAATTGCGTCCAGGCAGAATCACTCAATCCAAGCTTTGGCTGCGACAAGTCCGCCAACACCACCGTGATACTGCTAGCCCAAGCCTCATTCCATACACCAAACGTCTTACCGGCTTGACGGATTCTGTCCAACCCTTTGTTCTCATCGGAGGCTCTCACGTGAGCATAGATGGTTACCGATAATTGTTCGTTTTCCAACAACTCTTTGATGATGAACGAGCCAAGGAACCCAGTAACCCCTGTTACAAACACGTTGATGTGCTGGGAAGTATCAAGGTTCTCTAGCGTTGGGTACTTCTCCAATAACATGGTATTGGCCAAGTGCTTAGCATCTTCGGAATAGTTCGACTCGGGAGCTGCGGTTTCCTCCTCCTTGTTGGCACTGCTGTCGGCCAACTCAAAGTCGTTACCCTTAATGTACGCCGAAACCTTCTTACCAAACGCTTCAATGGTTGGGTTACTGAAAATAATCCCCAAAGGCACATCCACCCCCACTCGTTTTCTCAACTCAAAGATCATTCTGGTGGCCAAGATCGAGTGTCCTCCTAGGTCGAAGAAAGAGTCCGATCTGGAGATGGTAGCAGGTCTATTGGGTAATACTTCTATCCACAAGTTTATGAGAAGCTTTTCAACTTCGTTCAAGTCTTCTTCGCTTTCGCTGCTGGTGCTCTTGGACAACTTGGCCACCGCCGCCAACTGGGCGGTGTCAGGGAAGGGCAATTTGGGCTTATCGACCTTACCATTAGGATTCAAGGGCAATTTGGCCAAAGGCACAATCAAGGTGGGTATGGCGTATGAGGCCAATCTCTTCTTCAAGTAGCCCTTGATATCCTTGATCAACTCTCTGTACTCCACCAAGCCTAGAACAATGGGGTCGTCCAACCCCGAGTCGTCTTCAATTTCAGACTTGAAGTTCTTCAACTCCTCTGAGTCCTTGGGCACAATGTACGAGATCAAGGTGGGCTCTTCGTTCTTGTCTCTTCTGACTAAGGTGATGTTTTCCCGAACCAATGCGTGCTGTGACAAGTGGGTGTCGATTTCACCCAACTCGATTCTGAAACCTCTGATTTTGACCTGGTCATCGGCTCTTCCACAGCACTCAACGTTCCCATCAGGTAAATACCGGCCCAAGTCGCCGGTTCTATAGAGCCGGTCTCTTGGTCCCAACCACCCCTCTTGTCTCCAGCCTTCATTTTGGCTGTTGGCCTCGTCTACGGTTATCCACTTGTTGGGGTCAACGTACCAGTTGGTGACAAACTTTTGCGCATTCAAGTCCGGCAACCCTCTATATCCTTCAGACAACCCGGCCGCTCTCACGTAGATTTCACCCACTTCTCCCACCCCACACGTCTGACTCGTGTGGTTTCGGTTCACAATCAATAATTGCACATTGTACATCCCGGTACCGGCAGGCATCACGTCTTTCAACGACTTCAAGTAGGTGGGATCTGCTGCCAAGCTCTTGATTTCAAAGTACGACACCGCTCTCTGAGTCTCGGTGGTCCCATACATATTGACAATATACACGTTTGCAGCCAACGATTGCAACCGCAAACAGTCTCGTTTGGTCAAAATGTCGCCCACAAAGAACGCGTGGTGCAACTTGGGGAAGGCGGTGCTGGCCTGGGCACTCAACAACTGGCCCATGGCGGGGGTCAAGTGGGTAACAGTAGCACCATATTCAGCCATCCAATCGGCCAATTTCCCCGGAGTTCCAATGTCATCCGCCGTGGGCACCAACAACTGTGCTCCCAAGAACAACGGGGTGAACATATCTCTTTGGATCGGATCGTGGGCAATTCCTGATAACATGGTGAATTTATCGTCGGCACTCAACCCAAACCGTTGAGACATCCATGGGAAATAGTACGCCAACGAGTAATGCCGGCCCAATACCCCCTTGGGGATTCCTTCCGATCCTGACGTGAATGACAAGGTCGGGTTCGAGTCGGGTCCCACCTTAACACCTGTGGGCACATCAGCGTACTGGGCATATTGTTGTAAACAGTCAAGTTTGTCCACCACACCCCCATTCAAAGACCCGTCATCGTTGACCTTCAACTGGGGGATCGACGCAACCACCTCCAACTCGTATTTCACGTAGTCCACTACCAACTGGTCCAACACCCCGGCTTTTTCCAACCCAATCAAACCTCGCGGCTTGGCCACAGAAAGGTATATGTTTTGTCTGGCAGGGGGATAGGCCGGGTCGATAACCGAGAAGGTGGCACCGGCTTTCAACACCCCCATCACCGCGATCATTAGGTCCACTCCTCTGTAGGCGTAGATCATCACGATATCACCCTTTTTGATTCCGCTCTTCACCAAATAGTTTCCCACAATATTGGATGCCTGGTTGATTTGCTTGTATGTGAAAACCCGGGTTTTGGATTGAGGGTCCATAAACGACCGGGTCTCGGTCACACAGGTTCTTTCCGGGTGCTTCAAGGCATTTTCCATGAAAATATCTTGGATCGCACCTCTGAACCCAGCCCAGTCTAAATCAACAGTAGGATCCGGAAGGAACTTGGCCTGAGATGGGGTCACCAAGCTGACCTTGGAGACTTCAATTGAGGGGTTTTTCTCGGCTGCTTCCACAAACCCAGCGAATTGTTCGCCAAACATGGCTATTCTTTCCTGTTTGAAAAGCAACCCATTGTAGAAGATTTGGATCTTATCACTGGAGTAAAACACCGCCAAATCACGAATCGACCCTCTAACGGAAGTGGCCAATTGAGCGTTAGAATTGGCATGTTCAAATGACAATCTGAACAAGTTTGGGTACTCTTCGGTTCCTTTTTTTTCCTTGATAGCTTGGGCAATGTCGTCCAAGGAGTTGTAGGAAGCCGCTTGTTTTTGGTTCTTGGTGTACTCGTCCAATACACGGCTGCGGAAATCACTGAAGGTGGTGGTGGGGGTTAAGCTTAGTCTGAGAATAAATTCCTTGTGGTTATCTTCGGCGTTGACGGCCACCACAATATCTTCATCACCAGTCAATCGATAAATCAAAACGATGAAACTGGTTAAACTGGTAATATAGTCTTTACCACTAACGGGCACCTCGTACGAAGCCTCGATGACCTTGTTATTGGAAGGCCGTAAGTAGTCGAACGGGAATATCGCCAACGTTGGGTTGTCGAGGTATTCCAACCAATACTGTGACATAGTTAATCTGGGTGTATCTTGTGGAGGAAATTTTTCGCATTTTGATTCATTTCTTCTGGAGCTACGACTTTGCGCGACACTGAACCTTCCAATGAGTCACACTAGAACAATGTCGCGCTCTCTATTAATGGCTGCAAAATCCTATATCCATATATATATAACTAATTCATAAATAAAAACTGTAAGTCTTGGGGAGTAAGCTTGTTTATGGCTGCTTGGTCATGGTTGATGGTGGCGTGGATCATGTTGGCCTTTTTCTCTTGAAGTTCAATAATCTTCAGCTCAATGCTATCTTTGATACAGAACCGAGTGATCTTAATAGGCCGTTTCTGTCCGATTCTGTGAACTCTATCCATGGATTGCCATTCAACCGAAGGATTCCACCATGGATCCATGAGGAATACCTGGGAAGCTTCACAGAGATTCAACGCCACTCCTCCAGCTTTTAATGACACTAAAAACACTTCCACCTGGGCGTTCTCCATAAAAAACTTGATGGTATTGTCTCTCTGTTGCGGAGACATTGATCCTTGTAGTTTGACCGTCTGGAACCCGGCTCTACGTAGTCTCCATTCAATCAAGTCCAACATCGATGTGAACTGCGAGAACACAATCGATTTGAGGGTGTGTTTGTCTGAACGGAGCTTATACAATTCCTCCACCAACGCTTCGATCTTGGTTGATGACTTCCACTGATTCCCATGTGTACCCAACTGAATTCGATTTACAATACTGGCTTTGGAGAACTCTTGCTCGTCCACCTCGAGAGCCGGCTGTTGAAGGTCTATCGACAAACCAATATGGCACACGGGACACTCCAACTTGGATGAATCCCCTCCAAATGAATCACAATACTCTTGGATACATAACCGACAAAACTTGTGATGGCACTTGGACTCTATGGGTTCTTCTGCCTCGTCGTCGCAAAGCTGGCACACGATCAAACCAGAAACCTCATTACTGATGGGGTTATTACCAGCTTTTTTCAACACCAAGTCAGGATGGTCCGCCAACTGTCTCATTCGGGTTATCAACGTGAAGATGTTGGCATAATTGTTCAAAACAACCCCCTCGGCCACATAGTCATTGAACCTTCTTTTGGAGTCACTGTACAAGGAAATATACAAATCTTTTTCCTCTTCGTTGAAGGTATCGTACCGAATTTCGACGGTTCTAGGAGGTAATCCAAGATCATCTGCCCGTTCAAGCTTCGTTCTTCTAAGCATTACATTCTTCAACAACAACTGGATGTTCTGGAAACTCACCAACCCATCCCCTTCAATCCCAAACTTCTGGATGTTTTTCAACATAAAATGGTTGAAGAAGTTGGTGTGTACCATCGGCGTGTGACCACATATATCACAATGTCTCCAGTCACTAAATAGCCATTCAGAACTTGAGCAGTCACACTTGGTGCAGAAGTACTCGTGAAACGGCCGCAATTTCATGTACCGGATCAACGAGTACATTTCTCCGATTCGGTTCTGTAATGGTGTACCACTCAAACACCACCTTTTCTCTGTGTTCAAGTTATTGGCAGCCTTAGCTGTACCACTGCTTCTGTCCTTAATGTTGTGGGCTTCGTCCAAGATGACACGATAAAACTTGATCGCGTGTAAGGGAGATTTCTCTTTCACCAACCCTGACTTTCTCTTGAACCCATAGTTCTGTTTCCGGAAAACCGATTCCAACACCGAGTAGGACGTCAAGATCACGTCGTACTTGCTGAGCTCAGAAACATCGGAGCTTCTATTGGCACCGTGGAAAAGAAGAACTTTAAGCTTATTATTGGTGTGACTTTCTATCTCGTGTTTCCACTGCATTAGCGCAACCGTAGGACCAACCACCAAATTGGGCCCCTTGCTCAAATCGTTCATGAACAACGCAATCGTCTGAATGGTCTTTCCCATTCCCATTTCATCCGCAAGAATCCCACCTCCAAATTCACCGTCTTCTTGCTTGATGAGCCAATTGAGACCTTCGAGCTGGAATGGCAATAACTTGATGGACATGCCACTTGGCTGTGGGGCTCTTTCGGGCTCGATCCCAGGAAGCATATCCAAGTATGGGAAAACATCCTTCAAGTACGGATGATTCTCGTAGAGCCTCTCGGTTATTCTGGTGAAATATGGAATCTTGACTTTAGGCTCTTTTTTCTTCCTTGCTCTCTTCTTGGGAGCCGGTTTTTTCACCTCCGCTAGAGGTATTTCGTCCTCTGAAATCTCGATGGCATCAAGCTCTGTTATGCCTGCTGGCTCTGTGAACGATTCTTGAAGGATTTGGATATCGTCTTCATCGTCCTGGTCCTCTTCTTCAGGTGCACCTTCTAGCGTGAACTCTTCGTCGTCATCTTCCGACTCCACCACCTTTTTTACCGTCTTTTTAGGCGTGTTTTTACGCGTTTGACGTGTTCTAGACCCATTTCTACCAGTCTGTGGTGTTAGAACAGCGGTACCATCAGGTATTTCCTCAATATCAGAGTCTTCCTTGTATGACACATTGGCAGGCTTGGCCCGCGTTCTGCGTCTTTTGTTGGAAGCAAAGTTGTTGTCATCAACAATAAACCCTCCACCAGTGTCAGTATCAGAAATGTCACTCGAGCTCATCTTCCAGTTACAGGTATTAGTTTCAGTCTCCACAAGGCAAATTTGTGCAAGATAAGATAATGAGTACTGGAAAATTGCAGCTAGTGCGAAAATGCGATTACTAAGGTGCGATGGCTTCTGCGATTTTATATTAACCAGATGATATTAATATACACTATTTATGGGGCTCCTAAGTGGCACCTGAGGCAATGGCTCTTTCTGTTCTCTCGGCGTCGTATTCGAAATCAAAGTAGCTCTTGTCAAAGCTGTGCACTCTGATAAACCCATCTTCTCCTCCAGAAGCGTATCCAGAACCGTTAGGATGAACAGCAATGGAATTTAAAGGACCGAAATGACCCTTGACTCTCCCGATCTCGTCGACGAAGATCTTGTGGTAGAACCTAGCTTCGAATTTCCCCTGGGATTCGGCCGTAGTGGTGACATTTCTGGCTTCTTGACCTCCTCCTAATATAACAAAGTTCTTTTTGGGGGTTATGGCAGCGGTGTTCATGGGGGCGTCAGCAATATACACCTTCAAGATCTCGAGGGTCTCGACATCGATTAAGGTGGAGCATTTGTCTTTAGAAGATGTGATGAAGTAGGATTTGTCCTCAGGAGCAAATTGTATGTCGGTGATGGAAAGCACCTTTTCTTCGTTGTATTTACCGTGGGCTTGAACTGTCTGTATAAACTCTCCAGTGTGGCCGTCGTATTTGGAAACATATCCATCTTCATGACCGGCTATGATATATTCACCTCCATGGGACCATCCAGCAACCACAACTTTGGTGGCACCTTCTCTGGTTTTGATCACCAATTCGGGTTCGGCGCTTTGGTTGGTATAGTCACCTTCGTAACTTATGTTGAAAACAGTTATGGTACCTTGGTGGCCCATAACTTGGTCAGTAACCGCCAAAAGTTTGGAGTTATCAGGGGAAAATGCTACTCTTCTGACAGGGGTGGACATTTCGTACTGGAAAACGCATTCACCGGTGGCAACTTTCCACAACCTGATGGACAAATCAGCACTTCCGGTTGAACATAAAATAGATTCACTGTCGACATCAATAGACCAAATGGTACCTTTGTGACCTTCTAAGGTTCCCAATCTTTCTCCATTCGATGAATACCAAATAGAAGCAGAGCTATCTTTCGAAACCGAGAAAATCAAGTCTCCTTCTCTGTTGTACTTGACTTGCGTGAGCGAACGCTCGTGCCCCATCAACTTGATTGGTCTCATGATGTGTTAGGCTAGGTATTTAAGAAAGATTTTGTTGATGAAAATTTTTTGCTGAGAAGATTTAGTTTGTGCGCGACACTCGTTTTGCATCCATTTACTACTGGTACTATATTAGTCGGGGTTTAAGGTATGTTCTTGCTGGGTACTCCATCCATACTTGTTCGGATGGCCTCTCAGCACACATTATCGATTTTCTCCGCCACTCCATCGTGCTCTCCATACTCGAGCTTGAGCTTTCTGTTAAACAACTCAAACAACCACTCGTTACAGTTCTTTGTGGTAGCAGGATCATATCTTCCCTTACTCAACTCGTCTCTGACAAAGGCGTGTTGGGCATCGTTTATCTCGATAAAGGTCATCTCCACGTTTTTCTTTCTCATCTCGCTTCTGATCAAATCTCTACCTGCCAACGGGACGTGGTTATCTTTGCACCCGAAAATCATGATGATTTCTCCCGTGATGTCTCCGCATCGTTGTAACGAGTCGTCCTGTTGGCCTTCTCCCAACGCATGGTTGTGGATGTCTGTAGCAAAAAAGCACACGGTAGCACTGACTCTGGGGTCCAAAGCGGAACGGTACGCCAAATGGCCTCCGAGGCACATGCCGGTGGCTCCCACCTTGCCATTGCAAGTTGGCAACGATAACAAATAGTCAATGGCCAATGAGCTATCTTCATCATACGACTTCAACGGTTTTTTGATCTTGTACTCGTTACCTTTGTCTGTACCTTCGACGTCATATTCCAATGGTTGGTGGTTTGTAAAGTTGTGGTATATGGATGGGCAAACCACGATGAATCCCTGTCCAGCGATATCTTTGGCGAATCTGGACACGGGACCGGTGACCTGGTAGATCTCACTCCACACCAAGACACCGGGGAATTTGGCCCGGGGGTAGTTGATAATCTTGGGATGGTACACAAACAACCGCATGGTTGTGCCGTACGATGTTTTGACGTCGTGAAAAGTTTCTTCGATCAACATTGGCAGACGTAGTTTAGTGTGTTGGGTGAATAAAAATGCGATTTTGGATAAAAAGAATTATGATACTCCTGGAAAAACGGGATGCTTAGAATATCAATTACAATTGTGTCTGGTACCAGGTTTAAGCCAGTATCCAGTTCCTAGACACATAGCTACAATAGTCATTCATCGGACACATTTATTTATTGTAATTAGTTTCTTTATAACAGTTTGGCTAACCAATTTGCAGGTAGTTCTGGGCTCTTCAGGTTCAGGACTATGCCTGGGTTCCTTGTAGAATCAGGGTTCTCAGGAACTTGGATTTCCCGCAGCCTTTCTAGCGTCAGCTATCAAATTGGTTAGTATTCACATTGTTTGGGATGTTGGTGTTCACATACCTTCTGCTTGTTTTCTTCTCATTTTTTCAGCATCACTTTCCATTCTCTTCTTGGGGTCACCATCCTTCTTCTTACTCTTGGCAGCATCTTGTAGTTTTTTTTGGTTCTTGGCTCTTGCAAGATCTCTTTGGTTGCCTCTAGCCATTTTGGCGATTTCCAGGTTCTTGACTTTTTTCGTGATTCTCAACTCGACACAAAAGTGCGAAATGGCTGCAATAATAAGGACGAATCCAGATGTATTAAGCAGGCAAATTGCCTACACTTTGGCGTCATTGGGCAATTCAGAATTCAGTTTGGTCTGCTAGTAGGAATCGATTTTAGGTGATTTTTATGTTTTTGATTTGGAAGGTGCTTTTATGATAGTGTCGTATCGGATTTTTGGGCACACACGTACCATACGTGCCAGTGATTTGAATATTCCTAAAAAGTCACTCCAAGTGCCAAAAAAGAAGATAGGGATGTGTAAGTATACCACAATCACTTAGTGTACAAAAAAAGGTCAAAAGTGTTCAGATGTACGTAGTATTCCACTACAATTGCAAATGGTTGCAAAATTTGTGAAATCTACAATTTTGTTTTAACCAAAACATTATATTTTACTTATATACCATTTAATCATAAATATGCCAAAGTCCTCCTCAGTCGACTTCTTCAACAGTTGGACCATCACTACCACCAGCACCGGGGGCAGGACCTCCTGGAGCTCCACCAGGCATTCCACCAGGAGCACCACCAGACTGATAGGCAGCAGACATGATTGGGTTGGCAATAGCTTCCAATTCCTTCTGTTTTTCGCTATATTCTTCGGTTGTGGCTTGTTGAGCATTATCCAACCAGTTGATAGTTTCGTCAACGGCGGAGCTCAACTTCTCTCTGTCAGCTTCAGGAATTTTATCCTTCAATTCACCTTCGCTGATGGAGTTCTTCAATTGGTAGGAATAGGATTCCAATCCGTTCTTGGCCAGAATTCTAGCTGCCTCCTTTTCATCCTCTTCCTTGAACTTCTCGGCTTCACTAACCATTCTTTCAATGTCATCCTTAGACAATCTACCCTTATCATTTGTAATAGTAATCTTTTGTTGCTTTCCAGTACCCTTTTCGACAGCAGATACATTCAAGATACCATTAGCATCAACATCAAAAGTGACTTCAATTTGTGGAACCCCTCTTGGTGCTGGTGGAATACCAGACAACTCAAACTTACCCAATAAGTTGTTATCCTTAGTTTTGGTTCTTTCACCTTCAAAGACTTGAATCAACACACCAGGTTGGTTATCGGCATAAGTGGAGAAAGTCTCTGATTTCTTTGTTGGAATGGTCGAGTTTCTGGGGATCAATTTAGTCATGATACCTCCAGCAGTCTCAATACCCAACGATAAGGGAGTAACATCCAATAACAATAAATCTTGAGTTTTGGATGAAGTGTCACCAGTTAAAATGGCGGCTTGAACAGCAGCACCATACGCAACTGCCTCATCTGGGTTAATTGACTTGTTTGGCTCCTTACCGTTGAAATAGTCTGAAACCAACTTTTGAACCTTAGGAATTCTGGTAGAACCTCCTACCAACACTATTTCATTGACTTGGGACTTGTCCAATTTAGCGTCCTTTAAAACCCTTTCGACTGGGTCAATGGTAGATCTGAACAAGTCCGCACACAATTCTTCGAATCTGGCTCTGGTGATGGAAGTATAGAAATCGATACCTTCATACAAAGAGTCAATTTCAATCGAAGTTTGGGCAGACGAAGACAAAGTTCTCTTGGCTCTTTCACAAGCGGTTCTTAATCTTCTTAAAGCTCTTTGATTTCCTGACAAGTCCTTCTTGTTCTTTCTCTTAAACTCATTGATGAAATGGCTCACCAATCTGTTATCAAAGTCTTCACCACCCAAGTGGGTATCACCAGCAGTGGCTTTAACTTCAAATATACCTTCATCGATGGCCAACAAGGAAACATCAAAAGTACCACCACCCAAATCGAAAATAAGAACGTTTTGCTCACCCACGGTACTGGATTTCTTGTCCAAACCGTAAGCAATAGCAGCAGCCGTTGGTTCGTTGATGATTCTCAACACATTCAAACCAGCAATTAAACCGGCATCCTTAGTAGCCTGTCTTTCCGAATCGTTGAAATAAGCAGGCACTGTTACCACAGCATCAGTGACTTTGTCACCCAAGTAACCTTCGGCTGTTTCCTTCATTTTGGTCAAAACCATCGAAGAGATTTCCTCGGGACTGAAAGTTTTGGTCTCACCCTTGAATTCAACCTGAATGGCAGGTTTTCCTCCTTTGTTAACCACTTTGAAGGGAAAGTGCTTAATATCAGCTTGCAACTGTTCCTCATCAAATTTTCTACCAATCATTCTTTTGGCATCAAACACTGTGTTCAGAGGATTCATGGCAGCTTGGTTCTGGGCAGCATCACCAATCAATCTTTCGGTGTCAGTGAATGCCACATAAGAAGGAGTGGTTCTATTACCTTGATCATTTGCAATGATCTCAACTCTATCGTTGGTAAAATGGGCCACACAAGAGTATGTGGTACCTAAATCGATTCCAATAGCTTTACTCATATTCAATAGTTGTAACTAGTAAGTGTAGATAAAAAAAACTCCCTAGGGGCAAGGTGGAGTTTAAATAATAAATTTGCAGTCAAGTAGTTGCCTGATTGCAGAAGGGTTGCGAATTTCTAGAAAATTCGAGTAAGAGTCCCCGCTACCGCCAGAGCCAGTGCGGAGACTAGATACCGGCTGAAAGTTACCGCGAAGATGGCCGTGCATATGGCCAGGCGGTCTCGAATGTACTACAGGGATCTAGAATTTTCGTGGCTGCGAAAGGCTGCACTTCCGGCCACCCTCCCACCGCGATGGCACCATCTACCACGAGGCCCGTGCTACGCCCCAATCAAAACCAATCACTTTTATTAACTATAAAACATTTCTGACAATATGGTCGTTAACCTGGCCATCCAATGAATCATTTCCAGTGAAGCTGACGGCGGTCTTCAAGTACTCTTGATGTTTGATCGCTGCTAACGCATAACAGGCGGAACTAATGGCAAAAAGAATGGCAATAACTAGCAAACTGGTGGCCTGAACCAATAAACTCAACCATTGGATCACACTCATAAGCAAATAAAACCCACATCTGGGCCAGTTTTCATCAAAGTTTTTGATAAAGTTGGTGAAAGTATCAGTCAAAGGGCATATTTTTAATAAAAATGGGACCTCTACAAATAACACAACCAAACCTTGTACGATACAAATGATGGAGAAGATGATCACCAAAGAAGCATGGAAAATGTTAGCTACCCCAAGGGCTAAACACAAAAGCATGGTTAATAACCCGATCCATTGGCCGTATAGGGAGAAGTTCTTTTTCTTGAAATCTTTGGAGAAACCGCCAAAAACATTGGACATAATCGATTGGAACGTCATGTTTTATTGATATATGCCACTTGAAAGTTTCAATTGATGACTCGAAGATAGTTTAAAGTGGGAATATGCTTAACAAGTGGTGTCGTTTTTTGTTTTGTAACAGTGCGCAGCGACAAATGCGCAGATGAGAAGTAAAATCCAATTTGCGAAGACCTAAAACCTCAACAGATATGGGTAGGGAAATAGTCATTGGGCTTGTGGGGAAACCAAGTTCCGGCAAGTCGACCACGTTGAATGCGTTGACAGACGCCAACGCCAAAATTGGGGCTTTCCCGTTCACGACCATCGACCCAAATAAAGCCACTGGTTACTTGGAGGTTGATTGTGCGTGTAAGAGATTTGGATTGGAAGCGTCGTGTAAACCCACATACGGGTACTGTAAACACGGGAAGCGGGGTGTGCCGATAATGCTCTTGGACGTGGCAGGATTGGTACCAAATGCCCACCTTGGCCGTGGCCTTGGGAATAAGTTTCTCTCTGATCTCACCGAAGCCGACTGCTTGATTCATATAGTTGATGTCAGTGGAACCACTGACAGCGAGGGAAAGGCCACCAGGGGCTATGATCCTCTCCAAGATATCGAGTGGCTCCAGGACGAGATTTTCCGGTGGATTCTAGGCAACTTAAAGGAAAGATGGGGTTCTGTCGTCAGAAAGCATGTAGGGACAAAGTCAACCACATTGGAGACTTTAAGAGCCCAGTTGGGGGGTTATTACGCCAACAAGAATTTGATAGCCAAGTGCTTGGATGACATTCCCAACTTGCCTGCTTTACAGCACTGGGATGAAGAGATGATTGAAACAGTGGTGCGGTCTTTTATGAAACACAAGTTTCCTACAGTATTGGCTATGAACAAGATGGATCATCCCGACAGTGACAAGAATGTGAGTAAAATCATACTAAGGTACCCGGACTCCAAGTGTGTATTGACGTCTTCCATCACTGAGATCTTGTTGAGAAAGCTCGCTGCTCAAAAATATATCAAGTATGAACCGGGAACTGAGTTTGTGGACACCAAAGACGACTTGCCCGACGAAGACTTGAAGCCTCTCGACGATAAGCTTCGAAACAGAATCGAGAACATCAGAGATTTGGTTCTCTACCGATTTGGATCTACTGGTACCGTACAATTGTTGCAAACTGCCACCGAACTTTTGCAGCTAATTCCCGTATACACCGTGAGGAACATCCACAATTACACAGGGGCCTCGGGTAGTGAGGTGTTCAGAAACTGCTTATTGGTGAAGAAAGGAACTCCGGTTATTTCGGTGGCTCGTAAGGTGATGGGAGATGTGACTATTGCAGCCATTGAAACGGTTGGTGGAGTGAGGGTTGGGGAGGAAGACACAGTGGATGTCAACAAGAACGACATTTTAAGTTTCCGAATCGTTCCCGGGTCGCACAATTAAATGGAGATGGAGTTGAGAAGATAGATTGTACATAGCTCAATGCATATACCACATCGGAGAGAATGTATCACACAGCTCTGACCATCACGTTGGACAAGTTACTCTCAGTAGACTATTAGTAATTCTCGACCACTGCGGCCATCCTGGACCACTGCGGCCATCCTGGACCACTCCAGCCACTCTGCCACATTTAGTGATTCCATCTCATCCTTCTGCCAGTGCGTATTTATCAAAAAAATCAGTCGCATCCATTTCTCCTGTTCAAGCCTTTCGATATAACATGAGTACCGTTCAAAGTACATCACCGATCCCAGATCCTACCACTGAAAACGTCCCTGATCCAAGCACAGTAAAATCAACCAAAAACACCGTTTCGTCTGAGGTGAACGAGAAAGCCGAACCTTCTGCATCGCTTGTCCAAGCAGTCAAGATCACCAAAGACCAAGAGGCAAAATTACAAACACTCATCCAGTCCATCCCTAAAATCCTTGACCAATTGGATGACAAGGAGTACGATGAGATATTCGGATACAGAATCAACGTTGCTGGAGAAGAGTACGTCAATGAAACCATCAGAAACGAAATTCTCTTAAAGTTCTTGATAGCTAACGAATATGACGTATCGATCACCATTACCAAGCTCGTGAAAACCTTGAATTGGAGGCACACGTTCAAGCCGTTGTCTGCTGCGTACAACGAGAAGTTCGACGCTCAATTGAACAAATTGGGCGTGGTTACGTATCTTCCTAGGGAAAAGCTCGATAACTTCAAGGTGGCAACCTGGAACTTGTACGGCAATGTCAAGGACCCAAAGGCGTTGTTCGAGCACTTTGGGGGAAGTGACTCCAAGTTGCCTGGATCGACGTTTTTGAGATGGAGAGTCGGTTTGATGGAAGACTCATTACTGTTTGTTGACTTTACTGACGCAGCCAACCATAAAATCGCCCAGATCCATGATTACAACAATGTGTCAATGTTCAGAATGGATAAGAAAATGAAGGAAACCACTAAGGAAATCATCCATATTTTTGGTGACAATTACCCCGAGTTGTTGTCAACCAAGTTCTTTTTGAATGTCCCTAGTATCATGAGCTGGGTGTTTGGTTTCTTTACCACCATCGGAGTCATCAGCAAGCAAACGTTGCAAAAGTTCCGTCCTTTGAACCACGGTAACTTGACCGAGTGGTTTACTGAGCCTTTACCTCTGGCGTACAACGGAGGAAACTCCAGTAAAATAGGCCTGATTTTCGATCTTGATGTGGCCAAACAGGCTCAAATCCCAACGTACGCCAAGGTGATCTTGGAGAAAATTAATAAGGAGAACATCGAAGATCTCACCAACGATGTCGAGTAGAGAAAATGTCAACCACGACAGAAGGGTTCTAAAATTTCCAAAAACTGTGTTATCAAAGATTAAATAGGTTCATTAATAAATGGCGTTTCTTAGTTGCAGCCACTTCTCTGAATGGCCTGGAGCTTCCACACAAAAGCCCAAGTGATCATAATCGTCAACCAATTTAGTAGTCCAAACCCTGGCACAAAGTCCCAGTCCTACGTAGCCTCACCAAATTACACCAAGCACTTGCTAGCTCTCAGTAATCTCAAATCCGCGATGCAAAAACAATTTATCTATCCCCATGAGCGATTACTACCAATTATTGGGGGTGGGCTACGATGCATCGCAGGAGGACATCTCCAAGTCTTTTAAAAAACTTGCCGTCAAATACCATCCTGATAAGTCCAAGGATCCCAAGCATCACGAGGTTTTTATCCAGTTAAATCAGGCATATGAAACTCTCAAGTCTCAGGATACAAGAAGGCAATATGATATACAACACAATTTTAATACCAAGTCCTCCTCACTCCACGAGTTTTTCACCACCTCTGGGTACACCGATGCATACACGCACCCGAGGTATACGTCTTACGACAGAGGATCTAAGTTTGCGTGGAGTCAATTCAAAACTCACTTTACCACCAGTGATTTACTCCAGAAGCAGCGCCAGGCGTACGCGGAGAAGGTTCGTCGTGACGTCGAGTTGAAGAAGGCCCAGGAGAAGGCTGAGAGAGAGCGGGAGGCGCTCCGGCAGGAAATGGAACGAGTGAAACTCAACCATTTGGAGAAGCTCAGGGAAATGAAGGAGGCGGAACAGGCAAGAAACAAGGAACAACAACAAGCAAGACAGGCGGCTACCACCGAAGAGTCTGGCGACTTTGACGCAAACATGTACAACCAGCGTAAGAAGCAAGCGTATCGAGCCCAGTGGTCTGAGCCTCTCAGGGCCTACGATGGGGATATCTTTGAGACCAACTTTGCCAGGCGCAAGAAACCTGTTGATCCACCACAGCCAAATAGCCTGGCTGACTTTGGGCACAAAGGAAACCAATTTGACCCGATTGTGGTCGATGACGACACGGAAGTTGAAATGAGACCTGGAAGTGTCGAGGTAGAGGAGATAGAGATCAATACACCTCTGAGTGCTGGCCCCAGTGGAAGTAGTTCCATGGGCACCGCCGAGTCTGATCACGAGTCGTCTAGTTCAGGCTCCTCTGTCGATGCAAATGCCACGTTTAACGACAATGATGATGATAACGAAAATTATGATAATAATGTAAAGACGGAATCCGACGAAGAAGAACACCATGGCAGCTATTCGGAACCTATAGTCGTGGAAGAGCCTGGTGAGAAGAATGAAACTCTGGGAGTGTCTTCTCCCTCTTCTCCAAAGAGAAATCTTAGCGAAATACCCCAACTCCGGCCTTCTAAGAGGGCAAAGGTAGAGCCGTTTTCGATGAACGATCTCCATGCCTCGCTAGGACCCGATATAGGAAGTGATAACTTGAGCAACTTGAGGGAGAGCCTTCCCAACTACAGTGACAATGAGCAGAAACCGTCTGGGACGAACCAGTCCCATAATTCAAGCTTCAAAACCTCTAAAAGACATAAAGTCGCTGAGTACTCGGATGGAACATCGAAGGCTGAAACCCTACACACACCTATCAACAAATCCCAAACAAGAGGGTACGGTTATCAGGAACCAGTAGGAATGCTGGACTTTAATGCATCAACCATCGTCAACGCCATCAGGCCTCCCAACCCCCCTTCCATCAGCGTCAACCATCATTTGACCAAAACCACTTGGGACGGATATGTAAGGTCTATGTTGCTGTACCAACAGAAGTTTATCGAGTACAGGACCAAGATCATCAACTATCAAGCCGAAAGAGCCAGTAGAGATAGTGAGCTTATAGTGGCTTGTAACCAAAACATCGATTTGTTTCAACTATACTTGAAGTGCTTAGATCAGGATTCGGTGGTGTTGACACGATTTGCGGAAAACATCAAGGTGTTTAACCAAACCTTGAAAGATTACAAGAACAACTGTGACTGGGTGGAGAAAATCAAACTTCTTTCTTAGACAACCAGAATCCATTAGAAGGTGTGGTAGCCTATGTATATACTGTGTAATATAATTTATAATCAACGTCTGTTTTTGCAGCCAGTCGCCAAACAACCTTTGCAGACGCGACTTCAAAATCGAGAACAAAATCTGCTACGTTTTAAGTTGTAATTACATTTGTGTTCTACTCCCAAATACCAACTGGAAAATGAACAAGCAACGGCAGCTTTTACTCTCCATTGGGGTGCTTTTCCACTTATTCTATATGTGGTCGATTTTTGACATTTACTTTGTCTCCCCATTGGTGCACGGAATGGACCAGCATGTTTCCAATGATGAGCCTCCCGCAAAACGATTGGTTTTGATTGTGGGTGATGGGTTGAGAGCCGACAAGACGTTTCAGAAACTCCACCATCCTAAAACCGGCGAGTACAAGTACATGGCTCCGTATTTACGAGATATTGTCCTCAATAAAGGAAGATGGGGCATCTCCAACACCAGAATGCCTACTGAGTCCCGACCAGGGCATGTGGCGTTGATCCTGGGATTCTACGAAGATGTTAGTGCTGTCACAAAAGGATGGAAAGAAAACCCAGTGGATTTCGACTCATTTTTCAACCAAAGTACTCACACTTATTCTTTTGGTTCCCCAGATATTCTTCCCATCTTTTCGATAGGAGATGTGGTACCGGGAAGAATTGACTGTCATATGTATGGCCACGAGTTTGAAGACTTCACATCCAACAGTATCGATTTGGACTCCTATGTGTTCAAGCATTTCAACGAGTTATTGGATAACCTGACCACAAACAGCACTTTGGACCAGGAATTAAGAAAGGATGGAAACGTGTTTTTCTTGCACTTGTTGGGCTTAGACACCGCTGGACACGCTTACAGACCATACTCTGCTGAGTACTATGACAATTTGCAGTACGTGGATGCTCAGTTGTCACAGTTGGTTCCCAAAATCAACGAATTTTTCAACGACGATAAAACTGCTTTTGTGTTTACTGCTGACCACGGAATGTCCGACTTTGGTTCTCACGGAGACGGTCATCCGGACAACACCCGTACACCTTTGGTGACATGGGGAGCTGGAGTTAAGAAACCGGAAATAGCATCTGCCGATGATTTGGTAGCCCAAGATCCAGTCAAAAGTGGATACGAACCTGAGTACTTTGATACGTGGGAGTTTGAGCATTTGGTGAGAAATGATGTGAAACAAGCCGATATCTCTCCGCTAATGGCATATTTGATCGGTACAAACTATCCTAAGAACTCGGTTGGTGAGTTACCGTTGGATCTACTTTCTGACCCTACTATTCTTAAGATTAAAGGGTTATACAGGAACGCATTAGGATTGATTGAGCAATACCACGTCAAAGAGAGAGAGGTGTACAACCACCAGTTCAAATTCAAGCCCTACAAATACTTTGAAGAACATAAGATAGAAGAATACAGAGCTGAGATCGAGCAGTTGATTTTGCAGTTAGAAAATGATGGTGAAGATGAAACAATAGAATTGAAGGTAGTCGCTTTGTGTAAGGAATTGAGTACTCAGGTGTTGATAGGGTTGAACTACTTACAAACCTATAACTGGGTGTTTTTGAGAACAATGGTATCTTTGGGATTCTTGGGTTGGATTGTGTTTTCGTTTATCATTTTTTTGAAACTATTTATTCTCAAGGAAAGTATTCAGGAACAGGCCCATGTGTCTTACAACATAGTGTTTGGTCTTGTTTCAACTGGGATTCTCTACATGTTGTACTACCAACACTCGCCTTTCAATTACTACATGTACTCTACTTTCCCATTGTATTTCTGGTACAATATTTTGATCAACAAGAGAAATCTCGTTACGGGGTTGGATGACCTTCTCAAGAACATGAATTTCTTCACCAAGAACTTGATCCTTGTTTCCTTCATTGGAATGTATGAAAGTATCGTCTATGGTTTCTTCAATAGAATCATTTTCTCGGTTTTGTTCGTATTGATAGGAGCTTATCCATTCTTCTTCAAGATTGACTTCAAATTGAAAGCTCTTTGGTTCGTGACCTGTTGTGGCATGACTGTGTTCACAAACTTAAGTCCCATCAAGACCGAGGACTTGTTCCAAATCAACATTGGTGGAATCCTCTCCTTGATCATTGGATTTATTGGATTTAGATACTTGAATTCTAAGTTTGTCATTGACTCTTACATCAAGCAATTGATTGCCTGGCAAAGTGTGTGTGTTGTGGTGATGTTAGCAAGTGCCAATGTGGCAATTTCTTCTTTACAGAACCGTACGGGGTTACCATTAGCAAGTCAGGTTACCAGTTGGATCACATTTGTCGTCTCATTGGTGGTGATTCCTGCTCTATTTGCCATCAAACCTACCTCAAACTACGAAGTTAGGCTCCTAGTGATATTCTTGGCGTTTGTTCCTACATTTATAATCTTGACCATCTCGTTTGAGTTGTTATTTTACATCGGATACTCGGTTATTTTACTCGAATGGCTTGTTATCGAGAAAGAACTAAAGGCTTCCAGAACCAGCCAGTGGGGCCAAAGTATTAGAGTCACCATCATTGGCTTTTTCTACTTGCAATTGGCATTCTTTGGAACTGGAAACATTGCATCCATTTCTTCCTTCTCTTTGGATTCGGTATACAGATTGATTCCCGTGTTCGATCCTTTCCCCATGGGAGCATTGCTTATGGTCAAGTTGATCATCCCATACATTTTACTTTCCACTTGTTTGGGAATAATGAACTACCAGTTAGATATTGAAAAGTTCACGATTTCCACCTTAATCATCAGTACCAGTGACATTTTATCGTTGAACTTCTTCTTTTTGGTCAAAACAGAAGGTAGTTGGTTGGACATAGGAACCACCATTTCGAATTACGTGTTGGCGATGTTAAGCTCGTTGTTTATGTTAATTCTAGAGCTCGTGAGCTCGGTAGTGTTGAAGGGGGTCGAGTTTACCGAGAGAGAAAAGGGTGTCAAGCCCACCAAAAGGGCACGTAAGAGCCCCACTGCCGCCACCAGCTCGGCCACCACCAGCTCGGTGCCGGTACGCAACTTAAGACCTAGGAAACCCAAGCCGGTTGACTAATTACACATACTAGTTATCTAGATGACTCACTAAAAACCATATCTCATTCTCATTTTCTCATTTTGACTGAAAAAATCTTTAACGCTCTTATTGACACATATTGTTCATCATGACCACCGACAAGAAACGGGTGTTGATGATCGACAACTACGACTCGTTCACCTGGAACTTATATCAGTACTTGAACCAGAGCAAGTATTGTGACAAGGTGGACGTTTACCGTAACGATGAAATCACCATCGAGCAGATTGAGAACGACATAAAGCCTGATTTATTGTTCATCAGTCCTGGCCCCGGTCACCCTTCCACCGATGCTGGTATCAGCAGAGCCGCAATTGATTACTTTAAGGGCAAGATCCCCATTGTGGGTGTTTGTATGGGATTACAGTGCATGTTTGAGGTTTTCGGTGGGTCCGTCACCTACGCGGGAGAAATTGTTCACGGTAAAACCACCACCATCCACCACGACGGTAAGGGGATGTTCACCGATATCCCCCAGTCGGTTGCCGTCACCCGGTACCACTCTTTGGCTGGTAGCCTTCTGTCGTTGCCGGACTGCTTGGAAGTCACCGCTAGAACCGAGACCAGCCCTCAGATTATCATGGGCATAAGACACAAGAAGTACGCCATTGAAGGAGTGCAGTTCCACCCCGAGTCGATTTTGACAGAAGAGGGCCATGTGATGATAGACAACCTTTTGAAGATCAACGGGGCGTACTGGGCGGATAGTCAAAAGATTCCCGTTAAAGAGAATATCTTAAACAAGATATACGATCAAAGAAGAAAAGACTACGACGAAATCGCTCAATTGCCCGGTAAATCATTAGAAGAGTTGCAGGAATACTTGGACTTGGGGTTGGCGCCAAAGCTCATCAACTTCTACCATCGGTTGAATTCCACCAAGGAAAACAGCCGGAATATCATTTTGAGCGAGTTCAAAAGAGCATCTCCTTCCAAGGGAGTGATAAACATCAAGGCCAACCCCGTGAAGCAGGCATTAACATACGCAAGCAATGGGTGCTCAGCTATTTCCGTGTTGACGGAACCCAACTGGTTCAAAGGGTCAATTGAAGATATGGCGTTGATTCGCAAGAGCATCGACCTGGTGGAAAATAGGCCGGCAGTGTTGAGAAAAGAGTTTATCTTCAACCAGTATCAGATCTTAGAGGCCCGGTTACAGGGAGCCGACTCAGTGTTGTTGATTGTGAAGATGTTGGAGCCGGTGTTGTTGGCGCAGTTATATGACTATTCGTTGGAGTTGGGAATGGTTCCGTTGGTAGAGATTAACAACGACGAAGAGTTGAAAACGGCCTTAACGTTGGGCACAAAAGAGCCCATGGTGATTGGGGTCAATAACCGGAACTTGGTGAGTTTTGATGTTGACTTGAACACAACCACCAACTTACTTGACAGTATCAGGCTGAATGGCAGAGACATTTTGGTGTTGGCCCTAAGCGGAATTACCTCGGTGGAAGATGTGGTGCAATACAAGAAACAGGGAGTTGATGGGTACTTGATTGGTGAAAGTTTGATGAGAGCAGAGGAGAGTGGTCACGCTGCCCAGTTCCTAGCCGACTTGTGCACCTGCTGAGGAATTAAGATGGTTAATAGAAATGTACGATAAACTATAGGAGGAAGAGGCGGTCGTGGCACTGGCCATTATCACCATATTCGCGAACGCGTCGCCCTGCTAAAATAAAACCTAACTAACCATGGACGCATCAAGTAAGAGAATCGACGGCACAATCTTACAGGCCAACCAAGGAAAGATCGTACGCATAATTGGAAAATTGGAACAATATGATGGTACCAATGGCACTCTCAAGAGCAACGGTGACGTTCAGTTAAACCTCAGTTCTGTAACCACCGATTTGGATTTTGAAGTCAACAACAATTACGAAGTCATTGGCAAAGTGGGTGATGATTTGAGCATCAGTGTATACTCGGTGTTGGCAATAAGTGACAACTTCAAACTTGACAACTATTTTCAACTCGTCAAGTTCATCAATAAAGTACCCGAGTTATTTTATTAAAGGCTATAAGCTATTTATGTCGTTAAACAACGAGATGAACCGCGGTTCCGAATGCTTGTGAGCCCATGATGGTAAGGGTGTAGCGACTGCCTTTATATACTTCAAGTTTCCTAAAGCTATGAGCAACCTGTAATTAGCTTCTTCAATGTTTGTATCATTAATGTATTTTGCAAGGTCACCCGATCCGACTTTTTGTTTGACTTGAACAGCAGACAAATTGTAGATTAATGTCGAAAAGCCGGTGATACACTGGTTGTAGTGCTTATGGTGCTGGTCGACTTTCTTTTGTGTCAATGTATCGAGGAGTTGGAAGAGTGCACTGCTGAACGTGACATTATCACCTTCAGAGTCGGCGTAGATTTGCATGAACAACACCGAATCCACCAAGTTGTTCAAAAACCTTCCAAACATCATGAGAACACTGGGGTTTTCACTTGCTGCACCTTTTTCAATGAAAGACTGCACTAGTTCGGGTAGGTTTTCGTTCTTCAAGATATCACTAATGCCCAATTTGCCAATCAACAGTCTCAACAAGTCAAACCCAACAAGATACGACGACTCATCCCACTCAAATACCTGAGGAACCAAGTTTGTGATCATATCGGCTGCCTCGGAGCTGGAAACGTCAAAGTTTGTGGGAATGGATGAAAGCTTATGAGTTTGCAGGTCATTGAACTTGGTCAATCCTCTGTTCAACTGAGAGCTGTTAATGTCCTTGAACTGGATATACTGAGTCACTGGAAGAACAGAGAGGGACACTTGTGCCTTTGTCTCGACCGAGTCGGACGTTTCTGTCAAACTAACTCCTTGAGTGTTTTTTTCTAAAAAGGCAACCACATCTTGAACGTAACTAGCAGGTAATTCATTATCAGCCAAAAATTGATTGGCAACGGTATATGTATTGTCACCCGCATTGTATGGCAACTTCAAAGGGGGCTTGCCGTCTTCGAAGTCCACATCAAACACATAATCGTACTCTTTACCGTTGTGGACCTTTTTGTCTGAAGAAGCAGACGAGCCCACCACATCACCAATTTTATTCCACTGACCGTTGGACCATTGGTATGCCTCAATAACCCCCACAGGGCTTTTGACCATGACTGTTTGGCCCTCAGTGCCATGAACCTCGAGTCTCTCGTAACCGGGCACGTCAGTTTTGTTGATATCGACCGACTGTTCAGCAATGGTAGAGGTTTTGACAGACTCCTCGAACCGCTCGAGGTCTTCTTTGGCGGCATATCTCTCTGGATCGCTGGTGAAGATTCTGATGGAGTTGTCGGAAGAGCCCACCACAATATCATTGCCTACATTTGTCAAACACCAGTTGGAAATACATGGTAAAGTAATGGCCTGTAGGAGAGCCTGACCTTTCCAGATTCTGACCGACCGGTCCTCGCCTGCACTAACCAACAATCCGTTGGGAAGGGCCACAAGATCGTAAATGAAGGACTCATGACCCAGTAAAGTCGAAATCAATGTTCCTTCCAAGGACCAGATCTTAATGGTTCCATCATTCGAACAAGAGGCGAACGTACCATCTCCTAAAAGCAACAACTTTCTCACCACATCGGTATGACCTTTGAAGATATGGGTCACCGAATTGCCGTTCCAGAACCTGATGTACTTATCGGCGGAACAAGTCAAGTACCGATTGTCATCGACGATAACCGCATCCAAAACCGACATGCCAGTATCACTCTTCAAAGTAAGCACACACTCGTAGGTCGACAAGTCCCAGACCTTGGCAGTGCCGTCCCAACTAGAGCTAATGAGCTTGTTGTGGCGGTGGTGGAGAGAACAGATGTTGTTCTGGTGGCCAATCAAGTTATAGATTCCCACGTCATTGACGGGCTCATCGAGCGAATTGATGAACACAACGTTGTCCTTACCACCGCTGGCCACCAAGTTATCGTCCAAGCAGCACACAGCGTTGATGAAGGAGTTTGTGGATGAATGGAATACAATTGAGTGGGATTGATCCAGAAGGCTCCAGGCGCGGATGGTACCATCCCGGGAGCAGGAGACCACGCGGGGCGCCACCGCATCACCCGGGGTGGTGGCGACATCTTTGACGTCCTGCTCATGGCCTATGAGAGTTTTGCTGAGTTTGTACACCATTGGCGAAGATGTGATAGATGTGAATGGTGGAGGTGAAAATGGCTCGGAGGCAAACGCGCGCAGATACAGATCACGTGATATACACACACTCACGTGACTCCATCGCCCAGCCCCGCTCCTTCCTATTTGGGATGCCAATTAATTGCGAAGAGCCCACGAGGGCACCGAAAACCAAGACATTAATTACCCAGAATTTTACCATCTAAAAGTCACACGAGTAATTGACGTTTTCAGACCAGCTGGAAAATCTTAACGGCTTTCTTGCATCTTGACGTATTCCAAGACCCCTTTCGAACACGCCTAACCCTCGCTTAACTCCATGAAGTTTAACCAGTCTTTGAAATTCAATATCGTTCCTGAGTGGTCAGACCACTATTTGGCCTATGACCACTTGAAAAAAATCATCTATGGGTTGCAGAAGAAACAGCTCGACTTGGACATCGAGTTCAAACTCAACCCCACCACCGTATCGGACCTCTTGGACCAACTCGGCCTGGATCTTTCCAAAACCAGTTCTCGGACATCCACCACCAGTCTCACCCGCACTGAGATTCATGAGGACTCTACCAGTGAATTTAAACGGTTTAAAACGGGGGCATCGACAGCTGACGCCGAGAACACCGAACCCCACGACGACCGGTCTGCTAGCAACGACATCGCCAGTTGTTTACGGAAATTGGAGGCCGCTACCAAGAAAAAAACTTTCAACCCATTGTTGGAATTTGCCAAGCAGTTGTTGATGGAGTTGGAAAAAATCGACCAGTTCTACGCGCAGATTTACCAGGAGATCAATGGGGAGTACAACTACCTCATCAAGGATTTGCTCACGTTGAATGAGGCGCATATTTTCAATTATATCGAGTCAGAGGAGAAAGAAGGAGCCACAAAGCTCAGCAGAACCACCAGCCATTTCACCATTGCTGAGGACCAAGCTGAGGTGGACTCGTCGGACGACGATGCGGACTACGAGCACAACGAGTCGACAGCTTTGGTCAACCCCAAGAACTTTAATGTTCGGTTACAGAAACTTGTGACGTTGAAACAAAGTAACAAGTCGGTGTTCATCAAGATGAATGAGTTGAAGTCATTTATCGAGTTGAATAAAATCGGGTTTGCCAAGATCACCAAGAAATTTGATAAGAACTTGAACTACGACATCAAGGACGACTTTATCACCAACTTTCTCGTACAGAATTCGGTTATTTTCAATGACACCAGTTTGATCCGGCTTAACCAACGGATCGACCGTATTGTCAACTCGTTCACGTTCATCTCCCACCGCTTGGACCCTTCCAAGTCAATAGAGTCGATTCGGTTCGAGCTCAACTCCTACTTGCGCGACCATATCATCTGGGAGAGAAACACCGTATGGAAGGACTTGTTGAGTTTACAGACCAAGAGACAGGACTTCCACTTGAACTCCGACGACTTGTTGGACTTGAGCATGAAAAAGTACACGGTCCTTGGAGTGGGCTTTAGTCTCCCCCGGTTTTTGGTGAGTTGGCAGACGTTTAAGATTCTTTTGGCGGTGGTGGCTTTTGTGGTGTTTATGGCCGTCAAGACTTTCAATGACCCGGTTGAGGGAAGAGCTTTGGCGGTCTTGATCACCTGTGCGATTTTATGGGCCACTGAGGCCATTCCGTTATTTGCAACCGCCATGTTGGTGCCATTATTGGTGGTGACTTGCAAAATCTTGCGGAACGACGACAACAGTGTTATGGACGCCTCGGACGCGGCAAAGCTTATCTTGAGCGACATGTGGACGTCGGTGATCATGATTTTGGTGGGCGGGTTTGCGTTAGCAGCCGCGTTGTCCAAGTATAATATTGCCAAGATCCTCAGCTCGTGGATCTTGTCGTTGGTGGGGACCAAACCCAGAAACATCTTGTTGACGATCATGATGGTGTCATTGTTCTTGTCGATGTGGATCTCGAACGTGGCTACTCCCGTGTTGTGTTATTCATTGATCCAGCCGGTGTTGAAAACCCTCCCCACCGACTCTCCATTTGCCCAGGCGTTGATCTTGGGAATTGCGTTTGCTTCCAATATTGGGGGCATGGCCTCGCCTATCTCGTCTCCACAGAACGTGGTGGCCATTGAGTCGATGAGTCCCAATCCCGGTTGGGGAAACTGGTTCGCCATTGCGCTTCCAGTGTCGATCATCGCCGTTGTGGCCATTTGGCTCGAGTTGATTTTGACCTTTAAGGTCAGCACCTCCAATGTCAAGCCCTTCAAGCCCATCAAGGATAAATGGACTGTTAAGCAGATGGTGGTGCTTGCAATCACTTTGGCAACGATTTTGTTGTGGTGTGTGTTGACGAAGATCGAAGACACTTTTGGAGCCTCGGGGATTATTGCTGTGATCCCAATTGTATTGTTCTTTGGAAGTGGATTATTGAAAACTGCCGACTTGAACAACTTCCCCTGGTCGATTGTGATTTTGGCCATGGGTGGGTTGGCCTTGGGTAGTGGAATCTCGTCGTCGGGTTTATTGAGTACGATTGCTCAGGCTTTGCAGAAGAGAGTTGAGCACTACGATGTGTGGGTGATTATGATCATTTTCGGGATTTTGATTTTGGTCATTGCTACCTTTGTTTCACACACGGTGGCTGCCTTGATTATTGTACCATTGGTGAAGGAAGTGGGAGAAAAGCTTCCTGGGGACCATTCCAACTTGTTGGTTATGGGTATTGCTTTATTGGCATCGGCAGCCATGGGATTACCCACGTCGGGATTCCCCAACGTCACGGCTATTTCTATGACGGACGAGTTGGGCAAACGGTACTTGACGGTCAACACCTTTATTACAAGAGGAGTACCCGCCAGTTTTATTGCATATATCATTGTCATTACCATTGGTTATGGTATTATGAACGCTCTCAAGTTTTAGATTGTTTAAAATTCACGATAACACAACCGAACGTACTTAGTTACATTTATTATTACATACGGGTATCATTAATTGGGTCCGTATAGTCCCGTTTGGATGTCCTGGAAAACCCCATTCTGCTCCATTTGAAGAAGTAACGCCGCAATTGCTGGCTCCCACGTAGGTGACGTCAAGAAAAATTGCAAGTAGTCCGACAAGATGGCATGCTTCTTGGCGTACTGGAAGTAGTAGTTGGTGTCGATATTATTGAATGCCCCAGCCTCATATAACCCACCAACCAACTTGGGAAACATGGACAAAATCGTCAGGTTTTGCATCACCTCCATGGCTGTCGAACACAAGATCTGAGTGTTGTTCAAGCTTTGCAAGATTGATACAAGGCTTGTCGAAAACACTTGTGATTGCAATACCCCGTTTATAATATTGTTGAGAAACTGCTCGGCCGAACCATCATAATCTCCCCTAGCACTAAGCATATCATCCACCACTTCCCGAGTGTCAAAGCTCAACACCTGCTGTTTGTTGTTGGCGGTGGCAGCAGAAGAGTTGTATTTGGGGTTCAAGTTGGGGGTGTGTTGTATGGTATCAGCAATCATGTTCACCGTCAACGGCTTACCCGCACCCAAGTTGTTCAAAAGCTGCCCTACCCATGTGTGACTACGGAGTAACTCTCCGGTGATGTTGGCCAAAATCTGCCGGTTGGAAGAGTCGAGTAATAAGCATCCGGCCGTCGACTGGATGAGGCCACTGCTCATGACCTGGTCGAGAATCTGGCTGGTATTAATTGAAATGTTGATGTTCTGAAGGAACGGAAGCAGGTCCAAGGTGGTGTTACCATTCAACAACCCGGCCGTGACGTTGATCAACGAGTTGATTTCATCGTCGTTGCTGGCGATTTCGTAGAGGGTGTCCACTATGATTCCGGAGTTGTTGACGGATATCAACAATGCATCGAGGGTGGAGGTTGACACCTCGTCTCGGCCGAAAATCGTTTCGTCCGTGATGTACTGGAGGTCATTGACGAGTTGCTCGTACCGAAGGTTGCCTTGGGGGTCGAGGGTGTCTACCCATGAGCAGCAGACGGCTGTCAAAAGCGTTAAAAATGGTATAATTTGGTATAAAAACATGGATCAAATATCAGCGGGGTGATATTATCAGGTGCACAGATGAGACCGATGAGTAGCAAGTAGGTACAATGAATACGCAACAGGTAGGGGCAACAAGTTTGGAAATGAAGAAATGAAGAATCACAGAATGCTTTGTGTATCAGTTGTTGAACAAAAAAGTTTGGGTGGATTTTTATTATATAAATGTGGAGCAGGGTATCACTGACATTTGCGTCGTGTGGAGTTATGGTTTTCCTGTGAGTTTTTTAATTTCCTAATGAGGAATGTTTTGAGGGCATGCTCATTTGAACAGAAATCATATATTTGGGCATAAGTTATGCTGGAGTGCCGCAAAAATGCCAGGACTTCGTGGGCACATGAACATTAGTGTATAAGGCAGGAATACCAAGTCACAGCTTCCCAGAACTCTTAGAAGTTGGCATTTAACCTGTGCCCAACTAAAATTGAGGGACCTCGCAATTAACTTACCCAACTAGGTAAGTAATCAGTTAACCGAAAAAGGAAATTATAGCTGATGTTGGTGATTGCAAAATAACTGCAAGTGGTAAGAATAGGGCTTTAATTGGCATTGCCTCTTCATTTAAAAGATAAAAAGGATCCTCCACCTTCAAATTTCTCATCCCAATTATGCGTTTTGACTTCTTGTTGTGTTTGGGGTCTGTGTTCATCACAGCCCAGTCACTAGTGGTTCGTGATGCTCCACAAGACATCGTACCACTTTCCATAGAAGATGCCGTCCCAGGTAAGGACCTCTACCAATCATTTCAAGATGCGTTGACAGAAGAGCAACTCGACATCATTGAAGAGCTCCAAGACCTGCTTCAAGCTAGTCTTTTTGAGGATGACAATGTGTACGAATATGATAAAAGAGACCTTGAATCTACCATTGAAAGTGTCATCAACTTGGTCAACCTGTCAGGTGTGGTGTGGACTGCTTTGGACTATGCGGCAGACCATCCCTCTTTGATCAGCTACCTTGCCAATACCACTGCTTCATTAATTGACAAAGGTGCTGATGCCAATGTTTCGGGAATAGTTTCTGTAGTTGCGGGAGCAGCATCAAACTTGAATCTTACTGCTCTTAGCAGTTTGGTGCTGCAATCTGGCTTGATCCAATCGACTTTAGATGGGCTTTTGTTGGAAGAAAAGTACAGAAAGGACATTTCCAAGATCATCTACAATGTGGTTGAAAAAAACATTGACTTGATCACTTTGATTGCTAGAGAGTTGTTAGCACCTGCCAACAGTAATTCGAAGAGAGCTGAAAGCAGTTCCCTTCTTGACTTTGTTGGCAACATTGCTGGTTCGTTTTTGAACTCAAAGATTTTATACAATGGGTTGGGAGAGGTGTTGAACGCTTTGAACGACACGGGATTCGTAGTCTATACCGCTCAACGGTTTATTGACACTCCCGCATACGTCAATATGACAGGTGACTTGATCAGTGAAGTGCTTTCCAAGTCTGATATCAGTTTGAGCAGTCTCACGTCTTCCATCAATATCACTGCTTTGGTTAGTTCAGCATTATCAGATCCAGCTGCCATCACTGCCATCATCGGAAAGGTCTTGAAGGGTGATTACTCAGGACTCACCTCTGGGCTTTCATCTTTTGCCAAGCGTTATAAGCCCGCCATTACTGGCATTATTTCTGATTTGGAGGACTTGGGTCTCTTTAAAGACTTGAATAATGCCATTTTCCCCAGTACCACTGGAAGCAGCAACAACAAGGAAGTGGTAGCCACCGAAGTGGCAAACTCCACCTCCTCTACCTCCTCATCTATACCACTAGCAACGACGTCCGAGTCCGGAACTGGAGGTTTCGTTATGAATACCTTGCTTGTGGCCCAGGCATTTTTCGCAGTCGTTTTCTTCATGTAATGATATAATTATAATACCAATGAAAAGTTTCAATTACGGGAAATCACCAACCGATATCGTTGTCAGATTTCACCCTGTAGTGTAGTTTACTGTGATTTGTTACTTATGGTAAGAGACTCATATAGGGTTGGTTTTCAGTCCAAAGCCTCCGAACCCAACAACCAGGTGGCCATTATCCCTATTTTCCTACTGCTTACTGAACAATAACTGTCTGTGGGTCACAAGTTCTATGAAGAAAGCACTTATCCAGATCTTGTAGTAATCACAATATGATTTGAAACCGTAGAGCAAAAACTAGTAAAATATCAAAGGTGCGCGGGAGGAGCGATAAGTGAATCACTTAAGATGAACAGACTTTTTGGAAGCAAGAACACAGCACCCAAGCCGTCACTTAATGACGCCGTCAAAAACATCGACGACCGTGTAGGTAGCTTGGATGTCAAGTTGTCCAAACTCAACTCCGAATTGTCCACCTACCAACAGAAATTGTCTCGAATGAGAGACGGCCCCGGAAAGTCAGCATTGAAGCAAAAGGCGTTAAAGCTCTTGAGACAGAGAAAACAGATTGAAGCACAGAAAGACCAGTTGGAAAACCAGTCGTGGAACATGACTCAGGCCGCCATGACCACTGATAACTTGCAGAATACCATGATTACGGTGGATGCCATGAAACAAGCCAATAAACAGTTGAAGAAGACATATGGGAAGATAGATATCGATAAGATTGAGTCATTACAGGACGAAATGCTCGACTTGATAGACAAGAGCAACGAGTTACAGGAGTCGTTGTCGATGACAAACGATATTCCTGACGATATAAGTGAGTCTGAGTTAGATGCCGAGCTTGATGCTTTGGGAGAAGAAATGGATTTCGAAAGTGAAATGAATGAAGGGTTGTCGATGCCCAGTTATCTCAACGAAGAGCCAGCCTCGAGTGACAAGCTTCCTACCTTCATCGACGAGAGTGAAGAACCTGCAAAGGTTGCCAATTGATGCACCTGAAGGCTATTAATTATGTATGTACAAATCTACTTCTTCTATTTCTTTCTGATAGCCATGAAGTAATTTCCAACGTTCTCGTTGTTTGTAAACTTCCATCCGTAGCTGGGAATATAAATACTGCCCCGGGATGCCACCAACTCGTATTCACTGTTCAGAGCAATCCAATTCTTGATCTCCACATGGTTGATATATTTCGATAACGTGTGGGTGCCAACGGGAACGATCCCCAAAATATGTTCCCCCATCAAAATAGTGGTAAACCAGCTAACAAAGTCTCTGTTGATAGTTGATAAGAAAAGCCATCCATTAGGCTTTAATTTGGACATTGCTTCAGTCAACACTTTGGATGGATAGTCTACGTGCTCTAACAACTCAAATAATGTCACCACATCAAATTTTTCCTTCTTGGGAATTTCCTCTATCGACTGAAGCTTATACTGAAGTTTGTGTTTCAACATGGGATCTTTGGCCTTGTGTAGGTTCGCAGCCACTATAACCTCATCAGATAAGTCGATACCTTTGACCGACTCCACAAACAGCAATCTGGCCATAGACTCGCTCAAGATACCCCCACCACAGCCAATGTCTAACACTTTCATCTTCTTCAAGGCCAAAATCTCTTCTCTCCTGGCACATTGTTCTCGGACAATAGTGTCTCTCACACCTTCAGGTAATAAATCTATGTTGTAAGGAGGTATGTACACCTCATCGTCGGAATTGGTTATACCCTCATTGAGCTTCAAGTGGTCTCGGATAGTTTCCTGGATGAAGTCCATCCGAATCAAATTCAACTTATGTAGTATTCTCTGTGGGCCATTGACATCCCACCAGCTGGAAGCAAGGGCGTTGAAATGCTTCAATTCCTCGGCACTTGAGCCACTCGCACTGGGTGAAGAAGAGCTTCTATGTATACATGATGTGAAAAGACTTCTTACAGCTCTGTGCGAGGCTAAACAAACGAGTTGGCCGTTTCTTATGCTGATTGGTATCACGCTGCTCATAATGAGTTTTGGAACTTTTGCGCGAACATTTTGTTTTTGGAGATACTATCAAAAGCAGCCATGTCGTCAGATGAAGAAGAGTTTCTTATGAATACAAGAAAACGGCGCTCCAACGCTGGGGCCCGGTTGAAACAGTTACTTGATATGGAAAACGAAACCACTTCTCTTCAGGCGTCTCGTTTCGTGGACGAAGATGATGAAAACGTCAACTTGTTGTTCCAAGAAGATGAAGAAGATGGAGAATTCATGGAATCAGACGACCAAGATGATGGAGAGGAAGCCGGCGAGGAAGATGAGGAAGAAGCTGAAGGGGATGGGGGTGATAGCGCGTCCGGTCCCCAAGAATCGGAAAATGATGATAATAATGATGATAATAATGATGATGAAGACAGCTCCGATGCACCCCAAGTCGATTCGGACGATGTGCTTTCAGATTCCGATATGTCTGCTTCTGATACCGATGAGGACGAAGGAGAGCGGCGATTAGAGAAGGAAGAACGGCTGAAAAAGAGAAAGCAGAAGCAACAGTCTCGTCTAATTCCAAAGATCAAGAGATTCAAAGCGACTGACAACAAACCCAAGGCCGTTAAAGCCAAGAAACGAGTAAATTCTGAGGCCTTGATGTACAGCTCAAGAAGGGCATCTTCCAGAGCTTCTGTGGTGGAGAATAAAGAGGCCTTGGTGGAGAAGTTGAAGAAGGACGAAGAGAGAAGAGCAGCATCTACACCAATAGTGCGAGAGAAACAGCGGGAAATGACACAAGAAGAACGTCTTGCCGAGGCTGTAGAGACCGAAAAGGCCAACGTCTTGGCCCTTGAGTTGTTCCAACAGCAAGAAGTTGTGAAGAAAGAGAGGCAAAAACTGTTATTGCACCTGAGGAGATTGAAGTTGGTGAATGTGTTGAGCTTTACGAGCAAACAGGAATATATTTCACCGAATGACGAAATAGAGTTTGCTCGGAAGCTTTATAATTCCATTACTGGAAAGGTGAAGAAGAGAAGTATAAAAAGACTCACGCAGTTAATGGGATTTGATATTTCAAAGTATCCTGGCGCAATCGATACGAATTTGCCATATATAAAGGAGCAAGAGTCTCTCCAGACTCCTGCCAATGGGAAAGTACCGGTGAATGATGATGAGAAAAGAGAGAATGGAGCCGTTGAGGCAAATGGGGATGTGAAAGAGAATGGGGGTGATAAAGAGAACGGATATATGAAAAAGAACGGTCCTGTTGAAGAAAATGAAGATGTCAATGAAAACGGAGATGTCAATGAAAACGGAGATGTCAATGAAAATGGAAACGTCATCGAAACTAAATACATGGACGAAGAAGTCCCCGAGACCCTTGAAAAGAGCCTGTTAACCAAAGAACAGTGTCCGACTAATGAAAATAATGAGACTGAAAATGCAACCGAAGAACTCAATGCCGAAAGCCTTCCACATAAAACTGGCCCCAAAGAAGTTGGTATCGAATTCAACACCGAAACAGCACCCGGTTCGCCTGCTGCAATTCCAGTGGATGTTGAAGCACCTGAAAAGAAACAGAAGAAAGTCACCTTTGCTGACGGTGTCTTAGAGCCAGAAGAAGTGAGTCCAAACATTGACGCAGACTCAACTCAACCAATCGATGAACCTGAGGAAGCGGAAGAGTCAGAAGAAGAAGGAGAAGAGAAGGAAATCTTCGAAGGCCCTGTTCAAAGAGTTGCAAGAAACGATATCATTTTGCATGACTTTGAAGCCAGAGAGTTACCATTGGATGAAAATAAGGTCAAGCTGATTGTATTTGGGGAACAATCTCTACTTCCAGCACCCAGAAGATTCAAAGACTTGAAAACAATTTTGAAAATAGGAAATGCCAACAATCCATACGCCAAAGTCAGGGTAGAAAAGGATGAAATGTTCACTCCAGTCACAGACTTGACCCCAGAAAACCCGATGTTTGAGGATCTTAATAGATTACCCAAGCTTGGAATAAGACAAGAAATCATAGAGGAAGTGGTGGAGGAAGATACCAACGATGCTGCCATCACCTTAAATACCGAGGCTCCTCTTGGATTATACTTACCAAATGGAAACAAGAAACTTTGTCTCATCACCGGTACTGAAGTTAAGTATTTCGATCCTAGTTTGGGGGTACCGTACAGTGATGTTGAAACATTCAAGTTCTTGAAGCTGATGGAACAAGGTACAATCCCCTGGTATACGCTAGATGGGACGTACAACGATACCGGTTCCACTGAGATATATTTGGGGTCCAGAGATGGAAGTTCAAGGTCTGCTCGTGGCGTTCCCGAAGGATTTGACGGTTAGTTATATATATATCTATTGAATCTATGTAGTGTGTTGAACATCTTTTTCATGGGCCTTGATCAAGTCCCCTTGGAATTTCATGAGTTTTTGCTTCAACACCGGCAAAAACAAGGACTTGATTTCACTGTTACACGATTCGGATGAAACGTTGAACACATAATCATCTTCCTCTTGATCGTGTATGAACTCAGGCACAGTGATGGTACCCGAAAAGGACTCTTCATCTTTGGAACCGGTGATTCCAAATGTCAAGGTCATATCGTAAATACACAAAACTCTACCCTTTCTTTGTGTAACGTCACAGTCACCTTCCACAGAATTTACGCTTGAAAGCGTAAACTTGTAGGAGTCTTTCTCAACCTCAGTGTTGACAAATTCGCTTGTGAAGTATTCTTTCGACCATGGAAGACAGTTTTTGTCGACCCAGTGCCTGAAATGGTTAGTAATGTTGTATTAAAACGTTGAGTCAATTGTTACGTTACATACCAGTTGTTAGGGTTGTGGACTACCATCTTGAGGACTAGCAGATGTAAGTTTGAGTTGGTGAAAATTCTATGATCTTCTGCGCGAAAACACCCCAGGTTTCTATGGTGAGGCACTCAGTCACGCGTACAGAATAGGTGATTCAGCACACGACAAAGGGATGAGTTAGAATGATAATGGGTCGACTGGCCACTTAGTGAAGAGATAAGGATTTTGGTTTTTACAACGAGTTTTTAAAATATAACATACGAAGAAGCTTTCATTATTAGAGATTTGTGAGACTTCGTGCTCATCTGACCTGTTCTTAAACTTGACCCAAACACAGACGTAGAGTCAATGACAGTGAGACTTTGATTTGTTTCAAGCGGCTCGACTGTTGTCATTTTTCAATTAAACAGATGTCACTGTTGTCGTTTTTCAGTTAAACAGATGTTACTATTTGTTCTCAAGCGATCGAATAGGTGTCATCATAGCTCATCGTATTTATACTGCGTTTACTTCATCTACACGTGAGTGACGCAGATTCCTCCTGAAACTCGTTTTGAAGCTCATTTTCAAAACCAAGCACCTCTTCTGAACCATGGCTGCAAAAGCTAGATGCCGGGCTCCGAACAGATATACCGATCATTTCAAGAGTTGCCCCTAAAATTGATGAAAAAAGTGTTTACAATGTTTGAGGGTTGATGTCCCAGACCTTGAATAATCTACTCTTGACGGGCATGGAGTAAGTATATTTCCCAACTTCTGCAGAATTTGTTCTAAGTATTCGGAAAGAGCAAATGTCTGGTAAAATAAAGTCCCGTACAAGACGTGAGACGAAGAATATCTGTTGCTACTGATATCAACACACAATTTGAATTTGTGCACCCCAGTGAGTAGACGAACAGAGTGAAAATTAAAACATTTCTATAAATAGTTCTTGCACTGTCTCAGGTTCTCGTTTTGATTTGCAGCACCCTAAACATTTTTTTAATTACGACTTCAATGAACTTTGCTCAACATCGTCTCTATCACATGCATAAACCAATAGTGGGCTGACCACCTCCTTCGTTTCCTCTTTTAAAATGGTACTGTGGAATATCAATATATCTTGACATATACACGTGCAGGTATCGGTGTTGCTCACACGACCAAACCTTGATTGAAAAATCGCAAGGTGGTGCCGTATTTTGAACAGCACCCTCCTTTCCAGAATGTCCGAACCAATACCTTTAGAAGACTTGAAAGGGTTCAACAAACAACCGCTAGAAGACTTGCGACACGGGTTGGACGCCAAGCTTTATCCGACGCCCAAGTACGTCTTACGTCGATTGGTGATCAATTTACTAGTGGAAACTGTGTTGTCTGTGGCCGTGTATAATATTTATGATGATTTATCCACCTACTACCAATTGTTGGGACCCGCCCTTCTTGGTGGCTCCACCGCCATGTTGGCCCAGTCCATTACCCAGTTTGTGCGGAGGAAACTTAGTTACAACAAGATCTGCAAGTTCTTGGTCTGGGGTATAATCAACGGCTCATTTACGGTTTTATGGTACAACATGTTATTGGAACGTGTAGACGATTTGATTTACCAAATTGTCGTTGATCAGATGGTAGGGCAGCCATTCTTCCAATTGATATTCAATGTCTTGAGTGCCTTGTGGGATCATGGAGAAATCACTGCCAATACCAGGACAATATACCTCAAGTCATTGAAAGTTTCATACTGCTTCTGGCCGTTCTTTTCCATTCTTGTATTTGCATTCATCCCCCCCTCGTTGATGTTCCCATCGACATGTTTGGCCAACTTACTATGGAACTTGGTGCTCTCAAAGTTGGGATAGTGTTCATTATTCCTAAATATTAATGCATTTATATAATTTTACTTCATCTTCAACGACTTCAATGGGTCATTCTTGCGCTTATTCTTTCTACCCTTCTTATGGATCTTTTTGTGGAATGGAACAAACCCGATTTTCTGGGGATCACTTCTGGCACTTTCAGGTAATAAATATTCAGGTACTCGCTTCAACTGGGTTTGCACTCTCGATGGGTGCAACTCTTTATCGTGTCTCAAAGATACCAAATCCTGGGGGTTTTCTTCAAAAAATCTCTTTAACTTGTCGGAATTGATCAACTCCTGCTTTAATTCCTTGACTCTTGCCTCTCTTATAGCGGTTTGAGTCACGGCTCTAAACGCATCTTCGGAACGGTACCTGAACCCTTCCACTTGTTTGATATCAAATTGATAGGGTTTGAGTTCGAACCCACTTTTGGTCTGTTGCTTGACTATTCTGGCCAAGATCTTCTCGTCCCGCTTGGCAGTTTTCAAACTAGCAACCTTGTGTTTGCCAAACTCCTTGTCGGGAATCACAAATGATAATGCCATACCAGACTTTCCGGCTCTTGCAGTTCTTCCTACTCGGTGAACATACGCTCTGGACGTTGTAGGTAAGTCAAAGTTCAACACACATGCAACGTTACGGAAGTCAACTCCTCTTGAAACACCGTACTCTTTGTCTTTTTTCACCTTATCTTTTTTGTTGGAAGTAGAGTCTTCTACTTCTTTCTCGTTAGTGTCGTTAGTGTCGTCCGTGGCAATCAACAAGTTGTAGATGTTCTTGTTGAACTCATCCACAATGTGCAATCTGGAGTTGACAGGTAACTCACTGTTCAATATACAGCAACGGATACCGAATTGCTCCAAGAACAACTTCAACCTGTACCCTCTATCAATGCTATTGACAAACACGAGGGTTTTTCCCTTGATCAAGTTCAATTTGAAGATCACGTACGACAACAAGAACTTATCGAACTCGGTGGTTCTACAGTAGTATTGTACCAATTTGTTGGAACTAATGTTTTCATCGTTCAATTTCAAGATTGCTGGTTTGGAACAGAATTTTGCTTTGAGTTCGTTCAAATCGTCATTAACGGTGGCGGACATTAAAAACACCTGAAGGTTCTTCTTGATAGGAAGATATTCCTCCAACTTGATTACATCGTCTTTGTAACCGTAGGATAAGATCAAGTCGACCTCATCGATGGTCAAGTTCTTGACACTGGCAAGACTAATGGAAGGAGATGCCTTGTCCAAAACCTGGATCAATTTTGAAGGGGTGGAAATGATGATTTCGGGTTTGTTGACCAACATCGAGTTTATTACTTGGTCACTCAAGTTACTTGACAAGTTTATGACGTTGATTTTATTAGCACAGTAGACGAGAAGCTTAATGATAAATTGGTGAACTTGATTTGCCAACTCTCTGGTGGGCACAAGAATCACACTTTGGATCTCTTTGATGTCTTTGCCCGTTAATATGTTCTGTATAATTGGGATACAGTAAGCAGCGGTTTTTCCTGACCCGGTAGATGCTTTGGCAATGATATCTCTCTTTTCATCCAATGCGAGAGGAATGGCATTGGATTGTACCAAGGTTGGGGTTCTAAAGCCCAAATGCTCAATAGCCTGGTTCAATCGAGAATCAAGCTTGAATGCCTTCCAACTTACACTGTCGTCTAAGTATGCAGCTGCAACTGCAGTGGTTGATTCTCCACTACTCATGATTGGGGTTCAGAAAAAATTGATGCGATGGGCTTTTTGTGCGTGCATCGCGAGATTCAAGGTTGCGAACTATGAGGAATTGGGGGTTAAAAACTGAATGAGTTTTATATTAAGCAAAACAGGTAGCGGAGTCGAAAGCAGTAGCAAGTACCCTATCTAAGCTCTTAACATCAAACCAACCCCCAGAGACTAAGATTCCAGACAGCTGGAACCATTTTCATTTTGTAAAATATGGGTCAAAATTTTGTTTGAATACTGGGCGTGTGGCGTAGTTGGTAGCGCGTTTGCCTTGCAAGCAAAAGGTCACTGGTTCGATTCCTGTCTCGTCCATTTGTTTTTCCGTATCTTCAAGGCTGCAAAATTTCCAGAATCTTTTTTTATAGTGCCATCTGGAACAAGCTTCTTTTTTCATCGTTCATATGGTCAAAGTCGTGATACATTACTATTACTCTATAAAGACGCCAAACGAGACAAATCAGTGATGTCCTCGCTGGAATGGTTCGGTGATACATTTGAGTCTGTACGCTTGGGGATTGAGCCTGAACCACTGATTCCCATAGACCCAGGCTCAGTCGAAGCCCTCCTCACCCTGGTGGCAGGTGCAAGAACAGGAGTGTAAGATGGCGAGGGAGTACCGCTAGCAACTCCAGCAACAAAGTCACTGTTAACCATGGCACTAGGAGGAATCCCAGCATTGTACATTCTGTTTCTGTAGGCACTGCTATTGGACCGGTAAGAACGCTGAGAACTGATGGAATATTGTCGGAGTGTTGGCTTCGTGCGTCTCAGAGACACTGACTTGGTGTGCAGACGCTGGTGCTCAAGGTCTGTATGCGGAGGCCTTGAAAGTATTCGTTTTATTCTAGTTCCCACAAATTCAGCAGACCGTTCACTTTCAACATCTCCATCATCTGTCATGGGTTCTGGGGCATCTTCGTACTTTCCTGAGGCAATCGTACGTTCCCTTTCTAGTGGTTCACCCATACCATACACTGGAAACACATTTTTGGGGGATCTGAAAGAATGACTCCTTGAACGTAAGGAAGTGTGTCTGGAGTGAAGTGAAGCACCTGTGGCCACACGAGACAAGCTTCTAGCATGGCTAGAGTCACTCACAATACTGGTATCATCATACAAACCTTGAGGAGGACTGAATTGCTCGACACTAGTGGAGCCCGAAATATCGGTTGAATGAGTCTTGGGCTTTTCATCGATAATAGCAGAGCTAACACGCCGTCTTTCACGAACAACACGAGAATCTGAGTTGATTTCAGGTTGCTCATCCCGTAATTCGTATTGGGGTAAGTTCAATAACCTCTGATCTTGTTCAACACTGTAGATATGAGAGTACCATGGTATCACGATTCCAAAGAACGTACCCCCTATCATATTTCCAAGGGCCCCTGGTAAAAACACTTTCCAAGCAATCTCCCCAACACTATGAGACAGGCCATTTACCAATCCCATGGTCAAAACAAACATATCTGCTACAGAGTGGGTGAACCCTAAACCAACAAATGAGAAAATGGGCAAGAATATTAAAATGAACTTGACATGCAAAGGCTTGGCCATGATCTGAAGATAAACAGCCAAGGCCACGTAGAAGTTTCCTGCCATTGCCTTAATTAATGTTTGGTGAAACATGAAGGATGCCTTGTAGTCAAGGAGTTCTCTGGAACCGGATATAACCTCTTCGGTAGCAAATATAGTTGAAAAATAACAGATGACGTAACACACAAAGATGTTGGCGGCCAAGTTCAACCACCAACTCACCAACCATGATATTATAAGATCAACCACTGAAACAGCACCTCTCATTACTCCCACACTATAAAACAAAATGTTCAGATTGAAGAGCTCGGCCCCCATTATCACCACGTAGAAGAGCCCGAGAGGGTAGCATGCCGCTATCATGAGGTCAGCATACAATGGAATCTCTGAAGAAGTCAGGGATACTTTTGAGTAGATGATAACATGGAACATCCCTCCAACCGAAAAGAGCATTCCACCAATGAGAGAGTTAACCACCAAAGTATCAAATCGAAGACGGGCCTTCTTCATGGCTGTGGCCACAAGCGCTAGTGCCGCCTCATGGGTGGTTATGTACATGGAGTTGTCAGCCATGTTGATGCTAGGTTATGTGGCTATCTTGATAGATATATGAGGAATAAATAGGATGCAGTTGGGATGAAGGAACAAATAGAAAAAAATCACACTCTGCGGTACTATGGAAGAGCTTATAAAGATCAAGTAGTTGAATAACAGATCTTCTTGCTATGGGAAAGTTAAGTAATAATAGCTCAATCCGTCAAGAAATCGAAAAACCTTTTCCTAAAGCGTAGAAAAAATGCGACTGACGGCTGCGAAAATGACTCGGCAATATACCTGGATTCGATGCAAAAGATTTAATTTTGAACTAATTCAAGCAGCTAAGGAGGAATAATGTCAACAGTTACACTGCTCAAATGGTTCCCTTTGCTTGAGAATAGCATGTTCCCACTGGATTCGAATTGGTCGTCTTCTTTAGCACATGTGTGATTATCCGGCTTGAGCCATTTTCTTACCGGACGTTTCCACCTCCGAGTCCTCCTTAACCACATCATTAGAATCAAGAGGGGTATACCCTTCTAGCCCCTGAGATGGCTTGGGATGAGTATTTGAATCTTCAGATTCTAGAGTGGTTCTTGTTTTAAGGTTTAGGTTTCTTTGCGTATTGGCCCTCGCACGGCGAGTCAATTCCTTAAAGTCTTGGTGGTACGCCTGCTGCCATTCGGTTACCAGGAACTGCTTATCAGTTATACTTCTTGTACTCATCCGGCCACCAAAAATACTTCCGTTCCCAGCGTTGGTGAATGCCACGTGAGATGACTCCCATCGACTAAGTCTTTGACGAAGAACTCTAACATCCACAGGGTGGCTACTATCAAGGTTTGCGTTGAAAAGAATATAGTACTGGTTGTACCTGAGCTCGAGCTGGTGACGTGAGCCGGTGGTAGGAATCCCTATGGCATGGAGTTTCTCTTTGAGTTTGGGTACCGACAAAGAATTAAAGTCTAGTTTGGCCAACCGGATCTCCTTCACGACGTGTTTTTCAGCACTGTTGAAGTAGAAGTCCAGGTGGTTGATCTTGAGAGCGTTTTCAGCGCTGTTTGATTCATTATTTTTAGCCCGAGGTTTGAAAAAAGCCAGAATCCCCTTTTTACCACCACCTGGCTTTTCCTTAGGTAGCACGTCACTGTGTCCATTAAGACAATTGTCGATGTGGGTATTCTGGAGAAACTCAGGTTCCATTTTCTTGTTGCAAATGGGACATTCAGCTTCATCGGCAGATAGCTTTGTCCGTTTCATCGGTTCGTCTTCTTCGGAAATGATAATCACATCGTCAGAATCCGGGAGAGAAGATGTTTCTGGTGATGGTAGTTTCCGCTTCGGCACCAGGCGGATTTCTGTGCGGTCGCTGGTGGAAGAAACAGAATCATTGCTAGGTGGTTGTAAAAAGTCGAGTAAAAACGGCCTTAAACTCTTGAAACAGTTCACAATCTCTTCGAGAACAACCACGCGTCTTAGATTACTTTCTAACTGGTTGGAAAGACACAAAGGACACGTATTTTTGATCATCAAGTGTTGTCGTATGCAACTGGAGCAGAAGGTGTGATTGCAAGAAGTGAGCACCGGAGCCAGGAGGAATTCTTTACAAATGTAGCATCGTTGGAGACTTTCAAGCTGCGAGAGCATCGGTAACTTAGTTGGCTTCCACTCAGACGGGTCTGTAACATCTGCAAGGTTTTTTGCAAATGGATCAAACATTATGAATATATGACTAAAAGAATTTGATCGCGTTTCTGGTGTCGCATTTTTGCAGATGAGTTCGATAAGGTATAGCATTTGAGACAAATACAAACTATATAAGATTATGTGGTTTTGGTTTTAGGTTTTTTCACCTTTCTGGTGACCGTTCTCTTCTTCTTCTTCTTCTTAGGCTTCTTTGTGGTTGGCTTGGGGGTAGTCAGAGATTCCTTAGAGATACCTGTAGATGCTGGAGTTTCTTTGGTTACCTTGGTTTCTGGGGTACTCTCTGAGACTTCTGATTTAGTTTCAGATACCCCATTAACCTCTTCTGTCTCACTTGTCTCCGTCTCAGATTCAATAGCATCGCTTTCTGACTCAGATAATTCTTCAGTTTCCGACACTTCTTCGGTTGCCGACACTTCTTCGGTTTCGCTGGTTTCTTCAGTTTCAACAATCTCGGATTCATCCACTTCTTCAACCACAGGGGTAGAGTCAACTTCCGTAGTTTTCACCTCATTTGCCTCTCCAGATCCAGGGACCTCTTCGTTTTCAGTTGCTTCTTCAGTAGTGTCTTCGATTTCAGTGTCAGCTTCCTCAGCAGTAAAGTAGCCTTCGGTTTCAGATTCAGTCTCTGCTTCAGATTCAGTCTCTGTCTCAATTTCAACTACTTCTTCCACCTCAGAAGAGTCAGCTTCCTCGGCGGTAACGTAGCCTTCGGTTTCAGATTCAGTCTCTGCTTCAGATTCAGTCTCTGTCTCAATTTCAACTACTTCTTCCACCTCAGAAGAGTCAGCTTCCTCGGCGGTAACGTAGCCTTCGGTTTCAGATTCAGTCTCTGCTTCAGATTCAGTCTCTGTCTCAATTTCAACTACTTCTTCCACCTCAGAAGAATCAGCTTCCTCGGCGTTAACGTAGCCTTCGGTTTCAGATTCAGTCTCTGCTTCAGATTCAGTCTCTGTCTCAATTTCAACTACTTCTTCCACCTCAGAAGAATCAGCTTCCTCTGCTGTAACATAGTCTTCAGTCACTGACTCGCTCAAAACTTCTTCGACCTCTGCTTCTTCTTCGGCTTCTGGAACTGTTTCCACAGTGTCCACTTCTGGTTCTTCAACAGCCTCAGCTTCTGGCTCTTCTTCAGTCACTTCTTCTTCAGTCACTTCTTCGACTTCGCTCAAATCCGAAGGTTCTGAACCACTAGCTGGCTCTTCAACATCTGCTTGATAACCAGCGTCTATGTCCTCAGGATTGGATGAGCTGGTAAGTGTGTCTTCAACAACCAGGGAAGTGAGATCCTCATCGTCTGAAACTTCACGATCCACAAAACCTGCATTGTCTGGAATCGTCGTATTTTGAGTATACTCTACTTTGGGCTCGATATTAAAGTGGGGCTCAAGAGTTGTAGCAATTGTGGTTTCGACAACAGATTCAGTGAATTCAGTGTCTTCCGTAACTTGCGAAACGTCTTCACTACGAGAAATTTCAACAACAATATCGTTTGCAGTATCAACGGGTTCTCCCATTGGGGTTTCCGCGGCTATCAACGAAGATACACTCAGGTCTTCCCATTCATTGATCGTAAAATACTTTTTGGTATTGTCGTCACCGTCCAATTTCTCGTTCTTGATCTTTTCTTTGACAAGTTCGTAGGCATGTATGCTCAAGCCGCTCAAATATTCAAATTGAGAGATAGTAAACTCCTTGGAAACGAGGAAGGCCTCTTCAAGTTTACCATTTTCAATGGATATCTGCAAGAAAATAGCCAAAAGTCCAAACAATAATGTGTAGAAGACGTAGTTGATCAAGGTTCCGATGACCGATTTGCCATGGGCAAACTTCTTGGGAATCTTAAATACACGAACGGCATTCGATGCAGAAACAGCCGCCAACTTGGAGCCATTAGGAGAGAAGCACACGCTGGTGATTGCAAAAGTGTGTAATTTGGGAAATGTCTTCAAAACCTTCAAATCGGAGAGACGAAGCAAGGTCATCGAGAAGTCATTAGCTGCCACTGCCACCAAGTTTTGTTCAAGAGACACGTCGACAGCCACCAACCCCTTCAGTTTCTTCGAGAAGTTGTTGATTTTAATGATGGATTTAGATTTAATGGAGTACTTCAACAAAGCCACTCCACCTTTTCTCACATTGGCGGAGATGAGAAGTTCATCTTCACCAATATACCTGACCTTCGTTAAAATATAAGCACCCAATGTCTTTTTCACGGCGGCGTGTTTGTTGGAAGATTCGACGACAGAAACCGAGTTGGAGCTCACCGACACCAATTCTATTGACGTAGAGGTGACGAATGCCAAACTCTGGCCATTGTCGAACGCACACAAATGGAAGTCTCTGATCTCCACACCCAGCTCGAACCGGTACAAGCACTCCAACGCCTCAGGGTCGAACAAGTACACCACGGACGGTTCCTTGGAGGTCATCAATAACCCCATGGAATTATCTGGTGACAAGTTGATGATCTTGGGATACACGCCGATATCCTCGTTGGTAACTTCCTGGTCCAACTGGGCCGCGTCGATGAACTTCAAATGCTCGTCGTCGGTGAAGACGTACTTTCTCAAATTGTTGTTGGCATTCATCGACTTGATCAACTCGTTGGACTGATTACACCCAACAAACACCGAATACGACTTTTCTTCGGTAAAGGTGTTTTCGATCTTGTTGATCTCGATACATGTCGGCGAGTCCTCATTAGTGGGCAACGTGATTTCTCTGAACCGTTGCAAGCGTCTATTTTTGTCCTTGATCTTGAAAGAACACTTGATGGCGGTTATCTTATTGGGGATCCCGTTATTGCCCTCACCGCCCCCACCAGCAACCACAAGGGTCTTATTATTGACAAACTTGGCCCCATAGACCGGGTACCCGACATCAATCGTCACACTGTCCTTGAGTGACATGATTGATCAGATGTTTGTTTTGACGTGTTAACGATAGCTGGAAACCAGTTTGAGGCTGATTCGCGACGAGCAAAAAACAAGTTTTTTATCTGCTAATGAACGGACAGATCTTATCTATACTGTCACACGTCGTGCACGGGTACGTGGGGAACCGGGCGATCACATTCCCGTTACAGTACCTTGGGTGGAACGTCGATGCCTTAAATACCACAAATCTCTCAAACCACCCGGGATACGGCAAGTTTGGTGGTAGTGCTGAGGACCCGCAGTTGATAGTCAAAGTGCTTGAAGGACTTGAGGAAATCGGTAATTCGGTCGACCACTACAATATGGTGCTCACTGGATATATGCCGAATGAGCTGATACTTGGAGCCATCAAAGACTCGATTTTCAAGAGGTTTAACCTGAATAACCACAAACCTATTTTGGTGATGGATCCCATCTTGGGTGACAACGGGAAAATATACGTGGATGAGCGTGTGATTCCCATATACAAGCAGATGTTTTGCAGCGGGTATGTGGACTTGATAACGCCCAACCAGTTCGAGTTTGAGGTTCTTAGTGGTGTGTCAATTAAGGATATCACCTCTTTAAAGCAGGCGATCATGGCATTTTCTCATGCTTATGAGGTGAAGAATGTCGTTTTGTCGTCTATCAATATTGGAGATGACATGTACAGCGTGGGGTATACGCGAGGCGCACATGAGCTATTCCTTGTGTCTATCCACGAGATTCCGTGTAAATTTTTTGGCTGTGGTGACCTTTTCACGGGACTTGTGGCGCATAACTTCTATAAAGCAGGCGGAAAACTCACGGCGCAGGTGTTGAATGACAGTGTACATAAGTTGACTAAGGTGTTACAGAACACGCTTGATCTTGAGAGGCAGGTGAGAGGGACTGAGGATATAAAGGTGGTGAATGATATAAAGATTGTACCACTGGCGAAGTATTTATTAGAGGAGTTTGGAGATGGAGAGGTTGTATACATAGAAATGGAGGAGGCATAGAGACAAACACTAGATAGAATACATTAGCATATGAACGTCATTTTGCACCTGAGTCGTGGCCCGCCACTATCGCGTTATCATAAATGACCCAACCCCAAAAATTAACTCGATCGCATCCACAATGATAGAACGAAAGCATGACACCCATCCCCCACGAGAACGTTGGTGGTGGGCAGCCATCGTTAGTGGTGTTTGTGCTCTCATGTTGATACTCATGTTATTGGTAGGTCGGACCCGCATTCCCGCCCTCGGTGATCTCCCATCTCCAGCCATTCACCCAAGTCCTTCCAACGACCAGTTCCAACTAAAACACATATTTCACCACGGTGCTGGGTCCCAGCACTACCAGATACACAGGCGCTTGGATATAACCCCCGAGTTCCTCGCCGCCACCGGCTTGGATGACGTACAAATGTCCTCGGACAAATCAGACATCCACACGTCTGACTTGGAACAAGTATACGCCCAAAATGACTGGCCCGAGGCGTTCCAGAATCGCAATCCCTGGACCATGCGCTTTCCCATCAAGTCGGGCCCACCCGTCAAGGTGCAGCGTTTGGCCGAGCGCCATACCCCCAACTTTATCGACTCGTATCTTGAATACGCCATCAACATCAAGGGGAATCCACGGCTCCTAAACATGATCAACTTGGAGTGGGAACAACCCAAAGAGATCTCATTCCCCGACGTCAGCGACAAGGACACGTTGGTGTCGCTCGCACTCATCTCATCCAATGCTTACGTTCGGTTCCCCAAGAGTGAAGAAGAGAAGCGCAAGCTGGATTGGACGGACTTGGGCGAAGAGTGGCAGCCGGATCAGAACAACAGCGACCTTGAGTTTGGCTGGGACGGTGAAGGGTTACGCGGACATGTGTTTGTCAATGAAGAAAACCACACGGTGGTGATTGGGTTTAAGGGCACAAGTGGAGCGGGAATCCCTGGTGCTGGCGAAGACGAAACCACCGCGAGTGATAAGCTCAACGATAACTTGTTGTTCCTGTGTTGTTGTGCCCGATTGAGCTATCTCTGGACCACTGTATGTGATTGCTACGAAAAAGCGTACACTTGCAACCAGGACTGCTTAGAGAAAGAGTTAGTACGTAAGGACAGATTCTACCAAGCGGTGCTAGATGTCTACCGAAACGTGACAGCGATGTACAACCCCGACGTGTATGACATCTGGTTGACGGGCCACTCGTTAGGCGGTGCATTAGCCCTGCTTTTGGGTCGTACGTACGGGCTTCCGGTGGTGGCATTCGAGGCACCAGGTGAAATGCTTGCCAGTCAAAGACTACATTTGCCGCAACCACCGGGATTTCCCCGGTATTTGGAGCACATCTACCACATCGGCAATACGGCAGATCCGATTTTCATGGGTCTGTGTAACGGAGCCTCGTCTTCGTGCAACGCTGCTGGATATGCCATGGAAACTGCATGTCATACCGGTAAACTCTGTGTCTACGACGTGGTTACTGATAAGGGCTGGAATGTCAATGTGTTGAACCACCGGATTCATACGGTCATCGACGATATCATCTTGAAGTATAATGATACTCCCGAATGCGTGGTACAACCTCCATGTCGGGACTGCTTCAACTGGAGGTTTGTGTCGCACGACGATGACGAGGACGACGAGCCCAAACTTCCCAACCCACTCTTGCCACATCGGTCTAAGTCCAGGACTTCTACATTTACATCTGCATCTACTTCTGTGAACATGGGGTTCGAGACTTCAGTTTCTTCGCAGCCACCACAAAGTTCCACCAGTCAGCCACCAAAAAAGCAAAAGTGTCTCAAGCGGGCGTGGTATGGGTGGTGCCTGGAGTGGGGCGACGATGATGAGGAGTAGCTGTTTCGAGCCATCCAAATGCCTTCTATGATTGAAGAATTTATGTTACAAATATATAGAGACTACTGTGGAACCAGTATATAAACTACTGTGGAGCTAGTGGTGTATGCACGCCCCCACAAGAACAAACAATTTCAAGTCAGCCGTCTGCAACCTAAACGAGCAATATGACAACAAACATTTGTTATGATGCCCGCAAAAAGGCCAAAGCTGCCCCCATTCAGGAGAAGTAGGCGCACCTGCATATGCTGCATCCTTCTCATTTGTTTCCGTTTTAGGCCTGAGACAGCAACAGTGCGAGTTCCATTTTTACCATGGAGTGACTACAGTCTTGGGAAAAATTGCAGGTTGAGGTTATTTTGACACTCTCGGTAATGAAGAGGAAATAAATATCGTACAAAATGTAAACCTTGTTACAGGGCCAAGTCAACCGTGGTTTGAATCTTCAAGGCTATCCTCAGATCTATTTACTGTAGTTTTACCGAATGTTTAGACACTAAGAGAATGACTTGTGTGCTTCATACTTTTAGTATAATCCTTTTAGAGGATGCAAATGTTTCTCGCTAAATGTAACAAATGGGTGTAGATCCCAGCACTATTGCCTATTAAACTTAGGATTTCGTCAGTGGCTTCACCGACACAATTGGTTCCAAGGTTAAAATGAAATGGCTCTAACCTGCAATTTGGTACAATTACCACCTGTTGACACTAATTAGCCGCGGGTGGGGCTAGAAGAAGGCTAGAGTAACTGGTGCTGGCAGTACCACCACCCAACTTTCATAGGAGCTTAGGATCAACCACGGCTTCCTATAAGACCATGTACTACAGCCCCACGGTGTGTTTAACATTAAAAGCTATTAAAATCATTCTTCGGTTAGATATTTTGACTAATTTCAAAATAGGCAATTTCAGTTTGTGGCCTCAGCAAGTTCTCTTTGTTTAATTTTTTTCCTAAAATTCATTTTCTCCCTTCTCACGCATTTCCAAGTTATAAAAATAATACTCATTCCCCCTATCATTTTTTTCTGGTATTTCAGCTCTGTTTGTAACAAGTCATTATGAAAGTCATCAATACCTTCTTAAACATATTCTTGTTGGCCGGTACCTGTGTGTTATTGGTGTTAACCGTGGCCGGTGGTTCGTCTGACTCGTTCCCATTGAATAAGTTCTACTGGTTAAGGGCCGATACCAGCAAAATCTCCGGTGCTCCTTCCGAGTCTGCTTGGACCTTCTGGGGGGTTTGTGAGTACGGCAACTTCTCCAGCTGTACGTTGGGTCCTGCCTACCCACTTTCACCCGTGGATAATTTCCATACCTCATCCCATGTTCCAAAAGACTTTGTTGACAATAGAGATACATACTACTATTTGACCAGATTTTCGTTTGCCTTCACATTGACCGGCTTGTCTTTTGCCGGGATTGCGTTGATTATCGACATTCTCGGGTTCTGTTTTGAGATTATTGATAAGGTTGTGTTAGCGTTCATTGTGTTGGCCATTATTTTTGTTGCCGGGACCGCTGCCATGCAAACAGCGGCTACGGTATTGGCCAAGAATGCTTTCCTGGACAGTAATTTGTCTGCCAGTGTGGGAGTTAAGGCAGTTGCCATCATCTGGGCGGCCGTGGCGTGTCTTTTGTTGGTGTTTTTCAACACCTGTTTTGCCAACATTGCCAACTCTTATAAAAAGCACATCAACAGAGTGCAAGAGTCGCAGGGTGAGGCCACCTACCCTGAGCAGGACAACGATGCCTCATCGTTCACCAGAGCCACCCCTGCTACGGAAGAGCCAAAGACCGAAGAAGACAATGGAGGAATTCGGTTTTTCAAGATTAAGAGAAACCACAAGGTTTCGGATGATGAGAGCGTTTAGCTTGTTTTCTTTGTATTATATACCACCTAATTGAAAAGACTGGAAATGGCGTAGGATTGAGTAGGACAGATGCAGACCGGCAGGACTTGAAGGGCTGGTGAAGACTTGATGGATCAGCCGGACTGGTTGAACTCGTGAGGGACAGGCTGAACTTGTGAGTGCCAGGCTGGAGTAAAAGAAGCAGTTGCAAAATTCATGAGTGAGAAAGAAACCTGGTGAAAAACACCTAGTGAAAAGAAAGAGTGAAATTCACCACAAGAGCGAAATTAAGAAATGATGGGGTATAAAATTGTTGGAAATGGCCGTAATCGCCACCACCTCTACTACCACTCCCACTCCCACTCTCACTACCACCACGGGCGCCATCCACAAAGATTTGTATAGTTTTCCTGTACACCCTCGCCCCATACTCCTCCTTTCTCGAATTCTCCCTTATCTTATCGCCAATCCCCAGCCATTGTTCAAAAAATAATCGAACAATTGCGTAGAAGGTCCCTGAAACCCGGATCACGCCTCCCACCATCCTACTGTACTCACGGTTCCAACCATGGGCTCTACTCTCGCATTACTATTGTCACAAAGTTACCTGGGACTTGCGACTACTTGTGCTGCGATTGGCTGGCTTTTCCGTTGGGCTTCTGGGCTTCTCCACTCGAAGCGTGGGATCTGCTGCGAACTTGGCATACCAAGACATGGGGCAACTGGAGAATCACAACCAGGATACCGCCGCATGCTAATAGAAGGTGGTACCAAGGTCGCGTATTACATCTAGGTACCACGTCAAGTATCTCCCTTGTAGAGCCATCTTTTCGTATCTCACGGTCTGCGAAACTTAAAAGCATATATTATTTTATGAGTTCCTAACTGCGAGCAAACGTTAAATAAATTCCTATTCTCAATCTTCTTATTAAAGGCACTTTTATTTGATTCCACTTGTTTAGTTGTGTTTTGACCCATCAACCCGCATAGCATCGGTTCCACATTTACTCCCATGATGACCACATCGGAGTCCAAGCCTACCAAACACGGGGTTAAACAAATGTTCAAGAAGGAGTCGTCCGAATCTTCGACCGACTTATCCTCGAAACCTTCTGCCCACGGGTTGAGTAGACTCTTCCATCACCATCACCACGAAGGAGCGCTGTCGGACCAGGAAACCCACGGCAAGTTGTCGCGTACCCCGTCCAAGTTGTCGTTACGAAGAAATACTGTCATCCATTCCCGGCCAGAGGAGAAGTTCCAGCCCAAAAAACTCACTAAGGCTGAAACTATCGCCCATTTGAACCAAATAAACCATAAAAACAAGAAGTCCAACGCCGACAAGAAAGGCTCTTCCCCGGACAAGGATAGTGATGGGGATTCGATTAGTATTCTCCATCCTGAGAAAATTGTCTATAATCCGTTTGGACTCAACAGGGATTTGGCGGTCGACAAGCCCAAAGATGCCAACTTCTACTTGAACGCATCCGACCAGGTCCACTTGTTGAGCAACCCCGTCAAGGATCCCAATGAGCTCTTACCCCCGGATTTACATCAAGATCGGGTAAATTTGTTTGATGACTTTGAAATCGACACCACCGACAAGAAGTTGGGCGAAGGAGGCTCTTCCGAAGTGCGGGTGGTCAACTTGATCCAGAGCAAGAAGAAGTTATTTGCCTTGAAGCGGTTCACGTTGTTGGACAAGGAAACTGATGATGATTTTTACAAGCGGGCAGTTAAGGAGTTCATCATCTCCAAACGGGCCAAGAGTCGGCACGTGGTAAACACCTTCCACATTGTTCGGATACAGAGCTTGAACAACTTGACCCGAGGATGGGGGTTTATCTTGGAGTATTGTAACCACGGGGACTTGTTTAACCTTATCATCAAGCCTGGCTGGAAGCGCACTGCCTTAAATGAACGGTATTGTATGTTCAAACAGATCGCCTATGGCCTCAAGTTCTTGCACGACCACGATATTGTCCATAAGGACATGAAGCCGGAGAACGTGTTGATCGATCGCAACGGTATGGCCAAGATCTGTGATTTCGGAGTCAGCGACTGGGGCCATCACGAACCAGGGAACTTTGATTCGCCCATCAAGACGTCAACCTCGTACGTGGGGTCACCGCCATACTCGCCTCCGGAGGTCATGGTGTTGAAGGAAACCAGCCACGCAGAGTTGAAGAACTTTGCGTATAACCCGTTCAAAATGGATCATTGGGGGTTGGGGATGGTACTATTCTGTATCGTCTACTGTGGAGTGCCTTTCAGCACCTCACTTGTGACCGACCATGGCTTTCGGGAATACAAGTTCAACCACAGCCGGTTCTGCGGAAACAACCCTGGTTTCAAGAACAATACCGATCTCCACCGCGGGCCTGGGTCTGAGTTTAAATGGGCCAGTCAATTCCAGTCGACTGGAGCTGCCCGAGTTGCCTGGAAGTTGTGTGATCCTTCTATTGACCATCGGTACGACTTGGACTTGTTGTTCAATGACCCGTGGTTCCAGGGATTGGAAATGTGTGTGTATGAAGCCGAAGATCAGGATGTCAATCCGGTGGTGTTTCCCACGGTTCCCTCCAACGCCTCGTTCTCGGCCGTTTCGACTCTGGCGGGATCTCGTGTGCCCTCACGGCGGAACACTTCTCTCCATAACTTCAACAATGCCAGTACCGCGGCGGATTTGTCTTCGAGCTTCAAAAGCATGCTTGACTTCCAGTCGAAAGAGGCCACCAACGGCCAAGTCCACGACAACCACGAGGATGGTGATGATGAAGATGGTGACGACAAGTCGATCCACTCGCAGTCATCCTTAACACACTTCCACCAGGCACCACCACCTCTAGCGGCCGATGGGTGCTGCAGCTGCGAAAAACCCAAGTCCCTGAGTTCCATGTTGGACGTGGTGGAAAAACCAAAGGTCAAGTCGATGCTTGACATGGCGGGTCTGCTAAACCTCCCGAGTCTTAAGGAACACGACACTTACACAGAGAACATAAAAGAATCCAAAGAGTGTGTTTGTGACTGTCACCAAGAAAAGTCACCAGCAAATCGTCCCAGGGCCCAGTCACATCCTCACCCGTTCAGGCATGTATCGTCTGAAAGCTTGAAGCGCAACAGCAGCCAGTCGAGCTTCACCAGAAATAATAGTTTGACGGAGTGGGAAGATGTTCTTAAGCCGGCAGAAGATTTACATCTTGATTCGAGTGGTGTTTGCAACTTGGGCTACAAGATCAGAAAGCACCACCATTTGGAGGTGAGTGGAGCAGCTGTGTCGGGGGCGTTGGCAAGGAGGAGATGACGGTAAATAGGAGACATAATATGCAAATAGTACGGAAAAATAGTAGACTAGCACAGAACTAACGCAGAACTAACGCAGAGCCAGCACTGAACTAGCACAGAACTAAGACAAAACTAACACAGACCAAGTGCACAGACCCCTCTTACATAAATTTACATTTACATTGATTATATAACGATTAGTCTAAGCTTCCAAAGAAACTCTTCCCTTAGGGTTGGTAACCTTAACACCCAACTTCTTGGCCTTTTCGATAATGTCAACTCTGTTCTTAGCAGAAACATTGTGAGCAATTTCGGCGGCGTAGGTTTTGGTATGCATTAACAAGACGTCTAAGTCCTTCAAGTTCTTAACCAAGTAAGCCTTGTGTCCAGATGGCATCAAGAACTTGGTCTTGTTGTTGGAACCATAACCGATGTTTGGTTCGGAGATGTTACCTCTGAATCTTCTTCTGACAACAGAGTCAATACCCTTCTGCTTTCTCCAGTTTTCAGAAACTCTGTGATATCTGTCAGAGTGATGTCTCTTAAACTTCTTGGTGTGCTTTTTGACAATCTTTGGGTGTGGAATTGAAGCAGCCATCTACAGGTTTGTTAGTATACGTGGTTGGGGAGTATCCGTTCATGTGTCCACAGGGGGCCTCTGGCGAGTGTGTGTGCGGATCTAATGAGGGTATGGCGGTCATATTCTGGGAAATTGGCATATCATAGTCTTTGCGATACTCTGGAGATATTAACCATTTGAACAGGTAACATTGTGATTGGAACGGCTTGAAACTGGCGATGGTGGTATCCTTACTCAGCACTCCACAAGGTAGGACAATCATTGAAACGGTAGGGCATTTATTATAACATACTTTTGATGATCACTATTAATGAAAAATTGTATATGAAAATTTTTATGAATTTTGATGAATTTTTTTCTACCTGATGCTGGGAATTGAGAGCGAGGTTGTGTGCAGGGGGGTTTTTCCAGCCCTAGTGAGCGTTTGTGTGCGCGCTGGGGGGAGTGACCCAAATGGCGGTGCGAGAAACCGCGGTCACTTTAGAACCCTATGCGTGGGCACGTGATTATTGTCCTCCCCTAACAAAGAAATATGAGTTAGTTGGTTACTATTTGGTTACTACAGGTTTAACCCAATGGTATCTACCAGGAGCTAAGGATCTGTCCTTGAATCTCATCCAGCCTTTCTTACATATTTGTGGACTACTGGTAAATATTGCTAAACTAAGCTAGAGAAGGAGTGTTCGATGTACCCACATTGACATTCTGACCCATCCACCCACTGACATTCTACCCATCCACACATTGACATTCTACCCATCCACCCATTGACATTCTACCCATCCACCCACTGCCATTCCATCCATCCACACATTGGCATTCTACCCATCCACCATGTACAATTTGGGTTTCTGACTGTTCACATTTACTGGGGAAATGTGCCAAACCTTAAAATCCAGTTGAGGTGCTTTCAAAATTCAAAGTACCCCAAAATTAGTGCTGATTCTATACACAAAAAGAATAACATGTCATCCTAATACACACATCCCCACCACTCGTACTATTCTCTTCACCATCCCCGTGCCATCTCCCGAGAGTAGGACCACTAATGTCTCATTCCTGCACACACTCTGGCGCTGTTGCAGCAGAAACGATAACAAACAATTGCGAAGTCATCAAGCAAGCCTATCAAACCATAATTTTCAACCCTCCAAAACACATACCCACACCTACTGCGGTCATGTTCACCCTCCTGAGTCCCCAACTCGTGGTCTACGTCCTAGCAGCAGTGCTCGCCTGGTCCCTCGCCTGGTCAGTGGTGTATAAGCTCACAGGTGTTTACCTAGGCTCTATCTGGTTCAACAATGGTGTTCTGTTCAACAACATCCACATCCACACAAAAGGAGCCGAGTTGAAGTTCGAGTCCCTACGGTTTAGAATGTGGGGGAATTCCAAACGCCTCATCATCAGTGGCATGAATCTCACCCTTCACCAGAAACATACCCCAGAGTCTACCAGGCCAATAAAACCACATCGTCCGTTCAGCCTCTCGATGTTCCCCAGCAACTTCGTGGGCAAATTCCTCGTCAAAGCGGGTCTCAAAGTCATCCCAAACTTCAGCATTGAGTGGAAGCGATCGGTGGTGAAGTATGGAGATAAAGTCACTGCTGTTCAGTATGTGAGGCTCGACTCAGGTTCACGGTATTCTACGAAGAACACCAACAATTTGAAGGTGGCTATTGGTCTTGTCATCAACGACTTGAGAACTTCGAGTACGCACCAGGCTCACACCATCCACCCGTTGCTTTCAACCCATACGGCCAAATTGACCACCAAATTCTCCATAAACACCACAACTGGAGAAATCCACCTGATTCATGTCAAGACCTTGATGGACGACTTGCGGGTGCTGGTGTTCAAGTTTATCAAGTTGTATCTCACGGATATTGAAACTAGAATCGACAAACTTGGTGGTGCAGATGCCAAAGACGTGGACCCTGCAGTGCAAGAAGCTGAAGCACAACGAAAAGCAAGACGATTGGAGCGGCTAGTGGGCATATTCAAAGTGGTGTACGAAGCCATTAATGAAATTTCGGTGGTGGCCCAGAACTTGAATGTTTTTGAGATCCCCTTCATCACCACCGACTGCAACGAGCTGTTTAAAGCGTATTTGCAGCAAGAATATCCCATCACCGCATTGGAGTTGAAGACCAAGTCGATACACTTGCATCTCCAGAAGTTGTCGAAAACCTCGGCTGGATTCCACGCTTTGTTTGAGTCTGCTGACGATAAGCCCATAAATATTTCCAATTCGGTCCAGCTTTTGACAGTGAACTTCGCAAAGTGGAAAAACATCAACGGTTCATTCCACAAGAACCAGGTGGAAGTGTTGAACATCCCCACGTATTCTCTTAGCTGCAAGGCCAACTACTTTGACAAGTTGATCCGCGGAGAAGGCTTTCAAAATTGTATTGCCGAGTTGTTCTGGACGTGCTCCAATCCGATCTTGGACCTCGACTCTCCCTTTCTTACTTCCCTTCTACACAACATTGTGATCCTCAGGAAGCTCATGAAGTTCAAGTCGCTCCAGCGGCAATATAAGCTTTTGGTGTCATCAAGCTATCTGACAGATGATGATATTGACGACACTCAGCAAGACTATTATGACTTTGACGAGACGTTGATAGACATGCCTGAGAAAGGGTTCCAAGGTTCCAAGACTCCACTCAAAGACAAACTATGGCGGTACCTCCAGGAATACTATCCGAAACTTGATGTCAAGTTCATCATTGAACAACCAAGACTCGTTGTTCGGCATACATCTACCACTTCGATCGATATATTGGACTTTTCCTATTCCTCGCTCAACTTTCTGGTCATTACCACCAAAACCAGAGATTACAATTTGAACTGCCTGGTGTTAGCCCCAGCCATCTCGTATGCGCAAAATTCCATTCAGGGTGATTCTCTGGTAAAGTTCGACATTGTATCGTTGAAATCGTTTGTTGCAGACGTTCAGGTGTTGAAAAACTTGAAATTCAAATTTGACTTCAACTTTGAGTCTTTCCACATTGACTTTTCAAATCTCACTACGCTAGTTGGTATCAAGACCATAGTCAACCAGCTAACAAGGTTGATTGAAATGGACCTCCAAAGGGGTCATATCAACCTCTTTCTAAACTCCCGGATCTCCAAGTACCGGACTTTTGTGATGAACTTGGATCAGGAAAACCCATCGGATGTCTATAAGACATTGAAGGAAACTTTGTTCAACTATCTCCCTGCGTGGTTTGTTGAGTTGAACGTCGTGGCGGACGACGTGGACTTCAAGTTTGGGTCCAGGTCCGTATTGATTCCAAAAGAGAAGCTTTCAGAGATGTTGCAGGAATACGACTTGAAAGATTTCCTCGAATCAGACTCTTCTTGTGAGCTAAGATGTTTCCGAATCCAACTAGGCATTCTTAGGTTTGGATTTGAGAACAATTGCAACCCGCACTTGGATCTATCAACTTCGAGTCTCAGCTCCGCTTCACTGGACACATTGACATCGAAACAAGACCAAAGCATCAGCTACTGGGGTAATAACCTCGAAATAAAGGATTTTGTGCTAAGTGCAATGAGTGACTTTAGTGGGCCTAGACATTATGGGCAATGCATAGCGATTCCCAATGTCTCCATTGATGTTGGCTGCAAAAAAATCCAGGCCAAAGAGAATTTGAATGTCTCGATAAACCTCAACAAAATCGAAGGAAAGGTGGACCACTTCAAGTGTTTCACCATCATTGGTGCTGGATACTTGTTGATGGAACACATTGTAAGGCCATTGCAGTCTATACAGAGCAAGTTGAAGAAGGATGCTGGTTCAATATCTGAGAAACCTTCCAAGTCCAACTTCAAGTCTCTTAAGGATTGTATCACCATATCTTCGAAGATCAAGCGGACAGATTTGTCTGTGACGTTGAGTGGTGATTATAAAGTGAGATTGGATTCTTATGAAACCAGGATAAGTTTGGCAGACGATACCATTTCTATCTATGATAAGTATTTCAGAGTGTTGATCAGCTCTCCTACTGTTGAGGACCACTGGTGCAGACTCATATGTACCGATGATTTCCAATTCCATGTCAACCTACATGATATTCGGAACCTTTATGTCAACACCAGCTTAATCAAAATTGCTCATCCCCATGGCCATATTGCCTATAAACTTTTTGATAATATTTCAATCACTTTAAAAGTCCTCAAGCACTCTATCCGGGCTTTCAATAGCGGAGATGCTGAAAAAGACAACGATTTCACGGTGGTTCATCCTTCTGAGTCTAGACCAAAGGAGTTCCCTAATATCAACTTCAAGACCAATAAGTTGATGTTCAACATGGAAGATGATCCTTTCGAAAGCGAGCTTGGTATGATCTTTCAACTTGGAAAGGTCGAGCAGCTAAAGAGAATAGAACTCTACAGTTTGTTTCAAGCAAAGACACAGAACCTCCAAAGCACCGAAAAGCACGACGAGATCAAAAGCATCGAAGACATTAATGACGAAAATGATCTCCCTGGAAAGTTGGATGACTTGAACGAAATAATCTCCGTGTCTTGGATAAGAAAGGTCAAGAGGTACAAGACCATGTTGAATGATGAGTTGGTGAAGAACAAAAAGTTTTTGTTCGGAAATGAAGCCAAATTGGATTCCCGATTCCAGTCGAAGATCCTCCCTTATTCTCTTCATGCACCATTGTTGTCTATCGTTATTGATAGCTTGAACATGGTTATCTCGAAACCCACGTTCGATTTGGAAACCCTTCCCAAATTTCTTCATGATTTAGGACAAGGTCTTCCTTTCGATACCAGGTACTCGTTAATACTCCCGATGTATCTTGACTTGAGAATGAGAGAACTCAGGATCCATTTGAGAGATTACCCGTTGCCGTTATTGTATGTTTCGAACTCGAAGGCAGAACTGGCTTCTGCCGTCAAAATGTATGGTGACCTTGTGATTTCCGAGTCTCTTGTCACTGAAGAACACAACATAAGAAAACTTATGGTGGACCTCACCAGAAACCTTAAGAAGTTCCAGTTTAGTGAATACTACCGGTTGGAGATTGAGAAGACCATGGCTACTGTCAAGATCTTTACTGATATGAAGATTGAGTTCTCCACTAAATTACCATCAAGGTTCGTGTGGGGCCAATCGTACCAATTTGCCATTCAACAGGTGATGCTTAACTTTGATCTGTTTTCAAAACCACCTCTAGACCCATCTCCCAAGTTAGGTTTTTGGGACAAGTTAAGGTTGGTGATTCATGGAAAGTTCGATATCAAGTGTACGAAAGGTCCTTTGGAAGTTGCATTCAAAGGCTCAAGAGACCCGTACAATTTGTTTGGGGTGGCTTCTGGATTCATTCTATCTTTCAAAGACAACGTGGTTTGGACGATTAACCAAAATGACGATTCCAGAGACTTTTGTAATGTGAAGTCCGACAAAATCTCCTGGTATATACCTAACTACCTTGCATCCGGGTTGGTTTCATGGACAAGAGAGACAAACAGGTTGACGTACTTGCCAAACAGTAAGAAGTTTATCACTTCGTGCTATGCGTACTACCTTGACGATGAGGATTACTGTATTCCCAGAAACAAGGTTAACTCGAACATTTTTGAGAAGAAAGTTGTTTCTCTCAGTGGGGGAGTTGTGTTCAAAGTGGGATTTGTGCTTCAAAGGGACGGTGATGATGGACAAAGAACGGAAGAATGTAAGTCTCATTATGATGTCAAGCTCTTCAACCCTCAATTCACAGAAGAAGGCCATGATTCCTATAAAGATTTCAGGTCTGACTACATCAACATGGCCATCTCCATGGATGCCAATTTTCTGGAAAGTTACAATTCTATCCACCTAAGCCCAAGGGTTTTTATGCAGTTCTTTGACTGGTGGAAGTTGTTCTCAAGTAACATGCAATTGCCCATCAAGAAAGGGAAGATCTTTGGAGAATTAAAGAAGTCAGAGAAGTTCTCCCAGCACTTGGTTTCCAACAGATTCAAGTTCAACCTCAAGTCCTTGTTCATTTCTCATATCTACAGGGAAGAGAACTCTGAGGAGATGGAAGACCAGATCCAAAGCTGTGGTCTCAAGGGAAAAATGAACTCTTTTGTAGTCGATTTGCATCAACGGAAGGAAAAGAGGATAGCTGTGCACGAAGGAATTTCCCGTAACAAGAATATCATGAAGATGACCTTCCATATTGCTGATGTACACTTGAATGGCATTGACTTGAGAGTCGTCACCGCTACTTTTGACCATAATGCTTATAATACTCCAGGAAATGTGAAGGAGTCCAAGTATGATATCTTCGATAATGACGAACAGTGGTTTGACATTGAGGATTATGAAGAAGCATTCTTGTCGAGTTTGGCATCGAGTAAACGGCAAATTTCTGTATTGCCGTTGATGTACAGTGAACGTTTTTCATACTTGCGAGATACCGAACCAGGAATTAGGTTCAAGGAAGTGGACCTTTTTGAATCTGGCAAAGCGAGTTTGGAACGAATCAAAGACGTTGCAAGAGCCCAGAAAGATATTGTAAGTAGCCGGATCAAACAGTTGAAGGACGAGATCAAACTCAGGAGATCCAGGGGTTTATCAACTAAAGACTTGGTTGGAAGAATTGACGTTCTTAAAAAGGAGATGAGCAAAGCATCTGTGAATCTTGATCGAAGACCACTGGTATCAGACTTTAACACCAAGTTCAGTAACAAGTTTATCGTCATGAGAATGTTGTGGAAATGGAACGACAAAAACAGAAACAACTTCTTCAAGTACGTTCATTTTGTTCAATTGCGGACATTTTTGAAGAGGTACTTGAGTTTTGATTCCATAAGTGCATTGGAGGAAATCGTCGAGTACAGTACGGAAGGGTTGGACAGGAAGAGTACCTACTCGAAATCGGAACATTCTCCTGGCGATAAGTTTGCCAAACTATCAACTGATGAAAAGTCCGGTAAAAGTCGAGACAGACTCACAAAATTCGACGAGATCTTGACTCAGGTGGCCAAAAATGAAAACCTTGTTGAGGATTACCTCATTGAGATCATCTCACCTCAGATCCAGTTGCAGAGCAGTGAAACCCCCGATTCGGTGATCATTGTATCATCACCAATGATCGATGCGAAATTGGTGTCCATCTACGATAAATCCAAGGACAGGCTTCTCTTGGATATCGATGAGTTGGAGAATAGGCTTGCAGTCATGATCAACAACGCTAACGTCTTAGTCTTTGAAAAAAATCTGGTTGAAGATAACAATTCCTTCATCTTTGACCAAACCTGCTATGGTTCTACAAGCAGCTGGCCTCCATGGCTTGGAATAGAAATTTGCAACCAGGCCACTTTGGCAGGAAGCAAGAATGTTCTTTTGGAAGACACCTCGGTAATGATCACATACATCCAGCTGAAGCCCACGGGTGCTAAGTTTGCCCATGACAGTGAAGGAGATGATCTCAGTAAGGTGAGCACCAATACTTCTAAATACTTTGATCTACCAGGCTCAAAGAAGGAAAACATCCAAAATAAATTGCATGTGGACATCCCCACCGTGAACATCACCTCAACTTCAGCTCAGTACTTTTCTTTGTACTCGATAATCACCAACTTGTTACTATACACCGAACCCAGCAACAAGCAGTTCAACGATAAGTTAGAGAAACTCAAGTTCTCCATCAACTTTCAAGATCTAGCGGCATTGTATGACAGAATCAAAGCATTACATTTGCAGAACGGGATTCTTAATCTAATGAGCAACAACTATAACTTTCGGCAAGACACTCTCGACAACGAGAGTCTTAATGACTTTATAACCTTGAAAACGATCCAGCAGGAAATTTCCAATGAGCTTTACTTGCTACTTCATTCTATGTTAACAGGAAACTCCCATGTCAAAGATTCCAGTAAATCACCCAAAGCTGAATGGATCATCAACGCAGATGAGTTGATCCTTCACATGTTGGAAGACGACCGCACACCTATTCTTGATATTGCCATGGCCACAGGAAAGTTTACTCGAATCGTCAACGAAGATGATTCGAACATCAACCGCATTGAGATATCCATGATCCAAGGATTCAACCTATTACGAGGAGCCATCTTCCCTGCGTTCATAGAACCTATGGATCACAAGGATGAGCTCCAGAACCTACTTACGGTGGACTGGTCGATGTACTCAAATGTTGGTGGAATCAGGCTAATTGAGAACTTTGAAGTCAATGCTCAGCCGTTGAGTGTCCGTATGGACAAAATAACTGGTGATAAATTGATGCATTTCTTGTTCAAGACTGAATTGGCCGACCTAACGGATCTTGGTGATAATCCTATGGCCAGACATGAAGCAGAAGTCACAAATGATTTAGATTTCAACGGAAAGGCCTCCAATGGAGATGAGAAGAGTAAAGTGAATTTTGATACTAGCTCAAGCCAATCAGACCCAAGCGATTCAGAGTCCTCAACAAATCCTGACCAGCTTACCATTGGGTCTCCCTCAAAGAGGGTTACAAACAGAAGTTCACATCTTTTCCCCAAGTCGTTCACGCAGTCATCTGGTTCTGAACAGCAGTACGATGAACAATTGGACGTCATGGTTAACCGGTCGAAAAACTATGTCAGTGTCAACAGTTTGAAGGTCAATCCTGTGTCACTTCTGATTTCCATCAAGCTTAAAGGAGGGTATAAGCGATTGTTGAATGTAGAGGACTTCAAGTTGGTGTTACCCGAGATCTTGATTCAAAAGAAGATTCTTTCGGTATTGGAGTTTACGATGATTGTAAGGAAGATTTTGGTCAGGGCTATTCTCGGGCATCTTGGAGGATTGGTGAGAAATAAGTTCAAACGATCTAAACGGAAGCCCATGAATCTCATCAACAAACCTTTGAAACCGTTGAAACGGTATGCCAGGTTCACTTCGGTGACGGAGTTACGAGGGGGCTCGAACGAAGACCCATAGACTATGTATTATTAAAGCTGTAACAGTAAGAGTATACAAAAATTCTAGTATTAACAGGGTAACCGTCTGTGTTTCTGGTGAGGTTTTATCGTCATTCATTAGAGCAAGTGCTGGCGTGTTTTCATATGTGTATTCTCTTGGGAGTATCACCATTCATCTGTTTCTTCTTTCTCTTGCGCTTATCTTCATCCATCTCCGAGCCGTCATCTCTTCTCATGAGAGTTTGTTGGTCACTGATACCTAAATCGGCGGTGTTGAAGCCAGGGATCCCGTTCAAGGGCGTCTTGTCGAATTCCAACGCCTTATTGACAAGTTTGCTCTCTATAGGTTTGATAATATTTGGAAATTGACTTAACATCGGGTCCAAGAGCCCATTCGGTACGGGCTTAGCTTTGGGTATATTGTGTTTTCCTGGTAAATCTTGAATATGGTTCTTGTAGGATTTTCTGAGTTTGACTCCCTTGGAGCCATCTGGATTTGTTCTTGCCAAAGATCGAGCAGTTTCCTCGAGTCCGTAGACTTTGATGAGGTTATCCAATGGAGACGGTTTCACTGGCTCGTACACTTCTAAAAAAGTTAGTAATGAGAAAGGATTGGAGGAGGTGGTCACTGTGCACATACTTTTTCGGTCTATGAGGTAGACATTACCATTAGCAGAGGAATCACCCATGCTTTCAATATGTTAGACTGTGAAGCCAGGTTTTCGAAAGCGCGCGCATTTAAACCGAATAGTTATATTTTACAAGTACACTATTTATGGTAGACAACCTATGCATAAATTGGATTGGGACCCGAAGTCTATCACTTGCGGACAACCTCCCAACCGTCCTCAACCTCTTCTTTGACATCATTAGAAATCGATAAGTTGGCGGTCTGCTCGGCCAAGCTGGGTTCAGCTGGTGCGACCGGCTTGGCTTCTTCTTCATCACCGGACTCATCTGCTAAAACATCAAAAGCAGACTTCTGAGGACCAGGGGAACCCGCTTCCTTTGACTCTTCTTTCTTGGGGGTCCGGGCGGCTCGTGGAGGTAACACGGCCTTTTCAGTTCTGGCGGTACCCCAATCAAGCTCTGGGTCTTGCTTTCTTGGTTTTCTGTTACTTCTTTCTCTGGGAGGGAGAGCCACCTGTTCGGATCTAGCAGCACCCCAGTCAAAGTCGGCATCGGGCTTTCTTGGTCTTCTGATACTTCTTTCACCTCTCTCGACTCTTTCTCTTGGGGGGAGAGTAACTTGTTCTGATCTGGCGGCACTCCAGTCGAATTCAGCGTCTGGCTTTCTTTCTCTTCTCTCTCTTCTTTCTCTAGGAGGTAACTCGGTCTGCTCGGTTCTGGCAGAGTTCCAGTCGAACTCGGCGTCCGCTCTCCTTGGTCTTCTTTCTTCTCTGTCACCTCTGTCACCTCTGTCGCTTCTTTCTCTCGGAGGTAAAACGCTCTGCTCGTTTCTGGCGGCACCCCAATCCAATTCAGGTTGGTCTTCTCTGTCTCTACCACCGGATAAAGGTCCCGATCTTCCACCTCTCCAGTCCATGTCAAAACCACTCTTTTGAGGTGCGGCAACGTTGACAAAGATTTTTCTTCCGTTGAAGTCAGATAAAGTCAATTGCAAAGCTTCTTCCAAAATGTCTCGTTCACTGAAAGTCACAAATCCAAACCCTTTCAATCTTCCGTTGGGGTCGGCGGGCAACTTGACGTCGCTAACAACGTCGGTCATCTGCATTCTCTTCTCGAAAAACTGCTGGACGTCTTCCTCAACAATGTCCCATGGCAAGTTTCCAATTCTTGCTCTATATGGGGGTTGATCTGGAATGGGGAACTCTTTTCTCTCTGGTCTCTGGTCTTCAAACGCCTGGCGGGCGCTCTGACCGCTGTAGTCATTGGAGCCTGAGAACGCACGTCTTTCGGAAGGAGCCGAAGCAGTTGGTACTCCGATGGAACCAAAATCGACTTCTTCATCGGCCCACGATCCACCTCCGAGAGAGTCGTCCGCCAAAAACGAACCTAAGTCCATTTTAATATTCTTTTTGGGAGCTAGAGGCATTGTTAGTGGGAGAGCCTGGGGGATGGGCCTGGTGGTGATACATACCCATTGTTAACTAATATATTGTGTTCAATTAGGTGGTAGCTTAATAAATGTTAATGCGAAAATTTTTTTTCCAGAGATCTCATTACAACGCGAGTGAGCTAAGACATAGACATCATATATTGGTAATAATATGGACCGATATGGTATTGGGTCAGTTGTGTGGTTGAGTTACCGTAGTAACATACTTACGCCTGGTGGCACCCACCCGTTCGAATTGAAGAACAAAAGTTCAGAGTTTACACCCTATTGTCATTAACTTGGCGTCGCACCTCATCAGAAATGGTAAGACTTGAAATATCCACTTCGGAGTCCTGCCGCAGAACATGAGTCCTGGCCGTATGTATACTCTGGTGGGATCCTGACGCCAAATCCGTGTTGGGGCTGCTTTGGGGTTCGTGTGGGTGGTCTTGGGATGTGTTTGTGCTAGTTGCAGCCATTGTTTGATCATGGTCCGCATCGGGTTCCTCACCTGGAATCTGACCGGTAGCAACCCCGGCTTCCGAAGTAAGCCGGCGTTCCTCGTGGACTCTGTATGTATGGTACGTCGTTATCACTCCGTAGTGAAACAAGTCCTGCTTGGAAATACCCATGATTCTCCAAAACACCATTTTGAAGAATCCACCGTAAGTTCTCTGGGCATACTCATTTCCAGCTTCTTCCAAGTTGAGATGAGTCAAGGAGTCGTCGCTCAAGATCATCCTGACTCTCTCATCGATAGGAATAAGCTCTTGTAACATGGCACGAAGGGTAGGATCGTTTCTGAACACCTCGATGTCGATCGAGTCAGTATCTGATTCTTCGTGGGTATCAGGGGCATCGTTGTTTTCAGCGGTCTCGTGTTCAGCGGTCTCGTGTTCAGCGGTCTCGTGTTCAGCGGTCTCGTGTTCAGCGGTCTCGTGTTCAGCGGTCTCGTGTTCCGCAGCCTCTTCATCGCCTCTCGACGTGGTGTTGTTATTGTCGTGGGTCAGGTCTGCATTCTCCGTCTGTTCATTGTAGCTTAACCCATTCTTATAGTAGTAATCACGTTTACACATGGGACAACAGGCCCACCTCTTGGTCAACCACGGGTCTAAACAGTCAGCGTGGAAAACATGCCCACAGAGCAACCCTCTGACAATATCGTGACTTTCGATCATTTCCAAGCAAATGGCACAGGAACCAGAAGTATAGTGAGGCATGTTAGTATTATCTTCTTCAGCAGAGCTACTGGTTCCCACCGCCTGGGTGTTGATTTCGGTCATTTCAATGCTTTCGTGGCTCTCGTTGGTGGTGGACTCTTCGATTTTAGGGGTGGCGATGGCGGTGTCGGTGGTGGAGGTGTCGGTTCCTTCTTGTAGTACGCCATCGCGGTTTTCCTGATCTCGCTCCTGACCACCGTTGAGCCAGTCATAGTAGGTTTTCTTGGGGAACAACGTCTCAACTTGAGCCTCCGTAAGCTTCTTCATCTTGCTATACCGGTTTCTACGTCTGCGGTTGCGTCTTCGGCGGTAGTTGAGTCTCTGGTCGAAGAAGTCACTGCGAGAAAAGTGATGGGCCCGAACATAGTCCAACTGTTCTTGAAGCTCGACCGCCGTGTGGTGCATCGCCGACAAGTGGTGCGACGAAGATGTCGGTAATGCGAAGCTTCGTTGTGCCATTGGGTACACGTGAAGTCCGTACTTGGACCTGATGAAGTATCGGACGGTGAAAAACACAAAGAGTGAGGCGATGAACACACCCACTGCCAACGCGAGAAAGAAGAGAATTGTGGACGGGGTGTTACCGACAAATGATGACGACGACCCGGTAGGCGTGGGAGATTGCAGCTCTGATGCCGACGGTTCGTCTCGTTTGGTTCTGGAGGCCATCCATTGGGATTTTTCGGCCAGAAATTCAAGCCAGGAGTCCATGATGAATAGGAAACAATGCAAGGAGACTTTGGTTCAACAGGAGATGTTTGGATCGATCCTGACTAGGTAATGAATATTGTTTTTTTTTGCTTGGGTTCCCAAGGCTAAGCGGATCCACGCGGGGTCCAGTTATGATGACTGATTACAGAAAAAGGCTGAGTGGAAGTCGGGACGATCTTACACTCGTATTGTGTTTAGGGAGATGAGACGGTTTCTTTGGGGTTCCCAGTGTTGAAACAAAGGCTGGAGATGGGAGGAATATGTATCAGGTGACAAATGCCAGGGGCAGAAATGGTTTTTTCAGGTGGATTTTGCGACTGCGATCTCATTACAACCGATAAGAGAAAAACTAGGGTGATGCGACAGATGGTAATTAAGACCAAGTACAAGCCCTGGTATGATTCATGTTCTACAGTAGCCAAATTAAGTATTGATATCGATATATTTAAAATCAACAAACTCATAATGACAGATCCACAAAAGTGTTTTCTTCTACAGTAGCCAAATTAAATATTGATATCCATATATTTAAAATCAAGAAACTTATAATGACAATTCCTGAAATGGATTGAATTTATACTTAAGCCTTTGGTGCTTCCTTGTAGGAAATGGCGGCTTCTTCACCCATGGCCATCAAAATGGTGACGAGCAAGTCCTTACCTTCATCGAATTCTTCTTGAAGCTTGCTTCCAATTTCACCTTCTGGAACCTTGACATCATCCTTCAAGGAACCATCTGGCGACATCAACGACAAGAACCCGTCATCGATGTCGATCAACTGGAATTCTTCTCTGGTGACGTTAGGAACTTCCATGTTGTGGGTAGATGGAGACAAATCTTCCAACTTCTTACCGGTGAAGATATCGATGGCAACCAAGTGGACCTTGGCGTGTCCGTGCTTTCCTGTCTTGGAGGTGGACATGTCGACAATCTTACATGGTCTACTCTTGATAACAACGTGACCGTTCTTTCTCAAGGAAGAACATTGCATTGGGAAAGTCTGGGCAGCATCAGCAGAAGCAGTAGCGAATTGCTAGAGGGCGTTAGTAAGGGTCCATGGAGGTGGTGGTGGTGTTCAGGGACGTTGCGAGATGGATGATGGGACAATTTTGGGGGTTGTGATGGTACTGAACCAATGACAGCCGTGTGAAAAGCAATGGGCTTGAGGAGCTGATTTGAAAGGACAGAAGGCTGTGAGGCGAGAGGGTTGGATCTATAGGTGGGGTTCATAATGTGAGGTGTGTCGAGCTCAGATCCCCCAACGTTTGAACGTAATCAGGTCAAAAACATACTTCGTCAGACATATTGATAGTTGATTATTTGGTAGAAATAAAAAACTCAAAAAAAAATTCGTCCAGATGAGTTTTGGAGAGCGAAAAAAAACTGGGCCGCGTAAACGACAGCACATGACAGGGCGGGGGCTGCGAGTAAATCTCAGAATGACTGCGCGCTCTGGCCGAGTTACCCTGCCTGATATTAGGTTCAATTATAATACAATTATATAGTGTATGGAAAATGGAAGTGAAGGAGGTTCAATGAAAGTTCATCTTCAGCTCTCGACAGATGCAAACTTGAGTTCATTGGGAGACTTGACGCTACGATCCTTGATATCAGAGATTTCACTGTCGTCTATCTTTCTGTCTTCACTACCATTGGAAGTTCTCTGCCGGCTTAAGAAGTTGGCAGTTTTCTCCAACTTTATTTCTTCGATTAGCTTGGCCCATTTGTTGAGTAGTTCCTGACACTTATCATGAAGCTTAAAGCTCTCTGGATATTCCAAGTCCTTGTCTTTTATGATACACTTGAGCACCTTATGGATCTTGGTGGTCTTGAGAAGCTGGAGGGTAATCTCAAAGTCAACTAGTCTTCTCAAAATGAGTCGAGAAGTCGATAACTCATCGGCATTAGGAGGAGCTTCGTCTTTATCTCGCTGAATCAACGCTTTTTGCAACTTGATTCGGCATAACCACAACTGCTGGAGTTTTTCTTCTTCTGTTAACACCTTGTGATGACTACCTACCGGGCCCGGTGACTCGGTCTTGAACCGCTTCATCTTGTTGTTGGAGTTGTTGTTGCTGCTGCCATTGGCTGTGCGCTTTCTGGCTATCACCTCGTCATCACTCTGTTTTTCAATGCCGTTGGTGCTGAGTTCGCCTGTCGAATCGTCTGTCAGGCTATTCACAGACTCGCCGTAGCCATCGTCATGGCCATTTCCATTGTCATGGCCGTTTCCATTATGGTTATTGTTGCCATTTCCCATTCTGGTTCTCAGCCTGGCACTTCTCCTGCCATTGGTCTTTTGTGGTGGCTGTGGCTGTTCGTCTTCTTCCTCTTCGTCTACTTCTTCTTGATGCTTGACCTTGACCTCATTGGTATACAATTCGTATTCATCTTCATCTTCGTCTTCGGGCTCCTTGAAATCTTTGCTGAGATACAAATCCTCTTCGTCTTCTTCATTCTTACTCATCACCGGGTGATCCTCTGAGTCAGGCGCATCGTAGGGGACTTCACCGCTATCCCTTTGTTTTAGTTGTCTCATAAAGGTCTCAAACTCTAAACCTTTCGTGGCCAAAAAGGCGTCATTAATGGTGCTGGATTTGCCCTTGGACTTGGGCTTCTTATAATTCTTGGGGATCTTGCTTATCCGGGTGTCTAACTTGTCTGGGGTCAAATATTCCAAGTTCTTCTCGGGGAACCAGTAGAAATCCCCGTCAGGGATAAAAATGACACAGAACTCGGTGGTCTTTTTTTTCACCTCAAATATCGATTCAGGTATCATTCCCGTTGGCATCACGAACGAGGGCCATGCAGGGAACCCGTGCATTTTAGCCAACACGAGATCTTTAGGTTTAAACGCCAACTTTCTGGAGTTTTTAGGAGGCATTTTGGGCAGTACAGTAATTGGCAATCAATCAAATACCCAGAACGTGCCAACACAGATGAACGAATGAACTGGACCGCCTTAAGCTTGGAATCACGCGACGGGGTTGGTTGCTTTGGTGAAAGCCCTAACTTTGTTGATATGGAATCTGGGGGGTTTGCAAGAACCAGTGGAACGCGAAGAAAACAAGGACAATTGCAAGGCGCTTGGGCGTGGATACCAAATGACGTGCTGTTCTTGAATGGATTGAAGGTCTTTAAACAAGTTGAAGACTGATGGTCAGTAAACACTGAAAAGATTTATGTAATGTGTGTCTAAATGTTTTTAGATTTTTTCTGACTCTGAGCGAGCGAGCAAGCCAAAGCGCACGGTAATAATAGGCGTGAATTGACAGAGACGATTTACCAAAAACGCAGTGGTATGTACTGGTGGTGTTTACTGGTGGTATTTACTGGTGATGTTCACCGATGGTGAGGTGTACCGGTACCAGCTGGTGCCAGCAGCCAGTACTACAGACCATGTGGGTGTATGGGTCAGACTTTGAGTCGTTGCGCACTGGCCCTGCGTGCATGGCCTGGGCCCCTTTTTGCCAGGCACGAAGCGACAGGCACGAACGGCGAAATGTACGTATATATTGTTTTGGCTACCTGGCGGTAAATTCGGCCAGGGTTGGTGCGGGATGGTGCCGGAGGTGGTGACAAGGGGTTTGGGGGATTTAACATTTTCCTGAAAATGGTATAATTGTTATGTTGGTCGTGCGCCGGCGCACCCCCCAATTGTTGCAAAAAAACGTCCACCCGGTAGAAGTCGAATAGGAGAAAAGATAACCGGTGTATAAATAGCGTGGTATTGGAGAGATGAGTGGGGAGATGGTGATGGTTGTTTTTTCGGGTATTTTGGAGTTAAATACGGGTATTTACGCTATTTTTATTTATTTCTCTCCTAATCTCTGGAAAATGTAAATTCTACGAAAGGGTGACGAGCCCATAGTTTTATAAAGAAAGCCTCAAAAATCTACGAAAAACCACCAAAATCATCCATGGTAGCTTTTCTGTCAATATTGATCTCCGCATACATCCAAAAAGCATCCTTTCCATCTCCACCCCCATTTTTATCTGATGTGGGTGTCTGGGCAGTTGCGACCGTCAGATAAAATCGCCGAAAACCTTTTCTCGCTCTTTTTTTGCAAACACTTCATCTTTACTGAACATTAGCAGCTGCTCCAGCACAAACAAAAAAAGCGCTGTTTGTGACCTCAACCCCCTTATATCGCCGAGAACAGAGTCTACTCCCACGTCTGGGCTAAATCCAGTGAATTCACCCCTTTGTTCCCGTTTTTTTGTGTTGCACCCCTCGAGTGATAATGGACTTGAAACGACCACTTCCTGCTGCTGACGATACATTTGCAAAAAACCTCCTTGAAAACCCCCTGAAGCGCCAGAGGTTGATGGAACTATCGCAAATGTCCACCCACATGCGGTCTCCTGGCCTTGGGAATTCTATGGCTGCTGGCACCCAGATTCCCCGATTTCACAGCCGCCAGTTGCATAACATCCCCAAAAACGGATTACCTATAATATTCCCCCCGTACCAGCCCAGTGACTTCTTCACGGACATAGACCCGGAAAATGTCGCCAGGTATGCGCCAGCCATCGACAAGATGATAAGTTTGTTTCCTCCTCCACTTGCCCCTGCGGTGCCGGTGGAATTGGAGTCTCACGGGGAAGGAATCATGATACCTTTTATATTTCCGCCACCGCCAGTGATCAAGCCGGACCCGTACATTGACGACAATGCGTTCTTTCTCAGGAAACGGAAGCTGTTTACAGACCAGAAATCCCCATTGTTGGAGCCAGTTGAATTAGCACCTTTACCGTTCCCACCCCGAAACTTCATGCCATATCCGTTGGACGCCAGTAAGGCGACATTGACGCCGCACGATGTGTTTACCGACTTTTTGGATGCTTCCACCATTTTGCCCCGTACAGACATGGTGGTCGCAAGTGCTGCTGGTACTTTGACTGATTTCAAGTATCAAGCAGACAAGGAAGGGTTTTCGATCCAAGAATACGACATCGATAAAAAGCGGAAGAGTCAGTCAGACGCCTACGACCGGGCGGCTGAGGAAGAAAACAGCTCGTACTATGACCAAATCAATGTTACAGACCAGTACGACAAAATGTACCGAGGGCTTTACGATCCATTTGAACCCAGTGCATCTCAGCACTTATCTGCTTCGATTCAGGCAAACCTTAGTAATGTCAAGAACAAGCCAGTAGACAAGGAGTACTCGAGTTTGCTCAACTATAAGGAACGGGTACTCAGTCGACATCCTGAGGCGAAACGACTTGAGAAGTATACCAGCTATCATAAAAGCGACTTGAATAAGAAGCGTGAGAGCCTCTTGATGTCGCTTACAGACATTGAGAGTCGCCAGGAATTGCATAAACATCATCTACTCAAGACCAGGAAGAAGCAGTTAATAACCAAACTCAGAGGCTTGAGAGCCTCAACCGTGTACCTTACCGATAATGAGAACCAGCACTTGGTCGATGAGCAGTTGGCTAAGATGAAGGATCGAATGGCCGAGGACCGGGACTCGGAGTTGGTGAAGTTGAAGTTTGAGTTCAACTACGAGGTGTTACGACAATTGACCAGTTTTTACCAAGATTCCGATAAGATATACCGAAAGTTCCAGGGAACAACCTTGAACAAGTTGCTCAAGTTGATGAACTTCTTTGAGTTCCAGAAAAAGCAGTTTCAAAAGCTCCTTGAGAGCCGTAAAATGTGGAATGAGTTGACCGACTTGACTAATAAGGAAAGCTCCAAGTTGTACAGTGATATAAGTGAGAGGAACTATGGACCTGAGTTGAAGGAGATTTTGAAACTAAAGTTGGCCATGGCTGATAACCGAGGGACTGCCGAGGATGAAGCCAGGGTGGTGCAGATGATTGAAAATCTCCATACAAACACTTTCTCCGACAGTATGGACAAGTTCAGCGATGTCACCGATTTCATGCCATTGGTGTCATCCAAAGAGTTTGACTTGATTACCACCAACTTAAACAAACAGAAGAACGACGTGAAGATGAACATGAATGTCAAGCATCAGATTTTTAGGAGTGCCTTATATGAGAGTGGATCCGATTCCACCTATGCGTCGTCTTTCAACAATTCTACTACAAGTGTGCCTGATACCCCCAAGAGACGTGGAAGAAGAAGTAACCTCGAGGTGGATGAGGAGAATCTCAACTCGGAAACGTTCCTTTTAGCCAAGATCCTGAAGCACTTTGTAGGACCTCAACCGGTGAACCAGGATCAGATGAACGAAGATTTCGAGGTAATGGGCATCAAGTCTAAGTGGAAGTAGCAGTACCAGGTATAACAGCTTGTATACGGTCTACTTGTAGTGAATAGCATAATTAGCAATGTAATATTAATCACGGAGATATTTATTGAAAACATAGCTAATGTTACAGTAATAAACATAATAAAACAAAGATAGACAGTACACAAAGACTAGAAGTCTTCAAATTGAGCATAGAGACCAATGACAACATTGGCAATTCCCAAAACCAATGGGAAGTTACCCAATAACAAGGTGTATTCCTTGTAGAACCCGAGTTGAATCAAAAAGTGGGTTTGCAAGGCCTTAAATAAAGAAGAGTAGGAACTCCAGACCGACAACGAACCGGTGTTATAGGTAATGAAGAAGAATATCAACACCTTCGACAAGGCAAAGATAAAAGGATCATACTTGTAGATTCTCAACAATACACTGGTATCTTCGTCAACCAAAATGGTTCTTCTGGAAAAGTTGAAGTAGAACGACAACAACAATGGCAATAACACCGCGTAGGCCCCCCAGTTCAAAGCAATCGACAAGACCTTGAAGTTGAACAAGTAGGTTAAGTCTGGGATCTTCAAAGTGATGTCCGACAAGAAAGGAATCAAGTTCTTGAGGTATGGGTGGATACTAGCATTATCCTTGATCGCCACCAAAGGCACAAACGTGTAGATAAAGTAGGTGAACTCGAAGATCAACTCGATGTAATTCAATGTGATGGTACCTGACAAGTTTTCTCTTAATTCATCATTGTATTCCAAAGTAGTGATACCAACCTTGTCAGTGAACTCCAACACCTTTTGGTATTTTTCCTCAGCACACTTGATGATCGGGTCAAAGTACTTGAGCACGTCGATAGGAGGGCCCTTGTACTCCTCGTCGTCTTCTTCGGTTTCCTTAGGTTGTGGATCAATTAAAGTTGACGCATCATCTTCACTATCATCATCGGTTGCTTCCAAGCCTGCTTCCACCAATTCCTCACCGGTGGTACCAGCCTCGCTGATGTAGGCCTCGATTTTCTCGATCAACGTCTTCTTAGTGTCCTTGCTGTTGGCAGCCACGTTGACCTTGTGGGCCACAGACAATAATTCGGCTTTTTTATACGAACTTAAATCTACCATTCTGAGGTTGTTGATTTCTCGCTTTTTGTTTAAAATGGCTTGGGATGTGTTTTGGTTAAAAAAAAAGAACCGCAATTCTCGGGAACCTGGGAAAGGTTGTTTATGTACGATGTTGTTTGTTTAGCTCTCACAAACTGTGTTGGGTTGAATAAACGGTTATTTTGATTTTGCCCGATTTAGGAATGGGTATTTTCGCCCTTGGGCACGAAGGCGCGATGTTTCTTGCTGATGGTGACAAACCTTTGACTTACCAGATTGATCCGAATTCCAAACACTATTCTTTGGTGTCATCAATTGATTACTTTACTAAATCTGGCAAGTTCCAACCTAGAGCTTCTGGAATTGCCTTTGCACCCTTATTTTATCCTGCTTTCGCCTAATTGTTTGATCCAGCTTTTTGCATCAAGATGATCCGAACGCTACTGCCACAAATGCTACCGTCACAAACGCAGAGACTAGGGCGTCTCCACACCACCAGGAGGTTGGGTGCCAGCGCAAAGCGGTGCGAGCAGCCACGAGTCAACCAACTCGGAATCCAGTACTTATCAGAAGGACTCCACAAAAAGGTATTTCCCAAAAATCCTCCCAAAACCTACCTAAAACCTAATAACCAAGCACTTGTTAGTATCGCCAAAAACCACCTTAAGCACCACGGGCTTTTTGGGAAGAAAACACAGCTCTACGATCCTATCAACATCGAGAATTTTCCAAACTTGGTGGGAAACAATACTCTCGATGAGCACTTTTTCAAGATCGGGTTGAAGAGCAGCGAGCCATACTTGGGGATGTGTAATGAGTTTTTCAAGGAAGGGTCCACGCTACCGCCGAAGCCCTCCAAGTGGGTCTTCAAGCCTGGCTGGTACCGGTACGAGGAGAATAAAGAACCAGAACATGTGAAATACCCGTTGGAGCCTGAGATAGTTTTCGACGTGGAAGTGATGTACAAACGGTCGCCATACGCAGTGATAGCCACGGCGGTGACGCCCAAGGCGTGGTACGGGTGGGTTTCGCCGTTCCTCACCAACTTTGCCAAAGACCAGACCCACGACGACTGGGAACATCTCATACCCATGAACACTCTCAAGGAGGAAAAGCTCATAGTGGGGCACAATGTCTCGTACGATAGAGCCCGGATTCTCGAGGAGTATAACATCCACCAGTCCAAAGCGTTTTTTTTGGATAGCATGTCACTCCATATCGCCGTATCTGGCTTATGTTCCAACCAGCGAACCCTTTGGCAGAAGCACAACAAGTCTGCCACTAAAATCAACGAAGCAGAAGACCTTGAAGATCTCAACGAAGCCGACGGAACGGGAGAACTCCCGTATATCGACTATATCACCGAGTTCACCCAAGATCTCGAAGATAACCCATGGCTTTCGAAAGGTTCACCCAACTCATTGGCAAGTGTCGCCAACTTCCACTGTGGTTTCAAACTCGACAAGCAAGCACGGGACGTGTTCTCGACGTTAGAGCCGATGGAAATCATTGAAGATTTCGATAATTTAATGGATTATTGCTCTAATGATGTGAATGCGACCTTTGAGGTCACCAAGAAGCTCTTCCCGATATTTAAGGAGAAGGCTCCTCACCCGGTGTCGTTTGCAGCTTTGAAGCCTCTTGGTTCGTTGATGTTGCCCACCACCAAGAAATGGGATAACTACCTCGAGAGTGCAGAACATGTGTACCAAGAGAACAGAGACTCTGTGACCAATATTCTCAAGGACAGAGTAAATGAGTTGGTGAGGTTCATTGATACTGGAGACGAAGGTCTGAGACCCGATATCAAAAATGACCCATGGATTGGACAGTTGGACTGGACCATCAAACAGCCCAGGTTGAAGAAGAATGGGGAGCCGTATGCAAAGCAGGCCTATCTTACGGGCTACCCCGAATGGTATAGAGAGCTCTTCAAGTCTCCAGCAGACTCGAAAGCAGGACAGAGAGAGATGAATATCTCTGTGCGTACCAGAATCACCCCTTTATTATTGAAGTTGAAGTGGGAAGGTCACAGCATTTTTTGGACCGACAGCAATGGATGGTGTTTCAAGGTTCGGTATAATGAGGAAGAAGTTAGGCGAATCGAGGCCAAAAACTATATCAGAGCCAAGTTGACGGAAGAAGACTTGGAGATTTATGAAGAAGAACTTCAGCCCACTGATAATACTTGGTACGAATTGTTCAAGATCCCACATCCTGATGGAAACAGCAAAAGATGTACGGCAATCATGTCCAAATCGTATTCCCAATACTTCCAAGATGGAACATTGACATCCGAGTACACTTATGCGCAAGAAATTCTTGATTTGAACTCCACCGCGTCGTACTGGATGGGTAATAGAAGAAGAATCTTGGAGCAGTTTGTAGTCTACTCCGACCCATTCCAGAGCAAAAATATCTTCTTCAATACCAAAAAAGAGTCAAAGAACCACCCTGATATGGGGATTATCTTGCCCAAATTGGTTACCATGGGGACCATCACCAGAAGAGCCACTGAAAACACATGGTTAACTGCTTCTAACGCCAAGAAGAATAGAATAGGATCCGAATTGAAGTCTCTCGTTGAAGCTCCAGAAGGATACGTGATTGTGGGAGCAGATGTGGATTCAGAAGAGTTGTGGATAGCTGCTTTGATCGGGGATTCTGCATTCAAGGTCCACGGGAGTACTGCATTATCGTGGATGACATTGGAAGGAGACAAGAACCATGGCACCGACTTACACTCCAAGACAGCAGAAATCCTAGGTATCAGCAGAGGTGATGCCAAGATCTTCAACTACGGGAGAATCTATGGGGCTGGGGTGAAGTTTGCAACCACTTTGTTGAAACAGTGCAACAACAAGTTGAGCGACAAAGAAGCAGAAGCCATGGCCAAGAAGTTGTATTCAGAGACGAAGGGTAATATTGGGAACTCTAAGCTTTTAAAGCGGAAACTCTACCACGGAGGAACCGAAAGTGTGATGTTTAATGCTTTGGAATCGATCGCTCAGTTCGATGATCCCAGAACTCCAGTGTTAGGATCCTCCATCACTGATGCCTTAACTGCCAAAAACTTGAACAAGAACAATTTCTTAACTTCCCGAGTGAACTGGGCAATCCAGAGTTCGGGTGTCGACTATTTACATCTCTTGATTGTGTCGATGGAGTACTTGATTAACAAGTACAAGCTTGATGCTCGGTTGATGATAACTGTTCATGATGAGGTCAGGTACTTGGTGAAGGAGGAAGACAAGTATAAGCTGGCATTATTGTTGCAAATCAGCAACTTATGGACCAGAGCCATGTTTGTGGAACGGCTTGGATTCAATGAACTTCCCCAGTCGGTTGCGTTTTTCTCTGAAGTTGACATCGACAAGGTTTTGAGGAAGGAGGTCACTTTGGACTGTATTACTCCGTCACAGCCAAACGCGATTCCAAGTGGAGAGTCTTTGGATATATACAAGTTGTTGGAGAAGCTTGAAACCAGTGAAGTATTGAAGCTTTCCAACTCCAATGATGCCATCCGCAAAAACGACGTGAACCTCCAGTTTAAGAGTAATCCCAAGATCTTAGAGAAATTGGAAGGAGGACTCGACAACGAGATGCTAGCCATTAAGCTACAAATGGAGGTGGCCACTTCAAAAGAAGACTGGCGACGGAATCTTTTTGAGTTTGGTAAGTTGCAGAGACAAAGCCACTATAACTACTTTGAACCACCTAAACGGATAACAAAGATGGAAGAATATGATATTGTCAGCGATGGTAGCAAGGACCTTGAGGAAATTATTGGAGCCAAGATCAAGAAACAAAAGAAACTGGAGGGGACTAAGAAACCATTGAGCAACCTGGAAAACACCAAATTACCTAACAAGCCATTGAATAAGTTCTTGAATAAGCCATTGAATAAGCCCACGTATAAGCCATTCAATAAGGTTTTAAACACGTTCATGAATAAGCCCATGAATAAGCCATTGAATAAGGTTTTAAACAAGTCCACGAATGAGCCATTGAATAAGGTTTTAAATACGTCCACGAATAAGCCATTGATGAATCCTTTGAACGAGCAGCACAATGATACCTTTGAACAACAGTCATATCCAAAATCAGAGATGAACGATACGTCAGCGGGCTTTCAACTATCACGGCTGGCCGGTATGGAGTTGACACAGTCAGCACCTACCGCCAAGCTACGACAGTCTCAACTGGCGAGCACATCAACATTCCTAGGTTACCTGAAACTACCTGAAGGTGCAGCAAATACTCACGATCCCGGGGGTAGTACGCTGGGCCGACGAACCACGAAGTTATTTCAGGACCTGGTGAAGTTGATACCGGTACAGCGACGAAGACGTAGCTCATTACTCTAGTTCCTATCGGATCGGATAACGTTTTTGGAGCAAGGCCCAACATTCCTCATTATTGAAATTGAGAGAAGGGCCTTTCTTTTGTTTGTTTTGTGCTGCCATTAGACAATTGATGATGCTTGTATCGTCATTGTAGTGTAAATTTTGTAAACTACCGACACAGCTTCAAAGTGTTTTAAAGAATCTGTATTTAGAGATGAATGTACGATAAGAATAGCGAGATGAGCCGGTGCAGTTCCACGACCACTATCGGTTATAAAGCGGTTGGACACCCGGACCGACCGAGGGTGACGAGTAATCGGTAATGGTGGTGAATATCCGCATATACCGAGGGTACTGGATGCACTCGGGAATACTAGCAGCATACTAAGTGGTAGCCCTACCATTAGAGAACCACTTAAACCCTTGTCTCCCATTGAAAGATCTTTGGGTGTGGCCTGGCGAGTTTTGAAATATTAAGCAAAAAACTTTCCCCAGGGGCGGGTGCGGCAGGGCCGGGGTCAAGCTCTGAAATCCGGGTAGATGTGCTGAATGCGGGAAAAGCCTAGCTTCTTTAAATGGGCATACGACCGAATGAGGATATGCAGCTAGCAAATTTCGTTGGTTTTTGACAAATACCTCATTCATACAATTGTCCATACACTGTATTCAACCAGCCGTGTTTCATTAACAGGTATGCGCATTTCGATAAACATCCACACCTACCAACTGTTCCAAAGTGGGGTGAAAAAATCACCTCCTTGAACCCTGCAAAACGATCTATTTTGTTGCTGACCGAGTAAACCTTAAAGTAAACATAGCGAAAACAAAGTATTTCCGACCCATAACTTTGACAGGTTTTGGTTTATTGTATAAAGATACTCCGAGCATTCCGCAACTATTTATATGGCCATCGGCGGTAATCTCGCACGAAGCTACCGCCAGGGCACACCAATACCCGGACGAAGCGGACGGCACCTGCGATATTTTTTTTCATGCGTGCGCCGCTGGATTTTCCTACGTTGATATCGGTCCGAAAATGGTTTGGTATAAATACAAATTAGATTGTCCACCAGCAAATTTTTTTTTTGAATTTTCCTTTCAGTTTTCTTTTAAAACTAACACTTTTTAACTAAGCTAATAATATGTTACCTCCTGGTGTTATCTTGGTTTTCGTCTTGGTCTTCTTGGCCTTTTGTGCTGTTGTTGGTACTATCACAGTAAACAAATTGAAGGCCAAAAAATCCAACCAAAGATTCTAAGTGTTTTCCAGTCAGGGAAAGCATTTAGACATTGTTGTTCTAATCATTGTTATTTGAGTACTGTGAGTTGAGTTATTGTTAAGGTTGCGAGAGGTTTACCCAAGTGGGTGGAAATTGAATTGGACTGTGTTTTTTGTTGAATTATTATTGGTTTTTAAGTTGGCTTCTTCTAGCGTACAAGATGTTTGTGTGGGTTGGTGATGGAGCAATGAGTGTGAAGTGGTGTGGTTTTGGTGTGCCTTAAGTGAGTGTTTTTAAAGTTTCTGTTGTTGGAAGAGCTAATTACCCAAAATTGGCCCCCTGCGATAACTGGAATCCGCTACCAAAAACCATCTGCGTTCGACTCATTGAATTATTCTCACCCTGAATGTTGTTTGTGTGTTGCAAGATTGTCAATTTATTACCAAAAAAACATTTATCCAATTGAGTTTCTGTCTGTTTGTGTCCTTAAGTGAACTTGTAAGCCCCGTGGCCGTTATACCTCCTTTCTAATGATTAATTTGTCTCAGCTCCAAGACTTGCAACTAATGATTTACAGCAGTGTTTAGAATCTTTTTTGGTTTCAATTCAATTTTTTAAAGTGCTACTAATTATCTAATACGTTGTGTTTTGTTTTATAAAATATGGGAATTTTGTTTTTGTATTATGGGAATCTAATATATAATATACCTAAAGTGCTATAGCCGTGTAGAAGACTTTGTGGGATGAATTTCTACCACTAGAAAGAGTATCGGAATTATTGGCAGAGTCAGAGTCGCTGGTGGGTTTGGCGGAGTTCTCATTGGCGGAGAAATGCGTCAGTGCGGACCCGCGCACGACCACCTCTAATCACTTGGGTCCTTCAAGTCTTCATCATATTCCTTCAAAAAAAACGATTGGATCATGGCCACCCCGGCCATCATGGCGAGGATCCACCAGGTAAACCCACCGAGCTCCTTGCGGTCGAGGTACGACATCAAAATTCCCCATGTCATCGGAGCGATGAACCGCGCAAGTGAGTTCATGCTGAGAGCAGCACCATTGATAAAGGCTCTGTGACGGGGCGGTGAAGCTCTATGCACCAAGAGTACTAACTGAGGGAAGGCAGTGGCATTAATTGCCTGGTACGCCACGGCGTTGCAGTAAAAGGCCACTTTGGTGAAGTTAGGTCCGAATTTGGGGTTATATTGATGCAAGGTAAAGATGTACAATGGCAACATGCAGTACAACACCGGGAACACGAGTTGAGTGGCCCGATACGTATGGATAGACTTAAACGTACGGTCCAACCACGGGAACACCACTATCACCACCACCACTCCACACATGCCGGTGGTGGAGAAAAGGGTTCCAATAAAGTCGCTATCAAAGCCAAATCCACCGGTGATACGGAACGGGAACTGCAACCGATCCACACGCACGGAACTAGCCAAGAACACCGGCAAGAACTCCCCATAGACAATGGAGTGGAACGCGAGGAGGAAGCTGGCGAGAATAAGCAGCACCACCCGGGGCGTCAACGCTTCAGAGAGCGGAGCGTCGTCATAGTCGTTGTCGCTATCGACAGCAATGCCTGAGAGCCGCGAGAAGGTGCGCAGAAGTTGTGGGGTGATGGTCGACTTGGACGAGTACCGTTTGACGATGGCATTGGACATACGACGGGAGAGTGGGCCCACCATGGCGACGGACTCAATGGAGATATCATCTTCCAGCTCGTCGTCGATGGCCGAGTAGAGCTGTTGTGGCGGTGCCTGGACGGGATCCATGTCGGCGTCCGAGTCAATGTCTTCCAAGAGTCCAATCGATTCGCTGGACCCCACGAGAGCCTCGGAGTCAACTCCGACTTCGATGGTCAGGGATTTTTCGGGTTTATTCCAGGGCCGTACTTTGGGGGTGAGCCCGCACCAGCGCAAGACGGCATCACCCAAGTCCAAGCCCACATCCCGCTGTTTCTTGACCTGTGGATGAGTTTCCTCAAAGAAGAGAAACCCAATCACCATTCCGAACCACAAAAACACCGCTACCACCACGTTGGACAACGCGTATGGGTGGCGGTCGAGAAACTGGTCGTGCCACTCGGCAAATCCCAGCGCCAGCACCACCGCTGCCATGGCAGCAGCCTCACCGTTGGGTTTGGGCCGTGTAAAGAAGCTCAGACCCCCGATGAGCGGACCCACCACCGACCCAAGGTTCCAGAGCAACGGCAACGTGGAGAACGCGACCGCCTGGTGCTTCCGCTCGGTCACCAACTCGCCAATGGCGGTCCGCAACACCGCGATGTTACCGTTGACAGCCCCCATGACGGTTCTGGCCAGAAGCGCTACCCAGTAATTGGGAGCAAACCCAAACGTCAACATCGAAAGAGACGTACCGAAAAGCCCGATGAGAAGCACATACTTGCGGCCAATGCGATCGCTGAGCCGGCCCCATTGAATGGTGAAGATGAATTGTGTAAAGGCAAATGAAGATGACAAATACCCGGCGTACTTGGAGATGTCAGTTTCGTCGGCAGCGATGCCAAAGTCTCGGATCATGAAATAGACGTAGGGGAATAAGGACGTGAATGAGAGTGGTTCCAGGAATCGCATGAGGCAGATCACGAGGATCTGGTACACGGGGAATCCTTTCATTTGTTGTCGAAACGAGACCATGTTTGAGGATTGAGATTTCGCGATCGCGCGATGTGGATTTAAACATGGGATTAGCCACAAGGGATCCGAGTGGTAGACAATGGCAGATAATGGGGTAATTAGTCACCGTGACAGATAGCTGAGCACGGACTTAGCCGAGCTACGACCCAGACACCCATACGCATACCACCGACCCAAACCCCCACATGCACACACCACGGAACCAACTTTAATATTAGCGCCACACTCCCACACTTCATTATCATCATACATTATCTATAAACTACCGAGTAAAGGTGGGTTTGTTGGTGCCCTTGTTCTTCCGCACCTCCAGCTCCCGGAGCGTCAAGAGAATGGCTGCCAACACCATGCCATTGTCGGTGATGCCATGGTTCTTGTCGCTGGGATCGAAAATCCGAAGATGACTGGCAGCTGCACCTTTCTTAAGTCGTTTGTTGCCATCCATGAACATCGCCACCGGGGTCCGGAGTACTGGCCGTGTGCCCGTCAAGTTCTGACCCACCGCCTGCTTGTTGTGGGCCAAAAGCAGTGAAATTAGGGGATTTTGGTGGTCTATATCGATTTTGATATCTTTGGCACTGCTCGGCTCCGACGTCCACAGTACTTGTACTTGGTCCGTGAGGGTATTGTACGGCTTGTCAACCACAAACGCTTTGATAAAGCCGTTACCGAAGGTGGAGGTGGCGCCGGAAGGCCCAAGGATCCGAAGTTTGGTGGTATGCCACACGCAGTCAACGTAGGGGCGCAACTCGTTGTTGAGCAACAAGCACACTTTTTTGCATCCATTAAAGTTGAAAATCAACACGTAGCACGTCAAGTTCTTGTGCAAGAACCGGAAGTACACGCGGCAGAACTCATGCTTGTCGGTGGCACTGGTGTGAGAGTTGATCACCAAGAGAGGAGAATTGAGCTTGAAATAGTTCAATATCGACAGCGACGTCGACAAGAGCGGGAAGGCTGACTTGGCGTCGTCGGCATGATTCTGGGCATCGGCCTCGCTGCGGAACACCTGGACGTCATTAGAGAGAAATGACGACACGATAGGAAGGATTTTGAGCAGGTAATTGGAGATGGGGATGGGCGAGTCGAAGAGGGTGTTAGTCAAAGTCTCTAGCGAGTTGAAGGTGGCGAGTGACTCGGTATCATCTTCATGGGCCTCGAAGGTTGAATCTGGATTCAGTCTCTCGTTCAAGAGGGTGTCACCACTATCCACCCTGAACAAGTGTGATGCCATTAGGTGAAAAATGCGATGAGGTGAGAGCTCTGATTGAGGCGCGCGCAAGTTGAGCCAATGGTCGCACAACACCGCGAGCCCCACCGGACCTGGCAAATCGGGATAAGAGCGCAATGAGGGGTCCCCTCCCAGGGTGTATAGAACCTTTTGTTTCAGGGAATTTTTTTGCGTCGACCACGTCATAGGAGGGTTTGGGTTTTTGGGTTAGAACCAGGGTTTGGCAACTGACAAGTATAGCTGGTGGAGTGGGGGTGGCCGAGGAGGCCTAGTGGGGCAGGAGAGTTGCACGTGAGACAAGACAGGGAGGTGTGGTGGTGATCAACTGAAGGGTTCTGGTCTGATGCTCTTGGGGGATCTAATAGTATGGATGGATCTGATAGTCCTAGATGCTCACTTGTTTGCTCGTTAGCTCTTCGTCCCGGCAGAAATTGCAACCACGCCAAACCTGTAAAAGTAGGTGGGGGCTTGCGGAGTCCCTCACCGCGCACCGCCAGATGGCTCCATCCACCACCAGCGTCCCGCGAACCTTGCACCCACGCACACCGCCCCAACCAGTCGCGGACAGGTTCCCCAGCCTTTTGTTCACAGGTTTGGTGGGGAAATCAATGCGGGGCCGCAAAAATGCCTGGTTTTTACAAACTTATATAATAACGTCAAATTTACCTTTTTTATTTCCCCCTAATCACTCTTCTTCTTTCTTCCTTTCACGACAGATTATTGCAATTGTTGAGATCAGCGGAACTTTATAGGTCCGTATTTGTATTGCTATTTTCTGCTCTTGTTCGTGCCATCACTCCCATCCACTTTTTTTCAAATGGCGGTTCAGAAGAAGTATGTTTGTGCCTTTTGTGCCAGAGCTTTTACTCGTCTGGAACACAAACAGCGCCATGAGAGAAGCCATACCAACGAAAAACCCTTCCACTGCATGCACTGCACTTCTGCCTTTGTCCGCAGAGATTTGCTTCAAAGGCACTGTCGAACCGTGCACAGTATCAACTTATCATCCGCCAACTTCCCCAAACCAGTGGACAAGAAACCCGTAGACGACGGGAGGTCGTCGAGCTCGAACGATGACTCGAGCCTTAGTCCCTCCAACTCTCAGCCCAATCCGTCCCATTTGACGATTCAAACGGTGGTGGCGGGCGAGTTTGACGGGTCTGCCAGGCCTCGTTCCAACTCTGTCGCGAGTATTGGTGTTGCCAGCGTCACCAGCGCCACCAGCGGCACCAAGGATGAAAATAATGACTTGGTCAGCTTGCTTTCCATATCCAAACGCCTTTATCAGATGCTCACCCAGTTTGACGTTGACATCACCAAATACACCGAGACCGAGCTCAATGAGATTTTTTTGATCGGGTACATTGAGTTGGCCAACACCGACAGGTTCCCGGTTCTTGAAGAGATGCTCAAAAAGTTGTTGCACCACCTCAACTCAAACTTGCTGGACACCAACAATTTCAAGGTGGTTCTGGTGTACACGGTGCTCGCGGTGGGGTTTAACGTTAAGAACAATATGGGACTGTCGATGGAGCTTTTCAACAAAGGATGGAACCTCTTGACCTTGAAGCTGATTCCCATGAAGGATAACAACAATAATGCCTCCAACCAGATGGAGATTTTAAACAACTTGTTTCTCTTGAACTATGTGTTTCTTGAATATAACCTCGATGCCCCCAAACAAGATGCCGGTCATTTTGCCAACATGAATTTGAACTCAGACTTGTTGTTCAATTACCTCAACGACATTGCTCTGATTATCTTGACCAACTTGCTTCAGGAGAAGGACCGGGTAGTGGTGTTAAAAACCCACATGAATTCGTTCTGGTCCATCTACGTGTTGCTCTCCAACTACTTTGTTAATAGCTACCCACCCAAATTCTACAATGTGTTTTTGGACCAGGTGGTGATGAAGAACCAGACGTTATCCCAGGTGATGCTCGACTTGTCACGTACCATTCGGTTGATTGAGTCGAGCTTCGTCAAAGAAATCATCACCTGTACCCTCATCAACGAACTCAACCACTTGATCCACTTCAACAAGTTGTTGATCTATGACCTGAAAAACAGCTTGCACAACTCGATCATCTTGATCAACAAGTCCGTCATCGACTTGAGCCTGAACAACAAGATTTTTGAGATCTTCAAGAAGAAGTTGATCATCAACTGCCCCATTAAATTCAACGACTTGCTCAACCACTACATTTTTCAGCCACTGCACAAGTATGAGTTCAATCTCTTGAGCGTGGCCTTGAAGGAGTTCAACTACAATCATAACTACAACTACAACTTCAATTTTAACTTGTTCATTCTCAATAACCTCAAGACTGATCTCTTCAAGTTTTCCAACGGATTGTTACCGTTCTTCAACACCTCGGTCAATGAGATCAACAACAACCTCGGTATCATTGGCTTCCCCATCATCTTCAACGCCAGTTTTCTCAACGGTAAGTTTGGCATTTTGAACGTGCACCAGCTGTCAGACTTTGATAAGCGAAACTTGAACCTCTTGATCATCGAGTGGTACTTGACGATGTTTAAGATCTTGGTGAACCTTCAGAAGAATGAGGCGTTGGTAAATAACTACATAATCCAGTGTGTGTTGTACCTTTTGAATGGTAACGAGCAAGGCTTTCAAATAAATCGAGCTGACTGGTTCATGGATATTTTGAAACGGTTGGACGGAGTCTACCACGACTGGCTTAACTTCATTGACCACAAAGACTACTTGGTCGACTTCAACGCCAACTTGAACAGTTTTCTCAACAATTTCATCAGTTCCAACTTGGTGGATAATGACTCCAACTATACCACTTTAAAGACAAACCTCTCCACCACTTCGACGTTATCCAACGGGTCGGGCTTGACGGGGACGCAGATGTACCCAGCTCTTAACTACCAGATGGGTCATCCAATTGGAGGCTATAAACCATTTGACTCGCGATCTCCCGATATGAATGCTGGAGGTCTACCCCAGCTTTCGAGCGTGGCTGCGAGCATAAGCAATGGTAGTTTCAAGTCGGTGCTATTGCCCAACCCCGAAAGAGAAAAGGAACGAGAGTTGATGCTTCCTCCAATCAAGTCTCCCATTAACAAGGTGACAACGGTGCAGCCGCTTGTGTCGGACCTACACAATTGATTGTACAGTATTTGATATATCTTGCTACGTTCATTGTAATATACATTTCTAAGCTCATTATAGTGGGGCCTCACTAGTTACTGACGGACCGGATCCAAATCTGGCTATCATCAAACTCTCTCCAGAGCCGGCTCAAATTAATTCCCAACCCGTACTTCTTTTTGGCCAACTCGTCGCTCTTCATATTGAGCTTCTCGATGGCCCGTTCGATCTTCGTCCGCGTGTGGTAGTCGATTTCCACGTTGTACGGAGGCAATAACGTCTTCAAAAAATTCACCTCCTTTTTGATTTTTTCTATTCGATTGACACACTGATCATACTGCAACTGCACAGACTTCATGTGCTTCGTCTTGTTATCGGCCGTAGTCACCTCTCTCTCCTTATCGTCGCCACTGACCTTCCGTACCTTGAACCGAATTGGTTTTTTGGTGGTGGGTATCTGTTTGGGTTGGGGGTGGGGGTCGTTTTCGTTTTGGGAGTTATTGATATCAGGGGACAACTTGGCCTCGACAACCGAGTCAACCGCCGACTCGTCTGTCAGGTCGGCAATCGCGTGCGCCCGGCTCAAGATCTTGTCGACCTCTTGTTGCAACTCGAAGCTGGTCATACCATCACTCATTACGCTTAGGTGTATTGTTTTGATTGTTTGCGCATTTTTCGCGTTTGTTCTGTGCGTGAGAAAAAATGTGAATTCGTGGTAGGGACACGGACCGGCGCATAATACGATGAGGGCTTCGTAGTAGGTCCTGGGAGCCAAGTAGGTGTTGGTACATGTACACCAAACAAGGGAACGCTTATTCCCAGGAATCTTCGTTGGATTTGAGAGACTATTAGGGTCTGACCCAATGACAGGCCAATTCCGTTACATCTGCGCGCGCATGATTTTGGCATTTGTCTGTAGAAACCATGAAATGGATTGCCAGTGCCATTTCCATCCGTTTTGTGGACCGCACCAGCCCGTCCGACGCTCACGCCAACTCGGGAGTCCACTTGGCGCTAGTTGACGCGGGTCAGACGCTTCTCCAGTACAATTTGACGGTAAATGTGCTTCCGCACCGGCTCCTCAGTCGCTGCGACCCCTACATCACCACAACCGACCTCATCGACCACAAGGCGAAAGAGGTCACGTGGGTGGATGCCCGGGTCGACTTCAACTTGCCCATCACGGAAGAAGACGGAGTCGAGGAATTCCTTTCGTACTTCAAGAATAACGGGTTTAGTCTCCTTCCGTTGGGCCAGGTTTCCAGCTCTTTGAAAGACTTTGGGATTTTGAACCTAACCACGCAAGAATCGGTAGGAAGTGCCAGCAATACCATTACCTTCGCCGACACACGTCAGTATGAGCCTATCGACATCGTTTCGTTCCCGTTCAGCTTCTCCAATCCCTTGTTGTTCTCGAACTACCGAGCATCGGGCAATATCAACTTTATTTCTAACTTCGGGTACTTGACCGACGTCAAGTACATCGACAACATGGTGGGGGCGATGGTGCTAACGAAACATGACGGGGTGGCAGAGTCGTTGGGGCTTGTGATGACCAATTTACGCAAGTTCAATGGAGACGGCGATTTGATGTTCATTCTCAGCTGGAAAGTGATATGGGCCATTGTTGCTCGGCACCATCCCAATAACCATCTCATCACAAAGCCGGTGATCAACAAGTTGGTGTCAACGTCGCCGATGGTTCTGGCGTCGCCAGCAAGAGATTCGGTGTTGCCGGTGTTGGTTTCGCTCGCATACAAACAGAGCTGGGGATCTTGTGTGGTGCTCAATTCCGAGTACTTGGTGACTAATTTCCACGTTATCAAGCCTTTTGTTCAGAACAAAGCAGCCACAATATTGGTGCACCTCGACGCTTCAATGGTGATGGACTTGGGAGAAGAAGACGAAATAAACACCACATTCAAGGACTTGGATCTCTGTTTCATCCGACTCTCGTTGACCAACCAGTTCAAGCTCCGGTCTGCTGGGAAGGTGCCGGCCACCTACACCCGGGCATATGACGTTGGAGACATGGTGAAGACCACCGGGTATGGATTATTTTTCAATCCCAAGTATTTGCAGCCAATTGAGAGCTATGGCCGTATCATGGTCAAACAACATCTCAAGCTTCAAGACACCGACCTGCACACGACGCCGGTGCTCGTGGTGACGTCGGCTTCATGCTGGAACGGCTCGTCCGGTGGAGGGCTCTTTAAGGACGAGAAGCTTGTAGGGCTCATCTGCTCAAACGCGCAGATAAAGGTGCACAACCCGAATACCAACGATTTTCACACGGAAAAATTGCCCAAGCTCTGTTTCATTTTGCCGGTGGAGGTGGTGCTTGCGTGCTTTGCGGTGGCAACCCAGTCATACCGGGAATTTGGATTAAACTTGGAGGTGAAAAATGCCTGGAACTTGGTGGACAATCACCGCACGCGTTTTGCAGCCAAATTATGAAATCTAATATACACTATACATAATACACAGCAGACACTACTGCAACCTCCCCTTCTGCTCCACCGACTGGGCCATGGTATTCACCACGTTGGCCTCGAGCTGGGGCATGGCGGCGTCGCTTGCCCCGTCGTATCGGCTCACCTGCAACAAGGTGCTATACAAATTAGTGAGCTCCGCGAGCTCTCCCACCGAGTCCGACCGCAAATCGTAGATGAGCTGCTGGAACGAATGCGACCGAATCACGTTGATGGAAAGCTTATTTTGCATCAAAAATGTCAACAAGTGCTTGTGGAATTTGGCGGTGGAGTAGGGGGCATTATCAAAGTCGGGCGACAAAAACCGCCGGTTGTTTTGGTTCAAATTATATGATAATTGGAGGGGCTCGGGCGGCGTGGGCTTGGCCTTAAACAGGTCGGTGAACAGGGTCAAGGCGGAGGTGGCAGACGTGCTGTCCATTCTCAAGTCGCCGCCGTGCGCCAGTGCTGGCGCCCGCGGGTGCGAGTGCTGGTACGTCATGGGCGTACCGTCGGGTGCGTAGGTGATTCCGTGGCCATCGATGGGGATAGCGCGGTGGCGGTTGATGGTCTCGAGCGTGAACTTGTGGGTTTTCAAATGCTCACTGAGTTTTTTTGGTGAGCCTTTATCACTGGCTAAACGGGTAATCACCTTACCACACTCGTCACAGGCAGCGATGTTGGGGTCCTGAGAGTCCTGAACAAACCAGGACCACACCCAGGATTTTTTTTTGGCGCCAAACTTCTGGCCGGGGCGGTTCTTACGCTCGCGCTTGGCACGAGGTTCCATGGACGAGTCGGATTCGCTGTCTCTGCGGCGGTAGGCCTTGGCAGTGGCCGATGCTGCCACCACCGTCTCGGCGGCACTGGTTGTGCTGGGGCTCGAAGCACTGGCAGTGGAAACACCTTGGGGTATGGGTAAATGGGTTCTGTGTTTTAGGGAAGATAGTGACGGTGGTTGGGGAGGTGCGGGCAGTTTGTCGGAGCTGGCGGCGGAGCTGGCGGCGGAGCTGGCGGCGTTGGCAAGCGGGGCCATTGCTTGATTGTTGTAGACCGGGTATGAGAACGTGCCCATCTGGGGGGCGGTGGTCTGGGGAGGGTTCCCACCGTTGAAATAGCTCATTGGTGATGGATCAGATGGTGTAAATGTTTTGAAAATGTTGAGAGTGCGAAATGATAATTCGAGGGTGAAGTTTCGGTCGCGGTGAGGGACAGGTTTGGGGAGGGTTTTGAATGGCCGGATATGGGATTATTATAAGGATTAGGAAAGACGGACTTATGATTCGGGTAGTCATCTCGAGTTACGGATAAGCTGGACCAGGAGGTGTGGCCCATTACCGAGGATCCGGTCGGATATATTTACCCCCCGGAGGTTTCGGCACGCGCGGCCATTATCGGGCCCAAGCTCTATCAAATTTGCTCTGCTTCTACTGTCACCCTATCATTATCATCTCCCACACTATGCTACCACGGCGACAAACCTTAAACCCCCATTCATTACAACCACACAGGCACCTCAAAAATTCTGCAATCCTTGGCAATATGGTCCTCTTCGCCAGCCGCTCCCCCCGGTTTTACTGATCACCCGACCGGCAACTACCAGTTTATCCGGGTAGTCGCATCTGGCTGGGTATTGCTTCGGATAAACCTGGAGTTTGTTTCCCACTTCTTCGCACATCTTCAACTCTGACCCTTTCGCGGACCCGACCCGCCAACCACCCCCCCTACTCAATGGCTCAGCCAGCAAACTTTCTTGTCGCAAAAAATATCTTTATTGTTTGTCGGTTTCTATCGCGTTTTAAGCGGTTTTGTTTTTTTGCAGCCATCGAGCCAGCCATCGGCATCATTTGATATGTTCACTCGTTTGTTAAATTACACGAGATACTACTAAACAATCGAAGAAAGATGAATTCCTCGCTAATTTGGATCAATCGGGTAACTTAGCCAGTAGCGTTTAAATTTTTCCACGGCTACCAGCCTATCGCCTTCGCTTATGGCGCTGATACCCAGAGTATAAAATTGCTCCTCTTCGCCACAAACACCCATTTTTTTGTAAATTATCTGAAACTCCCACTCCAAAAGCTACCGAAACTAACACACCTTCCAAGAACTCCAGTGAATTCCACTCCACTCTCTCCCAACTATTGTCACTCTCTTTACAACTCAAACTTTTGTCACTCATTTATCAAAGGAACTCCGAACATGCAATTATCTGGTTTTTTAATCCCTATCGTCTCGTTAATGTTGGCCAATGTGGCTGCTGCTCCCGCCGACCTCCAGGCCAGAGCTGACCCGGTTGTGGTGACACTCACCACAACTGTACACAATCTTGTCACTAGGACTGATTATGTCGAGGGAACCATGAAAACTATCACCAACACCGTGATGAACACTGACGTTACTACCACCACTCGGTACACCGCGACGGTGACTCTGACGGTGTTTGGTACTCCCGTGACCTATACCACCGTAGCATCGACTTCTATCGATACCGGTGATATTGCGATCCCCAGCAGTGTGGTGGAGGCCGCGACCGCGAAAGAGGCCACTACCACGAAGGCCGCGACCACTAACGAGGCCACTACCACGAAGGCTGCCGCGAAAGAGGCCACCACCACCTCGTCGACCAAGAAGTCATCCAAAAAGAAGTCCACTTCGTCAACTAAAGCCACCACTGCCCACGCCACCACCGCCGTTGCAGTTACTACCGCCTCCACTTACGTAACTGATTCGAAAACCAGCGATGGACCTTCCATCACCGATATTGCCAATGTTCCTTCTTCTACAGGCTCATGGATCATAGAAAATGTCACAACCTCCGTCTCTGGAGATGTGTGCTACTTAGACTACGATTACTATGCCACGGGGGATTCTGTAGAGACCGTCACCTCAACCCTGACCATCTACACCACCGTGACTAGAACATGAGTTATTCACTGGATTCTCTATATAGCTGTATGTTAATGTAATTGTTATTAAACGAGCGTAGAGCCAGCCAGCATTTAGTCTCGGTAAATTACCGAGACAGTCGCGAACTCTTCCTGATGGGAAATAACATATACTGAAAGTTGGCACCGTCAACCAGTGCAACCAGGATAGACCTATCTATTTACACGTATTTAGTCCCACCTCGTTAGCCAATTTTGCTATTTATTTTCTGTTGCATTTGCCTTCCCAGTTCCACCAGTAAACTCACTCAATGGAGAATGACATTATCGATGAGCCTAGTTTGCTGGCTGGAACCCTCGCGGGGTACCCGCACCGCTGTCGACACCACCGCACCTACGCCCGGCTCCACCACCTCAAGGTCCTCTAGCGTCTCAGGATGACTCAAGGCTATATACTCAATGTCAAACCCAGTACTGTCGTTCAAGGTGTCGGTAATTCGTGCTAGGATCTCGCCCACATTCACAGGCCCATGCTGGCTCTTCTCCTGGTAAAACCTCTCACCGTTCACCAAAGATTGGTAGATTACTGCACTTTTCTGTTTCGTTTCCTCTGAAAGGTACGCATTTCGTGAAGACATCGCCAACCCGTTTGCTTCTCTCTTTGTGGGCAACACCTTGACCGTGGTTTCAATAAGCAAGTCTTTGACCAAGTTTTGTACCACCACACACTGTTGGGCATCTTTCTGGCCAAAATACACTCTTGTAGGTGTCACCGCATTCAACAATTTGGTCACCACCGTAGCAACTCCGCGGAAGAACTGGGGCCGCAGCGATCCTTCAAGCTGCTCAGAGCATCCTTTAACGGCCACAAAAGCACCTCTTTGTTCATCTATGTTTGTGGATATACCAGATGGGTACATTTCTGAAACCTTGGGAATGAACACCGCATCCACCTTTTTACCGGGGAACTGGTTCAAGAGGGCCATGTCGGCGTCGACAGTCCGGGGGTAGGCGTCTAGGTCTTCGTGGGGAGCGAATTGGGATGGGTTCACAAAGATCAGAACTATGGACTTATCGTTGTCTTGTAGGGACTGGGAGATGAGTGAGCAGTGGCCATCATGTAAGGCACCCATGGTGGGGACGAGGCCAACCGACTGGTGGGCGAATAGGGCGTTGGCTCGCCACTGGCGGACTTGTGCCACTGTTCTGAAGATCTGGATGGACTTCATGGTACTGAAAATTTTTCGGACTCCGCGTTTGAGAAGGAACGACGGTACGAGTGGGGAGATGAAATAGCGGGAGCTGGCGAGAGGGAAAATGGCGAGAGAAAATGAAGAGAGTGCGAGGAATAGCGGGAGTGACGGTACGAATGGAGCACGAGGAATAGCGAGAACCGTACAAATGGAGCGCGAGAAATAGCGAAAACGGTACGTATGAAACCCAAGAAAGAGCCGGAACCGTACAAATGAAACACCAGAAACAGCGAGAGCGGTACAAATGAAACGCAAGAAATCGTAGGACACCCACTAGATAATATCCATAAGCACCCGTCCCTGATATACTCTCCCTCTTCTGCACAGTCCAACTCCTCTCCCTCCTCTAGCGCCATTTCCGCACCATCTCCTTATCTTATCCCCGAGTGCCTGCACCAATATCATCCCAGATTCTCAAAAAAAAAAAACCAAACTGAAGTTTAATTTCTCCCCGTATCTGACTATCAACCAATTACACCCACTATCATCGCCATTCCGCGCACCCGTCTCCATCTTCTTGCTTACATTACCTCCACCTGATTGGTTCTATTCATTCCCCTTTGTTCCCTTCTTTTCCGCCTGAATTTCATTTGCTCCTTTTGTGTGCGTTGTTGCGTGAATATGAATCAGACGAATAACCCAGATACTACCAGCTCGTACACCTCGTACCACCAGTCCGACCCGTCCGGTGGCGGCGAAAATGGCGTTGGCCCCAAGTCAGACCAGGACTTCCACAATAACAACTTTATGGATTCCAACTGGGCCAATTCACTTTTGATGGACGATAACCATCTTCTCTACGATATGCATTTCCCGCCTCACATAGAGGGCGCTACCCCGACAAACAACATCGTACAGAGCATTCAGTACCAGAACCATGTTTCGCCGGAGATCAATGACCCGTCAGACAAATCCAAAATCCCCACGCCCGACCTGCAAACACAAACACAAAACCACGCCAAGCAGGCGCCCAAAGCCCGCAAGAAACAAGGCCCCCGGCTCGAGCTGACGCCCGCTTCGGCGGCATCGTCGGCACTGGCCACCCCCAACAACCTAAATGCCAAACAGTCCAAACCTCGAAGGCCCTGTGACCACTGCCGCAGAAAGAAAACCAAGTGTGTGTTGATTCCGGGAACCGCTAACTGTGTACAGTGTGAGGCCCGATCATTGGGGTGCACGTTTGTGGACGTGGCCATCAAAAGAAAACCGCTCGATATTCCCGAAGAAATGGGTCTGGTTGCAAAGCGCCCCAAGGAAGAGTACTCGGGCTCCGGCCCCAGCCCCATCGTGGCCCCAAACGTACCCATCCGTGACGTGGCCCCCGTTCAGGACTACTCATCCATGAACAATTCGCTCTTGAAAAAAACCCTTTCCTTGCAGTTCCCCCGGTCCAGTTTCTATATTGGCCCCAGCTCGTTCATTTACGACATAAATCTCCTCAACTTGGTGATAGACGCTCAGAACAAGCAGCGAGGGTTGCCAGTGAACTCGGGTAGAATCGAGCAGATCAACTTGAACGATGCAATTTCCTTACGAAAAGTCAGTGCCGATGCCCAGTTCGTGTTGAAGGATGACCAGTCGCCCCAGCTGTACCAGACGATGCTGAATGACGTGGACTCGATCGAGAAGTTTGTGGCACCCCACGGCCAGATCCTCATCGACTTGTACTTTCGTATTGTGCACCCATCCTACCCCATCTTACATAAAAAGGTGTTTTTGGAGAAGTACTCCAGAACTCACCGAGAATTTAGTGCCCCATTGTTGGCTGCCGTGTACGTTTTGGCCATCCAGTGGTGGGACTACGACCCGTCCCTCAACCGGTTTCCCAAGCCCAATGTCGAGATGATCCTAAAAATTGGCTTGAACAACTACTTACTTGAGATCATGAAGAGACCCAAGCTTAGCGCGGTCCAGGCGGGCTTGCTTTTGCTCCAGTGCAAGCACATCGTCAGAGTGTCGAAAAACAACCAGGAGAACAACAACACCCAGCAGGCGTCTCAGACTCTCAATGACTTGGGCTACAGCGATTGGGTGTTGTGTTCACAGGTGATTGCATTGGCCGAAGAGTTGGGGTTGGGGCTCGACTGCACCGACTGGAAGCTTCCCAAGTGGGAACGAGGGTTGAGAAAAAGACTTGCCTGGGCCGTATTTATGGAGGACAAATGGCTCTCGCTCAAGAATGCTAGACCTTCCCACATCAACCTGATGAACTGGGTGGTGACCTTGTTGCTAGAAGAAGACTTCCCCGAGAAGCATGGTGATGGAGACTTGAAGGAGGGCTCTTCAGACATTGACAATGGCAAGAAGATCTTCATTGCTTTGATTGAGCTCTCTCAGATATTGTCGGAGATCTTGGACAGTTTCTACTCAATGAAGGCAATGAACGAGCTCAAGGACGATATTGCAGAGATCTTGAAACTCGCTAAGCCCATCCAGTTGGGTCTTCGAAACTGGTACCATTCGTTACCCATTGAACTTCAAATGAGCTCGGTTCAAACTCGAAAACTCTGTTCCAACGGGTACCTTCAGTTGGCATATTTTGCAACCGAGTTAACTTTGCACCGCAAAATCATCACCGCCATCCATAACCAAAATCTTGCCGGGAAAGTACCCCCCAAGGAAATGGTGGCCGTGTGTCGGCAGGCTGCCAAAACCCGGTTGTTGGCAGCCATTGACTTCGTAAGAGACTTGAAGCCTGAACACATCCACTCATTCTGGCATTCGTCAGCTGCGTCAAACTTCACCCTAATCGGAACTTTTGCATCCATTTTGTTTGCGTCGGCTCCCACCAAAGAAGAAAGCATATTTTTCAGAGACCAGATCTTCAACTACCGATGGATCCTCAAAATCTCCTCCAAGGGCTTTGACCAAGTGGGTGATGCGTTATCTCAGTTGGACCTTGTGTTGAACCATATTCCTGGTTTGCTCAGTGAGAGCTCGGATCTCCCCATGGTTCTACCAACGGTCCAAGATATGCCTATCCAACGACCGGAGTCGGCCCAGCTGACCCAGAGACAGCTCTCTAACCCGGCCATAAGTCCGTTTACCATGACGAGTCCCGTCAACTTCAACGGACACTTGGGCCACAAACGAAGCAACAGCTCACACAACAAGTCCGAACATGCCTCGCCCTACGAGACGGTGACTGGGTCGGGCTTGGGCATCGGTACTAAGCCCAGGATCTCGTCGCCCCACTCGTCACTGGGGTTCTCGCCGCGTGAGACCACCCGTGGGGTCAGCTCGTTCAACATCTCGTCCGCCGAGTCCAACTCCCCGGGCGGTGAGAGGTCCAAGCATACCAGTCCCATCATCACCAAGTCTCTAGTCAACACCAGAAGAGATGACACACAGTAGTTATGGTGCACATGTACACTAGCCTATGAACAGTCGTTACATATGTATTTTTATAGAGAAATGTATAACTCAGTCAAAGGGAGTCAAGTAAGCCTCGGCGATCACACGGGCTCGGGCGTTGAGGAAAAGCTTCATCTCACTTATTTCCTTGTCGACCTCTTCCATGAATTCTATGATAAAGTCCACCAACTTGTCCTTCAACATCTGTTCCGTGTGAAAATTGGTTACTAAAAATGAGATGTCGTAGCCCTTGATAGGCACTCTTCTCAAGATGAAGAAGTTCTCGGCTCTGGACGTCAAGAACCGCGCAAACTGGTGTACCAAAATCTGTTCGATTTCGTCTGCCTGTTTGATTTTAATCGACACTCTCACAGAGTTAATAGATGGTTCAATCAACACCTTTTCGTTTTCGTTTCTGGCTATCACCATGGGGTTCAAAATCAACTCGGGGTTGTGTGAGTTGTCCACCTCTATTTCAGGCCGGTTGTGTCTTTCGACCAATTGTGATGAAAAGTCCTCCAAACATATGGCGGCCGTTAAGGACGATCTGACTGCCGTCAAGTAAGGCTTCAACGATTGCGACTAAGATGGGTTAGTAGAGATTTTGTGGAAGAGCACAATTGCCACGAAAGGGACCGTCCGGGTCGCAGTGGCGTGCCATTGGATGGATGTACGTACCATTATTGTATATCTCCCTGTGAGTAGTTTCAACGGAGTTGTGATCGAGTGCGACAATGTTCTTGGTACAGACACGCATTAAATAATCATGGTATATACTTCTAATAACCTAGTAATTGAGAAGGACCTTGGGTTTCTTGACACCTGAGTCGTGAGGCCGTTTACGGTCAGTTGAGTCATCATATGGTCTCAGCCGCTTGGAAGTCTGGATTTTTTTCGACTCGGCTATGTTGAGTTTTCGTATAAACTCCTCCATGGCTTCCTTAAGAATATCTTCCCATGTCCTGGAGCTGGAACTGTGTTTCTGAAGAGCAGACCATGACTCAAACACACGTGCAAACTCAGGAGCGTGCTTGAGGGTGTCAAGTTTTGCAGGGTCGAATTCCTTCAAAGAATACGCTTTTTTGTCGTTTTCCACCGTCTCTATAATCGTTACTTTGTCAGGAACACCTTCGTCTGCATTGGAAACCACCAGGAAGACGGGAAGTTGGTGGAACTTGGCTAGAAGAAAGTGTTCAAACCCGGTGACGTCGAGTTTCAACGTCCGTTCCAACAGTTCGAGTTTCTGCTGCTGTTTGGTTTCCCAATTCTTCTTCAACATGTCATAAATCAAGTCGATCTCGCTCTCTTCATCTGTGGCTACAAAGGATAACCCCTCAAGTCGTTCGTCCTTCACACTGGATAGCTTATCAACAAAAATGTGCTTGGAAGCCAAAAGCTTTGACATTTCAAATGACTCGTCGGTACCAGAAACCTGCTGGATTACACCTTCGACTAAGTCAACCTTCAACTTTAAGAGCTGTTGTTTCTCGCTGACTATATCCCAGAACAATTCCAAAGCACTGGACCCGTTACGTCCACAGATCTCTATAAAAGCATCTTCATCCTCAATTAGAGGGAAAATTTCCTTGAAAGTAGTATTTGCTTGGATCGGGAGTTCTGACAATAGGGTTTTGAAGCTGTCTCGGGCCTTTCGGTCAGAAGTGTAATTCTGTTTTTCCAATTGTTCTGTTTCGAGCTCGAGTTTCTTAATCTCCTGAGGGTATATTTTCTCGATGTACAACTCAAGAATATCCACCTTGTGCAACACGTTGAAATGCTTATTAGCCTTGAATCGGCTATCGTTCTGAAGACTTTTGTACAAAGCATCCCAGTCATCACCTTCAGATACTAACTCAGGGTTTATGTTGGTCAAGTACATCTCCAACTCGGAGAGTGCTTGCTCCCGCTTTTGCTTTGAAATACTGTCGTACTCCAGCTTCATGGTGTCCTGGAATTGCTTGAATACGCTATAAATATCTCCATCAGACAAAACTGTATGTTTAAAAATGGGGTTATCTTCCTTCACAAGTCGATTCTTCACACTGAACCATCGCGTTTGGTGGGTCAACTGGCCCTTTTGCTTGTACGACTCGAGAACCTGGTCGAAGTTGGTCTTGAATGCTTCACGGACATCTGTCTTGTTGCTCGCTTGTTTCTTGGTTTCATCCATCAAGTATTCGTCGTAAAGTCTCTTACGATCTAGCGAATCTTCAACCGACCAGTAGACGGCACTATTGATGAGCTTGGCCATCACATCCTGGAATGTCCATGTCGAATTGACCTTATTCTCCCGCAAAAGCTCTTTGAAGGCATCTTCTGTGGATGGGTTTTCTTTTGTTTGTGGCTCCAGAAGATCATCAGCGACGATGGGTTTCAGTTCCAATTCTTTATCAAGTTCTGTCATCTTCTCGGGCTCCTCCGCATCTTCATCATCATCTGTAGCTATCTGGACGACAGAGTCCTCGCCGCTAACGAAATCTTCGGGTTTGTCCCAGGTAGTCTCACCTGACTCTGAGTTATAGTAGTACTTTGTTCCATCGTCAGTGGTGAATTCTTGCCAGTTTGACGGGGTTTTATCGAGTTCGGGGTTTGTCCAGCTGGTGTCTTGCGTGATGGCATTGTAGAAGTACTCGTTTCCATCGTCGTCCACCACTTTCTCCCATGCTCCTTCAGCCATTGTGTGTGAAATGATTTTCAGATGAGCTGCGAATTGTGAGCTGCGAAGCGCAGATAAGTAGCGAATACAGCACAAAGCCTAATTGTAAAGAAAGTCTAGGAGTTAGAGTGGTCCTTGTGGTTTGATACTTGTATTTCCTTACACTACTATTGTTATTTCTAATAATACCTGTTTTCAGTTTGGAGATGTATGGGTCAGAACTTCAGACCCAAAACCCACCGAAAAGCAAATAACGATTAACATGTACAAACTGCTTTGGGATTCGTGTTGTTTTCATGTACTTGTCGTGTGTGTGCCTTTGCTCTTGTCTTTTCATGTTTCTCTCACATCCTTCTCACATCCTTCTCATGTTTCTACTACTTTGTTGAGCTATTGAGGTATTTTGGTATCTGGCCAAGCACTATCGTGTTCAACTGAATGCCACAAAGTCACTCAGTAAACAACCGGGCCACCACCTCCACCGTCAATAAAGACCCTCTCAATTCTATCTCAATCCTCTTGTCGAAGTCTCGCGCTTTCCAAATTTTGCACCCAATCCACAAACATCTTCTTCCATTATTTCCCGATGGCAAAGACCACATACTCGATTGATACCCTTTTACTGCTCAAAACATCCCAGAAAATAGACTTGGGCTCCAAGTTGGACGAATTGTTCCCACCCGACCTACAACAGCCAGGCAGAACTCTTCCCCAAAAACCCAACTTCAATCCCAGAAGAAACAGGTTCAAGACACCCCAAACCCCAACCCAAACTTCCCTGCTCGATTTGATCTCCCAACTTTCAGGCTACGAAAACGCCCCTGTCAGGTTTCCAATCCCGGGCGTATACTCCTATCCCATCACAGTGTGTCCAGAAAATATGCCATTTGCTCCAAACTGCTACCCCGGATTCTTACAGCTTCCAGCTGGGTCACGGATAGTCGCTGTGGAACACGGAAAGAAGGTGCCACAAGGAGCCATTCCTGTGCCCCCAGCGCTACTCAACTCGAACTTCTATGGTCCTTATCCACTTGGTATTCCCAACATGAATTATGCTCCCCAAGAAGGCAGCAAAGCTCTAAGATGGCAGCCATTGGGGTTCCAGCAAGCGAGCCCGGCCCCTAAGAATACCAAATTATCCAGATCTTTTGGAGCCGGTCATCCTGCTTCAATGCCAATTCGTGTAGCCGTTCCGGCTCCCACACCAGCTTGTGAGCCAGAAACCCAGCCAGCGGCCGACTCGCTAAGCACAAAATCCTACGTGTCCAACGACGATGAAACAGTATCAACTTTGGGCCTGTCTTATGACAGCTACAACATCCAGATCCAACTTCCTAAGTTTAACTAGTTAGCTGGTGTATTTGGCCAGTGATAAACCTTTGGTAAATCTACGTAGCATTGTATATGTTTTTAAAGCGAATGGAGTTGCCCGATTCAAGTTTACATGCTCAGCTCTATTCTCTACAACACTGTTGCCTCATCCCGTATATCATTAGTGTGGTACCATTTGTTCTACACTATCACACCCAGAGCTAGTTTGTAGTTTTGAAAGTGCGACTGGATCTCATTCTCATAAAATCTCCATCCCAATATGCTGCAAACCTCCAAACCAGATTCCCCCGAGTCCGGTGATTCTCTTCCAGAATGGTCAGGCTTGCAAGTCAAACTGTATGTGCAAAGTCCTACACAGAGACTCTCTAATTACTCCATGTACTAACGGTTTTGTTTCTAGCCGATTTAGCCCCACATACGTTGAGGCCCATCAAGGTGAAGATGAGTTTGAATCCGTGAACATCGACATCCTCACATGGACGGCCATCATTTCTGCCGGAATTGGAAAGCTCTACGGCATTGTGGGACAGGCGTTGTACTTCAAGGTCGAGGATCTTGGTGATGGTCATAGTTGCACTATTCGGGTGATGAAAGAAGATGAAAAGCAGTTTTTGAACAGTTTTTTCAGCCACAAGTTCAAACTAAACAGCTTCTACGGAGGTTCTGTGGATGCAGAAACGTATGTGGTTCACCTACAGACCATCCCGCTTGGTGTACCAGAAGAACCGTATATATAGACTCGAAATCAGAGAATTACATAGATTGTACAATAGAAACAATAGCAATAACGAGTCCTGAGAACCATATGCTACCAATACGGGCGTAGGAACGCAACTTTGACTTGGTCAGAGTTAATTCCAGTATTACATTCACCTTTGAACTGCTGTAAATAGTTTCGGCAGCGCGAAGGTGCGTATCAACGAATTTCCTCAAACCATATATTCGCTAGCAACGTACATCTTTTTCAATTGCAATTCTCAATCCACAAAATGAGACTTCCAGGCAACATCGTGGTGTTGCTTGTGGCATTGTTGTATTTGCCATTTGCAGAGGGGAAATTCGAGCCCAAAATCTCCGTGAATAGAGAATCACTGGTGGCACAAGAGTATCTATACTTGGAAGATTCTCCCAATGTATTGGTGTTACGAGACTTGAAAGTCTCAATTTCCACCGACAGAGGCAATAAATGGGGCCCTGTGAAAGGAATTGACGACAATGACTCCATCTTCTTCTTACAAAGAAATGCATTTGATTCCTCTAAAGTCTACGCTTCTACTACCGGGAAAACCCACTACTATAGTCTGGATAAAGGGCTTTCGTGGAAGAAATTTGAGATACAAATCAAGGAAGGCTTCGACATTGTGGAGCCCCCACGGTTCTTACCCAATTTCAAAGATCCTGCCAAGGTGATGGTGGAATACATTCAATGCGGTAAGCATCAACTGGCAGAAAGCTGTAAGAGCCTGGTGTTCTACTCAAAGAACTTGGACACCGACCCGTTGACTCCGGTGAACGTCGACGTTTCCAAGTGTACTTTTTTGATGTCCAGCAGCATTATGAAGGGTCCTGAAGATCGGATTTTTTGTATTGAAGACAAAATCAACTCGTTTGGACATGTGGTGGAGTCGCTATTGGTGAGTTCAGACGACCATTTTAAAACCAAGAAGGTATTGAACCATGGCTTCTCGAAGTCTGGCCGGTTGCTTGATATCCGGGTTCTGCTGAACTTCATCACAGCGGTGGTGAGAAACGACAAGTACAACTCTAAGTCCAAAGTGACACTTTTGGTGTCCAAAGACGGAGAAACGTTCAACGCGGCCGACTTGCAGTCGGAGGTGGCGTACGGTGCCATGAACTTCTTGCCCTCTTCTGCCCTGGGTTTGTTTATTTCTGTAACCCCTTTCACGAACTTTCTTTCAATGGGTAGCTACTCAACAGTGTATGCTTCTGACTCTTCCGGTTTAAGATTCAAGAAGGTAGCTGAAAACGTTGCCAATCAGGAATTCGAGAAAATTCAAACCATTGATGGTGTTTGGTTGTCGGATGTTTTTGGTAAGGATTCGAAGGACACTAAAGACAAACCCTCTCTTATTGATTTGATTATGGGTGGTGGGGCCGACAAAGACGTGATTTCGCAGATTTCCTTCAACGATGGTAAGGACTGGAACCCGTTGAAGGTGGACGACGAATCTTGTACTGGAGATGACTGCTCTTTGCACTTGTTGACCTCGAGTCAAATGGACGGGGAAGGGAAGTTTGTGACTGGCCCAACTCCAGGTATTGTATTGGGAGTTGGAAACACCGGCAAGAAACTAGATCACGGGTTTGAGCACATGAGAACGTTCATTTCCCGTGATGGAGGGGCTTCGTGGAAACAGGCCCTTGATAAACCGTGTATGTACTCGTTTGGAGACTTGGGAAATATCATCGTGGCCCTTCCGTACTTTGGAAAGAAACAAGGCAGCACCAACACACTTTACTACTCTCTCGACCAAGGTTTGAGCTGGGATAGTAAGGAGTTGGATGTGGCTTTCTTTCCGCTCTCTGTATCCACAACCGTTGATGGAACTGGTACACATTTCCTCATCACTGGGTTAATTGACAACACTCCAGAAAAGACTGGAGACTATGACTTCAGCGAAGTGTTGTACTCGTTGGATTTTAGTGAAGCCTACGACAAAAAGTGTCTGAAGGATGACTTTGAGCAGGTCTACGCCAGAGTGGCTGCCGACGATAAGAAGCCTTTGTGTATGTACGGACACCGTGAGAAGTTCAAGAGAAGAAAGGCAGAGTCTAAATGCTTTGCAGCTACTCTTTACGAAGATGTCACTGTTTATGACGAATCTTGTGACTGTTCTGACCAGGACTTTGAATGTGCTCCTGGATTCAAGGTTTCTAAAAAAGGTGGATCCTGTGAACCCGACAAGAAAGTCATTGGAGAAATGTGCCGAACCCAGAAAGTGAAAGAGTTAAGCCTTCCTGACAAAGTGTTAGCAGATGGAAACGAATGTAGTATTGGCAAGAAGTCGTTCAAGCAGTTTATTTCCGAGCACAAATTGAAGTGTTCCGACTACATCGACAAGGACGACAAGGATAAGGATAAGAGCAAGAAGATTGAGGTTTCTAAGTTTTCTTTTGAAGGAAAGATGACCGAGTACACTTACTTTGAACAAGGTGATGATTACAGAGGTGAAAACATCATTGTCAGAACTTCTGATAACAGACTCTACGCATCCAGAACTGGAGGTACGAAGTTTGTCAAGGCTCCAATGTATGAGGAGGTTTTGGCGTATTTCATGGGCTCTGTTCCTGGTCAAATTGTTTTGGTAACCAATTCCGAAATCTTCTTTGTGTCTACTGATGCTGGGAACTCGTACATGCGGTACAAAGCGCCTTCTCGTTTGAGTGCTCAGAATCCATACGTTTCTTTTCATAAAGAGTCGGTTGATCAATTCATTTGGTACGGAGCTAATACTGAACTAGGGTGTGGAGATATCTTCCTGGACAACTGTAAGTCCACTGCTTACATTACAACCACCGGAGGTGAAATATTTACTACATTGAGAGAGGATATTGTCAAGTGTGACTTTGTGGGGCCAATCTTGAAAGAAGCCGAGAAGAGTGAAAATTTGATCTTCTGCTCGGTGATTGACAAAGAATCCAAACAGCTTAAGTTGGTGTCAACAACTGACAACTTCAAGACCGAAAAGGTGTTAGCCAAAGGCATTGTGGGATATGCCATCTCCGGTAACTACGTTATTGTTGGTGCTGTGGATGACAAAGAAGGTACCTTAACGGCCATGGTAACTGTTGACGGATCGACCTTTGCTAAAGCAGCTTTTCCTCGTGATTTGAACATCGACATCAAACAGGCTTTCACTGTTTTGGACGCTGCTACCGGTTCCATATTCATGCACGTAACCACCCAGTCGAAAAAGGGAGATGAATATGGCGCTATCTTGAAGTCAAATTCCAATGGAACCTCGTATGCTTTGACGTTAGATCATGTCAACCGTAATACAGTTGGATTTGTGGACTACGACAGGATTCAGGGAATTGAAGGGATTTTGGTTGCAAACGTTGTTTCCAATTACAAAGAAGACTCGGAAAAAAAGCTAAAGACGATGATTTCCCATAACGACGGAGGAGAGTGGAACTATATCGAGCCTCCCACTGTCGATTCAAAGGGCAAGAAATATAAGTGTGGTGGTAAGACAATCAAGGACTGTTCGCTTAACTTGCACAGTTTCACTGAGAGAGCTGATTACCGAGACACCTTTTCTTCACCTTCGGCAATTGGAATTATGATTGGAATTGGAAACGTTGGATCTCATTTGACTAAAAAGAGCACTGGAGATACGTTTTTAACTCGTGATGGAGGTTTGACTTGGAAAGAAATCAAAAAGGGTGCTTACATGTGGGAGTATGGTGACAGAGGAAGCATTATTGTGTTGGTAAAAGACGGTAAGACAAACGAATTGTCGTATTCTTTAGATGAAGGAAAGAAGTGGATCAACTTCAAGTTTGCCGACGATGAAGTGGATATCAAAGACTTGGCAACGGTTCCAAGCGACAACTCGAGAAAGTTCATTGTGTTTGCTGAAAAGGATGCAGACAGTGTTGCCTATACCATCGACTTTACCGACATTCACCAAAGACAGTGTCAATTGGATTTGGATAATCCCAGCAATGATGATTTCGAATACTGGTCGCCAAAACATCCCAACGGAGTGAACGACTGCTTGTTTGGGCACGAAGCCAAATACTTGAGGAGATCCTCATCTCACACCGACTGTTTCATTGGAATGGCCCCATTGAGTGAGGGTTTCAAGGTCACTAAAAACTGTTCTTGTACCAGACAAGACTATGAATGCGATTACAACTACTTTAGAGATGGCGACAACACCTGTAAGTTAGTCAAGGGATTATCACCTTCGGATCACAAGAAGGAAATGTGCAAGAATGATGCGTTCCAGTACTTTGAACCCACCGGGTACAGAAAGATCCCCTTGTCAACCTGCCAGGCTGGTAAACAATTTGATGCATTTGTGCCACAAGCTTGTCCCGGAAAAACCAAACAGTTCAACGAGTACTACGGAAGAGATGTGGGCATTGGTAAGCTTCTCTTGATCATTGGTATACCTTTGGCGGTGTTCATATTTGCAACCTGGTTTGTGTATGATAGAGGAATTCGCCGAAACGGAGGATTCAAGCAGTTGGGACAAATCCGGTTGGATGACGACGAGTTGGACTTCCACCCCATTGAAAACAACCTGGTGGACAAGGCCGTCAACTCTGTTGTCAGAGGAGGTATTTTCGCTGTGGCAGTGGTGATTGCAACTTTCAAGACCTTGAGAAAAGTTGACAAAGCCATATTTGAAAGAGTGGTCTCGCAGGTGTTTGGCGGAGGTGCTGGTCGGCGGAACTATGTGAGTGTTCCTGACATCGACAATGATGAAGAAGAGTTGTTCGGAAATTTTAGGGACAACTATGATGATGAATTGGAACACGGAGATACAGAGGATTTCCATCAGCAGTTTTCCGACAACCTCAACGAGGACAATGGGTTTGACAACGAGCCGGCAGAGATCGACTCGGATGCCCGATTGTTTGATATTGATGATCAAAGCGATGAGGAACCCAGTTTGAAGTAGGTTGGGTAGTCAATTAAATAGTCTCACTTTTGATGTGGTGTTAAAAACCCTGGTGTTTTGCACAAAAATAAACGATTGGATAAGATACCAAGTATATATGTATACGAACTAGGTGAATGTAAGCTTGATAACAAACAGGATAGATTAGGGCTAAAAAACCAAAAATATAAGGTGTGGCACGGACAGGACTTGAACCTGCAACCCTTGGTGTTGGAAACCAAAGCTCTGCCAATTGAGCCACCGCACCATCCTTAGTCTAAAACCGAGGCGGATTTAGGCGGCGTTCACACCGAATAATAGGTAAGAGCACTCCCGATACCCATTTGATTCCCCAATTAAGATACAGCTATGTATTCGAAAGGCATTTCATATGAGCTAATACTGACCGATACCACCAGGATTCACTCTTATGAACCCCTGAGCAACTGGAGACGGTTTCTGATTCATCTCCAAGCGGTTAGGGACGTGTCCGTTCAAAAATCTTCAATTTTTCATGTCTTAGTCATGCTGACATTCCTACAACTTCTACTACCTCTATCAATGATTAGTTTATTCTTAAGTATACATGAATAAGATATATAATAAACCTTAAAATTGCAAAGCTTGACCTTTTTGTTTCTTGTTTCCACCCAATTCAAAGTGCTTACATCTCTTCAATGACAATTGCAACTTGGTCTTACAGTTGACACATTCCAATCTCAACACAACCTTCTTGGTAGTCTTGGCCTTCTTCTTAAACACAGGCTTGGTTTGACCACCGTAACCACTTTGCTTACGGTCATATCTTCTCTTACCTTGAGCAAACAAGGAAGCCTTACCAGCCTTGTATTGAGTGACCTTGTGCTGGGTGTGTTTACGACATTCCTTACCTTTACAGTAGGTCTTTCTAGTCTTTGGAATATTAACTACATATGTTAGTACGTGGAGGAAATTGAAGTTGGGTTTGACATTGGAGTTGTGGGCAGATTCAGCTTCTTAACAAGATGGACCTCGAGTGGACTGGAGGCTCTGTGGAGGTGCTGGAGGTGCACTATGCTCTGGTGGTTGGTGTCATGCCCGTGTAGACGATAGCTTTGTACATACCCATTATGAATAATCTGTAACGTTAGTTGTAGAAAACTTGATGTAGTGAAAAAATTATTTGTGAGCGAGTCGCAGTGCCAGGAGGAGGAGGTGACACAAAGTGGGAAAAATTTTCAGACCCGCAGTCCTAGGGCTCAGCCCTATTGGGTTGAGTGGATGTTTTGGGTATATGCAGGTATTGAGAATCTTGCATACGCCAGGAAGTTGCAAAGTCATACCTGTGGTTCTTATTCAAACAACTGAAATGTCACGTTCATCGAAAGAAGAAAAGAGGTATACAGCCACTATCGTATTAGAGTCTTTGCGCAAATTGAAGGCTACGTCAATGTGTGTGTATATACCCAGGAATGTTGTTGCAATTGTCCATGATTTAACATTCATTGAGGGTAGTATAAATGTATATACTGAAGCTCATCTGTACAGAGTCCTGACTAGATGCCCCTCCGTGTCTTAAACCGCAGCACCTTGGTCTCCTTGTATGAAACTGGTTGCTTCGCTGCAGCTTTCTTCTCTCCAAACCGCTTCTTATCGGCCTCGAGACCGGCTGCGAAAAGGCCCTTATCAATGAGATCAAAGCCAATATCGAAACTAAGGAACTTCTTCTGATCGTGCTTCGACACCCCGTAGAATATGTACCCAAACTCAAGGAGCCATAACGGATCTACGGCTGTGACGCAGCTCATGTATTCTTTGGCGGTCAAGATCAACTCGTGATAAATCACAAACGAAGGTGGCACATTAGCCGAATTATTCAAACATGAAGTTGGATGCAAGTACATCTTCATGAAACTATGCCGCAAATTCACATATTCAATCAGGTTGGTATTGGTCAAGTTGAGTTTAGAGAGCCGCGCCGCCAGGTTAAAGAAACAAGCACACAAACACTTCTTGACGGTTTCATCGTCCTGAGCCTTGGTGATGGGGAGCTTCATTTTCTTCATGATGAGCACAAGCTGGTTCTTAATCTCTCGAGCTCGAAGCAACGACTTATTGTTGAGAAAGTTTCGGTTACTCCAGGCCATTAGCTTCCCCATATTTGTACTGGGCTTGCGCAATTGGACTTCCCACTGCTGATAGACGTTCAACAACGTTAGGTGGTCAGACTCACCCACCACGAACTTTTCTCGAGCCAGGTCCGCTTCATTCACTCTTTCCTTGGGCCTATAGAAGATGTTGGGCACCGATAACATCGATACAATAATCAAAATCTCAAGAGAGCACTTGAATTGGCTGGAGGATGCAAGTATAATCAACTTGGAGAGCGAAGGCTCCATGGGGAAGTTGGACATCTTCTCTCCCAAGCTCGTAAGGTTTCCAAAATTGTCCAAGGCTCCTATACTCCAAAGATCATATAGAGAACAAGCCAAAATGTCGGCTGGAGGAGGATCCATGAATGGAAAACTGGAGACGTCTTGGATGCGAAGTGACTTGAGCAATAACATGATGTTGTTTAAGTTGGTTCTCTGGATTTCGGGAATAGGCATTAAGTTCATGTCTTCGGTCAACTCTTTCTCTGAGTACAATCTGAACGCCTTTCCAGGCCCGGTTCTCCCAGCTCTTCCACTTCTTTGGTTGGCATTTGCCTGGGATATGGGGATCATTTGCAAGGTGTCCATTCCAAGTTTGGGGTTGTAAATCTTCACTTTGACCAACCCACAATCAATGACATACTTGACACCATCGACCGTCAACGAAGTTTCAGCAATGTTGGTTGCAACCACCACCTTACGTCTGGCTTTGTTCGACCGGTTGAATATCTTCTTTTGCATATCCGCCGGGAGAGTGGAATAGATGGGAAAGATATCCAAAGGAGGCACATCTTCCAACTCGTCAAGCTTTTCTTGGATGAGTTCACAGGTGGTTTCAATGTCTTCCTGGCCTGTCATGAACACCAATATATCCCCGTCACTTTCTCCGTTAGAATCCAAGTTTTCCAAGTGGATGGTCAAAACTTGCTTGATAGTAGCATCAACGTAGTCCGAGGCTGAACGGTTGTAAAACACCTCCACGGGAAATGTTCTTCCCGGGATGTTGAACTGAGGAGCATTGCCAAAGAAATTAGTAAACAAGTCGGCATTCATCGTGGCAGACGTGACAATCAACTTCAAGTCCTTTCGTCTCATGATTAACATCCGTAAAAGTCCCAATAAAATGTCTGTGCTCAAGGTCCTTTCGTGTGCTTCATCCATGATGATACAAGAGTATTCCAGTAGGTTTGGATCCACCAAAAGCTCCCGCAATAAGATCCCGTCTGTCATGTATTTAATTACTGTTTTGTCTCTCGAGGTCCTATCTTCGAATCGGATGACATACCCTACGTCCTCACCTAACTTGCAGCCCACTTCTTCGCTGACTCTCTTGGCCACCGACATGGCAGCCACTCTTCTGGGTTGCGTACAGCAAATCTGCTTTCTGACACCATTTTTGGAGATGCTCTTACCAAACCCTTCTTCATATAAATACTGGGTCAACTGAGTGGTTTTCCCTGACCCGGTTTCACCAATGATGATCACCACCTGGTTGTCGGATATCACTTGCACAAGACCCGACCGCACCGTGTACACTGGAAGCGACTTTCGCTGGATATCAATTTGAGTGGAGGTAAACCTGGTTTGTTCATCACTTTGTGCTTTCTTCGTCGTTTCTGTGGGCTCTTCAATACCCAAGACATTTCCAAGGTGTGAGCCAGTCAACCCTGATCGATCTTTCGCCTGTTTTGCCCGTTCTTTTTTGGTTCTTCTCTCATTCACCACTCCACTTCCCAGTTTGGCCATCACTGCCAAATGCGAATTGGGGTTTTTGATGGGGTTGAAGCTGGCGGTAATGCCTTTGTGGAACTCCCGCTGTCCCTGGTGGAGCTGGACAGAAAGGTACTCGGCACTTTGCTCCAAAAATGGAGGAACAAAAAAGTGAGAATTGATGGGCAAGTTCGACAAGTCGTTGGACGGGAACATATCGTGGTCGTAGTCTACGTACTCCCCGTACTCATTGAACCCTCCACCGGTTTGGTTGTTTCTGGCCTTGGGCCGGGAGTTATACCTTCTCTTGGGTATATCTGGCGTTGGAACCTCATAGTCGTATTCGTCTCCCAAATACCACTCCCTGTCATTTTCAAGGTCGACGTCGAGATCTAGGTCAATGGAGATAGTTGGCTCCAGGTTCAGCGATACAACCAGTGGTATTGAGAACGGCTCCAGCTCTGTGGTAGAAGAAGGTGACAGAATAGTGTTGTTTTGCAGTATTTCGTTTGGGATGAGTACAGCGTCGGCATGAGGCAGTGCCAGCACCGGTTTCAGTTCTGGGATAAACCCTTCTGAGAGGCTGTCTCCGTGTTTGAGTCGGAAGGCTTCTTCCTTCTTGATTTTCTTGAACTTGAACAGTTTCTTTGGCGCGGGCGGTAGAATCGTATCTGATTCTTCATCAAACAGGATCAATTTGGGTTTCTTGGGCCGTAGCTGTTCCGCCACGGTGGAATTTGGCTCATTTTTATTGGTTCTGGGTGCCTTAAAAGTAGAGATACTTTCTGGGTTATCCGTGGCGGACAGTACCAGTTTTAGTTGATGGTACACCTCTTGAGCAAATGTATCGCTGGGAAACCCCAAAATCTTACAATACGCCACAAAAGCAGCCATATCGTCATTCCCTCGTAGGAAATGTCGGAGCGACGCCACGAAGTTGTCACCAATGGGTTTGTTGAGCCCATTAGAGAGTTTGTGCTTGAGTGAGTCCATGTATAGATAAACAGTTTCGCGATCAGATTCGCGATGCCATAAAATCTCCAGATTCTATGAGCACAGTTGGGCATATATTCCGCAAAATCAGACTCACGCCCAGTCCCAGTACCTCGGGTGAGGTGCGGCATCTCTACGAGAGCTTCAGAAGAATAGGGAACATTGAGTCGTTCTACCTCCCCAAAGATCCACGAGGCTTGGCCAAATTCCATAATGAGGTGCACATTCTCTGGAACATCTCCAACACATCTTCCCTAGATCCATTCACACCGTACCAACCACCAAAGGACGCTGCGTACATTGAGAGCCTCAAGACACGACTATCGGCACATTTGCATCGAATTGTAGCGGTTCCTCGGTATCAGCTTGTACATAAAAATTTGGACTACCTTGAGGGAAAGTCTAGTATCGAGTTTCGATACCAGACCACTCTGAAGGATAAGTTCACGGTTAGCCAGAGTCACGTGCGTCAACCCTTTTGTCTCTTGGATGTGGAGGATAAGAATGTGGCTAAGCGGATCAAGAAGAGCTTGCGGTTCAATTTTGAGAAGTTCACCAAGATCGATGTGCTATAGAAGAGCATTATCAGTATTATATTTTAGAAAGGTTAGTAGTGTCAGGGTACGCTTGGTCTACTAGATGCTAATGTACATTATTCTATTCATCAGAGATGTGGTCTACTTGAGCTTGTCAGCCAAATCCAAGTCCTTGTGCAACACTTCATTCACGTAGTTCAAGCCCTTTTGCTGCTTTAACAACAACTTCGAGATCTTTGTGATAAGCTCTTCATTGTTGTTGACCTCCAACTCATTCACATTCAGGTCAGCCAAGTTCTTGTCCATAAGATTTTCGTTCATAAGGGTAATAGAGCTGTTAAATTGCAAATCCAAATGCTCCGATTTCTCCTTTAAGATAGTCAACCTGGCAAACAAGTCGTTCAACTTACTCAACGAGTTGTTTGGATCGTTCAACTTATCGCTCAACATCTCAAAGTGCTTGGAGATTTCTTCCTCTTCAGGCAGCAAAGGGTATCCCTTCAACTTCAAAATCGCCAAGATGGTTGCCAACCGCAACAATCTTCTCGACAATTTGACATGCTTGGCTTTGCAACCTTTAATTCGATCACTGTTCTCCAAGTCGTGCTTCGACGACAACTTTATCTGGTTGTCGTTGATGAGGTTCAACAAATATCGGGACTTCTTGACATGGTCCAATTGTGTCTCAACTCGGCTGCTCATGTCACTGACAGACGTTATCTTCACCGGGTAATACTGGTTCGACGGTCTTTCCGACATGGCTTTGTTCCAGTCATCGGGCGACTCGTTGGCAGGTCTGGGCTGGTTGAGCAACACTTGTAAGTCATTTTCGTTTACCTTATTGTAGAAATGGGTTTTCAACTTGCAATTTGCCGAAGAAGGGTCCCATTGCTCCTTGATTTTGTTCAACTGGTCGGCGATGGATGGCGTGTACACGGTTTTATCTTTTTCACTCAAGACATTGTTACCGAGCATGGTGTTGTTGGATGTGAAGAGGCCATACGAGGAGTTGGCATTGTTGGTATTGTTATTGGTGTTGCCGCCGAAAAGGCCTCCGCTGGTGTTGTTGGTATTGGCGTTGGTGCTTCCAAAAAGACCTCCAGTTGTGTTTGTGTTTGTGTTCGTGTTAGCATTACCACCGAAGAGCCCTCCGCCAGTGTTTGCATTAGTATTAGTATTACCACCAAAGAGTCCTCCGCTATTTGTATTTGCATTATTATTACCACCAAAGAGTCCTCCGCTGTTTGTATTAGTATTAGTATTACCGCCAAAGAGTCCTCCACTGTTTGCATTTGTGTTTGTATTTGTATTTGCGTTTGAGTTACCACCAAAAAGCCCTCCACCATTTGTATTTGATGTGTTACCAGTAGAGTTATTTCCAAAGAGGCCACCCAGTGGTTTACTGCCAAATAAGCCTCCTGAATTTTGGCTATTATTGTTGTTGTTGCCAAACATCCCGCCAGAACTCTGGTTATTGCTGTTGTTGGTGCTGCCAAAAAGCCCACCAGTTGATCCAGCAGTAGCTGTGTTGTTGTTGCCAAATAAACCGCCCGACGACGTGTTTGTGCTAGCGTTGGAACTAAACAAGCCGCCAGATGGCGCAGTGGTGGCCGCTGGAGCTGCGGGAGTGGTGGTTCCAAATAACCCATTTGAGGTGGAAGGATTGTTGTTGTTTCCAAACAACGGTTTTTGACCTAATTGAGAGGCGTTATTGGAGGACTGACTGGCGCCAAACATTGAAGGCTGATTGTTTGTAGTACTTGTGTTGCCAAAGAGCCCACCAGATGATTGACTGGGCTGATTGAACGAAGTGTTTGCCGTCCCGAACATTGTTTGAGTTTGCGAAGAAAAGTTCGATGAGTGAAAAGTGAGCATTGGAGAGGTACACCAAAACCTTGAAACAACCGAAAACACAGTAAACAAAGAAACCAAAATTACTGGCAATACGTCTGATGGACCGTTATAAATATACATTATCTATATGCTGAGTGATTAGTTTTGAGACTCCTTCAGTTTCAAGAACTCTTTAGAAATCTTCTTGTCATTAGAAGTACCCGTATAAATTGGGTTCTCCTTCAAGTGGATCTGTTCCTTGACACCGGGAATCTGCTTGGTCAACTTTAAGTTAGCAAATACACACTTGTTGAAGATTTTTTCACTGTTCCTGCAAGCACCCAAGTTGTGGTTATTCTGTTCCAAACACTCGTAATTCAACTTAAACTCATCAAAACAGTACTTGTTGAGGTCACTCAACACACTGACAGCACAACGAGTGACTCTTCTTCCTTCCTTGAGGCACTCAACGGTTCCTCCGTTATTTGCGTCCTTGCACAACAAAAAGTCATCGTTGTAGGGTTTGCAACGAGCACCAATAAAATATGCGGCCGATAACAAGGGCGCCGACGTGGCTCCTACTTCCTCGACTTCGGGAATGTCGGCGGGCAAAGGGTTTTTGTCGACGTTTTCCCATTCATGTCTTGCAATATTGAATTCTCCCAACATGGTCGTGGTATTTGAATTTGTCGATTTATTACTGGTTGTCAAATTTTGCGAGTGCGCGGGTGTACATGCAGGCGAATGGCAGAGTATGAAAAGTATATTGATGAAATGGGACTTTGTGTACGTAGATATCCTTGGTGGGAGCTGGTGTATGTGTGCGTGGTAGATGCAACCTAGGAAATGGGCTTTTCTGCGAATAAACTAGGTATGCACTAGCTGGGAAGAAAAAGTCAACAGCACCAATACGATTTTTGCAGTAATAAGTCAATGTGCTGAAACAGATGATCCCAACATGAAGAAACTGAACTGTCAGGCAATAGAACCCATCAATTGTTGTGTATTTAACTGTGTAACCATTTGGATGGCCGATACAGACTCAGCTCCGCGCACCAGTTCTGATGTTGAAAGTTACTAAACCATTTCTTATGTAGAAAAGGTGAACCCCAGTTCTGGTATAGGAAGCGTGAGCACCCATTAGTTCTATCGTAGAAAGAGTGCTAATCTCCTTCGTTTCTGTTGCACTAGGTCTCCAGTGTCCTGTTTTGGTAGTAGGTGAATTCTGCAGTATGGATAATCAGTTTTTTAGTAGTGCAGTTCAACCCAGTCACTACCGGCCTAGTCTTGAACTCCAACGTATGTGTTCAATAAAAAGACCAGGCTATGCATTGTTCTTGTGTCCGCTGAATAAAACAGGTGTGACTAACTCCTACGGATTGATCGAGTCAAGAATCTTTCTCACCTTGAACAACTCAAACTTGTCCTCCGAATCCAAGTTCTTCAAGCTTCCCAAAAAGGACCTGAGCTCCAATAGTAAACTCTTGAACTTCTTGAGATTTACCAAACCGTGGTTGGTAATTAGTTGTAAATTGTTAATGTTCAAGCTCAAATTCAACATATTCTTTGCCAACTGAACTGACTGTTTGGGGTTCGGCGATCCCGTGGACCCAAGAACAAGGAGCCCGTCCAAGTTGCTGATGAGCTTGTTGGTCAACAAAACCGCGTTGATTTTAAACTTGACCCGATTCAAGTCTGTCTGAAACTGTAACACCTGGTTAAACTGGCCATTGACCTTATTGAACTTGAAAATCACTGCTTGGAGCTTCAAGTTGAAGTTATTCAAGTCTACCGAAATCGAGTTGATCAATTCGGCCGAGCCGTCCAAGCTGAGACTGAGTTTGATGAACTGGTCAAAATTGTTATTGATGAGGTGTATCAATTCCTGGTTGAGCTGCGAGTGGAGGACCGCGAGCTCTTTGGTAAGCAAATCAATCGACTCGAACCGGTAGTTCTTGTGGAGAAACGGGTCCACGTCGAACGACGGCTCATTGATGAGGTCTCGAAGGTTTTTGTTGGAGAATTCGTCAATATCAAGGTCGAGCGACATGATGTTGAAGAAAAAGCGCGACTGCAAAAAGTTAGTAGTTGAAGGTCTGGATGTGTTGCGTCGATGTTCGGTGGCATGGGACGATGTTGGATGGTATGGGTCGATATTGGATGGTATGGGTCGGTGCTGGGTGGGTGTGGAAGATGCCCGAGAAGCTGGAGAGACATTAAATGGTTAAAGAATCGGTTTTATTATCTAATGCCATAAACTATCCTGCTGTAGACATCTAATTGCCCAAAGAACAAACCAACGCCCCATCCACACAATCCCAGCCTCTATTTTATTCACAGCACTATCAATATTCGTATTGATGTAGACATTTGGCACAAAGACAGAACCTGACAAACAAGATCACAAGTCCACAATCACTAAACTACAACGATTACAGCCACAAAAGCACAAACACAAACACCACCAAATGCTCAGTGCCTGGCATGTACCAGCCAGCACCACCAGGTCCTTTTCCAGGTTAAACGGAAGGTTATGAACTAGTGCCAGTCCCTATTGTCCTCATTCCAAACTATCTCTACAATCGCAACCTCTGGAATGCTAACACAATCACCTTCAACAATGCCACCCTTACCCTAAACAAACAGAATAGACGACAATTTACAGACCCTTAAACCACCGGTCAAAAGTTGCCCCCACAATGAGCAACCGAAAACCTACAATTTCAGGCTATTGTTGATCTGGCACTGCAACAATCACCCGAATCCCAAACAATGGCGAGGATGCTGCGTTACATAGGCTCAACGCAGTGCATCAACTTCATGAGATCATCTCCTAACCCTATTGTTAAAGTATTATCTAAAAGCAGAATAAATCGGTTAAAAATGACGGGTGACCGTATCGTTACGCAAGCCTCATTCAAATCTTGTCTAAACCCTATTCCTTAAACGGGAAAAATAAATAATATTTCAGGAGACGATTGGTCAAGATTAGGAAAACTCCCATTTAACTTTCACAGACTGAATTACACTCCGCTAATGCCCTGGCGCATTATGAATGAAGTGATCAGCGGCCAGTTGTACAACGCGGACAACCAACCTTCCTCGACAGGCCCATCTACCCTTGCATATGGACAGTATTTTGTGTCTATCAAGCAATTGGTTGGTCGATGTGCCTTGTGCATGTGAAAAACATCCCGAACCCCTGAGTACATACATCTGCCTGCACGGCTTATCGGTATGCGAGACGACCAGCTACGACTGGGGGCCGGGGTAAAAAAAAAATCTGAATTAGCGGTGGGTGGACGTAGCCGCCCTGGGCAGGGCACGCAATGTAGGGGCGGGAAATAATAACCGGGAAGATACCCAATTGTTATAATAGGAAATAAAGTTAAATAAGTTGCCTTGATGATGCTACGTATTGTTCATATGTGCAAACGAATTCGAAATTGGTAACCGCAAAGTTAGTGAATAACTATACAGACTACCCCTTTATTTGAACGATTACCGACCCAAATTTTAGGTTAGAGCTGCAATTATAGTTCATGTAGTTGAATGTTCCAATTGCTAGTAGGTGCTAATAAATGGAGCGATTTGGAATTATGGTTGGGCTGTCAACAGTCTTGTCTTAGGCAATGTATCATTTCTTAAATATGAACCGAGTATGTATAAGTGACGGTGGAATGCAGCGTTAAGGTGACGGTTCAAGAAAGAAATTAGAGCAAAAAAAGTCTCAAAAGAAATAAATACCCAGAAATAAAAAATGATAGTGAAATTACTAAGGTACCCCCCGAACGCTGCAGCATTATGACAAACCGGGGTCGGGCTCATGGATCGGATGCACGAGGCAGTGGACAAAGATCTCTTGAATCGAAACCATAATGGCGGTAGGGTGAAGTCGGCTAATTTATCGACATTCATCAACGATGGGCTAATTAAATCGAATCGTAGATTGAATCTAATAGTCTGCAATATAACACTAAATTTGACTTCATTGACATGTTTTTAGTATCGTCAGCAACAAGAGGTAAACAATTATTTTTTATGCACCTACAGGAGGTTGATGTATGGTGGATACACTTGCCTAAATTCACGCACTTTATGTCCGTACCTTACATATTGTTTTCTCAACGAGAGGTCTCATTTGTTTCGCTCTTACATAATGGAGGCACGACTGTAGGAAATTACTACAAGTGATGGTAAACAGTCCTAGTTTTGATTATTATGCACCAGCGATCCTTTTGTAATTTTTGGGGGTCCACAAACAAATGGTCAATAATGGTGTCTCGGGATAGTGGACCACCGGACTTAACTCTATTTTGTTCTTCAAGGGGATGATGAGATGATTTCCCATTGTAGCCCATGGGCTGGCCGTGGGGGGGATTGGACATTTTTGATCAACTCTAACACCAATTCATGCTAGCGGGTGGAGGGAACGAGGTCGTGTGCCCGGCCTTGTTATGTTTTTCTTTTGATTTATTGCGCAATCTTATTTGATTTTAGAAAAATAAATAAAACATCAAATTGGTGGTGAATTTTTTTTTTAGCTAGGATATTGCAGGAACGCCAAAGGGGAAAAATTATTTTTTGATTTTTTTTTGGTGTATCCACAAAACCTATAAAATTGATCAAAAACTTATTTAAGAACTCCAAATCTCCTCATTATTCAATCAACTGAATTTTTAATCATCTGTGTTAACTTAAGTCGCATTGAGTTTGGACATCTTCACAGCCCCCGTGTCAGCCCGCCCACACTTTTCAATTTTACTTATTGCAACAGGATTGTTCAATTCTTAAGGTCAATTTCACTTCTCTCAACCCTCCTATGTCAACTGCCATTTATTACAATCCAGAAGAAAGACACAGCTTACCTTCATTATCTTCCATCATGAATACTCAACAACCACAACCCACCGCGGCCGGGCCCGCGGCCACCTCCCAGCTCCAACCCAATGGGTCCATCTCGGGGCAATCTGTCAGTGGAGACCTGGAACTATTTTCCACTGCGGGCTCTCAGACTTCCACCGCCCACACCACGCCGGCGTCGCTGTTCTCCGGGCTGTCTCTGGGCAGCGGTCAATATTATGGGGAAGGCAAGTGCTCCTGTAAATCCAACGCCAACCGTATCCCCAGACCCCGGAATGCGTTTATTTTATTCAGGCAAAAATATCATCAGAGTGTATTAGACGAAGGTAGTGTCATCAGAACCAACCCAGAAGTGTCAAGGGAATTGGGTAGAAGATGGAGAGCCCTCCCCAATGAAGAAAGAGACCATTGGAACAAATTGGCAGAAGAAGAAAAGACCAACCATGCAAAAAAATTCCCTGGATATAGGTATACTCCCAGGAGAAACGGCAAAGGTAAGATATGTGACTTCTGTAAGCAGAAAAATTTGCGTCAGCAACAACTTCAGTTACACAACCATCAAATGCTCCAGTTGCAACAAGACCAGTACACTTCATACATGTTACAACAGCAACAAGCTATGCAACAGTTGGTACCTTCGGGTCAAAACTTGCCTCCGCAGTTTAATCAACAGTATCAACAGACGCCCCAATCTTCCAACGTTAATTTGCAACAACCTTATAATAATATGGTGTATCTCCCCCAGAATCCCATTCAATCGAACTTTCAGTTTCAGTACAATAATGAGTTTGTGCCCGGTACTCAGGAGAAATTGAGTCCACTTTCGCTGATGCCCATGCCTTATGACCACCATTACCATCATCAACAACCACTGCAGATGCCTCAAGTGCAAGTCCAACAGGGACAACCGCAGCAACAGCCTCAGTTTGCCATTGGCTATGAACAGTCCAGGTTCAATTCTTTACCTACGCCCGTTGGTACCAATGCGTCCGGATATGGATTCGATTATCAGAGTTAACGATTATTTTTAGGCCTTTTCAGTTTTTTTGTATAATATAATGAGTTATGTAGTTTAGTACAAGAGTCGTTTAGAGGTATTTCGAAAGGTTTGAAAAGTTGGTTTGTTTCGTTTGGTTTATCAGTTTAAGAGTTGGTTTGTTTCGAAAGTGTGCACAAGTTTCAGGCCTAGTTTTAGTCATTTCAGAAGCCAGGGTTAATTTCAAAGCTAGTTTTAACCCGTTTCAAAAAAAATTGCTTCGTTTGTTGTCAGTAGGTTGCATTACTAATTTTCACGCTTTAGACAGGCGTGGCTTGTACGACGTGTGGTTGCAGGCGTACAAAGAGCGGTTTTACTTGCGAGCATCGAGCTGCCCTGATGAACAATAACGCATTAGGAGTGCCGTTCGTCTAAAGTCACCCGGAATACAGGTGAGATTCCGGCACCCTCGATTTTCCATTTACATCTAGTAATAAGCCAATCATGCACGCCGTTGGTGGGTAGTGCTTTCAGGAACCGTGCAGGATGGGAGTTCCTGCAGGGGTGGCGTCAAATAAGGACTACTGTGGACCGCTGAATGCAATAAAGATATATGCATGCCTAATGGGGTAAAGGCATGTGCGGTAAAATTCCGCATATATATGGACTCCACGCAGAACTCAGCCTGAGGGCGTATAGGTGCGTCATTTGTGCTATTTGCCTTGCTAAACGGTTTTAATCCTTTTTTCGGTCCCCTCGGTCCAGGGGCATCGGCTCACCACATGGGCAAAAAAGCCTTATCTCAAAACTCTTGCATTCAAGCAGAATTTTAAGTCTTAGTACAGAATCACCTGAAACGGGACCTTGTAACCACACAATTTTTACCCTTAGGGCAGCTAAAGTGAAGGCAACTTAAGTAAAACCACAGGTCCTTTTGGATGATTTTGCGCTTCCACCAGAATTAACACCGACTAGATCACGCAATTGTCCCACCAAACCCAATTGACTATGTACAGTAGTATCTGCCTTACTCTCACCTGACACCTAACTCTCACCTGACACCCACCTCTCCTATTCACCGTTGGGATTTCTTTTTCTGGTGCAAACGACAACGACAACAAATAGGCATCTATCCTAGCCGTTAGACAATGTGTTAGGCTAAATTTTGAGGGCATGGCACGAAAGAGAGGCGCGACCAACATCTACTGCTGCCGGTGCCTCGTAAAGGTCTAGTCATGTGACTTACCTTGTCGATCATTTGGAGCCTGCTCAAGTTCGAATGTGTGAGAGGTCAAAATAGACTATAGGGGAGAGATGTTATGGCACCTACTTTGTCCTAGTGGCGCTAATACCGAGGAACCAATGGCATTGATTTGTTCCACTTTGACTATTCGCTGATTTTTTGTTCTTCCTTAACTTTGATTTAAATCTTAATACTCGCAAATTTTGGGTTATAGTTTCTAAGTTGAATGAAAGAAGAAAAAAGAAAGTGAACCGTTAATTTTGCCTCTAAAATATCAAATAAGTCCTTTCTCGATAAATAATACACGGAGGTTTATACAACAGTGTTAGCAAGCCGGTAAGTACAAATTTAAAATCCATGTTGCAATTAATTAATCTTCATCAAAGGTTGCGATTTTGCAGCCGCACTATCGATATCCGATTCAACTGTCTAGTACCATTGCTGCCAGTGGCTTGACTGCAGGATGTCTGTCAGAGATAGTTATACGTTCATTGTCTTCTATCTGTTAAAGCTCTACTCTAACATGTCTTTTCATAATGTTAGTAAATTCCCACTAACCCGTATGAAGATAATGCTACTAAACCCTAACTATCAGCTTCTAACCACTGCATCAAATGCAGCACAGAAGGAATCAACGTTACGATCGCTCAAACCTGCCACATTGACTCTTCCACTCTTAGGAAGAAACACATGATGCTCATCGAGAAGTTTCTTACTTTGTTGCTCGGTCAAGCCAGAGTACCAGAAAAGACCTCGTTGAGTCTTGACATGTTCCCAAGTTCCTGGGGTTTTATACTTCTCGGTGAGCAACTCGTACACAGTGGCCCTGGTGGTTCTTAAACGTGAACTCATGTCCTGCAAGTCCTTTTTCCACTGGGTCAAAAGCTCATCATTCTTGGTGATAAGAGCCATTAGTCTAGCACCATACGCGGGAGAACTCGAGCACTCGGCACGATACATGTATCTCAACTGATCTAGCACAAGCGGAGTGTGGGCCACATCGTTGACCACCACGTGCAAGCACCCCAATCTTTCTCCATACAATCCAAGGTTCTTGGAAAACGACTGACACACAACCACCTCGCAGCCCACCTCAATGAACTTCTGGATAGGCAAACCGTCAGTCTCCATCGACCCCGTGGCAAATCCCTGATATGCCGCGTCAATAAACGGAATCAAATCTCTTTTCTTCATGATCTCAGCCACTTGCAGCCATTGCTCGATCGTCAAATCCGCAGCAGTAGGGTTATGACAACACAATTGCAAAATGAACACGGACTTGGCGGGAGCAGCGTTGAGCAGGCGCAACATCGCGTTGAAGTCCACTTGCTTCTTCTCCGTGTCGTAGTACGAGTACGTGGTGACAGTACCTCCAGCCTGTTTAATTAAAGGAAGGTAGTTGGGCCACGCGGGAACCCCGAGATAAAAGTTCTTGTAGCCTGAACTCTGACTGAGAAACAAGGCTCCGAGGTGACATGCTCCAGTTCCACCGATGGTTTGGCACGAGGCCACCAACTTTTTGGACACGAGTGTTTCACCTATGATGACCTTGGCAGCATTTTGCACAAAATCAGGCAATCCCAAGCAAAACGTATAATCGTGCCCATAGTTTTCCTCGTGGTACAAGGCCTTGGCTCTGCGGACGACAGGGAGCGTGAAGGAGTTTCCATCCTCTCCTCTATAGACACCGATACTGACATCAATTTTATTGGGGTCCGAGTCGTTTGCCAATTTTATCCGGAGATCGTTGAATTCGTCAGCGGGCTGGAGCTCAAGGTGGGAAAACTGACTCATCTTTGGGACCGGTAAAATGGGGGTCGAATATGCCTATTATATACTATCGAGGGTTGGTGGATGAGGTTGGGTGAAAGTCCGACACTGAGCGGCGTTTTCCTGCAGGGAACCCAGATGATGGATAAGGTCGACCAGATTGCACAGGCTGTGAGCCACAGTCGGTAAACCCCTAGTGGAGCTAAAGGAAGGTCAGTAGCGGTGTCCGTTTTTGTGGAGCTGGTTTTGTGGTGAAGAAGGTGCAGTTGGTGTTTCGCAGCCACCTTGTGGATTCAAGATAATTACCACCTCAACTACCTCTGCTCTGGTCCACTAGCAATCCTCTCTTTGCCGTGGCCCACTTCTACTTCTTGCTGTTATATAATTGTACATTAATCGTTAATTAACCACTCAACCCTGATTCAATCTACTATACAAACGGTACGCCTCTATCTCACCATAGGTCAATACCAACTCCGACGCATCGATCACCACAAACCTGAACACATACCGCTTGATAAAGTCCATCAACTTGAACGCTTTGGCATCCTTATGGTTCAACTGGAGTTGGTGTATGATTGCCTGGACCAGCTCAAGAAGCCGTTGTATTTGGAGATAATACTCTTGCTTCAGTCTTTGGAACTCGAGCCGTTGACTCAGCGTGTAGCTGGCAAAAGACGGCAACACCGGGAATGAGGGATGCTTCAACTCGTTGTTATCGAGCAGAGTAAAGTTGGAAGACGACCTTTTACTCTTGGCAGAATTCATGGTAGCAGTTGTGCTGACACTGTTACGGCCGCTATAAGGCACGCTTGGAAGCAGAATGTTGGAGTTCATCGAACTCGTCAGCTCACGGTGTTTTTTGATCTTATTGTAGATATACGACTTGGAAAGAAGTGAGTTCAATGCCTGCTGTCTTTTACTTTCCTCTTCCACAATCTCTTCGTGTTCACGTTCTTTATGTGGGCTTGATCCGTTACTGTTGGCATTGCTATTATTGTTGGAGACTATCGACAGAAACCGTCTGCGGCCCAAGTACGGTCCACTTGAAGATGTCAGAGTGTGCTTCCCATTACCGAGACCTGAGAAGTTGGTTGTATTAATATTGGCACTGGAATGGGAAAAAAACGAGTGATGGGTCTTTAATGATGTTGTGGAAGACTGATTGGATACGGTGCGGTTGAGCAGCTTGCCTTCATCGGGGGCAAGGTCTTCTATCTCGTCTTCGAGCTCTTCGCGAACAGAGAAGTTGTTTGTCACATCAGATCCGTACGACTGCTGGGCTGGTAACTCATAGAACTTGTACGCGGCCAAGAGCTTCTGGTAGTACATCAACAACATGTCCTCCAACGGCTGGTCCAATTTGTTGATTTCACTCGTGAGCATGATGTTGATTTCGTGGAGCATCGTCACCTTAATTTTGCAGTCCCGTATGGAGATATTGTCTCTAAACCAAATATCGTTGGGGAAGGTGACATCGGGAAGAATCTCTTTGGAGGCATCAGCTTCGAAATGCACAGATAAATCGGGGAGTGTGATGGTTGTAGGGTCGTCAACATTGAGTAGGTTTCGAAGAAACTGGACAATATAATCAAATTGCGAGGGATCCATAGGTATGGATAGTGCTAGTGACTGAAATCGCTGGACTGGAGGATCTAGGGTGTCGGGCATCGCAGGCATATGCACAAAAATGTGTTTTTGTTCAAAAGTGCCAGGTATGTTGTTTGTATATAAACAGAAAAATGCTTTTTCCGGGGGTTCAAAAAGTGATAATTGACTTTTAGGAAGGAATGTGAGATGGTATATATGTAATTATATGGTGAGTAGCCACGCCATTCAACGGTTCACGCCAAAGTCAATTCTGGGGTTGTTGACGTTTAAAGTTATCCTTGAGGATTGTGGACAGCTCGTCAACCGATGAGCGCATATACAGGACGCGCGCTCCCTCGCTCCATAAAGTCAGTTAGTCGAACAAAAGCAAGCCAGCTAGCTATGAGTTTAGGAACAAAGAAACCTAAGTTTAAACTCGATCTTAATATCAATGAACTATCAAATATCCCTCAGGTCAGTGGAGAGTGCTACATAGAGCTCAATATCCGTGACAGCAAGAAGAAATCACTTCCATCGCTCCGAGCCCTTTCCATCCGAAATAACATTCACAAGTCGCTTACTGATAACGATAATAGCGAACCGTCTCTGGGATCATCAACTCCAGCCTTCTCCTCGCCTAACAGTGAAGACAACAGGACACACACATCTAATGGTAACATTTACGTCACCACATCCTCGAAACCAATACATAACTTCAAATGTGGGTTCAACTATAAGGTGTCATGTAACTTGCGGTTTGGCATTAAGCGCCGGGAAAACTTGATTGCAGACAAGTATCTTCTCATGAAGATATTCTACGTGGGAGAAAAGCACAAGGAATTCGGCCATCACCACACCAGTAACAGGCTCGAGTTGGGAAAACTAGAAATCAATTTAGCTGAATATTTGAATTTCAATGAACCTGTTACTTCCAAGTATTTGCTTAAAGACTCGAAAGTCAACTCCATCTTGAGTTTGACCGTCCACCTATCGGAGTTGCCGGCCAGCTTCGACTTTCATACGCTGCTTCAAATCAACGATTCGGGAACTGTTTCTAAGTCTGTCACTCACCATGACACCACCTCAAAGTCCTCTTCAACTGCTCAGTCATCCTCCCACAACCAGTATAATGTCCCGCAGTTCGAACGGAGAAACATATTTGGCGGTTTGAACGACGTCATTGGATCTGAGAACAAGAAGACCGATACTTCTATCAAGCGGGAACAGTCTCCGATGTCTGATGATAGGCGTATTCAACGGTCTGGCACCAAGAAGAGTCGCAATCCTCCGGAAAAGTCGTTGGAAACGAAGGGTGACCAAGACCCTCCTGTGCTCATTGATCCCATTGTCAATGACTTGTACAAGAAGATTTTGGAGTCTACGTGGGACCCAAAACTTCATCTTCTTTTGGACTTTTCGCCGGAAGTATGCATCAATAGCATATTCAACAATTCTGCTGACGAATGGCGGCAGAAATTGAAAGATGACTTGGCGGATGACAACGACGAGGATGAAGAGGTAAGGTGCATTCATGGGTTAATTAATGAGACCAACTATAGAGAAGATTTGAGAAGTTGGAGCGTCAAAGGTGTAAACTAAGCCCGTCTGAATCTCAACTTGTTGCTGATTCTTTCCAAGGTACGCTGGGTGAGTTGTGGGAACCGTATGTACTTTGTGGGTTCCTTATCACCTTTGTCAGATGGCTGAGGTGGTGAAAGGTGAAGATATGGCTGCAAACAAAATTGCTGGTTTTCGATGCCCTTGAAATCATGGCTGCCATGATGGAATAAACTGTCGATCTTAGCATTGACAGCACCAAGCCGGAGTCCGGCTTGTTCCCTCCCCGACCGGAGGATCACGCTGTCCTCGTACTCAGATGAAGAATCCGAATCGTAGTTGGAGCTGGAGTCTGAGTCTGAACGAAGAACACCTGGGATGTCGTCAAACTTGGGCGGATATTGGACCTGCCGCAATGGAGATGGGAAGTATGGTAACACGCGACAGTGCTGACAAGGGGCATTGAAGCTGGTACGGCAGCCCATGTTGAAGCATCTCAGACGTCTTATATCTTTGTACCCTTTGAAAGTACCACGATTAATGGTTTCATATTGAGCCCAAAATGGGTTGGAATCTGAAGAAGTTGGAGTTGAAGCCAATGAGCGTGGATGTTGCATGAACCAGGCGGCAAATACAGTAGCAAGTATGAGTAGCAAAATCTGACTTAAAATGGTGATGGTATGGGCATAAGAAAATCGGTGAGGGTATGGCCACAAATAGAACTGCCAGCTACAAAAAAAGGTTTTATTAATATACAAATCTATGTAACTCGTTAAGCCGCAAGATTCCTTCGAGCATCTCTAACTGTCTCCAGCACCATGGGACTGGTGGTAATTGCTGCTGTTTCCACGACGGTTATTATAGTTACCTCCTCTGTTATTATCGTTACGTCTTCTGTTGAAATTTCCGGAGTTGTTGTTGGGTCTTCCGCCTCTTCTGTTTTGGTTCTTGTTTCTTTGTTCCATGTTGATCATATTTTGCTCCTTGGCATAGTCCATAGTCTAGAAATAGTTAGTATATGTGCAAATTTCATAGCGGTGAGAAACCGTATACATACTTGTTCAGGCAATCTTAAGTATTTGATATGACTACCTCTGATATAGATCTCCGGTATCTTTGTGAATACCTCAGCGTTGGGAGATGTTTGAATCACTTCGGAAAGGGTTAAATTCATCCAGGAATCACAGTTGGTTAATAACCCATTCAAGGTCTCCCCATTCTTCAATTCAACCAATATCGGCTGGCTTTTGGCGGAATTCAACAAATATAATGGTAACTAGAGATATATTAGTATAAAGAATACAAAAACCAACAGCAAAGTCTGATTTAACTTGGCCTTGGTGGGTTATAAGTAAGACATACCATCCTTTAAGTCGTTGAAGAGTAAAAATGAAAATGTTCATTGCGCGAACAAAAATACTTTGTCAACTTGGGGAAAGCGAACAAACTTACACTTTAAATGTCATATTTATATATAACTAATAACAAACGGATGGAAATGGAATGAAATAACTTTAACAATGCACATGATTGCAACACAACTAACACAAGCAGGATCTTATTACGAGTCCTGTTTAAACTGATTTGTCCACTATTTTTTCTATTGCTCATCCTCATCTGGAGGAGGAGCAGAAGTTCCTCTTAAGGTCAAATGATAACCAGATTCGGCATCTCCTTCAGTATCATCATTTTCACCTAACTTGAACCCGATGTAGTCTTCGGTGGCTAATCCTTGTTGAGCTTCTTGCAAGGAACCCAAATCTCCTGGAGTCATGATACCCAACTTTCCTCTTGGAGATCCCGGAACCGATAAAGGTCTAGTCAATTTCAAGTTAGAGTTATTTTGCTGGAAAGGATTGGCACCGTTCTTGAACTTATCAGGATAAGCCCTCTTCAATGATAATTGCCTGGCCTTGATATACTCGAGACCCATTCTCTTCCAGTCCAATAAATCACTCAATCTCTCGGTTCTGTTTCTTTGGTTGATTCTCTGTCTTCTGGTTTTTTGAGTAAAGTCGAACATCTGATCAGTCAACTGGTTAATGGACTCATCAACAGACTTCATTCTTCTGTCGACAATATAAATTCCATAATCACTTGTGTTTTCAATCAAATCCTCCATGTAACACCCAAACCCTGACAAGTTGGTGGTGATGGAAGGCACCCCCATGACCGTGCACTCAGCCGGGGTATAACCCCAAGGCTCGTAGTAGGAGGGGAATACACCCAAATGACAACCTCTAACGAATTCATCATAATCCAATGATAAAATCGGGTTATTAGCGTTCAAGAACTCGGGATGGAAAATAATCTTGACTCTATCTTCGGGTTTATTAAACAATTGTACCCTTCTAATTTGGTTCAACACTGGGTCGGTGGCATCATCGGCCATGTTGTGAGTGACAATCGGTGGCAATCCCTCTCTTTTCAAAGCAAAGATTCTTCTCTTCAACAACACTCTATCAGCCGGCTTAATCAACTCATCAATAGATGGAACCTCATTTCCAGCCGTATTGGATCCATTGAGCTTGTTGGGAAACCGGGCACAGTGTTCAAAGAGTCGTTCACCCACCTTCTTTTGCACTTCTTCAATGGTGCTTTCCAACTGCTTGATGACGGCCTGTCCCTTCAAGGTTTCAACCGTATAAGACTGGGTTCTCCCTGGCATAATGATGAAGGCCACCACCGTGATCTTTGAGCCAATCTCCTTCAAACGGTGATTCAACCGAGCCAAACTCTCGATGAAAAAATCACATCCTTTGTTTCTAAACTCGTACCGACCGGCAATGAAGAAATAGAGAGTGTTGTCTAAGTCAAAGTCGTAGTTGCCGTAAAAATGGCCCTTGACAAACTCGTTGATCTTGGCCTTCTTCATGGCATGCAAGTTCTGGAACTCATGAACTGCCTGGAATTTCACCACGTTCAACCCATTGGGCAACACCCCATCGGGTTTTCTCTTCAACAAGTGCTCGGATTCAAATGCAGTGATGTGAGACACGGTGGTGAACACATCGGCAGTGTGGGCTGCCAGTCGTTCGATACAATACCGGTGGTAGATACCTCTTTTCCCGGCTTCAGCATCCACGTCAAAGTTGGCCAAATTGTTGTAAAAGTCAATCGACCCAGCACACAAGTACCGACCCAACAAGGTTGCATGGGTAGTGAAAATGGTGGTGACATCAAGGCGACGGTTACGACACAACGGCAACGCCACCCCGGCCAACCATTCATGACAGTGACAGATAACAGCCCTTTCCCGGTCATGGAATACCAACTCTCCCAAAAACCACGCCACGAGGTACCCCAACAAAATGGCTTCGTTGGTCTCCTGGTCATGGTCGGGCGTGGGGATGCCGGCGTTGTTCCACAAGTCCGACTTCCACTCGTTCAAGTGTTGCAGAGCTGACTGGATGTCAAAAAGTAACACCCTAGGAGCCCCTTCAATCAACCATCTCCCATAGAGCCAGCGAACCCCACGATCACTCATGGAGTTCAAGGTCTTCAAAACGTGGGGGTCCTTGACTGGCAATTCTTCAACTTCGACCTGGGCCGAGTCATGGTTTAAAGGACCTATAAGGGTGTATCTCTCTCTGTACTCAGCAACGGTGATGGGAGCTTTGGATTTTAACACCGAATAGATTCCTCCCACCTTGTGGGCGACCTCCGTGGCCACCTCGAATAGCAAGTGGTTCTGGATGTCTCTGCCCATTGGAAATGCTTTTTAAGTAATGTGGTAAAAGAGTAAAAGTTGAGCGACTGATATTTTTTGAGAATTAATCCCCTAGAACGAAACTTGGGGTAAGAGATATCGGGTTTGTGTGCCGGAAAAAAAAATAAGGAATGAGAGAGGGAGAGAAGAGGGGGATGATGGTGAAGACCAGGTATGACAGCCAGCAGGAAGGTGGACTACTTGGATGTTTTTAAGGTCGAGCTTCAGAGGTGGATGGTAGGTTTGGACAAGTCATGTTCGTATGAGCCAGCAACACACCACGCACATTTTCGGGGCGCCCCACGCCATTTTCGATCACTCGCACCAAATATCGGTGGAGGTGGGGGAACCCCAGATCGGCGGGGGGGGGCCTGAATACGCCGCGGAAGGATTGATGATTGCTGGGCAGTGGGTGTTGGTGGTGGATACGGCAGTCGGTGCATGACACGAGTTTGAAGTTGGAGTTGGTTTTTGGGTTTGTGGACTTTGGTTTGTGGTTTAGAGTTTGTTGGATTTTTCCGGTTTGTGCGTCTAATATTTTTCGCCAATTTTGCAATTTCATTGTGCTGGCTGAGTTTATTTTCGAGAAGTTGTATCTTTTACGAGCTGAGATCTTTCTACTTTAATCTGTTCGATTACTGTTTTTACTTCTATCTGCGTATATTCTACCCCTATTACTCGTCCATGTCGACGGCATCTTCGAAAACATCTGCAAATCCCTTGGAATCGGCAGTGGGTCCAAGCCACTCGCCCTCACTCTCATCACTATCTTCATCCATGTCCTCATGTTCACTCTCTTCAAACCCCTCAAACTCCTCTGCCTGGTCCTTTGATTTCACGGCTGCCGTCAAAAATCCCGTCAACGCATCGCTGTTTTTGGAGATCTTGACAATACTTTTTGCATACTTGTTCAAAAACCGACTCAACAACTTCATCGCATGGGTGAACTCGTACCGGTGCACACCTATGTACTGACCATGACTCAACAACAAGCTGTTGATCCAAATCAAGTGCAATTCCAAGTGAATTGAATCGATGGATCTCTCACCGATAAACCTCAAAAGTCGCTCCAAATATACCACAGGAATATCTTTGGCCACAACCTTGATATCCTTGACGGGGATCGAGTCGTAGACAAGCCGGATCAACTTGACTTCGTTCATCCGGAAACTCATGATCAATGCCTTTAAATAATCCTTTTCTTCCAAGGTTTCAATAATCGTCTGCGGCGTGATGTCGATGTCCAACTCAAATGGGTCAAACACCATTTCGTTGTCCACCGAGTACACCATTAGTCCTTCGGTAGAGCCGGCTGCAAAGGAAGAGATGGTAGGACTGAAGCGAATGGAAGCCACTCGGATGGCTGGCCGAGTGCTTCTTAAACTAGGGTCTCCTTTGCGGGATCCCGGTAACGAATTGTCCACTCTGTCCTCCAAATCACTGTTTTCCCCAGCCCGGTCCACCAAGTCAAGGGCCCCACCATCAGCCATGTTCTTGGAGTTGAGCTTCTGCAACGTCCCGTCCAATTTCATGTTTTCTGATACTTTGAACTTCTTGAGAAGCACCTCGTTTTTCACGTCGTAGAGACAAATTGAGTTGTTGTTTCCCCCAGCAATGATGAAGTTTCCATCAAACGAGTAGTCGATGGTGGTGAAGTTCTTGGCCCGGGCAGAGTTTTTCGCCTCGAACCGGTCCTCCTTGTACCTACCTCCAATAATATCTCTTTTCCCGTCGAGTAGATGCACTTGTTTGGCGTCTTCCACGTCAAACGTCACAATGTGCCCGTCCAACGTGCTGATACTGACTTCCTTGGAGTCGGGTCTCATGGCTATACTCAACACGTCTGACTGGACTTCAATGGGCTCCACCAGTTGAGACCGGCTGAAAATGCTCCAGATTCGAATGGTCTTGTCCCAGGAAGCAGATGCCAACACCGAGGATTCCACCCCGAAAGAAAGCCCTGAAATAGGCCCTTCATGTCCGGAGAGTCGGTCCAACAACTGCCCCGTCTGCACCGACCACACAAAAATGTCAAACGAGTCCTGAGACCCGGCCACCACCACCTCTCCACTAGGATCCGCTGCCAAACAGTTGAACTGGATTCTTTCGGTGGCGGTGAATGTCCGGAAGTTTCTGTACCTGAGCAAGTCGAAGGCCCGTACGGTTCCGTCCAACGACGACGAAAACAAGACCTGTCCCTTTTTAGAAAACTGAAGGCCGGTGATACTGGAGGTGTGTTCTGTGAATGTCATGAGGCAGAAACCAGATCGGTTGTCCCAGACCTTGATTTTCCCGTCATCAGAGCCGGTGATTATTCGTCCACCGTCGGGCGAATAGCAGATGCAGTTGATAGAATCGAAGTGGCCCTGCTGTCTCAAAATATACGATTCGGACTGCCATTCGTATACAAGCAACTGGCCGAGCTTGGACGACCCAAAGGCTAGCCACTCGCCAGTGCGGTTGATGCTGACGGTGTTGATAGGGTTTTGGCCCATCAGCAACTGTTGCACCAATACGAACTCTGGAAGCTCATATAGTCTGAATTCCCCGTTATTGAAACCAACCACCAAAAGATTCAGTTGGGGGTGGAACGTGGCACACTTGACGTGGCTGTCGGCGTAGAAGAAGTTTTTGGCGGTGATTCTCCAGCTCAAGTGCTTCTGGGGTTTTTCTGTATCAGTTTCTTCATCGTCGCTGTCGCTTTCTTCACCGGGTCGTTCAGTATACTCCCAACGGAATAAAGCACCGTCTTTGCTCAACGTATAGATGATTTCTTGCGTGTCGTTGAAGAAGGCATTCACCACGTAGTCTCTGTGCCCGGCCAATGTCATGGCCACACTGCTTTCATCTGAGTGCAATGAGTAGACCTTGGAGGTCATATCTTTAGAGGTCGACAAGAAGAATCTCGAGTCTTTGGACCACGAAATCGACGTCACGTCACTGTAGTGGCCCGAGTATACCCGGTGGCGCACAAATGGCAGGAACTGACGGTCGTCGGTGAAGTCGGGGGTTTTCCACACCTGTATGAACCTGTTGCAGGCGATTGCAAAGTAATTTCCACAAGGACTGAACTTGAGATCAAGCACTTTGTCCTTGAAGTTAAAGTGATGCAAAACCGTCCTTGCCACAAAGTTGATGAGAATGGCTCTCCCGTCCTCGTCCACGCTCAACATTAGGGTTCCTTGTTTGTTGAGGGCTATGGTGGTGACATCTTTGCGATGCTCGTAGTTGAATGTAAAACACTCGTTTTTGATCAAGTTGAAACAGGAAACCCGGTTTCCCACGGGGCTGAGAAGCTTGGTTCCATCTTCGGTAAACACAAGGTTCCCCCGTCTGTACACGGTTCCAAGCAAATTGGAGAACTTGAAGTCTGATTTCATTTGGTTGATGCAGTGAATTTTTCGGTGAGATGAGATGAAGTAGAATGTTCGCATCGCGATGTCGCATCATTTCCATTACCCGCACTGTTAACTACTGCATTATCAACATCCCGCCATGAGTTTGTCGAACCGGGTCATGAACATGAAGTTCATGAGAAGTGCTGACGACAAGAAGAATGAAGTGGACGTCGAAGAATCCAAGAGAAAGGTCCTAGATTCGTCGGCCTGGGCCCTTGAAGACTCCTCCTACTTGTTCACCAAGAAACCCGTACCAGTACAATCAGTTGGATACGGTAGCATCAGTGCATTCGACGATGACTCGGAAGAAGAGCTCGCAGCTGTCCCCGTTGCCACAAAACGAACATGGGGATCACAAACACAAGACCACGATCAAGAAACACTTGATGAATTCTCAAGCATCAAACCCACCCGTGCAAAGTCACGGACCAGTAAACAAGTATGTTCTATTATTCACAAGATCTATAAACCGCAAGTTACTAACTAATTTAGAAGAAAGAAGATGTTTCCACTGAGAAGGACAAGCCAGAGATTACCTCGCTTCAAAACCTTAACGCTGAAGCTCTCAATAACGTTGATGCTAATGACTTTATAAACAGCATTTTCAAACCCAAACCCAAAGAACCCAAAGATCAGAAAGACCAGTCCAGGAAACGGGCCGGTGAACCAACACATTCCAAATTGAACAAGAGGAAACGAACGCAAAAGAAGTAGTTCACTTCTTCTTCTTACTCTTCTTTTGTTCCTTCCCTGTATTAGTAGCTCCAAACCCTCCTTTCACTATTGCATCTCTAGCAGCAGAGTTTATATGCTTGAACCTATCAGGTCCGATATGTGTTCCTCCAAACCATCTGCTCACCACCACCACCACATTCCAAAGGTCCATCATCTGCCCATGTTAGTAAAGTCCATTATATAGCCTGTTAAATACATACCGTTAGTAGATGAAGAATCCTACTTCCTGCAGCACTCTCTCCATCATCGTCACAGTCCTGGTACTGTACACCCCCCTCTCCCTTAATTCGCCATGCAGTCATGTTGTGTGAAGCTTTTGAAATCTTTTTCTCGGTCACTAGTAGGTCTATAGCGGTTTCTGCTTCTTCGAGAGAATGGACCTCTTTGGCAAATCCAATAAAAGTAGATCCCCGGTCCACCACAGCATCAGACTGGACCCAGCCTTCAAGAGGATCAGCCTGAGGTTCGTAATGGTGTTCAATCTCCGCAACTTCAGGTTCTTCCAGTTCTTCTTTAATATTGAGCATTTTGGCCTGGTCTTCAAGCTCTGTAATTCTGTCATTGTACGACTCCAAAAACACTTCAAGCTCCGATAACAACTCTATTACCACCACACATCCCGGTGAAAAAAGAGCCTCGAGTTTGGACTTCACAGCTCTCTCCAAATATGCTTCGTCACTATATTTTACTTGATCGTGAACAATGACTTGCACTAGGCTGGGGATCTCATCGGGATACGATTCGGGAAAGCTCACCTGGATTTCTAGATCACTATGCAGAGGAACCATGAATGTATAGATTTGAGGAGCCACTTCCGTAGTACAATCAGGGAATATGGCATCGGTAGCACATATTTCATCTTGTAGCTCTTCTACAGTCATAAATCTATAAATGCGAAATTTGAGTCGCACAAATCAAAAGAACCTCAACACTTAATGGATCCATCTGCAGCAGAAAACCTCAAAGGAAAGGGCAATGCTGCTTTTGCCAGCAAAGAATACAACACTGCCATAGAACACTACACAGCAGCAATCGAGCTTGATCCTCAAAATGGAGTTTTATTTTCCAATAGAGCCATGAGCTACTTGAAGCTTGAAGATTTCCATAAAGCTCTTCAGGACTGTGACAAGGGATTGGCCTTAGTTAGTGACCCTAAAGCCACACAGAAACTCTATTTCCGGAAAGCAAGTGCTTTCAAAGGGATCAATTCCATTAAACTAGCCCGTCAGTATTTTTCCAAAGTCCTAGAGCATGATCCTTCTAATATGGCTGCTAAACAAGAGTTGGATTCTTTAGCCGAAGACGACAACATGGAAGATGTAAAAACGCATAGAGTCGAGATTAAAATAGAGAGTGTGTCGAAACTACCCGATGAGTTTCAAAGGCTTGTGGACGGAAGGCCCTCAAAGCCAGAAAAACCAGTGATAAAAGAGAGTACTGCTGATATTTCCAAAGAGATTGAAGAGATGTTCGACAGACCAAAGAAACAATATATTCCTGACACTAGTGCCCCTCTGTTTGTGGAAAGATCAACTACTTCTATTCTCCCATCTTTGAAGAACATACAAGGTGCTCAGAAGGATAAAGCATATAGCTATGTGATCAACCTTCCTTCTAATGTTATTTCAGATAGTTTTTTGTATGGAGTGGAGCCGGACTTTTTCTCGTTTTATATTGAGGCTGCAAGCTTTGTGGCTCAAAAGGACATGATTCAAGACTGGGACACGAAGGTCCTACAAACATTAACGGAGTTGTCAAAGTTGAAGCGGTACCAAATTGCCAAATCATTTTGTGATGAGAAGGACCTTCACAGTTTGCTTGAACTTGTCCAAAAGAAAAATCCAGCCCTTTTGGTGAAATATCAGGAACTAATCTAACTGATGCTTGTATAGCTCAGTTACGCACTAAGCCTTTGTGGAGACCTTTTCTTTGGAGAAAGGGTGTTTCTGGTTGGATCAAATCCTGAATGAATTGAGGAGCATAGTCAGAGAATTCCAATTCAAAGTATCTGGTTGCAACTATTGGAACCACAATAAGACTGGCCATAAGCACAAGTATCATCACAAAAACAACGAAGTATAGATTGACAGTTCTCCTTATTCTTCTCTTCTGTTTCTTGGAGAACAATCTTGGACGCAACTGATTAGTTGGCTTGAGCCAGAAGAGCAACATCATGTGCCACTTGTCAATATAGGGAACGAACAACAATGGAAATTGAGCAAAAAGAAGACAATGGCCCATACACACATCAACGGCAAAATAGCTCATCTCAGTGAGCTTACAAATGAACTCACGGAATGGTTGCGAGAACATGTTCCACCCAAGCCCAGAAGTAAACCATTTTCCAGACCACCAAGTCATATTGGCCTTGTCATGGATATATTCTCTTGAGACAAAGCAACTAATGAAGGTTCTGAAGATCCATCTCTGTATAAGTACACAAGTTGCCAATCCCAACACAGTTCTTGAGAAATCTAGGTTTTGCATAAACCAAAACAATTCAAAAAAGGCAAGATGATTGATGATTGCTAAAGAGTGAACAGTAAGTGCAACCATTGCTGGGAACTTGGAACAACATAAAGAAAGTAAAGGTCCTAAGAATACCGACACAAGGGAAAACACAAGGAGAATAACAATATTGACACCAATTGGTGCTAATGTTACTATAGTGAGTCTCATAAGGGCAGGTGTGGGATTGGAATACCGAGTATCATTCAAGGTGTTTGAGAACAAATAAGCGATTCCCACAAAACTGATTTCAATCCATTGAAGTAAAGTGGAAGTAATAACAGTATTATACTTGGAAGGTTTTACATCATTGACAAGTTTTAAGTCGAATCCTTCGAAACTCTTTTTTGAGGTTTTAATGCCAGTGATTCGGCTTCGGTTTAACCTAACATATTGTATCCATGAAATTTCTCTGCTGCTGTTATTACCTTTGGATAGCCACTTTAAATAGTTCCTGTAATCGAGGAAAAATTCGTTGAAACTGAATTGATTTGGGTTATAAATCCATGGACATAACAAAAGGCCAACAATAGTGATCCAAAAGTAAAGCAAAGGAATTTTCCACATGGTAATGGAAGTATACAATATCAATAGGAACGAGACTGCTCCAAAATAAAGACTGGCAAATGCAAATCGTGAGTATAGAACTGCGAATGGTTGCCTAGTTGTTGCAAAACCTCTTCCAGTGGCAATGTATCTGGCACCTCCAATAAACATATCAGTAATTAAGGACTCTGCGTAAACTCGACAGACAAACACTTCAAATAATGGTGATAAGCACAAGAAGTGCTTTCCAAGTCTCAGGAAGGATTTATAGAAGCCTCTTTCCATCAACTCTTGTATGAATAAAGGAAGGAAAGAGATTGCAAAGACCACATAGATTGATAGAATCGAGCGCTCTAACCAATGAACAGCTGGAATCAAGTTGTAACATCCAACAGGACGATGAGGATCTCTAATGGGGACATTTTTGTCATACTCGCATATAGTACTTTCACGAGTCAAGGCTGCAATATTAACTCCAACTATCAAGAACAATTTGATTGACAAAATGATGAAAGCATTATTCAAGTGAAACCCAGGATGAGCATAATAATAAGACAAGAACCGGTCTAAGGGTAATCTTGTACTCAAATAGAAATGCTCCCTCGATAACATCTGCTCTCCCATACCAGCACCAATTTTTGTAGTAAAGTTCAAAATTGAACCAAACCCAAGGTCACGGCCTTTTCCACATTGAATATACTCACAATGCTTGATACGTCCTCCTCTACACAAGACATTCATACCAGCATAGACATCTTCATTCAAGTGCAAACCTTTCTGGGCCTTAGAGACACCTCCTCTAGTATTCATGAAGATGGCATTCAAGAAGTCAGGGTGACCATAATGCAATTTCCCACCAATATGAGCAAGTGTTCTGGCGAAAAGTGTTCCAAAGGTCTGCTCTTTACCAGCAGCCACATCACCCAATACACCAATGTTCTCAGAAAATATATATTCTCTTGTCCCAATAATTGCAACAGGATTAGCATAACCGCTTGTTTTCAATTGTGTAGAATAGGGATCTAATGGTGGTGAATGTTCTTCAAACTCCTCGAGGACACTTCTGATTTTAAGACATTCTTCTAAGTAATTATCTTGATTAGCATCTACCAACTGAATATACTCTCCTCTACAGAAAATAATTGCATGGTTCTGGTTGTCAGATTTACCATCTCCTAAAATAGGATTTCCTGGTAATTGAATCTTGTACTTGGGCTTTCTAAAGCCACTGGGCATTATGGGACTGCTTCCGTCAATCAAAACAGAAAAATAAAGTGTTTCATGAGTTGTAGGATCCTCTTCCTCTCTCAAGTAGGCGATTTCCAACTCAGGATAAGCTCTCAACAAGAATTCAGTATTTTCAATTTCGTCAACATCAAATTCGATAAACCGTTGCATTGAAACAATCATTCTAAACTTTCTGATTGCCATTGCCGACGCCTCTCTGAGCTTCTCGGCATCGTCAATGAAGTCATCATCTGGGGTCTCAACATCGAACAACAATTTGATTCCCCTTGAATAATTCATGAATCCAGACACTGTACGGTACAAGGTCTGAGTTCTAAGAGATGCCCAAATTCGAGTTCTTAGGATATACTCTGGTGTGGCTACTTTAAAACCCACCGAATAGTAATGGTTATCAGTTTTTTCGTCAATCCTTGTAGCTGAGGAGTCATCTGTGTCAAATTCTTCAGCAAGAAGTCTCGTATCTTTAATAAAACAGGACCATTCTAAAGGGTGTAGCTTTTTCAAGTACTCTAACATAGTGATGTTGGAGTACTGTTGCTCTTCCCTAATGATCTCACGAAGAGATAAAGTAATCTTCTCTTTATAGTGGGGAACCAAAACTGTGAACGAAGGCATCGATCCCGTAGGACCAATTTCTCTCATTGGTGTCGACAACGACTGGGCAAAGAAGGTTATTCTCCTTTGGGCTTCTGATTGTCCATAGAACAAAGTTGACTTCATTGACATATCCTCTTGAGACACAAAAAACGATGGCTCCTTCAACATAGAGTCCTCAACACTAGTTGAGGTAGCAATCTGTTTATAAATCAATTTCTGCACATGTTCAATAGACAACAAGTGCTCTCTGTACATTGAAATGACAATTGAGTTCCATACCTGAGATGTCAAATACTTTCCTTTAACAGTTCCATCAGTGGGTGCAAAAATGATCTTCGAGAAAATACGCTTTGGTAATCTTGAAAAGATATTTCTCCAAGGAGTCCAAACCGAAATTCCAATATAAAAGGATCGAAACACGGAAAAAAATGTGTTACAGACGATGAACCAAAGATATGTATCCAAGAAGAAAAGTACCAAGTCTGTCAATAGGATCAATGATAGTACAATCATGGGTTGGACTGCGCATAAAGATTTACCAATCCAAATATCTCCAGCACATCTAGACATTTGCATTATGCTTAATTCCCTCATAGGGTCTTTCAATGAAAGAGTGAGGAAGAAGTATGATTCAATGAACTTACAAATGAAGACAGCAAGCCAGAGGCCAATCGAAGCCGCTTGTTCAGTTCCCCTTAGCCTATGAAAGCTTTGAATGAAGTAATCATTTGCAAGATATTTTCTTCCTTGACCCATTGATGCCGAGAACAACTTTCCTAAGGGCACAATCATTAAATAAAGAACAGTCACAACTGAAATAGAAAAGTGAATGACAGCTATCAATATTCCAGTGGTGGACTTCAGGTTCAAAGGAGTGAAAACCAATAAATAGACTGAAGGTGCAACATTAAGAGTAGTAAGAAGAAACAACATCACCAATCTCTTTCCCACTGGTTCAGCACCTTCGTATTTTCTAGGAATGAAGGACCATTCAAACAAAATGGAAACCAAACAAATGAATGCAGAGATTGCACCGGCAAGTGCCATGACCGTCAATCTCGCCTGAACCGTAGGCTGGTTATCCAAGGAAGGATTGTACCGGTATGTGTAAAAGGTAGGAGCATTGAAGGAAGTATAATACCAGAACATACTAACATGAATTATCCAAATCCGGTTGAAGTTGCAAAACACATGAGACCAGCTTCTAGTTTCCTTGAAAGTTTTGAAGAAAGCTTTCTTCCACACCACTTGGTTAAGATACATATACCGATGCTCAGCACCAATATCAAGAATCTTCCTCTCATCATCAAGGACAATTCTGTTCAATCCTTCCTTGTACCAGAACAACTGATTCATATCATCATACCCAATGATACTCTTGTGATCCTTGTCCACTCTCACCAACCGGCCATCTACCTTCTTGAACAATTGATCTTTATAGTAAGTGTAAAGAGGCTTGATGGCATGGTCAAGGAAACTGGGAGTGGCGTTCTTAACAGGCTCATCTGGGTCGAGTCCCGAATAGAAGTCACAGCAACACTTGAATATGAAACACATACACTCAGGCATGAATCTAAGGTTTCCAGCTTCTCCCCAAGCAAGAAGGTAGATTGCAACATGTACCACCATATCGACTGCTGGCAAACGGCTGAGTGAATAAGACCACTTTTCCTCTGCTTCGTGAGGGCTTTTCATGCTTGCCTTTTCCTTGGACTTTTCGATCACTTTGACGTTTGCAAAGCCCACAGAATGGTCATAATCTGTACCAGCAGCAAAGAACCACTTGCGGAAGTTGGCATTGATACCGCCAATGTAGTCAGCGTGAACTGACTTCAAAGAACGCGTAGGTCCCATCCTTGAGCTTCTAGAGTCAAGCATCCTCATGAAGTGATCAAACATGTTGCGGGTATTATCCTGCTGGAATCCAAACACATTGGTTAACTGAAGGAAAACTCCTTCGATATCTTCAATGGAAATGGGCACAACTCCAGGAGGTCCCCATGCGGGATATGGATCACTTTGTCTACTGGGAGAGTTATTCATAAGATCTGATACCTTAGTCTCGTCATAAGTACCATTATTGTGGCTCTCTATGGATTGCCAGCGCTCGCGGTTGATTTTGGGGGTCATAAAACCACTCAATGGCAAAGGAGCTGTTACTCCCTGCTGAGCAGTAAACGCTTGGGCGGCTGAGATGAGTGTTAGTAAAGGTACTAGCTTAACTAGTTTGGCTCTAGGAAGTCATACTATTGTCCACCAGGAACCCGTCGTCTTTCCATTCGCTGTCGAACGGGTTTCCACTTAAGTAATCCTTTGGCATTTTATATCTGTCAATACTACGAGTTACTTCTATGAAAAAAGTTTGTTTGTGGAGTATAGAACATTTTGGCTGCGAAAAACCTGACCGCGAACTACTTAGTGTCTGAACCGCTTTCATAGTCGGTGTCAGCATCTGAATTCTCCTCTCCCTTATCTTCCCAGGCATCAGGGAGATTCAAGCCCATGTGGGCAATCTTATTGGGAGTTCGGCCTTTCAAGAGAAGTGAAGTCCGCTTGACCTTGCCGTTTGTGGCCATTTTTAAAAGGGTGGTTTTGACATCGCTAGGAGGAACTCCAGCACTTAGTAAATTGGCCACAATTCCTGACACTATAGGAGCTGACATCGAAGTTCCGGACAACAGTTTGGGTACCTTAAGGTCTTGGTAGTCAACACTTTTGATTGCAGCACCGGGTGCAAAAATATCGACACATTCACCCCAGTTTGAGAACCCAGCTATAGCGTCGCTGGAATCGTCTATACTTCCCACAGTGATAGCACCAATAGCACTTCCGGGGCTAGACTTGCAGGCATTGGTATTAGTGTTTCCTGCAGCAGCGACCACCACGAGGTCGTCCTCCACAGCAGCGTCAATGGCCCTATTTAAAACACTGTTTCTAACAGAGCCTAGAGACAAGTTTGCGACACCTGGTTTCCCAGATCTCCTTCTGTGGTTAACAGCAAACTCCAAAGCAGCAATTATTGTACTCAATGAACCTGAACCTCCATCTCCCAACGCTCTTACTTCTATTAAATTGACATTTTTTGCAACTCCGTATGTTTGGGAACCCACAAGCCCTGCAACGTGAGTTCCATGTCCGTTTGTATCCCCAGAGCCCAAACCGGTGAAATCTCTCCCAAAATATGCCCTGCCTTCAAATTGGGGATGTTCAATTTTGATGCCGGAGTCGACAATATAGGCATTTACCCCTTGCCCAGAAAACACATCATCGTACACAAACACAAGGTTTTTCTTGAGCTTTTTCTTCAGGGAAATTCTGGCTAAGTGACGAGGAGCATAGGGTTGGACCTGGATTTCCAAAGCGTTGAAAGTGATATCAGGAGTGATTTCTGAAACGTAGGGGCACCGGGAAAGTCTCTCTAATGCAGTTTTGCTGAAGTCCCCAACAAATCCTTTGAACTTTCCAATGGTGAAAATGTTCCTTATTTGGTCTCTGACTCTCAAGGGCTCAGGGTACTTCATGTCATTGGCGTAGAAGTCATCGAACGACTCATTATCCCTTAAAGTAATAAAATAGGAGGAACAATTGACGGTACAAAACAACAGGAATATATATAGTGCCCACTTCATGGTTGTTGGTTGTTGGTTGTTTGTAAAAATTTCGCAGCCAATTTTAGTGATATAAACTTTAAACAAATATATTAACATTATTAAATTATTTAAGCAACTTGGCTTTGTCTTGGTCAGACAAGGAAGAAATATAGTCTTTTAGAATATTCATAGTGTTTGAAGGATCTTCCTTTAACAATCTTCTCACGGTGTTGTAAGACTTCTCCTTCTTCAACTCTTCCACCTTCGTGGTCAACTTCGAGTGGTTTTCCTCGATCCAGGTGCTGACAGCCTCATCATCTTCGTAATCAACGGCAGGCATCCAACTCTTCAATCTAGCAACTCTTTCGAGCTTGCTGTCGGTCTCCAATTGTTCTTTGAGCAATCTCAAGCAGTATTCTTCATTAAGACGACGACGCAAACGCCAGAAGAAGAATCTTCTTGCTTCACGCCAATGAAGCTCTTTTCTAATAACACCCTTGGCCAACATACGTCCCGATCTATCGTGTAAATCAGCAAATTGCACGGAGATTTGGGCATAGATTGGTAACAAGTTCTTCTCTCTCGCAACTAACTCAACAGACAACTTAGTGTACTCATCTGAAGCAGATGGCAAGTTTTTCAATTTAGCCTTCATGTCAGCGTACTTGGCATCCAATCTTTCCATGGTGGCCAACAACTTGTCACGTCTGTACTTGATTCCGACCATACCTTCTGGTTCCAATACACCGGCTCTGGAGTCAACATCAGCATACATTTCCATGAAGTCAGCATTGATAGTAGGATCCACCACAACCCAAGAACCACCTCTCAATTCTCCGTTAGGAGGAATGTAGGTGAAAATAGGTTGCTTGAAGTCCACCAAAGCATCCACAATGTATGAACCAAACTTAAGAACTTCGTTGTACATGTCTTTTTGACCACCCGAAAAACCTCTCCAGTTGGCCAAGATCATCAATGGCAAGTTTTCACCGTGGTTGAAGTCGTTGATGGCCTGAGCAGTTTTGAAAGCAGAGTTGGGGTACCAAACTTGACCAGCTTCTTGGATCTTGACTTCAGTTGAGTCTGGATTAGCAGGATCAGCTGGAACAAGGTTGTCGATGGTTCTGGTTTCAACACCAACTACACCAATTGGAATACCTCCAAGACGAGCTCTTCCAACAACGACACCCTTGGCCCAACCAGAGAGAGTTTCTTGGAAAGAGTTCTTATCAAACAAACCGTGTTCAAAGTCGCCGTTTTCCAACTCCTTACCTTCGATCATCCACCGGACATCGTATACTTCGTCTTTTGGTGGAAAGTACTCCACGTCTCTGTCCCAGGTGTCTTCAGTCTCCAAGATAGGAACTGGCATGCCACGCTTAGCAGGAATATAACTTATCCATTCCATTATCTTGAGCACACCAGCATAGTCATCAGAAGCAGTCAAGTGAGAAACACCATTGTTGTACATGATCTGAGTTCCTCCCAATTGCAAGTTCGACGAGTAGACTTCTCTACCCAACAACTTGTTGATGGCAGGAGCACCAGTCAAGATAATAGGCTGACCATCGATTTGAATAGCTCTTTGACCTAATCTCACCAAGTAAGCACCAATACCCACGGATCTACAGGTGACCAAAGTGATAGTGAAAATATCCTTATAAGCTCTGGAGGTTGCACCAGCAATCAAACCAGAACCCCTAAGACACTCAACACCCAATCCGTCTTCAGCACCAACAATAGACTTGATGACATGCCTGGTTTCTCCATCGATAACGATTTTTTCAGTCACCACCGTGTCACTCTTACCATTGGCGTTTAACGCTTCCAAGTCTTCCGTACTCAAGTATAAGTAATTGAATCCCTTGCTTGGGTCAGAATCGTTGTTCCAAGAAACCTTGTAGTATGGCAACAATTCTTCAGCAATACCGATTCTAGCACCAGAGTTGGCAGAAAGGTAGATTCTAGGAACTCCCAATTCTCTGGCCAATTCCGTACACTTATTGAAGTATTCATCTTCTTCAGGACCAAACGAACCAATTTTGTGGGTGATATCGTTAGCAACAATAATGAATTGACGGCCACGAGGATATTCAGGTGTCTTGGCAGTACACTGGAACCCAACCATCCCGATCTTGTTGGAACCAGGATCTCTGTCGACGGCTGTCAAATTACCATTGTCGTCCTGAATTAACTCCAAGAAGGTAAAGACATCTTTTGGAATCTTGGTTGACTTGGTAAGCTTTTTCCACTGGGCAGTGGTAGCTTGACGGAAGAGTTCTGGGAAGTCGTAGACGTACGTGGTTCCCATGTTGTGGGCCTTGTAACGTTTGGGTTGCAATGATTCCTTGACTGGATAACGAGTGGAGATTGGTCTCAAATGCATGGAGCCAGGTTGTCCGATGGACTTGAACACCCATTCATTCTTGGCATTCTTGACTTCCATGTATAACTCGGACTTGACAACATATCCGGAAACATTGTTGATTATTGCTCTTAATGGGAAGGAGTTACCAGTGGCAGGGTCGGTACAGAAAATACGAACTTCGGCACCAGTGACTCTCAATCTCCACAATCTTCTACCGAATCTTTCCAAGAAAGAACCGAAAGCAGCTTCCACTTCTTCTGGTAACACGTTGAAAACAGCAGAAAAATTGATAAAGATGTGATTAAGATCCGAATTGGAGGTGTCGATAATCTCTAAGGCATCCAAGATATCAGACATTAATCTGTTACATTCAGAGATCAAGTACTCACTGATGCTGACGTCGTCACGAATGACTCCGGTTCTAATGATACCTCTGGTGAAGTACCTCCTGTCGGTTGGAGCGTTCTTACCAATGGCTTCGTAGACGTGGATGTTTCTGTTGTCGGTGAAGATAGGCTTGATGTCGAAGTTTTCCAATCTGGCCAATTCCAATTGGAAGGCCAAGGCAGGCTCAATGTGACGAATCACCTTGTTCTCAGTATAGTCAGGAGCGGTGAAGGTGTAGTACTTGGGGTAGATACCAATCTTGTTAGCAAATACAAAGGAAATACGACGAATCGAAGCACTTCTAAGGTCGTCTTTCAAATCAGCAAGATGTTCGTTGACCTTGGCCAAGATCTCTTCTTCGGTGTCGTATCCTTCGACACTGTGCACAATGACGTTGAAAACATTGTAGTAGTTGACCTTTTCGAGGAGATCAATAGAAACACCTCCTACTTGTAAATGGTCTAAACCAGCACTGATCATTTCATCAGCATCGTCCAAGTGGCTACAAGGAACCAAAATACCGTTTCTGGAAGCTTGTTTCTGGTTTGGGTCCATAGTAAACGACAAGTCGGAAACAGAAAGAGTTCTGTTCATGTTATTTGGAGCCTCTGTCTTAACTTGCTGGATGGCAGTGAAGTGCGAAGAATCAAGACTTGGTAGCTCGAATTTCCAGTGGATAATAGGCAACTTATCATGAAAGTGGTATGAGAGTGGCCCCAAGGAGTAGGCTCTATAAGCTCTTCTCACGTAAGTCTCAGCCGCAGCCATGGCGACCCATTCGTCTGCATTAACCAAGAATTGGGGCAACACATCAAACACAGTATGCTTGGAGTCCACCACATCCTGGATGACGTCGAGTCTTGGTTCACGGTGCTTGGCGTAGATTTCACCGTAGGACGTTTGCAACACGGACGACCTCAAAATGTGTTCCAACTGGTCAGATCTTTCTTGAATAGAAGGTAAGGAGCACTGGATTAAGATTTCTCTAGCCTTTAAGGTGACTTTAGTAGTTCCCTTGGTATCCAATTCGACGACATCTTTCAAAGAGTCTCTGATTTGGTTGGCGATATTGGAAGATGACTGCAACAATGGCTGATACTCGTCCAAGATAGCCAAGATCAAGTTGTTCTTGGAACTGACACGGGAGTGAGACAACACAATGTTGACCACCTGATTTAAGTCTGACCTGTGTTCGTCTCTCATCTTTAAGATGATGTCGTCTTCTCTGGCCATGTGACCCGAGAATAACAGCTCAACCTGGTAGTATTCGTTGATCAACCCGGAGAAGAAGGAATATTCGTGTTCGACTAAACCGTTGGCATATCTCTCGGCAATGTCAGTCAAAGGTTTGACGACTTCGGTCAAGGAAAAGTCTGTTTCAGGGTCGTTAAGTACCTTGTGGATCTGCTTCAAGATTTGACGAGCTGGGAAGTCTGCATTTCTGTTCTTGGACTTGTCGATTAAGGTTGACAACAGCTCGTCCAACTTAGGAGGTAATCTGGAGTGCAAGGCCGAGATCTGCAAAGTCCACTCCGAATAAGGCAATTCCTTGTCCTTCAACACCTTGAAGATACTGGCCAAAGTAGGCTTCATGATGACCTGGTTGTCAAACCCGTTCAAAATATTCTTCAATATCTGAGCATCGTGGAGAAACTTGTGGATAGGCTTTGTACCTTGTATGGCTGGCAAACCCAAGTCTGGCAAAGTTCCTTCAAAAGGCAAGGCATGCTTGACCTTAGACGGATCGTCCAAGGCCAAAATGGCCAAAATATCTCCAGCATTCAAAGTGGACCCCGGCTGTTTGATAACCTGAACCACCCCGTCGTCCAGGGCAATTAAAGGCATACACATCTTCATGACCTCCACTTCAGCATACGCCTGGCCCGCAACCACATGATCACCGGACTCCACCAAATACTTGACCAACTTCCCGGGAGATGGGGTTCTCAACTGGGTAGGATCGTTTTCCAACTCCAATAAGCAGGTCTTTCCGTCCACCGACAATCTAGTACCCGCGGCCTCTTCTTTCCAGTAGACGGCGTGGGACTTTCCACCAATGGCAATCAACAACCCCCCATCAGAAAGTGATTTGACGCCCACCACCACTCTGCTACCATTCAAAAACAAGGTATACGATTCGCTCGAAGACTTGGTGGCGGTGAACTTGTACCGGTGTCCTTCGTAGATGAACTCCACTGGAAAAATGGTTTTCAACAAGTTTTTATTGGGGACCTGACCTCTTTCCAATGACAGCACGTACTCAGCTCTCTCGGACTGAGACTGAAGGTGGGCCTGGGTGGCCGCACCACACACGACGGCGATGGTAGGGTCGGGTCTCTCGGCTGTCAACTTCTTGGTGATCAACTCGTCCAACCAGCCGGTGGTGATGGTATTATGCTCGAAATCGGGGGTTTCCAACAACTTGATCAAGTACTCAATGGTGGTGCGGAAATCTCCTCTGATGGATAATTCCTTCAAGGCAACCACCATATGCTTTCTGGAGGCCAGCCGGTTCTCACCAAAGGCAAATATATGCCCGAACTGGGAGTCAGAGAACGAGTGGATCGATGACTGATTAGCCACAGAAAAGTACCCCCAGACGTTGGACGACGACCGGAAGTTCAACTCGTGCAAAGTACCTCCACTGGGCTTGAAACCCTCACCCGGGTCCTCAGACGTGATTCTACAGGCGGTGGTGTGGCCCTTTGGCACTGGCCGACGTTGAGTAATTAAGGACGCTTCGTTCTTGAATTCAAAGTCGATTTCGGTTGAAGTGTGGGGGTCAACACCGTACAAGGTTCTGATGTCTCTGATTCTGTGCATAGGGATTCCCATGGCGATTTGTAACTGGGCTGCTGGTAAGTTTACACCGGTGACCATCTCGGTGGTGGGATGTTCCACCTGTAATCTGGGGTTTAATTCCAAAAAGTAGAATTTGTCCTGGGAGTGGGAGTACAAGTACTCGACGGTCCCAGCGGAAACATAACCTACCAACTTCCCCAACCGAACGGCCGCATTTTCCATCTGGTGGAAGGTCTCTTTTCTGGCGATGGTGACGGGAGCTTCTTCGATGATCTTCTGATGACGTCTCTGAACAGAACAATCTCTACCAAATAACGAGATGTTGGTTCCGTACTGGTCGGCCAATAATTGGACTTCCAAGTGCCTGGCATCACCAGCCAATTGCATGATGAAAATGGGAGACCCGGGTATTTCATTGGCTGCCTGTTTGTACAAGGTGATAAAGTCCTTCTCGTCGTCGACCTTTCTGATCCCCTTACCACCTCCACCTTCAGACGCCTTGACCATCACCGGGAAACCAATTTCACGGGCTTTTTTCAACCCGTCCTCAGCATCCACACAGCATCCTTTAGCGTAAGTCTCGTCAGATACCGACACCAAATTGGTTTCGGAGTCTATTTGCACATCGCGAACACCGGTTCCAGACCACGGGATACAGGGCACGTCGGCGTGCTGGGCCACGATGGTAGAACTAATTTTGTCTCCCAAGGACCGCATGGCGTTTCCGGGAGGCCCAATAAACACGATTTTCTTGGGAGAGGCCGCCAACATCTCGGGCAAAATGGGGTTTTCGGAGGCATGGCCCCACCCAGCCCACACGGCGTGCACGTCAGTTCTCTCGGCAATCTCGACAATCAATTCGACGTTGGCGTAGTTATTATTATTGGTACCGCCGGGCACCTCGACGTATTGGTCGGCCATTCTGATATATTCGGCGTTAGCGTCCAAGTCCTCGGGCGTGGCCATCACCGTGAATTGTATGGCTCTTTCGTCGCCAAAAGTCTCGTAGGCCCATTTTCTGACGGATCTGATTTCCTTAACGGCAGCAATCCCGTTATTGGCAATTAAAACCTTAGAAATCACCGTATGACCCTGGTGGGCCTTGACAAACTCGGTGACCTTAGAGGCCTCGGCCGTGTCGACGGAGTTGAGGCCTCGGAAGTGGGTGGGCAACCCTTGGTGCAACTGGGTGTAGTGGTTGGATTGAGAGGTATCAGTGGCTGAAGAAGACATTCTGAGATGAATAGATCGGGGGAATGTGAGCAAGGACAGATACGTGGGAAGGTGCGTATGTACAAAGAAAACACGGGCGGCTGCTCTGGGGTGGATGAGTCTGGAGAACGGGTTAGTAAGAGAATGGAGGGATGGGGCTGTAATAGCCATATAATGTTGGGGGCCAACAAAAGAGCGCGAGCGCGAAAGATGCGATGGTGCCGGCGCGGTGGCCAGCGGTCTGGACGTAATTAGAACTGGACCGGTGGTTGATTGATGGGAATGGGCGTGTTTGCCACGTGCCATTGATGGACATTGATGGCCATTGATGGCCATTGAACTAGTTACTTTTGGCAGGTGGCTTTGTGTATTTTTCTTTCAATTTTGTTTGTTTCATTCTGTCTGTTGATGTTTGATGCCTGATAGCTGACGGTCGATGTCATCTTCTTTCGTTTCCTCTCTGGTGTCTAACATACCGATTAAACGTGGTGCACTATGAGCTGTACGAACTCAATACAATCCAATAAAGTCAAAAACACCAAATTGGAAATGGCGTGTGTTTTATGGATTCGATCTGATGGGACCAAAAATTCTCCTATGTAAATTTTGGGACTGGATTCGCAGCCTTTGTGGCCCACCAGCACAATTTCCTGTATGCGGGTCCCAACATTTTAAAATTGGGCCAAAATTTACCCGGTGCGATGGCTCAAGAAATGCATCTGTGTTGACGTAGTGAGTCGAGGCCCACCGGCGGTGATGTGGTGCGAGAGATGCCATAAAGAGATAGGGGAGATTGAGACACAGGAATTGAGAGACAGGAGGAGATAGTAGTGAGATAGCAGTGGGATAGCAGTGGGATAGTAGTGGGATAGCAGTGGGCAGTGAGATGAGTGGGATAGCAGTGAGAGGAGTGAGGAGTGGCAGAGATTGGATGAAACTTCATGTGTATGCGAGATTGTGGGGATTCAGCTGAGTGGTGTGAATGTCGTAGAACATGGGCTGGAGGTGTCGCGGTGGATGTGGGAGTTGGGATGACTCGCGTGTCGCGACCCTGTCGCGACGACACTGTCTACAATGTCGGAGCAATACAAGCGTGCGAGCGATCAAATATCGGTCGTGCGCCCATGGGCTTGCTGCTCCAGCTGTGTAGCAAGTTTTGCGCTCTACGCCAAGCCACTGTTGCACTTACATACCACCAATAAGGAAGTCCTGGAATTCCTCCAAGGGACTCATCACTCTTTACTGATGCCACTAACCCCCCACTCACCTCCCACTCACCTCCCACTCACCCCCCATTCACCTCTCATGATTTTTTTCACCGTCTCTCTCTTGAGCAATCGCCTACCGCCGCCATTCACCGGATTCCGAACAACCTAGTCCTAAACAATCGGTTAACGCCGGTATGATCCCCGGAAGTTGTACCGTGTCCCACCTGGTTCCAAACCTGCGCTCATACCAACCCCCAGTCCCTCAAACCTTCCCCCCCACCTGGACCCCCGCCACTGATGCCACCGGCAATCAGGGCCTTGTGCCCTCACAGTCGGAATATATTAACACAGCCTTTCATTTAGTCTTCCAACCTGCACTGCTTCTTGTATACTTTGGTTGCCCCCACTTTACTCATTGGTAGTTGGAGCAACCTCAACCACCGCAACTGAGCCACCACCCAAAAATAACCGCACCAGTTTGCCCAGCGCAAATCTGTTGTTGCTTCTGCAACCCTCTACCCCACCACCCCACCAACAGTATTCTATGTTACTCTCGGTTATTGATACCTCCGAAATTCCAGCCTTGCTGGTAGGGCAGGGAGCAAAATCCGAAGTGCGGGATCTCTTTGGGGTCGAGGTTGGAGCTGCTCACGGCCGACCCTAGTTGCAATAACTATAAAATATGAAATGGGTTCTGGAACTGGGAGATAGTCGGGGTGGTAACTGATGGCTGGGAGTAGTAGTATGCTGTGTCAGGACTAGTATGGATAAAATTGACTCCTGTAGCCCCAAACAATGCCTCTGCGAAATGACATCATTGTTGCACAAGGTTTTGAAACTAGCTTTTGACTTTACGTGGGGTATGGAGAAGCAAGTGCATCTTGTCTCACCCGTTCTCAATGCCACCACAATGGTGGTATATAAAGGCCTCCACCTTCCCTCGATCTGAACCTTAAATTCAACAATGTCCAGTACCTCCCAGACAGATTCAGTGCCTGCTGGTCAGCACATCTTCCAAAGCGACGAAAAGCTTACTACGCCTTCTCCCGTGCAATATTCCGACAGCAATGGCCTGGATGATGACCAAATCTACAGTTATATAGGAATGCAGGGCAAAAAGTTGCACTTGGCGGTGGCCATTATGTGTGGTGTTGGTTTCATCTTGTTCGGTTATGACCAGGGTGTTATGGGTTCATTGTTAACTTTGGGCCACTTTCGTGAAACCTTCCCGGAAATCGATACCGTCACCTACGGGTACAGTCGGTCTGCCTTCCAGGGCTTTGCCATTGGTATCTACGAAATCGGGTGTTTTGCATCGGCTCTATCAACCATCTGGTTGGGAGACAAGTATGGAAGAATCAAGTTGGTGTTTGCCGGATGCTTTATTATGATGATAGGAGGGGCCTTACAGGCGTGTGCATTCCATATCTCCCATTTGATAGTTGCCAGAGTGGTTACAGGTCTTGGAAACGGGTTTATCACCTCCACCGTACCGGTTTGGCAGTCCGAAATTGCAAAACCAGAACAGAGAGGTAAGTTGATCTGTATCCACGGAGCCTTGATCGCCGGTGGAATTGCTATCTCCTACTGGGTGGACTTTGCCTTCTACTTCACGAGAAATTTGCACCCCCACCAAGCTGTTTCCTGGAGGTTTCCTATTGCTTTCCAGTGTATTTTCCCGTTGGTGATCATGCCTTTCATCTTCAAGTTTCCTGAGTCTCCAAGATGGTTGCTTAGACAAGGACGAGTGCATGAGGCCCGGAAGGTGTTTTCGGCGTTGGAGGGTGTTCCCGCCAACAGTGCTATTGTCAACGACGAAATCAATGAGATTGAGGAGTCTATCAGAATGGAAAAATCCACCGGGGCCGACAAGTTCTCGTTTAGACGGTTGTTCAAGCAGGGTCCCAAACGTCACTTCCACCGGTTGTGTCTTGCTGGCTGGGCCCAGTTGATCCAGCAGATTTGTGGTATCAACTTGATCACTTACTATGCGGGTACAATTTTTGAACAGTATATCGGATTGAATGCTTTGGACTCCAGAATCTTGGCTGCTTGCAATGGGCTCGAGTACTTCTTAGCAGGGTTAATCCCCATTCTTTTTATTGAAAAATGGGGCAGAAGACCCTTGTTGATCGCAGGTTCAATCGGCCAGTGTGTTTGCATGGTGGTGTTGACGGTTGCTTCGTACTATTCCGACGATAAGTGGGGTGGAAGACGCAATGGGGCTCCGATAGTGGCAGCCGTGTTTTTGTTTGGATTCAACACATTCTTTGCCTTAGCTTTCCTTTCTGAAATGTGGTTGTTACCTCCAGAATTGACGTCTTTGGAAACAAGAGCTCCATCGGCAGCCATTTCCACCTGTTGTAACTGGCTCAGTAACTTTGTGGTGGTGATGATCACACCGGTGCTTTTCCAAAGTATCGGTCCGTTCACCTATGCGTTGTTTGCTGGAATCAACTTTTTGATTGTTCCCGTGTTGTACATCTTCTATCCAGAAACAAAGGGAAGATCCTTGGAAGAAATGGATCTCATTTTTAACAAAACCCCTATCAACAAGCCATGGCAGGTGGTGAGAATTGCTGCCACGATGCCGTACCACCATGCTGGTCTCCACGAGGAAGAGACGGAATTGGTTTCCAGAGTTTCTTCCAAGACTCATGTGTCGCACATCGAGGTTTAGGGATCTCTTATTGGCATTGTAATATACAATTTTCTTGAAGGGTAGTGTTTCTGTGGTTAAGTAGAGCGGGTATTTGTAGTCGGGAATGGGAAATTGTTTGTTTTGTGGATTTTGTCGCTGATAATCGTATGGCTGCAACTGGGAGGTGTTTATTTAATCCTACAGTACTAACAAATAGTCTTTAGGACTTATTTGTTCTAAACTCAAATCCTACATGACTCTTCTCGATAATCTTCTGCTTAACTCCGTGTCGTGGTGGTGTTTCAACTTCGTCCGTCTTAGACTCTCTACGTACTTATTGTGGTACGAGTTCTGCCTTTGTAGCTGTTCCATCAAGTGCTGCGAATAAATGTACTTTTTGTGCACATAATTGCACATCTGGGTGTTGGTCGCAAACGGGGGCAACATAGGTTTCACCGGAACAGGCCTATTGAGCAGCTCTCCCAAGAGGTGGAACTTTTCTTGTGGTGGTGGGCTATAGTTCGGAAGAGGCATTGTACTTACCCATAACTGTGAAGGAAGTCTCACGGACCGGTTACGCAGCATTCTAATACGATTTTGTACCACAATAGCATCAAGCTGGTCCCAGTCCAACGTGGTGTCGAAAGATTCATCAATCACATTGATGTACTGGAAAGTCATTCTGGTAAGCAAAACTACCCTCACGCTCGTTTAAATCATCAGTAGCAGAGCATACCAACACACCATAACAGAAACAAGATTGTGCCACCGCACTGAAGAGCCAGCATATAATCCATGTAAGCTATGTTCACAGCAGCCCCACTTCCACCGAAACACCACTTTCCAATTCGGTAATTGTAAAATACTGTTCCCATGGCTGCAAATGTTCATAGAGCAGCCGGGTAACCAAGCTTCAAATCCACCCTCGCACTTTTAAAAATTTTCATCGACTATACCGATACAAAAGGCAAACATGAACTGGTTATTAGGAGGATCGCCACAAACACAAGAACATCAAGGAGAGAGCAGCACGTTAGGTTTCGACGCCAAAGAAGTCAGCAACATCAGCTCCTTCTTGGGTCAGCCAGGTCTCTTTGACTCGCAGAAGTTACATCCTTTGGCCGGCTTGGATAGAGGTATCGAATACTTGGATTTGGAAGAAGAACAATTAAACACGGTGGAAGGCGCCCAAGGGTTGATTCCTTCCAGAAACTGGACCGACGACTTGTGTTACGGAACCGGGGCCGTGTACTTGTTGGGTTTGGGAGTTGGAGGTGCTTATGGATTTCAAGAAGGATTGCAGAATTTACCTGCCAACTCGTCTTCCAGATTGAAGTTGAACACAGTGTTGAATCACATCACCAAGAGAGGCCCCTTCTTGGGGAACTCGGCTGGGGTGTTGGCGTTGACGTATAATTTGATTGATTCTTCGTTGGACGCTGTCAGAGGCAAACACGATGATTTGAACTCAGTGGCAGCCGGTGCTTTGGCTGGTGCTCTCTTCAGAAGTAGTGCAGGTGTGAGACCCATGGGATACTCCACCGTGATCATGGCTGCTGCTGCAGGTGCATGGTGTGGAATTAAGAGAGTTTTACAGTAGGGGAAGAGGGTAAATAGCATAAACCAATCTTGTGTATAGCAAAATTTTGTACATTAATCGTTATCTAGGTAGACTTAAGGGTCTTGTGAGGTAATGTGTTGTCAAGAGAGAGTCTTCTCTTTGTGGTGATCTTTGTGGTGGAAGTGTTGGTGTCGGTGACGTGAGACTTGGATTCCACAGTTTCTTCACTCGACTCGACTCCGACATCGGAAAACTCCTTGGTGAAGTCAATGGGGCCCAAAGAAACGTTCTCTATATCCTGAGAAAGTTTGGATATCACCTCCTTTTTCCAAGCACTGTACTGCTCAATAGTTTGAAGCCGTTCTTTCTGCAAATGCCTAAATTTGATTTTTCCATTAAGTGGTTCGTCCTTGTCTACTTGGAGTTCCTTGGCCAAATTGAGCATGTCCAAGTTGGTCTTCATTCGGGCAAACTTCTGGTAGTATTTTGACTTGGAAGGAATTTGGTTCAAAAGAATATACTTGGTGTTGGAGGGATGATTCTCAAACTTGAAACAAATTTGCAAAAACTCCAAGATAATCTCGTTCCAGGGTACAGGATTGATGCTGAACACTGAGGGATTGGCCTCAGCACCCTCTGCCACCATACCTCCCACTTCCGGCCCGTATCTTTGTTGCAATTCGAAAAAGTCCAACCGATTGCGCAAGTTACCGTTAATGATGAAGCTAATGTTATACTTTTTTGTGATCTTGATGATTTCGGGAACGTAGTCATGGAGAGGCTCTTCACGGTTCCGCATGGAGCGGGTCCGACAATGCAACGTCAAGTTTTTGATTCCAGTCTGACAAATCTGCTCCACCAACTCCAAAGTTGATGGCAAGTCTCCAAGAAGACGGATTTTGCAGCTGATCGGCTTGTTGTTGGGGTCCCCCACCTTCTGTACCAAGCTTTTCAAGATGTCACAAAGTAAAGTCGGTGTGCTTAAAAGAGCAGCTCCCATTCCCGAATGGACTGAAAAGTTTTTGGGACACCCACAGTTAAGATCAATACCATCCACGTCGTTGATTACCATTAGCCCTGCCTTCACTGCAAGCTCCGGGCTGGAAGAACCCATTTGGAAGATGAGCTTTCCTGCTTCCGATGGCTTATATGTGCTTAAGGCGATCCTTCCATTCGGTTCCCTGAACTCAGTGGTGTTGAGTTTGGAGTTGTACAGCCTTGTACACGTGAGCAACTTTTTGTCGACGATTTCGGGTGACCACACCAAATCAGCACCATGTCTGAGTGCGAGGAGACGTGTGGGCAACTCTCCACTACGCACCATAGGTGCTAGCACAAACTTTCCCGTGTAGTTCATTAGTGATTTACATGCTCATCGATGAGATACTTAAGTCGCGGGGTCGTGCGAGAACACCTCCACTGGTTGTGCAAATGTTTGGTTAAGAACTGTTTCTGGGTTGCAGTGAACACAGTTGACTCCATACTGATGTGACTGTTTCTATCACAACGGGGAGGTAACTAATTTTCATACCCTTGTGCTTTTGATCTTACATCATTGGTTTGTTCATTACATAGAGATTATCAGCTACTGACTGCAAATTGTGCAAGTAAAACCGTGTGAATTGACTCCAAGAATTGGAAGCAAATTATACAAATACCCGCCGATCTTTGTAGGAAATATTTGGACCTCAGTGACCGATTCCAAAACACACTGCCAAAGCAAGCAACTGTAGCCCTTCAGTCCATTAAATACCCTTCCCTTTAGGTGTGACTTTTTGGGTGGTCGCACACCCATACTTAATATTCCTGGTTAGCCAGACTGTACACGCCAAGGTGAACAGGTAACAGACAATTAACAGCGACATGCTATATATGCGTTCGTAACCGGAGAGCCTTAAACTTTAAGTAGAAGCAGAAACCTTGTAATTCTGTTTTGGCAGTGCGCATAGATGTTTGTAATCTAGGTGATGGTTTAGAAGAATTAAACAGATGGGCGTTTACCGAGGAAACTAAACCAGCTTCCTCCCTCGACTACACCGCATTTGTCACCGTAGCACCATTGGTTGCAAGGGCTCCAGGTGCAGCCGTTGTAAACCGGAATCCCGGAATCGGTCGTGCCCCTTCCACCGTTTGGTACCCCCACGCAGCCAATCACCCACCCACAGATCCTGCTTACCTGCAGCCACTCATGGAAGTTCTCGGGGACGCACGCAATTGCCTCCAGTTTAGGATCTGGTTCTGCAGATGTCCAGATCCTGGTTCCACCACCACCGCCAAACTCCCACCCAACTCCCAACCTCTCACAGGTACATATACACCGCCTACACGGTCTACTCACATCCACCCAAACAAATTAGCACCCTGATTCGGATAAATCACCTGTTTGGAGCTAGCGAATTTCCTTTTGCCATTGTACAGGATAACTTAAAAGAAAGACCACCCCAATTGGATAGGTGAAATTAGTCACGAAATGTGTACCACCATTCATACCATTCATACACGACGGGTGACTCCCATATCATGCCCAGTCATCCCAGGATTGGCACTAGCATACCGTAGTTGCTGTCAGCAATCCATTGGATGCTCCCAGCAACCCAAGCCAAGAAGGTGACAGATAACTGTCGAACGGCTGCACCCGAAAGCGCCGCACCGCGAAGCTCACACGAGCGGGAACCAGCCACCGCCAGAGGCCACTGCGCCAAGCAGCGCCTGACCCCAGAATTTCACCGGTCGTGCACCGAGCCATAGTCATTACCTGCAGCAGGTCAGAAAAATTTGCATCAATTAAGTGATGAGATGGACCCTACACAACCGATAAGAAAACAGGACTTTCACCAGAACCTTCCCCAACCTTTCCTCTAACCCCTTCGTAGACATTGGCTTGTATGGTTCCCCCTTCCGTACACAATTGCAGAATGTTTTTTTGTCTCTAGATCTCCCTGGTGGTTTCTTTTTTGCAAGGCGATAAAGGGAAAAAGAAACTTATGTTTACAAAAAAATTTTTTGTATAAAACTCATCTGGTGTCCCAAAAATCCTCAACTCACAAGTAACAACAACTATCATAATCTTCAGCATGTCTACCATCTACCATCCACTGGCCAAGTCCATAAGCAGTAGATTGGACGAAGGATGCTTAACTCCTCAGAATCCTCAGCTTGAGGCCAAATCGCAAAGAATTGCAATTGCAACCAGCTCTAGTTCCCATAACAAACCCAACCAATTGGACATTTTATCTCCCCCATTGTCGCCCTACCAGCGCACTGACTCCGTCGGCCCAGCTCCGGTGGCAGGCGACCAGGCTTTGATCAGAAGCTACTTGCCCAACAAACCCTTTAGTTTGGAGAATTATAACAATTATGACTTGAAGGTAAACCCCTGGACTAACTTGAATAACGACTACCGGGCCCGCCAGTTTGCGTTTTTGAAGAAGTACAGCATCATAAAGAAGAAGGAAACCGACCGGTACTTGAGGGAAAAGGCCGGGGCCAAAAAGAGAAAGTACAACACCAATGGGTTTATGGGCCATTTGTCAGACCTGAACTCAAACTCAGATAATGGCAGCAATAAGGTTAGAACCAGAAGAATCATCAAGGAGTCCAATAACGAGTTGACTGACAAGCTCCCCACCCGGTCGTCATCACCAGCTTCGTCTCCCAAAAAGAGGAAACCCAACATTCAGCAGCAGCAACAGAGCTTCATTGACGAGAACATTCCTGACTACTCTCCAGAACTCAGTACGTTGCCCAACAACGCCAAGTGTATGAAGATTGACTGGAAGGGCCAGCCCATGGACTTGTCGGGAGATCCCAACACTCACAAGTTGCATCCGGCTGAGGTGACATTGGCATCGGTGTTGAGATTGCCATGTAACGTTTATTTGGACTCGAAAAGGCGGTTGTTTTATGAGAAGGTGAACAGACTCCGGGCAGGCATGCAGTTTCGGAGAACCGATGCTCAGAAGGCTTGCAGAATTGATGTCAATAAGGCATCTAGGCTTTTTGCTGCGTTTGAAAAGGTTGGTTGGTTGGACGACCATCACTTTGACAGGTACTTGTAGGACAGGAATGGAATCAGGTAGATTCAGGATATTAGGGACACTTTGGGGTGTGTGCATGTAACATTAGTATGTTTTCATCGGTAAACTATGGGTATAGAATCGGTATAGGTTTGGTTTGGATTAATATATGTGCCATATAGGTATTTGTGGATAAGACGGAGGTTGTTGAAGATGAAGGCTCCGTAAGATGGAGGTTATTGTGGATGAAGGCCTCCGGTAATAGATTTTAATATGTAGAAGTGGCATATAAGGTAAAGTATTTAAGGTGATCTTGGTGCAGTTCTTTCGAATTTGCCTTCTGATCATGATGCTTCACATGGTATTCTATAGATGAAATCCAAATACTTATATCTTATGGTGTCCTCTTTTTCCCCATAGCTTGCTATACCCTTCTTTCTATTTTATGCACTTTCCTCCAACTTTTTGCACCCGCGACTTCTCAAATTCACCATCATGAGCTACTCACATCCTTGCAAAAAGATTGTGGATGCCAGTGATCTATCAGCCTTCCGGCGGTCAATTGCATACCTGAATATCCAGGAAGCAATCCATTCTATCTTAGTACTTGTCAAGTCGCATGAGCTCCCGCGAGGCATATTGAACTTGAAATTGGTCTCAGCCCTCAAATGTGAGCACGCAACAGAAACATACACTATTCAATGTCCCAATGGCCAGCGAGTTCTCAACCTGCTAGCATACTTCGACCTGGTCATTGAAAACTTTCCGCCACTCCCAGGCCCACGTCGATTTGGTAACTATGCGTTTAGGGATTGGTATGGCCAACTTGAAGATTCTGCCGCTGGAAAACTACAGGAATTAGACATCCTCAACACAAACAAAGCCGGGTTCTTGCTGGAATTGAGCTACTATTTCGTGGCAGCGTTCGGCTCTGGTATAAGATTGGACTTTGGCACCGGCCATGAGTTGTCGTTTGTTGCGTTTATTGGATCACTCCTCAAGGCTGACGCTCTCAAAAATATAACGGGCCAGGATATCCTTGTAATTTTCGCCAGGTACTACGACTTGGTCAGGCGACTTATATTGACGTACAGCTTGGAACCGGCCGGCTCCCATGGTGTGTGGGGGTTGGATGACCATTTCCATTTCATCTATATATTGGGAGCTGCTCAGTTCAACGAACCCGTTTCCAGATATGCTCCTCCAGTGAGCCAGTGTCTCAATGAGGGAACGATCTCCGAGTTCCTTGACACCAATCTCTACATCAATGCTTTGGCATTTATCCAGAAGATCAAATCGGGGCCGTTCAAGAATCATTCTCCACTTATCTATGACATCCACACGTCGGTGACGCTCTGGAAGAAGGTTCTTTCGGGTCTTTTAAAGATGTATGACGTGGAGGTGCTTGGGAAGTTTCCTGTAGTGCAACACTTTTGGTTTGGTGGTGTGTTGTATCCTTGGAAGGATGAGAATTTGAAAGATTTGCCAGTGAAGCAGGAGGCAGAGAAGGAGAAGGAGAATGTGCCGACAAAAGTGCTACCAGGAGTACCGTCAACAGGAGTGTCAACCGGAGCACCGTGGAAAGAACGCCAGAATTCAACCAGAGCACCGGCTGCAACTGGACCCTCACCAAGAGCACCTTTTTCTTCCACAAATATTTCTACATCTACCTCAACGCCACCTTCTTCGTCCGGCACTGCTCCCACGCGAATGCCACCACCTCGTATGCCGCCCGGCTCTCGCAACTGAATATGTACATTAGTCTATTTTCTGAAATTAAAAGTCGATCTACACAACGGACAAGTACTGCTTCCGCTACTCTTAAACCATTTGTATAGGCACGCGGCGTGGAACTTGTTGTTACATGTAGAGCAGTTTTTGGATGGCAACGAGTGGTCTTGGTGTAAAATCGAGTAGCAGATAGCACACTCTTCGAACCCTGAAAAGTGCAAGTCGACGTTCTTCTTGAACACTTCCACCGCTTCAATGATGGACCCGTTGGTTAGGGAGATCACTCTTTGCGAAGACAACAACCATGCTCTCCACTGGTTCTCCTTCAAGCCCACACGTTTAGGACCCTCCACCACGACGCTCTCCAATGGGAAGTTCGTAGGAATTTTGATAACCATCACCATTGTCTGCTCATCAATTTCAAACACACATCTGACCTCGTTGATAACCTTATTGATCTTGAGCGACATCACGTCCGTCACAAGTTTACTCTTTCCATGCTCGACCTGTTCTAACATCGTGCTCACCAAGAGCTTAGATATGTTTTTGGCGGTAAATTTGTCAATGTCTTGCTTCATCTGAACGTTTCGCAACTCGTTGAACCACAATTGCACCTCACTTCCCAAAAAGTTACACGCAAAGTAGAACACATTCAACAACATGGTATCTCTATCATCCAAGTCGAAGGTCTGGAACTGGTCTACAATCTTTATGTGGTCGATTTCTACCACAAGAAACAAATAGTCAAGAAGTTTCGGAAGAGTTTGGTTGCTTCTGATCTGGTTGACATATTGGTTGCGAATCGAGTAGTTTATGTCCTTGAAGTGCACGAACACCAAATACCAGCAAATAAGATAGGTGGCCAGGTCAGTTTCGGAGGCCAGATCAAGGTTGGTTTCGTCCAAGACCTTCAACAACAGTGGCGGAAGCTTGATATCTTGTTCCTCCGCATCTTTTTGGAACTGGTAGTTGATCACCAAATCTTGCTGCTTGTGAGTGATTTCTTCCTCGAGAAACCGCAAACAGATCTTCTTGATCTGTAAAAACTTGCTGTGAAAAACCAAGTCGTAAAGCTGTTGCAACTGCTTGTCACTAAAGTCTTTGAAGTGCAATTTGTCGAAACACCTCTCCAAGACATCGTGGCACATATGAACGGCCATGTTGTGGACCTCATTGTCATGCTTGTTGAGCTCGTCGTTGAACAAAATGTCCAACAAGTTGTCTTTGTTTGGAATCTCATGAACTGTTAAGTACCGCAACGTGAAGTAGGTCAACTCATAATGCCTCTCAAGCTGCACAATTGCGAAGTTATCTTCGATGACTCTATCAACAAGGTCTTCTTTGTTGTCTGCTTCCACCAGTCCCAAGAACTTGACAAGCTGACTTCGAACTGCGTTAAACGAATCATCGTAGCTGATATCACTATCCAACCACTTTTCAAATTGCTTGAGAATCAAGTTCAACCGGTGAGGAGGTATTGCTGCCCAGTCGGGGGTTTGGGCGTTCAAGAAATTGATACTCAAAACAACCCACTTCAACCCTTCAGTTAAAATGTCGCTGTCTTTAACACCAAGGATTTCAGTGGCCACATAGTTCCGAATTTTGTCAAATTTTGCAGACGAAAGCAAAGTCTCAACTCCAGCCAACACAATTGCCAATTTAAGGGGAGTTTTAAGCAATGGGTTAAATTCCAAATTGTACGTATTGAACGTTTCGACGTTGACAGCTTCAGATAAATTATCTAAAACATCTCTTAGCAACCTCGCAAGGTAAGAAGAAAATGAGCCTTTTGCAATTCCAAGGTTGCGTACCACAACCGACACTAAATCGTCAAAAGTAGGTTCTTTGGAGAGAAGTATGTCCAAACATTCATTTAAATTAGTTTGGATAGCTGTGTGAAACTTTTGGGCTAATGAGGACTGAACTTCCAACAAGCCATTAGACGAATAAGCATCTTGGTCCATCAGGAAGATGAAGTCTTGTAAGAATACACTCAAAACACCACTGAAAAAGGCAATCATGGTATCATTTCTTGGACTTTCAGATAACACTTTACAGATTCTCAAAAGAGCTAATGGCTCTGTGTTCTCAATATCTTCAACTAAATGAATATTTTGGCCAAGTGAGTTCGAAATTGATAACACCTCCTTGTTGATGTTGGGCAACTTGAACAACTGGACTTCAAGTCTTTTGAGAACTAAGTCTACCTCTCTAGGCACAACCACACTCCAGAAATCGAAATTCAAATCCTCAATTGTCTGTTCTTGAAGGTATTCCCATAATGTATCAGACACCAAATGTTGCATGGAAGAGTTCCTGATGAATAGAATGAAACCACCGAATTCCAGATAGTTTGTCCAAGAGAGAAGCAAAAGCTTAAACACCTTCTGTTGGTTATCATTTTGTATATCTATGGTTTCAGACTTTGGCACAAACTGCTGAAACTGTTGAAGAAATTGGTGTTCTTCACCTTCCTTTATGCTAGAAAACATTTCTTGCAACAATCTCGGGTCAGCGAAGCTGAAGAGCATTTTCCAGTCGCTGTTCCCTTTGGGATCAATAACCAAGTTCTGGAAGTGTTCAGCTAGCAAGTCAGACTTCAAACAATCATCATAAGTGAACTTGAACTTTTGTAAGACTCTGCGAATGAAGTCGGAAGGATCAAGATCCAACATTGTATACTTTGTCAACAAGTCATCGATGACTTCGATGTTATCAAAACTGTCCTTAAATCGAACACTGTTCCAAACAGTGAACATGTACTCTACAACAGGAGAAACAGTCGCAGGCTCAAGACACTGGCCTATAGTAGTAGTGAATTCTATAAGCTCTTCTTCAGACTGAGTGTTTATGGCAACATCGTTCTCCACAAGAACAGTAAGGACCTCCAAACCTCTGGAGATCTGGCTTTCATCGTCAGTGGACGAAAGGGCTTCAATTATTTTTTCTAATAGCTTGGATGCACTTTCCACATTCTCCAACTTCTCAAGTAATTTGAAGTAACTGGAGAAGTCAGTTGGATTTTTCCCGGTAGAGATATAAGCTAATACTTTATCGTTCTGAGATTCCAACAAACGTTCCAAATCTGGCTCCAGAATAAGTGATAAACCTTCAGCAAATAAAGCAATACACTTTCCCTTGGACTTAGGACGTGTTCGCAGTGCATTGGGTGCAAATAATGAATCCATGACAGTAGGAACTGCAGCTGCAAAATGCTCATCAGAACTCGAAGGTAAAGCCTTGACAAACCCAACCAAGCATTCAATAGCAGCTTCTTGGTAGTTGAAAGCCAAGTGGGATAACTGTTCAGATATTACTTTCACAATTGACAAGCAGAACAGTTGGTCTGCAAAATCAAAGCTTTCGGTTGAAATCAACGTAACCAAAAATCTTTCAAGTAATATGAAGTAAACGGGGTCCAGGTTACAAGGTCCTAGTTTAATGAAGTCTAGTAATCTGGTCAGACTCTTGCTACCAGCTATTTCCCAAATTCCTTCCTTTGGCTTTTTCTTTCCTTCAAGCTGAGAAAACCTGGTCAATACTGTCAAAGTTCCACAGTACTGAAAGATGACGTTACTGTATGCGTAGTTTCCCATTTGACTAATGCTTTTGAGCTTGCACTTCTTGAAAAAATGCTTACAGAGATGCTTGTACAAGCTTCTGGAACTCAGGATGCTCTGACACAAATTGTTTTGGGATTCGGGGTTTGTCTTGTCGTTTTGGAAAACATTTTTGAGGAGAACAAGATAGCTATTTGCCAACGAGGATGTGAACGTTTTGTGGTTGAATGCCACAGAGGCGTACTCCCACAACTCATTGTTATCAAGAAGATCTTCAAGCTGCTCGAAGTCGAAGTCATCTAGGTTCAATTTAACTGTTGTATCGTTGATGAGCACAATCAACTTGTTCAAAAGCATCAAACTCCCGTTTACGATTCTTTCGTACTTCGCCGTGGAATCAGATTCGTTGGTGCTCCTCTCATCAGAAAGTGTTTGTTTCGTTTCCATGGTCAAACTCACTATAATGTAGTGTAATATCTCTTTGACAAAAATCTGCCAGATCTTCTGGTCAACTTTGTATTTGTCATTCTCAAAACACGCCAACAAAAGCTTATATGCTTGAGAAGCCACAAGTTTATCACTATCATGAATGGACAGTAGCCATATAGGCAATGAAGACTTTAAGTACTTGGTGAAGATTTTGCCTCCAATATGTTGCAAGAATAGAGCTTGCACCTTTTGACTGGAAAGTCTCACACTTCTCGAATTGTCAAATGCCAACTTTGGATACATTTGAATCCATGATTCGAGCACAGATGTCGCCTTGAGATCCTCTTGGAAGTAGTCGTTGGAAAAAAGAGTGATAAGTTCGTCTAATGACTTTTCTTTTGTGGTGGCATCTTTCTTACTTAGTGACTTGAATATAATGGATATCGATGGGTTCTCAAGTTTATGCAAATCCGGAAGTCCCGCGAAGTAGTTCAAGGTGACTGCAAAACCATTCTGGCCGAGATCAGACTTCATTCTAGGCTGTTCACGAGAGTAGGCCAGCATTGTAAGATGCGGTGACTCAGTAATTTTTTGTGCAGAGTGCGATTTGCGGTTTATGAGCAGCATTGAAAAATGCAGAGAGAAGAGATGATGCCACAAATAGCGCTAACTAACGGTATATCACAAACACCAATTGATAGTATAAATGAGATAATACACAAATAATACCAATTGAGACGTGACACATCATATGGTATATACTGGAAAAATGCATTTGATAAATAAATATTCTACGCAGCCTTCTCAAGCTGCTCATAGAACTGCTTGACCTTATCTGAAGCAATAATCTTTTGTGGATCAAAGTTTCGAATCTCAAGATTATCCTTGTCCACTGCTCTGGAAAGGGCAACGTAGACCTGACCCTTCTCAAAGATACGTTTCAAATCCACACGAAGCCTTTGGATGGTTTGTCCCTGCGACTTGTGGATAGACATGGCCCATGAAAGCAACAAAGGCAATTGAGTTCTGGAGATCTCCCGTTTAGAGCCAGAACTAACATCAAGAGTAAACTCTTCCTTTGTGACATGTATCACCGTGTTGACATCGCCTTTAGACTTGAAGTTTACTACTGGGAACAACTGGTCCTTAGATTCTAAGGAAGCTTCCTTCAACAACAGAAGGAACTTAGACTGTCTTTCAGGAGGAATTGAGTCAAATGCCACTTGCTCAGCAGCCGTCATAGTGGCATCTCTGTTGCCTATTTTTGAGGTGATGATCAGGATCTCTTGGAGCAAAGCTGGATCATCGCAGTAAGAGAAGTCATAAATCACGTCAATTTGGTAAAAGAGCTTGGGGGTAGTAAAGAAAAGAACCTTACCAATGGACCCGTTCACAATTCCATCGTCTCTGTTCTTTAAGTACATCACCTGAGCACCTGGTTTGAGGGTCAACACTCTTTCGCACATCAAGTTCTCTAATAGCTTCACATCGAATTCGTTGGACGTACTGTCTTCAGCCGTGAACGTGACGCTCTGCGAGCCAAGACTCTGAAGTCTTCTCTCGTTCGCTCTCTTGACCTCTTCTCTGGTGGGAAACAACTCGGTGGGCTCTATTCCATCTTCGTACTTCTTAACTCTTTGCAAGTCCAAGAACTTGGACACAATCGGAGACTCAAGACTACCAAAACGAAGGGCATTGAGCATATCAATAAGCTCATTATCGCCTTTCTGTCTGAAAACCTGAGTCAAAAGAAGAGTTCTTTGAATTACTTGACTCCATGATTTACTCTCAAAACAGTATTGCGCTTGTCCGTTTTTACTAACAGGGGGCAACTGGAAAAAATCACCTGTACAGACCACCTGGATACCTCCGAATGGTACGTCACGGCCTCTGAGAAGACGGGCAAGGGCGTCCAATTTGGTGAATAATGCTCCATCGATCATCGAGATCTCATCAATAATCAACACTCTCAACCGCTGCCACTTCTTACGAAACGCTGGTTTCTTCTCAATGATGTTCTTCAAGGCCTCGGCCGACGCGGCCCCTATGCCAATCCCCAAGTACCGGTGGATGGTCTGTCCCCCAATATTACATGCAGCCAAACCCGTAGAAGCAGTAACTCCCACAACTTCACTGCCGTACTTCGAGTAGAGTCGTCTCACCAAGTCTCTCAACACAACTGACTTACCCGTACCAGCACTACCGGTGTAGAAAACGTTCTTTTTGTTATCGACAATCTGAGTTATTACATTCAACTGTTCTTTGCTTAAATCCACCGAAGAAGTGCCAGAAGAACGCGACAAAGGCCGTTGGGGCGCCTTAGGCTTCATGAGACGTGGCGCCTTGATCGACTCTCTCCCAAGCTCTTGCATAATCCCTGTTAGGTTTCTCTTTTTCGGGTATGAAGATATATACTCAATTTCTACTCCGGCAGTAGATTGAGAAAGCTGTTTTTCAGGTAGAACCTTGGTTCGAAAGTTGTTGATCTCCGGCGAGTCGAAAGATGTATCTGAACTCTGAATATCTTCGAATCCATCATTCTGTGACGCTCTGGAAAGAATTGAGTCTGACCGCTTGAGGCCTAGCTTCTTCTCTGGCGTGGTGAGGGAAGAATAGTTGGCGATCTGGGAATTGGAGGCCAATTTCTGGGGTTTTTTGCCGGGTGCCGCAAAAAAGTTGGATATCAGCGACTGTCGCTTGGCCACCGGCCCATTCTTGTTGGTTTGCAAAGACATCTCTGTAGTTACAAGGTGAAATGGGTGGTGTAAACAAGAAGAACGCGCGGCAGAATCGAGTCGCGCCAGACAGACGAATGCGCGACATTGCGGCTCCCGCGCGGTGTCGCAGTCTACACATACATCACTTAAACCACAATTACACCTCACAATTCCCACCACTTTGCCATGAACATAGGCCCCCACGGCCCCGACGCCCCACCACCGTGGGAGTCTCCACCGCAACCGGCCCAGAATCCGGTTTTCAAAACTCCCACCAAACGTCCCAGTGTGTTCACAAAGGGAATCAAGAAGCTCCAGAAATCATCTTCTATCCTCAACCTAAATAATACCTTCCCCCTTAGCGAGAACATCCTCAAGGCGCCCTCCAGTCCACGATCGCCCCAGCGCCACTTCCACCAGCCGGAAGCCAGCTCGTTCCAGGCGATTGGCTACTCGTCTGTTAAATCTAGCACCAAGGAACCCATACATGTAATGCATTTGCCTGCCAAACAACGACACCCGCCAGAGGCCCCGGTGCCGTCGCCACGCAAAGTTCTGTCATCGTCTCAGAGTCTGGATGGAGCGCCTCGCCCCACCTACCAGAACGGGGGTGAGTACTATCGTACCAACTCGGGTGCTAGTAGCAGCACTGCCAGTTTCGCCTCGCTCGACCCCAAATCCCGCTCTGCTAGCTACAGCGGCGATACTCATACACAACAGTTCATTGGCGTTGGATACGGCGTTGTGGACGAATTCACTCCGCCCAAAATTGTAAATAGAACGGGTCCGCCAACATCCAAGCGACCAGAACGGCCCCCAGCGACCTTCACCTCCCACCAGAACGCCTCCAAGTCGTCGGTCCAGTCGATGGACTCGTTCACAGGGAAACAGATGCCGTCAGTTCCTCGGGCTCTGCTGCCGTTTTCCCCTGAAGCACCTTTAATTAATGCCAAAATACGCCTGAAACCATCGTCAGTGGGTCTGGCTCAACAAAGCCAATTGCTTCAGTCATTCTCGGCCGTGGTCTCAAATATGGGTCAGACCCCAGATCTGGTGGTGGTGGACCTACTATTTGAACGGTTGCTTAGTATACGAGCATTTTCTGATAAAGCTGTGCAAAAACTAAGAGAACAACCAACAAAGAGAAAATGGGAGTTGCTCCTCCGAGAAAACGAAACCAACGATCAGTTCGACCTCAGATCCATGCTCAGGCAAACGGTAGTACGTTCCCACAACGAGGATTCGCTTTCTCTTGGAGAAACTACCACCAGAACCCTCACTAATAGTGACGGAGAATCTGGTCCGAGTATTCTTTCGTCCAATTTGTTCCGGAAAGGGAAGCCCAAAGAAGGATCCCCCGAATGGTATGTGCACAAGGTATTTAGTGACAAGTTGAGCGTCAAGGACTATAGGAAACTAGAGAAGAAGCTCGCTACGTCCGACAAGTACCATAATTCTTTGCAGTGGACAAGTCAATTTGTGGCTTCCCAGGGAGAAGCGGCATTATCGGTGATTCTCTCTCGAATCAACAAGAAGAGCATCAAGTCCAATGAGGAATTTGATAAAGAGTTCCATATCATCAAGTGTCTTAAGGCCATTCTTGTTCAGCTGGGATATGAGGATTCTGACAGCGATGCAAATTCCTTCATATACAGTGGGTATGCTAACAAGCTCCATATCATCAAGTCCATCACCTTCTCATTAACGTCTCCAAGACTTGCCACCAGGGTGTTGGTGACCGAAGTGCTTATCTTCCTTGCCTATAATCGTGACTCGGAGTCTTTATCGTTAATACTTGAAAGTATGACTGCTCTACAGGATAACCTAGGTGACTATGTTAAGTTCCAGCCGTGGTTGGGATCATTCGAGTCTTTTCTCGACAAGTACTTTGTTGGTGACCATTCCTCTAAAGCAGCTTATCACGCAAGTATCAAGAACTACTCTTTGACTACGTTGTTACTCATGAATGCTATGGTCCAACAGGCAGATCTGATCAAACTCAGAATAAGCATCAGAAGAGATCTCGCAGACTCCAGACTAGGTAAGATTATCGACAAGTTAGCCGTTATAAGCGATGCTCGAATCAATGAGGAAATTGAACGATATGAGTCTTATGCTGAAGAAGACTATAATACCTTCCTCGGGATCGGAGCTGACAGTTCCCAAAGCATTGTTTCCTATGATTTCGAGGATCAGGATTTGGATGGAGTTTTCCAGCAGTTGAAACAACAGTATCTTTCTCTGGATCTTTCCAGTGAAATTGAGCTTAAGTCAATACTCAGCCAGTTGGTTACATTGAAGAATACGGGACGGCCTCCTGAGGACACGCATAGGCTATTGAAACTAGTGGAAGCTACGATCCAGAAAATTTACATTGAAAGCTCCAGTGCAGATACTCCAACTGACCTTGTCGAAACTTCAATCAAAAGAACTCTTGAACAAGCTGCCAATAATGAGATGATGACCGAGAAACTAATGAAGGAGATTGTTGAGTTACGGGAGGAAAATAGAAGATTACGCCAAGATGATGTTGATGCTAACTTGGAAACTTTAAGAGGTGAAACCCTTCTCAGTGCCGATATCATTGCTCGCCAGGAGAGACAGATTGCAGTTTTGATACAGGAGGTTCTGGAGTTTCGGGACAAAGAAAACCAAAGGAAACAGCTCGAGTTTCAAACGGTTGCCCCTATTAAATCCACTTTCTTACACCCTAAGGGTAAGAATTTGATGATCGATGAATTGGAATCAAAGATCGGTAAGAAGTCCCCAACTGGATCACATGCTGCTAGCAATGATTCCATAAGTACTCTGTCTCAGGAGAGTGGGTTTACGCGTTCAAGAGAGGGCACCACTTCGGGTACGGTTTCAAACCCTATTTATGTCCCAGAAGCATCCAGTAATCAAGCGAATTCAAAGCGGACTCAGGGAATACTCAAGAACACCGGTGTTTTTGGTCGATTAAAAGAACATTCGGATCACAGCAGCCGCCTTTATCGTCCTCCTACACCACCTCCCTTGTTTGGTCCCAGAAAAACTACCAATTTGAATCTGGAAGATGATGATTCAGAGTTTACTTTTGAAGACTACAGAAGTGTTAATAGACATGAAGGGGTTGGTGGACAGCACAGTGAACCCATTACTCCTCCTATCCCACTGTATTTGAAAGCATCAGGAAGTACGACATCTTCGCCTCGTGGTTCTGCGGTACTGCTCGTGTCATCATCCTCAGTTAAACAACATGCTCCACATTCAGAAAGCACTAATGATTCTCCACCAGCGGAGAAATCATCGGTGTCTACCGTTCCCATGAGGCTGGCCGAAGGTTTGATACCACCACCCCCACCACCTCCACCGCTCCCACCATCGTTCGCTCAGGCACCTGTACCTGCACCACCACCACCACCACCACCCCCACTCCCACCATCTTTTACTAGTGCCGTTCCACCACCACCACCTCCTCCTCCTCCACTTCCTTCATTTGCCAGTGGAATTCCGCCTCCTCCACCACTTCCACCTGTTTTAGGAGGAACTGAGTCACCAACGATACCTGCACCACCCCCTCCAATGCCAACTTTCTTAAATAATCCAATAAGCAGAGCTGGGACTCCACCTCCACCACCTCCACTTCCAGCTGGATCAATTCTTGCTTCGCCAGCTTCCGAAGACAACACTCCTTTGAGATCAAGAATCCCTGCAGATGTGTCACAGCTGATGGAACCGGAGAATTCACCTAACCCGAAGAGTCTCATTCCATCATTAAAACCTAAAAACAAACTCAAGCAGATGCACTGGGACAAAATTGATGACATTGATAACACATTCTGGGGAGATATCGAGCACGAAAAGCTTTCGGGGCAATTGAAAGAGAGGGGGATTTTGGAGGAAGTGGAACGTCACTTTGCAGTCAAATCCACTCAGATAAAGTTAAGGAAGGATTTACTGGGAGGCAAAACGAGTACCGATCAACCGAAGAAGATTTCTCTTCTCACAAGAGATCTTGCCCAGCAGTTTGGAATTAATCTTCATATGTTTGCGGCTGCTCCTGTTGAAGACTTGATCATGAAGGTTCTACACTGTGACAAAGATATTCTTGACAACGTTACTGTATTGGAATTCTTTAATTCCGAATTGTTGTCCGAATTCAATGAAACCACGATCCGAAACTTCAAGCCATATTCCTGGGAAGTGTCTGATCCAGAATCCAAACCCAAGAAAGATCCAGCTGAACTTGAAAGGCCAGATAGGGTCTACCTTGAGTTATGTTTCAATTTGAGGCACTATTGGAAGTCAAGATCTCGTGCACTCTTGTTGATGCACTCGTACGGCAGAGACTACATGGATTTGTTGAAGAAGCTTCGTATGGTCGATGAAGCCAATGCAAGCATCAGAAACTCTGACAGTTTGAGGCATGTGTTGGGAATCATCAGATCCGTGGGGAACTTCATGAATGATGATTCCAAACAAGCTTTAGGGTTCAAAATCGGAACTTTACAACGATTGAAGTTCATGAAAGATGACACCAACGCTATGCACTTTCTTCATTATGTCGAAAGAATCATTCGTAATACGTTTCCAGAGTATGGGTCATTTGTTGATGAGTTGAGTGTGCTTCTCCATGTTCAGAATTTATCGATTGAGCAAATCGAAACTGAAAGCCAGGAATTTGACCGGCAAATCAACGGAGTAGCCGAGTCCATCCTGAAAGGAAATCTCAGCGATCCAGAATGCTTACATCCAGAGGATTACGTGTTGAAGAAAGTGGCGTCCCCACTTGAAAGTGCTAAGATCAAGAACTCACTTCTTCAGTCTCATGTCAAGACAACCATGGAGGAGTACAATTCTCTAATGACATATTTTGGAGAGAATGTCAAGGATAGTTTCAGTCGCAACACCTTTTACGAGAAGATTCTGATGTTCGTGAGCGAATTCAAGAAAGCCCATATAGAAAATGTCCAGAAAGAAGAAGAACAGTACGCAGCCGACAACCGGAAACGGCTTGTTGAAGCAAACAGCAGGAAAGTATCTGAACGGGATACCAGCGGCAGCATGAACAACAGCGAGAGCGAAAGTACCCAGGATGACGAGGATGCGGACGAACTGCACGGTACCATCATGGATACCCTCCTTGAGAAATTAAGATCGAGTGCTGCTAAATCTTCAGATACCAAGTCATCAGAAGACACCGGATCAGCCACCAGCCGAGATAAACGAGTGGACAGAAGAAGGAAGGCGCTCTCGTTTTACTCATCACCGTCGGTAGACCAATTGGAGGATAACAGCAAGAACGGATCTGAGCTTTCATTCAATGACTATGAAAGTGTGAATGATTTGAAGAGAAGATTAACTCGAAGAAGAAAGGATGGAGTTGGGGGAAATCACAGCTCCTCGTCGGTGAACAGTGATACCACACTTTTAAGAACACAAGCTATGCTTAGCCGGTTAAGACAGGAAGAGTTAAAGAGTGGTGAGTTATCGGTGTCGTCAGACTAAACACAGCCCTATTATAGATTAATAAACGAGAAATGATTTATTTTGCAGCCGTAGGAGGACGAGTCAGAATTGAGTCAAAATTGACTCTTCCCTGACAGCCGCACGCCCTGTCACCGCTACCACCACCAGAGTCACATGCCGATTCGCTCCCGAGTCACACCCGAGTCACGGGCCCTCTGACTCTGGTGCCGGGTGCCCTTTATCAGTAATTTAACGTCTGATTCCAAATCAGGATCCTGTTTTATACCTACCAACACTCACACATATCGAATCACCTCCAGAAACCCATTTTTAAACTTCCAACCATTGATGGCTACAACCCTGGTACCTCCGGACCCCTCGGCCAATCATCGTCTCCCGTTCGGTGACTCACCTCCGGCGAAAATTTTTCCAACCACTGTGGAAACTCGCCCAGCCGACCTCCTGCACACGCGCCCTCATCTCTAAAATATATTTTCAGTTACTCAACCTAGTATATAATCTAGTGAATCTTCTTCAAAACACAAACACCAGAACCAAGATGCTTAGGACCAGAACCAGGGCCTCGCACGCCGCGCTCCGGCTCGCCCGCCCCACCGCGGCTAGAGCCTTCCACCCTTCTCCCGTGGTACTCGATGCTTCCATCATCTCCGGCCTCAAGCTCGCCAAGTCCATCAGAAGTAACATCGCCAATAAGGTGTTGGCCTATAACCACGACAAGTTTGGTACCACCAACGCCACCTTTGACACCATCAGATTCAAACCCAACTTGACGATTATCCAAGTCGGCTCTAGACCCGACTCGTCGGCCTATGTGAACTCCAAACTCAAGGCCGCCAAATCGTCCAACATCAACTCCCGTCTTCTCAAGTTCGACGAGCACATCACCGAAGAGCAGTTGCTTGAAGAGGTCCAGAACATCAACAACGACCCCAAAGTTCACGGATTGCTCATCCAGTTGCCGCTTCCTCCTCACATCAATGAAACGTTGGTGACCAATGCGGTGCTGACGGACAAAGATGTGGATGGTTTTGGGCGTTTCAACGTAGGAGAGTTGGCCAAGCGTGGTGGCCGCCCGCTATTCAAGCCGTGTACGCCCAGCGGGGTCATCGAGTTAATCAGAACCACCGGCGTGGACATGCGTGGAAAAAACGCAGTGGTGCTTGGTCGCTCTGATATCGTGGGAAATCCAGTGGCTGCGATGTTGAAAAATGAAGACTGTACTGTCACCATCTGCCACAGACACACGAAGGACTTGCCGCAGTTGTTGGGCCGTGCCGATATTGTGGTGGCGGCCATTGGTATGCCTGAATATGTAAAAGGTGAATGGTTGAAGGAAGATGCCATTGTGGTTGATGTTGGCATAAACTACAAGGCCGACGCGGCTGCAAAAAATGGCAGAAAGTTGGTGGGAGACGTTGATTTCTCACTGGCGGTGCAGAAGGTTCAGTACTTGACTCCAGTACCGGGTGGAGTTGGCCCCATGACGGTGGCCATGTTGTGTTCCAACGTATTTGATGCTGCAATGTTACAGGAACAAAAGAACCACCAGCACGCATTCAAGCCTTTGCACTTGGCCCTCCAAGACCCAGTGCCTTCCGATATTGCTATTTCTAGAGCCCAGCAGCCCAAGAAAATCACCAAAATCGCCCAGGAATTGGGGCTCTTGGAAAACGAGTTGGAACCTTATGGCCATTATAAGGCCAAGGTGGATCCAAAAATGGTGATAAGCCGTCTTGATGACTTTGCAGAGGGTTCCATCCAAGAAAAGGGGAACTACGTGTTGGTGGCCGGGATCACCCCTACTCCATTGGGTGAAGGTAAGAGTACCACCACCATGGGATTGACCCAAGCTTTGGGTGCACATTTGGGTTACAACTCCATTGCCAATGTCAGACAACCTAGTATGGGACCCACTTTTGGTGTCAAGGGTGGTGCTGCTGGTGGAGGTTACTCCCAGGTGATTCCTATGGACGAATTCAACATGCACTTGACAGGTGACATCCATGCCATATCTGCTGCTCAGAACTTGCTTTGTGCAGCCGTCGACACAAGAATGTTCCACGAATACACGTCCAAGTCCATCAAAGGATTCTACAAGAGATTAGTACCTGTGAAGAAGGGCTCCAGAACTTTTACTCCTTCGATGATCGCAAGACTCCAGAAATTAGGAATTCACAAAACCAATCCTGATGAGTTGACGGATGTGGAAATCACAAAGTTCGCCAAATTGGACATTGACCCCGAATCTATTTCTATCAAGAGAGTCGTCGACTGTAACGACAGATTTGTGAGAGAAATCACCATTGGTGAAGGAAAGAATGAAGCTTCCAAGTTTCCTCCTCGTAAATCGGGTATGGACATCACCGTTGCTTCTGAATTGATGGCTATTTTGGCTTTGTCTACCTCCTTAAAGGATATGAGACAAAGAATCGGAAAAATCGTGGTTGGTACCCAAAGAGAAACCGGTGAAGTCATTACCTGTGAAGATATTGGAGCTGCCGGTGCTTTAACGGCATTGCTTAAAGATGCCATCAAGCCCAACTTGATGCAAACTTTGGAGGGAACCCCGGTGTTTGTGCATGCTGGTCCTTTTGCCAACATCTCCATTGGCGCTTCTTCTGTGATCGCCGACCGGTTGGCCTTGAAGTTGACTTCTCCTTCCAACCCTACCAACAATGGTGAAAAAGGATTTGTTGTAACTGAAGCCGGGTTCGACTTCACTATGGGTGGTGAAAGATTTTTCAACATCAAGTGCAGAGCCTCTGGTTACAAGCCGGATGCCGTAGTTTTGGTGGCTACGTCTAGAGCATTAAAGTTGCACGGAGGTGCTCCAGACGTTAAACCAGGACAATCTTTACCTGCTGAATACTTGACAGAAAACCTTGAATTCTTGCAAAAAGGATGTGCCAACTTGGCCAAACAAATTCAAAACGTCAAGCAGTATAACGTTCCGGTTGTGGTGGCCATCAACCAGTTTGAAACCGACACTGCTGCTGAGTTAGAACTCATCAAGGTTGAAGCCAAAAAGGCCGGAGCCGATTTCGCAGCCGTTACTAACCACTGGGCTAAAGGTGGTGAAGGAGCTTTGGAATTGGCCAAGGCGGTTACCGAGGCTGTAGAAATACCAAAGTCTACTGAGCAAAGCTTTCTTTACGATGTTAACTCGTCTGTGGAAGACAAGATTTTGACAATTGCTCAAAAGATGTATGGGGCTGCCAACATTGAATTATCCCCATTGGCTAGGAAACAAGTGGAAACCTACACCCAACAAGGATACGATAAGTTGCCTATTTGTATTGCCAAGACCCAGTATTCGTTGTCTCATGATCCATCTTTGAAAGGAGTTCCAACTGGTTTCACCATTCCAATCAGAGAAGTCAGATGTTCTGCTGGTGCTGGTTACTTGTATGCTTTAGCAGCTGAAATCACGACAATTCCAGGTTTACCAACTCACGCTGGGTTTATGAATGTGGAAGTCAATGAAGACGGACAAATAGATGGATTGTTTTAGTCCATCTTGTAGAATAGAATAGAAATGCATAACAATAATATCTACAGTAGAATACTACATTCTCTAATGCACACTATTATATTATGATGCTACAAACTATGATACAGATATGTCAGCGGCTGGCGATGGTAGCTACCTGCGCTATGATTTCATTAGCTGGCAATATTACTTGGGGCTCTATTCGTAACAGGAACTTGAGATGCATTGCTTGAACTGGTTTGTGAGGTGGGGACATTGGAAGCTTTCCCGGTAGATTCACCATTGGCAGAGGCGAGTTGAGCTCTTTGTTGTTGCAACTGACGAGCATTGTTTCTCATTTGTTGCTGTTGAAGAGCAGCTCTCATTCTCACTTGCTGAATGTATGCCTGCTGTCTTTGATGCACGGATTCCCTCAACAATTCATATGATTTAGATAACAACATAGAACCGAATCTAATTGACTGAGTCTCATCGCTGATGCTATTCAATTTTGAAGGATCTAAACTGAAAGGAGAATCAACGTTTGTCTCATATTCCTTGGACGATTCATTATCAAACAACCAGTGCGACTTCCATCTCTTGATAGAATCATCAGTGGAACTGTACACATTGACGACATTCTTGTTTTCTGTCAAGGATGATACATGGGAGCTGGTATCTTCATCAGTTTCAGATTTGTCTTCGTTAGCCTCGTCATTTTGACTTGAAAGGTTCACAAATTCATCTATAGGGTCATATTCCTTTGCGGGGTGGACAATTCTGCGGTCAATAAAGTTTCTGTTGAAGCGTCCCACTCTTCTTCTTAATCTGAATACAGGGTCAGACACATTGGTTTCATTGGTTTCTTCCTCAACTTCAGCATTACCGTACCCATTTGTGTAAGAATTGAAGCTCCGCAGTTCTATATTTTGCAACAAAGTTGCAATATAACTCTTTTGAGAAGAACTAGAATATCCAGAAAGCAAACTTTGCAAATGAGAAAAAGGCTTTAAGGGAATCAATTCACCACTCTTCCCATCAAAGGTCTTGGAACCAGGTAATGGCTTATTTCCATCCTCCAAGATATGTTTCAATTTGTTACTGAGTGAGTTGGATGTATTCATTTGGTGGAAGTCAGCTGACGCAATTGAAGAATAGGGAATATGCTTCAACTCTTTTGACGAAATCTTTTTGTTAGTGGATATATTGAAATAAGGCTGGAAAGGATCATCAGTAAAGTTGACATAACCTTTATCTTGTTCTTTCCGCTTGCGTAACTTATCCAAGACGGCCTTCTTGATGGTTTCGTTCTTCTCCTTCAAAACCAAGGAAACAGTCACCAAGTCCAAATCAGGAATCTTAGAAGGTGGTAACTTGACATAAGGTTGGGTTGAAGAAGAAGTGCCGTCTGGTCTGAGGTTACCATTGATGGCACTGATATTAACATCTGCCATTCTTGGATCTCTACCATATTTCTTCTCGCGTTTGATTTTGGCGAGTTCCCTTTCTCTTTCTCTTCCTCTTTCTTCTTCTTCCTCTTGTTTGACCCTTTGAATCTTCTTCTTCTTGTGAGGGTAAAATAAGTAATCATCATCGACACTGATATCAGCAGCTCTTTTGGCAGCCTTTGCTTCACATCTTAATTTGAATACTTTAGCTTCCAGTCTAAAATACTCCAACTTTAAAATCTCCCTCTGACTGACATTGAACATGATATCACGGGCCCTATGTAAAGATTTTTGTAATAACCGGATTTTTTCAATCCCAATGGTATCGGCTCTTCTGGTTTTACGGGCTTGTCTGAATTCTCTCCTTCTAAAACAAATGTATGGGTCATTATCATTGTCCTTTTCGTTAGCATTGGGGTCTTCATATTTCAAAGATGGAGTGATGGATTTGCCATGTCGTTCGATTTTTCGTTGCTTCCAGTGGTTGTAAATCGTCTCGCCAAAAAGTGTTAACAATTTAGTGATGGCCCTGGGCGTATTCTTCTTATCATCACTTTTAGGATTCTTGTCAAAGGACGTAATAAAAGGCTCAAAGTTCAACTCTTTCAGAAGTCTTTCCTTAAGGGTGTTTGAAGAAATATACTTCAAATCAGTTCCCATTTGAACGTATGGATTACCTTTGCTCGAAGATTTCACCTCTTCTATAATGTATGAGCTTAGTTCTTTATAAGGTAAAATCTTTGAGGGATCCATGGATAAGTAAGGTTGCTTCTCTTCTATAAATTTTTCAAATTTGCTGATGACCATTTCGAACTCCAACTCCGAAATCTTTGTATCTTTGGCATTAATCTTTTTCTGTAGAAACTCTTCATCTTCTTCATCCATATTATAATCAACACCAATTGTATCTTCCACCTGTGCACTGTACTTAATATAGATGTCGGGTTCGACAAAGTCGTGGTCATTGTAGTACTTGTGGGCGTCCAGCCATATTCTGGAGGCATCCGGGGTGGGAATATATACATCTTTCTTGGAATCGTCGTTCTTGGAACTCAATAACGCTCGTTGGGCCGCATTAATAACTTGCTGAAGATGGACTTCGTCTTCTTCGTTCTTATCCACACCGGTCTCGATTGAATTAATATCTCGTTGCTGACCCGAAGCACCCGAATTGTTCAAATGATGGATCTGACTGGGTTCAAGTTCATTGGCAACGTCCTGAGCTGGTAAATCCTTCAGCTTGAAAATCACCAACGGTTGTTTGACGGAAATCTTCCGCTGACGAAACCTGGCCCCTGACGCCGACAGACTCTTGCTGTTGCTATTCTTTGATTGGGGTACTGCCATATTAACGATGGATTAAATGATGCATCAATCAGCGTGGGCGTTGATTATGGGTGTCTGGGTGCGACTTGTTTATTTTCCGCCAATGTCGGTTGTCGACGACGAAAAAAACTTCAAATAGGGAGGCAAAGGGATTAAGTTAAAATCAATTAATCAATCAGCTATTTGCGAGGATGGAGAGCTGGCAACTGGGAGATGGGTTATATTGCACGTGTACACTTGCAAAGCTTATTTCGTGTCAAAACCTAGGTCACTTGTGTACCTTAAAAACGTTGTTGTTACCTGTGAATGTGAGGTGTGTCGTTTAGGGGCGGGAAAAAAATTTCTGGTTTGTGCCGGGGCCTTGCGACACAAACCCCAAGGGATGGTGCGCGCACGCCATGGGCCCTTGAGACGGGACCACCCAGGTGGGAGGTGAATGGATGGGACCCAAGATGGGAGTGAGCATGGCAAGGGGCCAGGAAGGGTAGGTGGGATCACGTAAGTGGAGCTAGGGGGCCTGGATCTCGGTGGCAGTGCTGGCGGCACCGGTCAGAAGTTTCTGGAGGTGGCCATCGATTTAGCTCCAATGCCATTCATACAGATGTAGGCCCGGCCATTACCCGCTAGACCACACGGCCCGGTTGGCTGCACCCCTTGTTTTACTCCAGGACAACTGTGAATGCGCACAGCGCGTTCTGTGTATGGTTCTCCCCATCACCTTTCTGGCAACTGCTCACTCTTGGAAACAATCGTGAGGAAAATGAGATGAGTCGCGAGGATTTCTGATGTCGTGACAGGTGATGTCGCGGGAACGACACGGCCCCAGTCCTGTCCACTCCGCGCCTAGCGAACATAGAAAATGGGGAAACAGAACAATTATACCTCTAAGTCCACTATGACGCTGACGGCCATCCAAACAGAAGAGCTCCCGCCGCTTGCTTCGTTCCTCTCGTCGGTGGCCCCGGGCATCAACGAGCTCCACGATAACATTCACTTTACCCACGACTTCTCCAGCCCCAAAATCCCCCAGGCATTCTCATGGCCACTATCTTCTTCCAACTCCATCCAAACCGCCCAATTGACCCCCACGTACCTCAACGTGTCTCGCCCCGTGCTCAACCCGGGCCCTGGCCTCTTTGAATCCAACACCTACGTGTCGTTGCCGTTCCACATCACTAATTTGTTCAACCAAATTATCGACACCAAGGCGAATAATACTCTTGATGGAGGAATGCAAATAGGCGCCAACGTCGGGTCCATGATGCCCGACCCGTTTCACCTCGTGCACTTGAATCCCGGGTGCCTCACAGAGATCATCGAGCTTAACAATAATCCCCGGTACACAAACCCATTTGTCGATTCTAACCGCCTGGACTCGAAGAACCCGTTCACCAAATTGACGTCCAACTTCAATAAGCTCTTGAAGATCGCGGGTCCCGGCCACGAGGTGGCGGATTCCAACTCGCTCTTCTCTGTGTTCGACTCGTTTACCGAATTGGTTCCCGAATTCTCCAACAAAAACCAGTTGGTGTTCAACAAGTTGCTTGCGTTCAACGAACTGTCGTACTACAACGAGATCAGCTCCGTCAACACCAGCCGGTTGTTGATTTCTGCAAATGTCAACGTGGTAAGCATCATGGCCTTGGACCAAGACTACAACTACTTACACACCCAGTCGGTGACGTCCAGTAAGCCCTACACCTCGTTGCTTGAGAAGGCGGATCAGGAACCAAAACTGTACCAAAAAGTGATTGAAACCCCTCTCTTGCGATTCAGTCTTAAGAACCACCTTGTGGTCACGTGCATGAAGCTGTTTAACTTCAATAACACCCCCTTGCTGGTGTTGGGCCTCAATTCAGGAGAGATATTGGTGATCAATTTGAAGACCCTCACCTATAAGCTCCTTTTGAGCAGCCAAAGAATGGACTCCAAGTTCAACTCCAGCATAAAATACTCGTCCAACTTGACCAACACGCCAGTAACGTGTTTGGATATCCTCCACCACCCAGTCTACCATTGTGTGTTTGTGGTAGGAACCTCCAGCGGTGAGGTGCTTTTCGTCAACCCATTTTCGAGTGACATTGCCAAATACACCAAGACTATAGTGGATAAGGACCAGTTTGTGACTTACTTTAAGAAGTTTGATTTGAGTCCCTTCAGCCCCAAATACGATGCTTCTGAGATCATTGGGCATATCAAGTTGAGCTACAAACCTATGACAAGTATAAGCTCCACCACATCGTTTTTGAACAGCTACTCGGTCTCTTCACATTTGAACCCCATGCTCTTGGCGGTCGGGGCCGACGATGGACTCGTGCGGTTGATTTCATTGACATCTACATCGGCCCAGAACTACGGGTCCAATTCGAAGTCGGTAGTGCTGGACTTGATTTCTAACTATTTTCACTATGGAATTCGATCCGTGACGTTTTCACCCGACTTTAAGTTTTTGGCAGTAGCAGGCAACGGCGATTTGATCGAATTATTCAGACTTGGCTACTATAACGTCAACTCCTTGGTCCACAAAAACCACTCTCAAGGACTAACTTCTGGAGGAAGGAGATCAAGAAGTACCACTGTGAATAGTGCATCGTCTGCGTCCATTAATCCTTCCAACAGTTTGAGCTTGTTCCTATCGCCAACAGTGACGTCCCCGTCGGTTTCTCTTGATGTCAACTCAGCCAATCCTCCAGAAGACTCAAGCTTCTGTGTGCCTGCTGTCAAGGATATCCGGTTAATGTGCCGATTACGAGGCCATGCCAATACCATTTCCCGGGTGCAGTTTATACGTGAAGAACAGGTGTTTGAGTCTGAACTCGAAGACAAAAAGCCCAGCAGTTCGCTCTATCGGTTGTTAAGCATAGGAAATGATGGGAAGGTGCTATTCTGGGAATTCGACTATAAGGCTTTACCAAAGGTTAAGCGGCCTGTGCTGTCAACTAAATCCAAAAAGCCCTCTTCGGCACAAGCTGCTACACATCTGCCTCTGTTTGTGATGCTGCTGGCACCTCTGAAGCGTAATCCCAAGATGAAGTCAGGAAAAACGGACACCTCCTTGGGGTTACCGTTATCCAACCTAAGCTCTCCAAGTGGCAGCCACAATAACATGAACAGTATCTTGACACAGGCCGATGGCAGTCAAGCTCCTCCCTCTCATCTTGCATCACAAGTGAACCTCGAAGAAGTTATGTACGATCAGATAAAGGGGATCTTGGGCCTCTACGGCTCTCTTTATGAAATCAGGTTTAAAAAACACTACACAAGCCTAATAGGAAAGACTGACGATTCCAGGTTATCTCACTTTCTGAGTATCGTTCATCCTATTGTGGATGATAAGTTGGTACCTTGTATTGAAACCCCTGTCTCCTCAGTTGATATGAGCTACTGGTTCTCCAATGGCCAAATTTCGGGGGTTTGGGTGGATGGAAGGTACTTTTGGTGCTTCGGAAGAAATGGTGATCTTATCACATACCAAATCCTGGGACTTGAAGAAAACAACCGTCCTTTCAAATAGATATGATTTAATAAAACTCTTAGCAGGCGATGTAGAGAGATGTCCTGGGAGAAATACAAAATGCACAAGTGTTGTGTCTATAAATGGCAGTATATAATTTTAAGGAGATAACATTTGTGAAAATCACAACAAAGATATAAATAGGCTGAGTATTAAATAGTTCAGGAAAAATATAGCAGAAGGAATCAGAGTGCTTAAATGAGGTATCCCACTAGGGTAGTGAAGTATCCATACACGGTCTGGTACCCAAATATTACTATTTTGATGGTGCAATATTCACTTACTAAAAAGCGGAAAAGAACATACCACCAAATATCAATTAGAACCTTTTTTTCCTATAATATTAATCCTCAGCTGTACTACTAAATGCTATTAAAGATGTTCCCGTCCATTCCAAAACCGAGCTCCTCCTCGAGTCGGAATAAATCTTCATTATTATCGAGTTCCCCCAAATTGTCCAATTGTTCGTCTCGAGAGAAAGTAAATTCGTCCAACTCTTGGGGCTTGGGAATCAGCTCGTAGTATTGAAGGTTCTGTGCATCGAGGGAGTTTGTATCCACCTCAGCACTTACATTATGCGAATGAGAAGGGTTAGGCATAGTAGGGGTAGCTAAATCCATGCCTTCCATTTGTTGCTGTTGATGTTGTTTCAACTGCTCCTCATATCTCTTCTGTAACTGCATCTGTAGTTGAATTTGTTGCTGTTCCTGGATGGGTTTCCGTACAAACTCTCTGAACGACCGGACTTCGTCAATGATTATTTGCTTCATGGTGGGGAGGTCATCGATGGTTTCAAAGCTCTTGAAGTCAAACTTAATTTGACATTCAGGCTCGTCCTGTGGATCATGCCAAACCTGAAAGTATGGATGTTTCAAAGCTTCGTCGACGGTGATTCTCTCGTACGGGTCTAGCGTTAACATGTGTTCCAATAAGTCCAACGCAAGGGGGTTGGCGGTGGGGAATAGCTCTGAATATTCCACTTTTCGAGTATAAGGTAACGAACGAACGTAGTTCTGGGCTCTAACAGAGCCGATCTTGGTCAATGTCAGTTCTTTAGGGGTTCCCAAAATGAGCAAGATCTGGTTCAATTGGTCGACGTAATCCTTGCCTCTGAAGATGGGTTTTCCTCCCAATAATTCCGCTAAAATACATCCTACCGACCAGATATCGATGGCTTTTGTGTAGTTGGTGAAACTCAACATGATTTCGGGGGCTCTGTACCATCTGGTGGCGACGTATTCGGTCATGAAACCAGCATTCTGTTCGGGATCTTCAGAGAACCCTCTGGCCAAGCCAAAATCACAAATCTTTAATTCACAGTCGGCATTGACCAAAAGGTTTCCTGGCTTCAAGTCACGGTGTAACACATCGGCAGAGTGGATGTACTTCAATCCGCATAACACCTGGTAGATAAAAGACTGGTAGTGTTGATCTGTTAATGGTTGGCCTGAGCGTATGATCTGGTGCATATCACATTCCATCAATTCTTCGTAGAGGTACACCTCGTTGAATTCACCCGTCAACGGGTTAGGAATGATATCCAAGTCATAGAGACAGGTGATGTTCTTATGGCCCCTGAAAAATTGTAAAAGCTTCAATTCCCTCAAGGATCGTTTACACAAGATCTTCTTACTGAAGATGTTTGTGATTTTTTTGATGGCCACAAAGCTTCCTTCTGTGTCATTGGCAGAGCCATCGTCGTACTTGGCCGAGCACACTATTCCATAGGCGCCATGGCCGAGTTCCTTGACGATTTTAAATCTCTGATCAATGATAAACTCCTGGTTGAATACCTTATTGACGGTTCTTCCTGCGTGTGATAGGTCCGACATAGAATGGGAGTGGATAAAACGACAATACTGGCGCTAGGTATACGATCCTAGAGACTATCTGATGGTTTAAAACAAAGATATACCCCAATAAGTGCCTGTTTAAACTAAGCAATTTGGTGGGTGTGAAGATGAGTGAGATTTTTATTCCAAACTTTTTGGTCTGAAGGCCGCGTCTGTTGTTAAGGTATCTCTCAGTCGGATGTTAAATTAGACTTAATTATAAGGGTAACCTACAACTGAATGGTAATTGGCAAAGTATATAACCGAATGAAGCTATGGGCCCGGCGACCATCACAAAGGACCAAGCTATAAAAAGAACCACCCAAAGCCGTATGGTGTTTTGCATATCAGTTCTATTTTTATCTCAATAAAGTGCTATTGGTTTGATTTGTAATGATTTCACGTAGGCGGAACTGTGCAGCGTTGAGGTCCACTTTTTTATCCGGGCCTTAGGCCCGATCCGAACTTGCTCCTATCTGCAACAGCATGAAAATCATCACCTGTTTAGGGTCTTGGCGTACGTGGGGTTGTTGCACTGACGGATGGTGTAAAATGTCCATCCATATGTTGGGATGAAATGTCCAGCCATATGTGAAAAGAAAACGCTGGTGCTACCGTCCGTCGCCCGAGTAACTTCCTACTATTTTTAAGCCCTGGTGGTGGTACCTGGGTCACCACACGCCAAATCTTAAAACTGTTGGGCTTCTTGATAGTGCAACCGTGATGATCATCGCACTTTTGGATTTAAAGTTCCGCAATGTGAGAAAATTACCACCGCAGCCACAAACCAGGACCTGTACCTGGGACTTGTGTTCAGGTGCATGGATTTAGCGAGGTGCACCATGCTTTTGGGATGAACGTCGCATATACTTTAGCCGAAGGGCGCAAGTAACATTCAATCTCGCTTTCTGATAAATTAGACAATTACTCACCCAGAACTCATAATATCGCACACTCAAATGCACAATGGATTAATACCATGAGCCATGTTGATAGATATCGCTGTTTTAATAAAATTAATAACGCAAGAAGTCTCTAATATTGAAAATTATGAATCAGACAGGTTGATTCAACAATCTGGAGTGTTTGATTTTATTTTGTATATATTCAAGCGGTACTGATTTTGCTGCTTCTTTGATCCGCAATGAGAGAGTCTCTTTGAAGTAACCTTTCCCTTCCAAAAGAAATTGTTTATAAGGACCAGTTACTGTACTTCTTGCTGTATCCTACTCTTGTGATGATACAGTTTACGGTTTTTGCTCAAGGCCGGGGGCTTATAGAGAAGGACCCCCAATACTAGAAAGAGTTTTTTGTGCACTCCGAGGTGCCTTGAGGAATAATAATAAAAGCCAAGTAATGAAAAAGTGTCAATATAAATAGCTCCCATACGCTACAATGGTACTATCGTTAGAGGTTTTTGGGCTAAAAATTCATCCCTCTCTTATATTCACCAAGATAAGCTTGCGAACGTCTAGTAATACCTAGACAACCGCAGGGATCATGTGGTGGGTCAAGAAGATTCGGTACAACGAAGAAGATTAGTTGCGTTCAATGTCGTGGCTCGAACCGGCTTTTCTTATTGTGATCCTGCAGTTGTACAACATCGATCCAGTAGTTTCACCTTAAGGTTCACCTTTAAGGTTAAGAACCTTCAGGTGACATCAGAAACCTGAAACTGCGAGCGACTTTTCTATCCAGTTGCATGCGAGATGAAAGACTATTCTGACGACACTCAGATAAGTATACAGTGATGGCAAAACGATCGCTAGCTTAGTTCGATCGCACCAGAAGTAATGAAGTTGATAGGCCGGTGAAGTTGTGTTCAAAAGGATTTTGTGTCCTTAAAGCTATTTGAATCATGCCAAAGCCACTAATTTTAGAGCTAAAATTAAGGAATAAACACCTTTAGCCGATGAGCGTATCATAGAACTTTAACCCCTTTACCCAAGCTACATTCTTCTTGCTTCGTATTTCGTGGGCTAAAATACAGCTACACAAACCTAACCTTCCTTTGGCAGATCAACCGTTACTCACAACCTTCTCTTATATATTTGGCTAACAAAAATGCTCGAATGTTTTCTCCGCGCGCTCTCACCTGTGCGACCTTTCAAGTCTCCTAAGCTTACACAATTGTTCGAGACCCTCCACTATGAATATAGACAAGTCGGGATTCGAGGACCTCGCGGCGTTGTTTCTCCCAGACATCCTGAACCAGAACCTAAGCGGCGGCTCCAACCATCATCGGCACCAAGATCACGGGCCTCCATCCCAGATGCCCAGTGTGAGCTCGACCCCCACGCAACCCAATCCTTCGAATTCTGGCCATACCGCCATCAACAACAACCTGCTGCCCCAGTCTGTTCTACGTGCCAAGGCAGAACAAGACCAGCACCAGTTCTTGCTGCCTCCCAACTCCAACTCTCAGTCGAGTTTTGCCAACTTCCTCAGTAACAACGACTTTATCACTTGGAAACTCCCGCCAGCCTTTGGCACCAGCACCACGTCGGTCTCTGATACGCCCGGGATCACACAGGCTACGGGAGCCCAGGCCCAACTGTCCGCCAGCGACACTTTCGACAACCACGCCGAGACCCACCATGTTGGGCACTATAGCAGTTTTGTGCCGCCAGAAGCATCGCTATCACAGCTCCACCACCACCACCACGGTCAGTACTTTGGGTCCGGCTCGAGTCAGGCAGGCCTTTACAGCAAGCAGCTCGACCCAAATTGGCTCACGGGCCAGGGAGAATTGGACTCTCGAATGTTTGGTGACCCCAAGTACAGTCTTGGGTATCCCCAGCATACGGGTCAGGACCAAATGGACTTCATGTACCAGCCGCAGCCGCAGCTTCCGCCCAACTTCACGAGCGACTACGACAGCGTGGCACGAGTGCCTGTGGCCCAGTACCAGAATGGAGCGACAGCTGCTGCCAGTGATGAGATAGGCTCGAAGAAGAGCGGCAAGAGGAAGTACCAGCGCAAACGTAACAAGAAGGTCCCCAACACGTCAGGCATCCAAATCGATTACTCGTCTGCAAAGTTGATCAAGTTACTTGATCTTCGGTCCAAAAAGTTGAACCAAGACTACAAATTGCTCGACCAGAAGGGGAACGAGATCCTGGTTGATTTCAGGGGGTTCTTGAGCGGGAGAGCGTTGACGAACGACTATGACAACAGCAAGTATATTCTTGGGTTGTTTGAAGAGAAGAACGAGGGTCTGCAGATCAAGAACAAAACCATACGAGCGGACCCCAAGGTGATTTCGTGCTACAGAAGAAATTTCATCCAGGTGTCGTTGAACTTCAAGTTGTTGGGGTTCAAGGACTACAGCGAGGACGACTCGAAGATCTTGAAGTTGCAGACCAGTGAGTACGGATATAACATCACCCGAGTGGTCAAATGGTTCAAAATCGAAATCACTGCCCTTTCCACTGCTTCGGCCGGCCAGCCGGTACTGTTGGTTATCAATGAGGACTCGAAGGAACGCAAGGAAGAAGGCCATCTCATCACCAATAAAGACGACCATGTGGTACTGACTCCTATCAGCAGTACCCAACAAATCATCACCTTGAACAACTCCCAGATCACCGATGGTAACATCGACACCTTCTTCACCATCAAGAAGTTGCAGTTTAAGAATGCCACCTCCAACAACGGCAAATTTCTCTTCCAGAACTACTACTACTTAAAGATCAAGTTGAGTGCCATTGTGGCCGACTTGTACTATGATGATTATATTGACGAGGACTTTTCGGTGGCTAACTCCGACAACAGCCGAAACGAAATTAATCTCTTTGAGTTGCAGAGCGAGCCAATGATTGTTCGAGGCAGAAACCCGTCTTTTTACGCCGAGAGAAAAGATATGTTGGTCAAGGGCCGTTTACCTCTGTTGAAACTGTCATATCTTGCAGCCACAAAAGTCGATACAGGAGATCCTTTAGATTTCATGAAAATCGACTACAACCTGTCGGAATCGACTACTGACCGAGATCCTCAAGCAAACAATGAAGGAACTGAAGAAGGAGATGAAGAAGAAGAGGATGAGGATGAGGGAGACGACGATTTTGAAGGTGATGCCCTTGAGAATGAGAATGAAAACGACGCGCCGGCAGAAGAGCCCAAAAAGCCAAAGTCCACCACGCCCGTACCAGCTACCAGCCAGACAAAATCGATTCCTCCAGGTTACAACCCCAACCCGTCGTCCCTTAACTTAGAAACAATTGGGAAAGATGGTAACCACTACAAGTATTTTCCAATTTCCAATGTGTACTATCTTCCACCTATCAATGTGGTTTACTTCCCACACGGAGTTCACCACGATATCGCTAAGATGAAGACGGCATCGCCAGCAATCGAAGAAAAGAGTGTACACCGTAGAAAGAGCAGTAACGTCTATTTCAAGTAGGTCATTTATTTTAATGTGACATAATATAAAACTCGAATCTCGCCTATTCCTTAATAAGAACAGAAGCAGCACCCATACCGGTACCAATACACATGGAAGTGACACCAAATTGGCCGGGCTTCAACAATCTCAAGATGGTGGCATATTGTCTAGCACCAGTAGAACCCAATGGGTGACCAAGAGCAATAGCACCTCCATTGATGTTCACCTTTTCTCGTGGAATATTGCAAGTGTTGATAGAGTACAAGCACTGGGAGGCAAACGCTTCATTGATTTCAAACACATCAATGTCATCCACCGTCAAGCCTGACTTCTTCAAAGCTTCGGGGATGGCCACAGCTGGACCAATACCCATGATTTCGGGTGGACATCCCACTGCCGAACACAAGACGTACTTGGCTTCAATAGGGTATCCCTTGGCCTCGGCCAACGATCTTCTCATCAACAACACAACAGCAGCACCGTCCGACACTTGCGAAGCGTTACCGGCGTGGGTGGTACCAGTGGCACTGAAAGCAGGTTTCAATTTAGCCAAGGATTCGGCAGTAACTCCCTTTCTTGGACCTTCGTCGGTGTCAATCAACACCGACTTGTAAGTGACATTGTCATCGTCATCTTCTTCGGCAATGAACGACTCAATTGGCAAGATCTCGTCTTTGAAGGCCCCGGAAGAAATAGCCTTTTCGGCCTTGTTGTATGACTCAGCAGCAAACTTATCCTGTTCAGCTCTGCTGACGTTGAATTGGGATGCAACGTTTTCGGACGTGATCCCCATAGGAATCAAGCACTTGGCCACCTCTTCATTTTCTTGCAAGTGAACATCAATCTTAGCCACTGCCAGAGGTCCGTAATTGGCACTCATACTTTCTACACCAGCACCAATCCCACAGTCGATTTCACCAACCTTAATCTTGTTGGCGATTTCGCTGATAGCCATCAACCCGGAAGAACATTGTCTGTTGAGGCCGATGAACGCAGCCTTGTTAGGGATTCCGGCTGCCAAAGCGGCACCTCTGTGTTCGGTGGAACCAGCTCCTCCGTTCAACACGTTACCAACGGCGACATCTTCGATCAAGTTAACATCAATACCGGTCTTCTTGATAAAGGCTTCAAAGAGGCCCTTTAAAAGGAAATCGGATCCTACATCTTTGAATCCACCTTTACCACCTTTGGCCAAAGCAGTTCTATAAGCAGCTACCACCACCACATCATCAGGGTTTTTTTGAAGCAAGGCTTGCTTGGAGTTAGGGCTTAATTGTCCGGATAATTGGTTTAATCTTTCCATGATGTTGAAAAAAACTTGGAATGCAGATGAAGAAAAAAGCTTGCAAGCGGTTATCCAGTGATATTTATATCGACAGGAATCCCCACAGGTATTTGGTAGAGATGCGGATATTTGTCACAAAGCTGGGGAATATCCGAGGATGAATTTTCATATGAAATGGGGGGGGGCGCGAAGCCAGGCCGAGCGGCCGAGGACACCACCGCGAACGGGGCCTTTTGCTGACGCCAGTGCGCTGCACGCCAGTCATCTGAAAAATAAGGTCAGTGCTTCCTGTGCCTAATCCACTACACCGTCCTTCAGTAGTCACTACCCAAGTGTCACGTGCATTCCCCAACCTCTACCATTTATTATCCTATACGAAAACCATAAGATCTCTAGTCTTCTCTCTCAAACGAGAAAATCCCTATAAACGGCTGAATATGGCTCGGCCTCCCGTCTGGGCACTTGCCCCGAAATATCAACGACGGCATTGAGTCCTCTTCCAAGTTGGTTTCTCCCTCAAGCGTATTCCCCGTATCGATCTTGTCAAGCGGCTTGGGCGATTTTGAAGACGACTGGTACAGTGAGCTGCCGCCCGTGCTCACCGACGCAGGGGATTTCCCCACCAGCTCTTCGTCCTTTTTGTTGAGCTTCACTCCCGCAGGCCCAGCAGATATATCTTCCGACCCCTGTGCCAACGGCGAAATCTTCGTGAAATCAATCCGCAACATCCCGTCGTCCTCCACCACGAGGTAAAGCTTGTACTTTTGGTCCATAAGATCTTGCAGGTCGTTGTAGTGAATTAACCCTTTTGTGGACCCTGTGATCAATCCCATCGTGCTGCCCACACCCATGATGTTTGTGCCCTTAACTTTGATGTAGAGCCCAGACAACCCAAATGGGGAGCAATGGATCTCTAAGTCACAGTCGTTGGCGTATTGGAAACTTATCTGATCGTTGTCGTCTTGTATGGGTTCCATTGGGTTGAATGTTTGATATTTTGTGCGCACCGCGAAGTTTTATTTGGCTATACAGATAAAGCCGATCCGAACTGTGACGTGAGCTCAGTGTACAGCCGGTAGGCGGCAGGGTCCATACAGAATACGTTTAAGTGGTTGGCCAAGTAGTTTATACGTGCCACGAGATTTTCACTGGCGCCCGCAGCCCCGTGTGCCTGGAATTCATCGAAGTTTCGTATGAGGTTAGTCTCGTACTGGACATAATTACCGGTAGCATTCAGAAATTGACCAGGCACCTCGAGCGTTACACTTCGGCTTGGATACTCTAGGGGCACAGTTATGAGAATCTCGATCTTACCTCTGTCTACCCATGTTTGTGGTAAGTCTTCCGCCATGTACACGGGTACAAATATTTTGTACTTGGTATATAGTTTAGACCGGTTGAAAAGCTTGATATCAGCCTTCAATTTTTGGTGGAGCTGTTTGAGAAGCTGGTTCCGTTTGTTTTCGTCCACCGGCACCGCATGGACCTGCTGCACGGGGGTAGGGGCTGGCGACGGTGAAGGGGAACCTGAAACCGACGTCAGCTTTGATCCTTTAGAAGGTTTCCCCTTGACGAACTTGATGGTTTTCCGCTTTTCTTGCTTCAAAAACACCTCAAGAAACCGGTCGAGTGTCAATACCTGCGAAAGAAGGCCTTTGCCGTCTACAAGTTGGATCTGTTCCTCTAGTTCTCCTTCTGGTGACGGTAATGGTTTACCTGCTGCTAAAGAAGTGATTCTCTTAAACCCAAGCTCTATATTTGCAGCAAACCCCCGGGGAATCTCGTCATTGAGGACGTAGATCGATGGAATTACCTGCCGATGGGGATACTCTGCAGGTATACACAAACTGACCTTCAAACTGTCCAAGTCAAAAGGGAAATCGGGATCTGATGGTATAACGATGAATGAAAGGTATATAGCTTGGTCCAGCTGGTTCTTGATAAACCTCTGAAGGTACGCATCCAAGGCCTTGGCCTCGTCTGGTTCGTCGGCCAGTTGGGCGATGTTTTTCATCGGAAGTCCATTTATTGTCACTGGCTTGAACTTCCGAATGAGCTTCTTGATTTGTAGATACTTGTAGTCTTTAGTCACATCCACATCACGAGGTTTGTGAACATGCTTGTTTTTGGAGTTACCTGTGGCCTTTTGTGGTTTTGGGCCTGCTGGTGATGGTGATTTTTTTGGTTTATTTGATTTCCTCGACGGTCCAGGGTTTAAGTTTGTTGATTCAGTGACAGCTGCGTTTACAGGTTTGTTTTTGCGAGCCTTTGACGGTCTTTTGCGCTTCTCAGGGACGGAAGATTCGGAGGAACCAACAGGGCTGCCGGCGACTGGCCTTGGCTCTGCTTGTTTTGTAGTTCCTGATGTACTTGAAGCCATTTGAAGATAGTGATAATTTGACACCGCGAAATTTGGGATGAGCACAAAATGCCCCAGGCATGAATACTCAAACAGTTTGGTTTTTGATTAAGACTTTGGGACTTTAGACATCTCTCCGTCCCCTTTGGAACCTTGTAATAGTAGGGGGGGTACCTTTCAGCGAAACAGGGGCCCTCCTTAACTACCTCTTAATGTAATACTTGTTCTATAGCTTTTCAGCTCCCAAAAAAAGACTGCCACAAATTCTATGCCCTCTTACATGCACTGCACACTAGCTCCCCTACCCTAACATCCTTAACCCCTTCATCACACTCTCATTCACATTTGCAGCCTTGCGGAGTTGGCTGTGTGCGCGTACCAAAGGCGCGCCTACATCACTATGCGCATAATACTCCGATAAGGATCACTTACACTTGGTATTGTTTGTGAATTGACAGCTCAGACCACTAGTTGCATACTAATCTTCACAATACACTGCACTAACCATGATCACAGACACATCTCAGACCGATTCCAGTGACAAACGACTGGAATCTGCCAAAGCAGACCCAGCGCATTCTATGTACCCCATCCTTGATACTAGAGAATTCCACAGAAAGCTTTTAAATTCCCACCTGTCAATATTCAACGCGTTGACAAACCCAGACTTGGAGCTTTACCCGAGCCACCGGTCAGAGTTCGCATTGACCCGGCTTAACAGCCCTACGGATTCAGCGGGGGGAGCTGCAACCAATGGCATTATAACCCCTGAACTTGGTAAACCTGAAGTAGGCCACAATTGGGGAATGATTGACGAGTCCTGGCAATGCTTAAGCAACGACTCGATTGCCCAAACTCAAATGCTTGCCCGAACCTTGAGCAGTTCTCCATTCATTCCTCAGAATCCCCAAAACTTAGGGAGACCTTCTTCCTTATTGTCTCTTACTACCGATGAAGATGGTGAAGATATGAACCATGAATCCATGGTTATTGTTTCCAACCATCTTTCGAAGGCACATTCACATTCGATGGTGTTTGAAACCGATGAAGAAGATGAAGACAACGAGCATCGGGGGTCTCACGACAGGTTTGAGTTGGATACAACGTTTATCATGCCAAAAGTGTCTATGGATACTCCTTTGTCTAACACATGTAGACAGATGACCATAACCTTGTTGAGCTCGTGCGACTTGAGTTGTCATAATGAAACGAATCAGTTGATGAGTTCAGTTCAAAGAGAATTGGGTGGGAATGTGAATATTGTGCATTTGAGTCTTGAGAAGCAGTCTTTGCGGGACCGCTCCAATGACCAGATAATCAAGGATTCAAACTTGATATTCATCGTCAATGATGGGTCTTTTGTTTTCATTGACTTTCTAAACAATATCTTTAATGGTCTCGAGGGTCCTAAGGATATTAGCGAGAGTGATTATGAGGATGATTCGTTACCCAAATTGACGGTTATCAATATGATGACGGTTAATTATTTCATCAATTTGTTTGATCTTATCAACAACTTGAAACCATATCAGATTTGGAAGACATCTTCATTGAGCCAGCAGAACTTGTTGAACAAGTTTAAGGATTTCATTGAATACGAAATGGATAATTCATTGTACTGCACTACGTTGTCCAAGGAAACCAGAAGCAAGTTTGAGAGTAGTTTTGTCAAAGAAAGGTCCAACTCAGTGTACTCTAGCTTGATTACTGTTAAGCGGCCCAATTACAAGAAGTTGGAGAAGCAGTTTAAAGCTGAGTTACTGGTTGATTCCAGTCAAGTTAATCCCTTGAACTTGGATTTGAAGAGGCTTTCATGCTTTAATGCCATCTGTTTGGTTTTCGGGAGATTGATGAATCATTCAGAAAAGTTCTCCATTTCAACACCAAGCTCCAGCAAAATCCCAAACTTGTATTTGATTGGGTCATTCACTGTGGGTGTCTCATTGGGGTTGGGAATTGCCAGTGGACTTGCTAGGGTTGTTGGCCTTTACTTGTCTGATGGTATCAATACCATCGCCGACTCTATTGAACCCAAGACCTTGGTCAAAGAAATAAAAGTTGACAACTCGATACTCTCAAAGCTTTCAAATCTGGTATTTGAAAATGAAGATGTTTTTGATGGGCTTGTCAAGTATCTTTCTAACCTCTTATCGGGCTTACAGCTGACCAGTTCATTCATGGTGGATGCAGCTAAGGGTGGATTCCAGAAGTTGATGGCAGTTGTATTTTAATTGGTGGATGGTTATTCCAGTGTTTGTTAATCAGGTACATAGGGTTTAGGGAATATATGTTAGAATTTTGAATATTTACAGGTTGTATTAAATTTATCACTAACTGGTCATGAAACTCACATTGGTGTAGAATTCAAGCATGGGATTCTCTCCCCGTTTGGTGTTAGTAGCCTTCAAATCCGACCATTTCTGTAAAAAACCCTTATGCAGCTCCACCTGTGCTGTTTTTCCCGTGACTTGACGATACAAATCACTGGCTAATTGAAAGTCGGTTGCAAACATGATATCAAAGTATCCCTGGTTGCACATGTAAGTGGAAATGTCAATCATTCTATCTTTCAACACAGTTTGCACAACGGGCCCATTGTAGTATCCCTCTACCGTACTTGGTAAGAAGTTGAAATCTGACGATACAAGACTGTGGTTGGGAAACCTATGTTGCAATACATGGAAAAAGTGTAGAAGTCGGGTGGGAATGAACTCACCTGGTGATAGGTTGTCTTTGAAAGGGAGAATGGTGTTGTGCCACAACAACTTTTTTCTTGAGTGGTGTAGTGGATGAATATCGTCTTTGTTGATGAAGGGAATGGAGCTTTTGAAGCCTTTCCATCTACCTTTGATTGTGTTCTTTTTACCAAGAAGACCTTGTTCGCCATTCTCTCTCAACTGCAAAAAGCTTTCCGAATAGTAGTTCAATTCAGGCGTGAAAAACTCATAAAAATCGCCCTTATCATCAACTAAAACGTATCCTTGGTGTGGTTCACCGGTTTCGTTATCGTAACGGATCAAGTCATGAGCGAAATTGTCAAACACCTCTAACGCAATGAAAAATACTGGATCTTGAACCGTTTCTGACCATTCGAAAATCGATTTGTTAATGATTTCACATTTGGAAGCATCTAGGTTTTGGGCTACAAGCTTGGAGCCAAGAGCCTGGTTATATTGTTTAATGGCCAATTGACTCAGAATCTCGATGATCTTATACTGTGCGGTTTTGTAGATTTCAGGTTCATTCAACTTAATGTAATTCAATATATTGACCATCAAGGTACCATTTCCTCCACCCATTTCATAGATCACCAAGTTCTTTCCACTGAATTTGGCATCGGTTTTGTATTTGTGAACAATGCTCTTTGCGAGTGCCTCTCCGTAAAATGGCTGGAATAATTCTGTCGGAGTGTGCCATAACTGAAGAGATCGCTTGTTTTTCTGAACTGGCCTCAACTTCTGCTTCTCTTCATTGTACAAGGTCAATGAATATGACGCGTACTTGGAGTTGGGGTTAGCGTAGTTCTTTTCATCGGGTTTGATCAATTCTTTTCTCTTAATCTCAACCTCTTCTTGATCATATTTGGAGTATGCCAGTCTCCAGTTTTCCATGAAATCGTCCACATCCTCGATGTTGTTGTAGTCAAACGGCTTGTCGGACTTGAAAATTTCCACCTCCAGTGAAAAATACCCATAGTTGGGGTTGTATAAACTGTCTTCAATAAAGTCACCTACCGCCATCTTGACTTTCTTAGGACGATGCTTGTTTCTTGCAAGTTTCTTGGAGTTGACCGGAGGATAGGAATTGAACACCTCCTGTGGTGTCTTTTCGGCAAACGGATAGTTGGTGGAGTTTCTGTACACGAAATCAAGCATGTTAAACTTTGAGTTCTTGAGCAGTTGGAATGGTGATATTCTGTTATTGTATAGCACTTGTTTACCGGAAACCTTGAATGCAAATGTGTCAGGCCTTATCGAGTATTCATGGTTGAAAGACGTATCATTTTCGTTATACTTGGCGAGCTTGTTGCCATTGAAAAGCCCTCTTCGGACGATTAAACGTGAAGACCTAAGCATGGCTGGATTTTTTTTTGTCAAGTCGCATTGATGTACAACACTCATCAACATTGAGATCAAAAACAAAGAAGAGAAAGAGCTCTCGGCGGTGTATAGAGATGAGGGTTGTTACTGTTATCAAAGCAAAAGTTTGTTTGGCTCTCCTGCCATCGCTAGATCGAAACGGTGTATTCTTCTAAATATTGACTTGTTTATAATCCCATGCAAACCTGTTACTTGGAGAATATGTGGTCCTCCTTCCCTTCAAACTCGTCAATGCACTCCACTATAGTCTTGAGGTTGTCCAAGACGTTACTGATGGCCACTCTGATAACTCTGTCACTGACTCCTTGGAATAAGCAAATCAAGTTGGATCCGCTAGTGGTGTAGTCAACCGTGAGCTCGTCTTTCTTTAAGATGGGGTCTGGCGATAGCGTGTTACATGCAATAGTGGCCTGTTTGGCGGACTCGAAGGGCACGTTGATTTCGAGTTGATATGAAAGAGCTGTTGAAGCCATGTTGAGATGAGGTTTTATCGCGAAATTAAGAGGATGAGATCGAAAATGTCGACGATTACTGCTTTAGCAGATATCAGATAACACTTTTTTCACTAACATTATATAATACTAATGAGATAACACTTTTTTCACTAACATTATATAATACTAATGTGATATATATGCGATTCTACTGCTTCTGCATTTAAAGTGATTCTTTTCACTTCTGCTTATATTTTCAGCACCACTATGACGAGTAGTACACACGTAAGAATAACAGGGTTGTGGTGGGGATCTGAGCTCCATCAACGTAAAGGTTTTGTGCCCACCAAGCAGCAAAGAACCCCACCAGTATAATTTTCAAGCCAAAAACACTAAAGCCCTGAAGTACAATCATTTTCCTACCACCAACAAATACGGAGGAAGCCGCCAATTCCGCAGATATCCCCAACTCGTCTCTTCCGCTAAGTTTCACAAATGTTCGCAGCCATTTGGATTCGCGAATACCCCGGAAACCGATCTCCTTCCTAGCACCTCCATTCCGCTATATATAAAGTCCATCCACATTCCACTTTTTTTTCAGTCCTAACTCCCCGTACCGATGTCTAGAGCCCTCACCGTCAAGTCGGTGTTCAAGGTTCCGGCTTTAAAAATAGCTTCTAGGCACTTGTCCACCTGTGCTACCTACTTTCCCGGTGAGCCTGGTGCCCCCGTCATCAAAACATCATCAGTTCCAGGTCCCATCAGCCAGCAGCTCAACGACAAGCTCGGTCACGTGTTTGACAACCGTGCCACCTACTTTCTCACCGACTACTACAATTCCATTGGTAACTACATCTCTGATGCCGATGGAAACTTGATGCTCGACGTGTACGCACAGATCTCATCCATCCCATTGGGATATAATAACCCCGAGTTGATCAAGACCGCCAAGTCCGATGAGATGACCAACGCCTTGATCAACAGACCGGCTTTGGCATGTTTTCCATCCACCGACTACTCGAAGATTTTATCTGAAGGGATTTTGGCAGCCGCTCCAAAAGGCATGTCGAGAGTGTGGACGGCCTTAGCAGGCTCGGACGCCAACGAGACCGCGTACAAGGCCGCGTTCATGTATCAGCATACCAAGAGAAGAGGAGCCAGCGACTTTTCTGCCGAAGAATTGGAGTCGGTGATGGACAATAAGGTTCCTGGAGCCTCAGATATGGTGATTTTGTCCTTTGACAAAAGTTTCCACGGCCGATTGTTTGGCTCTCTTTCCACCACTAGGTCCAAAGCCATCCACAAGTTGGACATTCCAGCATTCAACTGGCCCAAGGCCCCATTTCCTTCGTTGAAGTATCCTTTGGACCAATTCGAAGCAGAAAACAGACAAGAAGAAGATAAATGCCTCTCTGAGTTCGAGACCATCATCAAGAACTACAACGGCAAGGTCGCAGCTATCATCGTCGAACCCGTTCAGTCGGAAGGTGGTGATAACCATGCTACCCCATACTTCTTCCAGCAGTTGAGAAACATCACCAAGGAGAACGATGTGTTGATGATTGTGGATGAAGTACAAACAGGAGTGGGAGCTTCCGGCAAATTCTGGGCCCATGAGCACTTCGACTTGCCCTCTCCGCCAGATATGGTGACGTTCTCCAAGAAGTTCCAAGCGGCTGGATTCTATTTCAGTAGTGCTGATTTGCAGCCAAAACAACCATACAGACAGTTCAACACTTGGTGTGGAGACCCATCCAAAGCGTTGATTGCCAGAACCATCTACACGGAGGTGGCCAAACACGGCTTGGTCGAGTCCACTTCTAGGGTCGGAGATTACTTATATGGTAAGTTGGAAGCATTGTCAGAAAAATACCCAATTGGCAACTTGAGAGGCCAGAACTTCGGAACCTTTATTGCTTGGGACTGCAAAGACGCCGACCAACGGGCCCATTTGTTGGGTGCTTTAAGAAACAAGGGTATCAACATTGGAGGTTGTGGAGACTATTCCATCAGATTGAGACCTCCTTTGGTATTCGAGCAGAAGCACGCAGACATCTTGGTGGGAGCTTTGGAGGCAGTTTATGCTGAGCTTTAGCTGCCTTTTAATACGTATTATAGGAATCCTAATAGATGTCATTGTAAAGTCATGTCTAAAACATTCTCCTGTGTAACAGGATATTCTCGCCTCAACCGTGCCGAATGTTGCACCGAATCTCAACGGTTTTTTTTCTGTATATTCGCAGTCATTCGTCGCGAACTCAACTCCCCTGTAAACAATTGATCTTTATCTTATCTATCTTCCATTGTCCTTGGTGTTTCAACTTCCCGGTATCACGTCGCCCCGCTTGCTCCTTGACCCATCCTATGTACTAGATTTGTCCCTGTTTAATTTGGTTTCTTCCCTTTTGCTCCCCATTTAGTGTTGTGTTTTCCCATCGGTTCTACGTTCTATTACCATGTTGGGAAGGCTATTTCGACAACAGTCTTCGAGCTCTTTGCACAAGGAACCGCCCCCGGCCCTGTCCAGCGGCTTGGGAACGTCGGCCAACTCGTACGAGGATAGTTATACTCGAGAAATCCTATATGGAGTTTCTGAGAAGCGAATCCTCAATCCATACGATCTTAACTCCAAGCTTTTTAGAATACTTGTATCACAGGACGGAGGCAGTTTGCGGTCGAAACAGGTGTTGTTCGACTCGGCCCACGAAGATAAACCCTTGTCAGCGGCTCCGAAGAGCAATTTGACAAGAAGCATAATGTCACCCAAGATCCACCATAATCCTAACGAACTTCATGATTACATGTTCGGCTGTGGACTTCCAACCAACGAACTTCACTCCATCACAAAAATACACATGCTCCCGGTCAGCAGCCAATATGGTTCAAGTCGATGCGTGCTAGTGACTCGGCTTTTCCTGATTACTGACTTTCAGGACCTGACAATTTCCCCAGGGTCGCCATCTTCAAATGAAAGCCAGGAGATTGGTGTATGGTGCCCACGGCCCACCCTCCCGATAAACACCACCAAGATCTCGGTACACCCGTCCAGCACTGCCAGTGTTTCGGCCACCAGCACTAAAAACAATGTCACTAGTCGGTTCGCAGTTGGCTTGATTATACCTCTAGACGATAATGTCACCGAGGTCATTGCCAACAACTGGCACGAAATCTGCCATTTCCTCATAGTTCTTCAGAAAACTGTCAGCAAGAAGATGATTGGGGTGATAAATCAGAACGAACATATGCCATATATTCAGAACAAGCGGATCCAATTCCCCAGCTATATTCTTGCCAATGACATGGATATACAGAGTAATTTGCTCAAGCTTATCAAGCTCATAAACTACAATGCCAATATTCCCAAACTCGTGAATTCCAACTCTTTGATGAAATTGTGCCTACGGGACACCGGAGTTTCCAAGTATAACCCGATGGTGCTTAACTGGGTACTTGAGATCTTAAACTGGCTTGAGTTCAAAGAATTAAACGAATCGTCCAAGTTTTTGTCCAGTTTGCTCGCGTTGGTAATTCTGTACCGATACCTGTTGACGGAGAGACCGTTTAGTCACGATTACAGTTCCCGGGGTAAAGAGATCACCCGAATCGTGGTGATGACTGGGAACCCAATGGTTGCAAAAAAATTGATGTTCATATTGAATGGTATGATAGCTGATGAAGATGTACTTAATATGTTGGGAGGGACCACCGGGTCTTTGGAAAAGCAGATTTCTCTAGACAACTTCAGGTCGCCTCTAGAAGAAGCAGTGGATATTGGGGGAACGGTTCCCAACTCGCCTACTCAAGAAACAGATGTCGACACAGACATCGACGAAGAAGATGAAGAGGAAATTGAAAACATATCCTCACCTTCTTCACCGACATCGTCGCCTCCTTTGTTTGCAGCCCACCCTATCCCTATCAAGTCGAAGCCAAGTCAGTCTTTCAGCTCCTCCGAAAACTCATTTTCCAATATCTCCCACAAAGGTTGGGAAATCCCCGGGAAGGCTACACCTGTCACATCAACTTCGGTATCCAACTCTTCTACACCGGTACCCAAGAACATTCCCATTTCTCGTCCCCAAAGAGGCCTGCTCAGCAAAAGTTCTTCCATGGCGTACCTTTCTTCGTCCCTCAATTCGTCTCTTTCGTCGTCGGCTTCCAACTACTCGCTCTCGAAATTGGGAGGTTCTTTCATCGATAAATGGCGTAACCAGTTCAATTCGTCTGTCAACTACGATAATATCGACTACCAACCGCCTGGTCATGGACTGTTTGGAGGACACTCGTTTGGAGGAAACTCACTTGGAAAACCTTACGGCGGAATTGGACGGAAACTCACGTCGCAAACTATGAAAACCCCTTCCCCAGCTTTGGAAATCGAAGGGTTCCATTTGTCTCCTAGTTCCAGTCCCAGCCCTGTTCTTTCTGCAACTCCTACATTGCCTAGTCCCATTTCAAATGGAGGTCCGAACGGGAGTCCCGCACTTTTACTGACAATACCCACTGGTATTAGGTCTGTGTCCAAGACTCAATCAATGTTTGACTTGTATCATGCCGATAGTTTTTCAGGAAAACATAGTACCAGGCTTGAGACCAATGCCATTAGCCGGTCCAAGGCTAGCATTTATGAAAACCATCAGTTCACCGCCAATTCCCTAAAAATTAACCGGAAAATTGACCATATTATGGAGACCGCACCGCATTTTGAGGTTGCAAGCGAGACTACCCTAAACGTGCCTGAGCCGGATCCTTTCCCAGCCCACCAGCTCGCGGCGTACGAAGATTTACCTCCCAGTGTGGCATTCACTGATGAGTTTAGACCCGAATTTGTGCTCCAATCGTGTCCTATAAATCCTCGTCTCGAACAGCAGATAATCAGCTCGATGAAAAATGACCTCTTGTTCCACCAGAACAACTGTCATGTCGACAACATCACCACCCGTACAATTTTTGTGAGTCTTCGGGCCCGGGAAGTCAAACTTATAGAAATGAAGATTGGTGATGACCCCAGCACTGTTGTGACCACTCCTGCCGCCATGAGCACGTCGCCGCTAGGTTCGTATTTCCCCGAGCCCGCGGTTCCTCGTCGGCTGGCAGCCCCGTACAAAACGACCGTCAAGAAGGTTTATGGTCCTGGGAAGCACCAGGGCGATGGTGCTTTAGTTGGGCTCGTGGAACAAAATCTACATGCTATGAGAGAACTTTTAGCGAGAGGAGCCGATTCGGGCGTCTCCCAGTCAAGTCCCGACTTTAGTGCCGCTCTATGTGCCCTTGTAAGTAACCTTTTGTGTTAATGAATAATGAATGTACCGTAATGACTACGCATAGAAAAGTGATCGCTGAAAATTCAGTCGCATTTTTCAATCTCACCACCAGTATGTCTGAATCGGAAGACGATAAACAACAGCAAAGGAGGACGCCACCGGTATTCCTTGACTGTGAAAGTGCCACTGAAGAGGCCTTACAAACTTTCACCCAGATCACCGCCTGTTCGTATCAAAACAAGCTGATTGGGGACCTGGGTCAAAATGAAAACATGACATGCGACTGCCATGAGAAGGTGGAAGAGACCACAAACGTAAACCACGCATGTGGCGACGACAGCGGGTGCATCAACCGGGCCACGTCGGTCGAGTGTATGGCGGGCGCCTGCAATTGTGGCGACAGATGCCAGAACCAACGGTTCCAACGTTGTGAATATGCTGCCATCAGCGTATTTCAAACAGAAAAAAAGGGCTATGGAGTTCGTGCTGACACCGCCCTCGACGAAGGCTCGTTCATCTATGAGTATATTGGTGAGGTGATTGACGAGGCCACTTTTCGCCGCCGAATGGTCGACTATGACAGTCGGCAGTTAAGACACTTTTACTTTATGATGTTGAAGAAGGATGCTTTCATTGATGCCACCGAAAAAGGAGCATTGGCTCGGTTTGTCAACCACCTGTGCTCCCCCAATGCCTACGTCGACAAGTGGGTTGTGGGAGACAAGCTTCGGATGGGGATTTTTGCAAAAAGACATATTGCCAGAGGTGAAGAAATCACCTTTGACTACAATGTAGATAGGTATGGTGCCCAACTGCAACCGTGTTATTGTGGAGAACCCAACTGTATCAAGTTCATGGGTGGAAAGACCCAGACGGACGCGGCCCTCTTGTTGCCCGATGGTATTAGCGAAGCTTTGGGGGTGACTCCTCGTCACGAACGCCAGTGGTTAAAGGAAAATAAGCACTTGCGGACCAAGCAGCAGAACAACGACGCCACCATCAACGAGGCGTTCGTCAAGTCGGTGGAGGTGTCTGAGATCGAGGAGCAGGATGTGAACCGGGTCATGGCTGCCATGATGAAGTCTCACGATGCCAACATCAACCGCAAATTGGTGGAGAGAATATACTTGACCGACGACGAGAACGTCAACCGACAGATTGTACGAATGCACGGATACAAAACATTGCTGGCGTTGTTGAAGTCACAGACTACCGACCCCGATACCACCGTGAAGATTTTGAAGGTGCTTGCCAAATGGCCCAAGATGACCCGAAACAAGATCCAGTCACTGCAAATTGAGGACGTGGTGAAAGATATTCGGGCCCATACTAACAACAGAGAGATCCGCCTGTTACTGGTGGCGCTTTTGGATGAGTGGGGCAAGTTGCAAATGGCTTATCGTATTCCCAAGGTGAGCCACAGTGATGCCGGTCAAATTAGTTATGGCCGGAACCCTCGTTCTCTGTCACCAGAAAAGTTGCAGGATCCAAACCCCGTCAAGCACGAAGAACCAGAACCACAAGACCCTTCCAGCCAAACAGAACTTCCTCCCGGGTGGGAATCTGCTTTGGATCCCAACACCAATACGATGTACTATTTCAACCGAGACCTTGGTGAGACCACCTGGGAAAGACCCCAGGTCAAGCCCAAGCTCAAGCTCAAGCCGGTGCCGGTACCTCGTGGCCCTCGGCAGGACTCGCCTCCCCAGCGGTCTACCAACAATTACAATGAGCTGCAGATAGCTGAGATGGAAGCCCAACGTCTTGATCAGGAGAAACAAATGCTCTGGCAACAAAATCTAAATAAGCAAAAGTCTTTGCAAGAGTTGATTCTCCAGTCACAGCGTGAAGCTGAAGAAAGGAAAGCAATGGACTTGAGATTGAAACAAGAACTCACCGATAAAGCCCGTGCCAGAGCCAAGGCCAAGTCCAAAGTCAAAGGATCCAAGAGCTCTGGTACCACGTCGAGTGTGGAAAAGCGGTGGAGCTCTTTGTTTGCCAAGTATGTGCCGAACTTGATCAAGAAGCACACAGAAGAAATTGGCAAAGACAACGTCAAGCAGTGTGCCAGAGAAATGGTCAAGGTATTGGTGATGAAGGAAATGAACAAGGACGCCACACGAGAGCCACCGGCCGATTTCGAGAAGAGCAAGCTCAAGCAAGTTAAAGAGTTCACCGGTAGCTATATGGATAAGTTTATGATCAAGTATCGGCAGAAGCATTCCAAAAGACATGGTGAAGAAACAGAAGGTACCATAAAACGAACAAAGTTGACGTAAAACAACCAAAATGAACAGCTCGGGATATATACATCTATGAGTTTATGTAATATACACATTCTATCAGTCTATTTGTTTTCCAACAACAAGGGCAAGTTCTCAATGCTCTCAGAACCGAAAATAATCTGGTAGGTGGCTTCGAATAAGGGGAATTCGTCCAATTTATTGACATTGGTTAACAACTCATGGACCTCTTTAGCAGTAATGATACCTTGGGAAGACTGTCCGTTTAACAAGGTTTTTTCAGCCGTTTCAGCAGATTCTCCCGTTTCGGCCATATAGCGTCCAACCTTGACATTTCTACCACCAGCACAAGTGGTGATCAAATCCGCCACACCGGCACTCTCTGCCGTGAAGGTTCTGGCCTGCGACTCGGGGAAAAAGGTCTCGGAGAATTTGATGATTTCCAACAACCCAACTCTCATGATAGCAGCCTTCGCATTGTCACCCCAGCCCAAACCTTCTACAAACCCAACCGCAAGAGCAACAATATTCTTCAATGCACCGGCAACAGAAACACCGGCAACGTCGTCAATGACGTTCACATGGAAGTATGATCTGTGGAAAATCGCCTTCAACACATAATGGTCAATATCACGGCCCTCACCTTTAAAGTCTTCAGGAAGCTTGTAGGCAACAGTGGTTTCAGACCATTTACCTCTGGCAACCTCAGGGGCCAAGTTTGCTCCTGACAAAGAACCACACTGGATTCCCAAATGTTCGGTGATGTATGTGCTCAACAATTTGCAGCCTTCGGGGGTGACTTCCAACCCCTTAAGACAAGAAATGGCCCTCGCATCGGGCTTGATGTTTCCCTTTAATTGTTTGCAAATGTTGTGCAAAAACTGGTGGGGCAAGTTGAACACCAACAAGTCAGCATCCTTGGCGGCCTCGACAATACTGGGGACGGCTTTCAAGTTTGAAGGTAATGTGACTCCAGGAAGGTATTTGACGTTTTCGTGCTTAGTGTTAATGATTTGAGTCAATTTTTCACCATTGATCTGTTCTTCAAAAACCCACATCTTGACGTGGTGGTGGAACAAGTGAGGTCTGGATTGAGCATTTTCGGCCACGATCTTGGCGATAGTGGTTCCCCAGTTACCAGACCCGATGACAGCAATCCTAAAAGGATGCTCAGGACTGAGCAGTTTGTGGCCAGAAACTCGGTTGACAGCTAAAGACGAGCCAGACAAAATCTGGGACAAGTGTAACAATCTTTCACTAGGAGTAGACATGATGGGAGTTAACACAAATAGAATAGACAGTAGATGTGAAGATATACCGCTTCGATGTCGCAAAAAAAGCGTGAGCAGGAGTATTTATACTTATCGTGTGAATCTCCCGTTGACCGAGGAATCATCATATGCTTCCGAGTGCGAATTTAGATTGCAACAGGTGATGAGATTGAGCAGCAATACCCCATTTGAAATAGGAACATGGTCATAAGTCTGGTGGAGATGAACTAGGCTTCATTCCCACTAGAGGACTGTGTTTTTGCCGGTTCCGCTGGCTGGCTGGTTGCTTGGTATGGTATACGCTGGCATACCCGACTCGGATTAATTTCATATGAACGGCTGCGAAAGCGAGGATGAGAGTATATCAGCTCTAAATCGTATTGTACAGTATTATTATGTAATCTACGTGGGTGGATGGGTCATCTAATGTTCACAAATTTTGCAGACTGGCCCCACTGCCGGAGATCTCAGTGTACACGGCCACAGACTTGTCAAACGGAGTCAGCGATATGGGGTGGTCATGATTGTGGTCAGAGGTATGAAAATGGTCGTCCTCTCTCTGGCGAATCAACTGTACGGCTCTCCCGTGTGCCCTCCATGGCCTGATTCCATCCTCAAACAACAAGTCAATATCGTCAAGAGGAATGCCCTTTGTTTCGGGATAGAGCACACCAAACAATACCATTGACACTAGTAAAGCACAGCCAAAAAACAAAAACACCCCGTAGCCCATGGCATCGATCATATCCTGAGCCCATCGTGCAAACACAAAGGCCCATAGCCAGTTGCAAGACGCATTGAAACACTGGGACAAGTTTTTTACTTTCAGGTCAAAAATCTCAGACATGTACACCCATGGGAACCCGGACCAGGAGAACGCAAACGACATGGTCCATACGTAGAATACTGCCAACGCAAATCTTGAGGCCGCGTTCAGTGACCCGTTGAGCGTATGTTCCGGGTCTGCGATCTTGATATAGGCCCCAAGATACAAAAGGCTCAATACACAAACAAAACTCCCAATGAGCACCGGAGGCTTTCTACCAAAATTGTCAATGATGAAAAAGGCCCAGAGAAAACAACATACTCCCTTTATCAAGCCAAACACACCGGTGGATAAAAGACCCGCTTCCGTTGACGCCACGCCAATGGTCTTTAACATCGACACCGAATAGTAGATAATGGCATTGATACCGCTGGTGTTCTGAAACACAAACAACAACGTCGTCAAGGCCAACTTATACCGATTGGACTTTGACCCAAACAACTGGTAAAATGGACCCCAGAACTCGGACACAAGCACCTCTCGACGTTCCATGGCTTCGAATTCCATCACTTCTATCTCGTAGCGGATATACTCAGAATCCAGCTCCAAGTTCCGCAAGTAGCACAACAGATCCGCCGCCTGATCTTTGTTATTTCGGGTGAAGTACCACCGAGGCGATTCTTTGATGAAAAATACCCCCACCAAAAATATGGCAGCTGGAATGATCTGGACCGCTATTGGAACCTTCCATTGTTTATTACCACTAAGATTCTTTTCTGTGGCATAATTGATGAAAAACCCAAAGATGCCGCCCACCTGCCACGAGATCTCGTACATACCCACGAGCCTACCACGAATGGCGGGTGGAGAGATCTCGCTGACGTACATTGGTGCTAAATTTGACACAGCGCCGATGCCAATTCCCGAAATAAGTCGTCCTGCCAAAATCCACCCCAATCCGTGCGACTTGTCCGACACCAACTGAATGGCAGAGCCAAAGGTGATTAACAACCCGGCCATTTTGAATCCCCGGATCCGTCCTAGGAATATGGCAATGGGATACACCAAATAGGCACCAAAAAACGCTCCAACATGGAACAACGAGATGATGTTCGCCTTGATGACGGTGACATCCGCAGTGGGCTTGTTGTTGAAGCCAAACTCATTTGCAAACTCGGGAAGCACCACCGTCCCACCAATAAACCCAGCATCATAGCCAATAATAATAGCAGCAAACGAAGCCACTAACGCGGCAAAATGGACTCTTAGATTGTAGACCTCATCTGGGGTTTTGACGAGGTTATCTCTCATTCGATGGGAGAGAGAAGATGATTCTGGTTCAACGATAGCGGTGTACTGCGCGCTATTTGAATCACTCTTTGTGGTGAGTTTCATAAAGGTTTGGGTAACGTGGGGTTGGTTTTTCCTATGTTCGCGAAGATAAGGCTTGGCTCACGTGGGTGTTATCTGGAATTGCACGGCGGGAGTACAAAGACATGTACAATAGATCGTACACAAGTAGAATAAGTACAAATAGAACCAGTCCCTGTCTTCTTCTGTTCCTGCCTCTCTCCCTGCCTCTCTCCCCTCCCAATCTAGCGTCTATTCATGTCCTATATTCTACCAAAAACTCCGGAGCCGTCTCCTCCTTCACCTCAATCACCGAGATATCAAAACTCTCAATCAACAACTCCACCTGGATTCTTCCTCCCTTGGCCCCCGTGAACCGTCTATACTCTTCACTCACACTGGCTAAATTCCAGTTCTGAAGCCGCCGTAAACACCCAATCACCGTCCCCGTTCTGTGTCTTCCCATACCACAGCATACCAACAAAGGATAGTTCTCCTTGTTGGCTATAATCTCGAGCGATCGGGTGATGGTCACGTCGTTCAAAGTATCCCACGGATTTATGTTGGAGTTGTAATTGTAATTGTAATCATTTATCATCCCCACAAACTCCAAGTTGACGTTATGTTGAGAGCAGAAGTCCAAGAACTCCTCTTGAGGCTCTTCGGTGGCGAGCCAAACAATGGTTTTTAAGTTAAGGTCTTCCAAGAAGCTCTGGTTGATGATATTGGGTTGGCCGGACCGATATAACTGGTGCTCGACTGGACAAAAGTTGAGGGGCGGGATGATCCGGAGCTTTGGGGGACGGGTTATCTTGGTGACTTGGGGTCCATTTGCAATCTCTGTCATGTTTGTGGTGTATAATATGCGAGCCCCAGCAAACCTGAATGGCAAAAAATGCAAACAGTCGCACTCGCACTCGATACTCGTTGTGAATTTTCATTCCACGTTACAAGCGTTCACCAAACATGGCCAAACCAAAAACTTCCAAACCATCGACCAAGACGCTTGGCGAGCTTCGGTCCGCGGCCACAACCACATACACCAACTACGTGAAGTCGTTGACTCCAAGAACCAAGTTAATCGACACATTTTTGGCGTTTTTGGTGACACTTGGAGCTCTCCAGTTTGTCTACGTGTTGCTCATTGGAAACTTCCCCTTCAACGCCTTTTTGGGCGGCTTCATCAGTTGTGTGGGTCAATTCGTTTTGACGGTCAACTTACGCTTGCAGTACAACGAACAAAACTTTCTGTTGTTTAAATCCACGCCTGAACGGTCCTTTGGCGATTTTATTTTCGCCAGTTTGATCTTACACTTTATAGTATATCACTTTATCAATTAAAATTTTGAATAAATCGGAAACTACATAACAATGCACAAACAAATTTCAAATGGGGTGATTAAATGATAGCAAGAAGACCCAGGTAACTCACCACCAGATTTCAGACAATCACGCAACATCCAGACAGTTCCTTTGACTCATTACCAGATGAAGGCTTGGTCTGTTGCTTTCTTTGTCCGTCAGGAGCAGCCTTGGCGTTGGCAGCCGTTTCACTCGACTCCTTCACCTGTTCAGTCACTGGAGCAGCCGCCACCGGAGCAGCCGCCGCCTCGTTGGCCACCGCCGCAGGCTTGTTCCCGTCTCTGACAGATCTCACCAACTCGAAGAAGGCCTCTTCCACGTTGATTCTCTGCTTGGCCGAAGTTTCAAAGAACTTACACCCATTGAAGCTTTTGGCCAACAACTCCCCTTCCTCATAACTCACCTGTCTCTCGTTCTCCAAGTCACACTTGTTCCCAATAATCAATACTGGAACCGAATCGCTCTCCTTGACTCTTTGGATTTGTTCATAGAAGTTAGTCAATTCGTCCAACGAGCTCTTGGAGTCGATCGAATACACCAACAAAAACCCTTCACCGGTCCGCATGTACTGTTCTCTCATGGCACTGTACTCTTCCTGACCGGCGGTATCCAAGATGTCCAAAAGCACCTGTTCACCGTCGATGTTGTATTGCTTTCTATACGAATCCTCGATGGTAGGGTCATACTCGTCAACAAATTGCGATTGAATCAATTGAATGGTCAATGCACTTTTACCGACACCACCACCTCCGACAACCACAAGCTTATATTCCTTGATCATGAATGGAGTTTTATTGAGCGAACGAAGTTGAAGCAAGAATAATTACAACTTTATGTTGAAGCTTTGCTGGAAAAAAAAAGCCCAAAAAACAATTATGAAATTCCACAGGCGCACTGGTGAGCCAGCCGCAGCCAAAAGTTTAGGCCCAAACGGGGTGGGGTAGTCGCGGTGAGGTGGTGGTAGATAGTTAGGGTTTACGGTTTATTGACTATAGAACATATTACAGCCGTCCTATAGGATCCATAGTTCTACAAGGCTGGGGTATGGTGGATAAAGTTTGACAAAAGTTTATGGTTTTGTTGCTATGCCGATGAGGTTGACCGGTCGTCGGGATATTTCGGGGAAATGCCGATTGATTTTATTGGTGTTGGGTGTTCTGGGGTGTTTGTATACTAAGGTGTTTGTATACTAAGGTGTTTGTATACTAAGCTATTTGTGAACTAAGCTATTTGTATACTAAGCTATTTGTGAACTAATGTATTTGTGTACTAGGTTGTGGATCCAGTGTGTCCATGATTAAACTCGCTTCATCTTCTTCTGCTTGCTCACACAATCATCACAGTACCATTTCCCCTTGGGAGGGTGTTTGAACCCAATACACGGTAAGTGGAACCATTCCCGCTTACAGTCGTCACCATCACATCCCACCATCTCTCCAAATGATACCTGGTTACAGTAACAGTACGTAGGCTCGTTGGCAGACTCTTCGCGAGTGACTTTGATCTTCTTCTTGGGTTGCGGCGTTATTGACCGCAGCGGCTCCTCAACTGCTGGCACCTGGTGGGCCTGGATGCCATGGACGCCGGCTCCGTGGTGGTGGCTGGCCCCGTTGGCACTGGCCACCGATCCCATGGCGGTGGCCGCGTACGCCGGGTTGGACGATACCACCGCCGCCAGCACCGTCGCAGTGGGCCCTTCTTTCCGGCTTCTCTTCTTCTTACCGTCACCAGACGGCGTGCCCTCGCGCCGCGGCACCACCACTCCGTACAGATAGTCGTCGTCTTTACTCTGCTTCTTGGCTGCCAACGCCTCACGACGAGTCTCCAGCCGGGAGCTCTGCGCCAGCCGGTTGGGGTTGTCGTTGGCGGTGGCATCCATGATCAAGGCCGGGTGGTTCAAGGGCCCAATTCGAATCAGTTCGGGGATTTCGTTGTTGTTGATGATGAGCTTGAAATCGTTGTTGATACGGAACAAGTGCTTTTCCACCACGTCGGTGGCAATGCTGGTCACGTGCATCTTTTCCTCTAAGCACGGGATGATATCGCTGATGTGGTCCCGAATTAACAGGAGATGGGCGGCTTTGGTGGTGGCGGATGGACTTGTTGATTGGTGAAGACCGTCAATGTACTGGCTGATGTTGGAGGTGATGAGCGGGACGGTGCCTATACACTTGGCGTCGATTTCCTTCAAGAGAGTGAAGTACTTGATGATGTCGCTGGGAAGAGCTTCGAAGGCGTCGGTGATGTCGTTGAGGCCGGGGAGAAGTTCGTTGATGGAGGAGATGGTTTTGGATTTGTTGAGGTAGGACTGGAGCCGGAGCTGCTGGGCGTTGTGGCGCGAGCGGCTGCGGAGGCGCTGGGACTTCTGGCGGGGGGGTAGGTCGAGGGTCATGGGGGATGAGTATGGGGATATTTGGAAGCGTGAGTTGGTGAGTTGAGGATGAGTTGGAAAAAGGATCGCGGGTGGTCGCGGTGGAGGACTATGTCGTGCTCTTGATGTCGTGCTCTTGATGTCGTGCACCTTGTTGTCGTGCCCCTGGTGCCCTGAGTCGTGCTCGTGCACGTCTTGCGCTCATTTGTCGCCAATGGCGATACCGAGCCATACTTTCCTTGTGGATGTCCGACACCAAGCGCAATTCGCCATCGGCCGTCCCCCGAGCCACACTCTCCACCGCGCAACTCACGGCACTCCTGGTCTCCGGCCTGTCTCACCGCCGTCATCGCCAGCCCCGTGCCGCGCTCGCACCACTATTGCCTCAAGTCACGTGTGGTTATCCTATCCATTGGCCTTTTTTACAAAACAGTGGTTTATCTCCCGCTAGCCATTCATATAAAGCCTATAAACCAATTGATTTGTATATCCCTGTTCTTTCCTAAGTATGTCCCGAGTGACTGGTGTTTAGTTTGTTGTTTGAGTAATAGTCACCCTCCCAGTTGCAACCATGAATCCATTCCAAACCGTCCTCAACGGCCTTGGAGACCGAATACCCGAGTCTCCACCAATCCACCAGAGCCCCAACTCCAACCAGAGTGGGCATCCACAAGATCACGATAATCATCCACAAAATCATCATCCACAAACCCATGATCAACAAAACCACAACCAACAAAACCACAACCAACAAAATCACCTCCAGCACCACCACCACACCCCCAATATTCACTCGCTTCTCTCGCCCGATCCGGCCCAGCTCCACCAGGCCCCAGCACCACAGCAAACTGAAGAAGACCATCGCTTCTTCAAACTCGCCAAAGAAGCCATTGTCGCCACCGCCAAAGCTACCGCCCAGTCCGCCGGGCCCAATAAACAAATTCTCGATCCCACCCTTAACGACTTGTTTATGCGGTTGCAGTACGTGTCTTCTCCCCATGGGAACCCCATCAAAAATGGGGAAAATATTCAGGTTAACGAGAAGGGCCAGCTAATGATCCAGGACTTCTACCAAAACTTCCCCAACCTCAACAATGACATATTTCAAACTCCTGGAACTGGCACCAGCAACGGTCACGCCAGTGGTGCCTCCGACACCACCAGTTACTGGAATCTGTCGCGGCAGCACCAAGGAGGGAATCGAAACCCACTTATTGGGGCCAACCCGTTGATCGGAGTGCCCAGCTATTCCCACGAGTCGACAGCGGTGCTGGCCACGGCCACGGGCGAAGAAAGGCGTTCCCAGTCACCCGAAGAACGTAAGTTCCAGTGTTCTCGATGCACCATGAACTTCAAGCGGTCCAGTGATCTCAAGAGACACGAGAACCAGCACCTCACGATTCCGCCAAACATCTGCGAGTTTTGTGGCAAGGGCTTTGCCCGGAAGGATGCGTTGAAGCGTCACGTGGGCACTGCTACTTGTAAAAGAAATGCTGACAAGAAATTGTACATGGACAATTTGCTATTGCGAGACGAGTTTGGCGGACAGGAGTAAATACGATTGGAGTGGATGTGGGGGTAAATCTTGGTCATGGAACCATACACCTACCACTCCCCCTACACTTGTGTCACCTTTTAAATACATTTGTCGGCAGATGTGTTGATTTCGCAGCCATTGCTATATAGCTCCATAGACCAAAAAACACGCCGACCAGATTCTGGATCCTGTGCCCGCACCTCAGCCCGCGTCCGGCGGTGGTACCGTCGCAACCTGGCGCCGTCGCGGAAGCGGGTCGTGCGCAGCCCCCGCTTCTCGCATCACTCGCGCATCATCCCTTAATTGCCAATCCAATCAGCACCCTCCTTACTCTTTGATAATGACAGGTACTTGTGTAAACAGCATTAAAATCATCGGCGTTGGCTCGCTCGGCTTGTTGTCGGGATCATTGGCATACCAGAGCATCAAGCTCATCCCCCAACTCATCGAGGAAGTATCCTCCTCCGTCTCCAACGCCACTTACTCAAACATCCGTTTGGGTAAGTTTATCAGCCGGGTGTTGGTGGGGTTGTCGACCACTTGCTTCTACTTGGCATATAAGTATAGCCCTGGTAATGAGAAACACCCCTACTTGTTGTACGCTCTCGTTGGGGGTATTTTAAGTTACGGATACACCTTCACTACTCGACCAGATGATAAGAAGTTGAAAGAGTTTGCCGTTCCCAAGGCCCGTGCTAGCCCTGCGCCAGCGCCGGTCGACCCAGTGGTCCCCCAGTCGGTGACTGACCACGATGACCTTGGAAAGTCATATATTCATGTTTCAGATGAAGATTCCACTAGTGCCACTTCCACTCCCAACGGGTCTGTCCCCAGTTCACCCAAGGTGGTGCCAGCGCCGGCCGGGGCCGCGTCCGCGCCCGCGCCAGTGTCTGACATCGAGCACGAAATCGATGTATCGTTATTCAAGAAAGATATGCAGAATCGTTTGGTCAGATTGAAGTCTATCTACTTGAAGGCAGCTGGAGGAGCAGGCTTGACGTTTTTGGTGTCATTTATTGGGGTGGTTGGGGAACTTGTTTTATAGTAAATTATGTTTATGACATTGGTAATACATCTAAAGCCACGCGAAATGCGCGCCGCACTAGAAGTAATCACCTGTCTAGACCTCGATCTGGACCTGGGTCTGCTTACTAAGTGCCAAGCCGCTAGTTACTAATATCGGCTCTATCAGTGTCAATTATGGTGCTTGTGTTTGCCCGAAGTGTATGTGAGCCGTTTCATCAGTAAGGCCATCGGATATAAGTCTTCGGGGTATGTTTATTGCCGAGGGACCGAGGGCCCGCTGTCGCACTATTTAAACAGGCCCATCGGTCCACTTTTTCTTCCTTCGCCTTTAAGAACTTCAGACTATTATGAGTGCATTCTACGATTTATCACCAAAAGACGCCAAAGGCGAATCATACCCCTTCAGTGACCTCAAGGGAAAGGTCGTGTTGATTGTCAACGTCGCCTCCAAGTGTGGATTCACTCCTCAGTACAAGGACTTGGAAGAGTTGAACAAGAAGTACAAGGATCAGGGCTTGGTGATTTTGGGATTCCCATGTAACCAATTTTTGGGACAAGAGCCAGGAACTTCAGATGATATCGCTTCATTCTGCCAGTTGAACTACGGCGTGAGTTTCCCTGTATTGGCCAAGATTGATGTCAATGGTGACAATGCTGACCCTGTTTTCAAGTACTTGAAGTCGCAGAAATCGGGATTATTGGGATTGACCAGGGTCAAGTGGAACTTTGAAAAGTTTTTGATTGACAAGGATGGTAAGGTTGTCCAGAGATATGGATCAACTACCAAGCCCTTGAGCATCGGCCCTGCCATTGAGAAGTTGTTGAAATAAGGAGAAGAATTTTGTTAAAGTATTTTAGTATTGTTAATATTGTTAATAAAGCATATTATGACCAAACCAGCAGGAGTGCGTGTGAACGCAGCTCCTCGCCCCCAGCCTAGACTTGCCCTAGCGGGCGGTGTGTAGGGGAGTATTTGTTGTGTCTCCCAGATACTGCACTGAAACCAACAACCTCCATCGTCCAGCCAATAATACCCCTCTGATCTCACACAATGCGAGTAAAGTTGCTCCCCCAGTGATGTTCACAACCGATTTTTGACCCCGATTTGTTCTGTGCTCTGATATTTCTTCATTGACTCTCAAATAAGACTGTGCAGCTCCTGATTAAGCCCGGTGCGCATCTCCGTGCATAATCTGTAAATACTTTACCTGTGGCAGGCCAGCCCCTGACAATTGATGCGGCGCCCCTTGGCGTGCTGAGACCATATCTTATCGCAGTTGCAAACCCAACGGTTCGTGTGGAGGAGAATCGAATCCTTCTAGCCACTGGCTCCCGGTTGTAGCAAGCTAACAGGCGAGCACAGAACATCCAGGGGGAGGAGGGGCCGAATAGGGGGTGAACGGCGCTTGTGGGCCATCCGCCCCGGTTGGCCCAAAACAATGGAACTATCAATCCCGGATTCCTAGCCTATTTGGGTTTTGGCACTTCATTCTGTTGTAACGCTATTGTGTGCAAATAGGGGGGTTTGCGACTATATATAATGGGGTTTGCACATTTTTCAAATTCTTCATGAACCAGGACGTTTCCAACGGACTTCTTCTTGGCCGCTATAAAGTAGTACGATTCCTTCAGAAGGGATCGTATGGCCAGGTGTACAAATGCATTGACACCACTAGCAATTCCACTTGTTCGATCAAAGCAGTGCCAGCCCAATATGCCGCGTGCGCCCACCACGAGATCAAAATGCTCTCACGCCTCACTGGCTGCGAAAACATTTGTCAACTAGTGTCCCACCACACCACCGACACCGCCGTGTACTTGGTGCTTGAGTACTGTGCGGGAGGCGACCTTCACGAGCACTCTCGGCGCCATCGGGTGTCGTCGACGGATCTTTACACTATCGCCACCCAGTTGTACGCTGCTATTTCGCATGCCCACCGCCGCGGCGTATTCCACAGAGATCTCAAGCCCGAAAACATTCTTTTGCTGACACCAGGGTCTTTCCACAAACTCAAGCTATGCGACTGGGGGCTCTCTACCACCCTGAGAATCTGTAACCAGTTCAATGTCGGCACCGAAAAATACATGGCACCGGAAGTGTTCATCAACAACTATACCCTGGAGTTAAAGTTGACATGCTATGATGCCAAATACGTCGACTATTGGTCATTTGGCATGCTGTTGGTGACAGTTCTCTTTGGTAGGTCGCCGTTCACAGCCCCTGCCGGTCGCCTGTTGATGAGTGACACCAACTACAAGCGGTTTGTGTTGCTTAACCAAAAACACATTTTGTACGAGATCTACCCCAATTTGAATGCAAGAGGCTACAGCTTATTTGCACGGTTATTTTGTCTCAGTGGAGGAGATGACAACGCCAACGACTTTATGTTGGAGATCAAAAGACGAGACTTGGCCCTGTTTTTGGTGGAGTTTCGCCGCTGTTATCGCCAAGGCTTGACTGTGGACGAGAGCGAGGGCCTTGAGTTGTACAGATTCGTTCGCAGCGGTAAACTGGCTGGAACTATCACCAGCAACAGGCCCTTGTTAGTGGATGAGTTCAGCTTGAACTGGTTTGAGTAGTCGGTTAGCCGCTTGGGCTTGGGGAGGTTATAGATATAAACAGGTATATAGGGAAATAAATTGAATTAAACATAAGTTTTCGGTCCATCTACTTTTCAAATATTTGTGAAATTTACAAAAGTGTGAAGTAATAAAAAGTTAAAGACTAATCAGAATATATTTCATGGAAACACACAACACTACATTTCCAAGGCCATACATCTCTGTCTATCTCCTCATGTTGATAAAACGGTGTGGTTTTGTCAAACAAACCAGATATTGGTTCACTGAAGCTAGCTTCTGCCACAAATAGGGTCCGCAGCCACCGCCACTGGCCGTGGCTCCGGGGCGTTTCAGGCGCTTCAAGCGCTAATGGATGTGCCGCAGGTCCGCAGTGGCCGGTGAAGGCCCGTTTGCGGCCAAAGTGAAAAATCATCCGCACGACTCCAAATTACTCACTGATCTCGTCGACATTTTTTCCGTATATAAAGACCGGCTTATACGTGAAAATTTTTTTTCCACTAATCACACTTGATAATTTATAATGTCCTTCAGACAATCTATTCGTGCTGCTAAACAGGCCTCTAGAGCCGCCAGAGGTTTCTCCACCAGATCCTTAACCTCCATTGCCAGACAACAACCAATCATGGCTTCTGCCCAAACTGTTTCTTACACTGCCACCAGAGGTATCAAAACCATCAACTTTGCTGGTACCGAAGAAATCGTCCACGAAAGAGCCGACTGGCCAAGAGAAAAGTTGTTGGAATACTTCAAGAACGACACCTTGGCTTTAATCGGATACGGTTCCCAAGGTTACGGTCAAGGTTTGAACTTGAGAGACAACGGTTTGAACGTCATCATTGGTGTCAGAAAAGACGGTGCTTCTTGGAAGGCTGCTATCGAAGATGGTTGGGTTCCAGGTGAAAACTTGTTTGACGTCAAAGAAGCCATTCAAAAGGGTACTTACGTCATGAACTTGTTATCCGATGCTGCTCAGTCCGAAACCTGGTCTACCATCAAGCCATTGTTGACCAAGGGTAAGACCTTATACTTCTCCCACGGATTTTCCCCAGTGTTCAAGTCCTTAACCAACGTTGAGCCACCAACTGACATTGACGTTATCTTGGCTGCTCCAAAGGGTTCCGGTAGAACCGTCAGATCTCTTTTCAAGGAAGGTAGAGGTATCAACTCTTCTTACGCCGTGTGGAACGATGTTACCGGTAAGGCTGAAGAAAAGGCTATTGCTTTGGCTGTGGCCATTGGTTCTGGTTACGTTTACCAAACCACTTTTGAAAGAGAAGTCAACTCTGACTTGTACGGTGAAAGAGGATGTTTGATGGGAGGTATCCACGGTATGTTCTTGGCTCAATACGAAGTTTTGAGAGAAAACGGCCACACTCCCTCTGAAGCCTTCAACGAAACTGTCGAAGAAGCCACCCAATCTTTATACCCATTGGTTGGTAAGTACGGTATGGACTACATGTACGATGCCTGCTCCACCACTGCTAGAAGAGGTGCTTTGGACTGGTATCCAAGATTCAAGGATGCCTTGAAGCCAGTTTTCACCGAATTGTACGAGTCTGTCAAGAACGGAAGCGAAACCCAAAGATCTTTGGACTTCAACTCCCAACCTGACTACCGTGAAAGATTGGAAGAAGAATTGGAAGTTATCAGAAACATGGAGATCTGGAGAGTTGGTAAGGAAGTCAGAAAGTTGCGTCCTGAAAACCAATAATTGTGTTGAAGCTTTATTTTATTTGTCATGTTAATTCACTCTGGTCAAATTGAATGACTTTGAATTTTCACTTCTTTTTATTTATGGGAAACGATTCTTTACGAAAACCAAAAAAACTATAAACTTATGTATGGTGCTATGTTTGTTGAATAAACAAGTGCGATTAATGTTGTAAGAACCAAGGATTATTGTAATGCTGGTATTTATGCTCGAGGCACAGTTATAATTAGATCAATAGCTCACTTTACAACAACGGAGGGAGGGGAGCAGGCACAAAGCTCTCTGACACTTGGGGAAATTAAGTTTGAGAAAGATCTAACCATTTTAAACAACGCTAAGTAGCGCATTCATTTTAAAGGAAAAGCCACTTTGCAGAAACATTCATTACAATCAATGGCCCGTTTCTGTTCTTTCACATTTTTCCCACATCGTCTCCCAACAATTGTTGCCGCCGTCATGTCTTGGCTCATTTCGCAGCCACTTTGCGCGGGATCAACATTCAAATCTTTGCTCGTTCCCACAAACATACCTTATAATGAACCAACAAAGTTTTGACGACGACAACAGCGCCTGGGATTACTCATTCCCGCCGCTGGAGGAGTCACTACCCATGGAATCCAACTCTGCTCTCCCGTCCCTCGAACCAGTTGCCCCCCAACATTCAGATTCCAGCGACATAGCAATTTTGAACGAGCATCTCAGGTCATCCCAAACGACCAACCATAATGGCAACGGCGCATTGCATGGCAACACACCAGTATCTATACCAGAAATGACCAATAAGCATAGACACAAAACCAGAAAAGCACCGCCAGCAGCAGAGGATCGTACTAACATACCTCAATCCACAAACAAAGTGTCGGGAGCTGCCAAAGATGACAGCTCCATCAGCTCCTACGAAGACAACACAATCCCTGATCCACAAAAGGACGATACACCTTTCGCCTCCATCCTGATTGAACAGGTGAAGAAAGTCAACTCAGCCGCCCAATCAGCCAGTTCTCTCCCACTTCTGTCACCGTTTCTCTCCAAAGCAGCACCTGCCGGCCCGCTCACCACCCGTGAAGATGCTAGCCTGGTGATGTCTCGGGAGAGCAACAAAAACGCTTTGGCTAGCCTCGATTTGGGCCCTGAAGATCATGTAACCGATGGCCTCCAGCGACTGGGCTCGACCAGGTGGTCACATCTAGCGGGTTCAGACGGGGCAGAAGACGTCACCAGTACAGAGAACGCCGTCTCCTCGCCTAACACACCCAGGTCGCCCACGTTTCACGGCCTGCCTACGTTTGCGGAGTCTCCCAAGATCATCACCTACAGAAAGAGCAAGCGCACCACAAGTGAATACAATTTCCAGGACATTTTGGACGCCGACGCGGCGGCATCGGCCAGTCCTCGAGACAAGTATGACCCTCGTTTGTACACAGAGGAGAAGTTCATTGACTCGATGTACCACTATGCGTCAATGAAGCGGAACACTGATTTCCATCAGTTGTTCCGGTCTCTAGACCTCACCGACCGGCTCCTAGACGATTTTGCGTGTGCTCTTTCACGGGAAATTCTTCTCCAGGGCCGGATCTATGTCAGTGAACAGTATGTGTGTTTCAACTCCAGTTTGCTCGGATGGGTGACAAACTTGGTGATCAAACAGGAAGACATTATTCGGTTTGAAAAAAAGTCCACTGCCGGGATCTTTCCCAACGGAATCGCCATTGTCACGAGGGACGGGAGACACAACTTCGCCAGCTTCATCTCGCGTGACTCGACGTTCGACTTCATGAAGACGGTGTGGGAAGGTGTTACGGGTCTCACAATGGTGATGGAGTCGGTGGACGAAGTAAAAGACTCCAGCTCGACCAGCAGCGTCGACAAGGACGACCACGGTGACATAGACGACCATAGCGAAAATGCGGCGAACATCGAGTCGTTCATCATGTCACTTGACGGTGATGATAGCGAGAAGGAACCTGAGCCTCGCAGTGAGAGCGTAGAGGCCCCAGAAGGAAATGAGGTTTTGGTGATGAAGTTCAAACCCGACTCCGGCTACACCAACCACGGACCCGACATTTGTGCACCTACAAAGCTTCTGCCAGACGAAATCGCTGAAGACCATGAGATAGAGTTGTACAATGATGTGATTAAAGCCCCGATGGGAGTAGTGTATGAAATTCTTTTTGGAAGCAAGGACGGGCAGTTTTTCCAGGATTTTCTTGAGTCCCAGGATTCGAGTGAGTTGACCGGCTTCGGGCAGTTTGTGGATGGGCACCGGCAATACTCGTACCGCAAGGCACTAGGGTACTCAATTGGACCCAAATCGACCACTTGTGAAGTGGAAGAAACCGTCCTTGTGCTCGACTGGCATAAACGTATCGTGGTAGAGACGGCCACCCGCACGCCCGATGTGCCACTGGGAAACCTGTTCAGTGTTCGAAACAAGTACCGAATGAGCTGGGACCTCAACGGCAATACCCGACTTCAGGTGACGTACTGGATCGATTGGGTGGCCCGGTCGTGGATCAAAGGGATGATCGAGAAGCTGACCAAGACAGGACAGGTGGATTCGTGCACTTCATTGGTGGGCCGGTTGAGCCAGGAGATTCAAAACACTACGCATAAGGCGGTGGCTCTGGCGGATACGATCGCAGCGGTGGTGGAGGAGACGGCGGCCGCCAGTACCACTGCCAGTATCACCGCGGGCGTGAAAGAGTCCACGGTGGTGGGCTCCGAAAAATTGGCGGTGTTGGTGCGCATGCACGCGGTGGCGGTGGCGGTGGGGCTTGTGTCGATGTTTGGGTTGATACTAATAATGCAGCTCTACATTATATGGCGACTAAACGCATTGGAACAAATCATGCGGCAGCTTTCATGACTGGAGGGTTGATTTACGAAAGCCAAAACCGAGCCCATTCCCACCACGAGGACTAGTTGGGTGCATATACGTTAACCTGAAACATTGTTAATCTTCACGGTGGCTAGATATGAAGATAGTGGGTAGGAGCGCGGCGAATCCCGGTTACATGCATACGGTTGCTGGTGCATAGGAGTCAACAATAACAATACCCAATTGGGGAACATATCGCAAAGGGGTCGTGCAATCTTTACGACCGGGGTCCTATAATCTGCATGTGTACCCATTTTGCAGTAATTTGTACCCTAGTTGAAACAAGTATTTTATACCCCTATGGAAATCTAGTTTATGTCAAAACCCGGGCCAGTCCCCGGTACACACATGCCACTAGGCCTGTGTATGCTTACATGCCAACTTCGGCCTGTTCCATCTGCATAGGAAATAATCTGAAACCATTTGCGCTCTGTTATTGTTCCGAATCGTGCGAGACGCATGTACATGATTATACATCTCCAGCCTAGGCCGTGCCAAGAGAGACCACGTGACTAGCCGTCGCAAAGCGCACCTTCTGGAGCCTCTTGACAGCCATTTCCCTTGTGTTGGTATCATCACCTAAATAAGCCATGGCTTGAATACTAAAAACGGGGTCTAATTACACAATTTGTCGGATTTATTTTGGATGTATCACATTACGGGGCTTTTCTGTGGTGTATGAATTAAGTTTTTGTAATTCCCAGCGACAGATGTTCCGCAACCGATAAGGCCAAATCCTTAACAGCGATCAAGTGGATCCAGGGTTTCAAAAACACGAGTAGCCAAAGTGACGAATTTACAGCCGAGTATAGGGGGTCCCCGCTATCAAGATAATCAGTAGGGTTATGGAAATCCCTACACAGATGCGCTTGTGGCTAGATTGTGGTGGGACAGCAGGTTCACCCAAAATCAATAGGGGTTGCGAGCCAGAAGATTGAAGGAAAATAATATATTATTTTATACCTTTGAAACAGATGGGGGCTAAATTGATTTCCCAATCGGAGGTTACAGTTCGGTATCATTACGAGGACATATTCTTATATAACACGGAAGTCACTCTCACAATCATTCACAGATCTTAATTTTAGTATCTGCGCTTGCTTCACAGGCATATCATTTTTCGCATCAAGCCCTTCCCCATGAATGCATATTACCATGACGAAGAAACCAATGAGGTGTACAAGGACAATATCAACTTGCGCTTGAAGCTTGGTGGGTATTTACGGTGCCGACTCCCGGTCTTGAACATTCAATCTATTCCCATGTCTTCCAAACTGTTGGCCAGTGCTTCCTCTCTCGGAGACCTTCAATTGTTTCTGGAAATGGCCGACATCAAACATGTGTCGGGGCTGCTACTTCCATCGTCGCTCCAGGATCTCGGGAATTACCTGGAAGTATCGTCAACCCAGAGACTTTTCACACCTTTAACCCCCATCAAGTGGAGCTGGAACTTGAATGTGGTGGAAAATGACGAGGGGGCTGGACTTCCACACCACATGGCCGAGGCCACCGATCCCACCACATCGGACTCCTCGCCCCAGCTGGTGGACTCTTTACCAATGTGGGATCCGATGTACAACATTATGGAGGACATTGACCAAATGGACAGTATCGTCGACATTGACAGCATCACCCCAGAGAACTGCATGACGCCTGATATGGCATGTAAGTGGCTGAAAGAGCTGGACATTGGTTTTCTGTATATTGTGGACTACTTGGCTAAAAACAATTGTGCTGACCCTGAACAAGGACGGCTGACCGATGTAGCAGACGATTGCGACAAATACGACGACGATTACCGCGGTGCAGACATCGAACCCGCCCCTGTGGGTGCAAAGCGCACCGCGGCAGAGGAGGCTGCTCTCCGCACGTCGGTGGCTTACAACTACCGCACCGTTACCGAGACCCTTGAAAAGTTATATAAACATTGCATCTATATCCGTGAGGTGTTGTTGTGCTCCCACTGCCCGAAAAAATTTGAAACTGTACATGAGCTTGCTCTTCACTGTCAAGAGTTCAATCTCTACAAGGGATTCAAATACAAGTGCCCATTGGCGACATGTCCATTTAAGCTCATTGGATTTAACAAGAAGTTGGACCTCCGCCGGCATGTCACCGCCAAGCACATCGACCGTAAGACGTTTGAGGTGCTCACCGATGATACATATGAAGAGAAGTTTGTGCGGCTGTTGGTGTACTTCTGCCACTGCCAAAGAGTCTTTTATCGAAGAGACAGTTTACAGCGACATCAGCGGCTCATCCACCGTAACTCATGATGGCCGCAATTCATATACTGCGAGGACCATTGCGCTCGGCTCATGCCGTACGAATATGGCATTAGCTAGGTCATAATACACCAATCATATATTTGTAACTACCAGCGCAAGATCCCGGACCTAAATCAATGTGCCTGAGCACAATTGGGAAAGCTACGGCACTTTAATTGAGTCTAGACGTACATTTATGTATGGATATGCGGGTTGTAGGCAGGAGGCGATCTGCCCCAATAGGCCTGTGTCGATCTAAGGCGGAATATCCAGCCTTGACCCGTAGCCCTGGCCATATTAAGGTTTGGATGGATCTTAACACGCCAACCATACCAAATGGACCAATGCCCTTTTAGCAGGGGTTCGAAAAATTTAAGCTTGCTTGCATTTACAGGTGATGGAGGCTTCTGTAGTCTATTATCTACTGGCCTCATTAGTTTGCAATCTCTTCTTCTCGGCAAATAGTTTGCCCAACTCGCTCTCAATCTCACCGAGAAGATCCTGATAATCACAACTCTTGCTCTTGACACGAGACTCTCTAAGAAACCGCTCCAGCTGAGAATAATTACCCAAATGAAGGTGGATCACTCCGAGCGAGTACGTTGCAAGCGCCACCAACTCGGCCACCGCTGTTTCCTCCTTTTCATCATCCTTAGAGTCCTGGCCCATCCGGACGTTTCTTGTAAGATTATTGGCAATCTTGGTGACATTTTCGTATGCCTCAGATGCCAAAGCCACGCATTGGGCAAAGTTGTGATGGAGAGCATTGAACTTGATCCTATCCTCCTCCGGAACCTCAGTTCCGTTGGCGTACTGGTCAGGACGTTTGTGCTTGATGTCCAAACCGTGCTTCTTCAATATACTAACCATCTCCGCTTCAAATACTCCCCCCTGGAAGTACAACAACAGCCCCAAGTTGCACTGGTTGAGGAGCACCTTGTCGGGAGCATATTTGACAAGTAACATAAGTTTGTTCAAGTTCAAGTTGACGTTGATGGAGTAGCTGTAGTCTCCAAGAGAGATGTTGATGGCAATAAGCATATCCATCATGTTGATATACTCGTCAAGGAATGGGAGATAGCGCACGGCTTGGAGGCGGCCAGCACTTTCGGGCGAGTCAAGGTCTGCCATCGAAAGCTGGCTCAACTTCTGCCCGAGCTTGTTGTCGATGATGATGTTAGGGAGAATGGCATGGGTGATCAAAATGGCCTTACAGAGACCGAGGTTCGTGCGATTAAGCTGCACTAATTTTGCTACTACCCGCAAGTCTTTTTGCACAAGATGGTATCGCCTGGGATCGGATAGGGTGACAGACTTATCGGTGAGAACCTTCAAGTACATGGTGGAAATCTCGTTGTAGAGAAAATTAGCCTCATCAATCATTCCGAGCCGCTCGTACATTTCGCCCATCTTGAGTTGGATCCCGGTGTATTCGTCACTGAGACGGTCGAGTTCCAACTTGTCACACTCCTGAAGAGCTTCAATATAGTGTTTGAGTGCAAGCGCATAGTCTTTATCACCTTTATCTGATTCTGCCCAAAGGCCTTTTCGAAGGATTTTGGCGACTGAGCTGGGGAATGTGTGGTGTGGCCAGAACAAGTAGTAGGAAGCGCCTGTTGCCACGGTGAAAACAGCTAGCACAGAGAGGAATCTGTTTCTTTTGTGATGAGGATTGAATGGTTGTGAGTAGTTGTAGGAAAAGGAACGCGAGAAGCGGCGGGGTGCGGAAGGCGGGAACGCAAAGGGTTGGCGTGGGGTGAAGTGTTTCATGGGATTTGAACGGGCAAACCGCGCCAATTGTCGAGGTGACGGTAATCGAAACATTGTCTGGGTGGAACTGATGAGAAAAAATGATGCGCATTAAAAAGTAGCGACACAAGTTACTGAGGTGCACAACGAAGTAAGAAACCTGGTTGGACAATACGTACCCTAACATCAACAGACACACTCCTCGTTGGTAACAGTAAGACAATAGTCAGATAGTAGGAATATCTGAAAGTGTCGTCGGAGGTAATCAGACCAACGAATACTACAATTGCTTTGACTACACCACTAATAAGCACACAACTAATAAGCAGCTAACAAGTATACAGAAACAAGTGTACAGAAACAAGTGTATCCATATACCAAGTGCCAAAGTCTGTACTTAGTGAAAGGACAGACCAATTTTCAGACCCACATCCTCGTTCAGACCCACACATCTACAAACACAATGGTCGAAAGCAACATTCTTTCCATCTTCAAAACATCCCAAGCTCCCACTCTCATCGAGGAAGACTGTATCCCATGTACTCTGATGCAGCTGGCAACGGCCTTGGGAATGGGTGGATACTTGTTAACCGATAGGATTTACACCGAAGCTGATGGGACGATTGATGGACGCAAACACCCCAAATGGTGGCGCAACAGCGTGAAGACTTCGGGTGTTGTATTGGTAATGTTCGGAGTCCAACGGCTATATCGTGTGTATGAAATTTACCAGGACCAACGGCCTTTACAGTGATAGGCGTATTGGGTAATGGTTGTATTACACCGCACCACTCCATGTAAGGTACAAAAGGGTTTTCATCCCGGTACCGGTAGGCCCGGTCAAGAAAAATAAAATATACCAAACAGGAAGGCCAAATGATGAATAGTCAGATAATCTTTTGTCTACGTCACCTTGACGAGCGTTGGGTTGACGTGTACTCTGTAAATAGTAAATATCATGCGTGAAATTGCATATGAAATGTGAATACTGACCTCATCTCCCAAAAAAAAAAGATGATCTCTGTAGGCTTAATTGTTTTAGAGTTGTATTCAGCTCCATAACCACTGCCCTCCAGTGCTTTTAGAATTAACATTTTCACCGTTAGTCAGGAGTCATCGCTACTTTCAATTAACAAGTATTACCTAGAGCACCCTGGGCGACTACTATTTTTTGTGCTAGTTTCAACTTCTACCACAAGGATTTGCAATAAATATTTGTAGCCCTTCTACGTTCATTAGTACTTGTGAAGTGAAGAATAATGAGTGAACGTTTTGTTTGATTTGGGGTGCTGCCATCTTGCAGCCATGACTACCGACTTTGCACTAGGAAGTTTGCATCATGAATTTTGCATCACTTCACATGAGATTGGTACACACTCCTACAAGCAAGCATTTTTCCCTTAACATCCACAAAAGATGTTGTCTCGTTTCACTGAGGCCACGTTTGTTTGAGAGTCGATGATGTTTGTGGAGATGAATAGACGACAACGCAGAAGCTGTGGGTTACGGACACAAAACCGGCTGATATTTAACACGAGGTTAAATCGCAGCAGTAATTGTACACATAAGCCTACCGAAGGAGACTGGAGGGCTATTGCGTTCAAAAAGGCAGTGCCCTGCAATTACACTCAATTGGTCCGAATTTCATGTAAGGTACAAGAGAACAAATTTGCGCCACTTACAGTAATAATAATAGGTGATTGTTCCCGATGTAAGTATTAGCCCGGAGATCACATGTCAAATAGCAACCGGCCCCACAAACAATGCCCCATTGGAACCGTGAAACACTGAAATTACCTGGAAAATTGGCTGATGCGTCCAAAAATCAGAAGCAACCATTCTAGAGGGTGCAGACTCATAACGTCACTAAGCGTCAAGGTTACATGCCGGCGCACGCGCAAATGGGGAAATATTAATTTTGTTTTTCACGATTAGAGTACCCACAATATTGTTGACGTCGGAGAAAAGCTTGGAAACCTAGCAGCGAATCAGTGGTTCTATGGGTAGGCTAAACTAGAGGGTGGCGCTGGCAAGGAATTTTCGTGGCACAATATTTAGATGGGATCAAACAGTCTATCTGCACACCCTGAAAGCTTGGGACTGATGGGTGGGGGGACAGTCGTGCAAGCAAGTCGCAAGGCACCAAACGGGCACTATGGACAGATTTACGCTTTATAGGTGCAGGAGGCGCTGCAAATATAGTCGTTGCACATCTTTTGCGCCAACTGGGCGGAAATAAGCATCCACTTCCCAGTTGCCAACATCAGCTCAAGGTCTAAAAAATATTAAGATGGGACAGCCCAGCATATGCCGAAAGAAAATATTTTTTCGGGCGCATCGCCAGACTTTGGTCGCACCGACAATTGGTAAATTATATACCATCTCTTACATGCTGACACCCTGCCCCAACACAATCAGGTTTGTCTTCCCTACATAAAAGCATGGGCTCAGTTTTTTTTATTTTTACCTTGATCTTTTTTTTTTCGCATAGCTCGCTTTGAGTGATAATTTCATCAATCGATATAAATAGCAAACAAGCACCACAAAATTAAATTTTTTTGGCTACTACTGCGTTTTTCTAGTATCTATCACAATTGGACATCCATTATGGACCAACTGTTTTTGTCTGTGGTCAACCATCACCATACACATGCCGATCACGGAGGCGCACATCACCCCGATGTCTCCACAACAGGGTTTGACCCAGACATGGAAAGAGACTCCAAGCTCGAAGTTCCTATTCCTCCTCTCCACGCACAACAAAAGTACTTGAATGATCTGAACAAAATCTACAACAGTGAGAACGTCAAGTATCTCCGGTCGGTGTGCAGTCGATGTAAGAAGGATTTTGACCAGCCGTTAATCATTCCCAAGCGGGCAAGCGACGTGGGAGTCGAGACTTCCGATGACCCCAAGCCACTCATCGAGCCCAAAATCTTTAAGTTGTGCCAGCACTGCCGGGAGTTACAGAGACAGCGGTCGAGGCGGTGGCAGAAGAAAACCAAGGAAAAGGTGGGCGTCTGTCGCCGGTGCGGCAATGACATTCCTCCTGAGTTGCAGAAGTTTGTGTTGTGCTTGAACTGCCGGCAGAACTTGCGGTTTCGTAAGGCCAACCGTGCGAAGCAGGGCCGGTGTGTCCACTGCCTGGGTCCCCTCGACACGTCGATCATCACCGGTGGCGATGACCAGGATGGAAAGCGAGAAAAGAGCTTTAAGGTGTGCAAACGGTGTCGAGAGAACGACAAGATCCGGCGGAATAACCTCGAGAAGTTGGGCAACTGCAACCGGTGCGCCAAGCCGTTGCCGGACGACGACATGGGAAAACACAAGGTGTGTCGCAACTGTCGCAACAAGAAGAAGAAGCTGGGATTGGCGGAACCCATCAATCCCATTGGCAATCTCGGCCTTAACTTGGGCATGAATCCCGGCAGCCATGACCCCAACTTGATGCACGATATGAACATGTTCAACTCGTACAACCAGCTGCAAATTCAGCAGCAGATCAGTCAGGCACTCCAGCCTCAGAACCCGATTCCACAGCAACAACAACTGCAACAGCCCGTGCAGCAGCAGCATCAGCAGCATCAGCAGCATCAGCAGCATCAGCAGCAACATCAGCAGCAACAACAACAACAACAACAACAACAACAGCCCATGCAGCAGATGCATCATGTGCAGACAGGCCCGTTGCACTTACAGCAGATCCCCAATATGTACAACGATATCCAACTTCGGCAAAACCTCCCACTCCAGATCCCCATGGGCCAGATGAGCCACGGATCGAACCAGCTGCCACCTGGCCAGTTGCAGCAGGGTCACTTGAACCAGATGAATATGGTGCAGCAGATGCAGCCGATTGTGCCTACAGCCAATCAGCAGATGGGAGTCGCCAATATGGGCATGCCCAACATCAATGCGATGAATCCAATGGGACAGTACCAGATGAACCTTTTACCGCAGTATGCGCCGGCTCAGCAGGGGCAGCAGCCGGGCCAGTATCAGGGCCAAATGTAATATATTGTAGTATAGGCGCAAGGCGCTAATGCATAATCTTTGATTTGAGCAGTAGATGTGGAAGACGCCGGACGGAAGCAACTGGCGAACGAGCGGATTGTGATCACTGGGGCTAAGGGATCACGTCCAAGCCGTGTTGGACGAAGTTCAGGCCCTGTTAGGATGATCTGGTGCGTGGTGGTAGGTGGCACTGACAGGGCACTGGGAGTGTACTGACAGGGCAACCAAGAGGGAGGGAGCATCAGCAAATATTGAGAGAAAAGGATGAGAGGCACGGACCAGTAATCTACCAGAACAATAGCGAGGAGCGAGCATCTACATATAGAGAGGATATCATCTGAGAAAAAGTGGGAGTTGAGAAAGTGAAGGTCAAGAACACACTGTACATCTCAAGAACATCAACAAGAACGTCACTAATGTCAGCAAAAATATCACTAATGTCAGCGAGAACGTCACTAGTGTCAGCAAGAACATACTGACAACATAGTAAGAACGTGTTCAAAAGTTTGACTAGTAGATCATACTGTACTTTCTATCATCAAGAACATCACCAAAAACATCATCAAGAAGACAGAAAGAAGACAGCAAGAAGACAGCTATAAGACAGCAAGAAGACAGCTATAAGACAGCTTGAAGACAGCTAGAACACATCAATAACACAACACGAACAACATGATGAAGATACTAGAATACAGCAAGAACAGCAAGAACAGTAAGAAAATATCAACACTTCATCGGAACACACTTATAACTTCAACAAGAAACACCAAGTAACACCTACTGACCACAAGAGCACACCCACACCCTTACTGCTAGCACCCAGCAACAGTCAGAAATACACCACCGATGCTTCTATGTCCACCCCAACCTTTGTTCCCTTTAGCCAAATGCCTGACTACAAACCAAACGACCACAAGTGTACCGACCACAAACACATCATAACCACTCTTGTCTCACCTCGACCAAACTTCACTCGCTGTTACCACCGGCTGCAAAGCCAACACTTGATGTCCCCTGACCCCAACACCATGATTCTACAGTTAACGTCTCTACAACCACATGGCACCACTGAGAGCAATTGACCAAAAGCCAGACGCTTTGCCACTAGACGCGTTCCAACTAGACACTTGGGACAGAGTTTTTAAAGCGCCTGTGTACACCGTCCCGAGTTCTCGAGGTCCCACGCCATCTTTGTAGTAACTCGCTTATGCGCGTCCTATGTTTCGCAGACGCCTCAACGCAACATCTGCAGATGTCTATCTCTCCCTAGTGGTTGCGTCTGAAGGTGGTTGTATCTGCTGGTAGCGGCTGGGGGTGGTGGCCTGCTTCGGCGCACCCCCCCTAATGTTTCTACATCCTAGCTCTTCTCTCTTACCAGTTTCTGGTTGGCCTCCGCCAAGTGCGCGCGACTCTGAACCCTTAGACGAACATTTTTTACCTTCCCACCTTAGCATATTCCAAATTCAAACCCAAATACCTCACTCATCATGATGCGGTTGAACAACGGTTCCAGCTCCAGCGTCGCCAGCAAGGACAAGGAGTTGCCTCCGGTCCCCCCCAAAGCCGATGGCTCGCTCTTAAATGTCAAGACCCTAAACCGCAAGAATTTCAAGAAGCTCCAGCTCCATCACGATTTGGACAGCACCATTCCCCCAAACCTCGAACACAACTCACCTGAAAGTGGCCCTTTGAAGAACAAACGCACGCTTCTCAACCTCAACTTGGGCGGCAACTCCAACTTCCAGAACCCAGGTTTTGTCAACCTGAGCGCCTCAGGGTCTGGCAATATCATCAACAACACAGTGGTAATACAGCAGCTCACTCCGAGCCTAGACACGTCCAGCAACCGCAGTAGCATCAGCTCCATTGGCCTGGTCGCCACCAGCCACCGCAACCTCGACCCGGACTCGGTGCTGTCGACTGATAATATCATCAACCAGATCTCCACTCTCGAATTGGCCCACCAACCGCATAAGTCCAAGTTCATTCGCAAGAAGCAGACAGTCATCTCATCGATATCCCCCACCAAGTCGACCAGCTCTATGCACCTGCCGAGCGAGCCCGGCGGTGGTGATACTGGCAACATCCTGCCAATTTATTCCACGACAACCAGTTTCAAGTTCAACTCAAAGGACCTTGTCACCTTGAAGAACTTGGGTTCTGGTAACTCCGGAACCGTGTCTAAGACGTTGCATATCCCCACGCAGCGGATCATGGCCAAGAAAATCATCCCCATCGAGCTGAACCTGTTGATCCAGAACCAGATTATCCGAGAGTTGAAGATCTTGCACGAGTGCCAGTCGCCGTACATCATCGAGTTCTTTGGCGTGTTCATCAATAATAACAACACGGTGGTGATATGTATGGAGTACTGTAATTGTGGGTCTTTGGATAAGATTCTTGGACTCTTGCGGCCTCGACAGTTCCCACTCGTGGTGTTGAAAAAACTCTCCTACTCGATGTTAAGAGGTTTGGTGTACTTGTACGAGAACCACAAAATCATCCACAGAGACATCAAGCCGTCCAATGTGCTTATGACCCATAAGGGTCAGTTTAAGTTGTGCGATTTTGGTGTTTCAAGAGAGTTGACCAATTCACTCGCCATGGCCGATACCTTTGTGGGCACCTCCACTTACATGTCACCGGAGCGGATCCAAGGACTCGAGTACGGCATTAAAAGTGATATCTGGTCAATGGGGTTGATGCTCATAGAACTTGCTAGTGGTCGCTCCATCTGGCACGAAGACTTTGATGACAAGAACAATACTAATGACAATAATGACCACCATTCTCAGCTGTCTACATCTGATGATTTTACCTCCAACCCGGGGCCTGAAGGGATTTTGGACTTACTCCAGCGGATCGTGAATGAAGACCCTCCTTGTTTATTGAACCTCATCAACCCTGTCACCAAGCAGAAGTACGATCCTGAGCTCTGTCAGTTCATAAACTACTGTTTGATCAAGGATGACAAACAACGGAAGTCACCCTGGGAGTTATTGAGTTTACAAGATTGTACGTTTCTTCAGGATGTGAAAAAACCCGAATATGAAAAGGAAGTCCGCACATGGGCCAAGATGATTCGAAACCTACACAAAGAGAAGCAGGACCAGCAGGACAGGGAGAAGGACAAAAGAAAGAGATGAAGCTGACGATGATGACGATCACGATTATAACACTAAATAGTAAATATCATTTATAGACAACTATGTACGCTGAACATTGAACAATGCCTGCTAAAATTATGCTGAGCCGCTGTTGTTCAATTTCGCTTGCAACTCCTCCGCCGAGATCAATGCATAAGGCGCATTTTATGCCGGGTCATCTGCCATGCATGCGTGTACATTCCGGCAAAAGTTGCTGCCGCTGATCGGATTATGGGCGTGTCCAGCTACCCCCTGCGATTGCAGCCACCTTGACGGTTGCGCTTGTTATTGCGTTTGTGTACCGCTCCTGTGGGGGGTATTGGTCAGAACAGCAATGAGTCGCCTACGAGTAGAACGGCACTGGCTTACGTTGCATCCAGATCGTACTGCACTAACACGACTTTCGCGCTTCTGCGGGTCAACCCCCCACAATCTTCGCTCGACGGTTTCCGCACAATATCACACTATTTCCCCAAAGGGTGCGACCATGCGGTGATGCTCCTATCGTATGAATATGCGCTCTCTGTTACAAAACGGTCGCAAAACCGGCGACTGTCGACCCTTGAAGAAATTGTCGAGTTCGAGATACTTAATAACAAGACAAAGTTTTCCCTTAGAGGCTGGCTAATGGGCGACAGCTAGAAACTCATGTCTTGGATTCTTATTGTATCGTATATTTAAAACACAAATCACCAGTGTCTTTTGTGTAATATTAAAAGAACATCCACAAAGACACAACAAAATAAAATAGAGTCCTGACTCTTTACACAAATCAACCACTGACAAAAAACCACTAATGGGCATGCAACCCGTAGGTTTCAACCAACTTCCAGTAACTGGTAGCCGTGATTTTTCTGAACTTCTTTCCTAACGCTATCATCACCAACGAAAGGGCCCAGAAAAATGCTCCAATACAAGCAAGACTAATGTACAAGTTTTGAGTGCCAACTGCCTCTAGCCATGGAGTCACAGCATACGAAAAACCAAAACCCATGGTGTTTCTGATCAAAATCATTGTCACCAACCCGACTCCACTGACTTCTTTGTAGCAATCAATGATATAGTTGATGGCAATGGCACTTCCAATGGGAAAGGTGGAACAGATGGCTCCAAGACCAAAGGCCAAACCAACCCAGTGGATACCTTTGGCAGCCCCAATTCCATATAAAAGACATCCAAACGGATGGATAACCATGGGAATCACAGATAACCATAATCTGAACTCAGGTTCTCTATAACCCTTTCCGGTTCTAGCTTTCCGCACCGTGAACCCATCAACTACTTTACCACTAAAGTATGCTCCCACAGAGATACCAATGGCAGGTGAGGCAAAGAACACTCCCACCATGTTGGCACCGAAGTTGTAAGGAGGAGCAGATAAAACAGAAGCGATGGTAGCGTTTACCACGTTAAACCAACTCAAAACCGCACCCACAGTGAACCCTGCGAATACCACACTGGGAAAACGTAAAAGGTAGAAAGGCATCCACATTGACTGGAAAAAATTGGTCTTCTGTTGAGGGCTTCTGGCTCCCCACAACTTCAACTTGTCTTTGAAAGTCTTGGTCTTATAGTTGTTCTCTGGTTGCGAACTTTCGCTCGAGTTGACCTTGTCGATACCAACATGGACTATATCCTTTTTGGTAGACCCGTCTTCAATGTTGCTAGTTATGGCTTCAGGAACTGAGTCAGCAGCATCCAATTCCAAGGCTGGGTCACGGTAAAACATGGTTTCTTCCAAACAGAAGAATAAGATGATCAAACACCCAGAAGCAATAATGGAGGCAATAAATTGAATCCATTGCCAGCCGTATCTCGATGAGATGAACCCGGCAACGATCCCACTGATGAATGGGATGTTGAATAAGGTCCAACAGTACCAGGCGATCCATCCACCTCTTTCGTGGGCAAAGAACACATCGGAGATACACACCTCGATCAAGGTTTCAATGGGTCCATAGAAAAACCCAACCAAAAGCCGGTTCACGTACCATTCACCAGCACTCTTGACGTACGCCGACCACACGGTACAGAGCATACACGCCAACCCGGCGAAGAGAATAACAGGTCTTCTACCGAAGTTCAAACCAAGCGGCTGCCAAATAAGACACGACCAACCAAAAAACAAGTACTGAATACCGACACCCGTATTCAAGTCTGCTAACGAGATGCCGGTGTCGGCCACAATATCAAGCAACACTGCTGAAAGAGCAGTACTCAAAATGTCAGCACTAAAGACCGCCAACATCAAGCAGAAAGCTAACTTTCTCTTTCTCAGCTTCACCCAGTTCAATGGGTCTTCAGGGTCATCAGTGGGTTGGGGAACCAATACAATGTCATCACCTTCTTCGTGTCTGACATTCATGGTCCCTTCAAGATCCACCAAGTGGATGGTACCAGGGACTCTCATGTCCAATTCCTTCTCTTGTCCAAGCATATTCAGTAAATTTGCAATTGGAAAAAGGTGGTTTGTGGAGATTGTATTGTGTACTTATGTGAGGCTGCAGGGCCTGATTAGGTCTTCAGAAACTACAAGAGATGAGATAGTCAGTGAGGTTCTCTGTGCTGGATCAGTTTTCCTAGTTGAGTTAAACTGGAGATGCTCTTGATTGGTAAAAGAAGAACATTATTGCATCTAGTATAACAATTTCGTTCCATGTGCCAGACAAAACCTGTCATCTACCAGATCCCACTCAATTCAGTATAGCAATGCTGTATGCGCCAGTACGCACAGTACAGTGCCGTTTGTGTTTACTATTTCAGGACGAATCTTTTGAGAAACGTTTCTTATTGGCACAGACACAGGCGTATGTCCGGGTTTCTTTCCTACAATGAAGGGGTGTGTCTCCCAAATACAGGCCAAAACGAGGCCTAGTACTGGGGGATCAGTTGGTCGTACTTGGAATACTGATCACAGGATTGTGTCTGATTAGGTGCTTTTGGAATAAAAGTCCTGAGCTCTCTTATCGAAGATCAACACAAGCCTCCGGAGATTGCTCAGCATCTATTGCCTTTGTACGGTATCTTGTTCTGTATCAATTGCCCCAGAGCGGTATTATTCGTTTTTACATCAATTGCCTCAGTACAGTATCACCTGTTCTGTATCAATTGCCTCAGTACAGTATCATCTGTTCTGTATCAATTGCCTCAGTACAGTATCATTTGAGCATCTGCATCAATTACCTTTCTACGGTATCATTTGGTTCTGCATCAGTTGCCTCAGTACGGTATCATTTGTGCTGTCTCTCTTGCCTCAGTACAGTATTATTTGTCCTGTATCAATTGTCTTGCTACAGTATCAGTTTCCTTGGTACAATCCTGTCTATCTACTACAACTATCTACGATGCTAAATGCAAGGCGGGCTCGCCGAAAGGGATTGTATATGTTTCCAGAGAGATTTTTCTAGCCGATAAGCACCCCTGACAATAGCTCTAGGCTTATCTCCATGAACCTAAACTCCCATGGCCTTCATACGCAAACTGCCCGATGCCCGATGTGAAATGCTTATCGTATTTCCTGCACCTGGATGCTGAAGGCTATTGAACGACTGTCAATCAACTCACTGCAGCATCCCCTGAAAAAGAGAGGTTTAGTCCTAAATGGGCAAATTCACTCCGGTCGCACTTTATTTTATGGATTATTGCGGGTTATCCGCTAGAGTAATTTGACTTTCACTAAGATAAGCTTATCGTCAGAGTCTCCCACTGCACGCCCTTTTTATTTGCACAAACAATAGGAAATGTTACAAAAGTGTGGCCAAAGTGTACCAAGCAAGCAACCAAAGAGCTACTGGATAGGTTTTGTGAAGTCAGTTTTTGCCGCCACCAACTAGTGCCATGTTCGGAAACACTCCGAATTGTCCATCAAACCGGTCACTTCCACTTTTGTCAGTGATGACGCCCTCAGCTGCCTGGGGCTCGATTCTTGCATAAAACTACAATTATACTATTTTCCTGCACAATTATTAGGCTGCTTATCTGACTTGGTGGCTCCAAATTATTTGTGTCTGCTGCCAATTTATTCAGGTTTATCTTATCATCCCCCAGTGGACAAAGTTCCCCAATGAGTCCAAACAAGCATCATTTGTCCGTAAAACACTAAAACTGGCACTTTTGTATTTGTTGAGATAAGCGATCCATAAGCTAGATTCTGGTGCCTATCTGGATCAGGTTTGTGGATTAGGGGTCAAATGTCCATGTTGGGGATACATGAGTATTTAACTATACACGTTTGTCATGATCCACAAACATAAAAAATTGGCATCCACAAACACCAAACCCATTCAATGCCAACTGCGTACATTAACGGAAATGTTCACACGGTGGACGACAAACTCCCCAAAGCCGAAGCCTTCATTGTCAGTGACGATGGGACTTTTTCCAAGGTCGGCGCCACCGAGGAAATCAAGCTGATTGCTTCAGGAATGACAGTAATCGATTTAAAGGGCCAATTCGTCATGCCTGGAATGCACGATGCCCATTGTCACTTGTTGATGGCCTCAAAAGAAAAGCTCTTTGAGGCCAAGCTCGGAGTCTACTCTACTCCTAAAGAAATTGTTGAGCAATTCAAAGAGTATAGCCATGGTGCGTGTGCTCATTTGAACACCGTCTCCAACTGGTTGATTGGAAACTTCTACCACTACGCCCAGTTCGACGACAAGAAGCCCGACCGTAAGTTCTTGGACGAGGCGTTCGGTGACCAGCCCGTTGTCATTAGAGAGTATACCACTCACAACATCTTTGCCAACTCCGCCGCTTTGAGAGCTGCTGGGTACGAGGAAAACCCAGTTGACCCATGGGACGGCTATTACGTCAGAAGAGAAGATGGTACCATCACCGGAGAGCTTGTAGAAGGTGCCGCTACTCGGTTGTTTAACTCAATTCCCAAAGGTAGACTCGAAGATAATGTCACGGCCTTGGAGTACGGAGTTAAGATGTCCAATAGATTTGGATTTACTGCCGTCCAGGAAGCTTCGGCCAACACCATTTACTTGGAAGCCGCTCAGCAGTTGGAGAAACAAGGCAAGATGACCATCAACTTGGATGCGCACGTTGTGTTTTACGGGGTTGGTGCATTTCCTCAGGAGAGCGTTGGTTCTTTGCACCACACCTTGTGGAACGCAAAGGACTACAAAAGTAAGCATTTCAATCCCATGTTCACCAAGTGTTGGATCGATGGTGTGCCATGGCACCCTCATGAAACCCATACCCCTTTGACCGAAGACGGGAAAGTAGACTACAACCGGTTGTTGATTCCACAAGAGACTTTCAAGAAGTACATTGAGAGATTTGATTCAGAAGGAAGAGTCTGTAAGGTTCATGTTTGTGGACAAGGTTCGGCCCGGTTTGCCTTGGACTGTTTTGAGGCCTTGAGGAAGAAGAACCCTAACGGCCCCAAGCACGAGTTGGCCCATAACATGGATGTCACCGAAGAAGATTGTAAACGGTATAAGGACTTGAACATCACCGCGGAAATGAGTCCTGCCATTTGGCACGATCCTGACTTCCAGCCCGAAACCAACCCCAAGAGTGTGTATCCGTTCAACCATTTGAAGAAGTATGGGGCCTTGTTAACCATTGGTTCTGACTGGGTGTTTGCTCCAGATACTCCCAACATTTTCCCTGGTCTTCAAGCGTTGACTGAAAACAAACATGGCTGGGATATGACCAGAGAGGAAGTCATCAAGATGGTTACCATCAACGGTGCCGAAGCCACTTCCAGAGATACTACTGAAGGGACCATTGAGTCTGGGAAGTTGGCCAACTTTGTGATTTTGGACAGAGATTTGACGACTGCTGAAACTATTGCTGACACCGTGGTGTACAAAACCTACTTTGAAGGTCGGGAGGTTTACGATTTTGCTACTGATGAGTTGAAGCATTTCCAGGGAAGTATTTAAGTGTTTTACAAAAGTGAATAAGTGTGTTTTCAAATAAATAACGTTATTTTACCAAGTAAACTCAACTACTTTTAAGCTCTCTATCAAATCTATAAGAAACCATTAATTAGTGGGGATATCCTTCAAACCTATTGGCCTCATGGTCTCATAATTGGCATCATAGATGCTATCTCTGTGGAACCCATAGGAATCCCGTTTTTCTATCATGCTTGAATTTAAGTCTTCGATTTTTGTCACTCCCATGAACTTCATGTTCAAAGCTATCTCGTGTTTCAACAACTGGACCGCTTTTTTCACTCCTTCTTCCCCATAGCATGAATTAGCGTACAAGAAGGCTCGGCCCAAACCAACACCTTTGGCACCTAAACATAGGGCCTTGATAACGTCGGTTCCTCTGCGAATACCTCCATCGATGTAGATTTCAATCTTCTTATCCAAATTCTTAGCCCTCAAAATGGGCATAACTTCGGCCAACACGTCAACAGGTGCTCTAGAAAAGTCCAACTGTCGGCCTCCATGGTTTGACAACACCACGGCATCCACCCCATGTTCTACCGCAAGAAGAACGTCTTCTGAGCGCTGGACACCTTTAATGGCAATAGGTATATCGGAAACCTTCTTAAAAGCATCAATATCGGCCCAAGTGAGCCCCGGGTCATCGTAGCTAGTGATGGGGTCATCATCGTCGTTAGGACCATCTTCTCCGTACCTAAATTTGAAATCCTTTTCCCGTTTTCCTAACATTGGTGTATCAACAGTTACAAATATACCTTTAACATTGCGTTCTGCACACTTTTTGAGCATTTCAATCGAATGTTTTCTATCTGGCTTGACATATAACTGGAACCAGTGACTCTGACCAGGTTTGGTCTCGTCAAGAATTTCGTCAAACGAGTATGAAGCGGTTGATGAGATCATTTGTATGACATCCTCAGTTCCACATCCTCGGGAGATACTCAATTCACCGTCAGGGTGTCCTAGTTGGGCCAACGCAGCGGCAGAGCAATAGAACGGGGCGCTGGTCTTGGTGCCCAACATGGTGGTGGAGATATCCACGTTTCTCACGTCCACAAGAATCTTGGGAAGAAAGAAAAATTTGTGGAACGCATAGTGGTTCTCTCTCATGGTGACCTCGTCGTCAGATCCACCGTTGTAGTATGCCCAGGCGTGTGGGGGCAACACCGCACGAGCCACTGCCTCGAAATCGTTGATGTTGTAGATTTGGTTGACTTTGGGAAGTCTTTTCAAGTTCTCTATTCTAAGTTTTTCAGCAATAATTTCCTCTTCACTGATGGCAGAATCCGGTGGCATATCAATCTCACCAACCACATGGGCTTCATCGAGGAATGTCTCGATCACATTCAGTGGATGAAGTCTATTAAACAATTTTGAAGCATCTTTTCCAGCATATTTCATGATAATGCTAGGACCACCGGGGTGCATGGCCATGAAATCTGTCAAGTCATACACCTTGGAATTGATAGCCACCCATACCTGAGACTCGCGGGTAGAGTGTTCAGCGAGCTCATTTGAAGAGATCTGACGAAATTGGTGGTATGAGGTTAACTCTGGCTTATCGCGATCAGATTGGGTTGGAGGTTGAATTGAGTCAGCTAAAATCAGGGATTTGTTGGTGTGAGCATATATTGTGGCCGTAGTAGCCAATGTGCTAAGTGTTAGGAGGCGAAACCTCGAGCCGGCCGTAAAAAGACGTTTGTACATCGATATCTCACGAGCCAGTAGTTTTTCGAGTATTTCAAATTCGCAGCATTTGCAAATATACTACTAGAATTCGCAATTCAGTACACACTATTAACAAGTACAACATCAAACACCCAACCCCATCAGTACACCGTTTGCTCCGGCTTGGTAAAGGCCTGAACATCACCACCACTATTTTCTAATTGCTCAATGGCACGGAGCGCCACCTCGGGCCTAAACTCTACTACATTCTTCACATCGACAAGCGACAAGACATACCGATACTTAATCACCAAGTTGTACGAAGCCTCGTCCCGTGGATCATCCCACTTCCCGAATCTTGTAAAAATATACTGGCGATAGTACTGTAAATAATCTTCGATCACGGGACATTTGAGACCCGCACCTACACCTGTGCCCCGTACACCCATAATTCCAGTCCAATACGACAAGCACGAGTAGTAGAACAAGAGCTTATGGGCAAAGAATTTCCCTTCCCTGATAAACCCGAAGACAGATTCCCTGAACATGAACAACCACCTGAATATACACGAGGCGAGATTGTTGTCCACCATAGCCAAGAAGGACCTGTCCAACTTTTGCAACGTTGCTCGGTAGCTGAAAAACTCGGGTTCCGAGACGGTTCCATCCTTGAAGCACTGCTTCAATTGGCGGTTCAACTCTGCCACGATAGGGTAATCACTGAAAACATAATATCCGTAAAACTCGTCTGCATCTTTGGGTGGACGTAATTCGCAGAACACCAACACCTTGTTAAACTCCCCATGCTCAAGTGCGTAGAATGACGGGATGAATGCCCACCTCAAGTTCCCCACAAATCCAACGATGTCAGGCTCATCATTGGGCAGGTAGAGTGGAAGGAACCCGAATGGCTGTGAAAAAAGGAAGCAGAAGAAAAAGATGTTTCCAAGAATAAGCAGCAACGCCTCATCCACTTCCAATACCGGATTGGAAACAAGTTTCATGATCTGGTCGTAGGACGACTGTAGAGTGCTTTGAAAGTATTCCAAGATCTTGCGGTAAAGCACCAGCTGACCAGATTTGACGATTCCCTTGGTGACAACACCATTATCCCCATGGTCTTTCTCCAAGTATCCCCCCATGCCGTTCAAAAGTTCTAGAAGCTCTTTGAATACCCTGTTGGAATGTGGTACCAATGTACGACTGGAAGTCCCCAAGTTCCCCAAGTTCTCCGAGTTTGCAGCCAACCGAAGACACATATCGTTAAATCCCATAGTTTCCAACTTTTGCTCGTCACACAACGAGTATAACTGGAAACTAGCATAAAGGTATACAACCTGGCGGAATGTAGGCGACCTGATGAACGCGTGCAGCAGTTGCAGTCTCATGCTTATATCAAAATGGTTGCATTCAAATCGGCTCTCGAGAACATGCATATGGAAGAATGTAAGAAGACGATACTCGAACCAGTCGATGTTGAGATGTGTCATCATGGAATTGAGTGTCATCGTGGCCAGAGACGCCCATACATCAGGGTACGACAACGGTGTGCTTGGGGCAAACCAAGTTTCATCAAGGTTATTAGGTGATAGGTCCAGGGACCGAAAAGGCGAGAACCCACCAGCAGAATCCGTGTCAAAGACTAGCTCATCATTATCTGTATACGTACCACTAGAGGCGTCCGTACTGCTGGGGAACCCAGCTTCATAGGCAATTAACGCTAAAAGTGACTCCTTTGAATCATCAGGGCTAAGAGAAGAAACGGACGGTTGTGCCCAACCATTCGTCTCAGGCACCAGCAACTCTGCTATTCTCTGTGGAGTTTCCTTGTAAGCCGGGATCGTGGGTGCTGATTGTGATATTCCTTCAAATACAAATGCCATTTGTTTTTCAAGTGGTGTTATCTTTGGCTCAGTGGCTGAAACAGGTATCAGGGCCAGTAGCTCGTAGACACAGCTACGTGAAGTGGCAGCACAGTACTCACATGTCGAACGGACGAGATCGCACTTGATTTTGAGCCGCCGGCAGCTTGTGCACTTCGAGCTTACTCGTTTTCTTCTTGTTGCAGTCATGATTAATGACTTCTTTTTGAGAGCGAATCAAGGCGCGCGGCTCTCAGGTATCAGGAGATTGGGACGCAGTGAGGCTGAGGTAGCGTTGTTGGGGAAAAAAAAAGGGGGATACTGTCGGGATATGTGGTGTTACGTGGTACTTGTAGTGATGGTGAGAACATGCTGCACAAGTGTGGTGGTAATTGAATATTTATGAAATTGGGGGGACTTTTGCAACCATGAGAAATCAAAGAGGGAACAGAAGTTTTATTTCGAAAACGTATAGCAATAAACTCTAACCACTGCATATGTAAGTGAGAGAATAGAATACCGGAAGAAATGTGTAATATAGTTTAGAAAAAGAACGAACGGGATAATGGCATGTTGCATTGCTGTCGACTCATGTTCACTGAATTTGCAGCCACAAGAAGTTTGTGAGATGACTATCTTCAATGTGACGACTGTCTTCAATGTGACGACTGTCATACAACACACATCTTTCACTAGCTGCCACAATCTACCATTGCCCCATCAGTGCCACATGAATTACGAATGCTCAAGGATCCAATCTGCCACAAGATCTGCAACCTTTGCAGGTGCCTCCCGGTGCAAAAAATGACCCGCTCCCTCTACCACCTCCACCCTGGCACTCGTAGACTCCAACCTCTTCTTCTCAAGCTCATACAACCGAATCGTCATACACCCATCCAATTTACCTCCCACCAAAAGTACTGGCACCTTTTCAAAGTCTATCTTCCACCGTATACTCTTCAAGTTCCGAGGATCCAAAAGACACCGGTAGTAGGCCGTAGCATGGTCCAACACTCCATTGTTTTGTAACATTGTTCTCACCTGTTCAATATCATGATTCAGGTAGTTCCACCTCGGAGACCAAAACTCCCACAACCGGTTGAGGTACGAGCTTTCTGTATGCTCCGTGTCAATCCGGCCGTACAACAGTCTCCACTGCATGGTCAAAAAATATGACAGATACCATAACTGCTCCAGTGCGTAGAGAAAAAGGTCCCACACATGAAGGTTTGAAAGATATGGGATTCCCAACGTGGAAACCGAATCAAACATGTCCGGATAGAGACTGACTGCCTTAAAGCATGATATGGCGCCCCAATCGTGGCCCACCAAGTGAATCGTGGTGGTTTCCCGTGTGTAGGAGAAGTTCTGGGTAAGAAAATTTTTGATATCAAGGGCTAGGTCTACCGTACGATAGCGGGAAAAGTCTGTCTGGCTCGACCGCTCGTAGCCCCGTAGAAGCGGAGCCACCACAGCAATTTTCTCCAGGGCCGGGAGGTTGGCAATGAGTTTAGGGGTAAATTCATCGAAGCTCGCGTTTGTATCGGGGAATCCATGAAGAAGAAGGATGATTTTGGAGTACTGTGGATACGAGAGTTGAGCCTGACTGATGTTGGCGATGGCCGAATGGGACTTGTCATCCGAGCGTAACTGGACGATTGGCATTTGAGTGGAAGTAGTATGAGAAGGAATCAATTGATTAAGATTGGGGGAGTAGCTACAGAGCATGTGATGGTAGCGGCTTTTCGCGCGCGGGGCGCGGGGCATCGTGGCAATGGGGTGGTGCGAGCAACTGCTTCAACAACAGTATTCTGGGGTATTTTGTGGTGGTCCATGGGCTTCTTGCATTGTGGCTGGAATTAACAGCATGAAGATCCCCGGTTGAATGGGACAGAGGCACCACCAGATGACGTTGGAAATGGTTAATTTGTATGTGCCTGGTGTTATTGTACGCACAGCCGTGCAATCGCTGAAGCACATCAACGGTAGCTTGTAGAGACTGGAGAACAACGCGTAGGTGAAGTATACGTGTTTGTGGATGGGGTTATGGGGTTCTATGCAAAAATACAAGTTCTGGCAACATATTGTTATTAAAGAGCTTGTGCATTTTTTAGTGGATTTAGTTAGTTTGCTGCAGCAGACAAAGGCACGATGAATATCAGCAAGGCGGGGGAGCGCCAAGGAACACCGACACTGGCGGCACCATTCTGTCGCCAAAGCTCGCACTGGCACATCGATCCATCGCCGGGTCGTGTGCGTGCGCAGGCGCGCCAAATCAACATTCACTTCACAACGCTCTTCAAAAACAACACACCAATGGACAATTTGCATCAGCAACTCGAGCAGGCCCAGATGCTTGCTGAACAAGAGCTCCGGAGTCAGAACTACTCTGGCGGACACCACCCAGATGCCGCCAACGGCGAGACCGCCAGGTACACGTCGCACCCCCCCATGCCAGACGCCGATGACAGTTATATGGATCAAGACGATGTGGGAATGATCACCACTTCACCAACCTTTGTGTCGTCCAGCCGCTTTGACGACATGCTTCGCCGCCAACAGGAGTCGATGGATCTGCACTCGTCGCTTATGTTCCGGCCTCCTGCTTCCAATTTCATCCAACTTAACAACAATAGCTCCAGCAATGTGAGTGATATCAGTCAGCATCTGGGTAACCTGGTGCTCAATCTGAGTGTTCCGGTGGGTGTGGGTAGCGAGAGCTCTCCGCAGTTGGTGCAGGGACTGTCGCCGTTTGGCGGTCAATATAACGATGAGGTGATTCATCAGCAGTTTAGTCAACAGTACTTGCACCAGACGTCCCAGTGGCCGGCTGCCCTCCAGCAGCAGACGCTTGCGCAGCAGGCGCTTTCTCAGCAGGCGCTATCTCAGCAGCAGGAGCTACAGGCTCAGCTGGTGCAACAGGCTCAGCAGGCTCAAATTCAACAGGCTCAGCAGGCTCAAATTCAACAGGCTCATCAACAGGCACAACAACAAGCACAACAACAGGCACAACAACAAGCACAACAACAAGCACAACAACAAGCACAACAACAAGCACAACAACTTCAACAAGCACAATATCAACAGCAACAGGCTCGTGCGCAGCAACTCCGCCAGTCACCTATTCGTGAACACGCCCAACCCCAATTGTCCCAGTTTGGACAGAACTCCCCGTACCAGCAGCCGGCACAGTTGTCGCCCCAGTCGTCGTTTGCCCGCCAACCGGCAGCTGTATCCAAACTTTCTCACGATAAGGCCTCGGCCATCAAGCTTAAACTCGAAAACTACTACCAGATGGCGATTTCGCACGCTATTGAGCGTAACCAGCGTCGTCTCGACCTTGAACATAAACTCCTGTCCCAGGAAACCGGGTCTAGTGAAGAGCGGAAAAATAGACAATTGCATAGCTTGGGCCGGAAAGAGTCGCAGTTCTTACGGTTACGTCGAACCAAGTTGTCGCTCGAGGACTTCACCACTGTCAAAGTCATTGGCAAAGGAGCTTTCGGTGAAGTCCGGCTTGTACAAAAGCGAGACACCGGGAAGATATATGCCATGAAGACATTGTTGAAGCTGGAAATGTACAAAAAGGACCAACTTGCACATGTCAAGGCCGAAAGAGACGTTTTGGCAGGACTGGACTCGCCGTGGGTGGTGTCATTGTACTACTCATTCCAGGACTCCCAGTATTTGTACCTCATCATGGAGTTTTTGCCGGGGGGAGACTTGATGACCATGTTGATCCGGTGGCAAGTGTTTACAGAGGACATCACTCGGTTCTACATGGCCGAGTGTGTGTTGGCCATCGAAGCCATCCACAAACTTGGTTTTATCCATAGAGATATCAAGCCCGATAACATCTTGATTGATATTAGAGGTCATGTCAAGTTGAGTGATTTCGGGTTGTCGACGGGATTCCACAAAACTCATGACCTGAACTACTATAAGAAGTTGTTGGAGAAGGAACCAACTCCCGCCACCAACGGCCATGGCAGCACCAAGGGCCGCAACTCGATGATGATTGATGCCATCCACTTGACAATGTCCAACCGACAACAAATGCAGACCTGGAGAAAGAGTCGTCGGTTGATGGCGTACTCCACCGTGGGAACCCCCGACTACATTGCCCCTGAGATCTTTATCCACGAAGGATATGGTCAGGAGTGTGACTGGTGGTCGTTGGGAGCCATAATGTTTGAGTGTCTTATAGGTTGGCCTCCTTTCTGCTCTGAAACCCCCCATGAGACGTATCGCAAGATCTTGAACTGGCCCGAGTCTCTTCAGATTCCTGAAGATATTCATTTGCTGCCAGAGCTGGAGGACTTGATTCGAAAGTTGTTGACAGGGGCGGAAACTCGGTTGGGCCGTTATGGTGGTGCTGATGAGATCAAGAAGCATCCGTTCTTCAGGGGTGTTGACTGGGAGCTGATCCGGAGGGTTGATGCTCCGTTTATTCCCAAGCTAAGGTCTATCACTGACACACGGTTCTTCCCTACTGACGAATTGGTGAATGTTCCTGACAGTCCTGCCTTGAGCAAGGCCATGGAACAACAGAATAACGGGAAACAGGCGGCCAATATCAAGGAGGACTTGCCGTTTATCGGGTACACTTATTCGAGATTCGACTACCTCACACGGAAGAATGCGTTGTAGTAGAGAACTTTGCTAGTCGAATATATGAGTTAGGACCAACGAGAGTGATGCTATTTATTGACTTGGGATGGCAGAACTGCATTCACACACTTGGGTGTAAAGGTCAGTTCTCACCATTCCAACCACCAGGTAAAAATAGCAGAGCACTTGAAATGGGACTACTAAGTTTGCCTTGAAAAAGGTATTACTAAGTTCGCCATTGTATTGAAACAAAAACAGCAGATCTTGTCACTTGAAAGGGATATACAATCTGGTCTCGACCATTAGAGAGTATGCTTGGGATAAAATTAGCTGAAACGGATTATAAATAACTGAGTCTCGACCACTAGAGAGAAATAACATCTGCAGATCTTGACCTGAAATGGAGATAGAAATCACCGAATCTCAAACCCTTGCAGAAGTATACCTTGGCAAAAATCAGTTGAATCTTCTCTTCCGCCTTTACGCTTCAAAAAATCTTGATCCTTCACTTAAAGTTGTCGAACTGAGATAAAAATGACTAAGCAGAGGATGGTATGCTTGAGTGAAACTAGACCTCGTCTGTTCAAAGGATCAGTTGGTGATTCATTGATGCTCATGTGAGGCAATGCACCATTTGGGATTTGCTGTGCGTATGGTGTATAAGATAAGAGACGGAATATTACAAGCCACTCATCTGAATTGTGGAGTTATTTTTGATATTTACATTATTTAATTTCTGCTAATTAGGGGTAGCTTTAGCTTTGCTATCTCAATAAATTATTTATAGCCTTGAATAGGTGTAGGTCGTTTGCTTTTGGCTTGGATCGGTCAGTAATAAATGGGCATTCTTACTATGGTTAAATCCAACCATCTAAATTTAACCAATTCTAAAAATAATAAACCAGAACCTTTACTTAGTCTATACTATATTAATGTAATAGTAATGATTTCCGAGGGCTGAGTGATAACTGCGACCGCGGGGGAGATAGTAGGCGATAATCGTTGGCACTGTGTCTACTCGCATTCGATAGGCCTCCCACTACCGGTCGTCTCCCATCAGCCACTCTTCGAGACGGTTCGAGACCAGTTTCGGGGTCTGTCGGCGTCGGTATCGGTGATTCGGTGATTGTCTCAGACTGCTTGTTCCCGGCATTAGGAATGTAGGTTAGTGCCGGCATTCCCGAAGGGCTGACAGAGTCTGGTTTGGAGCGCGCGCGCACCTGCGACACTCTTAACAACCGACCACCCCCCCGGAACTGTACAAAACCCTCCCTTAATATCTCAAAACCAGTAAAATCATGTGACTAGAGGAGTTTGAGTTCTATGGAGGTGCACGGACTCAATGGGTGATGGGTGGATGCCAAAACCTCTTTCTTGATGATCCTGACAAACATTTATCAGCACTGGGTCAGGAAAGTGTGACTCACCAGCAACCGGAAGGGCGCACCTCTAAAACCTGGCTAAGCGATAGACGCCTCCTACCCTCGGATTTCGTAACTGTTCTCTACCCCCGTATGTCTCGGGCTCAGCAAGTGCGCACTCCCCGGATCTCGGGACGCCTATAAATACCATTCGTTTCCCTCCGTCTTGCAGCTTCTGAAGTTACCTATCTCCAATCAACTCACTGATTTTAATAATGCTCCTACATCTTCAGTTTCGTTGTTTGATTCCTATAGCCCTCGCCTGTGCCTCCTACGTGGCTGCTCATGGCGATGAGGAATCACACGATATGCCGATGCCTGCGATGGTGTCGTCTTCTTCTCCGTCCTCCCACCAGACTCCAGTTCCTCATGTAATGCATCATATGCACGGAGTGCCCATCCTCCAAACCAACTTACAGCCACTCGAGAAACAATTCTGGGACGCGTACAATGCCACGAGCTACTTGTCGGTGGAAACTGGTAATAAGTCTGCATTCTTCACATATCTTGCCACAATGGGGCTTGCGTTTGTGTTCGCAACTCCATTGATAATGGTAATGAAGAATGTACAAGGCGTGACGCCTGGTTATGTGACGGCACTTGTGGCTAACACGGCGGTAGTATTGGTGGGACTTTTTAACTACAAATTGTTCATGTCATCGGTGCCCGATTTGTACCCAGGAAACATTTTTGGTGTGTTCAACGGAATATATTTTGTGACTATGATAGCCCAGTGCATTGTGGCAGTGATAGCAGCAGTGCACGCTCGCCGTACCGCTGGTGCAAGCTACGAGTCAATTGACCTGGACGTTGACTCGCTCTCGTCTCCATCCCCCACCTTGTATGACCTTCTGCGCAACCAGAGTCCTCTGTCATTCGAATTGGACTCATACCCTGTCAACAGTGAACCCCATCATGATCTCGAGGCCAATGATCTCACGGTGCACCTTAATTTACTCAAAAAACGGCCTTTTCCTGCGCTTTTCGCCAAATTGAACGATAACCCATGGGTGGTTCGGTCGGGCGCCGCTGCTACTACTGCCAACTCCGTATTGGCATGGTTCAACTTCTTGTTCTTCTTGGTGTACGTCCCTACAGCGATCGCGGTGTTTGGGTGTTTTGGTCAAGGAAACAAGGTGTTCAACTTACTCGCACATTTCATCAAAGGAGGCGTGTTTTTCATATTGGGCTTGGTCACAATCGCCCGGTACTGTGGGGCCTGGAGCCATAAGGGATGGGCTTGGAACCACAAACTCGTGCGCGAGCGGGACCTCAGAAGTCGGTGGGTGCGTTTGCTGCCAAAAGGTCTCATCACCATGGAATGGATCGAGAGCTTCTTGGTTTTTTTCTACGGTTCCACTAACGTGTTCTTGGAACACTTGGCCAATCCTGGCGGCGAGTGGAGTGCTAAGGACTTGGAGCACGCGTCGATTGCTTTCATTTTCATTGGATGCGGATTGTGTGGTTTGATCACTGAAGCAAAGTTAAGTAACTGGCGTCATCAATATGCCAACTTTGACGACAATAAGACTGTCATCAAGGCTCTGCCAGGCTTCTCCCCCAACCCATTCCCCATCTTGTGCATTTTCTGGACCGGAACTTTGATGTCTCAACACCAGCAGGCGTCGGAGTTGTCCACCGCGATCCACGCGCAATGGGGCTCACTTTTAGCTTATGGCACTTTTTTTAGATTTGTCACCTACGTGATGACAATGGTTCTCCCCCGCCCTCGGGACTTGTCCAAGCCCACTCAACCCATCACCGAGATCATAGCAGGTTTCTGCTTATTGGCTGGGGGAGTTATTTTCATGGAGAGTTGTGATCCCGTCATTTTAGCGTTGGAATGGAGAGGCTACGGCGCCATGTTCACTTTGAACGTTTGTTTGGGGTTGGTGTTTTTGTTAATGGCGTGGATCATGCTGGTGTTCCAATTCAAGACGTGGCTACAAAGAAGAGCCCATTAATTTGTTAATTTGTTATCACATAGTTTTATATTTATGAAAGAACAGAAATGTCCGAAAACACCCGTTTCCTCGGGTATGAGACTCTCAATTAAACTTCTAGTTTGGGCCACTCGTGGATTTTGGTGGGGGGGTTCCAGTTTTGCAGCCAAAACTAACCCGACCACCATATACCCAATTGCCCCCTAAATCATTCTCGATCACTGCCATGGGTGGCGTGACTCCCACTGAAGTGACCGGCCAATCGTGAAGCCAACCCCTTGCATTATGGTCAGACATCGGCATCAGACGATTTGCTGGAAACCTGCATTGCGAGCACGACCGCTTAGTAATAATTGGTGCGGGCCGCAAGCACGGAAGCTACGGAAGCGGCGAGTGTCTGACAATTTCGAATTCCGGGGGTCATCGCATCTAATAGATTTTTGCGCCGAGGGTGTTAAAAGTTCATTAACTTACTATTTAGGTAATATTTTTTTCGGTGTCATAGATTCTACACCTGTCTTAACATAATTTCTTTTATACAATTCCGGGGGTGAATCCTGCCAGTTGGCAACGCAGTGCCGCTTCACGCACAACCAGCACCTCTTCTGCTCCGGTTCCACAGCATCCGCCTATGGCCCACATATCGAACTTCATCCACTCCGCTACCGCTGTCTCCCATGCCCCCAAATCAGATAGATCCGCATACCCGTCTTCTTGGGAGTAGATGTACCCATAGTTCGGATATGCTATTAATGGCACTCCTACTGCCGATAGTGCTTCTAAATACCCCGACACCTTGGAGTACTCAACGCAATTGACCCCCACCGCCACAAGGGATGAGTTGCACCGCCGCAACACCGCCGCGCACGCCACAAGGTCCATGGAGCTGTTGACACATAAACTCACCCAGTACGGCTTCTGCACGTCTAGGGCCACAATCGCCTCAAGCTCCACCGCGGACGGGACCGTCTCGAATGCGATCACGTCCACGTCGCCATTTTTCTCGAGAAACTCCACAAGCGGCCGGTGGTGCGCTGCCAACCACTCTGCTGTGGGGCTATCAGTGTAGTTCCCGGTATACTCCGACCCATCGTTCACAAAACATCCGTACGGTCCAATGGTACCAGCAATAAGTATTTTTCGGTCAACACCAGCACCGTCTCGAGCCTGTACCACCACGTCCACCGCGGCCTTCCATGCAGCAGTGGTCCCGGCGTCGTCGTGGTCGGTCTGCCTCAAGGCCTGGTACGACATCTGATATGTTGCAGTCGACACTATATCACAACCAGCCTGGATATACCGAGAATGGACCTGGCGCACAATGTCAGGAGATTCTTCCACGGCGTGACCAGCCCACAAAGGGGTGCCACGGATGGGCGTAAGCTTGTCGAGCTCAATTCCAAGTGCCCCATCAAGAACGTACATAGTTTAGTTGATTTATTTCCAGCTTGTTAGTGACAAAACTCGCTAGTGCGGGTCGCAGCTGGTGCTATTCGCACCAACTTCTCGCTCGCACTGATTTAGTGCGACTCTGCTTAGTGCGACGAACTTTTCATTTCATCACAAATAACCTCTACCATGGAACAAGACAGAAAGAGACAAAGAGAAGACGATGACGGCTACGGCGATGAGCATGTCCGCCCCGAGTTCGACTCCAAACGTGCACGTGACGACCCCACCAACGAGCTTATCAGCAATGTCTGCAAGGATATCCGTCGTATTGGCGAGACTGCCAACTTACACAACCAAGTGGACGACATGTCGTACATCTCCAACCCCATCGTGGTGGAGTTTGAAAAAATCGACCGCCTTCGGTCGGCGGTGCTTTCCATTCTCCACGCCATCGTGGTGGAACAACCACAGAAAATTTCCAGCTTGGCAGCCCTTGTGATCATCTGCAATGCCAAAAACTTTTTGGTTCCAAAATATGTCATTGAATTTTTCCATACCAAGCTCCAGGAGTATGTGGCCATCAAGTCGGGCACCGACAACTTCAACCACATCAAGAACATTCTCAAGTTTTTGTGCAGTTTGTCGCCGATTATCGAAGAAGGGGCCTTGTTCAATCTCTTGCTGCAATTCATAAATTTATCAATTGAATTGGGCAGTGACGCTCCGCTCGGAAGGGCCATCCACTATAACACATTGATGGCAGTGCCGTACTTGTTGAGCTGGGATGAGTCGCAGGCCGAGGACGTCGAGAAATTGGTGTCTGCTGCCGGTGGGTTTGCGCATGGCGATGCTTCGGACTTCAGTCTCTATTCCCATTTCAACAACAAGAACAACGGGGTGGAAGTGCCATACCGCCCCAGGGCCATTGTGGAACTTGTGTATCCTGCTCTTTTGGAGGCTCAAAAGACGGGGTTTGCTTCTATTAGAGATCTTTTCATCAACTATAAGGAGCTTGTCGACCCTGTCGTCAATGACGCCCTCCAAGCAAACAAGATCTCCAACGAGTTGGTGAAGCACAAACTTCCCCAGGTGTCGGTCAACACCGAAACCCTCTCCAGCTATAACCCATCATCGGAGTCACTTTCAATTGACCTGCTTTGGTTCAAAGGTCCTCGTCTTACGTTCGAACTCTACTCCCACACCACCAAAGACTTCCCTACGTTGCCGGAAATCTCGTCGTATGCCGGCTTGTTCTTTAGAGATATCTGTACCGACCTCATCACCAACTTGTCGTTCAACAAGGGTGAGGCCTCCATCCAGTTGTCCATCTTGGACTTGTACTTCAACCGACTGTTGTTCTGTCCACCGGGTAGCTCTGTCGATACCCTTGTGGCAATCAACAACGACAACATCTCAAGAGAAAACGTTCCGCCGCTTTCGACGTGGAAAGTTGAAGACGTGGCGGTGGAAAGTCTCTTGTCGCTCATCTTCCTTACTCCAACTCCACCCAACTTGGAAATATACTACCACTCGGTGCTTATTTCCTGTTGTAAGGAGAGTCCTGAGGCCATTGCCCCGGTGTTTGGAAGAGCCATTCGGTTTCTTTACAGCCATGTGGAGTCGCTTGACTTTGAAACTAGAATCAAATTTATGGACTGGATGACGATCCAGATCTCGAACTTCGACTTTAGCTGGAAGTGGGACGAGTGGGTATCTGACTCCCAGGCGCTTTCAGCCTCTCGGTTCCACCCGAAGAAGAACTTTATCCGGAACTTGATAACAAAGGAACTCAAGTTGTCAAACAAGAAGAAAATCAAGGAAAGTTTCGTCACCATGGACCCCGAAACGGGCGATGTGGTGGAATTGGACGAGTTTTTTAAGTACTTGGACTTGTGCCTTTTCGACAACGATACCAAGCACATCATCAACTACGACACAGACATTTATGGAGGTGATGATGCTGCCAAAGAGATCATTGCCAAGTCCATTTATGAGAAAAAGGAGACCTTCACCGTCACCACATCTCCACAGACCGAGATGTTCTTTGTATTTGGCAACGACCAATTGCCCTATCACCATGTATGTGACAAGTTCCACAAGTTTTTGTTATCCAACAGTAAGTCCAAGCGGGAATTTGCTGAAATGATCGAGGAGCTCAAGTCCGACATCACCAGCGACACTATAAACAAGCTGAAGTTCATCATCAACCTTGTGTTGCAGACGTACTGTTCGATTGGCTCTAGATCCATCTACTCCACTATTAGTATCTTAACCCGTGACTTGGTCAAGCTCAAGTGGCTCACCGGTAATACTTTGCTGGAAGAAGACTACGTGGGCAATTCGGAAGACTACAAATTCCCCGAGTTGTCGCTCCAAAATGAGCACGAACAAACGGCTGAGCTCCAAAACTATGTGGTGGATGCCGTGTTCAGAATATGGATTTACCGTCCTCAGTTCATCTTTTTGATTTTGGAGTATTTGGTCGATGTCAAGTTGTTGGACTTCGAGGTATTTGTCGGCAGATGCTTTGATCTCGAGCATAACTTGGTGGTTGACCGGATCGACTGTTTCGAAGCGTTGGCCCGGTTGTTGGCTGCGAGTTCCAAAGCCCACGACCTTGCCAGAATCACCGTTGTGACCTCCAAAATCATCGAGAACTTGGGCCAGGTACTTGACAAACTCGAAGTCTCCGACGATGCTATCGTGCCCATTGATAATTACACTGCAGAAACGGCTGCGAAAAACGACTTACAGTGGCTTTATTACGATTATCTCGATTTGTTCAAGTGGGTTGCAAGAAAGTACGGCACCAGCACCGAGACCGAAACACTTGTGGATCTCGTCAAGAATCTGTCGTTGAAGGCTGACTTGACATCGTTGTCGGCCCAGCGTTTGCAGTAGAAAGTAATATAGGTAAACTTCCATAGATAATTAACGCATTTTCTGCCACACACTATGTAGATAAATGGGAAGATATTCCGCACTATTTTCACCATCAATGACTTTTGCAATTGAAACCAATCATTTATCGTACAAGTTCCCCAAGGCCACTAGCTACGGCATTGAGGATGTGACGCTTCAGATCCCGTGGGGCACAACGAACCTTGTGGTAGGCCCAAACGGAGCCGGGAAATCCACTCTTCTTCGGATCTTGGCAGGAAAAACCCTCATCAAGCAAGGACATTTGAAGCTTGGAGGGTTCGATCCCTTTGAATTTTCCATCGACCGAAATGCTAAGCGTAACAGCGACATCAACAGCTACATCACGTACCTTGGCATCGAGTGGGCTTCGAACCCAGTCGTCAAGCGGGAAATGCCTGTCAACTTGTTGATTTCGTCCATCGGAGGAGACACTTACACTGACCGTAGAGACGAGTTGATTCGGATTTTGGACATCGATCCCGAGTGGTTGATGTCCAACATTTCGGACGGAGAGAGAAGACGGGTTCAGCTTGTGATTGGGCTTTTGAAGCCGTGGAAATTGTTGCTTTTGGATGAAGTTACGGTGGATTTGGATGTCATTGCCCGAGACAACCTTTTGAAGTTCTTGAAGAAAGAGGTGAGTGAGCGCCAGGCGTGTGTGGTGTATGCCACACACATCTACGACGGGTTGAACCAGGCTTGGTGTGATCGGTTGATCCATTTCAACAAGGGGTCGGTAAAGGATGATATTGCTATGGACAAGATTCAGTTTGAGGATGTTCAAAAGTTGAGGGTTTTGAACGGGGGCTATACGGTACCCATTTCCAGATCGTTCCATCCGTTGGTGTCACACTGGTTGGCGGAAGATTTGGAGTCGAGGGGTTCCAGGGCTGAAGATAGGGACCAAATGGCGAAGAGGCATAATGACTGGCTGAATAAGCGAGACGGCAGCTACTTCGACGGGAAGGACAATGATATTGCGCTGTACTTCAAGTCCACCCGGTCATGAGGTCAGGTTTGGGCATTCAACATTATATTCAACATTACATGACATTCAACATTGTACTATATTCAACATTACATGATATTCAACATTGCATTACATTCAACATTACATTCATAATTAAATTCAACATTATATTATAGGTTATTCATATACAACCGTTGTAGAGGGGGGACTTTTGGCCCTTTCGGGCTGTCGTGTGGTTTCTAGTCCTTTTTTGCTACCGTGTGGGCTAGCCTGGTCCCTTCCTATGCTCTTTTATCATATCTCATAAATCTTCAAAGTGCATCTCCATCTCCCTGAACTCCCGAATGGCCATATTCCGCTCCATCTGCATGCGGAGCTTCCATCCCTCGTACTCAATAGTCCACATTACCGGGTCTTTCTCCAAAACTGATTTGGTGTTTATCTTCCTTCTGGTGGTGGACTGTCTCAATGAAGGAGTAATGGGTGATTGGGCGGCTCTTTTGGCGCCGTTCTTTTGGGCAGAGTCAGGCCTCACGGTGGAGATCGATACTTTATCCATATGCAACCCTGGTGACATGTTGGCCTGGTTGGGATTTGATCTCAATATCTCCCCAGACATGTTGTTTATATTTGAAATTTCGCGTCGATGCGCACAATTACTGCAAAAAGATAAAGATGAGAAGGTGCAAACAGAAGCAGTATAGAAAACGCAACACACTAGCTTCCCAGAGGCTAGTTAGTGTACAATTTGGGAACCGCCGATGATAGCCACATATAAAACTTGTGCTTCCTGTTTTTGTGTTTGCTCTTTGTTATGCTGAACTCACCAATTTGCAGCATAATACTATATATTTGCCCAGTTTCCCAGATTCTGTCCGTAAATAATGTATGCTATTGTCCAAACAAACACTATTGGTTTGAACGCCGAGCCTGTTATTGAGTTGATTCTGCAGCTTCTTGTACTGGACCTGGACCTGGACTTGGACCTGGACACGGACCTAGACACGGACCTGGACACGGACCTCAATCTCGATCCTGCCATACCCAAAAGAAGGAAAATAGCCAGGATCATGAAACAGGTCGACATCTACCTCAACCGCAATCGCCCCTACTCGTTTGCAAGCGTACATAACAAGCTTTTTCCCTACTACATTGCCAGTAACATAACACCACCCGGGATTTTGGAGGTTAACCCCCAAGAGGATTACTATCAGATGTTACACGACGTTTTCCAGCAACTATACACAATGAGGGAAAGTCAACTTTTGGGTTCCCGAAGTTAAGTGAATTTAGATACCTCAAATTAAGTTTGCAGCCAAAAGAAGTGAAATTTGCAAAAGGTGAAACAACCTCAAAATGAAACCGGGTATTGCTAAAACCATCCTAAACAGAATATGGTAACAGAATATTGCCTACGTATTTATTATCCATAAACCCTACCTCTCTCTGCCACACTTGAATCCTCTGCCTGCTTCGAACATACACTCTGCCGACGGCCCCTTTCGTGCCCCTACCACCGCACCCAAATTCTTCAACATATCGCAGAAAATTTTTTCAATTTCACCCACGTATCAAACATGTCTGACGAAAGAACTTTCATTGCCATCAAGCCAGATGGTGTCCAAAGAGGATTGATCTCCTCCATCATCGGTAGATTCGAAAACAGAGGCTTCAAGTTGGTTGGAATCAAATTGGTCCAACCCACCGAATCCTTGTTGAGAACTCACTACGACGACTTGCAATCAAAGCCATTTTTCCCATCTTTGTTGTCCTACATGTTGTCTGGCCCCATCTTGGCCACTGTCTGGGAAGGTAAAGACGTTGTCAAGCAGGGAAGAGTCATCTTGGGTGCCACCAACCCATTGGCTTCTGCTCCTGGTACCATTAGAGGAGACTTTGCCATTGACATGGGAAGAAACGTGTGCCACGGTTCCGACTCTGTTGAGAGCGCCAAGAAGGAAATTGACTTGTGGTTCAAGAAGGATGAGTTGGTTGAATACAAGCACGCCTTGCTTTCTTGGATCTACGAGTAGATATGTTTATAGTCAATAAGCACATTTATTTGTACTAAGCAGCCACAACCAGCTGCGACCGCGAATTTCTCACTGCTCTCTATTTACAACTCTCATTACTGTAGCTATCATGAGCATGGAAGATGACTTGTTCAACGTGCCCGACAATGACGACGACATGAATGACGACGACGACGAAGAATTGGACAACGACAATGAAGATAACCGGGTCGACAATCAGGGTGATGATAATAGCGACAACGACAATGAAAACGAAGACGACGACGAAGACGAAGACGATGAAGAAGATGAAGACGACGACGACGAAGATGACGACGACGACGACGACAATGACAACGACCAGGCCAATGATGACGACGCCAACGACGACGCCGACGACTCAAAGTTTGTGGATGCACAGGAAAATCACGACCTGCCGTCGAAAACTAGTACAGCACCTGAAAAGACCCTGCCCGAGGTCGACGACGCCGACAATGCTGACGAGGACTCCGAGGTACTGTCGGACGATGACGCCGATGTCGACGCCATGGCGGTGGACTCAGATATCCCCGTACGACAGGCACTCATCCAAAAAGCCCAGCAGACCTATGACCTCGAAATAATCCCATCAGTCGCCATGCCCCATGCCTCCCAGTGCCACGCCGTTGCCTTTACCGATGGGCCCAAGTGGATAATCACCGGTGGCGAAGATGGGTTCATACGGAAATACGACTTTATTGCATCGATCGAAGGAAAGTCTCCCTTAACAATGGCCCAGAAACATAATCTCGTGGACTCCGTCACAAAGGCCGGGGTGATCTGTTCCTACTGGGAGAATGAACAGCCGATGACCAAGAATGAGTTGATGGTCATCAATCCTAAGGTCAAGACGTCGGACTTCACGGCCGGAACCATCAGTTACGAGCCTAAAGTCAACCCTGTGTACGCGTTGGAAGTCGAAAGAAATGGATACTGGTGCTTATCAGGGGTGCTATCTGGTGGAATCTCCTTGTACACCATGCGGTACAACGAGGGCAGCTTACACCATTATTTTCGACACGGGGTCAAGAAAACGGCTCCATCGCTCGCGGGAGGCCACAACGATGCCATCTCGTGCTTGAAACTCAACCAGTCTCAGGACCGGCTTCTTTCTGGGTCCTGGGACAAAACCATTCGTGAGTGGGACTTACAGTCCGGTAAGTGCACCACGTTGTTTGCTAGTAGCTCGGGCCAAATTTCCCAGATCCAATTCAGGCCCCATGGGTTGAGTGATTTGATAGTGCTGTACGAGGACGCGGAAGACATGGAAAACAACAGTGACATGGGAAGCTTGTTTGGAGATAGTGACAATGAGCAGAATGACGATGTGCAAAGGGACACGGAAAAGCCCAAGAAGGTAAACCCAAACAAAAATGGCAACAGCAAGGTGTATCGGAGCGAAAGTGTTTTTATGAGCTCGAGCAGCGATGGAACCGTGAATATCTGGGATTTGAGGACCGGTACGGCGCCCATTCTCAAGTACGGGATCCCCAGTGGCACACCTCCGTGGTGTATGAGTTCTACGTGGTCTAATAACGGAGATTTTATCTACGTGGGGAGAAGAAACAGCACTGTGGAAGAGTTTTCGCTCAAAATGCCTCATAAAAGAGATACCAAGGCCAACTTTGTGCCCAACGTGCTGAAAACATTACAGTTCCCCAAGATCTCGGGGCCGGTGACCGCCATCTCGACCATGCCCAATGAAAACTACTTGCTCTGTGGATCGCTGGACAATATTCGATTATACGATCTCAGTCTTTACAACCCAGAAAACCCTACTGTGGCCACAAAAGATTCTAAAAAGGGCCAGGCCACGCCGTTTTTGATTGTTCCGGGTCATCACGGTGGAGTGTTGAGTTCTTTATATGTGGACGAAACCGGCCGGTTTATGGTGAGTGCCAGTGGGAACAGGGGATGGGGAAATGCCAGTTATACCGATTCGGTGCTCGTGTATGAGATTGATTTTTGAGTTAGTGGACACAGAGGTACTCAACGAGGTGTACAGATAGATAAGCCGTTGTATAGTCACAAGAGTCGTAAACATGGACGAAGTGTATTCACCACGTCAACATATGTAAATAAATAGTCACGTCGTAAAGAATGAAATCACCCCAGGTACCCATAAAGAGAGTTTCGGACATTTCCTAGTCCCACCCGGTTAAGCCAGCCGCCCACACTCGAAAGCTTGAACGAGTTCAAGTTCATATCAAAGTATTTGAGGATCACGTTATGGCTCTGTCGGGTGACAAGAAAATGAAGCAAGAACCCCAAGAACCCCACCGTCAAACTAATCTTATAAAGGGTCGTCAACTTGAAGACATTGTTTCTCTTGATAGGAGGCCCTTCACTATCATCATTGGAGTCTGAAAATAAAAGCTTCTTGAAGTACATCGACGAAGTCTTGAGGATCTTGGTGTTCAAAGAGGCGGTGGATGAGTGAAGTGATGACATTGAAGATGATAACGAATTATTGAGCGAAGTGTCAAAGTCCGTCAGCTCCTCTAATTGGTGGTCTTCAAACACCTTGCTCTCGGTTTCCAAGTTATACACCATAAGTCTCGCCATCTCTCTGTCCTGGGTCTCAACGTACTGTTGAACAACTTTGGGGTCATTGGCCAAAGAGCCGTCAGGACTGGACCGATAAGGAACTGAAGTCGTTAGCAAAACCGAGCTCTTATTATACTGTTTGAACCACAACTCATACGTGAAGGTGCTATTGCTGAGGTTCATAATTGGGTAAGTCTCGTAGTAGTGTTTGGCTTTGTTCAAAATTTTCACCATATCAGAGTCTGTAAGGTCTCGGAACAAACTGTTGGAAGACAAAAGATTATGGAGCAAATCCTTGTCAACGTTGGCAAAGTTGTTGTCGGAGTCCTTGATGTGAAGAGCCTTGAAGATTTCGTCTCGCTTGAACATCAAAGCTGCAACGTAAATGTAGATGTTGATGAGCACCGAGTGGTAACTCAAGGAAAAGTCCCAAAGCATCAAGAGCTGGCCCAAGTCGTTGATATCATGGCTGAACAACGTCAAGATACATGACAAGCCCTGGTAGAGACTATAGTCGTAGTAAGCTCCATCTGAAGCTACATAGCTATTACTCAATTGTTTCACCAACTTGAAGAACCGGTGATCCACGATTTCCAACACCGTGGGAATCAACTTCAAGTGCACAAGCGACAAGTTGATGTCGGAGATCATGAAGTCTCTCAAATGGTTTAAGGTCAAAGCCTCCAAGAGCTTGAAACTGCGGGTCTCATCGACCTTGTTTCGAGTCGGGTCGTAGCACACCACCAAGATGATACTGGCGATGTCGTGGAACCCTTGGTAATAGTGCAACAGCGGGTACTTTCTCAACAACTTGACCACGAGGTTGAGGAGGGTCTTCTTGAGATAGCTGATCTGCTCATCGGAGTAGGAGTCGGTCTGGGGAAGCGACGCAAAAGAGCACTTGATGTGGTTCAAGATCGTGAACGACCGCTTGATGTCCAACTTGACCTGCTCCTCGTCTTTGTGGAGCGGAACATCATTGATACTAAGGTCCTCAAGAAACATGGAAGCGTCCACCAGGCTCACAAGACGGGCATCAGTGTCCCCAGGCTCGTTCCAGTCTACGAGGCCAAGCAACACCGGCCAAGCGCCACGGCGGATGTCGTTGTTGACAAGGCCATCGGTGGACCGCAGATACTCGATGATTTCGTTGTGTTTGCAGCTGTTGAGATACTCGTAAAGGGTTCTGGTTTTAAGCAGTTTGATCTGGTCGTTCAAGGGCCCGGTTTCGGAAGTGTAGAACGACTTGCCGAATTTGTCGACATCCATGGACACCCAATCCTGCTGGGAGTCGTTGGAGTCACTTGGGTGACGGGGGATAGATGTTTGGGTGGTGGTGTGATTGTGAGGGTCCCCTGAAAACAATAGGGATTCACGAGGTTCTGGGGGTGGATCGACACGGGCCGGCGATGGGGCCGGCACTGACACCTCGACGGGGTCCACGGAGTCGAGCTGTCGCTCCTCTATTGTGGGAGAGCGTCTGGGGTTATCCAAATATCCCTCGCTCACTGCTATCATGGTGCGGGTAGATGAATGAAATGTGAGAAAGCGGATTTGCGCGCGGACTCAGGAAAGGCCATGAATTCTCGCGAATCACCTCCACAAAAACCATACCATGATCGCATCATCCATCATTAATGAATTGAAGCCCGACGGCGGCGAGCTCGTGGTGAGCTGGACAGATGGCCAGACGCTGCGCTTCCACAACGTGTGGTTGCGTGACAACTGCCACTGTGACGAATGCTACTACTCCATTACCAAGCAGCGGCTCTTGAATAGTGCCAGCATCGATGAGAACATCCACGTTAAGTCTGTAACTGTGGATGGTAGTGGCCCCGCCGCCACTGTACATATTGTGTGGGACCAGAACTCGCATTCCAGCACCTATCCCGCCGCCTGGCTCCACTTGCACTCGTACAACCCGGTGTTGGTGCCGGTGGACGAGAAGATTGGAGGCCAGAAGCAAACCCTCCAAATGGTTCACTGGGACGTGCAAACCATTGAGAACTCATTGCCATCTGTTGACTACAATGTGGTGATGGCGTCGACCGATGATACCGATGCCGAGCACGCCATTGCCGACTGGGCCCTCAAAATTTGGAAGTACGGCTTCTGTCTCATCGACAACGTACCGGTGACCCCCGAAGACACGCAGGCATTATGTGAAAAGTTGATGTATATCCGGCCCACACACTACGGCGGGTTCTGGGACTTCACCAGCGATTTGTCCAAGAACGACACTGCCTACACCAATATCGACATTCTGTCACACACCGATGGCACCTACTGGAACGACACCCCTGGGTTGCAGTTATTTCATTTGTTGCTGCACGAAGGTGAAGGTGGCACTTCATCGCTCGTAGACGCATTCCGGTGTGCCAAATTGTTGAAGGAGCGGGACCCGGACAGCTACGAGGTTTTGACTCGGATCCCGGTGCCTGCTCACTCGGCTGGTGAAGAGAAAGTGTGTATTCAACCGGACATTCCCCAGCCAGTTTTCAAGTTAGACGGTCAGGGAAAGTTGGTACAGGTCCGGTGGAACCAATCGGACCGGTCTACCATGGACAATTGGGAGAACCCAGCGGATGTGCCCAAATTTTATAAGGCCATCAGACTGTGGTACGGGATTATCAGTGATTCCAAAAACGAATTTTTCTACCAGTTGAGACCGGGCCAGTGTTTGATTTTCGATAACTGGAGGTGTTTCCACTCCCGGACAGAGTTCACAGGGAAGAGAAGAATGTGTGGGGCGTATATCAATCGGGATGACTTTTTGTCGCGGTTGAAGTTGTTGAATTTGGGACGGGATGCGGTATTGGAGTCGATCTAGCGGTGATGTGTGCGCTTGTGGATTGCCGAATCGGGAACGCGCGAACCGCCAGGTTGGATCTGTTTAACCGATGCCCCCACCCTATCAATGCTCACAACTCATCACAACTCTCACTCTACAACATCAGTTCCTCTCAACAATATATTACTCTATATAGATTCGGAAATTTTATGGAGTCCTCAGAAAATACAGAGGTTTGGTCCAGCCCAATCCTTTGGATCGTTGAATCTCAAGTTTCTCTCCAACTCTCTGATGGCATCAAAGTCCTCGTCAGTCAAATTAAAGTCATTGAACTCCAAGTTCTCCTTCAATCTGTTAGGATTGTTGGACTTTGGAATCACAGCAATGTTTCTCTGGGTGGCCCATCTCAACAAAACCTGAGCACTAGTCTTACCGTGCTTATCAGCGATGGCAGTGATGGTGGCGTGTTCAAGCAAGTTAGGAGAGCTCTTTGCTGCGGGGTTGTCCAATTCAAGGTAACTGTTACCACCGAATGATGAGTAGGCAGTGATGGCCACACCCTTGTGTTGGGCGAATCTCACCAATTGAGATTGTTGCAAGTATGGGTGGTGCTCAATTTGTAAAGCAGCTGGCACAACTTCAGCCTGCTTGATCAAATCAGTCAAAAGACCTCCGTTGAAGTTGGATACTCCAATGGCCTTGACTTTCTTTCCAGCCTTGTAGATCTTTTCCATGACTCTCCAAGTGTCAATGATTGGCACATCAGCCAATTCGATCTCTGACTTGGTTCCGAACCCAGAAGGATATGTTTCTTCAAATGGCACGTACTTGAAAGAAATGGGGAAATGCATCAAGAATAAGTCAAGGTACTCCAATTGCATGTCGGACAAGATTCTGTCCAAAGCCTTTTCAACCACCTCAGGGTCGTGGTACGAGTTCCACAACTTGGAAGTGATGAAAACATCTTCTCTCTTGACTAAACCAGATTCAAAAGCTTGTTTAAAACCTTCTCCAACTTGAACACAGTTACCGTAGTCGGCAGCACAATCGAAGGTTCTGTAACCGGCCTTAAGGGCATTGATAACGGTATCAGCACAAGAACTTTTGGCGACTTTCCAGACACCAAAACCAGTGAGAGGCATTTCAGCCCCGGTATTTAACTTAATAGACATAGTGATAGTTAATTTTGAAAAAAAGGGAATCTGGGGGGTATTTATACCCCAGCTATGTCGAAGTGTCCCGCTCCTGTATATAGTTGCGGCAAATCGACGAGTAACTTTCCACTCGGTTTTGTTTGGGGCTAGCACAGTTTTTTTCCGAGAGTGCCCCCACTCAAACCTTGCCCCAGAGATCCAGGGACACTGGCCCGCCTCCGCCCCGTCACTTGACGTATATTGGCCCTACACGTTTGTTGACCGCCAATTTTGATCTCCATGAACCTGAAGCTTGACACTGTCTTCAGCACTTATTCCGCACTCCTTGGGAAGGGGGAAGGTCGATACGAAGGCCCTAGTTATTTATTTCCTATATATTTAAACAGTCCGACGGTCGCTCATGAACCGAATGACCGGGCCCAACCCCGTAAACTCGACGGTCTTCTCGTACCACGCCAATAATACCGCCCCCTGTTTCGACCCGTAGCTGGTGTCCATAATCTTATATAAGTATTTAACCAAAGTATCCTGTTCGTCACTAGATAATTGTTTCACAAACGGCAAGATGTCGGTGTTGTTGTTCTTGACGGAGATCAATGTCTCAAAGACCAATTGGTCGTAGCTGGCCTTGGCTGCAGGTGATGAAAGGTAAGGGGGGTTTTGGAGAGCGGTTTTCAACGCTTCGGCAAATTGGCCCTTGGAAAGTTTGGCCTTGCACTCGGCGATGATTGAAGGGATGGCAGCCTCGTCTACCGGGTTGGCGATGGCGGGCACGAGTTCTTCCTTCAGGAGGAACTTATCTGGTTCGAATGCGTCGATATCTATTCTCCTCCAGTCTTCCATTAGTGTGTTGGTTTTGAAATGTTGCGGGTGAGCAAGCGCGAAAAGCCTTGGTGGGTGTCTGGGTCAAAAGGGGAGAAGCTACTGTGTTGTGATAGATATTGTGTTTGTGTTACATAGTGTGTTTGTGTTACATAGTGTGTTTGTGTTACATAGTGTGTTTGTGTTACATACTGTGTTTGTGTTACATACTGTGCTTGTGTTACATACTGTGTTTGTGTTACATGGGTCGGACCTAGTTTGTTATACCCAGCTTATGTTTGATTCCCGCTTTCCACCACCAGATCCACATCTCTACTCTACTCTACAAATTCCAACTCAGGACAATATTCATTACTCATACTAAACCTCAGACTAGTGCACTCACACCTCCTGTATACTGCGTGTGCTCGAGGTTGGCACCTTCTCGATCAGCCCTCCATCCACATCCTCTACCTCAGCTACCGCAACCTTTCCGGACTCGTCCATAATCACCTCCTGCTTTCTCATGGCAATAATCTCGTCAGCCTTCTTTCTCTTCTTCAAAGCCGTACCTCTAATACTAAACAACACATCCATGTTCTCCAATGAAATACCTCTAGTCTCAGGAATAATAAAGTACACAAACGGGACCGATAACAACAAGCATGCTCCAAAGAAGTAAAAGGACCCGTACTTAATGTTGGTCATCATGTATGGGTTGGAGTACACAATCACAAACTGCATGAGCCATTGGGCCATAACACAAATGGTCATACAGAAATTTCTGATAGCCATGGGGAAAATCTCAGAACACACAATGAATGGCATACAGTTCCAACTGAAGGCATAGAACACAGCGAACATGTAAACACATGCCAAAGCTGCCCGAGATCCTCCGTCCTTTTCAACGACATGGTCAAATGAGCCCGATAATTGGGAGTAAATTCCAAGATACATCATGAACACAAATGTCAAGGAAGATCCAAACAAAAGCGGACCTCTTCTACCAAAGTAATCGACCATGAACAACACGGCAATGATATTGGTGACAGTCTTGGCCACCCCAAAAATCCCGGTCGCTAACAAATCCACATTGTTTCCAGAAACTCCAATGGACTTGAAAATTGTAGGGGAGTAGTAGTTCAAGGCATTGATACCCGATAAGTTCTGCCACACCATCACTGACACACCCACAAATAATCTGTACCGCATGCCTGACTTTGTGACTTCCTTTAATTTGATGTAAATCTCGTTTCTCTGGATGAAGTTGCCGGTTTCCCTCAACACATCTTTCTTTGCGATCTGGGCTTCCTCATTCAACTGGATCAACACTGACTGGATCTCATAATTGATGTACGGATGTTCTGCTGGTAACTTTCTGATCCTGACCAATGCGTCTCTGGCATCATCCACACGGCCGGCCTTAATCAACCATCTGTAACTTTCTGGTTGGAACCACATACACAAGATAACGGCTCCTCCAAAAATATACTGTAAAGCAAATGGAATCTGCCATTGACGTTCGCTGGTATCCGGCTGGTGGATCTTAACGGCGTAGTTGACCCAGAAAGCAAGCAAAGAACTGGTCTGGTAGACACATTCATATAACCCAACTGTCAATCCTCTAACGGCTGGTGGAGACCATTCGGCATTGTACACGGGCACGATCATCGACATGGTTCCCACCAGTAATCCGGTGATAGCTCTACCAGCATAGATCAATCCAATTTTCCCACTGGAAGCAATTTGGAATGTCACCCCGATAACAAACACAATAGCAAATGCAAGCATGGTTTTTCTTCTACCGAATTTCTCATTGACCGAATAGGCGATAATAGCACCAAAAAAACACCCGGCCTGAAACGTAGATACAATGTTGGCCTTTAAAGCTGCCAACTGGGTTCCAGTTACCGAGTCCAACCCGTACCGGGCAGTAAATGATGGGAGCGAAATGGCACCTCCAATGAACCCAGTATCGTAACCGTACATGGCAGACCCAGTGGAAGCAGCGAGAGCCAAGAGCAACAAACGGGAGTTATAAGTCTCGATCGGAGCTGGATGCGCAGAGTCATCTTTGTGGGCAAATTTACTTAAGAGCCACATGATTAATAATAAATAACTGAAGGTTTATGGGTAGGTACATAGGGCCTTATATACCTGAGGGAGGAAGATCTGGAGATACGAATGATGTGGGGTAAATGCGTAGATCGCGGGCTCTTGCCAAATAGGCACAGCATCATCTGTACTTCTTCGTATTGTCAACGGGAGAGGTTTCCGTTGAGGAGTGTATCCGGGGGATTTTCTGGGGAAGCGAATGTCGTGGTGGTGGGGTAGGTGGGGTTCCCAGGGCTCGCTACCGTTCCCAATGGAGTATTGTTTTGAGGTTATCCCGACAAGTGGGGGTGATTGTTATGATTTTCTGCGGCCCATGGGCCTGGTTAGCAGCTGAAGTATTAAGGACGATATAGAGTTTCTCCGAATAGTTGTACGGTGCACAAAACAGGTTTTATTTGCAGTGCGGACAAGGAATAAAACCGGTGAGTGATAACCTAATAAGACGCGAACGTCAAGTGTTGGGTTGACTTGATGGAGGGAGAAGCAGTAGTCGACGAGTGGTCCACTTCCTGGTTGGTATATGGGGTGTAATTCCTGGTGGTCATTATGCGTCCACTTCCTGGCTGCACTCCTGGATGCACTCCTAGTTGTACTCCGGGGTGCACTCCTTGTTGTACCCCTACACTCCCTCCATCTACATGTACTCAAGCTCCATATATTCTATCTAAATTGACTCTTCGGTCTTCTTAATCAACTCATACATAGGCTTGTAAGACTCCCACTGGGTATCACTCAAAGCATGGTTCATTGGCTTTCTTCCCACTAAACTCTCACCCAATCCCAAGTGCTCCTTGATTGCTCTCTTGATGGCTAAAAATCCGCCCTGGGAGGCCAATACTTCGGCCTCGGCAGCCACATACTGCAACTCTCTGGCTTCGTGGTACTTTCCTTCGCTCACTAATTTAAAGAGCTTGACAAACGTCTTAGGGAAACATCCAGAAAGTGCATCGATAACACCCTTACCATTAATAGCAAATAATGGCAACAACAATTGACCTTGTCCCGATAAAAGCTTGAAGTTGTTGGCTTCAACCTCTTTATCAAGTCCGATTCGTGAGTACTGGTGAACATCTCCGTGCGAGCATTTGCACCCAATAACGTTGGGGTGCTTGGCCAAGGTTCTGATGGTTTCTGGTGACGTTTGCAACCCATTGGAAACTCCGGGGTAGACGTATAAAATGACCGGTAACTCACTGTTATCGGCAACTTCAGTAAACCAGTCAATAAGACCTTGTTGCGAGGTTTCAGGTCCGTAGTAGAACGAAGGTAACACCATGGCCACTGAGGCCCCGGCCTTCTTGAAGTCCGAGATCGACTTCAAGCAATCCTGGATGTTATGCTGTTGTACTCCGGCGATGATTTCAAAGTCTGGAACCGCTTGGTGCAACTTTGAAAGCAATTCGATTCTTTCAGCCTGGGAAAGCAAGGCATTTTCTCCAGTTGATCCCAATGCAACAATACCTTGAATACCGTTTTGTTTAAGGAACTTTGCATGTTTGATTTGGGTATCAAAGTCAATGGTGTGGCCGTCTTTCTTGTAAAAAGTGACGATAGGGACGTAGACTCCTTCGGTAATGGACTTAGTCATGGTGGGGAATAAAAATGGTGGGGAATAAAAATGGTGATGGCTTTGATGTCAGGAAGGATCGGCCATATATAAGGGGAGCCGATGGTGGGTACGACAATGTCGTGCCTTCCCCCTCGGGGTTCGCAACTGGTGCATTTAACGGCCATGGTGTCCGTTATCACGGAAAGCACTTCCGGAAAGGTAAGTCATGTCCGCAACTTCCATCTGGGGGAATGCACGGGCACTGTGAGCGGCTGGGTGTGGGGGTGGAGTGGGGATATGGGTCAGATATCCGTTGTAGCACAGTGCGTGTGCAATTTACATGGGGTATGGGGTATGTATGCGCACCTTGGTAACAGGTGCTAGTCGCACTTGCATAATAGGGCTGCGTGATGGTAGGAAGTCTAATGGGTGTTTAAGGTTCGACATGCGCAGGTAGCGAAGATGGTGCGTTGTTAAGGTAGTGGTGGACTTCCAAGGACTACCAGGAAGACAGAAGCTGTCAGAGAATTACAGAAGCTGTCAGAGAATTACACAATCTGTCAAGATTGACAGTCCTGTCTCGTCCCAGCGCCTCGTCATAGTGTCAGTTTACTGTCGTATCTCGGCCTGATATCTCGTTCCGTGCCCATCCTAGTGTCTCGCTCTACATCTTGCCCACTGGCCAAGACCTCCTACGCCCTGCCAGTGACACCCACCTGATGCACGCTATGCATAAATGTATATTCAGTAGTCCGGGTTTTATATCTCCCTGGTTCTAATGGCTTTTCGTGGTTTCATGGGACCCTTCAATCATCCTATCATTATACCCATCTATAAACTTCAACACCTCATCGCGCAACTCGGTGGAATCAATCACTATCACCACCAACCCGTCACTACCCACCTCATACTTGATATGTCCGTCATTCGGAACCGCCACTGTCTCGTCAAACTCGTTGAAAAAACCGTCCACCTCGTCCATCGTCTGAACATAGTCCATTAGTCTCTCTTGTAAATCACCCTCAGGTACGTCTGGGGAGTTAATAAGGGTAATAATCCGCAACGGGTTGTCAAGCTCCTCGAGATGGTCGTTCTCATTGGTGAGAGGCGTGTCAGGCACCACGATATCGATCGGCTGGGTATCCACCACCTGGCTGGAACCGTTATTTCTCTTGCTCTTCTTGCCCATGGTGCGATGAGAAAAGTGCGAAAGTGCGATTAACTAAAAATCTAACTGCAAAAATCATCGTGATCAAACTACAACGACCACTTCTTGAACTGGTTGATCAACCCGTTGGTGGAGGCATCGTGGCTCGACACCTCGCGGCCATCGTCCAACTCCAGGCCAATCACCTTCGCCAACAGCTTACCCAACTCGACCCCCCACTGGTCAAACGAGTTGATGTTCCACACGGCCCCCTCGACAAACGTCACGTGCTCGTAGTAAGCAATCAACGCCCCCAACGAGGCCGGGGTCACCTTCTGCACCAAAATCAGGGTCGTGGGCCTATTGCCCGAAAACACCTTATGAGGTACCAATCCTCCGGTGGCTCCCTCGGCCTTGACGGTGTCTTCACTCTTACCTACCATTAACGCCTCGGCCTGGGCAAAGAAGTTGGACGCCAACATTCTCTGGTGCAAGTTGTCTCTAATGGGGTTGTGAGACTGGGCTGCCAAAATAAAATCGGCCGGAATCAACTTGGTTCCCTGGTGCACCAACTGGAAGAACGAGTGCTGGGCGTTGGTGGCAGGCTCACCAAATAAAATGGTGCCGGTCTCGTAGTTGGTAAACACATTGGCTCGGGTGACACTCTTTCCGTTACTCTCCATCGACAACTGCTGCAAGTACGCAGGGAACCGGTGCAAGTACTGGTCGAATGGGGCCACCAAGTGCGTCTGGGCTCCGTAGAAATTGTTGTACCACACAGACAACAAACCTCCCAACACCGGAATGTTGTGCTCCAAAGGAGTCTCGACAAAGTGCTTGTCAACCGCTTCTGCCCCCTTCAAAAACGCCTCGAAGTTGTCGTACCCGATGTAGATGGCCACCGACAACCCAATGGCAGACCATACCGAGTACCGGCCTCCCACCCAGTTTTCAAACCCAAACATGTTTTTGGTGTCGATACCGAATTTGGCTACTTCTTCGGCATTGGTCGACAAGGCAGCAAAGTGCTTGGCGATGTGGGCAGCGTCCTTGGCAGCCGCCAAGAACCACTCCTTGGCGCTGTTGGCGTTGGTGGTGGTTTCGGCGGTGGTGAAGGTTTTGGACGCAATCAAGAATAAGGTGGTTTCAGGCACACACTTCTTCAAGGTTTCGGTCAAGTGAGTTCCGTCGATGTTCGACACAAAGTGCACATCCAAGCCGTCCTGGGCGTACTTCTTCAACGCCTCGGTGACCATCACCGGTCCCAAATCAGATCCTCCAATTCCGATATTGACGACATCGGTGATAGCTTTGCCAGTGTAACCGGTCCACAGGCCGGAGCGGATTTGCTCGGAGAACTGCTTCATGTGCTGCAACACTTCGTCTACAACCGGAGCCGTGTCCTGGCCGTCAATTGGCATGGGCTTCAAGGCTCTGTTTCTCAACCCAACGTGGAAAACAGCTCTGTCTTCAGTGGTGTTAATTTTGTCTCCAGCAAACATGGCATCTCTCAACTGCTCGATATTGGCCTGTTTGGCCAACTCCACCAATTGATCCAACACTTGGTCGTTGACAAGGTTCTTTGAAAAGTCAAAGAGGATTTCGGACTTGTCAAAGTTCTCAAATGTCTTGGAGTACTTGGAGAATCTCTGGGGGTCCTTTTCGAACTCCTGGGCAACGTTGAACTGGCCAATGGCTTTGTGGAGAGTTTCCAACTGCTTCCAGGCGGGCAATTCGGAGGCTAATTTGAAAGAAGACATGTTAATGTATGGGTGGTATAACAAGTATGTGTGATCAAATTGAAAAAATCACTCGGGGGAATAATGTGCGATTTGAAGAAATGTCGTTGGGCCCATCAACCAACAATTTCCCATTTATGAGTGGGATGACGTGGGGGAGGAAGTGGCGCGCTCATCATCTAATTGGTGAGTGTCGTGGTAGCTGATGGGTCGACCCGTAGCCTCATACTGATGTTTCTAATCCCCCACCATCCACCCACTAACCATCATTGGCTATCACTGGAGTGGAGGCGACCGAGCCCTCGCTAATGGGGATAGTCGCGGGCAAACTACGACATTTGATCGACATTAGGTTTGCCGAACTCCCCGACTCATCAGGTGTTCATCTCACGTGACCTTGCCCTTCACACTTGCTCTCTGAAAAGGCAAGTGTGCTAACCCTCTTTGACTATCACTATACATATCACCTTTCATACACCCACTCTCCTTTCAACCCTCACCCAAAATCATCGCGCTCAAATATGCTCATTTTCTATTCCCCATGTCAAACAACGGATTAGTGTCCAGATGGGCTACCAGCAACGACCTCGTTGAAAAGGCCACTCATCAAGACAGTCTGGTGTCGCCCCATCACAGCTATCACCCTAAGACACCTCCACCCGCAAAATCTCCATCCAGAACCACAAAACTCGAAAGTATTTGGGCAGATGCAGTGAATGAGCCATCACCAAGTGAACCCTCTCACCTGTCTCACCTGTCACGGGGCAAGGCCTCCCATTCCAACAGTCGCCCCGCACGTCATCGTGGAGGTAAAGCACCCCTACAGACGCCCCCACTGTCGAGCGAAGCAATGCGACCCCCCACCCAAGATGAAGAACCATTGGCACCAATGACAGATGCGGCCCGACTGTTTGCCGCTCGATTGGGAACCAATCCCAAACCCCAGAATTCTACCAAGACTTCTACCAAGACTCCCACCAAGACTCCCATCAAGACTCATCCTCCCAGAAATCCCCCCACTCACCATACACCCAAAAACTCCTACATCTCCGATGATGCGGCTGATGCTGAGGACTCTGAGTCACCCAAGCAAATGTCAGCTGCTGCCATGGCATTTGCTTCCCGTTTGGGTATATCTAGCTCTGCGCCCCCACCATCTCACAAGTCTGGCAAACCTCCCAGGTCGTCTCATAGATCTCAAGAGAAGTCGCCCAGACACGACACTCCCAAGAAACTCCCAAACTCCAGGAACCTTCCCCCCAAGAATCGCAAGAACCAGGAAGCCGAACAGCTCGAAAAGGAGGAAGCTGCTCGCCAAGCAGAACTTGAAAAAGAGAGATATAAGGCCGAGATAGAGCAGTTGGTGAAGGAAATGGAGAGCTCCGAATTAAACTGGGCCGACATCGAAGACTAACGGCTACCATCTGGTGCAAGTAACTATTGGTATCAGTCTTCTCTTTTTGTATATTATTCGTAATCATTGTGCATTTAGCTAATTTGACGTTATAGATTTAATTTGCAGCCACGAAAGGCTAATAAATTATGACCTACTTCGTCTCTCTCACATTCATTACATTCGTGTCCCCTACCATCACTAACTGATCACATCTCTTTGCACATTTCAAAACATCTTCAACAGTTCTAACTCCATGCATTGACAAAATAATAGTTCCATGAAAAGTCAATTCGTCCACGGTCTCAACTCTAGTGGACATCTCCTTGAGTAACGCTTCCTGATACAAAGATGCAGTTGCTATGCATGAGCCTTGTATGCTGATTGAAATATCAGCACACTTTTCGGCTTCCGCCACATTCACATTGGTCTTGGCCAGGGAACTCTTTCTATATGATAATGCTGATCCTTTTATCTTTATCGAATTCAATTCCACATTATATTCATTCAGGTAGAGCTTAAAAATGTCTTCACTGGTGCGTACGATATTGAGACGGGTGCGTTCAACGTCTTTATCAACAATCATCTCCCAAAGAACAGACTGGTCAGTAGCCTCTGTAAAATCTCCCATTACCACCAACCGTTTGGGATGAGAAACCGTCAAGTTGCAAAGAAATTGTGATTCAAAACATATAACGTTGTCGAACTTTCCTTGAAGTTTGGCCAAGTCTACAGCGGCCACAAACACAAACTTCAGAAATGCGCTCATCATAAGCTGCTTGACTTTGTGTTCGTTGTTCTCAAATCCTAACACACTGGACGCTTTGCGAAGGTTATCATAAATATCAAGAAGTTTATGGTGAGCATCCATTATCTGGTTCAAGTCTCCTTCAACTTCTCCAAACGGATATTTGGTTGAGGAATCCTTTTCGAGAGAATGTAGAAACTGCTTCCATCTTCTAGGAACTTCGTATTCAAAGAAGAAAAGTGCATCTTTGAGGGTAAAATGTTCCATTTCCATCATACCTGATACTTGCTTCGTTTCTTCAAGAAGGTCCTCAATCACCTTGATGGGATCTTCCATCTTCTCAAAACTGGCGCTCACTTTGGTGATTTCAGCTGGTGGTTCGTATCGTTTAACCCAGTTTGTGTGTGGAAAAACCACCAATGTGCGTTCACCTTTGAAGTTCCTGTTAATGTTCTTCAAAATAGCATTCAAAACGTCCATACTCCCAGAGTGTGGAGGTGTGTCAATGAGATTCACACTTTTAGTTAAGGCTCTGTAGACTGCAGTAGACTGAATTTTGTTTAATGCCTTCGCAGCTTCAGCTTTATAAGTCACTGTTTCTTCAGTTAAGTTAACATCTACGATATGTGTACCATCTGACCGTTTCTTATTGGCCCTCAACGGAATGGCACCAGGCACAAATCCCTCGAAACTCATTCTGTTCAACAGGATCGTAGTATGTGTATACTGGAGGTTTATCGATGGTTGCAAAAACTTGGGTACTTTCACAAAGTAGTTGAATCTTTCACAACTGGCACCCAATTTGGTTTGTGTTCGTATTGGCTCAACCAATACTCCATTTTGATTCTTTGATATCACCTCAACCACCACAAGAGTCTCTATTCCAAACTTGTTGACTCTCGGAACGTCAGAATACTTATTGGGCTTGGAAACTTCAAGCAACAAAAGTGTTTCACCAATATCACACTCAACTTTCAGCAATACACATGCACTTTTCAACCACCTTGTTTCGACGTGGCTGAAGTACTTACTCTTACCGCCGATTTTGAGGTTTTTGGACTTGTCTAGTGTGATTTTCACTCTTTGGAGTACTTCCGCGAGGTGAGTAAATATACGATACTCTGTTTGACTTAGTATCGGCAATGCAAATTTGAATGGCGACATTGACTCATACACATCATAAAACACCTCCAGGTCGTTAAAATCGAGCTTCAGCTGTATCAAACGGACTTTGAGACCATGTAACACCGCGCTTTTGGCCAAACCGGAAAATCCCAACTCTAACTTCAGCACAACTTCCTCAAAATCCGTGCTGAGAACGTCGAGATCATCTTTCACGTCATAAGTGGTCCCTGAAAGCTCATAAGTCTTATAGTAAAGCCTCAAAAATGCTGGGTACATGTCACCTCGCAGGCTTACCAATGGCTGCAAATACGGCTTGATTCCCGTGATGTCGCTATTAAAACATTCAAATGGAAAATTAAGACTCTCTATCTTCTTCACTTCAGCCAGCCAACTCAACACCGCCCGAAGATACGTGTCGTACTCGACCCCTCCATCATTTTCATACAGAAGATCGATATTCTTCAATAACAAGTCTTTCAACCAATTCTTCATCAAATAGTCCGGTCCGAAAGCACTGTTGTTGTTTCCCGCCACGAGATCCTTGTGTACATCCGGCCGCCAGCCCAACTCCACAAGACGCTTCATGAGCATAATGCACACTCGGTGGAGTCTGAAATTTGCGTCTTTCTTGAGGCCAAAAGTGATGTTCAAAAGCCTTACAAAAAAGGCATTGAACGTAGCGTGTCTGAGTGCCCACCCAAGCCGTTGTGGATGTTGAAGCTCGTACAAGCACATGACAGCCATCAATTCCACATGGGCCTCGGTGACATCGGGATTAAAATATGGCCAAAGAACATGATCAAAGTACCGAGTGTGTGAAAGATACAGCAAATTGGCCGGTGATGGGTCGCTCTTTACGATCTCGTGCACCTGACCCACGAACTGCAGTTTCCAGTTCTTCGGCACCCCATTTTTCCACTGGTTCAGGAGTACCGCCAACTTTTCCACGTTAGTCTGCACCATAGCTCTTCTCAAACCTACAGCAGCCCTTTTCGCGCTTTTTTTCCCAAAAATTTTCACTGACAAAATCTTCCACACCACAAATGTTGCACAGAATCACCGGAACCAGAGGTATAATGGGGACCAGGCTCCTCAGCACCAGCCATATGATGTTTGGGGCAGTACCCTCCACCACACCTGTGGAATTCAAGTTCCGGCCGGCATTGGCAGCCAAGCAAATGGTTCCCCCAAATGCCACCCGTTCCAAGCTCAAGTCGTTGAAGAAGAAAGAAAAAAGACTCAAAAGACAGGTCACCCGTGATATTAACAACCTCAAGCAACACCACTTGAAACATGTGAAGTTCCAGGTGGACCCAGTGTTGGGAAACCCCAGCAACGGGTTCATTCAACGGGTGAGAGAAGACATCAGTGACCAGACCAACTTGGCTGGAGGATACACCAGAGAAGAAGTGGAAAAGCTTTTTTACGGGGTAGAAAAGGTCACGTTGAGCAAAATCAAGGGCAGTAACGTGTTGCTCGAGTCGGCGGTTGAGGCGGAACAGCACAAGAAAACGGCAGTGTTGACGATGTTAAACATGAGAAACACCAACGCCAAAGACAAAAGGCTTTTGGCTATCAACAGAGCCAAGAGAGAATTTGCGCGTGTGGAGGGTGATACGGGCTCGCCCGAGGTGCAGGCGGCCATCATGACGGTGAAAATCCATTTGGGCATGGATCATGTCAAGCAGTTTCACAAAGATAAGGTGCATCTTCAGAACGTGAGAGAGCTTGTGCAACAAAGACAGCTGATATTACGGTACTTGAAGAAGGTGCGGCCTGAAGACTATTACTACTGTCTTGAAAAGTTGGGGTTGACAGACGATGTGATTACCCGGGAGTTCAACATGGGAAGACAGTATCTCCAGGACTATAAGGTTTGGGGAGATAAGCAGTTGGTGAAGTTGAGCGACAAACAGAAGAGAAAAGAGCAGAAGTTTACCGAGTTGCAGAAGAAGGTGGTTTCATACAACCAGTTGGCACGGGCCAACTTTGATGCGTTGAACTAACTTGTACATAATATATTATCATTATCTCATACTTGCGGATATTCATGGTAGACTTTAGAAATTATTTTCCTCAATACTCTGATAGAATCCCATTCTCTCCATCTCTATATATCGTCTCCCACTAACTCCAACAACTCGTTCACTCGCTCGCTCGTGGTATCGTCCTTCAACACCTGCAACTCCTGGTTCAAGGTCAGCGCATTATCATATATCTGTGCCTTGAGCTCATTACTTTCCGTCACCAACGCCGATAACTCCTTGAAATACTGCAAGTTATCGATACACAACTGGTTATATATCAACCGCAACGACTGCACGGTCTCATTCCGTTTGTGGCTCTTGTTGGCCTCAATGATCTCCCTGGGTGTAAGTTTGTCGATTTCAATGGCATTCTCTCCATTGATCCCTCGGACTTTCGCCAGATGGATGATCTCATCAAGCAGGTCAAGCTTGTTATGCAAGTCCCGCTCCTGGAATATGAGATCAAACTCTCTAATGGAATTATTGAACCAGAAGTCGATGATTTGAGACCGCGCCAGTTCAAGCACCAGTTCACCTTGGCTGGTGCCGGCGACTGTGGGGTAGCACTTCTTGATCAGCTCGATGTCGAGTGATTTCTTGATAGACTCCTCGAGAGCCCGAGTGCACACGAGCCGAAGCCGTTCGTACCTTATCTTGTCAAAGGTGTCCATGGTGAATAAACAACTGAATAAACAAGCGCGCACAAAAATCCTCACACAAAAAAATATTCTTCACGTGAGAAGCGAGAGAGCACAAGCGACAACGAAGCGAGCAGCAGAGAAGAGTGGACCTTGGATACAGCGGCCACTGGCTGGCCACAATGGCACCTTCACTTCCCTCTTCGCCCGTGCTACCGCCTCCTCTGCTTCTGCTCCCCCCCATGTTCACGTTTTTGTGGTGGCTGCTATTGTGCTGCAAATCATCGCATAAATATTGTGGCATCCGCACTTTTCCAATTTCCTCATCATGAGCTACTCGGGAAATTCCTTCACCTCCAGAACCACCTCGTTCTCCCAGCAGCAAGCCGCGTACCGCAAAACGTCCGTGGGACCCAACACACCACTTGGAACCGCGCTGGGCGCCGTGCCGGTCAATTCCCCGTCACCAGGTCCATTTGAGTTTGGCGGCAGAAGTTATGTGATTTCTGGGTCTGTCAACCCCAACCGCCGCTCCAGCATCTCGTCGCCCGCCGTGCACTCCACCTTCCAGGTAGACGAGCAGACCGCCAGCTCTGCCAACATTGGTGTCATGGAAGACAACTTTTCTGACGATAGCGCTGCTGGCCCCGATTTCCTGGACGACTCGTTCCACGACGAGTATGTTTCGCCCACCGCCGCCATTGAGATCCAGGGCGAGTACGATGGCCAGGACCCTACTGACCCGGGTTCAGATGTGGTGGGGTCGCTTAGTGATGACTCCCACCTCCTCAAGGGGTCTTACGCAAAGTACTTTTCAACCTCCAACCCCTTCGCCCACGAAGACGACTACGGCCCCGGCACCGTCCAGCCCGTACGGCGGTCGCAGTGGCTCCACCACGCCCTCCGACCTGTGCGTTATATCCCCGCCGTGTTTCTCGGAACCCTTCTCAACATCTTGGACGGGTTATCGTATGGAATGATCATGTTCCCCGTAAGTGAGCCAGTATTTGCGGCCATGGGGCCGTCCGGGCTCTCGATGTTCTACGTGTCGTGCATCGTGTCACAGCTCGTGTACTCGCTCGGTGGCTCGGCCTTCCGCAGTGGAATTGGGTCCGAAATGATTGAGGTGACGCCGTTTTTCCACGCGATGGCCTCATCGATTTTGGCTGAAATCGGTAACGGCTCCAACAATGACACCGTCATCGCCACCACCATCGTGACGTACGCCATCTCGTCTGTCGTCACCGGCCTCATTTTCTACGTGCTTGGAAAACTCAAGTTGGGCTCGCTCGTGGGGTTTTTCCCACGTCATATCTTGGTAGGGTGCATTGGCGGAGTCGGATACTTTTTGGTGGTCACAGGCATCCAGGTGTCGCTGCGTCTTGACGGTGAGTTTCTGTACCATCTTGACACTTTCCGGGTGCTTTTCGGGTCGGTCCAGACGTTTCTTCAATGGTTTGTACCATTTGTGCTCACGGCCATTCTCATCGCCATCCAAACCAAATACCATAACTCGTTGATCGTACCAATGTTTTTCATCGGGGTTTTTGTGGTGTTCCACGTGGTTGTGGCGGCAGTGCCGTGGTGGTCGTTGAGTACGGCCCGTGTCGCTGGGTGGGTGTTCCCGTCGGTCGATGACGACGAGCCGTGGTACGGTTTCTACGAATACTACCGGTTTGGATTGGTCGACTGGTGGTGTATTGTGCGCCAGATCCCCACCATGTTGGCCCTCACGTTCTTTGGAATTCTCCACGTTCCCATCAACGTCCCGGCCCTCGCCGTCACCGTCAACATGGACCAGGTCGATGTGGACCGGGAATTGGTGGCCCATGGATACTCGAACGTGCTTTCGGGACTCGTGGGATCGATCCAAAACTACTTGGTATACACCAACTCGGTGCTCTTCATCCGGGCAGGGGCCGACGACCGGCTCGCGGGCGTGCTCCTTGCGGTGGCCACCGCCGGGGTGATGATGGTCGGCCCCGTCGTCATTGGCTTCATTCCTGTTTGTGTGGTGGGCCTGCTCATCTACTTGCTCGGGTACGAATTGTTAAAAGAAGCGTTGTACGATACTCGCGGCCGCTTGACCAAGATCGAATATTACACCATCATCATCATCGTGGTGGTCATGGGAGCTTGGGATTTTGTGTACGGGGTATTGGCCGGAATCTTGTTGGCATGTCTTTCGTTTGTGGTTGAGGCTGCCACCACCCCCGTGGTGCAGGGCATTTACACCGGTGTGGTGGCCCGGTCGACCGTGTTGAGACACCCCAAACAGCAGGAGTTCTTGAAGGACGTGGGCAACCAGATCTGTGTCGTCAAGCTCCAAGGAACGTTGTTCTTCGGGTCCATTGGTGGAGTGGAAGCGTCCATTCGGTCGCGGTTTGAGGTGGACAACTTCAAGAGAGACCCAGTCAAGTTTTTGATTCTCGACATGAAGGGAATCGTATCGATTGACTTTTCCGCCTGTGAGGGCTTCAGGCGGATCTTGAACTTGGCCAACGAGTTCGAGACCCAGTTGATCATCTCGTCGGTGGTGGACAATGATGAGACCGTCAAGGCGTTGCGCGATGCCGGCCTCTGGGACACCGACAATGCTCTCAGTCTCCAGTTGTTCAGCACCTTGAACTACGCTTTGGAGTGGTGCGAGAGCTCGTTCTTGGCAACCTACAAAAACGTCATCCGGCAGAAGGAGTTGGCCCACGGTGGGGATTCGTCCAGCTACGATGTCTTGGGGATGACTCGCCACAAGTCGATAGTAGCAGCCAAAACCCCCATGAGTGCCTTCGACGCCTCGCTTGGCACCACTCCCAGAACTACTCAGGTGTACCAGGCGGCCACCAGGACGGTCAAATCGCATCAAACGTCTCAAAACAAATACTTTAACTCGAACGACACTCTGTTCAAAAAACAGCCCTTGCCGTTGCTCATGCTCACGTTCCAGGGATTGTCCGATAAGGACGCGGAGTTCTGGTCCCAATTGACCGACTACTTTGTCAAGGAACAAATTCCTGAGAACTTTACGTTCTACGACACTTCAACCAACAAACCAGCATTTTTCATTGTGGAAACAGGCTTGATTAAGTCGCTTCTCCGGTTTGAGAGCGACGAAACCGAGTTACACTCCAGCATATTGCCGATGACGGCATTTGGTGATCTCTTTGAGGTGTCTCACTCACGGGAAATCAGTTATACCACTGTGAGTGACTCGGTGGCCTGGAAACTTTCGCAGTCCAAGCTCACCGAATTGTTGCAAACAGCAAATGGATACAAGATATATAACGAGCTCCTCATCATCCAGAACAAGTTGACGCGCGAGCGCTTTGACACCATGACGGCCAATTTGGTTATCTCGTGAGCAGACTCTAATGTGACTTTACTTCTTCATAATAATAGCATGATCCTTATCCTCTATCAATGTGTATTTGTACAAGTATCATATCAATCATTACCGGAGTATTGCATCAATCAGCCAGAGAATCGTATTAATCATTCACCAGAGAACGTATTGATCATTCACCAGAGAACGTATTAATCAAACTCAATTCACATTCTTCTTCCCAATTTCATGCCTTCCTGCACTCCGATTTCGCAACAATCGCAACTCCAGCCACTTCGCGAAATATTTTAGGGGATAAGTCACTCCTCAACATCATGGTTTCTTTCACTAAATTCGCCGTGGCCGCCACCTGGGCGTCCGCCAACGGCTTGTCCATCGTTCCTTCTCTCCAAACCTACGCCAATAACTTGGCTTCCTTTTTCCTGTTGCAAGACTCGCCAATTGCCGTTGACCCTGCCCCTGCCACAGACTCGGGTTTCGCCATTGAACTCAAGTTGCCAGGAGGAATCCCCGGCAACGACAGACCCATTCCCGGAGACTCGCCGCTAGTCCAATGTGACGTCACCGAGGCCCAGCTCTTGAACTTGCAGAGCGTCATTTTAGAGCCCAATCCCCCTTTGAGAGGTGAAAACTTGACTATCATCGCCAAAGGGTATTTGGATATCGACATTGAGGACGGTGCGTACGTCGAGGTCGACGTAAGGTACGGCTTCATCAAGTTGTTGCACCAGACGTTTGATATCTGTGAGGAGATTTCTGCTGTTGACTTGGAATGTCCTATTGCTGCCGGCCAGCATATCATTATCAAGGAGGTGGAGATTCCGCTGGAAGTGCCTCCAGGAAAGTATATTGTCACGGCCCGGGCGTACACCCAAGGACGATGAATTTATCACCTGTTTGAGTGGGACTGTTGAATTTCCTGCTGCTTGAACCACTAACGAGAGAGGAAGGTGAGTAGAAGTTGTACAAATGGAAGGTGAAGTGGAAATCAGTACAAACTGATGGTGAGGTAGAAGTCCGTATAAACGGACTCCCCCAAGTCCTTTTTATCCCGCCTTCTCTCGTCTCTAGCCCTAGAATATATTGTTTAATACACTGCATAGCCGTTCCCTTGAGGCCAAGACTCTCCTGGTTCGCGCACTCAACCGCGATACCATCGAGAAAACTGGATCAAATTCTTGCACCACTCGTATAAAACAAACTGGTCGACTTTTGTGTTCCAGTCCCCCCGACTCCAAACTGCATAACCCCGTTACTTCACAGCCATGTTTGAGCTTGAGGCATACTTTTCCATCCAGATCTTCTTCATCATCTTGAGAGAGACGTTGGAAACGGCCATCATCATATCTGTGCTTTTGTCATTCATAAACCAAAATAATGGACCGTCAACCACCCCCTCGCCGGCCGACACGGAGCTCCAGCGCAAGCTCAAGCTCCAAGTGTGGGTGGGTGCCATTTCGGGTCTCGCCATCTGTCTTTTCATAGGTTTGGTATTCATCACCGCCTTCTATTATATCGGTAAGGACTACTGGTCTCTTACCGAGAGGTTATGGGAAGGGGTGTTTTCCCTTCTTTCCAGTGCCATAATCACCATCATGGGCTTAGGCTTGCTTCGTATCAATAAGATCATGAAGGTTAAGTGGTGGATGAAGTTGGGAGATGCTTATGACTCCAACAAGCAGATCCAGCGGCCACTGCCGGACGAGGACGCTGACGCCGATACCCCCGAAGACCGGGTCGACCAGTTGGTCGCAGGCCCCGCCCGTGGCCGTAGTGGCTCACCTGGGTTGAGAAAACGGTACTTTCTTGCCATTTTGCCATTCATCACCACTTTGAGAGAAGGCTTGGAAGCGGTGGTGTTCGTGGGTGGAATGGGCGTTTCCAACCCTCTCACCTCGTTACCACTTTCGATCATGTCAGGGATTATTCTCGGGTCGGCCATCGGATACCTTTTGTATAAAGGAGGAAACAAGTTGTCGTTGCAGTACTTTTTGATTATTCTGACGTGCTTTTTGTACACCGTGAGTGCTGGGCTTATGAGCCGTGGAGTGTGGTTCTTGGAGCTTGAGCGGTTTGTGCGGAGATGCGATGGTTTTGATGTGAGCGAGACTGGCAGTGGGCCTGGTTCCTACGACATCTCCACCAGTGTGTGGCATGTCAATTGCTGCAACGGGTTGACCGATGGTTGGTGGATGGTGTTCAACGCCATTTTTGGCTGGACCAACAGTGCTACCTATGGTAGTGTGGGTTCTTATATAGTGTACTGGTTGGTAGTATCCTTGTGGTTGGAAAGCAAGTTGTTTGAAGAAAGACACGGATACTTGCCATTGATTCCTATTCGATTCCAAATCAAACGCATTAAGAAACGCATCAAGTTGTACCGGTACATACAAGAAAGCCACGCCCACCAGAAAGATCATGATTTTGATGCTCCATACGAGGATTTGCAGAGTAATCCATCAGTGGATCTTGAGCGTCTAGAAAGCCACCAGTTGTTGCACAGGGCATAGTTTCCTAAGCATACTTGAGGTGCCAGTCATCATATACCTATGCCTCCAACACGTGATATGTGGTGGTGCCAGTAAAGCATCAAGCGCCCACCGTGCTGGAGGGTATATCAAAACTTATATTTTAATATCTATACATTCACAACCAGTGGATAATACTTATATTTTAATTTTGTAGTTGGTGCGTTATTCTTAGCACCTTCAGTAACCCTGAAGTCGCAGTCATAGCTATACTGGCAAACATCCCCAGGATACTGTAGCCTGGGTGAACTCCCATGAATAAAAAGGATGTAAATATGAATATCCCCTAAAATCGAATAAGCAATTACTTTGCAATAGTCATCAAGTTCACAAATAGAGGTTTCAGATCGCGCAGACGCTTTTTAGTGTCCTGATAAGATGAAGCAAAAAGTTAAAATGTAATTAGTAAACTGCAATGAGACTTTGAGACTTTGAGTCTCATTAGTGTACGGGGTCTTCAGGTTTTTTTACCCCAATATATAACTAGAAGATAAAAACGTCGAAACTGATTCTTTTTTGTTCTTAATGGTTTTTTTATTTTGGCGAAACTGAAGGGAAATATTGGCCTTCACAATCAATATTAAAATCTTGGCGTGTTTTATTAGAATGAGGAGGAAGTCGAAAAAAATGGTAAGTATCTTTGATTTTTGTATCAAAGACGCTGATCAATGGTATTTTTGGCTCACTTAAAAGGGCGCTCTTGCTTCACAAATCGATGAGGCTTTAGCAGAATGATTGGTACTACTTTGTATATTGACTACAGGAATTGAGATTGCAGCTTCAAACATTCTTGAGCTTGAAGTCTCTATATCTAGCACTTTTCGCTCGGTGTACGGGTCTGACCCATACACCCACCGAAGTTCTGACCCATGTAAAGCAGGCTCCGATCAAAACAAAAGATTTAGGCACGCGAATCTCCACCAGCCAGACATGTTTTAAAACACCTTAAAAACCACTCAAAATATACCTTCTTGGGCCCAAAAAAAAATGTATACCCATTACCTCTGTTCCCTCTAGACAACCAACCCGTCCGTAGAACCTTACCTCTTCAATTGCAAAAAAAAAACACGCGAGTACATCGCCTACTGCTGGCTGTTTCACGCTCCTAAAGCCGCTTTGTGTCATCATTTCGTGGTAAAACGTAGAGAAAAAACGCGCAAGGAATTCCTACTAGTGAAAAACCTATACTTTGCAAAAGGACAACGCTAGCGAGGGCATTACATTTGGCATATCATTCCCGCCCATTTTACCCGCTGCCCTCTAGCTGTTTTTGTTCTCACTAACCTAAAGCACCAATTCCAAAACCTCAGATCCCCCAGCTTGTTCCCCCATCTCAATCCCATTTTCCTTAAATCAGATCCAGTTTGTATCCACAAACTCCCTATCCACAACCCCCAATGCTGCACAACCCATACACATCGTCAGCACCGCTACTCTCTACGGCTGACAACTCGGCCCACTTGCTAAGCCCTCATGCCATTGCTAGAAAGGTCTCGAGCCTCTCGAACAGTTCCTCAACATACTCGAACCAGACCCAGCATTCATTCACCTCTAATCAGTCATCGGCATCGCAGGGCTCGGTGGTGGTATCCAAGTCGGCAGACGTATCCAAGGCAACCATCCAGTCTTCAGTTTTGGACTATATCAAAAACAGCGACAGTGACTTCAATCCCAACGAATTGTTCCAGCAACGACAACAACGCAACTTCATCACCAACTTCGACAAGACCCCCAGCCAGAAGCTACCGTCGCGGGCGGTGCCTGGGCCTGAGCCCCGTGAAACCAGTCCTCTTTCCTTTGATCAGAACCATAACGACCAGCATAATTCAGATCTTGATCTTGGTCGCCAACCTTTGGCAATTGGCCTGGGTGACGAACTGGAGATCCCCACCCGGAAAAATAGTAGCATATTCTTCAATGATAGTTTTGAGGAAGAACCAGAAGACGAAAACTTCGATGATGACGATTACGACTACGATTATGACGATGCGGAGGACGACGATGACATGCCATCTCCTCCACGGTCGCCTCCTCGAGAAATCGATCCAGGCAAGCTCTACGGCCTATATGACTTCTCGGGACCAGATCCATCCCATTGTTCAATTGCTAGAAATGAGCCTGTTTATCTCATCAACGACCAGGATAACTACTGGTGGTTGATCAAGAAACTTACCAAACAGGAACGCGTCCAGTTGACGACCGAACGAAACTTGAACAAAAGTGAACAAGAATTGAATGAAGCCGGAGACGAGTATCTTTTGTCTGACGAAGAAGACGGGAAAATAGGGTTTGTGCCGGCTGAATGTCTTGAAACATACGGTGAACGATTGGCTCGGTTGAACTGCTTTAAGAATGAAGAACTCGAAAAGTCTTCTAGAGATTTGTTGGTGTCGTCCAACCCCAGCAGCTCAGACAATGTACTTGGGTCTCCGGTGATTTTCCAGAAGACACCCGATACAACTATATCTCGATCAGGTAGTATTCTTCGCGATGGTACCAAACAATTGATCAACAAGCTGGTCACTTTCGAAGACTTAGGAGTGTTGGAACTCAATGAGAATAGTGACAGTGGTGGTGAAGACGAAGAGTTCCCTAGTCACTATAATATTCCTGAAATTGAGGAAATCCATAGAGAGATCCACGCCGATGACGATAAAAAGTCAGAGATTCTCAGTGAAACGTTCCCATCAGAGAGTCCATTGGTGATATCCAAGCGGAAATCAACTTCAGGCTCTCCACTGCCACCCAAAGATATGAGCCTAAGCGAAATCACTCCCGACACCCCTCAGAGTGACTATCAAACTCCTATACCGGCCCCGCTCAATATATTTGCCAAAGATAATGTGTCGCCTGAGTATAGGACTCCAGGCGAGTGCAAGTCTTCGGAAGAGAACGAAGATGCTACGCCTGTTGAGAACTACAAGACTCCTCAAGAACACGACTACGACTACGGCAATTTCACCGACGAATACCTCGACGACAAAGACACCTGGACCCAAACCCCCACGTCTGAACGGTTACGCCGGTCTGAAATTTTGACTCGTTTAAATCAAGTTACTTCAGATATCCAGAACGAACTTGATGGATATGACGAAGATCTTGACTACAGAGACACCCATCAGGTGTTTGGCACTGCCGAAGACAAATATCTCCTGGATGACTATGATTCTCGGAACAGCTACCTCCTCTCATTCCAAGATCAGCGAGACCTGGTGGCAGAAAACGATGAAGATGAGGATCTTGGTGAATACAAAGGTTTTGACGATAAAGAAAAATATCTTGACGATAAGGAAAAAGTTCTTGACGATAAAGCTCTTGGTGAAGAAGTAGGGTCTGGATACGGTGATATTCTAGCCGATCTCGATCACGGTTCTGACTTGGACAATCTTCCCCAAGACCAATCCAGTCCTTTAAGACCGCAGACTAGTTTGCCTAAACCTACCACTCCGGACTCCAAGATATTGGCTGCAAGACGCAAGTCAACACCCGTTCATGACATGTTTGTGCCCATCCTTGGCAAATTCGATGAGCTTGCTGAGAAGTTGGCTGAGATAGATGATATGCTCTGACCCTGCTCAAGCTTTGAATGCTAGAGCTATAAATTGTGTACTATAATGTAATATTTGTGAGAATTGCAAGAGACATGCAGCGCGCGCAATTGCACTCATCGCACTAAAACTTTTCTCATTACCACTTGTTCTCAGTTCCATCACTATGACAACCCCCAGTGCGGTGGCCTGGACCCCTGATCTCCAAGCCGTGGACCAGCTCAAGCTCATCATTGGTAGTACGTTCTCGTCGAACAACGTCGAACGAAACGCTGCCAATGAGTCGCTTGTTCTCGCAAAGTCCCAACCACAAATCGAAAACTATCTACTCTACATTCTTGTCATGGATGAATCTGCCAAGCTGGATGTCCGAGCCGCAAGTGGTATTAACTTAAAAAACATAATTTCCCGGTCGTCCAGCGGATCTCCCGAAACCCACCAGTTTATTCTCGATAACATCGCCCATGGTCTCACGTCCCATGATAATATGGTTAGAAATACCACCGGAAACGTCATCACAGCACTTTTCTCCAAGTATGGACTTGCAGGCTGGCCTCAGGTGCTACCCAGTCTTGTGAACTTGGCTAAGCTGGCGGATCCCACTGCTGCAGACACAAAAATCGCTGATGCCGCCATGAGCGCACTCGCCAAGATCTGTGAAGACAGTCACTATAAACTCAACGTGGAGCTTGAAGGGGAACGGCCGTTGGACTACTTGATGGCCAGCTTTATTGAGTTGCTTGAATCGTGCTCCAACCGTGTCAAAGCTTTAAGTATCGAGTGTATTGACTATTTCATACCTCATCGCTCTCAAAGCGTGCTTGTGGTACTTGATGTGTTTCTCCAAAAGCTCTTCCAATTGGCTCACAATTCCAACAAGGATGTCAAGAAGAGTGTCTGCAAGGCATTTGCGTCAGTTTTGGAGGCTCGGGGTGATAAATTGTTACCTCATGTTGACGGGGTCATTACCTACTGCCTACACTTGATGGAAGATGAAGATGAAGAGGTTGCTCTTGAAGCCTGTGAGTTCCTCCTTGCATTATCGACGTCACCCGAGGTGGAACAGAACCCAGAAATATTCCGAGGTCGTCTCCATGACGTTCTTCCTGCTTTGTTGGAGAAAATGGTGTATTCAGAAGAAGAGATCTTTTTCATGAATTTGGTTGACGAAAAGGACGATGCTACCGTTGCTGATAATGAAGAAGATATTCGGCCTCAGGCAGCCAAACTGAAGGAATCACATAAGGCTGCCAGTAAGAGTGGGAATAAGAATAACCTGTATGATGATAATGACGATTCCGACGATGAAGACTTCGAAGATGACAGCGATGACGACTCAGAGCTCGACCAGTGGAGTATACGGAAGTGTTCTGCTGCATGCTTGGATGTTTTGTCATTAAACTTGCAGTCTGAAGTGTTGGAAGTTACGTTGCCCATATTGCAAGAAAGAATTGTTTCGTCACAGTGGGAAGTCAGAGAAGCTTCCATCTTGGCCTTCGGGGCCGATTAGCAAGAGCTGTATGGAATTATCTCGTGACAAGCTTCCCACCCTCGTGCCGTTCTTGGTTGACCGTTTACAAGACGATGAACCCCGAGTTCGTCAAATCACCTGTTGGACCATCTCACGGTTCTCGTCATGGGTGGCTGAGGAAGCTCATGAAGGGGGCCACTACTCTCTGTACTTTGATCCTACCTTCACATCTATTTTAAAGTGTGCATTGGACCGGAAAAAAGTTGTTCAGGAAGCAGCCTGTTCAGCCCTTTCCTCATTCATTGAGGAAACCGATCCCACCTTGATTGAAATGTACTTGGTACCGTTGTTACAGCACTTTGCCAAGTGTTTCAGCACCTACCAACGTAAAAACCTCATTATCTTGTATGACTGTGTACAAACGTTTGTTGAGGCCATGGGCCACGAAAGATTGGCTGCAAAACAGGAGTATGTGGAGGTGTTGTTACCTCCATTGTTGCACAAATGGGAACTTTTGGATGATAATGACACGGCATTATGGCCATTGTTGGAGTGTATGGCATCAATTGCTGCCACTCTTGGTGAGTTGTTTGCTCCCTACGCCATGCCGGTGTATGGACGGGCCGTCAACATTCTTACAAACACCATCCACACCGATCTCCAGTCGCAGACAGATCCGTCCATCGACTTGCCCGAAAAAGACTTCATGGTGACTTCGTTGGACTTAATTGACGGGTTGATCCAGGGGTTCGGATCCCATTCCCTTGAGCTTATCCAGAGTAACCGTATCAACCTCATGGAGTTGGTTCTTCAATGTTTCGAAGATTCCACCGACGATGTTCGGCAATCTGCATATGCCTTGCTTGGAGACTTGGCCATCTTTGTGTTGGATGCCACGGTGGTTCCCTATTTGAACCAGATCATGGTGTGTATTGGGAACGAGATCAACACCCGCAACTTCAACTCGTATCCGGTTTATAACAATGCCATCTGGTCGCTTGGGGAGATCTGTATGCGTCTCTCGTATGAGCAGTTGAAGCCATATTTGGCCAACTTGGTGAGTTTATTGATTCCGGTGTTGAACTCAATGGATACTCCCCAAACGGTATTGGAAAATGCAGCCATCTGTCTCGGAAGAATGGGGCTTCATGGAGGAGCAGAGGTGGTGGGTCCTCGGTTGCCGGAGTTCATTGTGCAATGGTGTGCTCATATGCTTTACTTGATGGATGACAGCGAAAAGGAAACTGGCTTTAAAGGAATGTTAAATACCATTGCCTCCAACCCTGATCAAGGATTCGGAGGCTTGTCGACACTCCAGGGAAAGAAGAACCTATCCACGTTCATCTCCACCGTTGCCAACTACTTTGAGCCACCTGAAGACCTCAAACACTCGTTTTCGCAGCTTCTTCAAAGCTATAGTGGCTTACTTGGTGAGAACTTCAACACCCAGGTGTTGAACCATTTGGACCAGGAGTCCCGACGCCTGCTTTATGAGATGTATGGCATCTAGGCTTCTGCATCTTTTAGCATCATGTATTTTAGAGTTGGGCTCATGTATATTTATATAGAATTTATTGTCGTAACTCATTGCACCTCATTAGTCAAGTTCATCAAAATCCTCCTCGTAGTCTCCATACAAAACCTCGTTGGCTATAGTCACCGGCAAGTCGCACACGCCCGACGGGGATTTGTGGATATACTGGGCCATTTCGGCGTTCATGGTTTCGAAATCATACTTTTCACTTCCTGGCATCACGCTGTGCTCATCGATAAAGTTGCGAATGTCATTGAGTTGGAGGGTTTTGATTTCTACCTCGTACAATGTGTGGCCCACGTAACTGAAGAGCATTGCCATCAAGAAGAATGCTGGCACTGCAGATGTCCAGTATTTGTCGGGGAAATAGTCAAATCCAAGATGCTGTACAAAGAACTCGGTGGGTACAAAACACCAGAGAACAAAGCACGAGAGCAACACGGCGCTCACGACGCTGGTGGAAAACCCCACATACTCCGCGAGTTCAGGGTTCTGGTTCAGGACCGTGACGTCCGACTGTCGAGCAAGGCTATCTTCTGTGGTGGATAAGTCTGCCATGAGAACAACACAGAGTGAGTGCGACTAAGATGAATGGGGCGCGAGCGCGGGACCGTTTTGTGAGTTCGTCTTCTGCGGTACAGCGAGCAGGACCAGGGCCAGTGCCAGAGCCAGTGCCAATAGTGGGAATGGCGCGGGAGCAGGACCAGGGCCAGTGCGAATTGTGGGAATGGTGCCTCGAGCACGACCGCACTGACGGCAAGGCTTATATGCCGTACTCGAACCTCACCACCTGAAGTCCATTCAAAACTACCATTCTTCACTCATTTCCAGTATTTAACCCCCCCCCCCCCTCAGTCCCCTCCCCGCCATCCTTCTCAATGCAAATACCCCTTTTTTTCCTCTCCAAAACCCATATTCCTGGCCTCAACCCCATTCCATTTTTTGCCCTCCGGGTAACCCCCACTGATCTCACAACGCGCTTAGCTCTGACTCATTGCCTGTTTCGGCCATCGCTATATAAAATTTTCCAGTTTTTCACTACGCAAATATCAATCCATAGCCAAATTGCCTTGCAAAACCACCATGTTGCAAGCAATCAAACCTATGCTCCGTCAGCTTGCACCAGCGCGGCCTACTGCCCGCTTCGTGTATGCTCCCCAAAGATTGGTATCAAACTCGTCCAGATTGGCCCAACTGCTGGCCACCTACCCAGGTGCTCAGCTCTTGAAAAACTTTGAAGGTGACAAAGCACAGCATCTTGTCGACGTCTCCAAGGTGTTGGTGATCGGTTCCGGAGGGCTCTCCATCGGCCAGGCGGGAGAATTCGATTATTCGGGTTCCCAGGCCATCAAAGCGTTGAAAGAAGCCAATAAGCAGAGTATTTTGATCAACCCTAATATCGCCACCAATCAGACATCCCATGCTTTGGCAGATGAAATCTACTACTTGCCGGTGACCGCCGAATACATCACGTACATCATTGAAAGAGAACAACCCGATGGAATTTTGTTGACGTTTGGCGGTCAAACTGCGTTGAACGTCGGGGTTAAATTGGATAAAATGGGGGTTTTCGAGCGGTACAACGTCAAGGTGTTGGGTACGCCCATCAAGACGTTGGAGACATCCGAGGACCGTGACTTGTTTGCCCAGGCGTTGAATGAAATCAATATCCCCATCGCTGAGTCCATTGCCGTGGAAACAGTGGACGATGCTTTGGCAGCAGCCGAAGAAGTTGGATACCCCATCATCGTCCGGTCCGCCTACGCGTTGGGAGGTTTGGGCTCAGGGTTCGCCAACAATAAAGACGAGTTGAGAAACCTCGCTTCCCAGTCGTTGTCGTTGGCACCCCAGATCTTGGTGGAAAAATCCTTGAAAGGGTGGAAAGAAGTGGAATATGAAGTGGTCAGAGACCGTGTTGATAACTGTATCACCGTGTGTAACATGGAGAACTTTGACCCGTTGGGAATCCACACGGGAGACTCCATCGTGGTGGCCCCATCGCAGACGCTTTCGGATGAAGAGTATCATATGTTGAGAAGCGCAGCCATCAAGATCATTAGACACTTGGGAGTTGTGGGAGAATGTAACGTACAATATGCTTTACAGCCCGATGGACTCGACTACCGAGTCATTGAAGTCAACGCCCGGTTGTCGAGATCATCGGCATTGGCGTCCAAAGCTACTGGTTACCCATTGGCCTACACGGCTGCTAAAATCGCCTTGGGTCACACTTTACCCGAATTACCCAACCCTGTTACCAGAACCACATCCGCCAACTTCGAGCCTTCATTGGATTATATGGTCACCAAGATTCCCAGATGGGATTTGGCCAAATTTCAGCACGTGAAGAGAGATATTGGATCTGCTATGAAATCGGTGGGTGAGGTGATGGCCATCGGCAGAAACTTTGAGGAATCGTTTCAAAAGGCCATCAGACAAGTGGACCCATCATTTGTTGGATTCCAAGGTGATCATTTTGAAGACTTGGACGATGCTTTGGCCAACCCTACCGATAGAAGATGGTTGGCGGTGGGTCAGGCTTTATTACATGAAAACTATACGGTTGACCGCGTGCACGAGTTGCTGAAAATCGACAAGTGGTTCTTATACAAATTGATGAATATCGTCAACATGTACCGGGAATTAGAAGCAGCCACCACTCTTGCTAACATTAACAGTGATTTGATGCAGAGAGCCAAAAAATTGGGTTTCTCCGATAAGCAAATCGCTCTTTGTGTGGGATCACAGGAATTGGAGGTTAGGGCCGTCAGAAAACTGTACGGGCTAGTGCCGTTTGTCAAGAAAATCGACACTTTGGCGGCCGAGTTTCCAGCGAACACAAACTACTTGTACACCACCTACAATGCCACCTCCTCCGACTTGGACTTCAATGACAAAGGAACCATGGTATTGGGTCTGGGGGTTTACCGGATCGGGTCGTCGGTCGAGTTCGACTGGTGTGCCGTGTCCACCGCCAGAGCTCTCCGTCAGTCTGGTCACAAGACCATCATGATCAACTACAACCCCGAAACCGTGTCCACTGATTTTGACGAGGTCGACCGGTTATATTTTGAAGAGCTTTCCTTGGAAAGAGTGCTTGATATCTACGAGTTGGAAACCGCCAGCGGCGTGGTCGTCAGTGTTGGGGGTCAGTTGCCCCAGAACATCGCATTGGCGTTGCAAAACAACGGGTGCAATGTGTTGGGAACCGACCCGGAAGACATCGACAAGGCTGAAGACCGTCACAAGTTCTCCCAGATCTTGGACTCCATCGGTGTTGACCAGCCCCAATGGAAGGAGTTGACGTCCATCGCTGAGGCCGAGGCTTTTGCCAACGATGTCGGGTACCCGGTGTTGGTGCGTCCCTCGTACGTGTTGAGTGGTGCGGCAATGTCTGTCATCAACAGTCAGAACGAGTTGGAGGCCAAGTTATCCAACGCCTCCAAAGTGTCTCAGGACCATCCAGTGGTGATTTCTAAGTTCATTGAAGGGGCCCAAGAAATCGATATTGACGGGGTGGCCAGTGACGGCCAAGTGTTGGTGCACGCGGTGTCAGAACATGTGGAAAATGCCGGGGTTCACTCAGGTGATGCTACCTTGGTGTTGCCTCCACAGCAGTTGTCACCAGTGGTGATGGCCCGGTTGAAGGAAATCGCCGATAAGGTGGCCCATGCCTGGAAGATCACCGGACCGTTCAACATGCAAATCATCAAAGACGACCAAAATGGCCTGTTGGACGATGCCACCTGTGCGTTGAAAGTCATCGAATGTAATATCCGGGCGTCCAGATCGTTCCCATTTGTGTCCAAGGTGTTGGGAGTCAACTTCATCGACGTGGCTGTCAAGGCCTTGATCAAGCATGAGGTACCTGCTCCAGTGGATTTGATGAACAAGAACTACGGGTGGGTTGCCACCAAGGTTCCCCAATTCTCCTTCACTCGGTTGGCGGGTGCCGACCCATTCTTGGGAGTGGAAATGTCCTCCACTGGAGAAGTGGCTTGTTTTGGTGAAGATGTCAATGAGGCCTACTGGACTTCGATTCAGTCGACCATGAACTTTAAGTTGCCTACTCCCGGCCAAGGAATTCTTTTTGGTGGAGACTTGACCAACGATAAGTTGGGACATGTGGCAGCATTGGTGTCCGATTTGGGCTACCATTTCTTCAGTGCCGATGATGCAACGGTGGAGTACTTGGTCAAATATACCAACCAACCAGTGGAAACCATCGAGTTTCCCAAAACCGACAAGAGGGCCTTGAGGGAAATCTTCCAGAAGCATGACATCGGGGCCGTGTTCAACTTGGCCCGTGCCCGGGCTGAAGACTTGTTGGATAAGGACTATGTCATGAGAAGAAATGCCATTGACTTTGGTATTCCCTTGTTCAACGAGCCCAACACCACCAAGTTGTTTGCCGAGTGTTTGAAAAAGTATATTGCTGCCAAGCCCTCTTTCGACGTCACCCCTGAAACGGTAGTTATCCCTCAGGAGGTCAAGAGATGGAGTGAGTTCATTGGTGGAAAGCCTGTGTAGACTGTCACGTAATAAATATAGCTAAAGTTTGCAGCCAAGTGCGAGTATCATGTGTATATACCATTTCTCCAATCCTCCAAGCCGCGAACTTCTATCACAATCTCACTTGTTCTCTACTAAATGGACGATCAAACCCTATCTCCTGCCAAGCAGACGGCGGTGGATGAGTTCATAGCCATCACAGGATCTCTGGACGACAATGTCTCCCAGATTATCCGCCTTTTGGACGTCCATAATTGGGACTTGAATAACTCAATCGTCACCTTTTTCGAATCAGGATTTATCCAAGAACTGCTGCTTCCAACACCTGTGGAGGTGGACACCTCTACTGACATGCCCCAAGCATCTGGCGTCGACTACGGCCATCCCGGCAGCGACACCTCCCGCGTCTCGCGAAGATACAGCATGGTGGACTCTCCGTTGGATGACTTGATTCCTCTGCTCCCGTACGCTCCGAGGATCTCTAACCATTGGCAACTAGAAGTGGGCCTCAACGCCTCCAAGCGTGAGGTGTTGCGGGCCAACAACTTGCGAGCCATCAACTCGCTCTTGTTCCTCCTTTTGTTTGTGCCCAAAAAGCTTCTCTCGTTCTTATACCAGGTGTTCAAGTTCATCTTCAAGATCAACACCGCCAACTACTTCCCAGCCGCGATAGACTACGAGTCCGTGGACTTGGACCATAAGATGCCGTTGCTGGAGTACGTTGACAAATATAACATTGTCGAGGGCAACTTCAATGAGGTGTATGAACAGTGCAAAACCAACTACACCTGGTTGCTCGTGGTATTGGTGAACGGGTCACAAGAAGCCAGCGACTTGTTATCGCACTTGTTATCGAATCATCATTTTGAAAAGCATTTCAATAAAGCCAACCACACCGACAACTTTACCACTTGTATATACATCAATGATGTCGAGAAGAACCCTGAATCCTATGAGGTGGGTCGTACCTACAAGGTAAAGAGATTACCGTTTGTAATGCTCATCAACAACGTCTCCAACAGCCCGCACAAGTTGCCATCGATGTCCATCACCTACAAGTCGAATCTCCCGTCGGTGTTATTACAGCCTTCACAAGTGGGATCTACTGCCAATAAGGTGGCCATCTACTTGGGCCGCATAATCTCCAATTACCAGCCACAAGTGGTGGCTGCCATCACCGACAAGCGGGAAATGGAGTTTGCTCGGCTCATCAAACAACAGCAAGATGATGCCTACCAAAAGTCTCTTGAGATGGACAAGGTCAAGAAAGCAGAGAAGAGTAAGAAACTTGAAGATGAGATGTTACTACAACAACGCCGACTGTTTTTGTTCAACTTGATCAAAAGCCGGTGGTTCGAAACTCTCAACCCCGAGCCCAATACCCGGATCCAGGTCAAGTTGCCCCATGGAGAACGGATCATTTTGAACGTTAATAACCAAAACCAGTTGAAACACCTCTACCTACACCTCGAAAGTACCTTATTCCCTCGCCACTTGGCAGCAGACGACGCCGAGGAGTTTGAGACGGCCTCTCAGGTGTTGGAGCACATTTCGTCCAACGATTTTGACTGCCAAATATCCCTTGAGGACTACTACAAGCACTTTCCCTTCAAGTTTGAGCTCATTCAACCATACCCCAAAAAGGTTGTGGACGACCTCGAGGCGACCATCAAAGAGCACATCAAAAACGGTGCATCGCTATTGGTGGAATACACAAGTGACGACGAGGAAGAAGAGTAACGCACACACTATCTATGACCAATATACGCCCTCTCCCATCCCTATCATCCCCATGTTTCGCGCAAGGCGGGCCACGACCAAGTCTCAAAATAAAACTCTAAAAACCCTTGGCACTTCTCCTTCTTTTCACACATGGCAGGCCGTCAATCTCGGTTAGAAGCTGAACGCTTGGCCATCATCCAGAAGTCTATGAGCAGAGGCCGTTCGCCCTCGCCCAACCAATCCAATCCCAACTCCCGCTCGGCGTCTCCCCTGAACGATGCTAAGGGAGAATTAAAATGGTCAATCATCAATCATGATCCTCTGGAACGTTTAGTTAAGCTCACCAGCAACGATGGGGACAATGATGTCGTCCCGCTCGACTTCGACGACGAGCAGAGCGAGGAAGAGCATCTCAGTGATGACGACGACCAGGAAAAATTCCAGTATGATGACACCGGCAATATCCTCCCCAACTTTGCCTGTCGGGACGAGAAAATCCACGAGATTTCCCACATCTTGGAGAACTCCAACTTGAGCGACACGTCGACCATCAAGAAGTTGGAGGAATTGACCGCCAGTGAAAGAGCATTTGCCAATGCCAAAAAGGCTGGTAAGCCCATTGACGAAGAAGCATTGGAAAAATTGAAAAATGAGAAGAATCAATTGCTTGGTGGAGCGGTGGACTTGGACAAGAGTGACCAGGACTTCGCGTCCCGTAGACAGAAGCTCGAAGACTACTCGAGCTATAGGCGCAAAATCATTGATCACGAGAACGAAAAGTTCAAACAGTCCAACCTGCCCATAGCTGAGCCGGTTGCGGTGGATGATGACAAGGACTTCATGATCCCTTACACGTCAGCCATCGAAGACAAGTTGGACAGCGAGTTTGCGTCCAAGTTGAACGAAACCATCATTGAGGGTAAGGTGGACTCCAGTAGACCTCAATCGCGGGTGATTCAGACCATCACCAGAGGGAACTTTTTCCAGTTGATTGACCCCAAGGTTAAGCCGAAGATGTTTCTCTTGTGCATGGACTTTTCGCCCGAGTCCATATTTGCGTTGGAATGGTCGTTGGGAACGGTGTTGGTAGATGGGTCGGTGTTGTTCATTGTATATGTGATTGAGGAAAACGATGCCAATCACCACTTGAAGGGCAACACTAATTCCGAATCGGCCAGAGAATCCCACCGGCTCGACATGTTGAACAAGGCCAAACAGCAGGTGTTGAATCTCCTTAAGTTGACCAAATTACAGATTCATATTGTCATTGAAATTACCCACCACCCAATCCCCAGACATTTGATTCTAGAGTTCATCGACCACTTACAGCCGACCTTGGTGATTGTTGGGTCTCGTGGCCAGTCGGCCATCAAAGGGGTGTTGTTGGGTTCGTTGTCCAATTACTTGGTGACGAAACTGACGGTTCCGGTGATGGTTGTTAGAGAGAAATTAAAGAAAATCAACCGGTTCAAGAATGGGTCTTCAGTGTTTTCTAATAACATCAAGCCGTTGACGTTGTCGGAAGCCAGGATCGATTGAATCGCTTCACGTTTTTGTTTTTTTAAGTATCAAGTATTTCTCACGTGTCTCATGAATTACATACATACATACATAAATATAATGGTTAAAAGTATAGCTCGATAAAGGACTTTTTACCTCTAAACTTATGCTCACATCCAAATGATGGACATTTGGCCGGGGCATAAATCCGTGGGTTATCTATCGTGATATCTTGCTTGGAGTTCTTCTTGGTGGCTCGGGGTCGGTTGCCGATGTTCTTAATGCACATTCCACAAAAGCTGTGTCCACACTTGGATAAAAACACCCGTCTACTTAGATCCTTGTCGACTTCCGTGAGTTGCTTGAAGCAAAACCATGGGGCCAGAACCCCGTACTCTATACTTAGTTGAGCTAATTTCTTGTTGTACTCTAGGTTTGTCTTGAATTCTGCAGGTATACCTTCACCAAGAGTCACTCCGCACAATTCGCAGCCAATAATCATGTTACTGGTTATATCCGAAGTGTAGCCCTGCACTTCTCTCTTGATTTGGGATCTCTTCTCAAGGAGGGCCTTACGGTTAAAGGTATTTTCGGTTTCGATTTTGCGGTCCATTTCCCTTTCGTTATCTCGTTCGATTCTGTCCATCACCGACCGCTCGATATCGTTGGAACCGAGAACTCCCATGGGAAAAAAGTGGTCGCCCAACTCGATCCCGTCAGGGGTGGTGTGCTCAAAAAGACTCTGGAGGATCCTTCGGGCGGGCCCATCCACGTTGTTGTCTTGAATGGCTTGATGGAACCGATGGAAAACCCGGTCTCCTTGTGATGCGATTCTTCTGACAAGGACTCGCCTGTAGTCGGCATCGTCTGATGTGTTATTCATGTGTCGAGGAGGAAGAGACCCCCATTCGGCTGGAGAGTTGAAGTCATCGTCAGAGGACAGAGCTGTTTCCGACTCGGTCAATGGGCCATTTAACATAGTAAACCATAGCCGAGGACCGGCCGTTATTACGCTTCTTTCTTCAAGAATCTGTACATCATCGTCGCCCCCTGGCGCCACTCCCACACTGGTGGGTGTTGGTCTCCTGTCGGGCCGTTGCCTCACGATTCGGTTAAATTCATCGTCGGGATGAGGACGTGTTCCTCGGAGCTGGGAGTTTGCGGGTACCACGCTAGTGATTACCACGTCATCATCGTCGGCATCGGCATCCACCACCGTGACAATATCGGCGCTTTCACTGTTGCTGCTGTTGCCAGTGACGTTTGTATTACCCAAACCATGGGACTCGTTCAAAGACATCACGGGCAGTGAGCCGGTGGTATCCGACTCGTCGTCCGAGTCGAGCTCTATGACCTCGTTGGCATCCGGGGCTTGGGGACCGGGTATTTGCCTCTTGGGATGATGTTCTTTGTGGGACCCGAGGTCAGGTTTATGAGAAGTATCTCGATTCATGACTGACCACAAGCACCGCGGAAGCCGAAATGAAGAGGGCTAATGAATGGCTATAGATGGTGCGTGCTGCAGGGAGTAAAGGAATGTCACGGAATATGAGTGTCCAGTAACAGCGTTTGAAAGCAAAAAGGATGGTATGTGTAGATTTGTATCAGCGCGAAGCTCAGATCTCAAATGCTCAACAACCCGATGAGAAATACACGCATCGGGTAACGAATCTACCTTCTGCAGCCTACTTTCCACAACACCTCCACCAACTACATTCATCAAGTCCAATGTGCTTATATTACATACCTACTTGTTAATTCCGCTTCTCATGTAACGACCAACAACAATACAATGGTCTCTTTCATAAGGCTCCAACGTCAATTGTTCCAAAGGCTTGATTCTTTCTTCTCTCAACTTCTGCACTTCTCTGGCAAACACGGTTTCAGCATCCACCGTCGAGTCAATACAGTTGGCCTTGATGGAAATCACCACCAAACCTCCGTCTTTCAAGAACAAATGCGAGTTCAATGCAATGATTCTGGCTTGATCAGGTTGGGCCACATCGGCAAACACACAGTCAACCATGTCCACCAACATTCTGTACTTCTGAGGATGACGAGCATCATCAATAATAGGAGTCACATTTGGTCTCTTGGTGGCCATTCCAATCAATTCTCTACCGGGTCTGTGAGAGAATTCAACGGCATAAACGACACCGGTAGCTCCCACCACATCCGACACGTGCGACACAGAGGTTCCGGAAGCAGCTCCCAAGTACAATACTTTTTTGCCAGGAGCAATACCGATCTCATCAACACCTCCCATAATACCAGCAGCCAACTTGGATCTGAAAGGATTCCACACTCTGTATTCAACCTTGGTGGGTAATTCTCCTTCGACCTTGGATGGTTCTTCGACGGTCACTCTCTTTTCTCCGTAAACTGATTCACCAGGAGCAAAGTTCTTGGTGACCAATAAATCTTCCTTACCCCTGGCGATGAAAACACCGGCATGTCTGTGAGGTTCGATCACCACCTTGGCACCACCTCTGGCACCGCCTCTGGCGCCTCCTCTACCGCCACGGCCACCACGGTCGCCACCTCTACCTCCACGGCCACCACGGTCACCAAAACCACCTCTGGAGCCTCCTCTGGAAGAAAACCCACCTCTACCACCGCGGCCACCACGACCACCACGGTCACCGCCAAAGCCGCCTCTGGAGCCTCCTCTGGAGCCTCCTCTGGAAGAAAATCCTCCTCTACCTCTTGATGCACCGAAAGCCATTGTTATATATGTTATTGTATGGTTGGTGTACTGAAGAAATATTTTCTCATTCCATCGCTTTTGAAAATTTTCTCTGCAAATGGGCTAACGGCCGGGTAATTGGACAAACACGCATATTCTCCTTTTGTATGGGAGAGGACATTTGAAGAGAGTATAGTGAGCTCAGAGTTAGGTGTAACTTGTAGGAAAATAAAGTGGTGGATATTAGACTTTTGGTTCTATAGATGCTGATTTTTTGGCAGTTTTTCAGTGCCATTTATATCCTCTTTTGCTCGATTAAAGCTTGACAATTACTGTTTTAGAGGTAAACTCGGCTATTTATTGAACAGTTTGTGTTCAAAAACCACAAAAACTCACAAGAACCTAAACATATATTAGTACTATTGTCTGGTGACGTCTAATGCTTCTCGCTGTCTGTGCTAATTCAAATAAATCCCATTTAACTCCACCATCGGCCAGATCTTAAGATGGGCATCGTGCGGCTCAGTCTCACCTCTGGAGTAGCACACCAAATAAGAAAGACACCCAAAACCTAAATTCCGGGGTAATTTTGACCTCTTTCACTCTCTTGAACTTCTGTTGCTCCACTATTCATCCCCATTTCCATATCTAGGAAATATACCCAAGCAGACTCTTTTAGCAGTCACTGGACCCCAACAATTGCCGTATTCTGAGCCACCATACCCCCGAAACCCGTCATTGCTCTCCTCGGAGCCCTCCCACACGCCTCCTGTACGCCTTCAACGCCATACTGGTCATCTCAGACCAGCACAATAATAGTCGTTGTCATGGTTTTTAGACCTTCGGTGAGAGCGACGCGAAACTCATTTTTGGAGCCACTTGATGGAAGCACTCACTCAACAATTCTGAATTTAACTCACACGTAAAATGAACTCCAATGTCACATTGTTGGTGTTTGTGGTGGGCACCATCGTCACCGGGTGCCTCAACTCGATCTTCACCAAGTACCAAGACAACCAGTGTGTGGACAATTGCCTGGACCCTGATGTGTCGAACCATCACACATTCCAACAACCAGCCCTTCAGACCCTCCAGATGTTCGTAGGAGAAATGCTCTGCTACGTCGTGTACTATCTTATGTACCGCACGTCACTCTTGAGCTTTGGTGCCGACGGGTACAAGCCCATCGGGGAAGATGCTGATTTGCCGCAGTTGCCGTTGGCTAGTTCGTTGAAGTTAAGTGTACCTGCCATTTGTGACTTGGTGGGAACCACCATGTTGCACTTCGGGTTAATATTCATCCCTGTGTCAGTTTACCAGATGATCCGGGGCTCGTTGGTGTTATTTGTGGCATTTTTATCGGTGGTTTTTTTAAAGAGAAAAGTCACCCGCTTGGAGTGGCTCGCGTTGGTAATTGTGACTGGTGGAATTACGTTGGTGGGGTTGAGTGGCTCGTCGCAGGGCGATGGTGCGGCCGAAGGTACCTCGAAAATGGTGATGGTGGGGCTTGTGTTGGTGGTGGTGGCCGAGTTGTGTCAGGCATTCCAATTTGTGGTGGAAGAGCACCTCTTGAGAAAGAATCCCATAATGCCATTGCAATTGGTATATTTCGAAGGCTTCTACGGGGCCGTGGTATTGGCAGTGGCGTTGGTGGTGTTATACTTTGTCTTGGGTGCCGTGTTGGACCCATCTGATTTTGAACACCTGCCATTCAACATGAAAGAAGGCCTTTCGCAGATGCTTGGTTCCTACCACATTATGGGCGCACTGGTGTTGATAATGCTCTCGATCTCGTCGTTCAACTTTTTTGGCATTTCGTTGACGTTCCACTTGTCGGCAACTTCCAGGTCCACTATCGATGCCTGTAGGACGTTAATGGTGTGGTTGTTGGCTATGATAATGGGATGGGAGTCATTCCACTTTTTGCAGTTTGTTGGTTTCGGGTTGTTGGTGTTTGGAACCTTGTGCTTCAATGGGGTTTTGACACCCGAGGAGTGGTCGTGGGTGCCCGGTGTTCTCAAGTCGTCTGTCGATGTGGCTCCACTTGAGGAGCCAGTTGACAGAATTTAGGTAGGTAATATATGTGTGGTCGTGCGTGTGCCCGTAAACCCTCTACCTCGCAGTCAAATGTTCGCGTGGATTCAACTGATTGTTGCCACTATCAAGAAGTAATATGGTACGTACAATTGCCACTCAGGCCAGACATCCATGTCTAGGGACATCAGTTTCCACTGCTTTAAACTAGCACAGTGTGGTGGAGAGTTTATCCTCTGGGTCTGCTAACTCATCTGTTAGTGTACTAACCTTTCAAGTCATTGAGAATAGTTCCAGACAATAACCACCAATCCACCATAAACCATGCTGAGGTTGGCGACAAGGCAGCTCATGCGCCTGGTTTTAGTGATATGTTAAGGTCTCAGCAGGGCCCTGCCAGTTTGGCGTCGCAAATCAACAATCGTCATCCTTTAGAATCGAGACTCGGAAACTGGGAAGAAACCCAACACCAGACCCGGTTAGAATCATACAGAAGAGTATTTGGAGCCGGAGAACCCATCAAGAGAACCATGGAGTTGGGCATCGTGGAAGCCACCGACTTCAAGCCAGAAGTGTTGGGAGGGTCTACTATAACTGAAATGCACAAGGACATCTTGTTGAACAAGGATGCGTCTGTTGACTGGGAAGACGTGTACAAGCAGGATGTGAGTGGAGGATATACGGTGAAGGACTTCCACTCGGAGATGGAGCGTAAAATGGGTATTAATTAGTATAGATTAATTGACGAGTCCGAGAGAGAGCGTAGACCGAGAGGCCGACACCAGTTGGAGAAGTAAGAGTAGGAGAGTAGGAGAAGTGAATGGGAAGAGCCCCTAAATCCGTCGACTACTCACCCTATTCCAACGGGGCACGCATTCACCCTTTTTATCTTCATCTGCTATTAGCAAGATTCGCAAATATCACTAATCCTACAACTGCCACCTTCACCAACTAAAATAAATTACTCATCTCCTCAAACTAAAGTACGACAAAGGTTCTGCAATCTCTGGCCCCAGCATATTCTCTTGCTTCCACCATTGTCCCAAACCTTATCCAAAATAATGAAATCACAATCTTGTGCGAATGCCCAACTTCCCCCCACACCTCGCAGTATAAATTCATCCGACGCACCATCATATTTTCCCCAAGTATCATGTCTGCTATTCCCAAAACACAAACCGCCTACGGCTATGAACGTGGCAAAGGCTCCGTCGCCAAGTACGAAAATGTTCCTGTCAAACAACCCGGTGATAACCAGTTGTTGTTGAAAATTGAAGCAGCAGGACTCTGCCAGAGCGACCTCCACATTCTCAAGGTGGTGGATGAAGAATATCCTGCCAACTTTATCATGGGCCACGAAATCGCCGGCCAAATCGTTCAGGTCGGTAAGAACCTTGCCAGCGACCCCAAGTATCAGCTCGGATCCCGGTATTCGTTGTGCATTTGCAAACTGTGTGGAGTTTGTAAAAATTGCCGTAAGGGCCTTGACATGTGCTGCGACGAGGTTAGTGGATATGGAATTGGCACCGATGGTGGCTTCCAGCAGTATATCGTGGTGGAAAACTTGCGGTCGCTCGTGCCAATTCCCGAAGGAGTATCGTACCAAGAGGCGGCGGTGGCTACCGACTCGGTCTTGACCCCGTACCATGCCATCAGGAAAGTACAGCAATTTTTGGAACCTACCACCAGAGTATTATTGTTTGGTTTGGGCGGCTTGGGCTTGAACGCCCTCCAGATTCTCCGTACGTACGGGTGTTATGTGGTGGCTGTCGACCGCAAGGCCGATTTGGAGGCCCAGGCAAAACGGTATGGTGCAGCCGAGTTCTATACCGATATTGGCGACTCGAATCACCCGACCGACAGTTTCGATATCTGCTTTGATTTTTGTGGATACAAGCAGACATTTGAGGACTGTCAGGACTATATCGCACGTGACGGGAAGCTTGTGATTGTGGGGCTCGGGAACTTGCAACTAAACTACATGAACTTCTATTTGGCCCGTAAAGAAGTTACCATTTACGCCAACTTTGGTGGAACCGCGGGTGAACAGCTTGCGTGCTTGGAATTGGTCCGATTGGGCAAGGTGAAGCCACTTATAAAGTCAGTGTCTATCGACGAACTTCCCTACTATTTTGACCAATTGGCCAAGGGTAAAGTTGAAGGTAGAATTGTGTTTACTCCCCCAAAGCTCTGAAGAATATACATTTTGATTTTAGTGCGATTAATAGTGCGGATTCGGATTTCGAGGTGGCCAACTTGTTTTTTTGTATCTTCATTACTACATAATGGCCAAAAAAGGAGGAGAAAACTCGAAGAAGGCAGCAGGAAACGCTAAGAAAGCAGATGCTGCCAGTAAGAAACAACAAGCGGCATTGGCTGCTGCTGAAGCAGAGGAAGCTTCTCAGTGGGACCAAGGATCCAAGAAGGGGAATAAGAAGAAGGAAGACGAACAGTTCAAAAAAGAAGAAGCCGCCAGAAAAAAGGCCGAAAGAGAGGCCTTGTTGGCGGCCGAAGAGGCATCTTTGCCTTCCAAGCCTCAGAACTCCAAACAAAGAGGTGCTGCCAAAGTGGCAGCTAAGAGAACCGGAAAGATCGATGACTTTATGGATTTCAACAGTTCAAAGCCCGAGTTGGCGGCTTCTGGTATCGACAATGCTTTAGAGGCCTTAACGTTGACTACCAAAGACGGAGGTTTACAAAATAAGGATTTCGACAAGCATCCCGAAAGAAGAGTCAAGGCTGCATTTTTGGCATTTGAAGAAAAGAGATTGCCTGAAATGAGAAAGGAGAACCCTGGTTTGCGGTTGCAACAGATCAAGAACTTGTTGCATAAAGAGTTCTCCAAATCTCTGGAAAACCCAATGAACCAGGCCACCAATGTCAGCTACAATGCCACTACTGATGACATTGCTGAGGCAAAGATCGCTGTGAGAGCCAAGAAGGAAGAGAAGTTCGCGTAGTGATCTGTGTTTGTGTACGATGTAGGTAATAATAAATACTAGAAAAGGAGAACTGACACACAAAATGCGACCTCCAAAAAAATCAACACCATCAAACCATGACGGATCTCGCTGCTTATATATAACGCGCGGGCGTGTGCACACCGCTCGCTCGCCAGAAATACCAGGAATATTTAAATAGAGACGATTTCCTACAAATACGCATCAGACATCTCAAAAAGATTTGAAAAACATCAGTTTTTGGTGCAGCAGGTTTCAAACAATTGCAAAATCTCCCCGAGAAAAATCTTCTCGTTCCCAAGTATTCCTTCTGTCTACAAGTGTCGTCTCACCAACACATTCGTTAATTCATAATTGACTGGTTGAAAAATTGGCCTGCCTGACCTTCGTTTGTATTGATTGAGATCCACTGAAAATGTCGAGATTGGACAGATTGGTGATTTTATTAGAGACTGGCTCTACCCAGTTTATCCGAAGCACCGCTGCTGACCAGTTGTCTGATTTGGCCAAGGGCCACCCAGAAGAGACCTTGAATCTTTTGGGTAGAGTATACCCATTCTTAAAGAGTCCGAAATGGGAAACAAGAGTGGCAGCTGCTAGGGCCTTCGGAAACATAGTAAACCATTCCCGTGTATGGGACCCCAATAATGAGCATGATGATGATTCTAATGATAATGACAATAACGATAATGATACCAAAAATGGCACTTCCACCATTAAGGAAGACCCTGATGTCGACATGGAAACCGAAGGTGTCGACGGTGAAATCAAAATCAAGTCGGATCCGGATGCAGAGTTCAAGCGTGAACAAGATGAGGAGTTGAAGAAAATGGATGACAATTTATCTTCTCTCGTTACATTTGAAAGTTGGGATTTGATTGAAATCTTGAAAAGTAACCGAAAATTGTTAGCATCCAGCATCAACGAAATAGACACTTCCAACGTGAATGAAGCAGAGGACGAGGTATCGTTACTTTCAAAGTTCAAAAGACACAAAAATAATAACTCCATTAAGATTGAACCTGAAAAAGAAGCATCCAGTACCCCCGAAACCGATCTGATACTTCAAACTCAAGTGAAAGAAGAGACTCGAACGGCCGTCGATGCTGTCGAATCAGAAGAACAGGCCGCCAAAGCCTTGGCTGCAAATGCCAGATTGAAGGCTTTACAAAAGAGAAGAGCCAAAGTCAATGCCAAGTCTGGAATAAACAGAACCAAACCAATAGATTTAAGTCAGAGTTCCATTTCCAAGCAGATGATGTCGGATCCAAACGCTATAAACACCAACATAAAGCAAGAGGTTCCTCAATTCGACTTGACTTCTCAACAAGGTGGTGAGAAGTTGGTGATGGAAACCAAAGCCGAATTATCACCCATTTTGAGCCAGCATGCCAAGGTGGCCGGCTTGGTGTGGCAGTTTCAAGGGGTTTATGAATTGTTGGTGGATGATTTGTTTGACGATAGATGGGAGATTAGACATGGTGCATGTCTTGGACTAAGAGAATTGATAAAGAAGCATGGGAAATCGGCTGGTAGGATCAAGTCCAAGTCGTTGGAAGAGAACATCAAAAACAACGATGCTACATTGGAGGATTTGGCTGTAAGGTTGTGTACCTTATTCGCTCTTGACCGATTTGGGGACTACGTTTCAGATTCTGTGGTGGCCCCGGTTCGTGAATCAGGAGCTCAAGCCTTAGCTGCATTGTTGATTCACCTAGAAATAGATCCGTTGATCAAAACCTTTGATGCTTTGCACAGACTAATTCTTCAAGAAGGATACTTTCCTAAATGCTGGGAAGCCAAGCACGGGGGGATGTTAGGGTTAAGGTACTTTGTAAGTGTCAGAACAAGCGTTTTAACCGAAAAACCAGAGCTTTTGAACGATACGGTGTCAATGGTGTTACATGGTTTACAAGAAAGCGACGATGATGTTCAGTCTGTGGCTGCGTTGACATTAGCGCCTATTGCCAGTGACTTCATTAAGCATAAACGAGAATTGATCCTGGTGTTGTTGAAGACCATTTGGGATTGTCTCGTAAACTTGAGAGACGACCTCTCTGCGTCTATTGGTTCAGTCATGGACTTATTGTCAAAGCTTTGTACCCATCAAGAAGTCATTGAAATCATGGAAAAACAGGCTGCCAAGGACCAAAGTTCTTCATTTGAGAGCTTGGTTCCCCGATTGTTTCCTTTTTTAAGACACTCTATCGTGAATGTTCGAAAAGCAGTCTTGAGGACTATTCTTGAATTCTTATCCATTGATAATGCTGCCACAAAACACTGGATAAATTCCAAAGCTCTTAGGCTCATCTTTCAGAACCTTTTGGTCGAACAAAATGAAGAAGTCTTGAACTTGTCGCAGAAGGTGTATACGAGGCTCATTGAAGAAATCAATGTTAACGAGTTTTTGAATGCTGAAGAATTATTTTCATCTAACCATGGCCCATTATTATTCTTGACCATGACACCAATAGGATTGGCCAGGCACAACTATCAGATGAACACCAATCTCATCATGAGACCATCCGGGAAGATGGTTTCAAACGATGGTAACGGTTCTTCTAGAAGAGGTTCTTCTGTGGACTTTGATGAAATCAATGGGTACGAAGAGTTCAAAGAAACAGACTGCTCTTCAAATGGAGGAGGAGAAAAGAGAGGCAGAAAACGTAAAAACTCTGAGTCAAAGGCCAAGAGTGATATTCCGTATTTGGATGAATTGAAGGTCAATATTGACTCTCATATTTTCAAAGGTGATATTTTGTTGTTGGGAGTTGATGTTTTCATAAGAACAAGAGCAGCTGCTTCCAAGGCTTTCGGTCAAACCTTGGCATCTATAAAAGATGAAAAGTTGCTCATAACAGTACTAGACTCTTTGAGCAATTACTTCAAATCAAAACACTCCTCCCCAAGATTGCTCTCAAGCGTTATTCTCGAGGAATATGCTAAGAGCTTGAAACAACAGAATTTGCCGATTCCTGATCAAGTCAAAGAGAAATTCTTACCTAACTTGATTGGAGTGTTGGCCGAGCCTGCGTTCCCCAGCTTACCTCATTTCAGGGAACTAGTACCCACTTTAAAAGCCTTGCGAACAAGCTGCATACACCTCTTTGATATCTTCATTAACATGGCCAAGATATCTCCTAACAAGATTCCTCAATTGCCTGTGGTGGTCCAGGGGGAACTGGAAGCTGGTCCAAATGCCTTCTCGATAGAACAAGCTCAGAAATTGATAGACGAAACTTATCCTAAGTTGATCAAGACTCTTTCACCAACCTACAAAATGGCTTCGATCAATGCTCTAGAAGATGCCAGGCATAGAATCACTTTAGCTATTGATGATGTTCTGCTGGCAAGATTATCTAGAATAACAAGCATATTGGCCGCTTATGCTGCTGCCGTGTTGGCCGTGGATGGGGTTCCAAAGAAGTTGAACCCCATCATTAGATCATTGATGGACAGCGTGAAACAAGAAGAATCGGCACTTCTCCAAAAGAGGTCAGCTGAAGCAGTTTCCCATCTTATCCAAGAATTGAACAACGTAGGAAAGAAGGGTGCAGCAGATAAAATCACCAAGAATCTCTGTGGATTCTTGTGTGTGGATACTTCAGAAGTGCCCGAATATCATCACAACGCAGAGTTCAAAGATATCGTACTTTCTTTAAAGAAAGAAGAAGCAAAAACAGATCCAGTTGATATTGCCCAACACGAAAAGGCGGTTCACGAAGCCAGAATCAAGAGAAATGGTGCTTTATTGTCTTTTGATGCTTTGTTGGACGTTTACCAAGATACTCTTTTTGAGAACCTTCCAAAATTGAAAGAGTTGATTATTGAACCATTGAAGTTGTTGCAACATGCTGATGACGAGGAGTTCCAAAAGGACGAGTTGAAGGGACAAAGTATCATTGATGCTTTGGGTATATTAAGGGCTTTGTTGCCCAAATTGCACAAATCTTTACACAAGACTATTACCGACAACTTGCCACTTCTATTACCAGGTTTCACGTCGGAACTTTCGGTTTTCCGTTATTCAACTGCAAAATGTTTTGCAACCATTTCGTATGTTTGTCAAGTACCAGCTTTCACGTTTTTGGTGAAATCTATTTTGCCTTTACTCAATAATTCTGGAACTATCAAGGAAAGACAGGGGGCTATTGAAACAGTGTACCACTTGTCTACCACCATGGGATCTGATATTCTTCCTTACGTTGTGTTTTTGATTGTTCCAGTATTGGGAAGAATGAGTGACTCCAATCCCGATGTCCGTGTTTTAGCTACCACCACATTTGCGTCTATCATCAAGTTGGTGCCATTAGAAGCTGGTATTCCTGATCCAGAAGATATGCCTAAAGACTTGTTGGAGGGAAGGGACAGAGAAAGAGAGTTCATCCAACAAATGTTAGATCCAACCAAAATCAAGTCGTTTGATTTGCCTGTTTCTATCAAAGCTACATTGAGAAAGTATCAACAGGATGGTGTTAACTGGCTTCATTTCTTGAACAAGTACCACTTACACGGTATTTTGTGTGATGATATGGGATTGGGTAAGACTTTACAAACCATTTGTATCGTTTCATCAGACCATTACATCAGGGATGAAAAGTTTAAGGAGACCCAATCACGGGAGTTCAGAAAGTTGCCTTCTTTAGTGGTGTGTCCTCCTTCTGTTACGGGCCATTGGGAACAAGAGTTGAATCAATATTCTCCATTTTTGAAAGTGATGGTATACGCCGGTGGACCCTCAGCCAGACAAGGACTTCGTGCGCAGTTTATGGACAACGATGTCATTGTCACTTCTTACGATGTTTGTCGTAATGATGTGGAGTTTTTGAATGAACATGATTACAATTATTGTGTTTTGGACGAAGGTCATATCATCAAAAACTCTGCGTCCAAGTTGACCAAGTCAGTCAAGAGAATTAATGCTGAGCATAGACTTATTTTGTCTGGTACTCCAATCCAGAACAATGTTTTGGAATTATGGTCTTTGTTTGACTTTTTAATGCCTGGGTTCTTAGGAACCGAAAAGGTATTCAATGAAAAGTTTGCCAAACCAATTGCTGCCAGTAGAAATAGCAAAACTTCCTCCAAGGAACAGGAGGCTGGAGCGTTGGCGTTGGAATCTTTGCACAAACAGGTTTTGCCATTCATGTTGCGTCGTTTGAAAGAAGATGTTTTGTCAGACTTGCCTCCCAAGATTATTCAAGATTACTATTGTGAATTGAGTAGTCTTCAAAAGGAGTTGTACAAAGACTTTGCTGTCAAGCAGAAGTCAACCATCGAACAGGATATTAAAGATGGTATCATGGACGAAGAGAACAACAACAAAACACATGTTTTCCAGGCTTTGCAATATATGCGAAAGCTTTGCAATCACCCTGCTTTGGTTTTGTCTCCAAATCACCCCAAGTACAATAAAATCATGGTTGATTTGAACAATAAGAAACAGGATTTGAGGAGCATTGAGCACTCGCCAAAGTTGTTATCATTGAAAACATTATTGTTGGAGTGTGGCATTGGTTCCAGTGATAGTGACTACCACTCCAAGAGCTATAGAGAAAAGCAGAAGCAGAATCAACTTCTTTCTGCCGAAGGAGTTATTTCCGAGCACAGAGCGTTGATATTCTGTCAGTTGAAGGATATGCTTGATATTGTTGAAGAACAGCTTTTGAAGAAGGTCCTTCCTTCGGTCACCTACATGAGATTGGATGGTTCTACCGACCCAAGAGACAGACAAAAAATTGTTAGGAAGTTCAATGAAGATCCCTCAATAGATGTGCTTTTATTAACCACCAAAGTAGGTGGTTTGGGATTGAACTTGACGGGTGCCGACACGGTTATATTTGTGGAGCACGACTGGAACCCCATGAATGACTTACAGGCCATGGATAGAGCTCATAGACTTGGTCAGAAAAAGGTTGTGAATGTGTACCGGTTGATCACCCAAAACACCTTGGAGGAGAAGATCATGGGATTACAGAAGTTCAAAATGAACATTGCATCAACCATTGTCAACCAACAGAATGTGGGATTATCATCCATGGACACCAACCAATTGTTGGACTTGTTTGATGTGGAAGACAATGGTAATAAGATTGAACCAGTGGAAGAAGAGAAGAAAGAGATCCCAGATGATGTTTCCGGTGGGCTTTCAGGAAAGGCTGCCGACGCCGTGGGCGAGTTGGGCGAATTGTGGGATGAAGCCCAGTACGAAGAGGAGTACAATTTGGATAACTTTATCAAAACTCTTAAGTAAATATAGGATTATAGACAGATGCCGCAAACGAGATGAGAAAGTCTGCGAATAAAATTTTCAAACTACATCAACTGTAATCTCAAGTCATAAGCTACATACTGCCTTAAACCAAATCTAACGGGGGTTATATTAAACAAGGCATAGGCTATGACCCGAGGAAATTTGAATCGAATTGAGGTTCTAGAGAAAGATGTGGAACATAGTTACCACTTTTTGACTTCGGATGAGAAGTCATCTACATTAAGGGAAGTTGAAGATGTCAACTATAAATCAGCATCCCAGCCCGCACAGGTCAAAAGTTGGGTGCATTTTGTGGCTGGCGGTGTGGGAGGAATGACAGGGGCTATCTTGACGTGTCCGTTGGACGTGGTGAAAACCAGATTACAATCGGATGCGTACACAAAGATGTATAACAGAAGTCCGAAATCTTCAAATATAATCATAAAAGCAGCCCAGCATTTCCAGGAAACTGGGTCCGTGTTAAAGAACATATACACCAGCGAAGGCTCCAGAGCCCTTTTTAGAGGATTGGGTCCTAACTTGGTAGGGGTGATACCTGCTCGTTCCATCAACTTTTTCACATATGGCTTATCTAAAGACTTCTTATCCAACAACTTCAACAACGGCACAGAAGCCACTTGGGTCCATCTACTTGCCGGGATCAATGCCGGTTTCGTGACCTCTACCGCCACCAATCCCATTTGGTTGATCAAAACCCGTTTGCAGTTGGATAAAACCAAGGGTAAGCACTACAAGAATTCCTGGGACTGTTTTTCACACATTGTGAAGACAGAGGGTGTCACAAGCTTGTACAGGGGGTTGACGGCGTCTTACTTGGGAGGAATCGAATCCACCTTACAATGGGTTTTGTATGAGCAAATGAAGACGATAATCAATCAAAGAGCCGTCAAGCAAGGTTCAGACAAAACCACAAAAGACCATATCATGGAGTGGTCTGCTCGGTCGGGAGCGGCTGGGGCAGCGAAATTCGTGGCCTCTTTGATCACATATCCTCACGAAGTTGTAAGAACTCGTTTGAGACAAGCTCCGTTGGAATCCACCGGTAAACCCAAATACACTGGCTTAATTCAAACTTTCAAGCTTGTGGTGAAAGAAGAAGGCATGGCCAGCATGTACGGAGGACTCACGCCACATTTGTTGAGGACAGTTCCCAACTCAATCATCATGTTTGGAACCTGGGAAATTGTTGTCAGACTCTTATCGTGATGGCACTCTTGTCTATAATATTTATGATCTTACCCTTGTAAATAGCATTGTAATGTATGTATGGTTTTCTACTGTACACTAATATACACAAACCTAAAGCAGGCGAAATCGTTTCGGGGGGTCATCGGATTCGATGCTCGTGACGTGGTGTCTGCCGGTGTTGTAGACTTGTTTATAGAATTGAGGTGGTGCACCTTCTGGTGGTGTAATGTTGAGCTGCTCGATTATGGGATCGGGAGCATATGTCTTTTTTAAAGTTGGTTTTAGCGGGAGAGTATGGTTCCCAATGGGTGTAGTTATACCCGGTGGTAGTCTCTGAGGGTCGGGAACCTTTCCCAAAGGGTTCAACTCAGGGTTGAAGTATACCGATTGCAGACCCCAAAGCTTGTTTCGTAGTACTTCCCTTTCAGCCAGCTCCTTTTCAACTGTCTTTAAGAAACCTTCAACTTTGTCCTTGTGGAGCCCGTTCTTGAGAATGAACTGCCAGTCTGCCTCCAAGCCTTTGAGATACTTATCCTGTTTGTCTAGAGAGTTCTCCTTGAGTCTCTGAATCTTCTTATAAAGAGCTATGGGATCGGTGTTTTTCAATTTATCCAAGCTGTGCTGTTGCTTCTGGCGGGCCCGTATCTTGTTCTGCTTCTTACTCTCCTGCTTTTTGAGCTCGGCTGCCAAACTATAGTTCTTACGAATCATGGCATCTGAGGATAAGTGGTGGATTTTTCGCGACCAATTTCTCGAGCTTAAGCCCACCATGGACTCCCTAGAAGCTACAAGAAACAGGTTAAACCAGGTCCATATATCACTCAGAAAGCTCTCTGACCAGATAAACTACAATATAAGGTTCACAGGAAAGACGCGGTTGCCCACGTATGGCCAGTTCCAAAGCCAATTCCATGTTCTTATCACCCAGCTCCACTCGATCACCAGCATCCTAGAAAACAACCAGGACATCTTGGACCACACCAACGCATACCCGCTCCCATTGTTTCCAACCTCCCAGCATGAGGGGCTCGCCACCACGCTTTTGCGGAAGAAGCCGTTGCCAGAGGTGGAAAAATGGATAGATGAAGCCATTGAGCACAGCAAGTCTCTCAATATCAACAGTCAAGCTGACGATGAATTCTCCCAATGGTGCTCGGCCAAGATCCAAGAGATCAAGGAGGACTTCCAATTCTACGGGTTTTTGTCGACGGAGGAGCTCGAGTATCTCGAGACTGAAGAAGGGAAAAAGGAGGCTCTGGCCAAAAAGGAAGCAGAGAGACAACGAGAAGATGTGGAAATGGGTGTCACCACTGGTAAGAAGGCACTACATCCCAACCAGGTTTTGAAGTTTATGTGCCAGGGGAAAATCGAATAGCTACGGTTGTATAATATAAATTAAGCATTAACGCAGTGTCTACTCAAATCCATATACAGCCTCGTACAAATACAAGATGGAGAACACAAAGAAGGCTATAGCCCCTCCCAACGTGACGGTTCTCATGGAGATCTTTTTGGCCAACAACTTACCTCCGGCACAGGCTGCAAATGTACACACCCCGTGACCGATGATGGCTCCAATGATGACATACCAATAATCTGATCCGGCTGCCAATGCAATGGTTGCAATTTGTGATCTGTCTCCCCATTCACCCAAAAACGTCATCACAAACACCTGGATGAATACCGGTGACAATAAGAAGGCGGCCAAATCGTTGAACTGTTCGACCCCCTTCAGGTACCAAGATTTGGTGAAGGTAGAAACACCTCCAGACTCAGCATTTTCCATGTGAGAGTTGATGTTCTGAGCACGAATCTCTTCTTCCACCTCTGCCAACTCCTCGTCTACACCGATGTCTTTGGACATGCTCAATCCTTCTCTCATCAACTTGAGACCAAATACAATGAACAACACTGACGCCAAAAACTGAGTAACCCGCTTTGAAATCAAAGCTGGTAACGCGTGGCCCACCACTCCCGACAACACGGTCATGATGGCCAACGAAGAGAATGCAGCCGCAAACACCACGGCACGAGAATTCTTCATTGCCATCAACGCTGCTATCAAAAACGTCTTGTCACCGATTTCAGAAACAATAATCATCGACACAGACATGATAAACGAGTCATATGGCTCTCTGGGTTCGTCGGCAGCCTCCTCTTCAAGCTCGAAAGCAAGCGGTTGTGAAGACAAGGGCAACTTGGCGTGGCCGGGGGTTGGATCATTGTCAGAATCTTCAAGTGGACGGACCCCTAAATTACTGGCAGCTTTCCCACTGTCGAGATCAACATTGGTGAACTTTATATCAGCGGGGTTTTCTGTATCCTCGAGTTGGTTGGAGGCTCCAGGAGTAGCATCCCCGACCAATGCAACCACGGTAGTCATCGACACAAGCACGACGGCGAACCACTGTTTCAATTGCATTGTTTAGAGAGTTAAGTGGTGAAATTTTTCGAAGATGAGGCGCGCAGAAAAAACTCCGATAAGCTGCTCAAGATTCACGGCTCACGGCTCCAAACGGGTTTAACCGATACAAGTATAGGGGATTCTGAATAGATATCCCTTTGGTGGTGTCGCCATACCAACAACATTATAGTTCTAAAATATATTTAATAATGTATACAACCTCCATGACAACACGAAAGCGATTATATAGTATCTATGCAGTTTTAAATAGGGTAGGAAGGAAAGTGAATATGATTAATGATGGGAAGCTGGCATGGGGTTGTCCACCACTTTCCCGTCCAACGTCTTACCGGACTTGACCCATCCACCGTATCCCACGTCGGGATGCTTCTCATTGAACTGATTGATTCTGTCAACCATCACCGGTCTGAAAGACTTGATCAACCCTTGAACTGGCCAAGCAGCAGCATCTCCCAAGGCACAAATGGTATGACCCTCGATCTCTTTGGTTAATTCATAAATCATATCAATCTCTCTTTCTTTGGCTTGTCCAATGACAAATCTGTCCATCATACTGTTCAACCAGGTAGTACCTTCACGACATGGAGTACATTGCCCACAAGATTCGTGCTTGTAGAAGGCAGAGAATCTTTGAATGGCTCTGATGATATCAGTTTGCTTGTTCATCACAATGACGGCAGCCGTACCCAAACCTGATCCCACATCTCTCAAAGCATCATAGTCCATCAACACATTTTCACACACGTCGATGGGCATGATTGGAACAGAAGAACCACCAGGAACCACTCCGAGTAAGTTATCCCAACCTCCTTTGACACCTCCACAATGCTTTTCCAACAACTCTTTTAAAGGAATCGACATTTCTTCTTCAACCGTACATGGCTCGTTGACATGACCAGAAATACAAAACAACTTGGTACCAGCGTTTCTTTCACGGCCAAATCCAGCAAACCAGTCTCCTCCTCTTCTCAAGATAGTTGGGGCAACGGCAACAGTTTCCACGTTGGCAACGGTGGTGGGTCTACCAAACAATCCTACTCCGGCTGGGAATGGAGGCTTCAATCTTGGCTTTCCGGCCTTACCTTCGATAGACTCGATCAATGCAGTTTCTTCACCACATACATAAGCTCCCATACCACGATGAATGTACACATCAAACGGGTAGCCCGAGCCACAAGCGTCTTTACCCAAAAATCCGGCTGCGTACGCCTCGTTAATGGCTTCCTGTAAGACGTTGGCTTCGTTGTAGAACTCTCCTCTGATATAGATGTAAGCAGCAGTGGCATTCATTCCTCTACCAGCCAATAAACATCCTTCCACCAACTTGTGAGGGTCTTTTCTAATGATTTCTCTGTCTTTACAAGTACCTGGTTCACCTTCATCAGCGTTGACTACCAAATACCTGGGACCAGCATTCTTTTCCCATCCTGGAGGATTCATAAACGACCATTTGAGACCAGAAGGAAATCCAGCACCACCTCTTCCTCTTAATCCGGACTTTTTCATCTCGTCAATGATCCACTTGTCACCCTTCAATATGATTTCTTTGGTTTTGTACCAATCTCCCATTTTTTGGGCGGATTTGATATCATGTCCATATTTACCATAAACATTTTGGAAGATACGATCCTGATCCTTTAAACCTCCGTGGGTTCTGTTGGGATTGACCGATGCATCGGCGATAGTGGCCAAGCGACGTAACCCACGCAACCCGTTGTTTGCAGTTGGTTGTATCCTCAAGTTACGAAGCATAATAAATAGATATCTGTATTTTGAAACCTGAGTTGTGAGAGGTTAAATTTTTCTCAAAATATAGCACTTCAATTGGTAATTAGTTTTGCGCATTTCTCATTGGAGGGCTGGCGAAGCGGGAAAACTGGTGCGCGCACGGACCTTTCCATTGGCTGCAAGCTTCGAAATGGTAGCATACGGGTGTTTGGGGCACATATAAAGGAAAGCAGTTATGGTTACCTTGTATTAATATTTGTATTTGGACCAACCTTTTGGTGAGGGCTTTTCGGTTGGTGGTGTTTTAATTTGTTGAATGCAAGTTGATGTTACTTCCAGCATCTCAGAAATGGTATGTCACAGATCTCAATTCCCTGAATACTTCCTTCGCTGACTCAAATTCTCCCGTCACCGACCCAAACACTTCATTCACATGTCCTCCCGCTCCACTTCTTCTATGTTCCCGTTCCTCCTCATCTTTTTCCTGTTGATACTCCAAGTCTCAGCAGACGTGGCCCTATTGACCCCAGACAGAAACCAAACATACTCACCGAACCACCAAGGGCTCATTGACATCCAGGTCATGTTCATAGAAGATAATACCGTGCCCAAGATAGAGGACATCAAACAGTTGTCGATTGGCCTCTGCGCGGGTCCCAACGATAATATCACCCTTATCACAATTGTCAACCAAAGTGTTCATTTGGGAGACCTTTCGGTGGAAGGAAAGGGAAGTAATAGAAACTGGCAAACAACCGTGTCCATCAAAGACTCAGCGACCGATGATGGCCTTTACTACTTACAAATCATGTCTTACTATGGCAAGAACCAATTCACTCTTCATTTCAGTCAACGGTTTCATTTGGCGGGAATGACAGGAAAACAAACCAGTTTGTTCCATGGCTCTATGGATGACCCACCACCTCCACAAACTACTGGCTCCATTGGACCCACGACCTCGGTTGAACTCAACAAGTTCTATACTATACCGTATGCGCTGCAAACAGGAAAGGTACGGTATGCCCCAATGCAACCGTACGTTTCTAGTGTATGGAAGACGGCTCGGTGGACGGCCAGCGTTTCAGCGGACACCAAGAATCCGTTCAAGTCTCCAGGAAATGCTCCAGACGTCGAGTATACGGTCACCCAGCCCCACACATACACTATCTTCTCACCTTCTAATACTGTGGAAGGTATCCATACAACCCATAAACACTATAACCCTCTGGAGAGAGTCCAGAGTCCTTTTTGGAGACAGAGCCACTCCCACTCGCGTGGCAGTAGTAGGTAATTGTAATATTGTAATTTAGCAGCCACGAAAATGCGAATCAAATTCTTCTCATTCACCATGAAGTTCGTTTTCCTATCCATACTAATAGCGGTAACGTCCACGTACTACTACTACGTATACACCACGCTCACTGGCAACGGTGGTACACGTGAGGCTCTTCGGCACTTGAGTGGGTTGAGCGGCCAGGACTTGACGAATATAGATATCTTGAAGAAGAGAGCACCCAAGCTATCTTCAAACTCATACCTTAGTTTCCCAATGGGAGGCCGAAACAGAGACCAAATCGGCGGAGAAAATGCCACGATTGTTATGCTTGTGCGGAACGAAGAGCTCGAAGGAGCATTGAGTTCAATGAGGTCGTTGGAAGACAGATTCAACAAAGACTACCAGTACCCATGGGTGTTCTTAAATGACGTACCATTCACCCAGGAGTTCAAGGAACAAACAACCTTGATGGCCAGCGGGAAGACATACTACGAGCTCATTCCTGAAGAAGACTGGGAGCCCCCTTCGTTCATAGATACCATTAAGCTTGAAGAGAATCTCAAGAAGTCCAACAAAGATGTAATCTATGGTGGCAGCAGATCATACCGAAATATGTGTCACTTCAACTCGGGCTTCTTCTTCAAACAAAAGAGATTGCTCAACTATGACTGGTACTTTCGAGTAGAGCCTGACGTCGAGTACTTGTGTGACTTTCAACATGATCCCTTCAAATTTCTTCGTGAAAATAATAAGGTCTACGGTTTTGTCACCACCATTCACGAATATGAGAACACCATTCCGACTCTCTGGCCCACGGTGGAAAAGTTCATAGAGGCTTACCCTGATCTAATCCATCCCAATAACTCACTTGAGTTCATCACTAGCCGTGAGGTCGATCTTAACTATCATGTACCCATGGTTAATTCCTCATCCGAGTACAACTTGTGTCATTTCTGGTCGAACTTTGAGATTGGCAGTCTCAACTTCTGGAGGTCTGAGGCTTACTCCAAGTTCTTTGAGTTTTTGGACCAATCTGGAGGGTTCTACTATGAAAGATGGGGAGATGCCCCTGTGCATTCGATCGGGTTAAACCTTTTGGCCGACAAAAACCTGATTCACCATTTCGATGATATCGGCTACTACCATCCTCCTTATATGGCGTGTCCTACCCTGAAGGACTTGATCAGTCAAAAGAGGTGTATTTGTAAAACTTCGGGACATGATGGAGAAGTGTTAACCACCCCGTACGACGTCCAGGTATTCAGTTGTTTGAGTCGGTGGTGGCGGTATGGATCCGGGAAGAAATTTCTCAACGAGGTCGACTACATCCTTTGAGTGAAGGCCCTCCAACACATATAAACAAGCATATATATATTAACGATAATGACTGCAAAAACTCGACCCTCAGTAGTGCGCGATGGGAACTTTTCAGTCAAAAAGATTTTCTTCTCATCTCATCTCTCACAAAGCTTGAACTATATCATAGAATGGGTAAAAGGGGGACATTAAAGACGCAATTAGATGCCCATAAGTTGTTGGAGTCCATAGATAAGTCCAGATCAAAGCCTGTTAAGAAGGTGATTGTGGAAGCAGAAGAACCAGAGGTCCCAGTACCAAAAGTGCAGAAGCGGGACAAGAAAGACAAGGTGAAGGCCAAGTCGAAGAAAGAACAAGATGACTACCAGAGTGAAGCCTTGTCAAAGAAAGAGCAAAGAAAGTTAAAGAAGCTGAAACCAGTGCAAGAAGACGACGAGGAAGAGGAGGAAGGTTTCCTCGATGCTGAAGCCGAAGAGGGTTCTGACGAGGAAGACGAAGAGTTGGACATCAACAGATTAGGTGAAAGCGAAAGTGACAGCGAACTCGAAGAAGCAGAGGAAGAAGGTGCAGAGGAAGAAGAAGCAGAGGAAGAAGACGCAGAGGAAAAAGACGCAGAGGAAGAAGAAGATGTTCCGTTCTCAGACGTCGAAGTCGATTCAGATGCCGATGTGGTCCCCTACACCAAGTTGACCATCAACAACGTCGCCGCATTGAAGGAGTCTCTTGCTCGTGTCCAGTTGCCCTGGAAAAAACACTCGTTTGTCGAACACCAGTCTATTGTCAGCGAAGAAAAGACTGAAGTTGGAATCAGCGATATTTATGACGATACCGAAAGAGAACTTGCATTCTACAAACAAGGATTGGACGCCACCAAACAAGGTAGAGCCAACTTATTGAAGTTGAAGGTTGCATTTTCCCGTCCCATGGACTACTTTGCTGAAATGGTCAAGAGTGATGAGCATATGGATAAGTTAAAGAACAAACTATTGACGGAAGCCGCCAATAAAAAAGCCAGTGAAGAAGCCAAGAGGCAGAGACTGTTGAAGAAGTTTGGTAAGCAAGTGCAACACGAAACCTTACAAGAAAGAGCCAAACAAAAGAGAGATACGTTGGAAAAGGTTAAATCTTTGAAGAAAAGAAGAGCCAACAACGAGCTTGCAGGTGAAGACGATTTCCAAATCGCTTTGGAAGAAGCCACCAGAGAAGAGAGCAGAGGTGGGGATTCCAAGAGACACAAGCCCAATGGTAAAAGAGTGGCCAAGAACTCCAAGTATGGGTTTGGTGGAAAGAAGGCAGGCCTGAGAAAGAACGATGCCAAGTCTTCGGCAGATATCTCCGATTTTTCTTCAAAGAAAATGAAGCAAAAGAGACCTGGAAAGAGCAAGAGAACCAGAAGATAGCCATCTGGATTTGTAAATGTACATTAAATCTATATAGGAAAATCAATTTTTGCATCCGTTTGAGTAGCCTCGTATAAATATGGTCTTTTTCTCCAAGAAACGAGAAGCGAGCGACGACGAGTTGAAAGAAATTCTACAAACATGTCTTCTAAAGAACAATTCATTAAAGTGTTCGACGAGTTGGTGGTCGAGTTGAGACAGATCTTGACGGACTACAAGATGCCTGCCGAGGCTATCGAGTGGTATGAAAGGTCATTAAACTACAACACTCCCGGTGGAAAATTGAACAGAGGTTTATCAGTTGTTGATACTTACTGCATTTTAACCAACCAAAAGGTCACCGATTTGGACGTCGAAACCTATAAAAAGGTGGCGGTTTTGGGCTGGTGTATTGAGTTGTTACAAGGTTTTTTTTTGGTTTCTGACGATATCATGGATCAGTCTAAAACCAGAAGAGGCCAACCCTGCTGGTATTTGGTAGAAGGTATTGGTAACATCGCCATTAACGACTCCTTTATGTTGGAAGGTGCCATATACGTGTTGTTGAAGAAGTACTTCAAGAAAGACTCGTACTACGTGGACTTGTTGGAGTTGTTCCATGATGTGACGTTCCAAACCGAGTTGGGCCAGTTGTTGGACTTGACAACTGCCGACGAAGAGGTGGTGGACTTGGACAAGTTCTCGTTGGAGAAGCATTCGTTCATCGTCATCTTCAAGACCGCCTACTACTCATTCTATTTACCGGTGGCCTTGGCAATGTTTGTGGCAGGAATCTCCGATGAGAAGGACTTGAAGCAAGCAGAGGATATATTGGTGCCCTTGGGTGAATACTTCCAGATTCAAGATGACTACTTGGACTGTTTTGGAACCCCGGAGCAGATTGGTAAGATTGGTACCGATATCAAGGACAACAAGTGTTCTTGGGTGGTGAACCAAGCGTTGAAGTTGGTTACTCCTGAGCAGAGACAGGTTTTAGAAGAAAACTACGGCAGAAAAGATGATGTCAAGGAGGCCAAGTGCAAGCAATTGTTCAATGATTTGGGCATTGAAGCCATCTACCAGGAGTATGAAGAATCGATTGTGGGTGAATTAAAGGGCAAGATTGAGGCCATCAACGAGTCATCGGGCTTAAAAAAGCAGGTGTTTTACACCTTCTTGAACAAGATCTACAAGCGTTCCAAATAGTTTATGTATACATTTTCTTTATATATAGAAATTAAATAGGGTGTTGATGCACATTAAGACTTAAACATTGACTCTATCCAACTCTTCCTTTCCGGCCTTGGTGTACAAGAATTCGTTGTAGTCTCTGGCTTGGGCCCAGATGCTCCAGACGATGGAAAATGGGATGATCACGAAGAGAGCTTGGTTTTTAACTCTTCTGAAGGTGTTGAAAAATGCTTTGTGTAAGTTACCCTTCAAAGGTCTGGTAGCGTAAGGGGTTACTGTGTACTGGTTGACGTACTTTTGTTTGGGGCCACCGATAGCACCCCACCATCCCATGTAATGTTTAGCTGCTGGAGGACCTGCCATTGTGAATGTGTGTTGAGTGAGTATTGAGATGGAAAGAATTAATGGAAGGTGCGTTATTGGACGGATCGCGTGCTGAGATGTGCGCGGGTGTGGGTTTTAGAGTAATTATGGGCATGGGTTTGAGGTGAGAGAAGCCAGAACACTAACAGACACTAACAAATACTAACAAGTACAAGAAGACCCTCTTCGAATCGCCACGTCTCTACATTCAAATTTACTACACTTATCACCTACTCTCTTCACCTACATTCATCCTATTCCATGATTATTCTTGTTAATTAAATTTTACATACAGAATTATGGTAAAATAATCTAGTTGGTCAAACGCTTTTGAGCAGTCAATCTTCCCTTTTGTCTGGTGTTCAATCTAACCTTCTTTTCATCAGCCTTCTTGATTTCTTCACCTTGTTCGGTCAAGATCAATTCAATGTGACAAGGTTGGGATTGGTATGGGTTGGATCTACCGTGGGCTCTGAAAGTTCTTCTTCTGAATCTTGGGGCCTTGTTGACCTGAATGTGGGAGATCTTTAATTTGGTGACGTCTAAACCTTTGGTTTCAGCGTTGGCTTCAGCATTGACCAACAAATCCTTAAGAAAGTTGACGGACTTGGCAGGCCATCTGGCCTTGGTGACACCAAACTCTTTACCTTGAGCGGCTCTACCAGTGGATCCGTTGTATCTTCTCATTGGGATGGCTCTCTTGTGGTCCAAAACTTGTTCCAAGTACTTCTTGGCCTTTTCCAATTCCCAACCGTTGATGGCCTGAGCAGTTTCTCTGGTGTTTTTGAAGGAGACTCTCAAGTAAGCACCTCTAGCAGAAGCAGACTTAGCTGGGTTAGTCGAACTATAACCGTATCTAGCCATGTTTAATATTCAGTTGATAAAGTTATTAACTTGGATGAAAAAGTTTTTCTCACTTGAAAATTTTTTGGACCAGAGCGACAGAGGGAGAGGAACAAACAGAGTGGGGGTGTGTGCAGGTGCGAAAAAAAAAAGCATCCACCTATATGGCTGCTGTCGCAGGACGAGCGCCGTCGCGGTACGGGTGCGTGCTGGGGCCAGGGTGGCGGTGCACATGGCGGTGGGCTGCTTGCGCGCCACCACCAGGGAAAAAGCAGTCACGGTCAGCCCTAACTCCCCCCTGGTGGACGCACTTCTGGCAGGGTCGCGACGAATAACCGTTTATCAATGGGCCGGGCAAGTCAGGGACCCCGTATCGGTACCACCACCGACTTGCATAACCACTGACTTAAACAACCACCCACTAAAGCAAAAATCCATCTCACCTACATTTTGTTGCACCTCTTACATGTATTCTGTTCCAACTCTCACCTACATTCTGTTGCCTCTGACCTACATTCTGTTGCCTCTCACCTACATCCCTACACCTATCTGAACACCCTCATTGCTTTTTGGCGCCTCTCGCATCTGTCGATTATCGCCAACTGGGTTCCGCATGTCGTCAACCTAAATCCCTTCTGTCACCAATCATCCGGCCGTATCGGTGGTAGTCCAAATGAAATTTGCATGGGCAACGCCCAATTGCGGGTGGTCCTCAAACAAAGTCATACTACAGGAATACGAAAAAACCTCATCTGCGGGAGTCCATACAATACCTAAAAGGGAGAGCAAACCCCCGTCCCATCCCCTTTTTTTCACAGTAAAAGTCGCCGTTTTGTGGCTGGTCAAGTCTCGAGAGTTTGTGGTCATCCATAGTGTGCGGTATTTGTGGATGCAAGTACTGACGGTACTGGCCTTTCGCAGCACCACAGTAATGAGGAACTACGGGCTGTCCAAGATAATGCACCCAAAATACTCTCTACAACCGCCTCTTTTAACCAATGCCACAACCACACTGTCTACTAAGACTCTCAATAACTATTTTATCTCTCTGATGTCACTCCCCCAATACTACTCCCAGTGTCGACATCCTAAAAAATACCCTTTTAAAAAAAAAAATTCATGAATTTCCTATTATAATTTACTATAGCTTGGAAACTAGATTCTGATTCTGGCTAGTGTTTTGGGGAATTAATTATAAATTCAAGGAGAATTCCCTTGCCGTTTTTTTTTCTTCTTGGTGTAGTTTATACTGGATTGACTTTGCTCCCTTTGTTTCTATTTCAAATGTCGTCTCCAGTCTTGCCTGGTGGGTGCTGTGCTAACCTGCCGGCCCACTGGTTGTGTGACACCAGTTAAAATGTTCCCGACCATCCCATTTCGGCCCCGGGGACTGAATAAACCCGGGAAGTGGTGCGCCCCCATCCCCATACTTCGATACTACCTCAACCCCATGACCTTGCCTCCCACTGCTACCATCACCTTATTATCCCTTATAAACCCGCTTCTGCCACTAGCAGGCTTATAGGAAGGACCGCTGGCGGTGAGCGGAAAAAGAGGGTCGTGCGCCGCCCCCTCTCTCCAGCGAGCGAGAAAAAATGTGAGGGACGAAAACAACCAAAGGGACTGAACCTACAAACACACCTATCATCAGTCTTGTTCTTTTCCTATTCATCCATTATCAAGCACTTGTCAATCGTGTTCGACCGACCCTACAGATAGAATCCTACCCGTGTCCGTACCGTGTCTGTGCTTTTGTCTTGCTGATTCCAAAGTACATTTATTTTCACCACTTGTATTTATTATCACTCCCACTGTACTTTTAATCCCATCCCTTCCCATTCAATAACTCCGGTTCAATTACCCTTTTGCCATCTAACCATCCAACATGTCCGATTCCAACGACCAAATAGACGCCATTGACAGCGCCATGGACGTGGTGAACAGCGACCCAGAAAATCAGGGCGCTGTCCCTACCAAAGAAACTGCTGCCAACAACCTGGCCGCCGACAGCCCCAGCGATGACGCCTCGAGTATGGAAGTGGACGGTGACGAAAACCCGAAGGAAGAAAATCTGTCGTCAGCCCTGGATAGTGACGCCAGTACCGATAATGAAGGTGTTACTGAAGAAACGCCTATCTCAAAAGATACCGAAATGGGAGATGTGTCCAGGCAAGAGTCTGAAAAGCCCGAGGAACTCGAAGAGTCGGAGTCTGACTTGTCTGAGCCTGAGAAACCGGAGCCTGAGAAACCCGAGACTCCTGAGGATTCTGAAGAATCTGATGAGCCCAAAGAGCCTAATGACAAAATAGACACCAGTGAAGAAGCCCCAGCTGAAGAGGCTGGAGATTTGAAGCCAGAAGCTATCGAAGACTTGAAGCCAGAAGCTACCGAAGAATCCAAACCCGAGGAGGCCACACAGGCTCATGAACCTTCAGAGGTCAAACTAGAAAACCCTACTGATGTCCCTTCTGGGGCCACCTCATTTGATGACTCTTCCAAAGGCACCGATTACCAGGAGCCCGAGCCCGAGCCCGAGCCCGAACCTGAAATGGAGGAGGAAAAGGTCCAAACTTTCAAACAGACACATACCATCATAATTCCTTCGTACGCCTCTTGGTTCAATATGAAGAAAGTCCACCCAATAGAGAAGAAATCATTGCCAGAGTTCTTTGAGGTTAACCATCCATCCAAGTCACCCAAAATTTACCTTTCCTATCGTAATTTTATGATAAATGCTTATAGATTAAATCCCAACGAGTACTTAACATTGACCTCGTGCCGAAGGAATTTGGTGGGTGATGTGGGTACATTGATGAGGGTGTTTAAGTTTTTGAACAAATGGGGATTGATAAACTATCAGGTGAATCCTTCTTTCAAGCCAGGTTATAACCTTGAACGATTGAGCGATGGAAATGTTGCTCCTTTGCCATATTCTGGTGATTACAAAGTGAACTACGATTCTCCAAGAGGTTTGTTTCCATTTGAATCTTTCAAGTTGAACTCGGAAGTGAATATCGAAAAGTTGAAGCATCTTATGGGCGATTCCTTCAAACCTGCCAACAAAGAGGTTGATATAAAGTTAACGGCTTCAACTCTTGATGAATCGGGAGACAACAAGCGTAAACTTGAATTTGAGGATGAAGAGCCCAGTAAAAAGCCTAAGGATTCATGGACTGAAGACGAATTGAAAATGTTGTTGAAAGGTATCAAACTACATAAAAATGACTGGTTTCAAATCTCTAAACATGTGGGTACCAAAACTCCTCAAGAGTGTATACTAAAATTTTTGAAGATGCCCATAGAAGATAGCTTCAAGAGTTTATCACTGAATGATTTCAGTTTGTTGAAGTACTCATCCAATTTTCCAACCAGCTCGACCGAAAACCCCATCATCAACAATTTGATTTTCATGACCCAGTTGGTCGATAGTGACGTGGCCAAAGCCGCTAGTGAAAGGGCATCTAAGGTCATGCATGAAAAGATCTTGGAAAAGATCGAGCAGGTAGAGACTAAGGAGAAAGAACTTGGAAAAAGGGCGTCAAAAGAAGACTCCAAGCCAGAAAATATTGAAAAGGATGAGGAAGAAGAAGCAGCGAAGAACGAATTTGAAGATATGATAATTGAGCCCAAGGACGACGATGACGACGACACCGAAGAATCGGATGGAAAACCCGATCACAAAGAGAATGGTTCAGTGGAACAAGCTGCTGAAGGCGCAGACGAATCGGTGGTGGACTCCTTGAAGGAGTCATTATCAGATTCGTTGAAAGAATTGCACACCAAGTCGGAGGATTCCACCTCCGTCGAAGACATCAACTCGACGTTGTTTGCTATGGTTGCATCCAAATCACACTTGTTCAGGACCTACGAAGAAAGAGAAATTAATAGGCTTACATCAACCGTCCTCAATCAGGAAATGAACAAAGTCAATTTGAAACTCGAAAGAATCAACAAACTAGAAAAAATCTACGAGACCCAGCACAAAATCATATTGAAGCAACAGGAAGAGATCTTTGTGGATCGTCTCAATCTTTCCAATTCCATCATCTCCATCACCAAGAAATTGAACCACCTCATCTCCAGTGTGGAATCTTCAAAAGACAGTGTGGATGCGTCGGAATTGAGATCGACTTTGACGGAAATAAAATCACTAATGTTCAAACCTTTGAAATCTTCGCTTGCCGAAGACAATAGTACCACCGAAGCCACTACTGATAGTGAAGCCGAAAATGTCAGCACTCCCTCAATGAAGCCACCATCCTTACAGACCCCACAAACCTTCAAAGTTTGGGTTCCATAAACCCTATTTGAAAGCCTCTCTAAACGTTTGTTCGAGCAGCTTATTCAATTATAGCAAATCAAGGTTTTGGTTCGGCCGAGCACCTAAGGATTGCTATTTCCTCCATATAAAGTGTTGAGCCTGCGCGCGCCGCGATAGCTTTAGCGAAATTATATTTTATACAGAATCGCAACTATTTACTTGCTATCGACTCTTAAGCACTCTCCTATAAAACCACCTTGGTAAGGTTAGTAATTTTATCGATCTAATACAAATGAAATGTTAAATAAAGCTAGACTGCTTAAAGGAGTCGTTTCAGATAAAACACATTCCGACACAGAACCTGGCCCCCACCTGAAACAACCCCTAGCTAATAGCAGTCACTCTTCCAACGCTTCAAGAGCTTTTTCACCTATTAGTCACTCTAGCGGAAGTGAACCTGTTGCTGCTGCTTACGCCAGAAAATACAACTTCAACGGCCCTAGAGAAGCTAATTCAACCCTTGATAACTTAGACCACCGAACCTTGGCCAAACCCCATGACCCGCTGCAAGCGGGTCTTGAACAAGCTCCAATGTCCCGACTGCAGCACCCCCAGCTGATGATTAATTCCTCGGACATGGCAGTCGGTACATCCAATTCGCTAATCCCATTTGAGATCGAGACCAAGAAGGTGCCGATTGTGCTAACAATAGAGGATACCCAGTTTCTCCTTTTGCTGCTTAGTGAAGACCAGATGGTCCAGTTCGAACGCTTGGTTCCGTTGATGGCATTGTTTGAAAACACCAGTCTTTTGGAAAGCTCGATTGGCGAGTTGTTTGAAATCATCCGCACTGACGACGACTTGGTCGAGCTCCATAATTACACCAAGATGGACGAGTTGGTGTTGACAATCCCCGAGCTTAATGGTATCAAGATCTCTGAAGACAACATTTATACCCGGAACATTTTAATTAATGACTTCACCAAAATGTTCAATGCATTAACCTACAAGACGGCCAGCGAAGATTTGAATTTCAGCCATTTAAATTTTAGCATCTCCGTGCAACCTCGATTTATCACCGACTTCAATGCCCTTAACGATTCGATTCGACGTGGTCATGGTTTTGAAAGTGTACACAGCAACCGTTTCGCCAGACGCCGTAGGCATAGCAGTGATGCTGGCAGCAATAAAAATGCCAATGTGAATGACTCTAATGACGACAATAAATTCAAAAAAGCAAGAATAGATGGTGAATAGTCAAAAACACCAGTTTTGTATTATTTTTGGCCTGTATAATGTAAGATTCATTTCAACCCAATAGACTTCAACTTCTCGTAGAGCTCGGGGTCGATGTACTTGTGTAAACTGGCTTCTCCAGTGAGACCCTTTCTTCTTCTTGTTTTGAGAACAAAATCCCGAGCTATTGACTCCATGGGAACCGGCTTCAACTCCGGTAAATAAACCTCATCATCTAATGGGTTTCCTGGGGCCATTGAATATCCGTCGAACTTCATCAAACACATGGCCTGACCTTGGGTTTGTAATCTAAGCTCTGTTTCAAAGCCAATCGACTCGATAACTGGTACAATTCCCTCTAGCTGGAAAAGCTGAGTTCCAGGAATTGCGTCATTGGTGTGAATTTTACCTCTTCTGCCGTTAAGGAGTTTTGCAATCAAATGGTTTGCTCTAGACGAGCACGTCACAAGCACCTTGTATACTGGTTCCATCAACCGAGGACTAGCAGTTAAGAATCCTGTGTAACAGGCTCTCCTTGTTAACGGAATTATTTGGGCAGTGTTGGTTTGAATGTCTGCGGTGTCATTAAAGTCGATGTCAAGTATTTTAAACTTGGTATTTCTGATTGGCTCATCACACAACGGACCTTCGCTACAGCTCCACTGGAACCCCATTTCAATGGCCTGTTTGATTGTGTATAGGGCCTTTTTATCCGTCTCAGCTTCCAACGTATCGTCCACTAAAATGCTCGGTTGCTTATGGTCGTGGGGCCCATAGCTCCAGACTGACCGAGCTTCGAGCAGGTCTACCCCAAAGTCGTTTCGAAGTTGCCGAGAGACTGTTTTTATAGGTTGGTTCAAGTCAATTTTCCCAGCTTCTAGGGCTTTGCTCAATGCTTCGTTATTGATGGGTTCAGCTATTATGGACATGGAAATATCACCGATGGTACTGGAGATCTTTGTGACAGACATCTCCGTCACTGTTTCACTAAACTTAACCATAGGGTCACTAACCCTGATTTCCAATCCGTCTTCATAGAAATTCCTGATGTCGTGAAGCATACAATCAAGTATAACTTCTCCAGTCCCGAAAACAACGTACTCACCACTCTCTTCAAGCTTCACCACACTCGACAAATACCCCTTATTTAGTTTCTTCAATGACTCTACAAGTCTTGGTAGCTCTGATGGGTTTTTCGGTTCCACAGCAACTTTAAGAACCGATTCGCTCGTGTAGTCAATGAATTTGGTATCTTTGATGTCACTGACACCAATCGACTTGTCAAAAATATATCCGTGTTTGTTGATGCTGGTTTCGATTCCTTTCACAATGACAAGAAACCCTTCACTGGCTTCATTGACCGGTACCTTGTATCTTCCACCAGGTATATGAATCTCGGACACGGTTTGGAGGTGTACTTCTGTTTCTGTTTTAAAAGTGTCACTGATAACATTCACCTGGTCTCCAACTTTCAAAGTTCCTTGGTGGATTCTGACCAAGGCAGAAAATGATTCTCCGTCTGACGACTCGATGAGCTTAACGATATGTGCAATAACCTTATCCTGCGATACTGGTTCCTGGAACACCACAGAAACTGGTTTGATAGCCTCAGCAGGTGAATAGATGCTGTTTGTGACCATATTAACAAACCCGTTACCGCTTGGAAATATTGCAAGGAAGATTTCGGGTAAGAGCATTTGCGAGTTGTTCTTCAACTGTTTAGCAGTGAACGAGATACCGAAATTGTCCTTCAAGAGCGTGGGTAATAACTCCGAGTTAGAGTCTCTGGTTATAGTGTAGGTGATGATCTTGTAAATGGGCTCGAGAATGAAGTGAATAAACGTTCTTGATAATGATCCACCCTTGGAATCTTTGGTGAACTTATGGGACTCGGGGTTGTAGTAATTGTTTCCCCATAATCGTCTTGCAAAAACCTCTTTATCAATAGTGGTTATATCTTTGGCGTCAAAGTAAAGCTGAACAAAGCTGTTCAAGTTGAAGCAGAATTGTAAGGTTGAAGATGCAAACGTTACATTATTTCGCTCAGGTGATAGTATGGGGTCGTAGGCATACGAGGCACTATACTCGCTGTTTGAGATATAGTTGTTGATGTTGTCTATAATGTACTGTAGCTTGTAGTATGCATCGCTTACTGGGAGTCTCAATTCCAAGATCAATCTATCGATCTTATTGAGAACTAACGAAAACTTCAAGTTTCTCTTCATAATCTCATCGATCACGAACTTATCTGCAAAAGTAAGGCCTTCAACCACATCAAGAACAATAACAGCTCCATCACTGGCCTCTAACGAAGCAATTGTCTCATCCATGAAGTTCATGTGCCCAGGACTATCAAGGATGTTGAAAATGTAAGACTTGCCATTGGTATCTGGCAACAAAAGTGTTATTGGAGCAGCCTTAATGGACATTCCTCTTTTTATTTCCAAAATGTGGTTATCTGTAAACTTCAATTGTTCAAAGTTTTTGGATTGCTTTCGAGTCAAGGTTTCGTGTGTTTGTAATACAAGCATATCCACAAATGATGTTTTTCCACTGTGAAGGTTTCCTACCAATGCTATATTTCTTATGCGTTCAGGAAGCTGGTACATGAGATTCACCATATAATCCAATGAATACCTCACCCTGTGGGACGAATCTGTGTATGGATCTGTGTCGTCACTGATGGTAACTTCTATTTTACCTGTCCTTTCTCGTGCTGGTCGAATGACAGGTTCACTCATTGAGTCCTCTGTATGGGCCACCACCGTGGTGACTTCAGGCCCAAATCTTTGGGATAGCGTGAGGCCATTTGCATTGTTTTTATACGACACAAGCTGTGCTTGTTGCAGTTCATTTGGTTCTTCTTCTTCATCATCATCATCTTTCACTTCTTCCTCATCGCCAGATATATCTGAAAGATTCTGGCGCATTAGTTCACCCTCAGAAGACACATCTGAATCTGAATCTTCTCCTCCAATGAGATTTCCAAACTCATCGTACTTGTCATCGTCGTTGACCATGTTAAAACTGGAGATATATATGAAACCTTGGACTGTCAATTAAGATTTTTGTGCTCGCACTTTTCCCGTAGGAACTGAGCCAGAAACAGTACACTAAGTTAAGAGACAACTATTAAGACACTATAAAGTTCGCCGCCATGGTCCCAATGCTTTATCATTTATTAGTCTGGTTCTTCTAGTTATTTTACAAATATTTGTTTTTGAGTCGTTTATGTACGGATTTTATTGGTGGAAGGTTATGACAATGTTTGGTATTTTCTTAATTCATTAAGCAAATTCTGTAACTGGGTGTCGGTCACTTTGTTGGTCAAGCTTGGGATCAAGGACTTGGCTTCCTCCGAGTCATCACATTCCAAAGTTCCTAGTTGAGCAATTTCAAAAGGATGTAAAGGATCTGAAGCAGAGGAACCAAAGTCTGCCAAAAGCTTTTCCACAGTTTCTGTTGACGAAGAGTTCTTGAACCTACCGAAAGTAGCCAAATAGTTCAACGTCTTTTGGATAATTTCATTAGAGTTAGGACCGGCCAAATCTAGATTAGATATCTCGTCTTCTTTACCATTTTCATCATCATCATCTTCGATGTCCATTGGCCGTTTCCCCTTGTTTTTTCTTTCCTTTAAGGCGGCTCTTATCAAGAGCCGTGCTTCCGATGTATTCAAAGCAATTAATTGTTCAGTTTCTCCACTGTTGGTCAATTGGTGTAGCTGAAACTCTTGACCCAACTTCAACGTCGCAGCATTTTCCTCATCATCTACTTGTGACGTAGGTTTTCTTCTTCTTACGCCGAACGCACTGGTACTAACATTCATCTTTCACTACCGGCTTTTGGTACGATATTGGTATAAAGCTTTGAAAGAGCGTTAGTGTATTTTTATCAAGTGAAATATTTTTCGCGAAGTTGGTTTTGTGGGCACTTACACTACCAATCAAAGAGATTATAGTTATATTAGTTATGCTTCGTTAAAGTGATTACCATGTTGGAACCTGGTATTGTGGGTTTGATTGTTACCGGTGGTATTGAAAGCATTCAGTAATTCGACATTCTTGACAAACGGGTGTTTCAATGCTTCTTGTGGACTCAATCTTTCCAATGGGTTCATGTTGAGCACCTTAGTTAAAAAGTCCACGAGTAAAAGTCTCTCTTCACACTCCTTCTCAACCATGGAATTCGTCATCTTCTTGGAAGGCAATTTGTAGTGCATGATGATATCTTTCAAGGACCTCTGCTTAAAGTAATTCTTGTTCTTTTCTTCCTTCTTGTACTTTTCTTCCTTTTCATGTTGCTTCAAGAAGTCAAGGTATTCTTCGTATGTTTTCATTTCATAAGTGGGTTTAGTGTCAGGCCCATTGTCTTTCTTCTTAAAGAAGTTCATTGAATTTTTCCCAACCTCGATCATGTGCCGTGGAATTGGTCCCAACATATCCACGATTTTCCAAACCTGGTTATACTCCGACGTTCCGGGGAACAACGGTAAACCCAAGAATAATTCTCCTACAATACATCCCAAAGACCACATGTCAATGGACTCAGCATATGGTAATCCCAAGAGAACTTCGGGGGACCTGTAGAATCTCGACTGGATATAGGAGTATATTGTCTCTCTTGTGAAACAAGCGGAGCCAAAGTCAATCACCTTGATATCAGGTTTATCTGGCTGACAGAGCAAGATGTTTTCCGGCTTTAGATCACAATGGATCATTTGGAAATTTTTCAATTCAGCCATTGATTCTAACAATTGCTTGGTGAGTAACTTGACCAATCTCATATTGAGTCCTTGAAACTGGTTCTGTTTGATCAACTCATAAAGATTTGATGCTAGTAATTCAAACACCAAGCATAAATGCTCTTTGTGCATGAACGTATCGTATAACTTTATGAAGTTCTTGCCGTCGCTGTTGGCATTGAGGTATTCCAACAATCTCACCTCCGTCAACGACTGGTTCATATACGCAGGCTTGGATTTGATTACCTTCACGGCACAAACAGTTTGGTTCGATAAGTTCTGGCACTTTACCACCTGCCCAAATGTCCCCGAACCCAACAAATCAAGCACAATGTATTTACGGCCCTCTTCAGTGCCCAAGATGTCATTAACATACAAGATGTAGTCACTATCGTCGTTGTCGTGGCCATTATTGTATTTGGGTTCCAGCGGCTTGGTCAACACCCTCTTGGGGTTGGTAGCCCTCGAGTATTGGAACTTCTTCGGCTGACAAATGCCGTAGGACTCAGTGATATACACCGACAACGCATTAGCAGGAGAAATATGTATGGAATTGACACTGGCTCTTCTGTACTTGGGCTGTTGGTGTACTTTGGGCTTCAAGTCTAACAGATTGTGGACCTTCTTGAGCTTGGGGGCAGGTTTTCTTCTGAAGGTCAACTTCTGGTCCTGGAGCGACTGCTGGTATTGGTTATATTGAACAATCAGTTGGGAACGGCTAAATCTCATGGCCCCACCGTAATAGTTGTTGTAGCGGGAGTCGTTATAGGTAGCGGGCGAGTGCTGGAACCCGGCAGCCGCCACCGACGACCTTCGGTTGTTATTCAAGTACCCCATTTGAGAGTTCATGGTATAAGCATTTGGACGGTTGTTCAAGTTCGCTGGGGTCGACCAATCGGTCATTACTCCGGCTCCACCCTGGTCCATGCCTGTGTAGTTATCTACCGCCGCCGACATCCTTCTTTCTGGCCCTGCTACTGCCATGTCCGTGTAATGCTGATTAAACGGATTGTCAGCTCTCGCAGGAGGATAGATGAAATTGGGTCCATTGGAGTGCTGTCGAAGCTGACCACTGGCATCGCTTTCGTAAGTGGTTGGTAACTGATTCGTGAACGAAAGACGTTTGGCCTGTTGTTGCTGCTGTAATAATGGGATGGTTGGTTGGGACTTGGTGGGACTATGGGATCCATGAGAAGTACCGGTGGGACTCGAGAGTGATGGCGACTGGGAAGAATAGTACCAGGGGTTTCTAAATCCTGGGACCTGGTTCTGGGCCGGATCATTCTTTAAATCCTGGTTGGGGCTGGATTGATTATAGGAGGAGCCATTAATAGGCGGTAAGTTCCAATTCCCTCCCACTGAATTGTGACGATTATACTGGTTTTTGTAGTTGTACGACATTGATGAGCTACTGGTGTATGCCACTGTACTGGGGAGATATGTCAACAGATTAAGTGGGGGCCAGTGTAGACTCAAGCAATATGCCAAATGATTGATGGATTATTTTTTGAAGTGGTTGACTTTATCCTCAAAAACTCGCAACTGTGTTGCCGTGAAAATGGTGAGGAGCAATGAACACAAATAAAACCATAGAACAAGAAGGGGGTGATGGCGTCAGAGAGGTCCAGGATTGCTGGTCTTCTTATCAAGCCCTACACAATATCAGCTAGAAATTCTTCTATAAGGTTATGTACAAGTTGTATATACAATAAGACTGATGTAGACTCATCAAAACATTATAAGGCAACGGAAGGAAACGAAATGAGGGCATTATCATCCAGAACCCATTGGTGGCATCACCCAATAGACATTGTCAACTGAGCTGTGGATGAGGGGGATTCGATCATTAAAAGTGCTATTGGGGTCTAAGCAGACAATGGCTTGACATCCTCAGGGTACGCCGGAGCCATGGTTGGTTGGGCAGTCATTCTTTGCATCATCATACCAACTCCTTCAAATACTCCCAACAAACAAGCGCAAGTGATGGCGGAGTTTCGGGTGTGTCTCCATCCTCCTCTGATGGCCAAAGCTCCACCGGTGAAGAAACCAGCAATGACGGCATTCCAGGCATCTTCTCTCTTTCTGATGGCTTTGACAGAACAATCGAACGTGGAGAACAATCCACCCCAAACACCGAAGTTACCACCCACGACAGGGGCTCTGGATTTGATGGCGGAAATGGTTCCGTAGCCTCTTTCTCCGTAGGGAGAATTACGGAATCCCTTGATCCCGTGCCACACGCACCCACCGATGACACCCATGGAAAAGGCTCCTCCAAAATCACTTAAAACGACGATGGGACAAGGATCTCTCGTGTGGTCAGCAGACATGGTTATAATAAGAAAAGAATCTTCTTTGAATGGTCAAAAAAATTTTCGTTTGTCGCTTGCAATTGGAGCGCTCGCGACGGTACACGACCCGTTTGTTTGACTCAGGGTGGAGTCGGAGAGTGATGTAGGCAGACAGTGGGAATCTTCAGGGTGATGGTTGTGGGGACCGTGTGTGTTAGAGAGAATGTTATGGGTCAGACCATGGTGTTTTTTTAGAGTATTTTTTTAGTGGAAGGATTTATGTATGCTATTTTTCGTGATTTTTGCAACTCTCGCTTATATGAAATATTATTTATAGACAACATAAGTGTTTAAAAAAAGTATGACAGGGGGAAATTCGCACTCAGTATGGAGGTTTAACCAGACTAACACAAAAAGAGTGTTCACTCACTCTTTTTGTGTCTTTTTCCCTCAATACCCATAGAAGATATGGTTAGTGGTGGTCGAGCAACTACGGAATGAAAATGGTGTAAATAAAATTTGTACCCATCGAGCGAGCAGCAAGAAACATTTTGAAAGGCATTACTTAGGGGAATGCACAATACGGGAAAACCTCAGAGACCCTGAAGTAGCTCACAGGAGCTTACACGACTCTTACCCAAAGGAGCCAACCTGGAGAACTTCAATTTACCTCTGGTATGAGTCACCGCGCATAATCATATCACTATAAAGACCCTTAGATTTACCCATTAGCAGAGAAAAATTATCATTACACATTCACAATGAAGTTAGCGGAAGCCTTACGAATACGAATGGACTACTCGAAGAAAATTGCATTGGTGAAGGGTAGAATAAAGGAGTGTGTCAAGGTCCAGGAAGGTGATGATTCCCCCGAGAACCCATATGACCTTCTTGACGAGTTGCATATTCTTGACTTCAAGCTAACAAAGTTGATCGCAGAGATCAATTTGGTCAATTCCGAGGTACTTGTAGAGCTCCCATCATTCTTGGAGGAAGATTGCTTTGATGAGGGCTCTTATAACCCTGGTTTTAAGTACGATGAAATGATGGTGGAGGAGGGAGAAGTCAAGCCTGCAAAGAAGACGTTATGCGAGGCTCTATCAGAAAGAGAATCATTGAAGAGAAGAATAGAGTTGATGCAGTTCACTATTCTGGCCGGAAGTGTTGCTAACAACTTCAACTATTCTAAGCTGGAGATCAAGATTATATGTCTTATTAACCCGATCAAGCTCCAGAAGGTTATGAATAAGCTCAGTGAGCACTCCAGGATAATTGATACAAAGATCCAGGAACTCAACTGGGAGGTGGACTTCGAGGACGTGTTAGAGACCATTATAAAGAGAAAGAGAGCAGAGCTGCGGAAGGTGAGGAGATGGTATTTTTTCTGATAGCTACTTTCGCAGCCACTAATCGGTTGCAAAATAGCTAAGCATGAAAGATATTATGAAAACGAAACATGGAATATTGAAAGCACTCAGGTAGACCCGAGTGTTAATACAGGCACCAGATATGCACAAGTTCCATTCAAAAATCAATCTACATGCTGCAATTACAACTTCATATCATTAGGTTCAAAGGTAACATATTGCAGTCCCCGGAGGCGTAGGTTTGGTTATTCCGTAGCAGACCATAATGTCCCCAATGACAAAAAAAGTGGGCCCCCACCGGCTTACAGTGACAAAATTCTGATTTTTGATTGAAACCCATTTCGGTAATTACTAGGATTGCCTAAACATTTACCATCTTAATCATCCTAGAGTTTACCATATTACGATATTAAAATTTACTCCAATACATTTACTACCGCATGGTGGAATAACCAAACCGAGGGAGGGAACGGGAACCGGAGCTTTCTAATCAAGCTCCATCCGGTAGGACTATGCAATCAACACCAATTTTTTTACCTTTAACCTTTATCCAACTGCCAGAGCCTAATGCAGTGGCACGTTTCTATTTTAATTGTATAACATTGTGTATTATAATAACGAGAGAAATGCGCAATAGAAACGAGCTGATCAACCAAGGTCTGGTCCTTCCAGCGACCACAGTGGTGATGAAATATTGTATTTTATACCAAACTAGCTTGTGCGTCTGTCCCTTTATTTTGAATCTGCGATGACCCATACAACCACCCAAATTGATTTAATATACTCATGTTATATATTCAAATGTTGGTTGAATATAGAGATGAGCCACCGAAACAAGTAAAACTATTTTCTGCAGGAGAAATAATGAACACGTATATAAAAAATAATTTAATTTATTAGTAGAAAAGGTTTGGATTTTGGCACTCACATATACGATAAAAATAATTAAAGCTCAAGCTTCGAGCCCGGCTATTCCCAAACGCCCTACTGGGGGCCGGCTATATAGTGCATGATTCATACGAGTACTTCAAATTTGAAATTGTGGATCCTCTAGAGCATTTATAGTGCGACTGTCTATACCTTGTCCTTTTCTATTGGTACATCACATCTATGGGGCCATTTTATTGATCTTGATAGTTCTCGTAAACTTTTGTCACTTTAATTTTAGTAATCCTCAAAATTTTTTAATAGACGGATGATCTCGATTTCGTGCGATAAATAAAATATTCTTCCCTATAATGGGTTCAGTTTCGCTGTTTTTATTTGAGGATAAACTATAATGTCAGAAAAGTCTCACACCTATTTGATGGCTAACCAGGAGGAATACGAGTACGAAACTGAAGCCTTTTTGAGGCTCCAGAAGTTAAAGAGAATTGAGTTTGCATCTCTGCCCCGTAACCTCAAGTATGCTCGGCAGTTAACAATCTTGGAAACCGCTTTGGAATACAGTAGATTGGCTGAAAGTAAAGAAGAGCTAGCTGCATCGCAAAAGATTGTATCGGATTTCGATCCTATTATGTGGGATTTGATTGTTGGACACATACCTAGTGACAGCTACTCGACGTACCTGGATCTATTAAAAAGAGCCATTTTGACACTCGAAGATAAGCGTGAAGAAATTGAAGAGAAGTATGACTCTATTTTGCTGCCTTACGAATGGGGTGGTAAGCTTCAGCCCCAATATCTGAAGTACCAGGACTTCGTCAGTAAGAATCATTCCAGAATCGCGTTAGCCGGTTTTGGTTTGCTTACTTTTGTCTTGGGTGTTGTGGTATTAGGTGCATTTGCTGGTTCGAGATAGTGTTTTTGTATTGTATATTAATTGGATAAGTTTTATATCTTTCGAAGGCTAGGAGCCAATGAAAGCTCGTTTTCTTATCTGAGTTCTAAAAAAGGTGATTTGGAAACCACAGGATTTGATAAGAGCTATCAAGGAGGAAGTATGTTGTAAAGACCTGTTTGATGTTTTAGAATTTCAACAAATGCCCCATAGAGTTCAGCAACAAACCCGAGACTTATGAACAAAACACTTCAATGAAAGTTTACTCCATAAATCCCTCGTTTCTTTTGCTTAGGCTATAATCCATTGCCGTTATGGTGGAAGAGAGTGTAAGTATTTCAGAAATACGTGATCTTTTAGGTCGAGAAATGGCATATTTTCTCTAGCCAATTTTTGCTACATGACATTTTACTTTTCAGCTTTCTGGAATATAATGGGAAGCGAACTATATAGCATTGTTAAACCGAGAACAATCTTTTTAACATGATTGAAGAAGGAATAATTTTTGAGATTGAAACCATACACTAAATCTCTCTTTGAAGGGTTAATGTCAAACAGTTCCTTGGACAAAGCATTTCTATCTATCTAGAACAAGCTATCCGACCACCTCACTTGTAACCCAATCTAAATTGAAACAAGTTGGATTCTATCCTGTTAACAAAGCGTAAACTTCGGTATATACAGACATTGAATATTAAAAAATAAAGGGTATTCTAAATGATGGTCAGGTTGCTAAGTTTGGCAATGAGTTAGAGTAGAAGATGCAAGAGAGTGCAAGAGATTAAAAAGAGTAGGAAATTTATCTTCGATCTTGAATAATACGACGTCCACAAACGGCTCAACTTTGGTGTTTAATTTTAGGAAGGAACAGGGCGCACAGCGAACCTTCTTTCCTACATTTAAATGTCCTGTCCCGTGTACGTTCAAAAAAAACTTGTCTTTGTGGATATTCCCCTGCATATTTTTCTATTTTTGGTCATTCGGCTGCAAATTCATGCAAGTGATTATAAGAAAGGCGTAACTATATAAAGATCTGATTACCCCCTGTTTTTAAGAATTTAGGA